GATTTATTTTTAGAGAAGATAAGAATGTCGTCTATATATATAATAATAAATATATCTAAATATTTATAAAGTATGTTATTAATAAGTGCCTAGAAGATTACTAGTGCGTTAGTAAGTCTAAAAGGTATTACTAGGTACTTAAAGAGTCTATAGTATAATTAAAATACTATCTTCTACTCTTTACCTCTTTTTATTCTAATTAGGTAGTATCTATCTCTTAAATCTATTATTATAAAGACTTTTATTTATAAGAGTCTATCTCTAAGCTCTAAGATATTAGGTAATAGGTATCTATTTTTAATTATTATATTATTAATTACTTAGTAGTTAATATATAGTCTATCTAATCTATCCTTCTTTTTAATAAATATAAAAGGGCTTACTACTAGTAACTTTAATAGTCTAATATATCCTTTTACTAGGTATATCTTAATAAATTTATATTCTTTCTAGAGTTCTTCTCCTATCTTACTATATAGTAGTCTAAAGGGTAGCGTCCTCCCTTCTTCTAGGTTAATTATATAATCCTAAGGTTAATATTCTAGTAGGTTTACTTTTCCTTTCTTTTCTATAAATATATATATCTATACTTTATACTCTCTTAGTACTTTTAAGGGTATACTTTCTTCCTTCTTCTTATACTTTATAACCTAGTAGTTCCTACTAGCGTCTACTAAGAGTAATTTCTATTTTTTAACTTTCTATTATAAGTTTATATTATTAATAACACTCTTATCTACTATTAATCTCTATTATTACGTAGGCTTAGCTTATAATATATATTTATAGCGTTCTAAGGATAGCATTCTTAAACCCTAATTAATATATAGGTTATACTTCCTTAACTAGGGTAATTCTAATATAATATTATACCTAGATCTATCTAGTATATTAAGTATAATTATTTCCCTATGTCTATAGATCTAAAGTATAGTAGTAACTTTATAAGTAATATATAGTGTATTTGGCATTTAACTTCTATTTATAATATAGATAGAATAAGCTTTATCCTTAAGTATTAGCTAGAGTCCTACTTATAGTACTACTTCTTAGGATATAAAGTTTTCTAATATACCTAAATTTAATATTACCTTAATCTATATTTTATTAAGCTAAACTAGTAGCTTAATTAATACCTTACTATTAATAGCATTTAACTCTCTAGTAGCGTTTTTTTACCTATTTATAAGTCTTTAAGGGTTTCTTAGGCCTTAGGGGCTAGGGTTTAGTCTAAAAAAGAACTATTCTTAGGAGCTAGATAGTTTATATTTTCTTTTTATTATTTCTTTTACTCCTATCCTTCTCTTCTTCTACTATAGTTATTCTTCTACTATAGTTTCTCTTTAGAAGCTTTACCTTTCTATACTATATTTATTTCTATATAAATATTAATAACTATCCTTAGTTAGTTAGGATTTTTACTAAATCTATAGATATGCTTATTATTCTAGTGTCTACTATAATTAATATTTAGGTAAGTTTACTATCTATCTTAGGTGTATATTCTATTATAGAGTGTGCTAGTTACTATATTTTATATATTATTTATACTTAGAAAGTATAATTTTTCTTACTTATTCTATAAATGTTTATTATATTTATTAATTAGGTAATTATACTATTCCTAATAGTATTACTATTTATTTAGTGGTTATTTACCTCTATATAGCTCCTTAGCTCTATAATAGGTTAGGCACTAGTTATGTCTATATTTAATCTATTAGATATTTAAGTGCTATAGGTTTTAGTAGTCTAGGTAGTACTTTTATAAATAGTCTAGGTTCTTATTATAGAAGTGTTTACTAGGGTCTTATTATATATATCTATAATCTACCTATTATCTATCTTCCTTTATAATAATTTCTAGTCGGCGTTTATTATAAGCTTCTAGTAGTATAGAGAATAATAGTAAAATTATTATAGGTAATAATAATATATTTCTATTTTATAGTTAGATTAGTAGTTTATCTAAGTATTCCTATATATTTACTCTATTAGTAAAGGTTACTTCTTTACCTTTAAATTATAGGTAAGGTGTTAGTGTCTACTTAACTTCCTTATTTACTATTTCTAATTGTTCTTCTTCTATGTCCTTATAAAGTCGTAAATTAGTTAATAACTCTAATCTAGATTTATTATTAAGTGCGAGGTTATTAATAGCATTTATAATAGTCTATTCTTTATCCTTAATTTCCTTTATTAGAATAGTAAGTATATTTAACTACCTAATAACCTTATTTTTAGATCTATAGTTCCTAGTAATGTGGCCTAGTTTACTATATATAAAATATATATAAGTCTTAGTCCCTTAGTATTAGGTTCTATCTAAGATACGTATATTAGGCTTATAAAAGCCTAGTCCTTTTCCTTTTCCTTTACCTAAGTAATTAAACTAGATATCTTCTATTAGCTAGTATCTATAGGAGTCTTATAATTAGTATTAAGGTTCTTTTAGTAGCACCCTATAAACTATAGGTGCTAGTTATCTAAAACTAATATTTCTTAGGTTACGTTAAAATTCCTATTATAGTATAAACTATTCTCTATTAATCCTAATTAATTTATTATATAATTTATTAAGGGTTCTAATAATTTCTCTACTACGTAGAAGTTCTTCTTATAGAGGTTTCTTAAGACCTTATTTATATATTATTATTAGTAACTTATTATCCTAGTTAAGTTATATAGCGTTCTTACAGAACTCTACTATATACTTAGCTACTAATTATTATTATATTATAGTTTAAATATTTCGTGCTATAATAGGTACCTTATTAGTAATTCTAAATATCTATTTAAGGTATTTCTTAAAATTAGTATAGTCTTTAATAATATTAACTATATCTATATAGTTATCTATATATTCCTTATCTTTGTTATTATGGTCTATTTTTAGATACTTAGTTATATAGGGTTAAATCTATTCTCTAGTATTACCTTATATATATATAACTATAAAGATAACTTTTTATTTATCCTTAGGTTATTTATTAAGTTTAAAGAAATAGAGGTCTAACTAAAGAAGCTAGATATTAGTATACTTTCTATTACTATAATATAAATTAGGTTTATATACTTTACTCTTAGAGTTACCTATTAGAGTAATAGTAATATTATCTAAAGCCGTAGAAGAAGTAGGAGTTCTTATAGTTATATTAAGGGTATTTAAGATATTAAGTCTAGAAAGGGTAGCTAGTTCTAAATAGGTTAAGGTTAGTTCTTAGGTAAGACTTACTAAGGGAAGGAAGAAGGGGTTCTTATTAATATAGAAGTATCTTATAAAGTATAATAAGTTAATAAGGAAGGCCTAAGTAAATCTAAATAATAGATTAAAACTTAGGTTAAATATAAGTATAAAGGTTTATTCTTATATTTTTATATAGGAATCTTACTTAGTTACTTAGGAGCCCTAAATAACTAAGTAGGTTATATAATAGCTCTTAGCTACTTAGTTATTTAGGAACCCTAAGTAGCTAAGTAAGTTATATAACTACTATTTAAGCAACTTAGCGTATCTTTATTTTATTATAACCCTAGTTATTATATCTTCTACCTTTATAAGCGCCTAAACTTCCCCACCGTTATCTAGTTCGTAATAGGGGGTAAGAAAATATTCTAACCTTACTTATAGAAAGTAAGATAATAATTATATAAGAAGACTAATAGATCTTATATAGAAGATATACTTTAATTTTAACTATAGAAGTTAACTATAAAGAATAGGAAAAATACTAAAGTTTCTTTAGACTATATACTTATTATAAGGGGTTTTTACGTACCTAACCTAGGTCGGACCTTATGGGTATTTAGTGGACGAGAGTAGATAAATAATAATAAGGTAAGAGAATATCCTAGTCTTACTATAAAAGGTAAGGTAATAATTATATAAGAAGACTAATAGATTTTAGTATATAAGATATACTCTAATTTTAACTATAGAATTTTAACTATAAAGAATAGGAAAGATTCTAAAGTCCCTTTAGACTATATACTATTCTTTATTATCTAGGAGATCCTACCTAGACTCTAAAGTCCTAGGACCTCCTAAGGTCCCTAGGGCCTTTAAGGTCCCTAGGGTCTCCTACTTATACTAGACCTTATTATATAATAGATAATATAAGCTACCTATCTAGCTAGCCTATAGGGCTTAATCTAGCTTACCTCTACTATTAATATCCTAAGTGTAATCCTCCCCACTCGCCTTGTTTGGTCCTACTGTAATCGTAATAATACTATTCTTTATTATCTAAGAGATTCTACTTAGACTCTAAGGTCCTAGAACCTCCTAAGGTCCCTTAGGTCTCTAAGGTCCCTAGGGTCTCTTACTTATACTAGACCTTATTATATAATAAATAATATAAGCTACCTATTTAGCTAGCCTATAGGGCTTAATCTAGCTTACCTCTATTACTAATATCCTAAGTGCTATTCTCCCCACTCGCCTTGCTTGGTTCTGCCGTGATCGTAACAATTGACTAGAGCGTGAACAGGCCCCAGATGGAACACAACGAGAAATGCCAGAAAATTTTGACCAACGCACCCTTGCACATATACATCTTCAATAGCAATACGATCCCCGACCATAGTACACTCCCTTACCCGACTCAATGTTTACCACGTAAGCACACTCAATAATCTGCGTCAAGCGTTGAGTCAACTTCAGTATGATAGGCTATATGTAATATAAGATACATGCTTAGATGTTAAGAAACTCACTATGATGCCGAAGCACGAACAACATGGATATATACAAATAGTACAACAAGGGAAAAGCCTGGGGTATCTGTAAAGAGAAGCATAACGCCGTGACCACATGAATGCATGTCGTTTCCGCCCCCAGCCGCGTGCGTTGCCACGTGTGCTGCACGTCATCCCCGCTACGCGCACAGGCGGTCCGTGTGAGGCGTCTTGCAAGTGCTTGCGACTTGCGCGCTGAAATTCAAGGAGACGAAGCAGGTCGCTATGAAGTTCGAAGGCTGTTTCGGAGGAACTGAGCCTACTCAGACTGTTGTGTGCGAGCGCCGTGGGAAGTTCTTCCGTGGACTCGTCGGCGGATGGTGGCCCTCGACGTCGCGCTGCGCATTGGCGTACAACTCAAGTACGTCCACGTCCTGTGCGTCGTTCGGATCGGACTCATCGTACCACGTATTCAGGTCCGCGGGCTGGTATTGCTTCTTCGGCTGGTGTGCAGCGTCGAGCGACTGCACCGACGAAGGGCCCGAGTCGTCGTCGAATGCGCTGCGCACCATGCTCAAGGGATCGCGATACTGCTCGCCTTGCTGGAAAAAGGACTGGTCGGGTCCAGAAGCAGGTTCTTTTTGTTTTCCAGCGTGGCCGTTTTGGAATGGGAATTGAAAGCCCGCAGAGCCTTCGCCACTGTCGTGCGGATCATGGTCGTCTGAGCTGGTTCCCATGTCGGAGAGGTTACGGTTGTTCTCTTTTGCTTCGCGCTCGGCCTTCTCCCAGGTCTGGACGAGGTTGTTGTCGTTGCGAGTTCGGCGATCGCTGTTGTCCGCGGAGTAGCTTCCCAAACGACTTATTTTGAACGCTCTTAACCGGTCAAGCGCCATCTTGAAATCGTCCAGAATGACTGAATCGGTAAGACATTTGAAAACGAAGGCGAGCTTCCAGAACGGGTTGATGCCGGTATCAGCGTTGCCTGCGAGTTTGATAGCGCCTGTAACGGCGCACACGTCACAGATGACAAAGCTAATACTTATGATCATCGAGGCAAGCATGATACCGAAGCGTGGTGAGATCCGGATGATATCTCTAATGGTCATAGCGTAGTGTGTCTTGATAATCGTGAACAGGTAGATTGTCGTGATGATCCACCAGGGATCTCGAAAGAGGAGTTCAAGTGGACGTGACTTTTTGAACCAGTTGCTGTGTCCGTTGAAGTATGAGAAGTTCGCATAGATTTCGATGACCCAGTAGGGAAATGAGAGTAAACAGGTGTATAGGAAAACCAGGCTCCAGAAGCGGGAAAGGAAGGGCTTGATCTTCATCCACGAGATGATGTTGTGTAGGAACCATGATAAGTTCAGCGGAATGGCTGCGACTGACAGCCACCAGCTGCTAGCTTTCCCACCAGGGAACAGCCAGAAGCCTTGCCATATTCCCAGAAGTAGCTGCGAGAAAGTCAGTGGTCGTTCGAAAAGGTGACAACAGGCTTGTAGTACCTCTATGAGAATCATCTGGACACTTAGTCAGCGGGGATCCTGTCTTGGCGTGAAATCTTCTACTTACTTTGTGTAAAAGCACGCCTCTGCGCATGTTGGCAAGGGTGATGAAGATCATGATGACAAGCGATCCCACAAGATAGCCCTGCGACCAGGCCTCGATGATGAGGCCCTCGGAGCTCTTGGGCATGGGCCGGTGATCTGCGATGTTTGCATCGGCATCTCGAGGGATTCGAATTATCGGCATGATGTGCTCAAGTGCCGGCCTCTTGGAGGCCGAGGTAGCTAGCGTGGCGTAGCGTGATGTGATTTTAAAAGCATGTTTTTGCTCACAACACTGGGCTCGAAGTGAAGGGAATGTCGACGAAGGACTGGCGGCGGCAGGGTGTTTATGGGAAGGAACAGGTGATGTGCGCGAGAGTGCGGAGGACGAACGGGTGACAAGCTAGGCGCCCTCTTTTTCCGCGGTCGACTCCGCAATTTCATGGCGAGGCGTTCAGTGACGATGTGTTCGCCGCCGAGCGACGACTCACAAGCCGCAAAAGTAGCCACACTTTGCCTCTTGTGGGCTGGCCTTTGGGCGTTAGTCGCGTCCCAGCCGTTAGTCCCGACATCGCCTCTCGGCAAACCGCGCCTCCTCCACCAGCAAAAAGCTCGCAAAGCCGCCAACAAAGCGTTGCGCAATTCAGATCACCGTGCGGATGAGTGGACCCTTTGAGCAGTTGCAGTCGTGGGAGGCATATCGTCGTTCGTTGTTCGCACGTCTCCATCAGTACCTGCGCGCTGCCCTGACACGAGCTTCTGCCCGCGTGGCCCACCGTGACACCGGGAGGACGACGTTCGCTGCGCTTGGCTGAAAGAGGCCATGGATGTGAGTTCCTGGCGCACATCAGGCACTGCTGACTGGGTCGGAGTCGGGTCCTGCCATCCCTGTGTTCGGTAGCTCCCTCAGCTCTTTGGTCCATGCCGCCCGCTCGGGTCCGGGGTATAGGACGTGGAACGCATATCGGCGCGTTATCTCGTGCTTCAGCTTGCACAGCATACAGTGGGGCGCGTGAGCTTCTGTGCCGCTACAAGCACTTACGAGCGTAGAGTAGCTCGTGCTCTATAGAGCACATTCCACAAGGGGAATACGGTGAGCTACCTCAGGTGTGATTGCGTGCGTGTCTCACTATTCAGCCATGCGACTTCATCCCTCGCGCTGACTGCAGCTGTGTGCACACCTCAGCTTTGATGTACAGTCGAAGCACACTTCGTTCTGCGCCTGCTAGGCGACACTTTGCTGCCTGAACGCCCGTATTACATGTTGGAAAATCAGGGCTCCCAACAAATCAAGCACATTTGAACAAATCACACTCAAACGCCGTCCCCGCAGGCAACCAGGCAATCCTTATTCTGTGCCAGACAGTATGATCTTCGCCAATCCGCCTCTCAGCATCTCTTGTAGCCAATTGGGCCATCCTCGAATCAGCGTGGTCCGGTTGGTGCCCTTCGGCAAGTACAATTGCCCTCCGGAGCATCCCAATATCTGCTCAGCTATAGCACTGGCTACTTCGCTAGGCTCCAAGATGGTCTTCCCGATGGCGTTCAGCTTCGGGACGTATGGCTCAAGCAAAGGTGTCCGAACGAAGTCGGGATGAACTGAAGTGAACAGAATGTTCGGGGCCTTGTGCTTGTGCCTGACCTCTTGAACAAGTCCTGCGTGCCTGTGAGTGATAGCTTCAAGATATATCAAGACCAAGTATATTCACCTTCGTGTAGGCAAAGTACAGCTGCTTTGGTCGCGCAATAATCTACCATCCCGGCGACGCTCCAGTATGACGCTAGGCTGGCCACTGTGACGACGTGGCCTTTGTTACTCTTGATCATATCCGGAAGGAACGCTTGAATCGTATACCAGTTGCTGAGCAGGTTGACATCGAAGATCTTGCGCAGATACTCGGGCGATGTCTTGAGAATCGTATGAGGCTGCGTGATGCCAGCATTATTCACCAAGATTGAGGGCGGCCCCATCGTGGCCCTGATTTTCTCAGCAGTGCTGGAAACCGCTTCAGGGTCCGAGATATCGCAGGCAAAGAACTTGATGCTGGCATAGCCCTGAAGTGCCGGCGGAAGCTGTTGGACATCCAGGATCGCGACCTTGACGCCTTTGAGGATCAATCGCTTGACCGTCAGGAGCCCAATACCACTGCAGCCTCCAGTCACGACTGCAACTTCTTCATTCCAGTTCCATCTCTTCCTCTCGTTGTTGATTCTGTACGCGTTGAGCGCCAGCTGATTGAGCTTCTTGTTGACGGTCTTGATCACGCCCAGCGCGAGCAACCATCGAAGAAGCTTGGTGACGCGTGCGAGTGTTTTTGGGTCGCATAGCGCGGAGACAGAGTTGATTAGGCGGTTGTGCACATTCGCTGGTCCCCTAGTCAGCGCCCACAGGAGAGCTCCAGCGAAAACAGGGTTGAGCGCGACATGTGAAACGGACAACGACACGAGATTCGAAAGTCCCTGACGAGCAGACATGGCAGAGTAATCCGTGTCAGGCAGGCTTGAGGAGCAGGCTCGTCGCGATTAAGAGTACTGGGCGACATGCTCCTTTATATGTGCAGCGCGGATCCGAGATAGTTCAAGAGGGGTCACCGGGGTCCACGAGGAGGGGATGTGATGAGACCCTGTCCGCTTTGTAGTGCCTCGGCAATGGGTTCCTGCCATTGATTGCCGGATCATCGTATTCTGCAAGCCTTGTCGTTGTACCTGTAGCCTTATAGTGCATGTTTAGTAACATATACCCGAAGAAGTAATTGGTATCGGCCAAAACGTGCCTGCCCCACAGATCTGTTCCCTTCTGGTGGAATGCTAACCAAAAGGAGCTAGCGTGTGCCGCGATCTGGGGAACCCACGACCATGGCTTTGACAAAAAATGCTTTTTCCACAACGTGGATCTCCAACAAGTGTCACTAATTCAAAATAGATGAGTTGAGCCAGCACACTACTTACAAGCATTGCATGTTTTAGGCCGCTATCAAGGCATGCAGTAAGCGCGAGATAAGATACAAGGAAGGACTGATGCAAACTGCAAAACCATCACGAAGAAGAAGAAACCTCATTTGGTGACAAGATATCTCAAAATTCCTCCGAAGATTCAGTGTCCTGTGTGAACACTTGTGTCAAAAATAGCATTTCGTTGTTAAGCTTTTTCTCTTCCTTACCCTTCAATCTTGGTATAACATAATGCCATTTTATTCCCACCATGGGGCCCTCCCACACATTAATGCATATAAATTGCCTGCTTCTTGTGAATCCATAGAATATTCTAAATCTGCTTTAACGCACTTCCACTGGACTTTCGAAGACAGCTTTCACCACTACCACCACAACCACAGCAAGCATATACACCACACTACCAAGCAAACCGCCACCACAGGACGCACATATCAACAGTCAAGCTTACCAAAGCCCGTTCAAATCCTCATCCCTCCCATCACCAACCCACAACAATGTCCTCCACGCAAACTCCCACCCGTTCCTCCTTCATCAACAACCTCTACCAGCACACCACCCTCAACTTCCCAGCCTCAGATCCAAACTGCTCAATTTGCCTCGATCCCTACCCCACATCTCTGGTAGTTTGGAACGCCGACGGCACCTTGTTGCACGGCCCTCAACACATCGCCACGAAGATGCCCTGCGGCCACTTCTTCGGCTTTGCCTGTATCTGGAAGTGGTTGAATGAGTTGAGCTCGACGTGTCCCATGTGTCGGGCGAGCTTCTTTGAGGTAAAGGAGGTGGAGGCAGTTCCTGAACTGGTGGTGGAGTATGTTGGGTATGTTGAGACGGTTCAGATGCGCCGACAGGTCGTCGAGTTCCAGTATGTGGAGACAGTCAGGGAGCGGAGAACAGAGGTTGAGACGGTTGATGTGCGTCAGCAGGTTAGGGCGCTGAGAACGGAGGTTGAGACGGTTGAGTTGCGCCAGCAGCTCAGGGAGTGGAGTCTGGCTCTGGTTGGGGAGGAGAGTGTTGAGGAGGCTGCGGAGACAAGAGAGGAGGGCATTGTGTGGTCATCTGATGAGGATGATAGCGAGAGCGAGAGCGAGAGTGAAGGCGAGTATGAAGGTGTCCATGAAGTTATAAGGGGTGACTGGTTGGTAGGTCGAGATCTACGGGCCCGATGAGGAAGAGGGTATTCGCGAGTTTCCGCTCTTGATCTCGATCAACTGGAATATGGTGACAAGAAAGACAAAAAAGGCGTACTGTTGCATGACTAATCTCCTCTACATCAACACGACTCTTCGATATTCCAAGGTACCTTTCCATTTCGGAACGCATTTGCGAAGTTTCTGGCGTTTAGCAAGTGCTACCACAACCCGAAGATATGGTTACCGTTGGCTTTGGGTCCCACCGATCCACGATCTCACTACCGCGAAGATACCCGAGGTGCATTAATGGCTTTCAAATTTTCCGGCGATTTGGCACAGATCGATTGCACTTGTTAGCGTCAAGGGTCTCGAGGTATACTAGGCTACATTTTAGGAACAAAGGATCCCGAAACCTCGGTCAACCATTGTTACCGTTGGCACGGCACCGGTTAGGTCCCGCGATAGTCCTGCTTGCCTTCCCTAGAGGATGCTGTTATTCCTGGCATAGCTTCCGGCCACATTGGCACGAATATCTTCGGAGGTAACCTGTATTTGGTGCATGGCTCGGCATTGACGGCAATTTTCCAGGTTCGCTTCCGTCGGTGTTAGGGGAGTCGTGTGATACCAATCTATATTTTACCATCAACCATTTGATGTCATTTTCGAGGGCGCGAACATGGCACCTGTTGGTGTGAGGGGCCCTGAGTCCTGTCTGGCTAAATGATCACATTTCGTTTCTTCTACACGGTCTCAGCAGTGATTCATCAAATGACATTCTATCTACTTCGCCGTACATGATGTATGTGACTGCGAGCTCAGCTCAGCTCCATAACGCGGGTATCTACAAACACTCTGACGAAAGACCATCCCTGCACCAAGTCCCTGGTAAGGGCAATATATACAGCAAAGCAAAGACGTAACATCGTTAATGGTTCTCGTTGATCAAGCAGGCAGCTCAGCAAGATGCTTGTCGCGATCATCCCGCAGATTTCGCGGCAACGTCGGTGAATCCTGCATATGTGCGGGTAGCTCGACAGCTGGCGGGGGTTGGAGATATTCGGAAGACCGCGGTGGTTGGTACGCGTGATACTGCGAGTCGCGGTTGTTATTCGTGTGCGGGTTGTATACCGTGGAAGGTAGATAGGATAGACTTGGCAAAGTTTGCGCCTGCTGTGGCGGCTGCCCTGGGCTTCTTTGCTGGCCGACGCCGGATTGAAAGCTTGTTCTGTAATTGCTGTCTTGCGAATGCGAGTGCGAGTGACCGGGCGCCCACTGCGACGGCGGGCTCGCGAGCGACATGCGCTGGTCCCGATATGGCTCGTACGACTCGGCCTGCGACTGCGACTGCGACTGCGACTGCAAATGTTGGGGCGACTGCTGGTACTGATGTTGCTGCGGAGATTTCTGTGGGAATTCGCTCTGGCTCGTCAATGTGCTCGCCTGCGACAGCCCCGGACTACTTCTTGCACTCCCGTCCGAGATTACGCTTTCTCGTGGCTGTGGCAGCGGCTTATCCTCATAATTGTAGCGTTGCTGTTTGTCTCCATATCCTGGTGGAGGCGCGATATATATGCTTCCGTGGCCCATGCGCTCGCCCGGTGCTACATTCTTCAACGCGTTCAATCGTTCGTTCGCCTGCCGGCTTTCCAGCACATGAGCCTTCTCTACCAGTCGGTCCACCATGGTGGAATGGCTGTCTTTGAATGTCTTCTTCACAAAGCTCATCATCATTATATTGCACTTCATGCGCACGTCTTCGCGGATGTAGAGGCCTTCGCGTGGGGCACCGATGCCGAGTTCGACAGGACCTTTCGGCTCGCCTGGTAGACAACCACCCACGGTCCATTTCGCGCGGATATCGAGGCCAAGAGGCGCATAGACATGTGTTTGTAGGCCATCGGGGAGGTCGTGGAAGCAAGCGTGGTAGGAAACGGAAGAGGAAGCGAGACCGCCCGGAAGGTAGTTGACTTTGTCTGGGTCTCGGTCAGTATACGTCCAATCACCGTAAGCGCAAGCGAGGGAAGGCAATCCTACCTTTGATCGTGTACCATATAGCATAGTATTCCTCTGCCGGCGCATAGCTTGGAGGTTTGCAGTTGAACCGATCGATGACAAGCGGATTCAGCTCGATCATCTCGGTATGGGCGTGGTACATATCAATGACGCTCTGTCTCGTGATGCCCGCCGGCAGCGGGGTACACGTCGTGAAGACCGACGTCTTCGACATATTGTGTGCTGTGTATACGCAATCCACTCAATTCAACACGCTGTCCTACCAAAGATAGGTCAGTGTAGCGCAGTTGCCAGTTGTAGCGCGTTTCAACAAAGGGCGCTCTTCGTGCAACTCGATGGAAGGAGAAGTTGAGGACACGCAAGGTAGGGAAAGCCGGTACAAGAGAAGAGGAAGCGCGGGCTGGTGGCTGTTTCAAAGGTATGGTGTGGTCGACGATGCTCACGCGGTTGCTCCGCCGAGAGTCCCGCTTCGCGCTGCCTCACCACAAGGCCCCTGCATCGAGACCAACCCTATTTTCCAACTAGACCCTCTTCGCGTGTGTGCTCCGAACTGGGGCTTCCGTGTTCTCGAAATAAGAGTTTACAAATGGCCGCATAGCCAGAAGTGGTCCAGCCCAGTCGGAAACTCGTCATTCCGTGCGGCGCCGGCGACGACGATGAATGGCCGCAGCAACGACGAATGCGCAAAGTGGCGCATTCAGTGAGCCAAGCTATTTTCGGAACATGGTGTGGGGTAAGAGCTAGCCTAAACAGACATCGCGCGTGGGCTGTTTCACGTCGGAGGCTCAGATTTGCCTGTAGTTGACCTTTAGGTACATGGCTATGCGCTACAAGCAGTGGCCGCAGATGAAAGACCCTTTGTCTTCAGTCGCGATGTTCTTCAACAACCGAATGCTCGGTCTAAACACGACCAAAACCGCCGAAGCATGACCAACAAAGGCCTTATCGGAAGTCTCCTACGCGGAATATCAGGCATCACAAGTCTCTCCACAGTTTCATCGCCCAAGGCCGCGTCAGGCATCACATAGCTATCACATTGGCAAGTCGCAGAAGTAGATTATGAGCGGGAACACAGTCCATTACGATTCGTATTACGGACTATAGACGTCTTGAAAGTATATGCTCGACTCAAGAGAAAAAAGAATGTGACAAGAACGCCCGATTAAGCTCCTCGCCATATCCCGGCTGAAGCCATTCCATCCCAACACCAAGCGTGAACAACACCGCTTTCGTGACCCAGAACTCCCCTTTGCGTGACCATGAGTGAGCTCCAGTCTCGACGGCCAGCCGCATCTTTCCATCGTGACAACCGCATGACATACATGGCATCCACCCTCTTCTGCCTCTCTCCTCTAGACACCCTGGTGCATCTCCACCTTCGGCTCCTTCAGCATCGGCGCAACCTGCTCTCTCCTAAAGCACATCACCGCGCTCAACACCACACTCCCCATCCACACCAACCAGTTCACCGCGCTCAGCGCCGTCCCCGCCTTCGCAATATCGCACACAGTACCAAAGCAAATGCGGTCCCTCAGGAAAACCGCCAGCGCAATGAAGCCGCCGAACCAGTATAGCATGGTCAAGATCTCGAGGCCGAGCAGTCCGAACTTGCCGGCTTTGGAGGAGGCGAAGGAGGAGAATTTCATGGGGACGACGACGAGAGGGACGAGCGCGAGGATGGACCAGACGGGCGAGAAAACCATAAAGTTTACCTCGACAGGGGACATGGCGCGCCAGTGGGAGGTCCACCATGAGGCGACTGTGTACTGTTAGTCTGGACAAGTCTGGTAAAGAGGAATGAGAGCCACGTACCATAAGCCATGAGGCCGAGAACGACGACAGAGAGAAGTGCCTGGACGCCTCGCGCGCCCAGAATTATTTTGCCCCAGTTGACCATTGTGCTTGTCTCCGTTCTTTCGCTCTTAGATTCAGGTTATCGTTATCTTCGTGGTTGTAGTAACGCAACCTGTTCGTATCGCGTATTCGAATATTCCAGTCGTCTCCAGTAATGTTATCCGTAAAGAGTGAACGCGAACTCAGTCAACAAGCCCACAAAGAAACTTTCTTGCTTCCAAAGGAGTGTCGAGAAAATACAGTACAGGATAGCGAAACAGTCTTCCCAAGGCAAGCAAAAGCGCACACCCTACATAATAAGACCTCCCAAGCCAATGCACCCAGCGTCCCTGCAACGTCCTAATTCTCCCAAAATAGCCGCACAACTGAGAATCCACGCGTGCACCGACGGGAAAAGTCACGACTTCCATGCGGTGGACCGACCTGGGGTCATGTAACTGGCCCTACCCACGTTCGCGTTTCAACCTCAGACGTACGACAGGGTTGCGCATTAGCCGCTAAGAGCCGGTGATTGGTCGCGAGACTAAATCTGCGGCGAGCCTGTTGCAGGGCTGGTACTGCAATCTGTAACAGAGGGCAAAAGCAACGCAAGTCTTTGCGCGCGGGCGAACAGTTTGCGAGCAAGCGGTGCAAGATGAAGGGGAGTGGTCGAACAGACCCCCGCCCTATGGTATCGATAGATCACCATGGGGCCGCGGATCCTTGCGAGCATGCTCCTTCACCGTCATAGGAGGCGGGGATCCGACATCAAATGTTCACGGTCATTGATAGGTTGCACGAGGGTAGTGACTGAAAATCTAATGAACTACAGAATGCCTTGATCGCTTTTGATATCATACACATACAAGCAACCCCAGAGATCGCGGTGGATATAGGATGCCGATATGCCCAAAATCCACCTCTTAAAGCTTGATTGCATGAACCTGATTCCATGGAGACCCGTATCCATTATATGACCCGGGTCTCCTCCATGATAAAGCCAGCACGCTAAAACACCAAGCGAGCATTCCAGCATCGCAAGACGCTGGCGCACCTTCCGTATATCATCAGGGAGTCGAGCCAGAAGAATATCCATCAGGTCTATGAATACCACCGGTTTGAGTACGAGGAAAAAGAAAACTAAAGGAAAAGAGTGCACTCCAACGATGGTATTCCACACCATTGAGCCCTTGATCCGCCTGACCTCATCTATTCGCCGGTATCCTTATGCGCCGTTCGCAAACCAAACCAAGAAAGTCGAGGCTTCCAGGAAACGCAACGAGACCAAACGTGGAAGGTAATGTACATTAGATCCAAAGCTTTGGATATTGCGACAGGATGTAGTTACACATAGTACATCGCGTTTTCAGCATCGTACCATGCTTGGAGCCGCTGACTTCGAGCAGTAGACCAGGTGACGCTTAAGCACGGGACACGTAAGAGCCGACGTGGGAGCTGGGATAGCTGGGTCTAGGGGCAAGATCGTTTACGCGCTTGACCAAAGAGGCGATGCGACGGAGGGAACCGTCCCCAGGAGAGTTCTCGTTCAGACGCATGTAGGCGTGAGTGAGGCGCTCCTTGATAACCTCCATGATCTTGGGGACGACATCATGGACCTCGGGATCCTGCGAGCAAGATTAGCTTTGTGAAAGGCTACAGAGCACTGATACTTACATTGGGGTCAATGTTCCTGAGCACAGTATCAAGCCAGACAAGTCGCTCTACGAGGTTCTCTTGAAGCGAAGTTGTGACCACGGCACCAGTCGAGAGAATCAGTAGCGGCGAGATCTGCCCAAGGTAACCCGGGTTGCACTTGATGAACACAGTATCGAACAAATCGTTGGAGTTAGGAGACTGCACCCATTGCATCGTGGCCTGCTCATACTTCTGCCCGTTGAGAAGATCAAAAATCTCCTGGGCCTCAACCTCCTCTGGTGTTCTCTGCTTGGCTGCTGGAGGAGCAACGGGAGCCTGCTGCGGGGTTTGCGAGAGGTGCTGCTGCAGCTTGTTGACTTGAGCCTGAAGTTCAGCCTGGGAAGCTGCCATTGCCTGAATCGTTTGAAGGCAGGTCTGTACAGTCTCGGTAAGCTGGTTGATCTTGGCAAGGTCGTTGCGTTGCTGAATCTGCGCATGCCGAAGCTGATCGTTGAGTTTATTCTCGACGGCATTTGTCACATTCGCGAGGGCCGGGGTGATCACGGCACCAACACCAGCAGTGACCGTCTGCTCGAGGCTGATGGCGACCTTCTTTGAAACCTGTTCGGAGAGTGATTGGAATATCTGCGGGCTCTTCAAAGTTCGCGAGACCGCTTCGGGGATCTCCTTGTACAGTTGGGGACCAAGATGAGCCTTGACCGTATTGCCCAAGTTCTTCTCGAGAGTGGAGGATGTCTGCGTTAGCAAGCTGGGCAACAGTACTTCGCGCATGTTCTGATCCACCATCTTGCGGATTACGCCCTCAACATTTTCGGACAATGTGCTCGAAACCAGGCGCAGAAGTGCTTCCTGATTAGCGCCATTCTGTGCTTTGGCGGCGCGCCTTTCATCGTCGAGGCGCTTGGACACAGAGTCTGTGTACTGAGAAAGGCTCTTGCTGATCTCTGCCTGAACTGCCTCTTCAAGCTTCTTCGAGTCAAATGTAGCGGCAGGCGACTGTTGCGGCAGCTGGCCGACCAACTTCTTGGCCCATTCAGGAATCTCAGCATCAGAAGCCTTCAGGGAGCTAGGCTCAGCCGACTCGGGAGCAGCTGGCGACTTCGTCCGCGGGGTGCTCTGGGCGGCTTGGGCGTATGAGGGAGGTGGAGGCATCCGGGAAGACGTGGACACTTGCGACGCCGACTCAGCAGTTGAACGCTTCTTCTTTTTCTTCTCCGACTTTTCGCTGCCGTTGATGATGGCGGCACGAGCGGCATCCTGCTTGCTCTCGACCTTGGCTAGAGTGGATGCACGCATCGCAGCTTCGGGAGTCATAGATTGCCGGGAAGCAGCGTTGCTCTCCTTCTTGATGGCCTCACGTGCAGATCGATCGGACACAGACTTCGGACCTGGCGTATCACCGCTGGTGACCGAGTCGTCCACGGGAGGTGCTGCTGGCTTCAACGGAGCAATGCTGATTACGCCCTCCTCTTGCGCTTCCTTGGGATGCATAGGCTCGCCCTCCTTCTTCCAGCCTAGGTCGCTTCGCCGGATGCGCAGAGTGCAAACACCCTTAGAATGCATCACATAAAGCTCGAACAAAGCAGTGTTGTCCGGATCATCAACGTCAGCTGGTCCAGCAGGCTCATTGAGCATGTGGATGCTACGGATCTGACCCTTCGAAGAAAACGAGTACTCAGTAATGCTGGTCATGATGGCCGTCGCATTGACCGGAGGAAGTTGTTGACTCCTGTCACTGCTCTTATCCACGATTCGTGAAATGTACGTGGCTTGGTTCATAACAGGCAGATTGTAGCGCGGGCACGATACATGAACGAAGAAGATAGAGTTGCGCGTGGGGTGAGCAACAGCCATGATGCCAGTCTTCGGGTGGAAGCCAACACTGCAGATTGCGTCGGACTCCTTCTCATGGGGGAGGTTGATCTCTTGAACAGCCTTGCCCAATCCCAGGTCCCACAACTGGAACGCGTGATTTTGCTTCATGCCGACCATCACATATCGCAAAGCAATCCCCTTGTTAAAAGGCTTGTCCTTGTCGAAAAAGAAAACTGAGGTCGGCCATGACTTGGCGTTTGCTGACGTGGTGTGAAATTCAAGCATAGTCTCGGAGACTTCGACTGATTTCGCATGTTCTGGTGTCGCGACCACAGGGTCGATCAGGGGCCGGATATCCCAGAAACGCATGCGCCCGGCCTTGTCCAGAGAAACGATAACAGTATCATCCTCACTGAAAGTGAAGTCCTTTCCGGCCTTGCCAGTCAGTATCTTGAGCGAGCGCTCTTTATAATATTTCTCGGTGTGAACAATGCGTGAGTTGCTACGCAGGAATTCATTGGCCACACGAGGCCAGATGATGTGAATGGCCTTGCCACGGCCGATGGCAAAGAATTCGGGATGACGAGATGACGGCTTCGCACGAGTCTTCAACTGGCCACCAGATGTGTTATCATCTTGGGAAGGCGAAGGCGGAAGGACAAGGCCGGTCTTGTCCAATTCGTCGAATTCGCTGTCGCGTAGAGGGTCCACGGAGGCCCAGAAAACGGTGCCATTTACTCCGATGCCAAGGACACTCTCAACAGATTGTAGAGATGAATCATCACCTCCAACGCAAAGCGCGACATTGAAGAGACGCTCCTGGTGATGCTCGAAAACCTGACGATAGTTGCCGTTCTCCTGGCGAATGATGCGGAAGCCGCCCTTCTTGACAATGGCATATACGATGAAGTTCTTGCTCGCTGTGACCAGGGAGCGATCGATCTGGTCGAACTCCTTCTTGAGCCTAGCAACGTCCATAACGAGATCTGGCGAGAAGAGCACACGAGGCTTATGCAAGTCCTGAACAGTGATGGACGCGAACGCGCGCATAGGGAACCGATAGACTATTACCGTCTGATCTTCCTCCTTTGCCGGGCTGTCCTCAGCACTCTCCCAGCTGTCAGCAACATCGCCTTGGGCGATATCGTTCGCAACTTGCTTCAAGGACGCAGCGATGGGCTTCGAGACCTCTTTCTCAAGTGCCTTGAAGTTGGCGTCATCTTCCAGCTCCTTCTTGATCTCCGACGCAGTCTCGACGAGAGCTTCTTCAATCTCCTCGACTTCCTCAGCCGGCATACGAGCGAGCTCCTTCGCAGCCTCTGCCTCGAGCGTCTGCTCGATCTCCTTACCAACCTGCTCACCCAACTCACTGACAGCCTCGGCGACAGTCTCGTGAGGTGCATCGCCTGGTGACAACTTCCGATATTTGTGTTGCGATGAAGGTCTCTCCTCGCCACTGGTGGACGCAGATCCATCTAAGCCATGCTTGTGCTTCAGTATCTCCATCTTTGGGGTGGGCGTAGGGGCCTTCGAGGTCTCGGGGGCTGGTGTCCTGTTTCGGGGACTTGCGGCTTCCAGTTGTTCGAACGGGTTGCGATACGTGAATCGCGGGGCGTCGTTAGATCGAGCGGGTTCTGGTTCGAATTGCGACTGCTCTGGTCCCTCAGACCCAAAGACTCTCATCGGAGAGGCAACGGACGAGACCACAGTCGGATCTACGGGCAGGTTCTCAAGAGTTGCAACTGCGGCGGCCAAATCTCGAGCCACGTCGCTGACAGCCGTTTCTGGCTGCGGTGCGACAGGCGGAGGAGAGAAAGCTGCAGCTGAAGCTCGCGGAGAGTGAGTGTCGCTCTGAGCAGGCTTCGGGTTCAACAAGCGCATGAGCAGGTCTTGTTGGTTCTGATTCTGGCTCGAAACGGGTGCTGGCTCGAGTCGAGCAGCGAGCGGTGCCGCGCTGGCGGGTGCCTGCGTCGACTTGCCGCCCGTGAAGCCTGCAACCAAATCAGACGCAGAGACAGCGCGGCCGTGGACGGGCGCGGTGTCCAAAGATTGCGTGTTCTGCGACGGGCGCCTCGCTTGCGCAACGCTGGGCTGCGAATTGAAGCGCAGCAGGTTCAGCAGCTGCGTCGACTGTTGTTGTGGAGTCTGCTGCAATACGCCGGCCTGTTCAGGACCTGGAGTATTCGCCGCTGACGAATTGGGCGACATGATCGCGGATTGATGATGCGGATGCGGTCCGCTGGGCGAAGGCGAAAAGATAGGTGACGAGACGCTGGGTTGCTGGTAACCGTGTGGCGGTTGTTGGTTACTAGCTGCGCCCTGGCCGTGAAGCAGGGCAAGCAGGTCCTGCAGGTCCGCCATAGTGAAAGAAAAAAGAAAGGGCCTAGATGATTGTTAGAAAGGTGAAGGTGAGAGGCGTTGGTATGTGAGAGAGCTGTGCTGTGCTGGCGATGACGCTGCTATGCGAGCCCAAAATTCGCGTGTGGCAGCGCCCGCCCAGCCTCGAGAATTGCGTGTCACTTACCAGGTGCAGGGCTACTCTACGGTCGTGAGCCAACGGACAGGCTGGGAGTAGAGTAGAGACGCTGGAAGCTCGCCTGCGAATGAATTGGCAACGAGGAGAAGCTTCGCCGGAGTTGGCGCGTCTTCAAACAGCGGGCCGTCGTTAGCCTAGATGCGGGAAGGTGCGACCTCACCTGGGCGTGAAGTGCTGCACGTGATGCTACTGTCCCGCGCTTCAACCTTCGACCTTGCGTGCGAATTTAACTTGAGATAGCACTCACTACTTGAATTGCGCGATCTTCTTGCACGGTAAAGCGCTTCCACTCGGGTGGCGAAGCATACTTAAGTGATTCTTCATTCTTACGGATACATAACGTACACTTTAGACCATGCAAGACTAAGATGAACAGTAGACGAGGACTCTGACGGTTTATTTGATTTCTTACACTGATGCATGTACGCTTTCTCGTTCATAGCGAGCAATCTCCCTGCCATCAAACCCGACACCAGCCACCACAACCGTGACAGCCTTCCCTCCAAAACCCTCCACAAAAGTCTTCGGCAGCACATGCTCCAGCGCGTATGCTCTACCCAGCTCTACGCCGTCTATTTGAATCGCAAAGTAAGAGAAAGGCCCAGTGATGTCACTGCATGGCATTCCAGAGGTCGCAAATGCGGATCCGTTGTCCTCACCTCCATTGTCTAGGTATGTCCAACGAAGTCTCCAATGCGTATAGGCACCCTCGTCACGCTTTTCAATCTTTACATCGTGAATTGAATAGCTGTGTTCCAGGGGTAGGCAGCTACGAGGCACGATGCTAATTTCGTAGATCTCGAGTACTCGGCCTCTCGTCTCGGCCAGCGACTCTGGAAAAGCAGCGGAAGTTATCCGAACACCTAGCTCTTGTAATCGGACGTCCGAATGCGAATCGCAATCGACTTGAATTACTTCCTCGACTCTTTGAAATCCCGCAAAGTCTTCCAATCGTATGCATTTGATGCCGTCTGTGAATTTCAGGTAGATGCTCGTGACGGTCGGAGCGATGCCTGCCTGGGACAAACATGGGAAGTAGGCGCATGCTAACTTAAGCTGCAACGATCCGTCTGAGGGCATGTCCAGCTGAAAAAGGGCCAGGTCGCGGTCGTAGACTCGATCATTGTTCGCGAATTCCGGGTTGATACGTATAGCATCAAAACACAACAGGGTTCTGTCTCCAGTATATCGAAGTTGACTCGTTACCCTGTCAATAGGGGCTTGATCATGTGCCCATGCGTCTGAGCATGGGGTCTTCAAATGCGGTAATATGGATTGTGAGCCTAGCTGTGAGTGCAATGTCTTGTTGTGGTATAACCGCTGAGCTTCGTTCTCGTGATGAGTGGCAAATGCTCTGTTAAAGTCGGTGTAGAAAAACCGCTCGGAACCGGCAGGATAGCGTGTAGCACCTCGCACGATGGGTTGGCTTGAGTTAACCGGATGGCAGTAGTCGGCTCCACCCCTACATGAGCAGGTCATTTCAGTCCCAGAAGCTCGTCCCTCCCACATGGCACATTCGACAGTTTTGCCATATTGGGGAAAGTGCTCGAAAGACCACGCCGGAGCGAAAACACCTGCAGAGAGCCCTATTTCAGCGAGCTTGCTGACCGCTATTCCTGTGTTTGTTCCTCCACCTTTCACTTCCGGGTATGTAACCCGGGGTAGTCCAAAGTCTACGGTGTTTTGCGCCCACACATCGATACCGAAGTATACCTTTTCGACTGGGAGGCCAATTTCCAAGGCGACCTCTTTCGACGACAAGGCGTTGCCTTCGTTCCAAGAGTAATTGGTAAGTACAGCGCCGCAAGTAGCGGCAAAGGCGATATTTTTGTTATTCAACCCATTCTGATAAGCAACTTTGTTGTCGTTGGTAAGAGCATCGTACCTAACAGGGTCCTCAGTCGGGTGTGAAAGTCACTCACGCTCGCAAGGTGTACGAACCATATAATTTCTTTGGAAAGACCCATCAATTTTCTCAGTTGGCGGAGGAAAGCTCCCAAGTCGCCCAGGTCCAGGTCTTTTCGAGGGAATGGTTTTTCAATATTGATCAGCCAACCATCAAAGCTAGATGGACACCGTCAATTGCACATCTAGTATACACGGTGAGTGCGGGGTGAACGCGGACGCCCTTACTCAGTCGTCCTCAAGCGTATCCGGGTTTACCCTGCACCCACTGAGATGTAGAACACGACTCACCCGTAATGTCTAGCGATATCAGACAATCGATGCGCCAATGAAAAGTCTACCTCATTTCGTCCTTCATTGCTCTTCGTGGTATAGTGTAGCAGTCTCTCTGTGCCTTTGGTTTGGGGTTCAATAAGCAAAGTCCCAAATGCCTTGACACCATTTCTGTGTAGCGTGTTTGTCCAAGATGGCGGGGGAACGCAGACCAGCTTGTGGGAAAAGTATACAAACGACTCTACATATTGCAGGTATTCGCACCAATAGGGCTCTTTGTCGACGCCGATTGCAGAGGCAGACTCGTACTCATGGTAGTTGCCCGAGTAGTCATGACAGATTAGCACGTTCGCTTTCTGCTCCCCACTTCCAGCAATAGCGGGCGGACGGACTACCAGCGGAGTGTTGGCTCTTTGAATTGGGTCCACAGTCAGTTCAGTCCAGGCTTCTAGCTGATCAAAGGTGTCGAAATAGGTGAAGCCCTTTAGCCGATCGAGTTGACGCTGCTTCTCGCGTTCTTCCGGCGTGGGGCCAGTGTCAGGAGAAGGGAACAAATGACGATACCCATCTCGAATAGGTCTGAGGATATCCTTCCAACCGGCTAAGTACGCCATGTCAAGCTGCCCTGAAGCGCGCGACACTTTTGAGACGTGGACTCAACAAGCGTCAACGTTCATCCGCGACGTACGTGAACCATTCCCGCGGAAGTCACAGCCACGTGTTGAGCTACCCTCTCTTGCAAGCGATAACTCGAAAGCGCGTCAGGAGGTAGTGCGATTTCTGTGGGATTGGCTCATCTTCCTTCGCAGCGTAATGTACCACGCAAGATGCGAATGAATGCAAAGTTAATGGTAGACGGCGGTGACGTTGGTCGCGAATACCTAGCAGGGGCCTGTCTTGGCAATGCAAGGATCCATGCTCGCCTTACGCGCAGCGCCCTCCGAGCTCCAAACGTGTCATTTCATTTCGCGTCTTCGAGCGTTCTCTCACTACCACGTCCATATACAAAACCACCAGTATCGTGTACGAAACTGAGCGGTAGGATCGCGCGCCACCATGATGAATCTCTTCAGATTACTAGGTGCGTTTCACAGGATTCCAACCGCCAAACGAATCGCAATGGTTCCTCCGCTGCGTGAAAGTCGCATGCAATTGGAAGCGCATGCTAACTTTGGGTTGTAGGGGACCTTTCCCATCTCCTGTCCATTTTGATACTGCTACAGAAGATGAAAACATCAAGCGTACGCCTCTAGACTCCCGCCAACCTCGAGCGCATAGCCTAACAACAGCAGAGCGCGTCCGGCATCTCGTTCAAATCACAATTCCTCTACCTCATCGTATACGTTACCCGATACGTCGACCTTCTTTGGACCTTCTACGAGCCCAAGTCCCTCTACAATACCTTCTTTAAGATCATCTTTATCAGCACGGCCTCATACACCGTTTACCTGATGCTCAACGATTACAAACCCACCCACGACCCGAACCTCGATACATTCAAGGTGCAATACCTCATTGGTGCCAGCGCGGTATTAGCGATTCTCTTCCCGTACAAGTACAACTTCACAGAGGTGGGTGTCAGCAGGCTACATGAAGTAATGGCCGGACGCTAACAATGGCATAGATCCTCTGGGCTTTCTCCATATGGCTTGAATCGGTTGCTATCCTACCACAGCTCTTTATGCTGCAGAGAACAGGGGAGGCGGAAACGATTACCACCCACTACTTGTTCGCCCTCGGCGCATACCGTGCCTTATACATTCCCAACTGGATTTACAGATACTTCTTCGAGGTGCCGCGCTTCTGGGATCCCATTGCTGTCATTGCGGGAATTGTGCAGACCATTCTCTATTCCGATTTCTTCTGGATCTACTACACCAAGTGCGTATTGCACAGCCCGATGTAAGACGTGGTTGCTAACGTAAGGACAGGGTCATCCAGGGCAAGAAATTCAACCTACCGGTGTAGGCGACCGGAACTCGACCAGCGTTCATTGCGTACCCACTGTACAGACTCATGGCAAGTGGGATCGCCACAATTGGCGGCGTTGCGCGGGGGTTACCCGTATCTCCAGAGAAGTATTCTCTCGCTGCATGATGTCGGGTCATGTAGTTGGAATAGTCGGCGGGCCATTATCACGAGTTCCATTTTGCGGCTCCGAAAATGCAGGCGTTCATGGCTCACGGCATATGGCATTTGTAAAAGACGCTTTGCTGTTCAGGGCAGGATAGAACGTAGGGCGTTTGCGAGGGCACAGTGTCCTCGACAAGATGGATATACCACGGCTTGCAGTTCTTTGCTTTTGAAGAATATGCGCAAGCTTGTATTATTCGATACTTATTTTCTGATGCTCTTCGCTCTCCTGCAGTTGACTCGCACAATCGAAGCTTCCGATGCGGATCGTAGCGCTCGCGGCAGAGGGGGATAATTGGCTAACTATGTAGGAGCTAGCGCGGTAGCAGGCCGTTGCCTGCACCAGATACTTCGAGCTCCCACCTCAACAGACTCACCGGTGCCGCTGGTATCGCGGCTGTGCAGACTCTTTCCACACGGCTGATAACGGTGTAGTCTACCATGTCGCTCACTTTTCGTTCACAGGATGTAAAGTCGCAATAATTCTACTGTCATTGATTGGAAGCTACTCAGCCTGATGACGAAGGGCAATAACATACACATACGGTCCATTGACGTGCTGTGAAAGAGCTCGAGTACATTACTGATTCTAGAAACAATATATAAGATTATCCGAGCAGGCGTTCAATTACTCAAGTGCCGCCTGGATCAACGGTTAGTCTCGTCACAGGTGTTCATCCTCACTTTCATTTCGCTGAGCTACTGCAGCGCCCTGGTGTCAAAGCGCCCACATGGCAGGGCCTTTGAAAATGGTGGCTCCCGGAAGCGGAGAACCAGACATGACACTTGTGGCCGAGCTTCTAGAAGACATACAACGACATCCTCCAGCTGTTGCGGCGAGGACGTTGCTCGCACAACACTATATCTCGATCGGTTGGTTCGACGCAGCTTCGGATTACGTTCAGGAGTTGGAGCGTGATGCACCAAGTGATCCAGAGGTACCAGTCTTGAACAGAATATTGCTGGCAAATAACGTCTCGGTACGTTCTTCCCAGGCAGCTCTTGAAGCCGATTGAGCGAAAAGCTAACGATGGGAAGAACTCCAACCAAGCCGTCGCATCCAGTGTGAGCTCAGAGACCGCAATGCCCAAAGTGTTGAACAGGCCAGCACGGAAGACAGCAATAGCTACGAGCAGCATGGCCACCAGCTCTGGCAACGGTTCCCGGACTGACCTGGTGGAAGGGTATCGCGGTCTGCGCCAGAAGACGAAGAGGCTGTTCGGTGTTCTATTGCATCTACAGGCTCAGCACAAGCAACATGGAACTCCACAGGCCGGGCTCTCGGTGAGGATCCAAGCCATCATTCAGGGACAGACTCCATCTGGAGCTGTAGCTGCCAGCCCGCCAGGCAAGCCCCAAGTCGTGGCGCGCGCAGTTCAAATGCATTCTGAGAAGGCTATGGAAATTGTCATCGCTGATCTTGAAGACAGCCTTGACTTCATGCGGGGTATGTTATATCCTTACAGTAATCCCAGGATCTCTTTCAATAAACGATGTATGCTTTTCTTTGAGCCACCCATTACGGACACGATATAACTGACGACGCACATAGGTCGTCCGTACGATATGAGTGATGACTCAGTTCGCGATGGACTAGTCAAGCGCATGCGCGATGTTGAAAAGGCATTGCCAGAAAGCCTTAAGACTTACTGCGAACTCGGCTTCATGCACATCGAACATGAGAACCTCAAGCGAAAATACGCCAACGACCAAACCATGCTCATGGAGGCTATAGCTGACATACCTCGCCCGGATTTCTACGTTACTGAAGACAATTATGCGTGGGATCTATCCGAGCTTGTCGAGGCTATCACGGCGAACGGCGGCGTAATGCGTAACCCATTGAGCAAGGACATGTTCACACAGAAGGACGTTCGCGGCATCTTGACGAGCCCACACGGAAATTCTCTGGCAGCGTTGCAAATTACGCAGAACGAGATGTCGCAGGGAGTGCGCCCTGAGACGATTGTCCGGATGGATAAGTTGGCGGACGTTATGCTAGCGGAACAAGATAGAACGGCCATGAAAAGTCGCAAGGAAATGGATGAATTTCAGGCATATGTCGCTACTTGTAAGTGGTTCGCCAATCCATGATATCTCGTGTTACACCACGCAGCTAACAACTTAACAGTACCCGAGCGTGAACAAAAGACCATAGAGTCGTTTAGATGTCCGGCTTTCGACCGTCATGCGGGCAAGGCTTATGACAGCACCATCGGACAGACTATACGCGACGCCAAGGCCACCGAACTATGTATTCACAAAGCGGGTGACTTCATCAAGCAAGCTGCAGCGTACTTAAAGGAGAAACGTGGCGCGGCTCGTGCGGTCTCGAAATCCCACAATAGTTGTGTGATTATGTGAACAGGCAATGTGAGCGCGATATACAAATTCACACGAACGGGAGGTACTGAGAAGATAGCTCCTTCCATTTGTTCTAGCTTTAGGTTTCACTATGTGACCAAGAGCGTTAACGCTTCGTGGAGGTCAAACAAATCAAGAATGCACGAACCCACAGCCGTCTAAGGGCCCGACGGGCAAGGTCTCATAGAGTCTTCAACAAGGGACGGTGCCCTATGTTCGATGCTCTGTTTTCCCGAAAGTGTCTTAGAATCAAACTTTTTTGTTTTTAAAGAAATCAAAAATAAAATACAATCACCCATAAATCAATGAAAATGCGCCTGACCTTCCACAAGGCCCCGAATTGCGCATATTCACCCTCACTTTCAATGCGCAATGACACAGTCCTCCGCACAGACAACCATTCTAGAAAATTCACCTTGTCTACTTAAGAACCTGCACCTAATCCCAATTCAAGACGAACAACTTCAGCCACCCTCGACCTCGCCATCAACTTCCAACGTCGTCGACTCACCACTAAATCGGCCCAGCACGCCATGATCTTCCTTCGCTTCCTCTTTCCCATACTTCTGCTCACAACTTCCGTTACCTCACGCAAGGGCTGGCAAACGACCTGGCCCACCCTCGAGACACAAGAGGGAACGCCGGCCCCCGTCCAGACTTCCGCTCCCCCGCGCATCGTGTACACGAAGCCCAAGTTCGAGCCGCTACCCGCCGTGCAGAACCTAAGTCGAGAGCTGTGCAAGCCGTGTGTGGACTTCATGACAAACTGCATCGGTAAGTACTACTTGAAATAGATGGTATGAATGATACATATGTGACTAACTATTGGGTTGATAGGAGAGCGACGCGCTGCTGGTGCTGTTGTCGGACCAGCTATGTTCAAGAACTGCTTGCGCGAGCTGTGCTTTGGGGATCCAGGGGATAGCATGAGAAGGTGCAAGGCAGGTGGTAGGTGTAGAGGCGCATATCGCTGTCCTGTCCAGGAGGATGTGTGGTTTAGGCATCCAGCGACTCCCAGTGACGAAAAGGAAGCCAGGGCTCGCGGTTTGGTGGCCGACCTGGTGTCCGATTTCTTGGCCCGGGAGCCTGAGTTATCAGATAGGCTACTGGGAGTTCAAGTCGTGAACATGTAGAGGAGCTCAAGACCAAGGATGATGTTCAAGATACCGGTCGCCGTTAGGAGATTGGATGGACACTGCCGTGGACGTGGATGGAATCAGGTTAAGTCACGAGCACATTTTCTAGTGTCATGAAAGGATAGATGGAATTATTGTATTCTTGACTAGATTTGAAAGTCAACTCCTTTTGTACTCAGCATCGAACGTGCAACAAGATCTTGCTTGAAGCTGCTGAATTGACAGGCGAACCAAGTCCCAATGGATCTATTCCCATGCCTGATCCATTTTGCGTATCAAGAAATTTGGTAGATGTCTACCTAGAATGGTCTGGACGACGTATCTTTGACATCCTTTCGAATTACATGCTGATTCATAGCAATCCATCGTGCAAATCAATATCGAAGGTTTGATTGAAACGGTGGAATCCGCGCCTATCAAGGCCAGTGTCTCGATGGATGCCTCGATTGATCTCGTAGCCATCTTCATCGTAGCCACACACTGGCTCACCGTAACTGGGGCATTCTGTGTGAAACCCGGCCCATTTGATCAAGCAGATGAAGCAAAATTCATAATCGCATGAGCGGCACCTCATATGATTGCAAAAGCCTTGTTCCATCTCAATCCACACGTGGCACGCTGGGCAAGCCTTTGTCCTTGCTCCCTCCGCGTACGGCGCCAACCACGAGGGCCGCTTCTCATTATGAGATTCAGAACATCGATGACCCTCCTTATACCATGCCGACTTGCAGTGCACACAGGTCCGCTCACTACATGAAGAACACTCACTCGTGAGGTCCGAACCTTGATCGTCATAGTTGCCAGGTGGTTGGAACCAGCCGCAAGACCAGCAGTAAACCCTTTTGATCGGATCCATGGCATACTGTTCGGACTTCCAATTGTAGATGAGCTGCAGCTTGCTAGGAATCAAGTGTCCGCATAGTTCGAGATCGATGGGTCCGCAGCGATTCGCAGGGAACATCTCCATGTTACTTTCTTCCTTTGTTGCGAGCTTTAAAGCTCGCATAAAGCACCGCATGCACATGAAATGCTCAGCACACGTACGGGCGCCCTCACTCAGCTCGAACTCGTCAAGGCACACCACGCACACGCAGTCACACATGACCTCGTCGCTATCCGTCCTAATGGAAAACGCTCCTATATTAGGTGACATTATCGGTTATCTGTTAGAGTTCTTAGAGAATTTGGATGTAGTTGGATCTGCGATGCTGGACTTGAAGGTTGTGTTGCTCGTTGAACTTGCGCCCACGTCGGAGTTAAGGGATGCTTATTTATCTTGACAATTTTGACCACTCAACGTGAATATAGGAACCAGTAGAAGAGTGCGAGCATTGTGCGAGAGCGTGTTCGATAATCCAGCATTGTGATGAGATCATGAGATCAGACCCTGAGTACTGTACAATGAAGATACCATTGCACTTCGAGGCCGGACCATATCGCAAAGTGACACAGACGACGACATGGAAATGAAACATTCGATTGCGTGATCTCATTGTAATACATCTAACTATACACGACAATTCTGAAAGGCAAAATCGGCCTTGGGCGCACACCACATTAGCCAAGCAACGACCCATCCATATCCTACAACCCTTTCAAAGGCTGCGACAACTGAAGGATTCGCCCACCACAGCGCGCTCTTCCGGTACTGCTTCCAATTGTACTGAACTAGACCCTCGAGTACAAACGACATCGGCTGTATGCACCAGAACACCATCGTGCCTCTGCCCCAAGCGCATTTTCCGCCATACAGCCATGTGACTGTCGCGTGCATGATAGCTGAGAGCACAAAGACGAGGCAGTTGTTGAGTATTCGAGAGAAAGATGTCCCTTGAGGGATGCGAAGCATCTTCGTGAACGTCGATGCGTGGAAGTTGAATGACTTGTACACGAGACGATGCCAGAAGTTGGCCCAAAAGCGGCGCATGGTGTAAGCCTCTGTCAAGGGCCCGAATAGCGGGGGCCATTCCCACGGTTGGTCGATGCCGGTTGCGATGAAGATGATAGCTAAGAAATCGTGGAAGGCAGACAAGGAGAGGACGTCAGGAATGAACTTGTTGGCGGCCAATAAGAGGCGTATTTGGAGTTCTCGTACTGTGACAGGCGATGCGGTAGGGTCGGCTGAGTTCATTTGCTGGAAGAGACGTCGCAGTATGCCTTCTTTTTCTGGGCTAAGGTCTGAGGGGACAAATCCGCCAACGGTCGCCGAAACTCTGTGTTCGAAGTAAAGAGACATGGCGAGGTAGTTCAGTGCTAGATACCCACAATGAATCGCTACAGCAGACCATTTTCCACGGGTTGCGAGACTATGACGCGATGCTGGAGCCTCGATCGGCTTATCTTTATAGGTGTCTTCCGAGGGTTTGGCGAAGACGATGGTGCTCTTCTGTTCAGGCCAGAGATACGGGTTCTCCCAAGCCAGCCCGACACCTCTTGCGTTGTAGGCGCGTTTCCATCCCGCTCTCCAAGATGTATCGAGCTCCTCGGACTTGTCCTTGGTTACCTGTGTCCACAAAATCAGTTTTATTCAAGGCCGATACAGACTAAACTCTGAACGTACGCTCACTCTACTTCCCGGCATGAAGCACAGTGCCACCATGTAGGAGAAGAGAATTATCACAAATCGTGAGTAAGTGTCATTAAAGTAGGAATCGGGAGAAAGGTTTGGCGATGTGTATAACGCTCCGCATGCTGGAGCTATCAGAAGAAGGAATCCAGTCCATCTGCTAAGTTCTGGTACGCAGCCTATAGCGATGCAAGTGGCACAAAACGAAAAGGCCCATGCAATGGGCTGCGCGCCTGAGGTTAACGTCCAGTCTGCTTCGTCGAACGCCATAGTGAAAGAATGTCAAGAATCGAAAATCAGAGTCAAAGGAGTGTCGAGGAATCAAACCCGCTAATTGTGTAAAAGAATGTCAAAGAATCAGAAGCCAGCCGTAAAGACCTGTCGGAGAAAAGAATCAAGGAATGTAAATGCTCTTGGTGGCCCAACCAGCGCGCCTCTGGAGAATATAATCATGATCTCCTCTGCAACGGACTTTTGATACATGGTGCCGTTCATGTTCGGACGTTAGTTGAGTGGGCGTTCATACCAACGTCCGTGTTCTACATCTAAGTCTTCGGACTCGAGGATTGATGCGCTTTGACATGCGCGCATGAGGGATACTTCCGGTACCTTAAGGCCTAGGAAGCCTGATCCGACCGTGCGCTAAGTGTAGACCAGTGCAGCGCTCCCCTATATTCGGAGTTGTAGGTGCAGCCACGACAGCCCTATCGTTTAATCTGATTTCGGGGCGGCCCTATGATTCGTAGTCCGCGTAGGCGAGGTTCCACTCTCGGGGCGCAGTTGGGGGCTCAAAAACAAATAGGCCTGGGAGTTCGGACTTATAAACTTAGCGCGCCCGACAAGTGGATCTTAGAGTGATCTACTCGTGCGAAAACACTGTGAAAGCCTCGTGCGCTTGCCTTCTTCGGGCTAGCATAGGGCTAGCATCTCTATGAATCCGACTCGGCAGGGCGTTTCAGGATAATGGCCTTCAACGCAGTGACATTTCTCGCACGACTGTAGCTAAGAATTCTTGTGCCAAGGCCTGGAGACATCGGAGAACTGCTTCGGACACTGTGCAAGTTCCCCATTATGGTGTAACGGTTATCTGGTCGAGCAGACGGAGTAGACCACCACCGGGGCCTGCATCGTGGAAGAGAGCAACAGCAGTATAAAGCATCTTCAATTTCTCTTCCAAAGTATCATCATCACATTCACTACCAATCCAACTTCCAGTCTACTCTTCACTTCACAGTCACTCTTTCTGCCCGGTTGCAGCCAGCTTCTAATCAACGCTCAAACTTCTTCACATCCCACAAACCAACCAACTCAATCAAAATGCAGTTCTTCGCCATCATCGCTATTGCCTTCGCCGCCACGGTTACCGCCTGCAAGGACGACAACATGTTCTGCGCTCCTGGCATGGGTGCTTGCCTCGACCCGAACGCTAACTGCGCTCGCTCCGTCGACACCACTGGCTCCAGGCTCGCCCGCGCTGTTGTCATCGACAACACTGAGGCCAAGATCAACGCTGACTCCGAATAAACGATTACACGAATGGTACGTCGTCTCCCCCGGCGCCTTCAGAAATACTCACTAATCCAGCAAACAGCTATAGAAACTCTTTAGATGGACGGCAATGCATTTTCGAGGAGTAGGATTGTGGGTAGCGCGGCATTTTGGGAATTTTTGAGTCGTTGATTGAACTTCATATTCATACAGTCATTACCTGAGATACATGTTCAATATAATTGGATTGCGTAGAACAAGCTTCTCGATGTTGCAATGAAAAGTGTGCTTTGCTTCCGCATTGACGGATGGCTTGCCTGATACCATACCTAGGTAGATATCTACCACAGGTACTACACCGACATGACTACCACAGCCTTGTTAGAGATCTTAGGCTTATCCTTAATTCTGCAGGGCTAAACGAAGATAAGCATGGACCTAGTGACAGTGATGGCGTCGCCACTACTTTTGGATTCTGATGTTAGACTGACCTAAGACTGACTTGGCCTTAGGGACACGAAGGAACAGCGGGCCGCATGGATATCCCGCGCACCAGTCTCTCGGATTGTCTTTGAGACCATCGAAATGCACGTCGCTCAACTGCGCATCATGGCTTACTTTGTCGCCAATGATTGAAATTGGATCATAGGTGCCGCCGCAGTTTCCTGGAGTAAAGAGGAGTACGCTCACTCCGGAAGCGAGTATTCGCAACCATGAAACAACACCGGGATCACTGAAAGTTCTATCTCAACAATATTTGAGCCAATTGCTGTACCATGGGCATTGTATCAAACGTTCGACCAGTGCGTCCCAACTGCACCGCGCAGATTTCAAGTCCTTCACCGTGATCTTCACCAGCGCTCGTAAAACTTCCCTCTGACTGTAGTGCACCCTTAAAACAGCTCGCGATGTATTTCGCAAGGCCGGCCGTCGCTATTCTCTTGAGCACGACCACTCTAGCCTGGAGTTGGAGTCCCTTCCAATGGTTCACAACCGGACCCAGCCTGTCCAACTCGACTTGGAATACCTCCTCAACCTCACAATCGAGCAACCCAAAGACAAATTGGCTTCCATTCTCATACAGAAAGACATGCGACACAGCCGCACTCTCGGTATTCATCCCGTCCAGCGTACCCCATCCAGCCCACGCGTTCAAGCACTATCTCCAGCAGCCAGTCTGCCGAGCTCCGCCCACCTTTACAAGCCTTGTCGCAAAGAACCGCTTCCAGGAGGACTATGAACGCTTCGCCTACTATTTCAATAAGAACGGCGCTCGTGTACCGAATGTCTGCCGTACGAGGTTTAAGAAGGTGACGAAGATGGGAAAGATTCCGAAGAGCTATGATAAGTACGTCCGCAGGGAGAGCAAGAAGTGCGGGAAGAAAGTTGGCAAGGTTCATCCTGGTGACGGTCAATCTCACCATGATGGGAAGGGGCAGCTGCCAGTGAGCGCGGCTGCTGGTTTTCGTGGGAGTGCGAGGTTATCTATTACAAGAAGGGCTATTGTTGGTGTTGCTATGGCGTACGGTTGGGGTCAGGCCATGCTCTAGTTGGGCGTGCTGGGTTGGAAGCGATCGATTGAATGGCATCACGGGGCCACAGGAAACCTAGGCTGATTGCACACGCTTTCTATTTAGCTAATTATTCTGTTTTGAAAGTCTACATATGGTTTTGAATCTCTATAGTGCATGTGGTGTCATGTAACGATCTTAGAATGTCAATGCTCTACACCCCTTCCAAAAAGAATTATTCAAACTCCACATGCAGGATTTATCTTAGTTCTATTGATGTATTACAAATCCTAATTACCTATCTTTATACTTGTGGAACTTTTTCGAATTCAATATTCTGAAGTTTGGAACATTTCCTCCTGATGATGGTGCGCCATTGTCCCAACGAGTACCCATCAACCGCGACTTCTTGGAAACCAATATTGCCTACCCACCATATTAGGCAAGAGGTAATATTGCCTCTTCAACAAACTCATAGCCCTAGTTATCACGTTCGCTTCTCATTCCTTTCCTCCTTCCATGACCAAACCCTCGACCTTTAACAAACTCCACAGATTCCACCGAACCATCTTCACTCACAACAAAATGTTCGCGCAAAGAATCATGCTATTTCTCTTCCCCCTTATCGCGGCCGTATACGGCACGCAAACCGCCTCACCTTCACTTCCCCCTTCCATTCCCTTCCCCACACCCTCAGAAAGCGCATGCCAAATCGCCGCCCACGCCCTCAAAGCCGTCTCCGCCACGCGTCCAACCCCCTACAGCAACTTCACAGCGTACATGGATGCGCACGACCCTTTCGTCCGGGGATGCACTTTCCCCTTCGAGGCTTCGCTGAATACCTCGTTGGCGTTCGAAGCGGCCTATTCTGAAGAAGCTGCGTGGTACGTCTAGTTCATTGATGCTATATGGTATCCTGGGGTAACTCAGACGGCTGACAAGCGCAGGTACAACGCCGCATACCCCACAACCTCCCAGCTCGTGCTTGCCTGCGAAGCTGAGGCGCCTGTCCTGGGCGAGCGCAACTGGCGGGAAATCGGACTCCGCGAAGGGTTGCCTGAGACTTGGAAGGTATGTACACCATCCCACTTTGTCCTATTTTCTTGATGTGGCTTCGTTTTCAGCCTGATTTTGTTTTGGGCATAAAGCTAATGGAGGCAGGACGTCACCGTCAGATTTCCGCCCTGTCACGGGGATGAGCATGAGGCCGAGAGTCAGCCCCAGCCTACGGGTGCAGACCGCCCTTCGCACAAAGATGGTCGTCCTGGTCATCGAAATGGGACTGCAGGCCATGATGTTCATTTCGAGAGCGGCGCGGGGAGTCTGCTCAAGAGCACCCCGTGGCGATGGATCTTTACCGCGCTTGGATTGTGGTGGTTCTGACTAGGGCTTCGAATAGTTCCAGAGAGAAGCAGAGGGCTATGAAGGGAACGCTCGTTCAAGATTTGGATGAAGAAGAGCAGGAGGACGAAGTCACGACGGAGAAAGGATCGCAAGACGAACGAGGCGAGGGGGTTGAATGCGATATTTCATGGGGTTTATCCGCGAACAGTAATGTAATCGGTACGTAAGTAGGAGGCAGAATGTTCATGCGTGAAATTTTGGCCATCTATAACGAAATATAATACAGCTAGTTTTCCGACTTAACTCCGCCGATGCTAAATGTTTCAAAGGGTATACAAATCCTATACAGTAATTGCTAAATGCGATGACTTCGCGATGCTTACACCGTGCCGCCAATCTCCTTTCTGACCCAGCTCTCCAGACCACCGAGCGCGATGATTTCCTGGACGTTGGGCGGCAGCTCACCGACCTTGATGCTCCACTTGTTGCCGTCGGGGCCTTCTTGCACGTTTACAGTGCTCCTTCGCACATCCCACTCGAGTGTCCAGCCCGTCCGCCTGGTCAGCTGCTTAGCGTGCGAAGGTTGTGCTTGGGCCGCTGGCGGCGGCGAGTCGAGCGACTCGCGGTTCTGGGAGGGCTCTTGCATGTTCTGCTGCGATGCAGCAGGTGCTGTAGAAGAGAAGACTTCGCGGAGGCGGTTGGCTAGCTTGGGTACCTCGACGCCCATGAGCGCGTTGTTAATGCTGTTACGGCTGAAGATGTTGCCGAAGCTGCCTGCGACGACGAGCGGGATGCCCTTGGCGAGGATGGCGGTTGCGGCCTGCTCACGACTGCTGCCGCATCCGAAATTGAAGCCTGAGACGAGGATGTCTCCTGCCTTTGCGGTGTTTCCGAATGTGGGATCGTAATTCTCCATGCAAACCTCTGCCATCTTTTCGCGACTCACATCGTCCTGATAGGTGTATTTGCCGGGGTAGATGCCATCGGTATTGATGTTGTCGGCATCACAGAAGACGATCTCACCGCTGATTTTCTCCGGAAAGCCAGGCAGAATCTCGGTCAAAGTCTCTGACTCGGATGCAGAGTCTGGAGGGTTGATAGACTGGGTCTCGACAGCAGTATTCTCGGCTGTCTCGATCTGTTCCTCTGCTTGCTTGATGGCCCTCTCGAGCATGTCTTCGATTGTCATCATGCGTTCCTCTTCCACAATGCCATCGCCCTCGCCGCGGCGCACACCTGCGTAGTCGGCGGGCTCTTCATACCACCCGGGGCCGGAGATCTTGCCGGCCAATGCACTCGCTGCAACGACTTCCGGGCTGGCAAGGTAGGCTTTAGCGTCGGGTGAGCCCATTCGGCCCTTGAAGTTACGGTTGCTGGCGCTGATGCCAACCTCGCCGGGTTCGAGCAAGCCAGTACCGAGACCAATGCAGGGTCCGCAGCCTGCGGGGAGCGGCTGTGCACCCGCTTCCAAGAGAGCCTGCCAATCACCTAGCTCTTCGGATGCCTTCTGCTCCGGAATGGATGCAGCTGCAATGTAGAAGTTCACATGAGATGGGAGCTTGGGGATCTTGCCACCGTTAGCAGCGGCTGCGTCCTTGAAAACTCTAGCGGCAGCATGCAAGTCGGACGCTCGCGAGTTGGTGCAGGAAACAAGATAAGCCTTGTTGACCTTGATGTCCTGAGCCTGTAGTTCAGCGAGCGGGGTGGCGACCTTGACAGAGTTGGGCCCAGACACGTAGGGAGAGAGTGTAGACAGGTCGAGGAAAAGCTCCTTGGCGTACACTGCTCCCTTGTCCGCAGCTAAAGCAGGTTGGAAAATATGACCAGCGTTTTGCCCGATGATCCCAGTTGAATTATACAGTTTGTCGATGCGCTCGTGTACGAATTGCTCCTGGTGATGATCTTTGTATTCGTTCTGAGCTCCAAACATGGCGGCATCGGTGGCCCGCGCCCTCAGCCAACCATGAAGAACCGAATCGATTGGGAACAGTCCTGTGAGTGCACCCCACTCGGTCGTCATGTTCGCGATGGTGAGACGCTCGTCCACGGGGATGGTTCGCAGGGTCTCGTCGCTACCGGTGAATTCAATGGCGTGGTTCAGCACCTCGTCCTTGTTGAAGAGTCCAGCGAGGGCAACAATGACATCTTTGCCCGTCACGCCATCTGGCAATGCTCCCCTTAGGTTGACCTTGGCGACGGGGGGAATCTGCCACCATGTCTTTCCGGTTGCCCAGATGCTCGCGGCATCTGTGCGCACAACTGGTGTTCCCAAGCATCCAATACCTCCATACATGTTGGAATGGCTGTCGGAAGCCACGGCGACTGTGCCTGGCCATGCATAGCCCTCCTCGACCATGATCTGATGACCAATGCCGCGTCCAGCTGGGTAGAAAACCACGTCCTGCTTCTTTGCAAACTCCTCGATTTGATTGTACTTCTTGAGGTTTTTTTCGGTCTTGTTCTGTACGTCGTGGTCGAGCGTCATGACGATCTGCTTCGGGTCATGGATCTTGGTCGCGCCAATGGACATGAACTTCAGAGCTACCGGCCATGAGTTGTCGTGTGTCATGCATTTGTGCGGCTGCAGGGTGACATAATCGCCAGACCTGAGCGTCTTGCCCTCTGCCACGCCAACTGCATACCGCTGTACGATCTTCTCGGTGAGCGTCTGTGGTACGCTCGTCTTCTGCTGGAAGGTCGAGAGGAAGCTAGCGGCGGGTCCTTCTTTTAGAGAGTGGAACACATCCGGTGATGACTCGAATTGCCGTCTGGTCGAGCAGAATGTGCGCTGAACAGCAATGGGACGAGATGACTGCGATATGACTCGGAGAGGAAAGCGCGTTCGACACTGTAAACAACATTAGCTAAGAGACGGAATGCCGTTGGGTACAAGATATCATACCAGCGCCTGTCCCCGGCACAGTGACCGCGCTGCTCGCATAGACATGGCCATTGCGACGTATATGGCAATTCACGATGGCGTCGTGGTGTTGATGCTTCCAATGCTTGCTCATCTTCCCCAAAATTTCTGGCTTGGCAACCTCGGGCCGATCTCGCACCAGTCATCCGGATTTCTCATGCTGCCATTGGATCAGCCTGCCCGCACTCAATCGCTTCACATAATACAAATCATATGCTGCACTCCCACGCAATTGATGTGGCCCGCGTGGGACGCGTCAATTTTCCTGCAGAATTGATTGCACTGCATTCCGTTGAGCAGAAGGCGACGCCGGCGCGGGCTTTGACCCAAGCCCGCGCAATCTTCATATGCTATGACTCTACCAGCACTACCTGGGTGACTCCGCTGAACTAACAACTTTTGGACCGGTGTACTTTGCGCCTCGACTCTCTGTCTCTGCTAACCAATCGACCTCAACTAACTGGCAGCAAGCCCTCCGTCGCCATGGTCAACCGTTCAGACGTGAACTACTTCGGTGCGGGGCCTGCACCCCTCCCCACCACGGTGCTGGAGCAGGCATCCCAGGTGCTTCTGAACTACAGGGACAAAGGTATCGGCCTCTGCGAGATTTCCCACCGGTCGCCCGAAGCGAACGAGATTCTGGCCGATGCGAAGCAGGCCCTCACTACGCTGCTCGATATTCCCGACGATTATGAGATCCTCTTCCTCCAGAGCGGCGGCAGCGGCGAGTTCAGTGCGACCGTGTACAACCTCGTCGCGATATGGGTCGAGAAGAAGCGCGCAAAGATTGCCGCAGAGGTCGGTGACGATCAAGAAGAGGTGCTCAAGCGGCTGCGAAAGGTCGTCGACGAGGAGCTGAAGCTCGACTATTTGGTCACCGGCTCGTGGTCGCTCAAGGCCTCGCAGGAAGCTGCACGTTTGATCGGCGCGCAACACGTCAACGTCGCCACGGATGCACGAAAGGCCAACGGTGGAAAGTTTGGCGTGATCCCGCCCGAAGACCAGTGGAGCCTCACACCTCGAACGTCGGGTGGTGGGCCAGCCCTAGCATACTTCTGCGACAACGAGACGGTCGATGGCGTGGAATTCCCCGCCTTTCCGAAGAGCCTCGAAGGTGACGATGCCCCTCTGGTCTGCGCAGACATGTCCTCCAACTTCATCTCGCGGAAGGTCGACGTGCGAAAGTATGCCGTCATCTTCGGCGGCGCCCAGAAGAACATCGGCAACACGGGTATTGCCATTGTGATAATTCGCAAGTCCTTGCTCCCGCCTCACTCCACACCGGCCTCGCCCGATCTGTTGAGGCAGCTCAACCTGTCTGTGGGTCCCATCGTGCTTGACTATCCCACCATTGCCAAGAACAATTCCCTCTACAACACACTACCCATCTTTGATGTGTGGGTCGCTGGCCAGGTCATGTCCGGCCTCGTCAACACGTATGGCACGAAGCGCATCGGAGGTCAACAAGAGATCTCGGATGAGAAGGCCCGCCTGATCTATGACACTCTTGACAAATACTCGGATGTTTACCGGGTAGTACCGGACAAGACGGTCCGCAGTAGAATGAACATCTGCTTCAGGGTCCACGGTGGAGACGCTGACAAGGAAAAAGCATTCCTTGCAGGTGCTGAGAAGTTGGGTCTGCTTGGACTCAAGGGCCACCGCAGTGTGGGAGGTATCCGGGCAAGCAATTGTAAGTGACACTATATTTCCTCAACTATTACCACTTCAACTTCGGCCTGGTACTTTCCAGCGGGAAGTACAGGTACTTGTCTATGCTATGTATGCGCCTAGACGTAAAGGTTACGCTACGCGTTCGCCGCGAAGCTTACAAGATCGTATGTGCCGATCTTAAGATTGCCCAGGGCGATCGCTCAAGGCATGCCAGCATGAACTCCTGCAGAGCCGAAGAAGGCAAAAGAACTAGCTAACTGTTTGTGCACTACAGACAATGCCGTGTCATTAGACGGCACGAAGAAGTTGGTAGCTTATCTTGAAGACTTCACGAAGTCATGAGGCAGAGACAATGCGCATGGTTGTGACGGCGCTTTTGCAGCTAGTCGACATGAAGAGGTAACCAGCCACCTGCAAGCACCACAGTGTAGCGGGCACTTCTCGGACAGTCTCGTTCAACATGACGCTCTCCGTTAGTCAACAAAACGTAGCCAATCCACTCCGTGCTGATCTCCACCAACCTCAAGTTATGCCCGCCATTCTCTAGACTCATCTAATTCTGCCAATATTCGCAGCCGTTATCAAGTGCATGATCGGTTGTTTGCGCTGAGGCACGTCGTACAGGATCTCCACCGCCGCAGTGGGCGAAGCTGGTGTTCTGGAAGAATTCCTCGCGTGGCTGCCCTCATGCGTGTGGACTGTTGGGGCCGGTAGGCGAGGTCGGACTGTGAGCCGCCTGCCCCAAAGGGTCTTTGGGTGAGACGTGGGACGCACCAAGCTGTCTTTTGGGTGCGGCCACCCTCTGCCCTCAAGGGCTGCTGTCTCCCGGCTTAGCGGTCGTATTATCGTCCACTATGACCTTGTTAGACTGCTGCAGCGACGGCGGTACGCAGGTGGCTTCTAGCTGCGTTGTCATCCGGGGCACCGCCGCCGTGAATGTCACCCCGCGGGTTAATCACAAACGCGTAATGACATCTGCCCAGAAAGAATCGCAGACAGTAATACCTCGACACTGATGCAATGTGACTCCAAAGAGAGCCAAAACCAACCTGCACGCTCCTGCTTTCTCCGTGACGACGGCGCTTTCGGGGTCGTCTGTCGTGGAGTCCTCGAGAGCGCCTGCAACCTGGGGGAGATCACGCTCGCGCGCGTGCTTCTTCTACTCTAGCTCTCTAGCTCAGTGCATACACCAATCGGAGCATTTGGCGTGCGCTTCTACGCCCATATAGGCTATGGATATGGTTTCCTATTCTCATGCATCCCCGGCTTGAGGACGCGCCGCATTGACATGCACCCAGTGTTGTGTTTCGCACATCCCTGAAGCGAGAGGCTGACACACACCTAAATCCAACAACGTCACAACGTCACCCCAAGCTCTTCCACCTCACCACAGCCGGCCAGCAGTCGTCTCGCACAGTCGATGGTTTCTCAAAGCGCCCGATAAAGATACTAAGACTCTAAATATGGAGTTACACTTGGAAACGAAACGGTGAAGATGTGAAGAAGCGCTGAGGTGTGACGGAGCGCCAATCAATCCATGACAGTATGGAGGAGATAGATGTGTAGATGTTACGGGCCGGTCAGTCCCCACCTCTCAACGGCTCGCAAGCTTGGATGGCAAATCCTCGAGCACAGCCAATCTCCACAGTGCGCGTCCTGTGGCTGCGTGAAAGGGTCCAGGACGATGGTCTACGAACGGGTCTCGCTGCACCCGCCTAGGCATCCTGGCACACGCGGGCTGCATGATGTTGAAACCTACCTCAAGCTAGCGTGCGTGCATACAACCTCTCGTAAGGCCCGATTGGGAGGGCGCCAATGCTCCCACACCCAGCGGAATGACAGACGCCTCAGGACTGCTGTCTCGAAACCCCGCGCCACTGGTCCGAGTCCAGGTTTCCACAAATACTGTTTGACGTCTCATCACTTACTCCTGGCTCCACGCCTTCATGCCTACGCTCTTTACCTTTCCTTTCTCACTGCTGGCAGGTTCAGGCACAACTTGCGACTGGAGCTGAACGGGTTACGATCTCTTGTTCAGCATCGGTCTGTTCTGCCTCCATGAACACGTGAATTTTTCCTTCTTTTCAGCCGCTGCTGGTTACCAGCGAGACGAACTATCTTCTTGTATTTTTCTCTGCGAGGAGCTGGAAAGATGGAAGGATGGGGTCTTCGACATCCGCACCTCGACGTGCGGTCGCATTTCAACATGACCCTCAATAGCTCAGCTGTCCGTGATAACCCGTGGACGAGCCAGAACGAAACCCGGACGTTGATTGGGAGCCTCAAGCTTGCTCAGGTCCAGACGCTGCGAACGATGCATCTGACCTTGGGCGCTTTCAGTCTGGCTTTGGCACTGTTAACGGTTCACCGGATTATCTCGGACGCAAAACGGGCAGCCGCGCTCCAGGCGCACTTGAGGAAAGTGTAGGTGGCGACATATATCGTTCGCAAATACCAAGCTGACGGTTTATAGACGATTCGCCGCTCTCCGGAACGTTCATCCCGCAGAGACATTCCCACTCGTACTGGCTACCGGTGCGGTTATACAACAAATTATATTTGTAGCAGTGCAGAGCACTTCTCTCAGTAGTGTTTTATCAAACCAATGTCGAGGACTGGCTATGATCACGTTGCCCGGTACGTACAATCAATCGCTGGAATCACCACTCGGCTGACAAGCACAGCGATCTTCCTCCTGGGTATAATAACTCTAGTTTTCGGTATCGATATGGCGATACGAGCCCTCAAAGCGGACCGATTCGCTCCCAAGGGAAAATGGACGACGACCATCTGTATCGGATTCGTTGCATTCCTGACGCTGATGATGTGGATGCCCACAGTAGCCTGGCCGATGTACAACCGATGCTTTGGGAGCCTTATCTGGTTCCCGATGCGCTACGAACTTCTTATGCTCGTTGTTCTAGTCATCCTGATCGGTCTGTTTCTGGCGCTGACGGCCATTATCAGCATTCAGTTGATGCGGACTTCGGACGTGGATCCAAACCAGCGAATTGCAGCTTCGCGAATGTGCTACTACTTGGTCATGTCAGCGTTGCTATACGTATGTCCAGCCTAAGACGAATGGATTGATGGATGCTAACGGAGGCTGCAGACATTGGTCCTACCCGTAGAAGTGCAAGCTCATCGACGAGACTTCAACAGCACCTATGCTACGTCGAGAATCGCCGAGGTTGCTTTGTTCTGCTCCGGCATTGTCATCGCATTCGTACATCTATTCCTCCGTGTCAACGCAACGCGCCTAGTCATCAAGCCGATGAGCGAGATGAACTCGCCTACGAAACAAAAGCGTCCGAAGCTTCGATTGTTCGGTCCCAGCGACCTCGAAATGAACATCAGTGGCCCGCTCGCACTGCAAGGTGGCCGTCGACCAGAAAGCAGACAAGGCCTCATTGACGTTGGTCCCGAGAAGAACCGATTCGATTTCGAGCCGGGTTACTTTGAGCGTTCGGAACGACCACTTACTCCGGCTTCGGCCCGATCCCAAGGTCCTATCGATCCCACCAAGTGGCCGCTCCCCCCGGACCCGGTCCAGACAGGATTCTTTGCAGAGCAAAAGGATGGCACCACTGGCCTGCATAGGCGCAACAAGTCCAACTACTCGCTCTTTCCAACACGGGCTGAGGAGGTTCCACGACTGCCTGCCACCGTTTACAGCCCACCAAGATCCGCAGGAGCTCCTGGTCGATTCTCTCAGCTTGCAATGCGCCGTCAATCTCGCAAGGGCTCCATTGCCGACACAAAGTCCGTCACTGATGTAGGAGAGGCATTTAGCTTTCTCGTGAAGCCGCCACCTCTATTCTCATCACGCCACAACCGCAACCAAAGCACCGACAGCAGCGCAACCGTGCAAATTGGTCTTCGCTTCTCCCTTGCACCGGCGATACTTGGCGCGGGGACATATAGCCAGGATCCACCACCTGTCCCTCCTCTACGCCGCGATGAAAGCGAGTCGAGCATTGAAACTCTCGATCTCCCCATCCAATCCCCTTCGACCAACACCACACCCTCCGAGCTCGAAGGCGAAACCCTACAAGCAGTCGCCTTTCCCCAGCCTCCTAAACCTACACTGGCCTCACCCGCCAAGCCCAGTCCCGGCAAGACTGCCGCTTTCCCAGTCCTCTCGCCCGCCACCTACCTCCAAGACCAGCGCCAGAAGATCCTCCCTCCAACCCCTCGATCTGCACTGCCCGGACCACCACCAACTGTTCAACCTCCCGTACCTCTACGAACTGGTCCCGGTCTCAGCGGCCTGAGGATGAACCCTATCTCCCCGGCCAGCACACTCTCCCCCACATCACCAGCCGCGCCGAGCATACAAGAAGGCCGCTCGAACTCCTTGCGGTCGACCACAAGTCCGTCGCCGACAGCACGAATCCCCCTCGGCGCCGGGACCATGGCGCGCAGTCCTCCCGCAAACGGCTGGATATGATGCCCTCCACCTAGCCCATCGCTTTTCGCACAGGGGAGTTTCGCTAGAGCGGGTCGGCGAAAGCCGTTGTACTACTAGTTCGTTTGTGTTCTTTCGCGCGCGTCTGGGGATGACAGGCAGCGCCAGGTAGACTTGGCACAAGGAGCCAACTCTGAGGCGTTCCGAGAGTTTCATCTTTCACCTGTTACAAGACCCCTGACAACATGCACGGACCCCACCATTCACATCACACATCACATACCAGCCCCGTCCTCACACTGATTTCTCATGTCACTGTCGATGCTCATGCCTTACGTTCCCTCTGACTTGCCCTTTTTACATCCTCTTCTTTTACCGTCTCGCTTATGCTTTGCTGCCAACGCAAATTTGCAAAAATTCCCTTAATATCAGATGAAGGAACGTGGCACTGGGTGCTTCTTACATAGTGGTGCGCGGAGTATGAGGGAAGAATGAGGGACGGACACTCGTGGATCCTGTATGTACGATGACGCACGAGGTGCGCTTCCCATCACTTGAGCGGAATGAACAGAATGATCAAACCCCTTCACATGACTCTACCGTCCATATTTGTGTTCATACGCGAGGAAATCACCATTGACAGCGACTCAGCATTGTAGCTCATGCCTTCCTTCCCACGACTCAAAGTCGTCTACCGCACTTGCAGCCTCATGCCGTCCTCGCATACTCCTGCAGCACCTCGAACCCGCCATCCCGTCTCGAGGCTCTCACCCGCAGACGGAGGCGCATGCATGGTACAGTCCGGTCCCTATGCCTCAGGCAGCTCCCGCTTGACACGTGCCGATCCCACACAGGCTTGCTCCGCAACGCACGTGCTGCTAACGTCCCGTCCCGCCTGGAATCCTCCGAGCCGTGTTGTCGTAACCGGTGGACCCCTTCGTGCAGATCGCGTTGCCGGACTTCGCTGACGCGTGTCGGGACGGCACGGGAGGGGTTAGCGAGGGGTCTGGTGCCGGAGGGACGTACCTCGTTACGAATCTTGGTGAAGGATCTCGGTAAAGGTGCGAGAGTTTTGGGATTGGAATCGAGGGCGTCGCTTCGTCGCTGATAAAGTAACGTTTGATACTGACTCTGGTTCAGCCTCGGACTTGGTGGTGTAGCTTGGTAGTGTCGCAGCTTGTTCATCGAGTTCGAGCGGTGTTTTTGACATAGACATTTTGAAAGAGCGTATATGTACCATAGTTAACAGCGCAGTTCCCTATGTGCGGCTTCCCGGCTCGCTCTTCGCCTCCATACTAGGTCATGTTACGATGAGTAGCTGGATTGGTATTATATCAATTCAACAGTGCGTTTGGAGCTTCTTGAGAGAAAATTCATTTTTACTTTGTCGGTCTTGAGCAATGAATCGCAGGCTGTGCAGGTTAACATCGCGTGCGCATCCTTTGATCTGGGACTGTGTACTAGATCCAATTAGCAGTGGTGCTATTTCCCACATCAAAAAAGTGACAGAGGATCGATACACACGGGGAAGGGCATCTTTCTGAAAGGCGTATCTTACGGGGAACTACGAGCGCGGAAACTTCTCGTTGCGTCAAGCGCAATCCCACACGAAGAGTGACTGAACGTAGGAGCATCTTAACCTGGCTTGTCAGTGATATTACTGTTGTTTTTCCTTACTATAAATACTCTTTGAGGTTTTTAGTATCGAGAAAATGGATATTCCGATCCTTGGGAAGGTACATTATGGGGCGCGGACAGTGTACTTGGCCCCAGATCTCAGCAGCGAGGCAAAGTTTGCCTTTTTTGCCTAAAATGATACACCGGTCATAAAATTATCTTAAAGTTTAATCAGGATAAGCTTACGGGTTGTGACTCCTTTGATACTGAGTTTTAAGACTTTCCTTCCAGTAGAGACAATTTGAAAGTTTGTCGCTATCATTGTCCCGTTTTGCACTCCTACCTTATAGAACCACACTTTACCAACGAATGCATGGGATCTATCACGAGTTCCGAAAGATTTTATGCTCTCCAAGACTATACGTTTTATGTCCCGCGGTATCAAGGCTCACATGTAAGCCAGCCGGTTTTAGCATTACGGCCCACAGATAGATTGCACGATATCCGCGATACAGTTCTTGGAATTTGCCTTGCGTACGAGTCTACCTATTGTAAGTGGGTATCTTGTTTTCTCCGCACCTTGACTTTGCTGTAATACGGTTTCCCGCCCCTTCTGTAACACTGCTTAGATTAAGCAGCTCTCCATCTCAGCCAATGTGAATTGACAACATGCCACCCACGCAACGTAACGGGTTCGTAAGCATACTTCTTATCGGGCGGGGTCTAGAAAGATGGCAGATCAGGCGCGATATTGTACCTGTTGCTGATCTCGTTGGTCAAATTCTACCATGGCTCTGAGGCATAGTTTGCTCACAGACCAAGATCGACGAGGAAACTTTGGGGCCCGAGACATCTATGCCGTACTCAATCCGATTCCGAGCGTCAGTGATTGGCTGAATAGATATGTGCGGCCACACTGACCAACCTACAGATATTTTCGACGCCGGTGATCTGTCGTGGGTAACATTGCGCATCATTGAAACTCCCAGCACTACCAGTCAGTAACGAGCCACGGTGAGCCTCTTTAGCGCAGTCAATATCGTGGCAGTCAGTCTGATTGCGTTTAGTGTATGCGATGCCGGCTATTGAAACACACCTCTATCCCACACTGGCATATCGCCAACAGCCTAATCCGCCTGCAAACACCATCAGTACCGATGACGGCTCCGGCTTCGGCACATCCACGTCCTCGGGCAGCAAATCATGGATCACATTCATTGTAGTTCCAGCTACTATACTCATCTTCTCTTTTATAATGATCATGATCTGGACGTGGAGGCATAGGAACGATCCAGTTTTCCCTGAAAATCACAAGAGCCGAGATGATCGGAAACTAGGAGAGAAGCCCGAAATGGACGGCCGAGATATCCGCTTCGAAGCTGGGCACCAACCACATGGATCAGAGATGGATACAGGTTTACGAGCCGAATTGCATGGATGTTTTGTGGCTCCACAGCTTCTTGAGAATACGACAGTGGCTGTGGAGGTGGGCTGCGGAATTGAGGGGCATGAGGTCGGTGCTAGATCAACACATTTGGAAGACGACAGAAGTTCACCAATCCTTAATTGCACTGCATCGACAGTCTCGGTAGGTTTTGCGACCTGTCCGGCTCATACACAGTCTGAATCGAAACATTCAAAAGAAGACGAGAATTGTTCTGCGATTGAAAATCAACAGCATATAGAGTAGCATGAATCAGTTAATGTGCACAGAGTGGCAATATGAGATGCCTTGGATTAACGATAGTAGTCTCCACCTTTAAGCTCTTCCCCATCCAACAGGCCTGGCATCAATAGGCCTTTCCCTTACTGGTCGCTCACCAACCTCACCTCTGCTAACGACCTTCTTCAATCGATGTCCAACATGCTTGGCGCTCTCTCCGTTCTTTCCATGGCGGTGGTGTCTATGGTACTGATTGCTGCCCTTGTGCCAGTACCACTCCCAATCGTCATCATCCTCATCACCAGACCAATCATCGTCGTCATCGCACCAGCAGTCATCGTCCTCGTCTGGGTCACATGGCTCCCAAGGGTCCTCAGTGGGCGTAGGAGTGTGTGGCCTGCTGGATGTGCGCGACGGACTGGTTAAGAACGTGCTTGGAGTGGGTCGAGATGAAGATGACGGTGGCGGCCGCGTAGGTCTCGAGGTCGGAGGTGGTGGTGGTGTGGGCCTAGACGTTGGTGGTAACGTGGATCTAGAGGTTGGCGACAGGGGAGGAGAAGGTCTCGATGTAGGGGGTAACGAAGGTGTAGGCCTTGATGTTGGTGGACCTGGCGGAGTAGGCATTGACGTTGGCTTGATGGGAGTTGTTGGCACAGGCCTAGACGATGAGACCGACGGAATGGACCTAGAAGACGAAGACAAGGGAGGCATTGGGCTCGGGAAGGAAATGGGTGGGATGGGTCGTGTTGTCGGGATAGGAGGTAACATTGTCGTGTTGAAGACTGGCGGCGAAGGTCTGGCCGTGGGAATGCTCAGCGACGGCAAGCTCAGAGTCGGAAGGCTCAATGTTGGGAGCGGCAATGATGATACCGAAGGGATAGGTCCGGAAGATACGGCAGGCGCTGGCCGCGAAGGCGAGATGGGGGCGTTAGGCCTCGATGTTGGAAACGGTGGCACAACAGTCGAATTGAGGACGGATGATGAGGGTATGACAGTGGGAAGGCTCAACGTTGGTAGGCTCAATGATGGCAGACTTGGCGTAGGAGTTCCGAACGTTGGTAATGGCCTAGATGACGAGACGGGGGGTAAAGGTCTAGTTGTCGGAAATGGCGGAACAACAGTTGTATTGAAGACAGGCGGCGAGGGCCTCACCGTGGGAACACTCAGTGAAGGCAGACTTAATGATGGCAAGCTCAGTGAAGGCAGACTCAACGTTGGCAAGCTCAGTGATGGTAGGCTCAATGATGGTAAGCTCAGTGATGGTAGACTCAACGATGGCAAGCTTAGCGTAGGCAGACTGAGCGTCGGAATTGGTCTAGAGGACGAGGTCGCCATCGATGGCGCCAGTGTTGAGTTGATCGCCGGCAGCGAAGGCCTCACCGTTGGAGCAGTGAGCGTTGGCAAGCTTGTTGAATTGAGGACCGGAGGTAGCTGTGGCGGTCTCAAGGTCGGCAGCGTCAATGTCGGCAGCGGTGCTCGAGATGTAACCGGTAGGGTTGCAGAAGGACGCGTGGTCGAGTTTAATGCTGGAGTTGTGGGAATACCAATCGGGACGCTGGATGATGGAAGTGACAAGCTCGGGGGCAATATCGGCGAGATCGAAGGCAAAGATGTTCGCGAGATGTTCACACTGGGTAGTGGAAGCGTCAATGAGGGCAGAGCCGTAGGTAGCGACAAAGATGGGAGCGACAATGACGGTAGCGATAGAGACGGCAACGATAGAGACGGCAACGATAAAGATGGTAACGATAAAGAAGGTAGCGATAAAGACGGTAGAGACAAGGTCGGCAGTGGCAATGTCGTTGGCCTCGAAGATAAATTAGATGTGGAAATCGAGCGCGAAACATTGACGCTGGACACCGGTGGTAGGGTCGGCCGCACAGTCGGAAGGGTGATGATTGGCGATGAAGTCACCGAAACCGTTGGTAGTGGAACCAAAGAGCTACTGGATGGGCCACCGAAGCTGAGGGAGCCAGAGGCAGAGTCGGTCGTCACACTCCCACCCGTCGTAGGACGGGGGATGCCGGAGGGAAGACTCCATGTAAGGTTTTGCGCTGCAGCTACGCTAAACAAGCCGAGCAACGTAAAAGAAGTTTCCACAAGCATGGTGGTCTGCAGCTCTGAAGTGGAACGACCACAAAACTAGTACGTACCTAATACGCTTCACCGATGTGCAACTCTAGATAGCTTTATACTGTCCTTCTTCTCAAAGAGCGCTTGATTGCCGATGAGGCGACTGCACTACTTCATTCTCGGCTTCGAACATCTAGCGTGATGCCGCGGGCCAAGGCGTCGAACAGGTGCTCTCGAACCTATGGCCCTGCGGCGTGCAGACTGCCTTTGCTCAGTTGGGCACGGGAGAATGCGTATATGACAGCATGCAGCGCTTTTGATGCTCCGATGGTAGCACAGCATCGTACAATGTGCTTTCCGATATGAAATTAAATGTTTGCCATGCTGTTTAGTGGCGCAAAATCTGGGGTTCGCGTAGCTGGTGCAGTGTAGATCCAACAGTCTAGCCTAATGATGAGGCTTCTAAGATCCTATGGCAGGAAAGAAGCGATTCCAGTTGCCGTGCGAATTAATTCTTCACAGACTATCGACGACAATGGAAGGCCCTGAAATGTTGACAGTGTCGATTTGCTCTACCATTGCGGCGATACAGCTGTCATTGCGCGAGACCGTCATTGTATCTTGACTCTCCACGGCCACTCGCCACTCACGCAGAAATGTATATAGGAACCGCGCAGAGCATCTGAGGTCAATATAAGCTTAGATTCCAGCCTCGCTAATCATATAACTTCCGACGATCCCATCCAGAAGTGGCCATCCATTCACCCACCTGCATTAGCCGAGGAGGGTGGCCAAGCCCGGTAGACAGGTACGTCCACGCCCCGGAGTATAACGGCATATTAATGAAGCAGCCCGTCGAATTCTGGTTGGTGCGGTGAAAAATAATTGCCGATCAACGCTGTTTCGAGTCGGAAACTTAGGCCGGTATGTGTGCATTTGCTGTGAATATGCGAAATCGGATCATCGGCCTCAAACCCCACAAAATCGATGAGTACCCATGACGGTTGAGGAAACACCATCCACACCTAGTGTCCCCGCGTTGCATTTCCCACCTTAGGCTGCGGCCACACATCTAGCACCATATCTGCACCAGTAAGCTCAAAGCAAGCTCTGTCCTGCTCGGGAACATCTAGTACTAGACAATACTCCCCCGCATACAGCACTGTATCACCCCTCTCGTTCACCCTTGCAAGGTTGCCAATCGTGAAGCCCAATTGCACCGGTCTTTCTTCTCCAGGTTTCACATTAGCCAAGCGTTTGTACGAGGCCAATTCTTTGATCGGGTACGGTTCAGGTCCCGCTTTCGTGGTCACAAAAGCAAGAGCAATGAAGTCAGAAGCTACATCGCCGCTGTTTCTGACTTGGACAACATGTGGGGTGAACGGACAGCGATCTTTGGGGGAAGAGAAGGAGCAACCGGCGAGAATCTGTGTGGTTGGGTAGGTGCGATTGGTGTACCGAGGGTCAAAACGTATGGTGAAATTCGTATAATGTAATGAAGAGCCGAATTCTTGGATTGCTTGAGAGTACCATTTGTACGTGCGGCCAGGGTTTTTGCTGCTGGGTCGGAGCGACATATCTGTCATTGGGACCTGCTCTGTGTAGTTCGCAGGGTATTGTGTGACAGGAAGACGGCCGGCTGGCGCTGTATTGCCCGTGATTATATCCAAAGCCGCTGGACCACCGTACATGCCTGGATAGCCAACCCAGAGTATGGAATTGATCTTCTCGTTCACCAGAAGTGGTGTGTTATCGATCGATGTTCCGAGTTGCACTACGATAATTTTCTTTCCTAATCCACTCAATTCACGGAGTATGGTTCGCTGTATCTCCGGCCATGCGATCGTAGTTCGGTCTTTGTCTTCAGTTTCAAAGGTTGTATCAATGCCGCCGAAGTAGAGGACAACATCGGAGTTCTGTGCCGCTTGGATCGCAGCACGATAGTTCCCAGTGCCGGAGGAGGGAGCGGTAGCATAATTCACCTGGAAGCCTGCATTCTGCACCGCCCAGAGCGGAGTTCGATAAACTGGCGGTTTACCATAGTAGTTGCCAAGCATGCGATCAGAAGTATCGTTGGCCCAGAATCCTATCACTGCGATGCTTTGGTTCTTTGCCAATCTGAGAGGAAGCGTTCCGTCATTCTTCAATAAAACCGTGCCTTCGGTTGCTGCTTGGAGAGCCAGTGTTTGCGCCTGCTCCGTATTCACGTACTCCCAACCGTAAGAACGCGGTCCCACAACATCGTCGCGGGAAACGGCAAAATAGTCTGCGCGAATCAGGCCTTCGTACTGCCGACGCAATGCTCGGTCAATAACCTCTTCGCTGACACGGGATTGATTGAAAGCCCCAACAACATCAGTAGTCCAGCCTCCAGCTTCACACACGTTATCGGTCCCAGCACTGAAGGCTTTCCCGGCAGCTTGAGCGGCTGTTTGGACCCATTTGTGATCGGCATATATGTTATGTACCGCGTTGCAGTCGCTCACAACGTAGTTGTTGTGCTTGGTCCAGTTCCAGTGGTCCCGAAGCACAGTCTGCATCAGATACTCGTTCGCACACGCCGGAGTACCATTTACGCTGTTGTAGCTACACATGATGGAAGCAACGTTTGAATCTCGAGCGCACTGCTTGAAAGGTGGCAAGTAATACTCGACCAAGTCCTGCATCGAGACAATCGCGTCGAAAGAATATCGTACCACACCGTTCCAGCGCTCGAGGTCGTACGCAGCGTAGTGCTTGCATGTTGCTAGGATCTGTCGCTTCTCCGTTGTATTGGGATTCTTGCCGGACCACTCCATGCCTTTGAGCAGCGCTTCTACGTACTTCGAAATCCTGAATGGGTCTTCACCGGGAGTTTCAAGACCACGACCCCATCGGGGATCCTTAAACGGATTGATATTTGGCGTCCAGAAATCCAAGCCAGCGCGTCCAGCGTTTGCGAATGCGCGAGCCTCCGTTCCTATCACGTGGCCTATAGCTTGCACTAAGCCATCATTGAACGCGGCAGAGATGGTGATGGGAAGTGGAAACGATGTCGCCGAAGAATAGTTCCCATGGTCAGCAAAGTGAACGCCTGGTGATCCAGCAACTCCGTGAAGAGCTTCACTCCACCAGTCGTATTTGGGAAGGCCGAGTCGCTCCGCACCTTGGCTGTGACTAAGCGAAGTCAGTGTCTTGTACTTGATCTGTTCGTTGCACACACTCCACAAGATTAGCCAGCTTCTCTTCGATGGTCATTGCAGAGACAAGTGCCTTCGCGCGCTGGGATGGATCCAGACCCATGCGGCAAACATCATTGCGAGCCAACGGGCCCGAGACACAATCTGGATATCTGTCACACGAAGCCAGAGATGCCAGTGCCAGGCCAATCGACATGAAAGGAATGTAGCCCATGTCGGAGTTTTCTTGTACCACGATAAAATGGTCTTGAGCTTAGCGATTTGTAATTGGAGAAAAAGGCCTGAATCTGAGCCGAGTGGAAGCTCCAAACATCGGACTAACGAGAGGTCCAGGGTATTCAAATATCGGAACGTATCCGGTGCTTCGGATGAGCCCATGCGCATATTGCGCTCTAAGTAGGCGATACGCATCAATGCAATATGCATAGATGCGTGAGGGGTAAGCGCTCAGATAGGCCATACTCAACGAGATGTATCGGTGCCTCGCCAAAGTTTCTCCGCCGTCTCTTTATGGTCTACGGTCAATTAATTATCAATGTTCCATTGGGTAGGTTACTTAGTACGCGTAATTTATCAGTTCAGTGTTCGATTTACGTATTCATGGCAATTCAACAGTAATTAGCCAATAGTAGAGTGATTATTCACACAACGTTCCGGAACAAATGCAGTAATTATGCCATCGAAGTCTGTGCCTGTGCTCACATAAGTGGCGCATGACCCGAGCATAAAGGAATAGGTCAGATCTAAAGCCTAGTAGAATAACCATTCACAGAAGTCTAGAGATTGTTTCGAAGCTCATCAACCAATTTCGACACGCTACCTTCTATCGCAGGAAGGAGGTCTTGCGCGAAAGCCTCGTCATGTGGGTGACTATCGGCTATTTGAGCAGTCGTTGCTTGAGCAGTCGTTACTTGAATGGATCCTCCGTAGTGAAGGTAATCTCCAACGGTGCACTTTGATAAAGTGGAGGGAAGATGAAATAAAAATTGCTCTGGCGTGGTCAGCTACTTCCTACATATTGCAAGAAAACACATGTACCTTGTGAAGTTCTTGCCTAGCATCGTAGATGTTTGGAATTAGTTCGGCCTTAACTGCTTTTTGAAAGTTTTGAGCAAATACATGTATGCGATGGCCGAGGCAGAAAATAGCAACATATATGTGGTGTACATCATTGCGCTGATACGACTTGGCTCGCTGCTACGGGGAAGAGGGTCACCGTAATAAGTAAGCTTGCTTGTACTACGACAGTCAGACTGGGCTCGAGTCAATTGGTCGCGCCAACCAAAGACGGACTGTGTACCTTGCGTTGTATACGCGCCGCAACCGCGCCGCAACCCACCATTCACTCAACCCCCTCTTCTACTACAGTCGGATCCTTCTCTCAGTACACATGAGCCACGGACTTGAAGATGACCATTCTAATGAGCTCGATTCTTGCAGCTGTGATTGCGCTCGCCATTCTCGTCATTCGCCGGCGTTATGAGACATCTTCGACTATGCGACAGTATCAGTGTGCTCCATCCCCAACGCATTGGTCGAAGGACATCTTCTTTGGTATGGACTTCACGTTCGAAATGCACTCCAATCTGGCAATGATGAAAAGGAACCACGATCGCTTTGGTCTTACTTATCAGTTGGACACCATCTTCGGAGATCCAGTCCTCAACACGATCGCAACCGAAAACTTACCCTTGATTCATTCCGACGGCAAGAACTATGGTATACAGCCCGTGAGGCTTCCAGGTATGGAGTACTTTTGTGGCCAAGGATTCTTAACCACAGATGGTCCGATTTGGCTACAGGCGAGGAGAATGTTGAGACCCTCCTTTGCGAAGCAGAATATTTCGCAATTGGATTTTCTGTCCAGGGAAACACGTAAATTAATAGAGAAACTTCCCACCGATGGTACAACCATAGACCTTCAGCCTCTATTGTTCATTACTGTAAGATCCATTCAAAATTGAAATTGTTCACGTCGCTCATGAATGCATAGTTCTTACACAGTTCCTTACATTTCTTGCTTGGGATCGATCCATCTGAGGAGACAGATCAAGCGCCGTGTACGCCCGAAGAATTTATTGAGAGCTTCCATACCGCAGTCTTTGGAACAGGCCTCCGAGTCATGCTGGGACGTTTCAAGAGCTTTGCGCCGAAGGCAGGGTATGTCGACGTATGCAGACGCGTCCATGAGTACATTGAGTACTACATCAGACAGGCTCTCACAGCCCCCTCACTGAAACAGACGCCTCAGGAGTACGATGAGCCACAAAAAGGCCAGCGCAGTATGGTTCAAGGCTTAGCAGCGCAGACAGATGACATGGACTTCATCCGGAGTCAGATTCTACAAGGCATGCTGGCTGCGCAGGAGACGATCTCGGTGCTGGTCTCCAATACCATGTTTCTAATGGCTCGACATCCGTCCGAATGGGCAGAGCTTCGGACGGAAGTCTTGAGCTACGGTGAAGATCTCTTCAACTTTCACAGATTGTCTGTTTTCAAGCCTCTTCAGAACATCTTAAACGAAGGTATGTTGATGTACCTATAACTGACAATGATTGTGAGCCTTACTTATGATGGATAGCTCTTCGGATTTACCCAGTGTTCCCAATGCTAGGTCGGACCTGCCTCCAAGATACTACGTTGCCTGTCGGAGGGGGCAAGAACCAAGATCAACCGATCTACGTTGCCAAGGGAACATTTGTTGTGACGAGCTATATTGCAATGCACATGAATGACAAGGTGTTTGGGAAGAGCCCAGAGCAGTTTCGACCGACCCGTTGGAACGAGATTCGCCCCTCGCAGTGGGAGTACATGCCGTTTGGAGGAGGCGAACGAGCCTGCCTTGGGAGAGAGAAAGTATTGGCCGAAGCGGCGTATGTTGTCGCCCGTTTGGCGCAGACCTTTACAAGGGTAGAGTCTCGGGACGATAGACCTTGGAAAGAAGTAGTCAGGATGACGGCGAAGAACGCGAACGGTTGCCAGGTTGGTTTGTTCAGAGGGTAAATGCCCATTTCCGTACCATCGTTTCCCCAGCTCGCAAACTGTGTAAAAGTTAGTCTTTCGCCCTGTTTTGCGCATCGGCGGGAAGGCTGACGCGTTCGATGCGTTGGGTCTAAGTTAAGTGATTAAAGCTACGCGATGAAAGTGCGATATAATAGCAAGCCTTTTCTATGCTCGATCGGCATCGTGGATCCATATGAGCTATCTAGCATCTCGTCCAAAATAACACGAAGTCATCGACTTCCGCAATGTCAGTTGGACGCAATGTTCAGTGACTTGATTGATGTGAACGTGGTTGGCGCGTCAATGATTCGTCTGTGAAGGTTGACGGTGCCAAGGCCGAGGTCCAAGGCGGCCCCTTCTCCACAGTCCCGCCAGCGGTAAACCACCACGGCAACGCGCTAGAAACGCGTCCATTTGCTATGTTACTGCCACTATACGGAGTTACATTCATAGGACTCGCAGCTGCGACGTGCTATGAGCCATCGTTTGCCCATCCTCCACCGGACTATGACCGCGACCATCCAATTCTAAAGGATGCCTTGACGCACCTCCACGACGTACTTACAATAGCCCTAGGTGATCCCAAATACAATTCGACGTCCATATCAGTCGAAGTTACCTCGTCAAAGGAATCGCTATGGGAATTCCACCATAGCGCGCGCGAACGTAATGCCTCTCGTCCCGACATACCACACGTTAACGGCAGCGCACTGTACCGCATTGCGAGCATCACCAAGACATTCACTGTGCTAGGCTTACTGCAGCAACATGCTGCAGGGAACCTCAGCCTCGACGACCCTGTAGAGAAATACATAACTGAATTGAATGGACCCCAGAATGGCACGTTGCCTTGGAAGGATATAACACTGCGGTCTCTAGCCAGCCAACTCAGTGGTATACCGCGCGAACGTAGGCTGTCAATATGGGCGACTCGTAGTATGAGAACCTGACGCGTGCAGTTGCTCAATCCGATCTCATCAATGAGGGAAATTTGCACATCAGCCCAGATGATTGGGGCCTGCCACCAGTTTCTAGAGAAGGCCTGATTACGTGCGACGAGTATTCGGAAAACTATCATGAACCATGTACCGCAAGCGGTAGGCAATGCAACTATCCTCGCTAGAGAAGAACACTAGCTGAACGAATGTAGACTTGATTAGATCCGTCAAATCTTACCATCCCGTATTCGCACCGAATCAGCAGTCTACCTACTCCAACATTGCGTTTGAATTAATCGCCCTTGTAATTGCGAATGTCACCAATCAGACATACGAGTCCTACATTGATGACGCCATATTTAAGCCGCTGGGTATGGGTAGAAGCACCTTCTCTGTCCCACCGGATAGTGAAGGCGTGATTCCGCTATGGCCGCATTATTGGGACGTCGATGAAGGCGTCCAAAATCCTACTGGCGGCATTTTCACCTCATCGAATGATCTGTCTAAGTTTCTGCGGCATGTCCTTACCAGGTACAACGGCATCACACACGCCCTCAATTGGATGCATCCCGTATCGCCATCGAAAGACTTGCATAGCTTCTACGGCATGCCGTGGGAGATCTTCCAGAGCGACCGCGTGCTGTCCAACTCACAACGCGCGATCAGATTCATCACCAAAGGTGGCGGTCTTCCAAGTTACACTTCTTTGGTAATCCTAATCCCTCAGTATGATCTCGGCATCTCTCTCCTCTTAGCCGGACCGCCCGACTTCTTCGCCACACTGCGAGAAACTGTAAGCATCGGATTGGCTCGCGCTGCTGAACAGATTGCCATTTCAACACTAGAGCAGGGCTACGCGGGCCGATATATCTCCGCCGATCCCAAGCTTAATTCGTCCTTAGTACTCGAAGCTGACCACCGTGGGCTGCTCGTGAAGGAATTCATATCCAACTCAACAGACGTACTGCAATCCGGCCTCCTTCGATATCTTGGTCGGCCAGAAGACAAGCCATGGTATTTGCTCCTGATACCTACTTTGTTGTACCGCGACGAAGAGAACCAGAAGGGCGAAATTTGGCGTTTGCACATCGCCACCGAACGACCCAGAGAAGAAACCGAGGTTTGGGACGATTTTTGCATAACGGATATCGAGGGGTTATTGTACGGCGGCATCCCTATCAATCAGGCCGTCATCTGGAAAGGGCCCTACGGGCTCGTCTACGATATAGATCTCGAAGGTTTCAGAGCTAGTATGGTTCGCATCTTCGCGCATGGTCACACTGCATCACATATTGAAGAGCATGAGCAGATGGAGTTGTGAAGCAAATGTCGTCTGATATGCCGACGATTTTACAAGGGCGCCTTCGAATACAACGCCACCTGCCATGACTCAGGCACTTGATCACAATCGCATTCCTTTATCATGTGCACCTAGCTTGCCATAGCCAAAGCGTTTGATGTACTAGTTGTACATATTTTACATTAGCCGAACGGCTTAGGCGGAGAGCCCCACATTCTTGACAACTTCAGCCGGTACACGCTGTCTGCATCTGTGGCGACTTGTTCAGCCAATTTCTCTTGGAAAGTATTTTTTTCGAACGCTTCGACGCATGATTCCTTCTTGTCTTGTCGAACACACATGAACTGTACTCGGATGCTAGTATACGATCGACTAGTACGATACTTTTCACGTAGTCCGATCCCTTGAAATGCGGACAAACGGCATCCTGAATCTAATGCCGGTCTTGGTTCGGCTACACACCAAACATGTGGCAAAGCGATTGCCAAATCTGAGCTCATATAAGAACCATCTTGAGTAGCCTCATATTAAACTCATTAAACAAGCGACCCACAAGCCTGTTCATCAAGGCTGTTACCCGTAGCTTGCATGCGGGGATGATTGCGCCTACATCTTACTGCTGTGGAGATTCCACGAGACTGTAACTGTACTGCGTCTCGGTCTTCGGTTTTTCAAGATGCGTTTCAGTACCGTAGCATTCGCGGTCTGCGCAGCCACCGTCAGCAGTGCGCCTACGCCTGAAAGTAACCTCGCGCAAATCCTGGACCTGTTGCCACGACAAGAAAACGTAACATGTCCTACGACGCCAAATCCCATGCCCAAAGCGGCCGACTTGCCCGCTGTGAAGACGATGCCTGATCCCTTCCTCTACCTCGACGGCAAGACGAAGGTCAAAAGCAAGGATGAGTGGTACCAATGCAGACAACCAGAGATCATGAAGCTCCTCCAAGAGTACCAGTACGGTTACTACCCCGATCATTCGCAAGAGACCGTCACGGCGACCCGCAGCGGAACGAAGCTAGATGTTACGATCGCTGCAGGAGGGAAGTCGGCGACTATCTCGGCGACGTTGAATCTGCCAAGTGGGAGCGGGCCGTTCCCAGTCGTGATTGCCATCGGTGGCATTGATAACAATAGCTACCTCAAAGCAGGTATTGCGGTGGTCACTTTTGACTACGGCAAGGTCGCCGCAGACAGCAACAGCAAGACTGGCAGCTTCTGGACGCTGTACAACGGGAAAGATATCGGTATGCCTCTCATCCCATTCCATATCGTCAGTATGATACAAGACTGACGCTCAACATCAGGTGTCCTAACAGCATGGGCGTGGGGATTCCACCGCGTCCTCGATGGCATCGAACTCAAAGTCCCAGAGATCGACGCGAAGAAGTCTGGCGTTACGGGATGCTCACGTCTGGGCAAAGCTGCGCTTGCTGCCGGCTTGTTCGATAAGCGCATAGCTGTCACGATGCCAATGTGCTCTGGCGTGCAGGGTGCCGGACCGTATAGATACAGCTTGAGCGGCCAGGGCGAGAACTTGGAGAACTCCAAATCTGGCGCAGGCTGGTGGACATCCTCCGGCATATCTCAATTCGTCAACCACGCCACCCAGCTCCCCTACGACGCGCACACTATCGTTGCGGCCATCGCCCCTCGTGCCGTTATCCTCGAGCAAGGCGCGTCAGACCAGTTCACAGACTCCAAGGGTACCGCCACCGTCACGTTCCCTGCCGCGAAAGCAGTTTACAGCTGGTTAGGCGTTGGAGACCAGCTGGGCATGAGTATTCCAAAGGGAGGTCATTGCGATATGGGCGGGTACGCGGATGTGCTACCTTTCGTACAAAAGGTGCTCCAGGGAAAGACAACGAGCAGGAACTATGATGACCTAGGCAGCTGGAAGGCTATGCCGGAGGCTTACCCTTGGGCGACGAGCTTGCCGGCAGGTAGGTAGACCCACAATATCGCACGCAAAGACTCAACCTGGTGAGGTCATTGCTTTTGGTGTTTCCTTTCTGGGGTGCTTCCGTTTCACTAGTCGCAACTTGCTGGTCTAATTTTACCAATGCATTCACCTCGGGGATCTCTCACCAAGCGGGGCTTCGGTCGCTACACTATATAAATCTAACTTTCATCGCACTCGAAACACGTGCACCCACCCACAGAAACGCTTTTACGTCTGAAGCCTCACCTCAACCGAGCTCGAAGTGTCTATATAGCACACCACTTCTAAGCTTCCTTTTGCAAAAGATTTGCACACGTCAAGAAAGCTCCGCGACTGACCCCTCTCACGGCGCAGAGTCAGACTCAACCTCTACGGTCTACCGCAGGAGCCCTTACCCCAATCTGTTCGAGGAAATTCCCATCAGATACCACTACCAGCTCCACATCTCAACGACTGCGCTTTCTCCCCAATCTCCCGAAAGATCTTACACCAAATCTCCGCTTTCATAATGTCACTGTCGATACCCAATCGCCAGCAGAAGCTTGCACGCTCTAATCATGCTCGCGAGCCACGTCGACCAAAGCACACTTCGAAGCGTCTGCAGCGCATGGTCAAACATGTGAAGCTCTCTGGAGTCGACTACTTTGAGGCGGTTGCAAAGACTACTGCAGAGGAGGATGCTCTACACTCTCAAGAGGAGGCCGGCGAGTATAAATGCGACCACTGTCAAGAAGACTTCCTCATCGATCATGGCCTCGTTTCATGTTGCGAAGTAGGTTTGGCCACTTGCGCCGCACACTTCCTATGCAATGTTTGCATCAACGCCGTGTTCGAGAAAGCGATGATGCCGGGCTGGCAGTATTTTCCTGCTCGTTGCTGCCCTTCTCGGGACAGCTGTCGCGGTATTGACATAGACTATTGTCTAGACATTCTCGATCGCAGTTATTGGGATCGGAGCACAGTCTCGCAGTATCAGGGGAAGCTGACAGAGTACTTCGTCATGACTTCAACCCCTGATCTCTATGTCCATTGTGCGGACTGTGGCAAATGGCTACGTCCTTCCTCCTTCAGGGATGCATTTATTTCTAGGGTGGCCAAGTCCCTGGTAGCCTGGTGCTTCGAATGTCGTACCTTGACCTGCGTGAGCTGCAAGTCGATTTGTGAGGGCCAACACCACCGATGCGATAGCTCCGAGGATCTGCCTGGCAAACCCAACTGGCTGCCTGAATATTCGACCAACTGTCGCATCAAGCAATGCCCCATGTGCCACATGTGGATCGAACTTCACGAGGCTTGCAACCACATGGCCTGTCAGCATTGCCACTGTCATTTCTGTTTTATCTGTATGATGGATTGGGACGAGGGCCACGACAGCTGCCCTCAGTATGGAGATCCCGCAGCAGGTTATGATGCGGATGGGTACGAGATGAACGATCGAGGCCTTCATCTATACACTGGCCTCGACCGATCCGGACGCAATCGTGTGGGCACAATAGTGGTCACCCAACAGTCGCAAAACGTTCTCCAAGGTGAAGCCGCAGCGTACGACGATCCCGATTACCAGGAGGACGAGGACGATTACGAAGAATACGGCGAGTTCGGATGCGATGATCAATATCATGACAGTGACGCCGAGAATGACGATGACAATGATCACGATCTCGCCCTTCAGCAAGATGAACAAGATCCACAGGGCGAAGAGAATGCCACCGAGGATGAGCAGGCAAATGGGATCGTCCAGTTTGAGGATACAGATCTTCCTGATAACCATGCTGAGAATACTATGGAGCTAACGAACGACATGATCGATCATGCCATTGTCACTATCGCTCATGACGAGGTTGAAGCGCTGGACGCAGTGCAACATGATGATCGGGAGAACATGTTTAGAGTATTGGCTTGGGATGAAGCACAGGAGGTTTATCCTGGTGCAGGTGGTCATGATGATCGGGAGAACATGTTTAGAGTATTGGCTTGGGATGAAGCACAGGAGGTTCATCCTGGTGCAAGTGGTCATGAGGAGCTAAGTGATTGGAGTGCATGGTGAGGAAGACTGAATTGACTTCAAACCGAAGGAAATGGAGAGCACGCAACTGAGGTTGAATGAGCTCGCAGATAACAGGTCGATGTCCAAATTCCTTTATAGCTTATGAAAAACGTGGTATTCACTGTTTACTTCTGGAAACACCTACGCGACAATCATTCTACAGAAGTGATTAAGTTATGAACGCCTTGGTTACCACACGTGACTACCAATCATAGCTGACAACGAGTCTATCTATCAAGCCTTGGGACTGCTTGCTTGGAATAACCAGCTGTCAGTAATATCGTTAATGATGGCTTGGAGACTTTCTCGTCTTCACATAGCTTTCGCTTTATTGAAACTCTCCTAATGTGTCTCAGTGTGACCTTCAAATAAGATTGACCCAGTCTCATTCACAATCCAATATTGTGTCAATCGCACTGTAGTGACCATCACACCGTTTCACATTAGGCGACTGTTGGTCTCAGATACGCTATTTATGTAAACCTCGCAAAGACCGAATGTTTCCCCTTTGTTTAATTGTTAGCTACTCACTTTCCCCAGGATCCACAGCGGTGTTCGGTTCAGTTTACATGGACCATGCGCAACAAAATCATTAACGCAGGGCACAATGTTTTGCTCTTTCACCCGCAAGCCCAAAAGTAGTCGAAACTTTTGTCAATACCGCGGACCGTCTCAAGATAACTCCACTCATAGTGAGCCGGACGTTGTGTGTATTCACCGAGATTCACTATATAACCTTGACATCTCCAGATAAGAGCGATGGAACCAATATCCATTCCTACATAGCTTTTTAAAGCGGGACCGTCTTCTAGATGCGTTCGAAACTCAACTTTCTTAAATACTCAGCTACAAACCCACCAAACCGTCTGTTGATCGGACGATTTCGACGATCTGATATGAACACCAGAACTTCCATTTCCTCCGATGAGGAGATTTACGAATGCCACATCTATGGACTGGATTATCCACTGAACGAAGGCGCCGTCACCTGCGCGGCGCATTTCTTCTGTGATGATCGCTTTATCTCCCAGTTCGAGGCCCTCGCAAAGCAATCTGGCTTCGAAGCCTTCCCTGCGAGGTGCTGCTTTGGAGAAGCGACGGAAACAACACTTCGCCGACATCTGGCGGAGGTCCTGCTGCCAATTGACGTGATTGCAACATATGCACAGAAAGAGGCCGCGTTTTATACTACGCCAGCTATGCGTATCTACTGCTCGGATTGTAGAGAGTGGCTCTCGCCGAACCGGTTCTACGACGAAGGCCCCTACAGCCTGGTCAAGTGTGACTGTGGCACTGTGACTTGTGTCGGATGTAAGGACCTTTGGCAAAAGAATCATCGCTGTGGTGACGGCGCTAGTGCGAAGCCTGCGTGGATGCCAGAGTATTCCGTAGATTTTCGCATCAAGAAATGTCCTGGACCATGCCGCATGTTTACTGAGCACAAAGAGGCGTGCAACCATATGACATGCCCGAATTGTACGCACCAGTGGTGCTGGGTCTGCCTTCTGCCTTGGAATTCCTTTCATCCTGGCGAGGATGACACGCCGGGCTGCCTTATGTATGGGGATCCAGAGTATGATGAAGAAGGCTATGAGAACAATCAACGTGGCCTTCACCGAGACACTGGCTTGAATAGGCAGGGCCGCAATCGTCATGGTGACCTCCCTCTTGGTGATCAGGTGTCATCTGCTACAGGGACCGCAGAATTTGCCTTCAATGGAGATCTATTCCAACTCGAAGGCCAGCACAATGGAGTCCAGGTCCAGGTCCAGCATCCAGATGGGCAAGATAACGAGGTCGAAAATCTCAGCCAGGACAATCAGCAGCACCCCAACGACCTGTGGAGCAACGCCCCGGCTGAAGAATGGATTACTGGATCTGGGTGCACCGACAACACTCGGTCTGAAGACGACGATGAGCAAGCTTTCGCGGTTGGTCCGACATTTTTGACATTCGAAGAAGTCGAGTGCGACCACGATTTTGATTTCGACTATCGAAGCGGATACTGCCGCTTCTGTGTGTGGGATGAGGCCGATAGTGAAAGCTACAAGTGTTCACAATGTGGTCTCCAGTCAAGTATGTCGTGCTTCGAGAACAAACTTCAGCCCCGTAGGTCTCTTGAGGCCCCGCCGGGATCCATTCGGCCAGTTCCTAAGGTTTTAATGGAGGACACTCTTGACTCTTCATGGTTTAACCAGGTCAGCGTAATTCAATGGGCCGAGGACGGCGAAGTGCCATATAAGGCTAGGAAACGTGCAACCTGGCGCGAACAGCCAGAGTGGCTGCACATCGACGAAAACCCTTTCCCCTACTTTGGCTTCGGCATCCAGGAGATGTTCCAACACTTAGAGTCAGAGATGCACCGTCAGAACGCGTACGTCGTGGTGGAAGATGTCGGTATCCCTGGACTATCGATGTCCTTCAACCAAAACAACAACTCTTTCGCAGCCTTATCCTGGGACGAGCAAGATAGCACAGGAAGTAATTATTGAGCACACGTTACGAACAAGAAATTGATTTCGCCAGCAAGCAGACACTTGCTGGAAAGTAAATAATAGAGAATGCCAAATGAGATCCGTAAGCCGTTTTCAAGATGTATTGCCGTATAGAGACCATTGCAGAACAGGTAATTTTGTAACCAAGACACTTAGCGTGGAAAGGCCTAGAGTGACGTTCGGAGGTATACCTGCTTATCCTGTGGAGGCTGAGTTGCGTGGGTGTGCCACAGTCAGACTGGTGAGCACGCGAGCCTTTCGGCGACACTCTGCGGTCCGTTCCTCTTTCCACAGCCGAGCAAGTAAATCGAACTGAAGTGGTCTAGGAGCGAATATAGGAGAAAGAGAACATACGTGTTATGTCACGTAACTCCCGAAGTCATGTGAACGAATCTTTAGAGGAAAAAAATCTTCGTCATGTGATACACTAGTCGGTCTTGCCTTGCCATTTCCACCATGCAAGTGAGTGGACGACAAGGGTTACTTAAACTCCTCAAGATAGAGGAGGAATGAGAAGCCGACAGTCAGCTACCAGGCCTCGCAAGAGATCATATATCGGGAGCATCTAGCAAAGTCATTAATGGAGATGCATGCAAACCTGAATCAGGACATGGATCAGCTTATACATGAAGCCAATGTTCAGAAGCTTGTGCTCTCATCCTGAACGCACGGCTGGCTCTGTAGGGCTGGCTCTGTAGGGCTGGCTCTGTAGAGCACGGCTGGCTCTGTAGGAGCATGGCGATTGGCAGCGGACCAGCCTTCTGGCACGGATGGTTCAGCGGACTGGGTGGGATTGGTGGAGTTGCGGCTGTCACTGGTGGTTAGTGCTTTGTCGGATTGTCATCCCCGCGGTCGTGCGGCCAAACTGCCGACCGTTTAGTGTTAGGGCGCCACATGCGGTGTGCGCTGCGCCCACAGCCTACCTTGGGCACCACCTGCGCCGCATCGAACCCGCGACCCCTTGCAGCAGCGTGCTGGCGGCCGTGCGGCCAAGCTCCCGACGGTTTAGAGCGACAGCATGCTTGACCAAAGATGACTTGATTTTTAAATCCACCGGATTGAGGGGCGCTCTTCTACCTTTGCTGTGAAATATAAGATGATCCCGCTTTCATTCCTTTCCCTCGGCACCTCTCCCTTCAATCTGCTTCGCTCATCTTCGTGGGCTTGCAAGCAAAGTCCTCGGACATACCTCACCATGCTTTTCAGTACACAAATTCATACCCGCGCCACCCAGAGTCTGCCTCCGTCGACAACATCATCAACTTTCATGGACCGGAGAGATATCCAAAACTCAGACAACACTACCACCCTTTTTGGTATTCTGGGTGTCATCATTGCGATTGTTGGTCTCGTTCTGGCAGCCCTCCAGCTGCGACACATGTATAAGCGACGGAATTACGGTGTGATTTTTGAGATGGCGTAAATCTGTAGAGACAATCGTTGGTGTGGTTTGAAGAAGGTGCGTCAAACGTGACAGACATAGGGATGACTCTCAGCGCAATGTCCGTAATCAAGCCCAGTAGCGGTGAGACGGACGATTCTCAAATATGCCCTGACAACTTCTGTAGATTAGGTTTCGATGGCGCAAGCAGCACATTTTACGATTAGACGGCAGTCGTGGAAAGGACTTCGCGAGGAATCACCTGGGCAAGGTAGCTGTCTCGACTTCATGAGTCTCATCGAAGTCGCCGGATCAACAAGTGAAATACTGTATACTTCCAGCTTTTAATAGTTGCTCAGTTTTCCGTGTGGATCCTTGCAGATGTATTGAGTAGCCGGCCATGCGTGCAACATGTCGTAGTAGTGTTCCAGGAATGAAAAATATACATCAGAAGATGCTCAGTCAGATTTAGCTCGAGTAGTAGTTTTGAGTGCAAAGCGCAGTTCCGCAGTTTCTGTGAACGAATGGCCGTGTATGAATAGGATAGTGTGCGTCGATGAACGTAGATGGTAACGTCGAAGAATGGTCTGAGAAACCCATCAGGGATATTGGTCTTGGCACGTCGATCATCCGAGGCTCAACGTCAAAGCTCCAAAATTTCCAGACACCACCGCATAGACACCACCATGTTCGCAACGACAAGTGCTAAAAGGTAGGAAATACACGATCTTCGAAATTGCGCTTACTGACTTGAAATAGTGTTGGCCGCGCCGAGCTTCGGTCGCCCGTGTCGTCACCGCGATCGAGTCCCGACCCTGAATTGGCCCAATTTCTCAAGTCCCGCATTCAGGACGAATTTATATTCACAAACCATGAGGACGACGCCGAAGGGTTGCGAGAAGATGCGGTGGCTAGCGACGAGGAAGCCGAACTCGTACTCTTTGCCGGACCGTCGCAGACCGCCGAATCGCACAAAATCCGACTCTCGTCCCCAGATGCGACTGGGGAGCCAGGTTTACTGGTGAAGAAGCCAAGAAGCTATTACTTCACAGATGAAATTACAAGTGAGAAGGAAGAAGAATATAAAGCAGCTGCGGTAACGGGAAGCGACGTGCTCAACATGGCGAAGCTGCCATGGCCTGGCTGTGCGCTGCCGTGGAAGGTGCACACGATCACGCCTGCCGGATTAAAGAAGAATGTTCTCGTTGGGCATCCTCCCACGCTAGTTGAAGTCGAGGACAAGAATAAACAGAGGACACGCAAGGGGAAGAAGAGCAGGATTGCTTTGCGGAAAAAGATGCAAGCTGCCGACGACAAACAAGCGGAGCAAGCGCGGATTGCTCAAGAAAAGGAGGAGGCAGAACGTGAGAAGCGTACAAGAAGGAATCGCGAGAAGAAGGTCAAGCGGAAGGCGCGAGAACAAGCAAAGAAGGAAGCTGCAGCTGGCCCGGAAGCCCCCACGCCTGCATCTCCCGGATCGAAGACCTGAACTCACTGGACTCATTAGATCTACGACCTGAACACCTTCCATCTCTATCAGCTTGCCAGACGGAGTTCGCGACTACAGGTGTGAATCAGCCGCTACTACAACCCATGACGAACGGTTGAATCTGTACTCATTCGGTAATACATTGACCTAACTAGCGGGGCTCTTACTTTTGGTTTGCTGGATACCATTTCCAAAGCTTCCGGTTTTTACCTGGCAGGAGAGGTTGAATCTTTCACGTGCACCCTGTGCTTGGGCCCTTTCAATTACTGGAGACGCCCGTTCTCTATCTATAAAAACGTCCTTTCTGAGCAAAAACTCCACTCTGCTCATTCAACATAACCTGGGACTGCAGCCCCAGCAGGGACGTCAAACATGGACATCAACTCCAACATGACCTTCAACGAACCTAGCGAGATGATGGACATCGAACAGCCTAGTATGGGTATACATGACGCGGACGATGCCCAGAAAACCACCCAAGAAGTTGCGTTCGACATGATCGACAGTGTTATGGGTACACCGGCTCCCGATGGTACCACAGACAAATACTCGACACCCCACGTCCTACTTACAAGACCTGTGTCGGACGAGACGCCAAAGTCTATTCCGGCTCAGGGTTTGGACTCGACGCACGCAGAGTACCCTGAGGTCACGGACATACCTTCTATTCAAGAGCTGTTCGCTTCATACGCTACAAGCTTTCCAGCGCCGTCCAAGATCGGTAAGTCCTCAAAGACTGTCTTCTGCTAGCCGAATGCTGATTATCAACCAGGAAATAAGGGTTTCGACTACGTCAAGTACTTCGACCCAGCCCGTATGACGAAGGTGCGAGCGAAGCACCAGCCCCGCCTTGATATAGCCAAGGAACTAGCCGCCACCTTGCTGGAACACTACTATCCCGAGGAACAAGGCTACCGTGTCGAGCCGGTTCAATTGCCTCTCTCACAGTTTGGTGGTTGGCGCACCTGGATCTACCCAGAAGACTGTTATGCAGCGACCAAGCGAAAGGCCGACAACTTGAAAGCGGGTTTGAAGAAGAACCCAAAGCCTGTGTATGAAACATGGGGCGGTAACATACAGGCGGATAAGTTCCATCGAATTCTGCCCGAACATATCGCCGGCTACGTTGTCCTGAGCGAGGTGCAATTTGAAGATGGGTCGACGGGTTGGGCGCAGCATACATACTTGGCTATCATGATGGACGACCTGGATACGTTCGAGCACTGGGTTCCCGAGAAGCTAATGCGCCCAGAGAAGAACTTCGTGTCCATGCCGCGCGCCGATGTTCTGAGCGATTCCATGGGTCGCCAGGCCGAAATCTCCCACGGATACGCCATTCTTATGTTGGGTCCGCGCTTCGAGTTCTACAACTACCAGGCGAAGCCAGCCTGGGAAGAGAAGCCCTGGGAACATTACCTTGGTCCGGATCCCGAGAATGATCCAGATCACGACCCTGATTCTGCGGCCGAGGACCAGACTTCATGTTTTTCGCACTTCGATGGCCGCGACGTCGACAACGACAGCTGGGTGGTGGATATCCGCTCAAAACCTCCCACAGAGACTGTGGCAGCAGTCGACAGGCTGTTCAAGAGCGTTGTCGGCCGCGACGTGGAGTACCGCGACGGCTACTCCCTCCCCGGGCCCAAGATCTAGGAGTCTGCCTCGAGTAGCCCATCACCAGTCGAATCACCGTGCTTCTTGCGACTAAAGCCTGCGAATCGTCGTAGAACATACCTCACATTCAAAAAGGACAAATGGAATGGGTACTGCCCCAGCAAATACTTGATGCAGCCTAGTTGCACTCTTACAATCCCCAGGAAGGTATGGAATGATCATGGCGGGCTTTGGAGGGATAATAATGGCCATTATCCGGAGGCTTTTACATCAAAGAGGGCAAGGCCTGCGTCTCGGATGGTGGCTTGGAACAGAAGAGCACGCAGAGGCACGGCATGTGGAAGGGTATGTTGCTCACCAGGATGTTGATGTGCTAGGAAGCCGGCATATCAGCCTTGCGTGGCTTTTGGTGAGCAATAGCATATTCCTTTTCTTCGAGTTTTCAATTAGCAGACATACAATACCGCCATGTGCCCATTTTCAGAACCACTCTTTTATTTTAGCAGTCAAGTGTACACTGCTGTTTCGAGCCTCAAGCCATCTGACCAAGTGCACGAGTACAGCTACATACTCATCTCAGAGCCACGGTAGTGTACAACAAGAGGCAAGAGGGAAAGACCTGAAAGCCACCGACCCGAATGGAAGTAACGAACCACAACGTTCATGAGCCTCCAAACTGCTTCATCGGCTTTTGGAGGTACAGTTTCCAGCCAGCCTGAGTGTGATGGAAGACAGCGGAGTAACAGCACAGCTCAACCCCAGCCGGCACCCGCCGTAGCGGCGCCAGACTGCCATCCGCCTCCATCTTGCACCGCCTGTCCCGTCTGCCAATCCTGTTTCTGTTGGCCACCCCATCCAGCACCCTGCATCTGCCCACCACCCTTTCCTCCCTGCTTCGACTTCTTCACCAACCCAGCCACATAGCAAAACGTCCCACTCGCCAACTTCTCCCCCACAAACTTGACCTTCTCCTCCACCCCCTCCGGCATCTTCCCCTTACACCCCTCCAACGCCCACGCACACGCCTTCGCAACCTCCCCAAACAGTTCCGTCTCCACCTTGTAGATCTTCGGGCCGTCCTTGTCCCGCCGTACCCGCTCCAGCACACCCATCATCGTCCCCTGTATCCACGCTGTCACTTTATCCACATCCCTTCCCTCGCGGGGAAGGAGGACGTAAAACGGCGACGAAGACGACGCGCGAAACGCACACGTGCGAAGGTTGAACGACACGGGCGCCGCGATGTAATGCTCCCCCGTGCTCTCCGCCGGCTTATCGCTCGGACAGAGAGGCAGGCGGGAGAACGCCGGAAGGGGATACCCCGGTACATGCGCGAACGGTGCGAAAGGGCTGTCTGCCATTTGTACGGCGTGGTGGATCTGGGGATCTGTGCCCGCGGCACGGCACAGCTCTTTTGTGTACGAGGAGGGGCTTATACAGGAGCAGGCCCAGCGGCGGGCGGTGGGGGCGGAGAGGTGCTCCTGTACCATGCGCACGGTGGAGGCGCCGTACGTGCTGTCGCTTGCGCCGCGAGCACGGAAGCAGAATGTGACGAGGGTGTCGAGGGCGGCATAGAAGTGCGGGCGGAGGACGGACGCGGGGAGGAACGTGTGGATGTAGTAGGCCCAGTAGTACATGTATGTTGCGAGGTACTCATATGTAATCAGTTGGCTAGCCGGGTCTACAAATACGACGGGGATATCGAGTCTCTTGGCATAATCTTCTAGTGTCTGGATATCAGACAGTTTGTTCGCTTTGCCGATGGGGGAGGGCTTGACACCGGAGGTGAGATCGAGGGCAGCGGTTATGCTGATGGCTGTAAGGGCAGAGCGGAGGTCTGAGGTGGTGTTGTCAATCCAGCTGATGAGGAGGGAGAGGGTTGGGCCGTGGTGCCAGACGAGTTGCTTGGTGGAGGGGCGCTGCTTCTTGAAGACGCGCTCGATGGCTGTGTTGATGCGTGTCACTGCTGCTTGGCTGTTACTTGTAGAGGTATAGTTGATGCCTCGAACGACGACGATGGCGTCGAATGCACAGACTGTGTCATTGAGATGCTTCTTGCCGTCAGACTTTGTCAAGGAGCGGACGAGCTCGCAGATGCGCTCGAAGCCATCTCTGCCTTTAGTCGCCGCAGCTGTTGATAATTAGCCCCCATGATCACGGGAAATGTAGGTTACACCTCAGAGGCAACATACCTTGCTCCGAAGAGATGACCACCATGGCTGGCCCTTTCCGTCGCTTCCCCTCATGCTTTTCCGCTTCAATCTGAAGCTTGACGATAACCTGCGTGAGCTGCAAGAAGTCATCTATATCGTCGCCGCTCTCCCAGACATGGAGCGCGTCAATGTCGCAGACCATTTCAATCGCCTTCTTCGACATGCTTTCAAAACCATCCTTGTGCTGCAGTGGAATATCCTTGACGCTTTTCATGAACTCAATCAGGTCCTTGCAGGAAGGGCCAGTGAACGAGTCGGTAGGCATTATGCCGGGCACAGATGGATGCCTGCGCTTGTGCCTAGATTCTCTATAAGTTATTGGCCGTCGGTAATGCGCTCTATGGATCCTTTTGGCTTACCGCGGATACTCGGACCTGTGTCGATGGTGACGATGGCGGTGATTCGACCGCTTCGGGGACTGTGGTTGCGGTGATGGCGCCGGAGCCGAGTGCCTGGGGCCTCTTTCCGGGCGAGAGAGAGGATGTTCCCACTGGAGTCGAGGATGCAACTGCTGAGGCGAAGCTAGTGGTTGCTGGAGAGGTTGTTGCAGTTCCGGCTGAGGGGGTGGAAGCTGTTGGTTGCCGCCGGTATAGTGACCGATCAGGCTCTTCAAATATTCCATTGTGGTAGCCGCGAATGACTAGGCGGCCCGATTGCTCCGGTGAGGTCTGATGCGTGTGACGCGTGGAGATATCCTCAGCGTGAAGGTTGACTGCTAGCAACATTCAACCAACGGCTTTGCATTGACGAAGACGGCAGCGAAGGGGTCGAAGGATGCAAACACCGGGTACAAAAAGCGGCTCGCGTTGTCAGTTTATGCGTCAGGGAAGTTGGATATCGAAGAAAGTCATGATTTGTTCGACGAGTGTGAAGTGATAAGTGAAGAGGTGAGCCTGTAAACAGTCGCGCTAGGCCCCAATTGTTGAGCCTTGTTACCTACGTCAACAGCAACGCCTTACGCCCACGTGCCCGCCCGGTGGCTGTAATATACCCAAATCATGCGAAGTGAAACTGAGCCTTGTGTGCAAGAAGGAGAATATGCTATAGCAAACGTGTGCAAGAATCCTACGAGCCAACACCCCCACCATGCTTCACTATATCCTCTTTGTCGAGCTTTTCGACTTTACGGCTGAGTAGTGTCCTTAATTCAGTGCTGATCACCCGGGCATCTTCATCGCCGACTGGTTGCTTGCCACTGTCAGTAGCAGACGTAGATGCCTTTGCATTCGAGTCTGATGGACCCGGTGATCCTTCGATAGGTTTTCGCTGCCGCGCCCCTGGTGCCGAAGGGAAGTTGCCTTTCTTATCGATGGTCTCTACTGTTCGCTGGAACCTTCGGTACAGCGACTCAGCGCGAACCAGAGTGGACTCAAGATCCATGGTGCCGGATAGTTCGTTCACTAGCAAGGTGTCAACAATCTACCACTACGCATACACATGCTGGAAATCCAGAAGTATACGGATTGGCTTACCATATTTTAGGACCTCATCAAAATGCTTGAGGTGAGCCATAATAACATCGCGATGCTTTTCGAGTATCGCGAGAGCGATAAAGATGTGGAAGTTGCTGCTAAGGTAGTCGGTCCAGAGCCCTTCCCAGAGTCGTAGAACGTCTGCCCATTCGAATTCTCGCTTGTACCACACAAGAAGCATCCGGAAGAAGAAAAAGAAGTTGGTAGAGTCGGCAGATTGGAGGTGCAGGTAGAGCTTGGGGTCCATGAGCTGCACCAGGTGGTCAAGTGTCATTAGTTGCTTGCGCATACCGGATTGATCGCGAAGGAAGTTGCGCTCCTGTCGACCGTCAGTATGAGCTAAAAGCTCAAGAATTGTAGGTCGAACTTACCATGCGCTCCATGAACCCCACAAAGCCCCAAAATGCGATGGCATCGTCCTGCATTACTGCGTATATGGGTGCCAGGAGGTCACTCATGCCTTGAACATAGCCCAAGTCTTTGTTGTACTCATTATAGGTGAGAAGCATGTCCTTCATCTGCTCCAAGTGAACATTCGTGCCGACGTCCGCGAACGGTGAGTCAGGGTCTGGATGTGGGATGTCCTCGCCCATAAAGATTGGAATTGTACGATCTGTTCGGTGTACATCCTTCTCTATAGTACGGACCCCATAGAATGGGACAAGTCAGCCAGAAGTGCTATGCGAGGGAATGATCAGGGTACGAACCTATCCTGTTCTTCTGCTCCTTCCACCATTCTTCAGCCTCTAGAGAACCATGTCCATCGACCATCTTCTCCCACCACGCGCCTTTGAGGCGAATGTATTCGTCTCGTTGACTGTTGAGGTTCGCACGTCGCTCTTCTTCTGAGCTATTCCAGTCGTATACCCCTAGGAGGAACAGCCACGCTTCTTTGCGAACGCCATCGTCAGGATGTAGGCCGCCATGGAAGATGCGCTCCTTAACTTCGTCGGGAGTGATTTGCAGCCGTCCGTGCCTATCAAAGAATCCCTTCCACTCTTCCAGAGTGACGGGTTTCCTCCGATCTGCCATTGACATACGATCCATGTCTAAAATCTCGAAGTCCCCGACGTCGCTCTCTTCCATTGCCAGGACGTCCTTGGCAGTCCATATTCTTTGGTTTCGATCGCGCTCGCTTTGCTCCGCGATTCCCATTGCCCACCTTGCCAGATACAGACGGGCGCTATCGAACTCGTCTTGCAAGGTCTGTACTTCGGGATTCTGAATGAGTCTTCGCACTTGCGGCGGGAGATTCTTATTCTCTGCAACGGCCTGTGCTGTCCTCCGTGTGAAAGTCGTGACTTGGCTCAGCTTCTCCAGAAAGTTCCACCTCGCCTCCTTCAACGCCTTTGTAACAGGGTCCATGCCGCCGTCTCTCTTGCCTTGGTCTTTCGAAGATGATGCGTCGCCTTGTTTGCCTTCATCCTTCTTTGCCTTGGGTGAACCAGGCGCATTCCGGCCGACTGCTCGCCTGTCCTCTTCTGTAGGCTCGATGAGGTATATACTATTATCAGCTCCAGACCGTTCCACGTTAACATATCTCTTCAGCCATCGTAGAACCTCGTCGCCGCCCCAGAACATGCCCCCGCCGTCGCCAAATGGGTCGAAGCTCTCTTTTGCGAGCTTCTTCCGCTGCATGATGGTAGATTGACATTCGCTATCGTGGAAGAACAGCGCCGGAAAGCTGTCGCCTGCCCGCGTGTTGACTACCACACTGCCAAACCACCATCCGATGCTTGGAGGGCGCACTAGTAGTGAGTAGATCTCGCTGACCGGAACAGCGAAGGCGTATGCGCCGATCGACGAGCCGTGCGAGGTGGTGGTAGGCGGCGGAGGGACGAGGTATGTCTGTCTCGGGGGAGAAGAGGTGTCGGATAGATCGACTTTTACGTAGGTGTCGTATGCGTCGCCGAGGGACGTTTCGGGCAGCCAGGCGAGCAACAAGGAGGATGCATGTTCGCTCTTGGACGAGGACGTGCTTGGGCGGGCATCTGTATCTTTGGTCGGAGACTTCTGCTGTACAAGCGCTATGAAGCCTGGGATGTTGTCTTTTGCGGAGGGTGTTGGATGTATGTAGACCTGTTGAGTGGGTCGTTAGTCGTGACGCCACCCGTCGGAGAGCCATGTAGCAAACGCACCTTGCTCTTAGTGTATAGCAGCTTCACTCCCCTTCCGCTCTCAGTGTGCCTAATAGTATTGTACTCGCCCTCCTCATCGTCGCTCAGGTCATAGAAGGATGCTGAGGGCGAGTGCGGGCTATGCGTGGAGGTTGGAGAAGCCATGCGGGGCACGGCGGCTACAAAAAACGTGTGATCTTCTACAGGTTTTCAAGAGGCAAGGAGCTGAGGTGGGTTGAATATAGATTTATTGTTAAGGGTATCTTTGGGCGAGGCTATAGGGAGCTGCGCCTCGGTGGAGTTGTTGCGGAGTAGCTGTGTAAGATGGCCATTCCTCAAGCGCCTGATGACGTCCCGCTGTGGCGGGGCAGGTGGCAGCTTGAGCCAACACCACGCGTCGAATCATCACCGCGCATGTGCCCAGGTGCCTGCGTGTTCACGGGATCCTTCGAACTTCAACTGCATATGTATTGTTTGAGCCCTACAAACACTCCTGCTCAACCATGCACCAGAAACTCCCAGACCCCTCTATATGCCACCGTTTCGCCGTACAGCCGTACCCTTTAAAACCAATGCCATACCCAGTCCAGATGCGCCGAAAGAATCCAAGATGCGCCGATGCTGAATGACAAGAAACGCTCAACGCATGCGTGGCCCGTTCGGCAGGCCAACGCGTCTCCTCTCAGGCTGCTGCGGTGGCGCACTGTTGTAGGACGGCCCATAGGGATCATCATTGCCGCCAGCCCACGGCGAGTTGGCCGACACGTTATAGTTGTTTTGCTGCCTCCCTCCACCTGAGTAGCCTCCGCTGCCGCGATCGTCAGGATATGGAGCGCGCCCTCCACCCTGTTGAGGACGGTCGTATGGACTGCGCATGCCGCCTGGAGGCGCTGGCGATGTTGAGGGACTGGGGTTCTGCGAAGACGATGCGCTCTGGGACTTGCCCGATCCCCACAACCGCGCCTTGAGTCTGTCCTGTGCCGAAGTCCCTGAACCGCCCGCCTGCGAGGGCGACTGCTCGCTGCGGAATGACAAGTTGCTCTGGTGGCTTCCAGCTCGTTGACTGGGCAGCGGTCTGCCCTGCACTTGCGGCTCCGGCGATAGATTGTTTCCTCTCAGCCCACCACCGCCTCGTCCCTGAGCCCGACGTAGCGACATTGGCTCCTGCTGCTGCGGGGCAGCTTGCGAAGGCGAGTCCCACAGATCACCGAGGCCTCCTCCACGGCCCATCATCTGCTGTTGCTGTCCCATCTGGCCGTAACCACGGCCTGCCGAAGAGACCATCTGCGCGGGCGCGGCCTGCGGAGCCTTTGGGTCGGGGGGCAGCCATTGCGGGAACGGCCTGCCTTTCTCTGTGTAGTAGGCGCGCAGCACGCGGGCAATGTGCGAGTCGTCTTCGGTGTCGCCGTCTGCTTCGTCGGAGAGGAGCTGACGCCGCAGCGTGTTGTACTTAGAGGTAGTAGTCGTGAGGAGGTTGTTGAGGTAGTTCGACATGTTGGTGGGTGGTGTTTGGGTACAGTGAGGCTTGCGCGCCTTGTCGACGCGGCTGGTTGGTTGTCGTGGTTCGCGGGGTGTCGCTCGATGGAAGTCGGAAGCTTGGGCTGCGGCTGCCAATTTCACGAGCGTTTGGGAGAGCCCGCAGAAGCGAGCGCCTTTCTACTCGACCACCAACGTGTTTCGTCTTATAACAACCGTTCTCCAAAGCAAATAACTCTAATTCGTGTCACAGCCCAGTTGGATCCTGGTCTAATCATTCATGAGCAGCTTGCCCGAATCTACAGAGCTCCTTACTACAACCCTCTCTACACCTTCGTCATAGCTTCAACGGCTAGCATAGAAGCTTCCGTATGCTAGCGTCGTATAGCGCAAGAGCCTTACTCGTAGTGAAATGAAACCATTGCGCGGTTGCATAAAAAGATATAATGCCAAGAGCACGAATCGAAGCACCCAAACGTACTGGCAGCAGTTCGATGTCACAGTGTGCCAGGAGTTCCTGATAGATGGGACGGGTCTCTGTTCCACCTACAGCATGCACTTTGCAGACCTCATTATCACTAGTATCTTCTCCAGCTCAGCGCCTACGATGGACAAATTTCAGTTTTCCTACTGGAACGGCAGCAACCCACTTCGCTCAAGCGGGGGCACTGGGTCCCGACCCTGCTGCACAGCCTGAGCGCCAGAAGCTTGTGGAGGTTCACGAGGTTCCAAGCGGAAAGTTTGAACAGTCTGAGGGATTGATACGTACAGCTCCAGAAAAGGGAAGCTAGAACATGTTGATTGCCATGGATTTCTGAGGTATACCGGAATGGGAAACTCTTACTGTGCTCCCAGACAGAAGGGTATGTAAAAGCGGGCGCGAAGATGGTCCTCGCTCATGCCATCCGCATCACTCGTCAACCACCTATAAGGGTCTTACACTATGGGATTGGGATATACCTCTGCGTCGTGGAGATACCAGATAGGTGAGGAAGTAAGTACCGTCTGAGCTATGGTCAACAGGCCGTTTTGAATCATGGTACATCCCTCAACAACTGTTTGCACCTACATAAAATCCTCATCTCTTTTACAGCACCTGCTCATCTCATTTACCGCACCTGCTATGCTTTACAGACACGCTACCGACGAGGAGAACTTTCTCCCTCCTCCACCATACATCGTTCAACAACCTCAGAATTCAACCATGAATTGTTCGATGATTCCTCTGACATGCACAGCGAACATGCCACCACCGGACGAACCCGCACCGCAGCCTCCACATGGCTATTTCCCGTCATCATATCACATCAACTTCGTCTTTTTCCTCCCACTGCTCGTGTTCGTGGTTGTGGTAGTCGCGGTTTGGTGGCGTTTGACTTTCTAAGCAAGTAGATATCGCTACGCCTGAGCAAGCCGTTCCAAGTGATCGTGATATTTTGAGATGCATGGGTCGTGGCGGTGCTATACGCGCCATATATTTTTCCTGTGTCTGCCGAGACGCTCAACTATGCCCGGGTTATGATGGCTATAACCACCGTGTTTGCGTTAATCACTTGGTGGGTTATCCCTGCGGAGAGGTAGTTGCTGAGCTAAAGTATGGAACAGACGCTGGATGCCGAGTTGAATGCTCAGAGGCAGAGAAAAGATAGGTTTCTGGAGGAGTGGCCTGTCCCAGGGTAGGCGATTTGGCATGACGAGCAGAAGACTGGATACGAGGACCTGAGTTACCCCCTTAGTCTACTGACCCCGGTGTAACCCTCAAGAGTAGCAGGGAGAGCCGAACTAGTGCTCGGATCGCGAAAGCGGCGAGCGGCAGCAGAGCGTCGAGGAGCAGTGATTGGCATATACCTGAGAAGATTGAGGTGCTTGTGAAAGGCAAGCAACGTTAGAGGAAGCTCCAAGCGTTGGGATCAAAATTCTAGTATTTGAACTGCTATAAGCCTTTCAACGACATAACCTTACCACGTCTACATCTTCGCAGCGCCAACTTTGCCCAGCACAAAAGCACCCCAGCCTTCTGCAAAGATCGTGCCATGTCCGTCCTCCACAGTACCCATAGTCTCAACCCACCGCCCTTTCTCTCTCACTAATTTCGCGCTAATCTTCAGTATACACGGTGTAGTTACCGCCTGTTTGTACTTGACGTTCAGCTCAGACGTCGCGCTCGTATTCTCGTAGTAATACGAGAGCAGCGTGCCCATAGCCTGGTCGAGCAACGAAGCAGTGACCCCGCCATGCAGACGACGTACTCCGCCGTCTATATCGCTGCCTATTGAAACCAGAATGATGAGTTCCGCCGTCTCTTGATCGGTAGGATCATGTGCTATGTCCTCTCTTGCCTGCTGACGCTTCAGCTCCATTTCATATTTGTCGCCATGGGGCACATCGTGTATCGGCGCACTTCCGGTAAAGATGATGGTCTCGTCGACCTCGCGCGAGTGGCCTTTGCCAGGCCGATACAGGGTCAAAAACGCGCGGATAGCGTTGTCTGAGAATAGGGTGCGTGTGAATAAGGTATTGGAGACACCTTTGCGCTTATCCGGTATGTGTCGCTTCGAAATGTGGGTGATGGTTGGGTCAGAGAGCAATTGATTGCACCATTCGTGTGCGGTGAAGTCTTCGATGTGCTCTCGAGGGACGGAGGTCATTGTGGCTCGTATGTGTGGTTCCGAACTGTGAAAGGTTCCATTAAAGCAGCATGACGGACAAGCTCACGTTTTGTGAGTTGTTAGTTCCCACAATCCATCGTGTTAGCGCTGCTGTCTGTACCGGCGACTCCCCAGTTGCGATGCGGAGGGGTACAAAGTTCCGAGGTTGAACGATGCCCGCGACCTTAGCGAGATAAGCAAAGCGTGCTGGATCGGCGGCGTCTTGCGTTCCGTGGACGCTGTATCACTGAAGGGTATTCTGATCTTGGTCTCGCCATCGTGTTTTCACTATGCTCGTCTCTTTTCTCTAAAGACGGACGTCGAATCTTCGGAGGGGAACTGCACGAATGCGGGATGGCCGCAAGTGGATTCTGCCACCGCCTCAGCCTCCTCTGACGTACCCGTTCTGCATCTCTCCGACGCGTACTGTAGGCCAAGTACGTGTCTCACTTGTCATCTTTTCGTCCTTCCTCTTTTTGTCGCGCCTTGCTACACCGTACCGCCGCTGATTACACAGTGGATAACCTTGGTGATTGTCACAATGAATTGCTTTTCTTGACTCGTATCTTCCTCTTCTTTCTTCCCTTACCATTCCCTTACCATTGATCATGTCCAATCGCCGGACTAAGCTCACCACAATCGCTCTCGGGGTAGCTTGTGCGCCGGTTCTGTGTTGCTGGATTGTTCTAGCCTCCTGTTGCTGTCCGCGTCGCCTACGACCACACGGCGAATCCGGGGACAAGCGTCGTTTCGAGAAACGGCAGGTTATGGCGCCGCGTCCGCTGCCCATTCGGCCTCCAGAGCGCGCTCTGACCCTAAGAAGCCATCCGAACGATGCTGAGGATGACGTGAAGCCACAAGCCCCTCGCGGCGTGGTTCGCGACCAGTCGACATCGCGACTGATGCAGCTTCCGCTTGAACTCCGGCAGATGATCTACCGCGCTGCAATTGGCGACTCCGTAATGCATATGGTGCTGAAGAAATACAAACTAGGCCACCGTCGCTGCGAAGCTTCTGATATTACCGATTGTCCGAAACAATATGAGTTCTTCAGCGCTGACAATATATGGTCACCACTGGCCGAACCCGCGGATGAACCACCTGCCACGGACGGCAATATCCTCCCATTACTACTGACCTGTCGACAGATGTAATTCCTACCCACTCTATATGAACTTAGCCCAACTGACAATCTCCCAGCTATTCCGAAGCAATAAAATTCCTCTATACTACCAATACCTTTGCCTTCTCGGACCTCGACTGCCTCCGCTACTTCTCCTCCACCATCCTCCCCCAACGTTGGTCCCTCGTCCAGAAAGTGGATATTGAATGGTGCATATCATGGCCCATCTACGACCCGCTCGCTCAGGCTCTCCTTATTTCCAGACCCGCGCTATACCCACCTCACGACGAGGCGACATGGGAAGGCACGTGGCATATCATATCGGAAATGCCCAGCCTGAAGTGGCTCAGAGTCAGGCTTATGTACTTCGATGGCTTTCGAGATTCGGGCTGCGAGGAGAAATTACTCGCACCGCTACGGCAGGTAATACGGCCAAAGAAGTTTGATGTGCACATGAATTGGACCGGGGAAGAGCTAAAGGATACACCGTTTCGTGCGATCAGGGCAGGGACGCGCGAGTCATTGTTCCCGGATAATGACTGGTTGTAAGTGATTCGCAAGGCCTGGGTCACTGCTTGAGGATCGAATATGCTGAGTGTTAATGGCCTGTGTACGAACCAGTCTGCAACACGAGAAGCTCCCCATACTTTTGGATGGTTCTGTAGTACGACATGATCTAAACTTGTATATCTTCGAATAATGAAAACGTATCAGAGTAAAATACAGCCGCTTTCCAACTTGACCGCCGTCAAGCTTTCACGTTTCACCAAAACTTTCAATTATGAAGCATACACCACGTTACAAAACCCCTTCGTCTTTGCCAACCCCCACTCTATCATTTTAGACGCTTCATCTGCGTGAACATTCATCGTTGAAGCGAGATCGGTCCCTGCATTAGGTTATTGGTGCACCTTCCTAGTTCGGGCTAGTGAGGATGATGTATCGCGACATCTAGGGCGCATGTCTACAAAACCTTAAGCGCAAAGTCACGTATCTCGAAACTTCCATGTGCGCCCTTCCTCTACTTGAGCGACAGTCATAGGGATCAATCAAAGGAATCAATCATATATCCAGCACATGCGGACACGTCTTCAAGTTCTACAAAATCTCAGACATTACCACCTCCGCGGCACACGACCAATATCATCTCGATTCACCAATTCACTTCCCACGACTTCTCGACCAAACTCTGAACTAAGGCCCAATTCAACCATGACCGACCAGAAGACAGGACCCCTCTATCACCGCGAAGGCCACCTCCACACGCACACCACAACCCTTTCATCCATCGCCCCCTCTCCTCCCTCCCCTCCACAACCCAACCCCTCTTCAAGCCACCCCCATCGAAAAAACCCTACATCCTCACCACCCCCTCCACAATCTTCCACGCCCAAGGCGGCGGCCAACCCTCAGACGTCGGCACAATAACCCTCACGAAACCCACGCCCGATGGAAACGATCCAAAATTCACCGTACACCAAGTGCGCAAGGTCGACCCCGCAATCCTGCACCTCGGGGCGTTCGATCCAGAGGAACCCACCTTCACAGAGCAAGAAGTCGGCCTAGAAGTCCGGCAAGACATCGACGTGCCCACGCGCGTGCTGCACAGCCGCCTACACACCGGGGGCCACGTCCTCGGGCTAGCAATCCACCTCCTCTCGCGGGCGGGCGAAGCTGGGCTGCCCAAAGACTTGAAAGACGGAAAGGCGAGTCACTACCCTGGCGCCGCGTTCGTGGAGAACATAGGTCTCATTCCTGGCGATGCAAAAGCGAGGATTCAGGAGAAGGTTGATGAGCTGGTGGGCCAGGATCTAGGGGTTGCGATTCATTTCTGGAGCGGGGAGGATGCGAGTCAAAAGTGTATTAGCGGTCTGGATGGCGCGGCTGTGGAAGCAGGCGAAGAAGTCCGCGTTGTTGATATCGGTGGGCTGGGGAGCTACCCGTGTGGCGGGACGCATGTTAAGACGCTGAAGGATTTGGGACGCGTAGTCGTGCGGAATATCAAGCGGCAGAAGGGGATCAGCAAGGTGAGCTATGAGGTTGTGGATGCTTGAATGGACTAGAGGGCTCAAAGCGTGAAAATGAAGCCAGTTAGGCTGGCGTGGCGTTTGTGGCGCGGCAGGGCGGATCACGACGCATTAAACGACATACGGAGCAGCCATGCACACATTTGGGGGAAGTCTTAATGTGTATTTTGGGGTTGGGGCGGGGGTATACACAAAGAAGGTGGCTTACCTAGTTGACCATTTCCTTCATGTCCATCGCCGCGCAACTGGTATCATATCATCCTGCACGTTCTTCCAAGTCTACCAAGAACGCCCACATTACTTCGCCTACTGTATGTATTCCGCCAACGCCTGCCTTGTCGCAGGGTCAAGTCTCTCCTGAACGAAGGTTACGATCTTGCCGTTGTGCCTCGTGTTCGCGTCCTTCAAGAACTGTCCAACCCACGTCTTTACGTCCGTGATCTCTGGGAATGGATCCTTGAGCGGCTTCTTGCATGTGTTGAGCGGAGTGAACCCGACACCAAAACCCAGTTCATCGACGTCTGCGTCTGCGATGAGATCGTCGCCTTTGTTCACCTTTGGCGGGTTAACCAGCAGCTCGATGAGTCGCTGAGTGGTCAAGTTCCAGCCCTTGGGATAACGTTCTACGAAGGCCTGTGAGTCTGTGAGGGTCTTAGTGAAGGAGACCACAGCGGTCTTTCGATCGATCGGGCGGGTCAGCTTTTGAGTCTCAGGAAGAATGATGGAGAGGTATATGCCCTTGAAGACACTGTTTAAAGTTAGTGAGAGTTACATCAACTACGATCGTAGAACTTACTCATGCTGGACTTGATCACTGATGGCGATGAAAAAGTCAGCGCCCATTCCTTCCCGAGCGGAGATGAAGTGGTAGAAGGCGATGAAACGCTGCGCGAAGTTCTCCGTCCTCATGCTCGATAGACGGGTGATCATAAGCTGAATGATGGTCGGGTAGTATTGTTGGAGAGCTGAGACAGGAATGACAGCGACAATCGTCTCCATGAGTTCAAATGCATACGTCTCGTTGGCCTTTGAGGAGACAAGCTTCTGGAAGATGCCGAGTATCGGTTCCAGCTGATTGTTGGCGACGATAGTTTGCGCGTCTCGCGATATGATCGCAGTGAGCAAACGGACCAATGCTGGGACATTGCCTCGTGCTTCCCAGACGCTGGGCTGTATGATGACTTGGGAGAGGCTTTGGTAGTAGGCAGAGAGGGCACCAGAAGGATTCGTTTCCAGCAACGCGGCCAGAAGCTGAAAGACGTACGGTGCGAACTCCTCGACATTGTCTGCCAAGATGGCTTGGAAAGGGTCGGCGAGCGTGGTTTCGAACAGCTGGCTGTGCGCGGGTGCTGCGAAACGAATCAAGGCACCGAGGGCCTCAAATAGGAAGTACTGGAAACGGGGGTTGCTGGGGTTGTGCCGTATGATCTTGAGGATGTTGACGAAGTAGGTCAGCACCAGCTCGTCAATAGGTAGCACACCATCCCGGATAAAGATCAGGACGCGCATCACGCATTTCATGAGGAACTCGTTCTCTTGAATCTTTTCGGGCGCCGAATCCTTGGTAATGAGCTTGAACAGATGCGAAAGTAGTTCCTTTGATGACCCAACCACCTGGTCTTTCGGAATGACCGAAGCTTTGGTGTTCTCATCGGTCAGGTATAGGGCACGCTCTACGGCAATGGCGGCATATGTGTGCACCACATAGTTGGAGTTTCCTAAATGGTTCACAAGCAGAGGGAAAGCAGCACGCCACAAATCGGGCGAAAGTTGGTTGCGGAAGTTGTACAAGAACTTCACGGAGTCTACCTTCAGGATCAGACTGACACTTTCTCCCTCCAAGTCAGATGCGATGTTGTTCTGGAAAAAGCTCAGGACGTCAACGTTGGGGTTGACACTCACGACACCCTTTCCAGCCGTCACGGTTCCCAGGGCAGCGATAGCGGAGAACAGGTACACAGCGGTGTCCTTGTGTTTCCAATTCTCCTGAGGATCCTTCGCATATTCTTGGAGGTAGCGGGTAATGTAATTCTGCGCCGTGCTGGTAACCAGGTCCTGGTAGCGCTGCATTAGAGTACGTAGGAAATTGGTCGCTGCCCGCCGTCTTGTGTCGTTATCTGAGCCCTCGAGATCTCTCCGGATAAACTCGATCGGCTCATCTTCGAAGAGTTCTACATCCGATTCCCGCAGAGTTAGGTTGGGTAGGATGATGTGTTCCATGATCTGGACGAGAACTTCCTGGTTGTTGAAGGACTCGGCATGCTGGGTGGATGCAACGCTCGTGAGGAACTGCAGCGCTTTGCTGACCAAGATGTCGTACTTGGTCTCTAGACCCACGGAACTGAGGAATTGCCATGTCGATTGGACGAACTGAGGTAGTTGCGCGCCAAAAACATCCTCGTACTTTTGCACGTAGAGCATCAATACTTCGAATATGCCCGCCCTTGTGTACTCCAAAACCCCGGACTCGTCGTCGCTATCCGTGTGTAGCGCAACGTTGTCGTACACGAGATATTTGTGCCAGAGCGATGAGATTCCGGCGATGTTGTCCTCAAAGACAGGAGGCAGGTCCTGACAAGAGAGGTCGTAGAAGAGCTTGACGATCAGATCGAGCTCGGTGAAGGCGCCCTTCAGGGCCTCGGGGTTGCTTTGCGAGTTCGTAATTATGGCGTCGACGTATTCGAGTTGCTTCAAAAACGGCTCGCAGAACTGGGTCAGGACGTGGTTGATTTCGGTGAAGAGGGCATCGGAACGGAAGAGCGGCCGCCATCGCTTGAAGATGGAGTGGGCCACGCGCAAAACACCGATGTTGACCGTCGTGTTGTCGGTCGTTAACCGCGAGACTAGGTCGGCGACCAATGTGTCCCACCGCTCGTAGAAATCGCTGTCTGCAATGGCACTAATGGCCTCGCCGAGCTGAGCCTGTAGATTTGGCGGCACGCTGACCATCAGACCGATCAGCTCGCGCTTGATGGAATCGACCTCGCCTGCCGGGAGTTGGTGTGCGCCATTCTCGTCAACCCAATGCCGCTTGATGTGGTTCTTGAAGTATAGAGCGCTCGCGAGCCGGACGGTAGGCGGGAACGATTCGCCGGCCACGATCTGGAGGAGGCTGAGCGAGAAGCCTGGCTTGATCTGTTCCTGTTGGATAGCAGCCTCGGCTGGTCAGGTTAGTAGGGTTCGTGAATTTTTGAGTGCCGTGGCATGGTTGCGCCACAAATTGTACAACACAAAGGCGGACAAACGAACGACAGCGCCGTGCCTGGACATTTGTTCTATACACCCTGCCGTTACGCAGGCTATTCAAATCACCAGCAAACGAGGCTCTTCTGCAGTCGCGAGCGCCCCCAAGATTGTATGAAATCGCTGTAACTCAAGCAACGGCGGGGTATCATCAAACTTACCTTGCTTGTTCTGGCGGGGGTCTAAGCTGGCCTCGAGCAGCTTGGACAGCGTTGGAATGTCGGTGGCCATGGTGAGAGCGGCGCACCCGGAAAGGTATGTGGTGGAGGGAAGAGGCGGGGGGACGAGGTGGTGATAATTCGGGCTTGTTTGCTTGGGGCGTGCAGCAAAACAGCGCGGCGGGCGGCAGCTGTAAGCGCGCGGATCACGGGGCGGCGCGTGCAGCTTCCCCAGATTTCATGATTTTCGGTCGCAGAACGCCATCGCCGCTGCCGTCCCGTCCCCATGACCCAGGCCGCTCTTTCTCCTCCCACGCCCCCCATTCTCCTCTTCCGCCACGCCCGTAAAAATGAGCACCCACCATGTCTGATCCTCCGCGCTCCCGCCGTCTGAATCACCACTCTTATCGCCCCCTCTCCCGCCGCCCACGGCTGTACAGCCCCGCCTGCCCGCCGCAACACACCCGCTTCGATGAGTGACTCCGGCTTGCAAACGTCACATTTCCACAGTTGCCACAGACAGCTGCTCGAGAACCCCGGTGGACGGCTGCCTAAACCCTCGCCTACACAACAGCGAGACCTATGTCTCCGCCGGCCGACGATGTCCCGCGCACGCCAGACCGTCGCTCCTCCTCCGCCGCGCTCTTCGGTGCCTTCCGCTCTCTGACGAGCGGCCGTCTGAAGAGCCCAACACCGCCACCCTCGGCCTCGTCGACCACCTACACCCCCGCTCGTTCGTCGTCGCTCGCCGAGACCTTAGCTAGTCCATCTACCTCCGCTGATGGCTCCCTCAAACGGATAAGCGAGCAAATTGTCCCCAAACATGCGCGGCCGGTGTTGGGAGGCCCTCCCGAGCTAGATGGCCTCGTCGAACAATTGGATAGGGCTCATCCATTCGCGGAGCGGGCGGTGGCAGTGGATAAGATCTGCAAGATCATGGAGGAGTACATCATCGAGAACGTGCTTGATCTGTGGTCCCGCGCCAGCGATATGCTTCTCCCAGAGCAGCCAGATGATGTGGCGGAGTCCGGGTACAGGCTCCTCAGACACTGCGTCGGCCTGCCTAAGCTTAATGCCCTCGAACGCAACGTTCTTTTCGACGCCGCTTGCCTGCGCAAGACCGACCGCAGCTTCGACAAGCGTCTTGATATCATTGCTGCTCTTACCAAGGGCGGTCGTCATGTTGAAGCCTGCGAGTCATCGGTGACCCATTTCGTTCTGGCTTCGTTTGATGCCGTCTACAAGCAAAGCGTTGATGCATACAAAGCGTCACGGAAGTCCAGCGGCAACAAGAAGAGTGGGGAACCGGTCCAAGAGCTGGAGAATCTGGCGCAGCTGTTTCAGTACACTATTGATATCTGCAAGTTCAATTCTAAAGTGTTCAGCGACGATGATTTGGAACATTTGCTGAATAAGGTCGTATCCATATGTCAAGAAACCAGTCGCCTACCAGACATCGAAAATGCCATTCGCTTATTCGACACTGTCATCACCTATGTTCACATCCCGAGTCGCTCCTTACGCCCGTTGCTCGAAGTTCTTTGCGCCGTCCACCGCCAACTAGACGATCTTCACAAGCAGACCTGGAATACACTCAGCAACCTCTTCAAATCCCACGTTGGGCAAGTCGCCGTAAATGCCCTCTTGCGCACGTTGAACGATGGTCCCGTTCGCAAGAACCGTGACTCTAGCGCATACAGAGGAACAATTCAGGTCCTACAGCAGCTTCTTCTCGAGAATGGACGCAATGGCCTCCCTATTGTTCCTATGTCATTGTTATTCCCTGCGTTGAAAGCCTCTATGCAAAATCCTCATAAGTCCCAGGAAGAGTATGTGCTGGATCTCATAGACGCCGTGCTATCGGATACTTCGTTGAAAGATCTGCTGCTCTCCGAGGTCGATTGGACCGAGTTGCTCGACATCATCCTTACGTGCGCCGAGCGAGGTGATCAGCGTCTGCGAGGTCAATCAGAGAAGACACTGGACGATGAAACTCCTAGGAGTGGTTCGGTTTCTCGCAACACTGTAACCAACGGAGCTGGTTCCGTTGTGTCCAATGGCGATGAGGCTGCCGATGTAATTTCGAATCTCGACTTGGCCGCTCCTGATCCCCGGGTGGAAACAATGTCTCGTCATTCTGAAGACCGCGTATTCAAGATTTTAAGCAAATTAGACGGCATAAGCGGAGATCTCGACTTCGTGCAGAAAGACGCTGTCATGGATCTCTTTATGCGTTTGGCGCACCGCCTTAGCGATTCCACGGCCGAGAACGTGATCCAGTATTACGTTGACGAACGTTATCTACACCCTTCGAATGGGAAGTGGCTTGAAGCTTCTCGCAGCATGGTATCTGGAATCATCAAAGACAGTAGCAGACCACGGTCACTTCGTATCCTGGCCATAAAAGCATTGCGGGAGACCTACAACACCGTCCAGGTCTTGTGTCCAAGCGACCTCGTTCTTCAATGCGGGACGCTTCTACTGAACAACATCGATAATGAGGAGGATGTTGCCGTTCTAAATGAATTAGTTGATTTTGCTGTCGACGTCGCCGATCGAGCCTCCTGGGACCATTTCCCAGACATAGTCGAGCTCCTGAAGAGACGCATTCAGCGGACTGCGGTGCTGCACAATTCTTCAGACAGTATCGCACACGCTCTGTCTGCCTCCTTTCAGCTGGAGAGCGACAGAGCATTGGGCACTTTATGCAATGTCATCGCCACGGGCTTCGTGCGCCTATTCATTCGGAGCGTACAGCACTTCCCCCGTAAGACGCGGCTTCTGTACGAGACCTTGCGCCATATCGCGGGCACCGACGGATACGAGAGTGATGCTCGCCTCACTGTCCTGCGCCTGCTCTGCCGTTTACGGGCAGATTCCACTCATGCGCTGTACATCAATCCGTCCTCGGAAGGCAAAAGCTTGGCAGCAGTTCTTTGCAGGACGGCAGAAACAGCCACGACCTCTGCAACGGAGAGCCATTCCGGTCAGACTCGACATGATGATGCATCACCATTCCGCGAGCAGCGAAGGGTTTCGGGTAGCCCACTTCCTTCCACCCACAAGTCCGTTACTCGCTACTCCAACGCCGCTGGACGTGTATCGAAGCCTGTACCACCTCTTTGGATGTATCCGGGGCCCAAAGGCCTCCCGGAAGAGCCATCCTCTGACGTTAGCCGAGTCGTTTTCTCTCATATCAATCCTGAATTCTACCCACTCAAAGACGACATCTTGGATATGGAGATCACCTTGTGGCTCGAACTTGCCATCTCCTTGTTACAAAAGTCACCGGACTGGGAGGTCTACAGCTATGTTCTTGTGCATCTGGGACCTCAATTATCCAATCAGTCACTTGTACGAAGCTGCATACCTCAGTTGAAGATGCTTCGGAACGTCATCTGTGAGCAGATACGCAATTCATCTTTTCAGGAACCTCCACCTCACACTCTCCTGAAGAAAGCGGATGTGGCCGTGTGTTTGTTCCATATCCTCACGGTATTGATCAGCTATCACGACTATTTCGAGAAGAGCGAAGAAGACGACCTGGTCAAAGTGTTCATTCACGGGATAACGAACTGGGATAGAACACCGAAATGGTGCATCCATGCGTTGTCGGTCTGCTGCCTCGAGCTGCCACTTTCTGTCAGCAAATCCTTGGATATAGTCGTCCAGAAGGTGTCGCAGATAGTCACGAAGCCTGCGACGGCCATTCACATTTTGGATCTCCTCACTTCCTTGGCACGCATGCCTGAATTGTACAAGAATTTCAGGGAAGACGAGTTCAAAATGGTTTTTGGGGTCAGCTTTAGGTACTTGCAGCATATCCGAGATCAACGCGAGCGAGCCGCTACCTCTGCCGCTCTACACAACAACCACCGGTCCTTGCGTCATAGTGGACCTTCTCGGGAAATCACGTCGTCTCCCGATGCTGCCGCGAAGCAAACGAAGCCCGTGGAGGATGACCTACCGCAATACCTATATTCTCTGGCTTACCATGTTATTGCATTCTGGTTTATGGGTCTAAAGATGGAGGATCGCCCGAAATTGATGCCTTGGATAGCACGAAGTCTTCGATTCACAGACGGCATGGGTCGACAAACGGAGTTAGAGGAGCAGGGCCAGGTCATCGTGGACATGATGAACTTAGTATGCTATTCAGATCGTGACGAGACAGTAGCAGAAGACAGCTTCGCCAAGCCGGGCGATGGGGAGGTGTGGAAAAAGTCTTGGATTGTCGGACACAGCTTAGTCACCATAGAGACGGCTGCGAGAACAGGAGTCTCCCAGATCATTAACAGAAGACCCGTAAGTACCTCGTTCACTGCTGCACGAATATATACTAACATAGTATAGTGTGCCACCCGCTGCCTCTCCGTGCGCCCCCTGCTGGCCCCACCTCCACGCCACCAAATTCCCCTGACTGTCGGCCTTGCTGCGGAAGCTTTCGACAGCTCTTCCTACATCGGCATTCTCCCAGATGACATCTTCCAAACTTTCTATGCCGCCCTGAATTCTGGCAACGATCCACCCATTGTTTTGCCAGACGATGACATGATCCGTCGCGCGATCGCTACCTTTGATAGGATCTCGGCTATTGACAGCTACAAAGTTGGCGTCATCTACATTGGCGATGGCCAGACAGACGAACGCGACATTTTCATGAACGACATTGGACCGCCGGCTTACACGTCTTTCCTCAGCGACCTAGGTACCTTGTGTCGTCTGAAGGGCGCAAAGTTCAACACCGGCGGCCTCGATACCCGAAATGACCAAGACGGCGAATTTACCTACTGTTGGCGTGATCGGTGCATCGAGCTTGTCTTCCATATTACGACCATGATGCCCACAGACCGCAACGACGAGATGACCTATCCCAACAAGAAACGACACATTGGCAATGACTTCGTCAACATCATCTACAACGATTCTGGGCTCCCGTACAATTTTGATACCTTCCCTTCGGCATTCAATTACGTTCACATCGTCATTTCTCCCGAGTCTCGAGCATCCTTTGTAGACCGCCGCCTCGATTCAGATCCCGAGGGCAAAGATCGATATTACAAGGTACAGGTCATGACCAAGCCTGGCTTCCCAAATATTTCGCCGGCAGCTGAAACCAAAATCCTGGCAGGAAAGCATCTTGCCGCTTACTGCCGCCTCATCGCTATCAATGCTTGCGTCTTCTCGGCCGTTTGGTTCATAAAAGACGGCGGCGAGTCCGTCTCCTCGTGGCGCAATCGCCTCCGCGAGATTCAGCGTTTGCGTGAACGATACGGCGCCTCTGACGCGCATGCCATTACGTCGCCATCGTCGCCCAACAACCAACAGCTTCAACAAGGCCTCTCAAGTCCACCATCGCGAGAGAATAACCTCGCCGGCCAGTTTAAGCGCACCAGCGTCGCCACCTACATAAGCGAGGGCACAAATCGAAGCAGCATTACGAGCGGCTCGCATGATGTTGCGCAATAAAAATCGGCATACTTCAGGGGTTCTTGGTGTTTTGTGGAAGCATTTACATATATACCCTTTATTTTTGACCTTTTGTTACACAAAAAATGGTGTCGGATGCGACGAGGTGTTGTATGAAAACTGCATTGCATGGCGCTGGAATTACGGGTAGGATAGGATTGGAAGGATAGGGAGGTGCTACACAAAAGTTCTTGCATGCCATGCTGTTGATCACGAAATCGTCATGTAGCGTCTGCAGTACCATCGTACAGGTCGTATTAATAATACAATCCTTGTCGAACACCCTGATAGTGTGAAAGAGATGCAAGGCCATGACGTGTACGACACAAACACAAGCTTTTTCAGTAGGAGCGATAAGCTACGGCGCAACTCTGCTTGAAGACGACAAGATTGAGGAGGTATTCGCAGCTGCCTATTCGGGCAAAAGCAGTGCCGTCTCTAGCGTGAGCAAACCCTGCGCCAATGCCATCATCAACGTCCACCCCAGTCCTCGGCATTGCGACGCTTTGTTCGAAGAGTGCAAGCGGTGTGATTGCAAAGTGATAGAGGTGATTGACTGTAAGCATTTTCCACGACTTCAGCCGTCCGACTAGATCCTTGGTGTGATGGAGCCTCCCAAGAACAAGAACGTGCACTTGAGCTACGTGCAACTTGCGCACCCGACAATAACGTCCTTCCGAAGCGATCAACGAGGCATGCGGAAACGCTGATAACCGGGTCCTCCACGAGCCAATGATCATTCTAGAGTTAGATGGAGATGCCTATTCGGGTTTCGTATCTTCCCCACACCCATTGCTCCAGGTAGATGGCACTGCCACGGGCGGGGAGAACGGCAGCAAATATCCTTTTGACGTAGTTCTGGATTGAGACAAGATGTCTTAGCCACTCGCTGCATCTATAAATCCTCCTCGCCCCAAGCCCTCGCATTCTTCCTCCTCTCCTCCCACCGCACCCTAGTGTCATCCCGCCTCCCACCATGACACGGCTCTCAACAGTACTAGCGCTGGCATGCGCGTCCTTCGGTGCGGCCCGTAAGCCCACGCTCGAGGAACGTGGCGTCCCTGTGGACCCTACAGGAGTGAGGACTATCACGTCGCCGCAGGGCGCACAGATCCGGTTCAAGCAGCCTGGCAAAGATGGCGGGATTTGCGAGACTACGCCGGGGGTAGATGATTACGCAGGGTATATCAGTCTAGATGAGACGACAAACATGTTCTTTTGGTTTTTCGAAGCCAGGACGAATCCAAGTGAAAAGCCACTGACTTTGTGGCTAAATGGTGGGCCGGGTTCGGATAGTTTGATTGGACTTTTGCAGGGTACGTCGGTTGGCTGTGAGGGCTGAAAAGAAGCTAATCAAGTGCAGAACATGGCCCTTGCAATGTCACGGAGGATTTGAAGACACAGCTTAATCCGTACTCCTGGAACGAGGAATCCAATATGCTCTATCTATCCCAACCAGTCGGCGTCGGGTTTTCCTACGAGACCACTCGAACGGATGCAGATGGCCGCTATTCTCTAGTCGACCCAGACAAAGCCAACACAACCCACGCTGCAGCCGTGGGTGCATGGCACATTCTGCAAGCCTTCCTGGATCTCTCGCCCCAGCTCGACCCCGACATTCAAAACTTCACCTTCAACCTCTGGACCGAAAGCTACGGCGGACACTACGGCCCTGGGTTCTACAATTACTTCTACCAGCAGAATGAAGCCATCAAGAACGGTTCAATGCAGGGTGTCGAGCTGTCAATGGACACCCTCGGTATAATCAACGGCATCATCGATGAAGAAATCCAGGCGCCGTACTACCCCGAGTTCGCTGTAAACAACACCTACGGCATCAAATCCATCAACGACACCATCTACAACTTCATGAAGACCGCATATTACATTCCTGACGGATGCAGAGACCAAATCCAACAATGCAAGGAAGCACTCAGAGAGGACGCCAGCAGCGACGACACGTACGTCTACTGCTCAATGGCAACCGACCTCTGCAGATCCATGGTCGAAGAACCGTACTACGCCTACGGCGGCCGCGGCGTGTACGACATCCGCCATCCATACGACGATCCCACGCCGCCGGATTACTTCATAGATTTCTTGAACCTGGCGAGCACGCAGGAGGCCCTGGGCGTGAACATCAACTACACGAGCGCCAGTTCGCGGAACGTGTCTTACGGATTCCAAACTACGGGCGATTTCGTGTACCCGCTTATCGACGACCTAGAAGAGATCCTCGAGTACGGCGTCCGCGTCGCGCTCATCTACGGCGACGCGGATTACATCTGCAACTGGTTCGGCGGCGAAGCCATCTCGCTGGCCGTCAACTACACGCACTCTGAATCCTTCCGCGCCGCGGGCTACACGCCGTTCGTCGTTAACGGCGTGGAGCACGGTGAGACGAGGGAATACGGGAACTTTTCGTTTACGAGGATATACGAGGCTGGTCACGAGATTCCTTACTATCAGCCTGAAGCCAGTTTGGAGATTTTCAAGAGGGTGCTGGAGGGCTTGGTGATTCCCGACGGGAGTATGGCTGTGACGGGGGATTATGCGACGAATGGGAGTGCTAAGGCGACGCATACGGAGGCGTTCGTGCCGTTACCGCCGACGAGTACGCCGAGTGCGAATGCGACGGCGTAGATGGTGGTGTTGAAGTAATATGCAATGTACAGGTATAATATAAGATGTAGTCTATTGCTACTCGATGATAATTGTTCTCTCACCTGCATCACTCAGCGAGATTAGTCCTTGCTTACCTCCACGACGGAACCTCCTCACTGCGTCACAGATTCCAATTCTAATTACGTACGTTACCTATGGGTCTCATGTTCCTTAGCAAATCATACCCAAGCCTAATCAATCCGACTCTTTGATACCTTTCCCCGGCAAGGTCTCTCTAGAGCAAAAGCTATTGCTTGCAACCACGGAATCGTACGGCCACCTAGATTCCCATGAAAGTCGTTGTCGTTCTCGCTTTTGTCCTCTAAAAGGAGTTGCTTCTCGTAGACTTTCCGCTCATGTGGAAATTCACAGACAATCCACATGCAGTCCCCTTGAATCGTCATATCTGCTTGGGCACGATGCGTGATTAGACCGCGTCGCGCGCGGCGTTGAGTAGCGTCTGCGCTTGCTTGGGAGGAGCCTTGAGGTAGGTAGGCTGGGCAGTATCCCTGGTCCTGGGCCCTGGAGGTTCTCTTTCGGCACAGTATCACGCGATGTTAGGCAAAGATGATTTTTTTCGGTCTTTTAGCGGTGATGTCTAGGATGGGACGGTTCTCTTTCGGCACTTTTTATCACTTGTTGAAAGTCAACGTTTGTGGGGATAGCTTCGATGCGACTTGTTGGTGTTTCGTTCAGTGCCCAAGTGGTGGTGGGGGCCGTGGATCGCGAAGGGGCTGCTTGCTAGCCCTGCGAGCTACGCTGAACCCTGGCAGGATTCCTCATGTGTTCAAGATGCGGTTTCATTGCCAAGGAGGGAAAGTGGCCTACAATGAGACCACTGATAGAGATCGCGATACGAGTAACGGGAGTGAGAGTAAGTTTGACGCTAGCAGGGAAAGGGAGAGCGTGTCTCTGATAGGTCGAAAGTCGTTCTTCTGGGGTCACACCCTACACTTGGCGGGCGCTTCCCGTCTCAAACATAGCCCCCTGCGTTGCGGCGCAGTCGAATGCCAGACTACTTATCTGGTTCAACCGATTGGAATTCAGATGGAAAGGAGCAAGTCCAACATCACACATTTACAGAGACATTGTCTAGTCACAATAACTGCACATTTGTTCTTGCGAAAATGGCCTTTCAATTGCCAGCTACATATTCAACCCCTCCTAAACCGAGCGGAGACCCGTCGTTCGTCGTGAATGTTCCGTCTAGAGAGACTTCATTCGCTTTTAAATCGTTTAAAGCCGGCACCGGCCGCTATACATCCACCGGCCGCCGGATTAAAGTCAAATTACCACGTTCAGCGAGACCATCTGCCACTCAGTGGACTTGGGATACGTCTGAAGAGGAAGAAGAAAGTCTACTTCATCCTCAGCGATCTCGCCATCAGAATCTTTCTCACTTCCTCCCTGAAGCCAAAGTGTTAACTGTCCCCGTCCCAAGCCCACATAGCGCAGTTGCAGCTGAAGGGAACGACAAAGAAGTCAAAGAAATGACCCAGGCAAATGTTACTGAGGAAGGTGAAACGACTGGCAAGAGGGACAATTCACCACCGACTTCGGCACCTACATCGCGACCGCCCTCATTCGGAAACGTATCGCCCATACATAACCACTACGTCCGCTTCTCAACCTAGAACCGGTACAGGATCGACTCTGAACTCCACTGCGGCTTATAATTTCAATTTCGAACTTACTCTCTCCGAAATTCCTACTCTCCCCGAAACTCCGCCAATGAGTCTTTCTAATAATTTATTGTTTGATGAGGTCTTCAAGATTCAAGAGTTAGACCGCAAAACTCATCGCTGCCGATGCCTTGACGCACAAGGCGCTCAGTGTAAATCCATGGTCCCAAGATGTCACAGTCTCGACATCAAACTCGTAGAGAATGCGCTTGGAGATAAGTATTTCCTTGGACTCAAGGAAATTCGAGATCTCGCGACGTACAATGTGTGTGACGCGCACACCAAGCAGTCAGCGGAGCTTGCAGAAGAATGGATACGGCTTGCAAAACTGACTAAGGCCGCGCGAAAGTTTTGGCTAAACCTGCAGAGATCTCTCTTAGAAGACCCCGATGCCTTGTCGTACTGGTGTGCGGACTTGGCTGTTGCTGAGGCTCGACGGACGTATTGGTTGGACCAGCCGAAGTCTCTCTCAGAGGCGTCTCAAGCGTTGTGGAAATCGTATGCCGAATTTGCGACTGCTGAGGTTCGACGGATACTTGCGCAAGATGAGATAACGGTGCGGGCTGAGAAAGAGAAGACCGCGCTCTATGACGAGTCGCAGAAGACAATAGTGTGGCTGCGGACGAAGATCGACAACATCGGGAGTGAGGTCCTTCCAGCCGAAGGACCCAACGAGCCATATAGAAGACTTACAGCGTATTTTGATGAGATCTTCTCTCTGGTAATGAAGATCAATGATCTCACAACTGAGAATTCTTCACTCAAAAAAGCCCGAGACTCAACTGAAGACGCATTCGCGAAAGAGAGGTCACGCAACCAGCGGGACCTTCAAGAGGCTAAAGGCCTCTATGGGGACTCTCAAAGAACCATCCAATCGCTTCGCAAGGACCTTTCCGCTTTGATTTCTAAGGTTTACCAATTGACGACCGAGAACTCTGCCCTCAAAGAAGGAAAAGAAGCAGCTGAAAACACTCTTACTACAGAGAGAGAACGCGGTCAACAGGACCTTCAAGATGCTAAAGGCCTCTATGAGGGCTCTCAAAGAACCGTTGAAGCACTACGCAAGCAGGCTGACGCTCTAAACTTGTGCATCGACGAGCTCACAACTAAAGAATCTTCCTTTAAGACCTCGCTAGATTCAGTACAGGATGCGCTGACCAAGGAGAAGTTACGCAACCGAGAGCTCGAGATCAGGCTCGAAGAGAGGATAGCGCTGGGCATCCAGACACAAGACACACCCGAGACAAAGCTCGAGAAGTACCTACGCGAGGAACTGGACAAATCCCAGCGTCAAGTTCTGCAGCAGCAGAAGGACTTCGAAAAGTTGCGGGACGACTATGTGCGACTTCAAATCACGAATGCGACTCTCGAGAGTCAGTTTGAACAGGTCAAAGCTGTCAAGGAAGAGCTTAACCGTACCTCTCAGAAAGAATGTCAAGAGCTTGCTGGAAGGAATTCTGATCTTTCGAACCAATTGCACCACACAAGGGCTCAGTTTGAGCAGCTGAAGGCCGGTTTGGCGGCTATGGAAAGGGGAAATGAGGGAGAGGCGGCAAAGGCAAAGTTCAGTCTACGAGACATCTACAGAAGGCCAAAGCATGAGCCTTCGAGGCTGCTCACACCGCCCACAGAATAGTGATGCTTTTGTAAGAGACACATATCTCAAGATTGTTTGTTGTAACGCTAATCCTTTGACCAGAAGGCAGCAGTCCGCGCGAGGAAATCTTTCGTAGTCATTATTTGGTACATGTAAAACATACCACAGATGTACAACAAGGGCATTCGCCTGCAGTTTCCAAGATTCCCCTCTCAGCTCCACACCTGTTCTTCTACCACGGCCTCGACTTGGTCGGAGTCTGTCCCAGCCCGGTCCCCGAGGATTATCTCGATAAAGACTTTGCTCGGTAAAGGCTTTGACCAGGAGTATCAACAGATACCCTGTAAAGGACCGACCAGGAAAAATGATACAGTGTCCCGAGACTCCCATCCAAGATCGCGCTCACGTGTGGCTGAATTTAACGACAATGATATCCAAGGTATGGCTGAAGCTTGCTTTGCAATAGGAATAATCACTATATCTAGAAAGATCCAGTGACGTCAGGCTAGATAGAACGCTTAAAAGCTATGCGTTGAAGGCAGTGGTTACAGACTTCTACAGAATGTTGCGTTTAAGAGCTACGTCAGAGCGTCTATACTCTGAAGTATTTCCGTGCTGCCTCATTTGCCAGTCACGTGCTGTATCAAGCCAATCAGACAAGCGCGATAGAGCTGTAAGGCCAATTAGAGTAGACAGGGTCATGTGACTGGCATAATCTAGGTAGCCCTCAAGTACGAAAAGTGCGCATGGTGACATGCATGGTAATCTCGCGCGAATCATGTAGTCCGCACATGGGAAACGCGGCACAGGCGCGCGGCTTGGCTCGTCAGGTGGCGCATGCAGGTTGGATGATTCTGTCACCAATTGGAGCCTCGTGACATGTCTTTGCGGCAAGTCCATTCCTTGTCGTGGGTGTGCGATTTTCTTGATTCGGGATGTCAAATGGCATTGTTGATATAAGATTCGATGAACGTCTACCGGTTGAACATGATTCAAGTTGGATTACGTCATTAGTGCACCCGTCCCGTTCACGGTCACCTTAGCCAGGAACCGCCGTCTTCAACCAACTCTGAGCAGCGACCAGCTCCCCGGGGACACCGAACGGTGACCGCACGTGCCGTCAAAGTCTGTGTAACCCGTTCACGCATCCGGCCACTCATGGCCCAGGCGGCCGTGTCCGAAGTTCGAAGTCCACAGCTTTGGCCACTTGCTCCTCGGAGCATCTCCAATCGTGTTCTTCTCTTGCTATCCTGCATCGAATTTCTTCACTTAGGCCTGGCACTACTGGTAGCATCGTGGGCCTCAAAGCCTAGAGGCATCACCTCGAGATCGCAAGCTCGAAAAAATTCTGGCAACGGAGTACGACGCAGGCGGATTTCCGTACATGTCGTCATGGATACACGTCCTCACAAAGCGATCCCATTCGTCTTGCCTTATCAAGTTGGGTCTTGCGCCGCGAATCTGCAAACCCCACAGCTCTTATTCGATCGCGTAGATGTTAGCGGCTCGTCGCATAGATCCTAGTGCGTGAGGTAGTCAGTAGCGCCTTCACAGTGCGCCTCTTACTGTTGGATATATTACCCTGGCGCGCCATGTGAAACCCTGCATTTGCCTGGCCCTTTGCATGCGCTCACCTCGCGTGTCCAGCTGTCGACTTTTTCTTTGTTTGGGACATGGCGACCAGCTCTTATAACGACCCTACGGTAGGGCTAGATGAGGCGCAGAAGCCTCCAATCGAGAAGACACGGTCCAAGGTCGATGTTCCAATTTACAATGATGTCGAGCGGGTGTCGTCGACGGACATCTCCTTCGGAGCGATTCTTAAGGGTACAGCCGCGAATCCTATGACCACATTCGAAAAGAAGGCTGCGCTCATCAACGTTGAGTTGGACAATTTTGGTATGGGAAGATACCAGATATGCATCTGGTTTCTCTGCGGTTTTGGATACTTTCTTGACCTTGCATGGTCTCAGGGCATTGGCCTGATCGCTACCGCCGTGTACCAGGAGATGGATGTCCCAGATGCGCGAACAGGAGACATCTGGTCGCTAGCCAATGCTGGACTTGCTATTGGGGCGCTGACGTTTGGCTTGTTGGTCGATGTTATCGGGAGAAAATGGGCGTTCAATTTGACCTGCTTGATCACTTCCGTTTTCGGACTTCTTATTGTAAGTCTCCGGTGGTGTGCATCGTTAAGCCCGACATGTAGCTGACTGTCTTTCAGGCTGCTCCAAAGTACAACTACGAAGCCGTGTGTGGAATTTATTTTCTCGCGTCTCTTGGATTGGGAGGCAACATTCCCATCGACGCTACCATCGCTCTGGAATTTCTTCCGCAGAGTCGCCGCAACCTGGTCGCCCTCTTGTCGCTTTGGCAACCCATTGGCGTTATTGCTGCGTCCGGCATAGCGTACGGCACTGCAGCCAAATGGCGCTGCGATGTTGATCTACCTTCGTGCAAGGCCGTTGGCGCGGGAGAGGCTTGCTGCACCGTTTCAAGCAACATGGGTTGGCGCTACGAGGTCATTATCCTCGGTTGCGTAACTCTATTCATCTTTTTCCTACGCTTCTTCGTGTTCAACTTTTACGAGTCGCCAAAGTTTTTGCTTAGCAGGGGCAGGGAGGCTGAAGCCATCGAAGTGCTGCACAAGATTGCGAAATTCAATCGCGCACTACCGCCAACCTTGACCTTGGACATGTTCGCGGCGATCGACGAAACAGACTCCAACGTCTCGGTTGTTCCTACCGGTGGCCCACAAACGCGAGCCCAGACCGCGAAGAACGTAGGCAGGGGTTTCGTCAAGGAGTTCGCGCGCTTGAAGGGAGTCTTCGCGAACAGACTACAGCTCTTCATCTTCATTCTTCTCGCTATCGCCTACATGGTAATACTACCCTTTCCATATCATCGAATCATGCTAATCTCACTCTCAGGGCGACTACTGGTCCTTCAATCTCGCCAGCTCCTTCCTGCCCATTATCCTCCTCCGGAACAACGTCTCAGACGGCCGAGGTTCCGTATCAGACACCTACCAGCAATACATCATCATCTACGCCCCCGGCATCATCGGAGCTCTCCTCGCCCTAGTCTCAGTGCAGATGCCGCTCGTCGGTCGCAAATGGTCGCTTGTCTTCTCCGCCGTCTGCCAGGGTCTCGCAATGGCCATGTACACCCAGGTCGAAAACACCGCAGGCTACGTGGGTCTCAATGCCCTCGAGTATATCATGCAGACCGTAAGAACCTCTGCCACGTTTTCCCCCTGCATAAGAATGTATTGTCCACTAACCCCCACCAGTATTTCAACGCCGTCCTGTACGCCTCTGCACCCGAACTCTTCGACACAAGCTACCGCGGTAGCGTCAGCGGCATGCTCTCCTGCCTCGGCCGCTTGTCGGGCATCGTCGCGCCGTTCGCGGGCGCGAGCTACCTTGCGGACAAGAGCTCGGGCATTTTGTGGTTGGGGGCGGGCGGGATTTGGCTCGCTGCGTTTGTGATGGTGTTTCTGCCGGTGGAGATGCGGAATAGGCAGATGTTTTAGGTGTGGTTTATAGGGTTTGAAATGTAGAAATGGAAAATTACTAGGGAGGTTACGATGATGAGTTGTGGCGTGTGGCTGTGTTGGTGTCACTATTTCTAATTTCGACGGAATGACTGAGTGATGATGTGTGAATGGAAAATTCTGGTTGGAAGACTCGGATTATGGCATGTATTTGTCGTGCATGCAAGAGACAGGTATGTGTTCGTCTCGCACAATGTGAAAGGTCTCGGTTCCTTGTACTGAAAGCCTAACGCATCAAGCGCAATGTTCAATGTCCGACCTGAACGCGAAGAGATAGCGCTTTGTACAGTTGACGACGAATGTACATGCCGTATGATAGCCTGACAACTCTCCCTTGCGTTGTTTCAGAGTATTATCAGGCGGAGGGTACTCTAAAAGAGGATAGGCGTCGTATAGACGGAAGTCCTTTCTAGCGTCACCAATCAGCAGCGCAAGCATGATCGATATCTAGGCGGCGCACGTATGTAGATAAGGGTATGGGAGATGTAGGAGGATAGAAGTGGGAAAGCGATGCAGAGGTTAACTGTGCTATTAGTACTAGTAAGCAGCCTCTTAGCAATTTAAAATTCTCCAAGCATAATTACTCAATAGTCTAACAAATTATACTACATTCATCCCCATAGATGCCGCCTAACAGAACGTGAGAAAAAAAAGAACTCCCTCTTGCTTCTGCTGGAAAGACTTTAGGTGCCAGCACCTCGGCTCATAATCATAACGCGCCACAATATTATGGCCATCCAGTCGATTGGACCTTCGCCCAAACTTCGCCTCCATTACCACAACAAGGGCGCGAAGGGGTTCGTATCCAAGCGGAAAGTCATCGCATTCCCCGCGAAGCCAACGTCTTCCTCCGCGATGTACAATTCATCCCTCTCCATCTCCTGCTCTAGAGCGTCGATCATCTCCTTGATCCCGAAGTCGAAATATAAGAATGGCTGTAGTTCAAACAGCGACTTCTCATACTGCTGGAACATCAGAGAGATGCTCCACACCGGTACTGCATCGGCCTCGTGCATGGCGCGCCAGAAAGCTTTCTTATGCGTCTTGAACGGCACCTCGCCCTTCTCCGCCCACTCGAGCACAGCGACCATGTTGGAGGCGTGCGGAACGTGGAACTCCAGGCGTCGCGTCCAGTCACTTCTACAGAAGTCGCACGCGATGACCCCGCAGGTGGAACACCTGAAGTGGAAGTACGGCATCGTGTAGTCGCAGACTGAGCATGAGTCACCGGTGTTGCGGTAGCTCCACGTATGTCCGCAGTCGATGCGCGCGGTCGTCAGGGAGTCGAATGAATGCTCAGCGAGAGGGAATGTGGTATCCAGTTGGTCGCGATACTCGCGTTCCGCTTCCTCTTCTGGATCGATGTGGACAATGGGTTCCGGCTGATAGATGGTGCCCCAGCCGTAAAGCTCACCCTGGTGTTCGCCCCAGCCGTACAGCTCACCCTGGTGTTCGTGATGGTCGGCATAGTCGTCGCCATCATTCGAGTCCCGGTCGCTGTCGTAGTCCCAATGATTAGGACCAATATTGCTATCCTGCGCGGCGAGGGGCTCTTCACCTTTCCGGTTCAGACCTTCTCGGTTGAGACCCGTATCGCGATGGAGCCCTCGCTCGGTGTTCTCGTACCCCTCATCGTCATACCCATCTTCAGGATCTCTATATACGGGGCAACCGTCAGCAGCGTGGAAGTCCTCCCAGGGCAGCAAGCAAATGAAGCACCATTCATAACGGCAGAATTGGCACGTCATATGGTTGCACGCTGACTCATGCTCGATGTACATGCGGCATCCAGGGCACTTCTTGATGCGGCAGTCGTCGGAGTACGGCGGTAGCCAGTCGGGCTTCGCGTCGGGGTCGTTCGGATCGGTGCAGCGGTGGTGCTCTTGCCATGCGCCTTTGCATCCCACGCACATGGTCGTTCCGCATGCGCAGGTGGCTAGGCTATACTGCCCCTTATCCTGAAAAGTTTTCGGTGGAAGCCAAGCTCGATAGTCCACGCAGTATAGCTTCAGAGCAGGCGGCGTGTAATACTCTTGCTCCTTTCGGCCGTAGGTCTCATTGACTTCATGTGGCAGGAGTTGCTGTACCAAGCGACGCCGAAGAATGATCGGGCCGCGACGGCTACCGGAGGCTTTCATACAGCACTTGACCGGGAAGATGCCGGAGACTGGATTCTCCGCTGCAAGCGTGAATGTCTGGACGACGCAGTCATTGCAGATGAAATGCTCTGCGCATGAGACTATACCGTCTTTCATGAGAAACTCCCCTGTGCAGATTGAGCAATCGTAAAGGGCGACGGCTTCTGGGTCTTCGGTCCCATTGCTCTCCTCTGCTCCATTGGCAGCTTCTGCCCTGCCAATCTCTTCCGAATTGTCAGCGTCCTGCGCCTGACGATCCTTCCCTGTCTTATATGGTTGAGCAGGTGTCTGTTTCTGCTGGCCGAAATCGCGTCTACGGCGAGGATGGCGACGGCGCTCTGCGTGCGGTGAATCCGTGCCGTGCATCGTACCGGACGATGGCAAAGGCGAGGGCTCGGTGCCTGGTTGCATATCCAGGTTTTTGTGGGGGTTCAGCGTTGCCCTTCAAGGGAGCGTTGGATCACAAGTAGAACTTTGAGTTAGGTACAGTTGCTCTGTTGTGATGGGGGACCGGTTCCGTACTGTGCCTAAGTTTCAGGGGCAACGCGGGTTGACTGGCTCTCGTGAAGCACGGAAGGGTTACGATCGCTTCTTTGGAAAGATGTGAAGGTAGGGTTGAGTTTTTGCTTTTGGGCTCGTGCTGTAGCTGATCGTTTTCTGGGATAATTTTGGAGCAGGTGGGCTTCCACCTTTTTAAACCAAATGCTGCGCCTATACAATGTCTCGTGCATTATGCACGAACACGGTCTTTCACCCCCAAATCCTCCAGACCACATTGTAAGTTTCCTTTCACTAAACAATGCTGCCCATCCCTGCTCAACCCCAGAAGACAGCGCGAGCAGACTCTGGTCTGCAATACGGCCTCCACCCGAAAAGGTCGTAACTACTCATCTTCTACGTCGCCACCTCATCACGCGTAGGGTATGAGCACATATCGATGTTATGCGTGTATTTAGCGGGGGTACTGGCTGCCTTTGCTGGGTAAATCGAGTCCTTTGAAGGCGTACGTACTTGAAGAAAGTGCTGGCTAGAAGGCTAACTGAACCAGAAAAACTAATTAGAAAAAGCTTATATAAAATGATTGAAACAATTAGCAGTAGCGCTAACATAAGAAAATAGACAGTAACGACAGTAAATGTCCCCCTTGGAGGTAAGGGAGGAATAGTAGGCAATCAAGAGACCTATGGGCGGAGTGAGGCGACGATAAAGGATAAGGGCGCTCGCAGGCACAGAGGGCCCTAATATACCTTATCTAGATGACGATCGCTGAACAAACAGCAAGCAGATGGGATTTGTTCTGACCACGCCGTAGAACCACACAATCTGAGATTGTCTCACCTTATCTGTTAGCGCAGACGGCACATTCAGCAGTACTACAAGGCCTTTTCAGTGGGTTGAATATCGTCGAATACGGAGACGCATCGTCTAATGTTCTCCAGGGACGATCCAGTCAAGTTATTGGAAGTAGAGTGCCAAGCTCATGCTAAGATTTGCTCAGCGTATGGCAGGGGCAGACACAATCTAATGCTTGCGGATGATCACCATGACGCCGGCGAAGTAGTGGAACACTCACAGATGGCACCACTGACATCAGGAACGCAAGCAGGCTCGAGGTGGAAAGCAACGTCGAAATCGAAAGCAACGTCGAAATGGAAGGTTAATACAAGCTCGAAGAAGCCGCAGGAAACGCCCGACAAGCATACTCATCGACCTGGGACTGGTCATCGACAGGGAATCACCATCGCGAGATTGAAGCTGTTCGAGGGGTTCCGGTTTTAAAAATTTGCTTTTCTCGTCATCGGGTTCTCATGCGGCCATGCTCGGTTTGCTAATAGGGCTGTTACAGGTGGAATAGATGCCTCTTACTCAAGGGAATCTCTATTAATATCTTGGAGCGAGGTCATACTTCGGGAATGGAAATATCCAAGCTTGAAAGCCTTGCTGGAAAAGACTAGAAATTGGGAAATTAAAGTCTTCCTCTGCATAAGTGACTGCAGGTCTGTCAGTTTTTAGTACTGGGCAACATCAGTATCTCTACCAGTTCTCAAAACCTTTAGCTATCGTGGATATTCTATCTTTGAGCCAAGATTGACATGCTCATAAGTAATTGACGACTGTTACTGAGCGTCCATCGCAGAAGCCCCAGCACGTACGTGCATCGACCACGTTGTCGGCAGGAACTTTCGAAACTCAGTCTGAACATGCCATTACAAAGGGTTCTAAACATTGTATGTAGCATTGGAAATGGGGCAAAGGAAACTAAAGCTTGTGCGTAGTTGTTGGCTGTCCTTCGAGGAATTTAAGTCACGCTAACCCGAAGTGGACAATTGCATCACGCCATCGGCTTAGTAAAGCCTAGCCACCTAACGGCGCCGATAAAATTATCACCAGCGCAAGTTCGCAACCCCTTGTGACGACGCTTCTTTGGGGTTTTGTGGGTGAAGCTTGCGGAGCGAATATCAGTTTTCGAAATCGTGATATTGTTGCCTAGATCTGGTACTTTCATACTCAACTGGCGCCCACTATCCTAAACAGTCGCCAAAATCGCTCGTGCCTGAGGAGCCTTTGTTTTTACCACACTTGAACTTACACTTCACGCACGACTCCGCCTCTCTATCCAAAACAATGGCAACTCTCCTTTGGACTTCTGGCGCGTGCCAAAAAGCAGCTTCCGCTGCCCATGTTCGGACATTCGCGTCGGTAGCGCCCGCCGTTTCTTCGTCTCGAAGTCACAAGGTAGTGGTGGTTGGCGGAGGCACAGCGGGAATGACAGTCAGCCACCAGCTCCTACGAACCGGAAAGTTTTCTCAAGATGATATTGCGATTGTCGACCCAGCCGAGTGGCATCACTACCAACCTGGATGGACCTTAGTAGGTGGAGGCTTGAAGAACAAGGAAGACCTGCGGCAACCTCTTACAAAGCTCGTCGATCCGAAGCTCAAGTTTTATAACGAGCAAGTGGGCGCATTTGCACCGGAAGAGAACCTCATTACGCTTAGCAACGGTGACAAAGTGAACTACGAGCAGCTGGTTGTTGCCCCTGGTATTAATGTCGATACTAGCACGATCAAGGGTCTGCCCGAGGCTTTGGCTGACCCAAAATCGCTAGTATCAACCATCTTCAAGTACGATACTTGCGACAAAGCTTCGAGGAACATCAAGGACTTCAAGAAGGGTAATGCCATTTTCACCCACCCAGCTGGAGCGATTAAGTGTGCAGGTGCTCCTCAAAAGATCATGTGGCTGGCTTCGGACCATTGGCAACGCACAGGCTCATACAACTACAAAGACCCTTCCTCATCATCCATCAACATCTCCTTCGCAACCGGCCTTCCTGTCATGTTCGGTGTACCCAAGTACAGCGCCACTCTGGAGGCGCTGCGCAAAGAGAGGGGCATTGAAGGTCTCTTCCAACACGATCTCGTCGAAATCAACGGTGACACTGCCATCTTCGCGCGTCCTGACGGCGGGGACAAAGTCACGAAGAGATTCGATCTACTACACGCAGTACCGAAGATGGGCCCATATCCCTTCGTTAAGAACAGCGCTCTCGCTGACCAAGCCGGCTACGTCGACGTCGATCAAGCAACGCTCCAACACAAGAAGTTCGCCAACGTCTGGTCCGCCGGCGATGCGTCTTCGCTTCCAACTTCTAAGACCGCCGCCGCGGTCACCGCTCAAGCTCCCGTTTTAGTTAGCAACATGCTACGAAGTATGAATGGACAGGAAGTCGAGACTGGCTATGACGGATATACGTCATGCCCGTTGTTGACTGAGTATGGCAAGGTGTTGCTGGCGGAGTTCAAGTACGGTGGTGTACCGAAGGAGACGTTCGGGAAGCTGTTCGATCAAGCCACTCCAAAGAGGGCTTTCTACTATCTAAAGAAGGATTTCTTCCCATGGGTGTACCAGAACCATATGGTCAAGGGTCGGTGGGGTGGACCGAAGGGCTTCATCCGGTGAAAAGGGCCAGGCAAATTCTAAACCCGTTTACGTCACTGGGAGATGACTTGTGCTAAATGAGCACAAAAAAGTAAGGATGTTTGATTAGGTTGGCAAAGGGAAGACGGGTGTAGAGAATGATAGTCGGTGCGTCTGTAAGATAAGACGATGTCAAAACTCGAAGAATCGAAATATGTCAAGACGCAAAAGTTCCCGTTTCCGTCGAGTCGTCTACACACCGTAGGAGTCATCACGATTATCTCTTCACCACCGTACGAAGTTCTTGAGCAACCCATGTATTTGGCGCTAATCCTGAATAGGGAAGCGCTGGTCTGGCAAATGCTCAATTGCTGCCTGAACAACGACCTTTTGACGTCGGCCCACTGCTCTCTATCTGCATGCACCAGAACGCCCTCTTTAAAATCACTCCTGTAGGCGCGCCAGTTGGCAGAAGCAGCATGTCTACCCTTCCAGCCGAAATAAAAGAAGAGATTCTCACTGCCCTGGTTGAATCCTGTGGCGACGAAGACCCCGCATACGTATGGACCCAGTTACGCAACCTCTCCCACTTCCAACGGCGCCGCATTGAGAACCGTTTCGAGAGCTTCTGGTTACCCAAGCTGTCAATTACGGTATACCACGGCGTATGGTACTCATTCGACTACGCTTATGTTGGCCCCCATGCGTCGTTGACTGAGGGTATCGCTACCTACAAACAAGTTCCGGGCCGGGACGGTGCTTTCAGTAAAGAAACGGAAGATCTTTTGAAGGCATCAACGTACGAGAGACTGAATGCCCCAAATCCAGAATTGATTTTGCGCTTTGGCGAAGGGTTTGGAGATACTGGTGAATTGAGAGGTGGTTATATTATCAATGACAGCGAGCTTCCGGGATTGGAAGCGAGCGAAGATGGCCTTGTTCTTCGTTTTGATTGGCGCGCGGCTCTAGACGCTCTCTTTCGAGAGGAAATGCTGCTTCGGAAGTTTCGCGATGAGATGGTATGTTCATCACACTCTCTTATCAAAATATTCGTTGCGTGGGACATTATGTGCATCAGACTGATTGTATGCAGATGGACGCTGCGATGCGTGACTCTCGGCAGCTTCCCTCTGTTCGGGACGACCCACGAGCTCAAAATAGGTACCTTATCAAGTGCTTATCGCTTGAGATCCAAATGGCGAGTCGTGCTGCGGTGCGACGCCATAGACGCGCTCGCGCGGATCTCAACGGGCCTTACGTGCCCATGTTCAAGCTGGCGTCCCAGAGGCTTCATTGCCAGAAGCCGGATGAGCCAACTCCGGCAACGTTAGAAAATCGAGTGTCTGACCCGGATATCTTTGAGATTGTGCAGAGCGAAGAAAGTGTGGTTTTATGTCTGCCGGAATGGCGTGAGTTGAACAATAATGCCCTTTTAGAGCTCTACGCAGAGGAGTTTGGCTGGTCTTCTTGTAAGTGGCACGACCGAAGGGATGACGTGGATTATCAGCAGGAACGAGCAAGTTTCTGGAAATCTAAGGATCAAAATGAAGTCCTAGATCTCAATAGGCTGAGGAACCGGCGGCGGTACGATCCTATGGACTGATATCTAGAGAAATTGTGACGACTTCTTCTTAGCCGCTCAAGACTATCATTGTCTTGTTACCCATTATCTGTATATACACCTGTCTATCTTGTTACCCCGTAGTACTTCTCTTATGAGAACAACTATGAGGAGTGCTGCGCGATCAATTTGGAAGAACAACGCCATCATATTCCCACTGCGTTGCGGCGTTCTTGCTTATCTTGAAGGACTGTATCGTCCCATTACTTTCTAGCCCTATAAATCGTGCCTCGTCTGGAGCAGCTACTAATGCACCCGCTGTGAAGTTGAACGTCGATGGAGCTTTTGCAAACTCAGGTGTGGAACTCCCCGTCCAGTTTCCTGTTTGATTGCTGTACTGATTCATAAGTAACTGACTCCCGTCACCGGCGGTGGACAGGAGTAGCAGGTCATTCGAAGTTGATGCTGAAGCTCCGGAAGCAGGGATGATAGCGGATGATAGTTGTAGTGGACTCCCATCGGAAGCTGTACGTGACGCCTCTACTCTCGTTCCTATGTCTAGGTCAGCCAGCGCACGGCGAAAGACACTCAAGTTATACTTACTAGGTCCTGCATCATACCATAACTTCTCTTGTAGCTCTGTCGGCGTCTGGAGATATAACTTCGGAATGAAGGTGATATTATCGCTCGAGCTTTGTGATCCGGTGGAAGTCATAGTGAGCCCTGTACCCATTTGTGGGTCTGTACCAGTCGCATCCTGCCGCTTTCCCCAGTCCTGTTGACTTATCAAAGCAAGCTCACCACCCGCCATCTGAAAGGTGATATGTATCCAATCATGCTCGCATTGACTTCCTTTGCAAGACATACTAAAAGCCGCAAGTTGCGAGTCGTTTGCTGCAGGATGTTTGACGCCCATGTTTGACAGACAACACGCATTCCAGCCCGTCTTTGCCGTTATTACATTTGTGTTCATTTGCTCAACCGTGTTTTGCTCTGAGAGATAGAAAAGTGCGATTGTGTTGAACTTTGGCCAGGGGTGAAGACGCACAGTGGCCGCGAGTGGTGTACCTGGTTTTGCTGGATTGAATTGTTTATCGTATGCATTATCCGCATCTATAGTTCCGCCGAGGGTCAGGTTGACCAGAGTCCACTCATTTGATTCTGATTCCCATATTGATGCCATCAAGTCATGTGTGACTGCTTGCCAAAAGACGGCACGGTAGTGGACGCCCGTGTCATCACCACTCGTCCAGTTTACGGCGCTGAGCTTCGATGTGCTGAGGACTTGCGAGCTATTTTCGCTTGGTTGATGATCTGGGTCATCCGTTGGCTTCTGTGTTTCTTCGGCCTGCTTCGAATGTCTTGAGCCCAAGATCCCCCCAGTGACGGCACCGATGATGACCACAAGGCCAATCAAAACGCTAAAAATGATGAGTCGCCGTCGTCGTCGCAAGTAATATATCTCTTTTCCATTGCCGACGGCGGCAGGTTTGACCGCTGGGTTCCCAGAAGACGGCCTTATGAGGGCCTGATCCGGAACTGCTTCCGGTAATGCATGTGGGTCAAGTGCTATAGGTGCGCTTGAATATTCAGGAACTTTGTACATCCACGTCTCTGAAACGTTCGTGTGGACCTCTAGATTGCTGAAGGATGAGCGGCGCTCTGATGCCGTTTCCGGCATTGTAGAATACACGTGTCTGCAGAACGAAAGAGAGAGCGTTATTCGAGGTAGGAAGAGAGGGAAAGCGTACAACGATCGAAGACGAGTTCAGTGCTGTTACTGTGTGAATAACTCCGGTCTCTGATAGCTGTAGACCGGCGTGCACTAAACTACTTTGAACTAGAAGCTAACCTCTTATTCAACATGCTGGGCTGTCGCATATTATGCGGCGACAAAACGTGCTTGCCAAGGTGCTACGGATTTCTATTGACATCCTCAATTCGCTATAATGGTAGCTGTCGCGTTGCCGAGTGACCCGCGCCGTCCCTTTGCGCATCATGTCCGGAAGGAAGACCTCTTGTTCGCACAGCCATGCATGAGGCATCCAATGCCCGCACCAATCCGAGACGTTTGCTGTCAATAGGTCAAAGCGGCCAAGGCACGCCTGTTTGAAAGAGGGGCCAATCTCCCAGGGAAGGTTAAGTGGCCTCTATTGGCCCGCACTAGGTTTGTGGGGGCTAGTAATCGCCCTCACGTACCACCACCAGCCTCTCCACAGCCACGACGGCTTCATTAAGATGCGCTCAGCTACAGACACTAAGGTAGCAATGCCACGGATGTCAAGAACACATGGTACATCCAAAGGATCAGAGCCCGCCTTTCAAATTACTGGTGCTTGCGAAAGTTGTCGACCTCTCTGACGATCGCGAATCAATCGCCATCTCGCCGGTCATGATCCTGTGGGAACTCGAGCAATGTCTAGTTCGGTACAGAACACTATGAATTGCACAAACCAGGGGGGGTCCATTTGAGAATCGACGGAGGCCGCAGGCGGACTTCCACCGATGTCACACGCTCTAAAATCTTCAGAATCGGCTTTTTGAGAGAGGCGAACTCGAAGTACTGATAGAGACGTGTATGCCTCTGGATTGGCTGTGGCGGTCAATCAGCCTGGTTGGTGCGGATATTATTTTGGGCCAATCGAAGAATAGCACTTGCAGTATCCTGTAAATTGGGCAGGGTACAAGTTACTTCGACAAGCATCGAGAGTTAGGATGACTAATTGGTGGTATGCCTTTATTGTGCATCGCGCGAATTGTATGAGTGGAGTCTTTCTTATTGAGTTCAGGTACTGCTGGACTAGCGATGCGCAGTTCCTTACGCGCTTGTGTCGGTTTGCAACATTGAGTGCGCGAGAATGTTGTTGAGATTTGCGTAAGCTATATCAGATATCTCTGCTCGCACAAGCGTACTTTGGAAGATTCTGAAAGTAAGTACTCCAGGATGTCGATCTTCTGTATGAAACGCCGTTGACGTGACCACGTAGCGGTACCGCATGAACATATAGGTAGGTGTACCAAATGACGTGCATACATGACACTGCATGGAATTAGATTACAGTGGGAGACATACACGACGGCTGAAAACTAAGTCACCGTTAGACCGACAGTGCAGCGCACCTGGGCATATTCGGCATCATGTCATGTTGCATAGGTAGGTATGGTAGAGCTCGGGTGATCATCGCACCGACAGGGCTGGCGGAAAAACAGACCCATGACAGGAGGATCACACGCCATCGTACCCCACAACTTCGCCATGCACCTTACCAAGTCGAAGCGCGACCGAACCAATGTTATCCTCACGATGTGGGGTCGTACAATTCGCCGAGTGCCGCTGAGGCTCCCCCGGGACTAGTCGTTCAATTCGGTACGCGGACCATCGTATTTGCAAGATTATGATCGCGATGACCGAGGCTTAGCATTTTATCTGCAGGTACATAAAACATGCATGGCGCGGCCAGAGCCTGTCTCGGTGCTTTGTTGGAAACTTCGAAAATGTGGAAGGTTGCGCTTGCCCTGGCGGGTGTATTCGAGCTCACGACTTCTGCAAATACTACCGTGAAGGTAAAATGGCTCGAGGGTGCACCGAAGGTGAACAGCGGCACGACATTTGGTCTTCCTTGGGCTCGTGGAGAACATCTCGCAAATGCTACCTCGTTTACGGCTTCATCGGGAGAACTCCAGTCCTGGGTAACAGCGTACTGGCCGGACGGAACCATCAAGTGGAGTGGACATGCAATACCTGCATCGGAAGGCACTGCTGATGGTTACCTGATCACCGCTTCTGGGCCTGGCAATAGTACCTATTCCCACATCAAGAGGCAAGCCGACGAATCATCGATAATCCAAGTCACGGAGTCGTCAGATGAGGTTGTGGTGAACACCGGGAAGATCATTGCGTCATTCTCCAGGACCGGAAACATTCTGGTGTCCTCGATCAGAACGTCCAGCGGCAAAACCGTTGCAAAGAACGGCCGCTTGATTCTGAAATCTCAGTCTGGGGTGGCTGAAGAGGGAGACTCAAGCGGAATCGACTACTTCAGCTTTTCCAGCAAAATCTACAATGCAACTGTCTCTGAGGAGGGCACGGTTCGCGCTCTGGTGACCGTTCAAGGCATTCATCAAGCCGAGTCTGGCTCTCACAAAGACTGGCTTCCATTCACCCTTCGATTCTACCTCTATGCCAACTCGGACGCCATCCGAACTGTACACACCATCGTGTACGACGGCGAAGCGAAGTCTGACTTCATCTCGGGGCTTGGAATTCGGTTTGATGTTCCACTTGCGGACGAGAAGTTGTTCGATCGCCACGTAAGGATTGCTGGGACCGATGGAGGCATCTTGCACGAGGCGGTGCAAGGAATCACAGGACTTCGTCGTGACCCTGGCGAAGCAGTACGTATGGCTCAGTATAATGGGGAGAAAACGCCAGGTAACAGCACTTGGGACACCAAAACCTCGACCCGTCTTCAGTGGGTTCCCACTTGGAACGACTATCGTCTCACACAGCTGTCCGCCGATGGTTTCAACATCAAGAAACGAACGAAAGAAGGACAGAGTTGGCTGAAGATTCCTGGAGGTACTCGTGCCGGCGGTTTAGCATATATTGGAGGCGCTACTGTTGGAGGACTGGCTATCGGTCTACGAGACTTCTGGAAGAAGTACCCTACGAGCCTCGACATCTCCAATGCGGCGACTGATGATACCTCAATAACAGTATGGCTCTACAGCCCCTCGGCCGAACCCATGGATTTGCGACCCTATCATGACGGTCTGGGCGAGGACACTTACGCAAAGCAACTCGATGCGTTAGAGATCACCTACGAAGATTATGAAGATCGCTACAATACTCCTTATGGAATCGCGCGGACCAACGAGATCTTCATCTACGCATTTGATAGTACGCCTTCCGCAGACACCCTTTCGGCACTGACAGATCACACGAACGAGCCACCAGTCCTTGTTGCAGAGTCGGAGTATATCAAGAAGACCAGAGCACTTGGCTCATATTGGAATGTCGCTGGCGCGGCATCTAACTCCTCAACTGAAGGACCTACCATTGAGTCGCATCTTGACTTCCTTATCCAGTTCTACAGAGACCAAATTGAGCAGCGCCGCTGGTATGGATTCTGGGACCATGGAGACATCATGCATGGCTATGATACCGATAGGCATCAGTGGAAGTATGACATCGGGGGCTATGCCTGGGACAACTCTGAACTCTCGCCGGACCTCTTCTTCTGGAATCAATTCCTCCGCACCGGACGCGCAGATGTGTATCGTCTTGCCGAAGCGCAAGTCCGTCACGGTGGAGAAGTCGACTCGTACCACCTGGGTAACTTCACTGGCTTGGGCACACGACACGGTGTTCAGCACTGGGGCGATAGCGCAAAGCAAGTGCGCATTTCCACACCAGTGTACCGCAAAACGTTCTTCTATCTGTCTGGTGGTGACGAGCGCACGGGCGATCTCGTGCACGAGGCTCTCAAGGCTGAACAGGCTTTCGTTCTTGTCGATGCTCGTCGTAAAGTACGAGATCCTAGCGTCATCTACAAGCCTGATCCCACTGCTCTGTATCTCAATTTCGGCACCGACTGGGCGGGTGTTGCAGCTGCTTACCTGCTTGAATGGGAGCGTCGCGGTCCGCGCTGGGAGGAAGCCCGCGATAAGCTTATTGAAACTGCAAAGACATACCCGAAGCTGAAGAACGGGTTCGTCACAGGAGAGGCCTTGTACAACTCGGAAGATGGATCGTGGGCACCTCCTCCAACGGATCCGAACAACAATGGGACCATCACCGTATCTCATCTATCCGCCGTGTTCGGCGTCCTGGAAACCCTTGATCAGCTTTTCGAACACTATCCGGAGATTTCGGAAGCGTTTGTGGACGCATGGCTCGATTACTGCTACTATTATGGTGCATCGAAAGCGGAGCAGGCAGCGCGATATGGCAAGGACTTCGGATCGCTCAACCTTCGACAAGGACATGCGCGCTTAACGGCATATGTGGCGAACAAGAGGAATAATGCGACGCTTGCACAGAGAGCGTGGAATGAATTCTTGAACGACAACAGTGCGGATGAACTGAGCCCTGACGATCCATGGGCGACAGTGAAGTTCAACGGAAGTGAAGTGTTGACGCCGGTGGATGAGGCTGATTGGATTACTACGAACGCGGCGGCACTGTATGGGCTTGGAGGTCTTGAATTACTTGCACTTACATAGTTGCCGTAGCACAATGACCTTACTCCAAACGTCATAAATAACGTAAGTCAATTGCGAAATTCGATGAAGGCGAGAAACATTTGACTTGCACACCATTTAACTGTTGAAAGCCGGTCTATGATTCGTAACACCCTTGTATGTCTTTCCGTTCTCTAAAACCTAACCCCGTGTGCCAGACGATACGAACAAGAAGAGGGAATCAGAGCCGCTACCAAAGGCATCGTCAAAGCACCGCAAATAGGCTCCAGCATGTAAGGGAATTCAAGAAGTGAGAAGGACGAGAGGCAAGTTTCCGTCTGCACCATATGGCATCAGCTGCCTGACGTCGCCAAAGACAACATATAATGTCGATATCCCTCTTGCCATTGAAACTCCTCCGTCTTCATGCAGGGTAGCGTGACTTGACAGCCGCCACATCACCCTTACTGATCTCGATGTTTAAGGGGAATGGTTCTTCTGAACCATCTGCATGGACATGGCTCATGGTTGCTTGATCCGGATTCCATGGCATATGAGACTTCCACACTTCGTCGTGGTAATTGCCCTCCGCATCTTTCCAATGCGCCATGGTGGGGTAGTGCATGATAGAATCCTGATCGTAAGGCCCAATGACTTTCATACCGGGACGATTCGTCACGTATTCGGTGAAGGCACAGCCCGCAAATACCGCTTTGTCATAATTCTCTCGCTTGCATAGGAAGTCTCGCAGCTTCGTCCTTCCATCCGGTTCGTTTTTGTAATGCTTGTATTCGTCGTTCATCAGAGCAAGGTCTATCACCCAATCCATATTCGGAAGGTTCTCGCAACGTAATTTGACCGGTGCGTCGGGATGCTGATGTGCGTGGCCCAGTCCGAGAACTTTAGAAAATGTCAGTCCAGATCTAGTGTACTAGGGTCTGTATCATACCATGTCCAAGCTCATGAGTGAACGCTTGAAGTTGCCCCGGAGACGCATTTATGCTGTCGCCTGGGGCCCTAGGTATCGCCTGTAGGTACATGTGGTTACGACCTGCTTCATTATTCTTTTCCTTGGGTCGAAATCCCGGCTTCGACGAGGTACCAGATGGCACTAGATGGATCGCCAAAGCATGCTCCCAACCTGGAACATTCCATGTTCCGGGATTGCTTGGGTCTCGGTAGTCGTCCTTGTAGCAGTTGACTTGCACCCACTGGAAAGTGACCAAATGACCGATTCCGTGGACTCGGTGGTCAACGTCGCCAGGGTCGCCACCGAGAGCTTTCATCCACGCTTGCATTGCCTGCCAGACGTGATGCTGAAGTTTTTCCTTTGCTTCCTGGTTGACGAAACAATACGGAATGGCGTGCAAGGGGACGCCGAAGTATGCGAATTGAGGGTCGGCCGGCCACTCTACTGCGTTCTGGCCATCGACCCACGTTGTGCGAGGCTTGATGAAATCTGGATGGCTACCGACAGGCACGTTCTTGCCGGAAACAACGCTGAGTGCGGAGGGATTTTGCAGGTTAACAGCAACAGCTGCGACAGGAGAAGCTAGCGCAAATACCGCGCAGGCGGCACTCAAAATCTTCATCGTAAGCGTGTAGCTGTTTCAGTAGAGTGATACCTGAGAATTCCGTAATGTTGCTGTGGGACACTTTAATTGACGGGTATGTTGGTTGAAGACCGCCGAGGCGAGTGACATTGAGTGCCGAGAGTACGCGGCGGGTTCTTTCGTAGTGTTTACGCAAAGTGCTTAGACCGAGCTACTGAGGTTGAGTTTGTAAGCGTGCCAGAGCCCGTGCAGTGCCGCAAAACGAAGGGCAGGGTAGGTGAATGGTAGTGAAGTGCGTTATCCCATCGATCTCTGCGGCCATTTTCTTGGCATGTTCCATCTCTTTGAGGGCTACTCACTCTAGACATTCATCAGCCCTCGTATGGTCTCCTTTATATGTGTTCTGAGAGGTATGGTCCCAGTCGAGTCCTCAGCCAAGAAACTATTTACCAGAGACACACCAGACCAGCTGACCTTGTACCAATTGCACAACAGTTACCAATGTGAGCCTCTTCGCATATACAAACACATGGAGCGAGGAGCGTTTTGTGAGGATCCCAAATCCATATTCCTTGTTTGCAGTCTCGAAGGAGGCAAAACCGTCCTGTTTTTGTTCTCAGCAATGCTATTGCTTGTGGAGAATTTTTTCTGGAGCGTGACCGCCCATGGATTGGATCTATGCTTCATTCCAAAAACAAGTCCAACCGATATGTTGTCTGCAATCGCTCGAATCCGAAATATCCCGACGGTTCTCTGGTGCATCCGGCTAACTCGATCCGGAACAGATCTGATGAAATAGGACCTTTCCATATCTTGTTCAGCCCGCGGATATGAGACCTCCGAAGAACTGGACAACCATGTGGCTTCCTAATTTTGTTGGTAGGGATGATCTCACGTATCTAGGTAAGGTATCTACAACTGACTATCCGGATAATAGTATCTAGCATTACAATTAGTGAGTACGGAGCTGAACAGGAGTAGGGTGTCTCGTGAGAGTATATCCAGAGCTGACCGTCATTGATAAGCCCCTTCATTGTTCAGCCCAGTGTCTAGGGTTGTTGGAACGGTAAGGGATGGATCCAAAGAGCGTGACGGCGAACTTCTACGTCGCATGCTTACCATCCAATGCGCACAGGCTGTTGGCGCAGATAAAGAAGTGGGCAGCATCGAAGTAGGTAAGAAGGCGAACTTCATCGTGGTTAACAAGGACTTGAGTTTGGTAGAGTTCGATGGAGCCCAAGTTTTGAGGACTATTTCGAAGGGGAGTGTGTTTGAGACGGTGTAGTTTAGTTGCGGAAGATGGATATGTATCGCTGGTTTGACTCTTCGATGCCAGTATGCCTCCTGTTTGCGGTGGGAGAGCCGCTAGCCGTGACTGGTGAACTCCGTCGTTTTGGCCGACAGGTATTCTAAAGACAGCATCCCTTCTGTTCGTCCACATCACCATCTCATAAGTTCTCCCTGACTGAGTTCACACAATAGGAGGGCATGAAGCTCTCACCGCGAGTTCTACATGCGAAACACCCAGCGTCGAGCCCGACTCGAGTATTCGATGTTCGGAGACACAAAGCCTTAATCTGGTATGCTGCACAACACGACCGTCTGCTCGTCTTCCACATGCAAAAGAAATAATACAACAAGCAGATATCGATAAGAACAGGATGTGTATCGGTGGTGAGGGTGTCCGTGCAAGGGAGCCTGCCCTACGCACAAGCACTTGGGCCGAAAGCTGGAGCTTGGTTCCCGACAGTTCATTTCAGCCACATATTCGAATAATCCCATCATGTAGTCGGTGTTCCAACCAATGTGCATGCGATTTGAATAAATGCCAAGCCATCATTCCGAGTGTGGCCATCTTCGCTTCCCCGCACTCCGAAGCTTAGCTTCGGGATAGATCTCCACCACGGCCCGTGTGTCACCCACACAGCTTTCATCACAGCACCATCAGCGCCAAGGAGCCTCACTGCGACCTGTAATCCGTTCGGAATACTGAAAACAGCATCAAAGATCAGTCATATGGAGAGCTGAATCGTGATAGCTGCAATGCGGGTTACCAGGCATATCCGCGTATGGACTGGAATGCATGGCGTGGAAAGCGCTGAGCCTGGTCTACGTCACTGCGTGAGCTATAAACGAGGACCGATGAACCAAGGTATAAGCGACAAACGAAAGATCATTCAGGGACATCAGCATAGAAGTGAACACTACGGCGAGGTCTCCGCTCGTCTACAGTTGTGCTTTTTAGACATACGTTGATTTTTGCTGACTGTGTCTCGTTCAAAAGGTCCAGAGTACCGCAGCTCGTTCGTCAGATCGGAAGGTTATCTGCACGTTCAACGAATGGCGGATGCCAAGCACCTGCTAGTGACCCGAACGACTGATCTCAACATTGAGCGGGCCGGTGGGGACAGTACCTGCCTCGAGCTAAATTTGTGGTTGCCAGCCATGAGCCAGATTAATGGTACAGGTCCGATGTTGTGATTGGACAAGGTTGCTTGTGTTACCTCAAATTGACAATTGGTTCGGTCCAGATGTCATCCCATGGCCGCCATGTCTCTTCCTGCAGCACGACATGAGAGCGAGGGCAGCTATGTAAACCATTTCCGGTTCCGACAAAGGGCCATGGAGACTTAACCGTGGACTATCGACATGGAACTCTATATAAAAGCCTGGCGCTGGCATTCCCTGGCAGACGTTCCTATTGTTAACTCGGTCTAATTTAAAGTGGCTTTCCGCCCTTTTCATATATCAACTATATCTTGCATGCCACGAAAGATCCTCGACTGATCGTTAACCCTCAATATGGCATTAAGAACACACCAAGAGGTTGACCTGGTGCCGGGCACTGAGGTTATGGACGCAGATGGCAGAGCGAAGAAAGCGTTGATTCCCGTACCTTCCAACGATCCTCGCGACCCCTTGAACTGGTCGAAGAAATGGAAGCGTAAGTCCCTTCATTACTGTCTCTTGGGATTGTTCTAATGTGTCCTAGTTATGGTGATGGCCAGCCAATGGCTCTTCACATGGATCTCAGTCACTGGCGCCCTGTCAATCGCACCGATGTTTCCTCTCCTTGGCCAAGAGTTCCATCTTAATAACTCACAGCTTGCATTCCTCACAGGAATCACAGTCATCACTCTTGGAGTTGCTGGTTTCGTCATTGTCCCCATGAGCAACATCTTCGGACGTCGAGCCGTCAGCTTGACCTTCGCGTTCTTCATCATGCTCACATGTATCTGGCAAGCATTGGCAACTTCGCACCGCAGTCTTCTTGCAGCACGTGCGTTGAACGGTGTTGTTTGTGCGACGAGCGAAACGATTCCGGTGCAGATGATTGCTGACGTATTCTTCCTTTACGAGCGTGGCGCCTGGACCGGGGTTTATTTCACTGGTTACTTCCTCGGCGCCTTCCTCGGTCCAGTCATGAGCGGATCCATTGCCGCCCACCATGGCTGGCAATCTTTCTTTTGGCTGGAAACCGGCTTGTCTGCGTTTTCGATTGTCCTAATCTTCTTCACCTTTCCAGAAACCAAATATCACCGCCAGAACACGAAAGGCTACACCGGCGTGACTACCCCTGACTCCAGTCAAAGTCAAGGGGCCATCATGAATGACCGCAGCGGACAGAATTCAGTTGAAAAAGCAGAATCACAGATCGTCAATCACCGCACCGAGAGCGAGTCTGCTCTGCCTCCTTTGGGCCGTGGCCGGCCATCGCGAGGACAGTTCATGCCGTTCAGAAAGCCAGATCCTCGTTGGAAGATGTTTGTAGTGCGCGATACCTGGACACCCGTTAAGGTATTCTTCAACCCCATCATCCTATGGGCTGGGTTGATGCTTGCGGGACCGGCGGATCTCGTTCTCTTCTTCAACATCAGCGAGTCTGTCATCTTCGCCGCGCCACCCTACCTTTTTAACCCGGAGAACGTCGGCTACACCAACTTTGCGTTTGTCATTGGCGCTCTGCTCGGTCTTGCCACTGCAGGTCCCTTCTCTGATTGGGTTGCCGCACGCGCTACACGCAAGAACAGCGGCATCCGTGAGCCCGAAATGCGTCTGCCGGCACTGTGGTTCTTCATGATCATCACTATCATGTCGGTTATTCTCGGTGGCATCGGATACCAACGACACTGGGGTTGGGGCCACATCGTGGTCTGGGGATACGGCTTTGCTGGCTTCGGTGTCACCACCGTACCCACGATTTCGATCACTTACGCCATTGATTGCTACAAGCCTATCTCAGGTGAGATCATGGTGGTTGCGACTGTGTTCAAGAACTTCATCGCTTTCTCGTACAGCTACTGGATCTTCGAATTAGCGCACACCAGCAAAAACGGCTGGATCACACCCGCCATGGTCATCTTTGCGTGCACAGTTGGTCCCGCATTGTTTGCCTTTCCGCTATACTACGGTTTAGGCAAGAAGATTCGCACATGGACTAGGAACTCGGATGTGCATCGCATGGAGCAGGTCATCTAAATTGCAGCGTAGGAGTTGTCAATGGCCATGCACAAGAGCATTAAATACACCATAGGTATATGAGATGTAATTTTGGGTTTCCACTTTGTTTTGATTGAGAGGGACAACAGTTTGTAGAACATAATACCTTTTTAATAAACGGGCTAATGCCCATCTCTTCAATACTAGAATCTCGTATGCACACTGGCCATCTCCCACGCTTATGCTAAGATAAGTGCCGGATCTAACGCAAGTTGAACTCTATGCCGTTAGCTCGGATTCTTCAGTCGGTGCGACTTCTTCAGTTCTTCTCTTCTCATCCCTATTCTGTAGCATTCGCAACAAGAAGGTCAAAGCTATCATCCCCACACCCATTGCCGATGCTCCAATGAATCCAGCTTTGTATCTTGGTGCATCGATCGTCCGCCACACCGCATTTGTCCACCATATGCGCATGATGTAACTGAACATATTTGACACCGCAATGACAAAGCCACGCATCTCATGATCGTGCGGTATCAGATCTGAATACCAAGCGAAGTACGGCCCTGGCACTCCAGCCCCGAAATACGTGAAGTAGTAAGCAACATACTTCAGAGTATCAGGCACCTTCCAAATGGCGATTATGATGGCGCCAAACAGCATTCCGGTTTGCATCACAATGATAGCGGGCCACCGCCGGCCTCCAAGTAGCGGCGAGTCCGAGAGCATTCCTGCGAGGATTTGCACCACGACACCGACAGCGACTTGGCCGGTGGGCCAGACATTTCTTTGGTATACTGAGTGCCCAGTTGACTTGAGCCATAGCGCATACGCAGGTTGTTCATTGGGAAAGCTCGTCTGCACGAAGAAGTAACCCAGTGGCAGAACCCATAATTGCCACTGTTTGGCGATGTGCAGTATCTTCTTCTTGTTCCAGGGATTATGTCCAAGAGGTTTTTGGCCTTCTTCGATGAGACGTGCGCACTGGCGCGCAGCTTCCTCCTTGGTGATGTAGAAGGCGCGCGTGGTTTCAGGGAAGTCGGGAATGAAGAAGTATCCGAGGAAGGCGATGGGAAGGGAGATGACGCCGCACACTATGAATAACCACTACGAGGGTCAGTATCGCATTATGATCCATTTCGGGCGTTAGACACACCTGCCAACCTTGTCTTCCCATGACACCATCCAAACCGCTGTATGCGCCCGCCTGGATGTAGCCACTGAACATGCTTGCAAGAGCTGCGGTGCAGTAAAACAAAGCGACTCGCTTTCCTCTTTCTGCTTTGGTGTACCAACTTCCAATCAGATACTAGTCGCAGGTCAACGATGCATTCAGTATCTCAGCATTGCGCCCAACTTACAATCATCACTGGAAAATATCCCGATTCACACAATCCGACGAGGAACCGAATAGCGTACAAGTGCGATGTTTTCGTCACAGACGATGAGCAGAAGGTTAAAACCGACCAGATGATCTCAAGCGTCGGTATTAGAATAGAAGGCCGGAGTCGGCTTGCTAGCATGACTGCAGGCATTTGACCAATCACATATCCCGCTGTGAAAACATTGGCAGTGTAGGTCAATTCGCTTCCATACATGTTCAGTGACTCTTTCATCTAACCCATGTTAGCAACCGCCGCTTGTCTACGAGCCGTATATGTGTGTGGAACCTACTCCAGAGACGTAAGCATTGTTGATGTTCGCTTGGTCGAGGTTCTTGCTGAAGTAGCCCAGACAAGCGCTACTGAGGAGGAAGAGGTCAAGCTTGAACAAAAACCATTTTTCTTCTTTGCTCTTATCCGGATCGTCCCAGACATGTCGTTGGATCGAGCGAAGAATCTGCTGCGGTCGGCTGTAAGTGCGAGGCGGTCCGGGAGTAGACGGTTCAAGCGATGGTGTGATGCTTGGAGACGATGCACCTTTGGAGTGTGTCACCTCAATTCTTGCTATCTCCTTTGAGGTCATTGTTGTGTATCGAATTCGTTGTCTCTGCCAGTTTTAGGGGTTCTGGGATATATGTATAGTCGCGTTTGCTTGCGAGAAAATTTCAAAGGCGTTCGGTCCCCCATCTAGACCCGGGGATACTAAGTAAGGGTAAACTCCTGGTCCTAAATAATACGCTGCTTCCGTGCTCAGGTAACTTAGGACTACACATGACGCCATTGGGGTCCATATTGCGTTTGGGTCTCGCTAGCACAGGTACACGGGTAGGAGTCCCGCTAAATCGCACGCAGTATCACCGACTTGGGACGCCATATCATCTCAGATTACCTTCACATTACGCACTAACTCACTGGATGTGTTAAAAAAAACCCTCTATGCGCTTTCGAAGGCTATAGACCATTTCCTAGAGCCTACACACTTGTTATCACCATCCTAATTCGTTACTAAGCTCTATGCATGCTTGGTTACGACTCATTAGTTCCCATGAACCTTGTGCATTGCTCGGAGCCCGGAACTATATCGTATTCCCACATGGTTCTGTTGTTCGATAGTGTTCGATGCGAGGTCGTTGTGGGACGGACCGATACGTGATGCGGGGAGCTTATTGCGCCATCTAAGCACGACATGCGAAACGCTTGATAGACAGAGTGGAGCTTATCTGTCACCAAGGCTATAAAACGCGTAATTGGACAGCTCAATTGCATTTGACACTTTTCAGACAGTTCAACATCTTGTGATGGGGTTCGCTTACTCGCAATATGCGACTAACGTGCACCTCAGTGGAGAGACTGGTATCGCGGGCTCAATCCCATACACTACAAGGCAGATTATTGGCATATCGGAGGATGTTCTTCGGCACTGTGCCGTAGCGCTTGAATGACGAAATCTGGGGTACATATAGCGACATATCATCGTTCGATGTTGAGCATACGAGTGCAGCTCTATTAGTAAACAGCTTGAGGAGCTAAGACTGACCCCCAATACTAATATAAGCACATCTTGTCTAAGAGGCCTGAGTCATTATCTAACTTCAAGTGAAACGACCAGCCTTATCAACCACCATGTCCACAACAACTGTCGAGACGACGAACGTACAGACCAATACTCAGAAGGACTATAGTCAATACGACTATGCGAACCTTGAGCCATACATTCATCCACCCGAGACGAGAGAAGATATCCCATGGTCAGAGCTCGTGACACTCGACCTCGAAGATTACAACCGTCCCGGTGGAAAAGAGCGTTTGGCTAAGCAGCTTGAACATGCCGTGCACCATGTCGGTTTTGTGAGTAGACGACCTCGAATCTGTAGGCTTGAAAATGTGTCGCCTTACTAACATACACGCAGTTCTACGTAAAGAACTTTGGCTTGAGTCCGGACCAGATTGACCAGCAGTTCACACTAGCAAAACACTTCTTCGAGCTACCAATCTCCGAGAAAGAAAAGTACGAAATCAACTACGCTGAAGCCGATTACAACGGCTGGCGCAGGCCAGGCCGATCGCTAGTCGCAGGTGCCAGGGACAACATCGAGATCTTCAATATCCCCAAGTTCATCGATGAATTCGAAGGGAAATACGATTACCCAGATCTGCTGAAAGCGCATCTCGGCGAGATTGAGACATTCCAACGTGCTCTCCACGCCAATGTGGTCATGCCCTTGTTACGACTCTTCGCAATCGTGTTGCAATTGCCTGATGAAGACTACCTGGTGAAGCAGCACACGTACGAGAAGAAGTCCGAAGATCACTTCCGCTACATGATCTACTATCCCCGAACAGATGAGGAGTGGGCTACTGCAAAGAACGGAGCAACTGGCGGCCATACCGACTTGGGCACTGTAACACTGCTTTTCCGGCAACCTGTTGCCGGGCTGCAAATCCTTGGTGACGATGGCAACTGGACCTCGGTGCAAGCTCAGCCTGGAACCATCACCGTCAATCTCGCAGACACCATCTCGCACCTTACGGGCGGTTGGCTGAAGTCATCCGTGCATCGCGTGGTTGCGCCACCGCAGGATCAGCGCGAGTTCAAGCGAACTGGGCTGCTATACTTCGCGCGTCCACACAACGATGCCAAGCTGCTGCCAATCACCGATTCACCGGTACTAGAGAAGGCAGGTGTCAAACCGAGGTTTGACAGGATTGTTACAATGGAAGAGTGGGTGAAAGCTAAGCAGACGTTGCAGCTCAACCCAGAGATAGCAGCGAAGAGGTGGGCAGAAAGGGGCGATGGCAAGGTGGAGGTACTGGCTGGCTTCCATGATCAGAAGTACAAAGAGTAGATTTAGACACGGATGCACCCATAATTGAAGTGGTTACTAGTCTTGCTAAATCGGTCACATTCTACTCATATCACCAACTGTATGTGTGCAGTACTATTTTTGAAGAAAAAGGCATATATTCAGTTGCTTCGTCGGACACCTGTCAAAATCCTCGTTGCACAACTTTGACGTGCTTACATCCGTTATGCTAGATATGTTTATAGTCATTTACAAGAATTGATGAACTTTTGCTCATCAGTGTACTGGAGACAGATACCCGCCGATCATCCCACCAAAACCGAATTGCATACAGATATCCGCCAGTGTACCTGCTGAGGTTTTACAAGACAAGAAGACCCAAGAGTCCAGCGGCCGCCATTTGAACGCTTCCTACGGGACCAGCTGCAATCGCAGCGCCATCGAATTGGCTAGACGTAGCTGCAGCGCTCTCGGCTGAGTCAGCGCTGGAGACAGTTCCCGTCGTCGAAGCGGTGCCAGTCGTCTCAGCAGTCTCAGCAGGTAGAGTAGTTGGCTCGGCCACACCAGAGGGACAATGCCAGTGGTCGCCGTGGGGCTCACAAGTAGCTGCAGTCGCCTCGTGGTCATGTTCATCTTCGTCGTGGTCCTCGCCGGTGGCTGTGGCAGCAGGAGGTGTCGTTGGCTCTGCGACGCCGGATGGGCAGTGCCAGTGGTCTCCGTGAGGTTCGCAAGCCGTAGCCGCAGCTTCAGTAGTTGAAGCGCTCGCCGAGACTGCAGTGGATACAGCGGCAGTGGCCGTCGCTGAGGCACCGGTCTCTGCAGATTCGGCAGGGGGCGTAGTAGGCTCTGCTACGCCTGAAGGACAGTGCCTAGAGTACCAGTCAATTTGGATCTCTTTCCAGAACTAGCTTTCCAACGAACATACCAGTGGTCTTCATGAGGCTCACAGGCAGCTCCAGTAGCCGAAACACTGTCTTGGGCAAGGACGACAGCAGCCGTAGCGAGAAAAAAGGTCAACAGCTTCATATTGGTGATTTGCCGGAGCGTTGCTGCCTGGGTAAAGTGTAGGAAACTGATTCGACAAGTGTTTCTTGTTTGACAAGGGCAGCTGTCAGCGGGATGCCCTTATGTAGGCTACACCTGCAGGTACGGTCCCGCGGGCCAAGAAAGCGGAATCGCTTGGCGATGGACATCGCGGTACTCAATTGCTCGGCGGAACGAGTAGATTCGACTTGAAAGCAGTACTTTCGGAAATTTCTTTACGAGCAAGTACACAATGACCAATCGGCCGTCGCGATGACCTTGGCAGTCGGTGCGGCGTGGGGTGGCGTCCTCGTGAAGCTGATATTTCTCTCGTTTACCTTCCTCTTCCATACGACTTCTCCCCGCAGGGCGTCATACTCAGGAGATGCTAAATGCGTTTCCTAGGTTCGCTGCCGAGTCTGCCGGAATACCTTGTTGTTCTTGTTGATTCATGGTCAAACTACGAACCAGAGCCAAGGATAAGGTGTCTCGGCCTTCCTTGCGATAATCAAGCTCATCGCGCAAGAAGCTTGATATCCTTGCGTGGACGCGGTTATAGGCGCGACAACCGATTACAGTCGCTGCTATAGTCGGGGTACAATCTGCACGAATTGCGCAGAGTTGCCACTTCCCCACTTCGATGGTGGCATATAGCACAGAAATTTTGCGAAGAGCCGTACTGTCAAGGTTAACATGGGAACCCACGAAGAAAGAAAGAATACTTACATATGTAGGTAGTCTCCTACGGTGGGAACCCCTTTTCGGTGGCACAAGAAGGGTGAAAGCAGCCGAAGACATTTGAAGTGCTCAATCAGTTCGGAGATTTGGGTAACGCAGCGCTTCCATTGTGCGCCATCGCCACCATGGACAAGAAAGTATCTCCACAGAAGGTCGAATCTACAGCCTTCATTCTCCCTCCAAATTCATGTAGGGACGTTAGCTGCGTGCCGACCCGGTACCCTGTCCCGGATCCAGCAGCAGCAATCCAAGCTTGCGGTGACTCAGCCATCCACAGCCCAGGTCGGCTGTCGAAAGGGAGTGATTCGAGCAGTAACCAGTTCGAACAATATCCGTGCTTCCATGCATTGAAACAACAAATAAGGACATAAGCCATGACGATCGTACGGCGTATGCTCTCTGCAAAAAGCCATTGTTGCCAAGGAGTTCTTGATTCCGATACATTTACACTCGCATTACTGAGCAGATGCTGAGCCCAGACTTCTGCAATCTTTAACCACGGTTCAGCTCTTTCCTGTTTAACAGGCTGTTCGGAGACAAGCAACGGTGCAGTAAAGACCAGGAGCGTTTGAAGGGCACTCAGGCCTTCTTCCAGAGATACTGTACTGATACCAATACCTACTAGAGCCGGAAGGTCGTAGGGTGACATGGGGCTGTCCATCGGGCTTCGAATCAGGGAGAGGTGCGATCGACCCATTCGCATCTGTAGCTTCGGATGAATGAAGACAGCGGGACGTAAAGACGTGACCAATTCTGGGACGTGCAAAAAACATTGCTGAATCAGTTCTTGGGCCTCTTTGTGTCCTGGTGGACAGAAGGCCGGGTCGAGATCATTGCCGAAGTGCTTGTTGTACGCTTCCGCTCGATCAAGAAGACAATATCCTGTGGTTTCGAAGCCTATACCCTTAAGTAGGAGGCTAGCGGAGCACTTGTTTTCCGCATCTTCACCACTAAGCGGCTGGAGGTCGTAGGTACACGTGAGGCCTTTCTGCACGCAACGTGCGCAACTAGGTAGCTGCACAGTGCAGTGACGTTTCGAGGCGGCACAACTGCGACACGATTTACGGAGCGTTGTCATGCTGTATCGATTGAGCAACGAGATGTTGCATGAGTGAAGATGCGGTGTGAGTGTGCCTAGGATTTGTCAGATGGGATAGCGCTGGCCATAGACCGCACTACGCGGGATGTGGCTAGCTCCTGTTCTGTTTCGGATGGATATAAATAGCTACATTCCCTCAGCATCTTTGCACCGAATTCCAAGGAGCATAGATCGACTCCTTTACCAATGCCTACCATCTCATTCGATGCGAGCATTCTTTATCATACAGTTATTGTTCCTTGAGACATCTATTTCATTCGCTCCTGATTGAGTGACCTCCCCTACAATCTTCCCTGATACCGAGCCTTTTAGGTTACGAAAAAGACAAGCATACCAACATGGACTTTCAATATTCTCATCTGCAGCATCTTTATCAATTCTTCCTTTGCCTTGGGTGTCGCGATTCCAGTAATCTGAATGTAGCGCCTGCGCGATGCAACGTTGTCTGTGCTCGTACGAGTCACATGCAGTTCTACGCCCTAATCAACTGAGTTTACGCAAGGCTTCAGTTGGACTCAGCGAGATTATAAATGCGATGAATTGACCACTGACATACGACACTATAGTTTTATAAGCTTTGCTGAAGAGAGGCAAAAGGTAGCAGCAACTGATCCGCGTCTCGCTTCACCCACTGCGGTTTAGCCGCCGACCCATCCATATCATCCCCACAAGCGGCGTAGACTACAACAAGACGCGATACTGTCCTCACATTGCCTCCCAGAAACCAGAACAAGATGTCCAATATCCGCCCATTTACGCTCTCCATATCCGATGCCCGCCTGCAGCACCTACAAGATAAACTCGCGCTTGCGACATTCCCGGACGAGCTCGAAGACGCGGGATGGGAACATGGCGCGCCGCTAGCCGACATCAAGCGCCTCGTCGAACACTGGCGAACGCAATACAACTGGCGTCGCCACGAAACCTCAATCAACAATCTTCCCAATTTCGAAACTACAATTGACATCGACGGCTTCGGATCCATCGACATTCACTTCGTCCACCAAATCTCCCCAAACGCAAATGCCATCCCCCTCCTCTTTGTGCACGGCTGGCCAGGGCACTTCCTCGAAGTGGAAAAACTGCTCCCCTTGTTCAGAGACAGCGAGAATAATGGCGGCCCAGCATTCCACGTCGTCGCGCCGTCACTGCCGAACTTCGGGTTTTCCGGGGTTGTGAAAAAGAAAGGCTTCGGCATGGCGCAGTACGCCGAGACGTGCCACAAGCTGATGCTCGCGCTGGGGTACACGCAGTACGTATCGCAGGGCGGCGACTGGGGCACATTCATCACGCGGACGATGGCGATGCTGTATCCTGAGTCTCTGAAAGCGACACATATTAATATGGTCGCGTGTGGACCGCCTCTCAAGAATCCCCTTGCCTTGCTCACGCTAGGATTTAAATATCTCACTGGTACTTTCAGCGCAGAAGAAAAAGCGGGCTTCGAGCGCACGCAGTGGTTCCAGAAGCACGGGTTTGGCTATTTCCAGCTGCAGAGCACGAAGCCGCAGACGGTGGGGTACGCTTTGAATGACAGTCCTGTTGCGCTGCTGGCGTGGATATATGAGAAGCTGCATGATTGGACAGACGATTATCCGTGGACGGATGACGAGATTCTCGATTGGATCAGCGTGTACTGGTTTAGTCGGGCTGGGCCTGCTGCTAGTGTGAGGATCTACTACGAGGCGGGGAAGGGAGAGTATACGAGTGAGAGGACGTACAAGACGTGGATACCGAATGTGAGGCTAGTAAGTCAAACGCGGTTTCGGAGGACACTTTACACCGGGCTAACGTACTGCGACTTTGTAGGGCTTGGGCTACTTCCCGAAAGAGCTTGCGTTGCTTCCTAAGAGCTGGGCGCACTCGCTGGGGCCAATTACATTTGTAGGAGAGCACAAAAGTGGCGGGCATTTTGCTGCCTTCGAGAACCCTAAGGGCATCGTGGGCGATATGAGGGTTATGTTCGGAAAGGGCGGAGGTGCATTTAGCGTGGTCGAGAATAAACATGGCTATTAGTATGTCCAAACTACACTTGGTCAGACAGAAAGCGGACTGTATGCGTGATATCTCATAGTTAGCGTCATATGACGATTATGAGTACAGCCTTCCACAAGAGAACAAAGGAACCCGTTGCCATTGTTGTCGACACCCTTTCGCAAGAACCTCCCCGCTTCCCTTTTCGAAAGTCAACACAATCGAACGCCATCACTATCGCCGCCTAGGGGTATCCGTCTCCCACGTGCAGCAATTCTTGACCGTGAACGGATGTCGGTATCGGTAACCTACTTCGGCAGGCGGGGCGTTTACCTCCCGGCCGGGACTGATTGGCAACATCAGGATCTCGGTATCGGTTGCAACGTATGTGTATATAAAGACGGAATGTTGCCGGTTCCCATGTGAGGAGCCGAGCGTATGGTCTGTTATTTACAGCCGCCTGTATTATTCCGTGGTTGTTGAGGACGTGGAATGATTTAGCATCACTGCAAGCAATAAGCTAACAACTATCCGATGATAATAGCGGTAGGGTTCGTCTTTGGCGAGACAAGTCGGATACTGACAGACATTTTTCGAAGGCTCGATGGGTCTTGTCCGGTTGTCCGGTTGTCAGACGTACGTGTATACATCAGCGGGCTAATTTGCTATTCAATATATTGCATTGACTGTATTTGAGCTTCAATGAAGAGATAAATTCGACTACGTACCCGCCCTTCGCGCGCAAAGTAAAGGTAGCATCCGCTTAGGGTTGACAGCCATTCCATACATTAACGCATGACTGCGGCTCGCTGTGATGACAGCGCCGGAATGCTTCCATGACCAAAGAGCCTCATAACCAAGCTTCTCGGGTTAGGGCTAGGCTTACCAACCTAACGGCCCTTTGTACTACCTTCTCAAAGGAGGTAGAACATTGTGCGCAGCTCACCTTTAGGTTGACGTGAGCGGCGCGTAGCTGTCTGGCCACATTTGTACGCCACGCCGATTACGGATACTTCCAGGAGAGTGGCTTGTGCAGAATATTCCGTATGACGCATCTACATGGTAAGCCTCAATGGAACAGTTGCCGTGATCGGTCGTGATCTTGTAAAAGCGATAAGGTTTTTGGTGATGATAGGGTGTGTCGACCTGATATGCGATCCAAATCTGGTCTACTTATGCTCAAAAACAAACATGGTTAGAATCATTCTCTGATGCGTACAGGCGTACATGACATGAAAATCTGGAAGTGAGATCACTGTATTCGCGAAGGCTCCTGTAGGCTTCTGTACGATGATGGACGAGCGCCACCGAAAGGCCGCGCTTTGATATATTGAGCACAGGCATTGAGTTCCCGTCTGGGGAGTCTGATAAACTCTTAGTATGTGTAGACGTGTGCATCATTGATTCCGCATGGCAATGTGAAGATATCGATCTTGATGCTGTTTGCGCTGAACGGCAGAGAGTTGTGACCGCAGTGGCGCAAAAGCCTTGTTGGAAACAGAAACTTTGTCTTTCCCTGACAGGCGGGCAGTTTCTCCACATCGTGGAAACTAATCCAGGGCGCCTCGTACCCTGAACCAACAAGTACGATTGTAGGTGTTGCCCCGAAACAGTGGTCGATGTTGACGCCATGACGGTCATGAGTACTGCTGCCATCGGGTGCTACTTGCAGTTTCGTACACAGACAAGTTTCGCGTGATGACACAGCGGCCAACATCTCGTGCCACGCAGCGTTTGTTCAGGCGACGACTCGGCGACCCCTGTGAAGCCGCGCGCTCGTTCGGCCCGTCCAGGTGACGAAATTGTTCATACCTTCGTGTTAAGATGAGAAGCAATGTGTCGACCAAATAACAAATTTGTCGCTCATCTTGGAATCTATGAGGATCACGAGGCATTATCTTAGCTGCCGCTTCACACGGTGCATCTCTCCACTCAACGACACGGTCACTAACTGGTCGCGGCAAGAGGTCCCGCCTTTCGGAGGAATGTTGACTCGTGGGCCGCGCTCCTGAGTACAAACGAGAAAGTCGAATTTAAGATAGAATTTTTAGATGAACACGTTCTGGGGTGCGTTTTCGCGCCCATTTTCGTCATGTGCCACCGCAGGCTCGGTAATGAGTGATGTTATTTTCTGTCGCGTGCGACGGGCCAGGATTGAGGAGGGGCAGCGCCACAACGGTCCTACCGGTAATGCTGCGTGTGAGGACCAGCTACGGGCACCTGGGGTGTGAATGTGTGCCTGACAAGTCAATGTCGCACGGCATGGTGCGTGCAAGCTCTCGAATTACGTGATGCGTGTGATGGTCCTGCGTCGGCGCGTGCCGGTGTCTAGACCGCGAGGCCTCATCGTGGTGCTCAAGGATGGGTCGGGGATGAGGCTGATGGTGAATGTCAAACATGGCCCAGGGGCCTTGTCGCGCACGAGCCAGCGCCTGCCTCGAACGCGGCAACGCCTTCCCAAACCCAGAGTCGATCCTTCCCCGCCGGCGGGACGACCAATCAGCAACGGGCCGCGCCAAATTAGCAGATCCCCTTCATCAAACGACGCTGCGTCGCCCGGATTTCATCACGGCGCTCTGCTCCTCGAATAGCAGGCTGACGTTCGCTTGCACCCTTCAGTGGGCGGCTGCTGATGCCGCTGCGGGGGCTGGAATTTGCCAGCTGGCAGCAGCGAGAGGGCGATGCGTAGGTTGTGTTCCAGTGTTTGTGCCTTGCAGAATGTAAACACGCACCATGGCAGCGAGTGAATTAAAAGCCCCGAGATGCCTGCACACTTCCCGCGCGCAATGAGATTGCCCCCCAGATCGACCAGGACCCCGACCAGGAAACAGGAAGCAGGAAGGCTGCAGGTGCATCCGCGAGATTGAGTGTGGCTGCCCTCTGTTTCACGTTTGCTCTTCCTCGCTTAATCTTAGACCCATTAAAACCACCTGCGCTCCCGGCCCCGTGGTGCTTCCCCATCCCTTTGATCTTCTCACTCTTTTGTTGATCAGCGATCTTCCTTTGTGTAGCTTGTCTACCAGGAACCCACACTCTTTTCAGCTATCTCACCACAGTCATTCCTTGGTTCCCAAGTGCGCCTAAGTCGCACCCGATTGCAACGTCCGCTCCACCACCACGTAAGCTCCTGCCATCCGTCTATCCCACATGTCTTGTGTTGCCTATAAAACACTTGTTGACTCTGTGCCCCCGTTTTCCATCTGTTTCCACGTCTGACTCCAGCAGTCCACCCCCATCGAGTCCAGCATCTACCCACTACGCAAACCGGAAACCATTCGAAATGCGTTCTTGCACTTCCATTCTCCTGGCTTCGGCCCTTGCCTTGGGCGCTGTCGCCAAGCCCCTCGCACTCGAGAAGCGTGTCATGGTTACTAAGATCGACCTCGACATCGTAACCGTCACCAAGTATGTCACTGCTGGCCAACCCGCAGAGACTCCCGTCAGCAAGGAGGACATCAGCTCTCACCACGGCGGCTACCAGACCCCCAAGGCTTCCTCGACTCCCGCTGCCACCAGCTCACGGACCCCGCCCAAGCCCTCGTTCCCTTCGAACGGTGGCTACAGCGCTGTTCCTGTCCCGAGCTCTACCAGCAAGTCGACACCCGCTCCCAAGCCTAGCACTAGCTCTTCGGTTTACGCGCCAGCGCCTGTGCCGAGCACTTCCTCTTCCGTCTATGTGGCTCCTTCCTCTTCCGCTTATGTGAAGCCAAGCACATCTTCGGCTCCCCAACAATACACCTCCACCACCCCGGCTGCTACTCCTTCCTCTACTCCCATCTACGGTGTAGAGCACAAGTCGGGCGATGACCAGGCCTACCTCTCCTCTGGTGTTGACTACCAGGACTCCGTTCTTTGGCACCACAACCGCGCCCGTGCCAACCACGGCGCATCCAACCTTGAGTGGAGCGATGACTGCGCGTCGGCCGCCAGCACCGCCGCTGCCTACTGCGACTTCACTCACCACGTCGTCGACGGCCAGGGTCAAAACCTCTTCACCGTCTCCGGTGACGCCTACAATGCCACTGCTGGTATCACTGAGTCCTGGTACAAGGCCGAAGCCGATATCTACGGTGCTTTCGGCGCTGCTCCCAACATGGACACCTTCCACGAGTGGGGTCACCTTACTCAGGTCCTCTGGAAGAAGACCACCCACGTCGGCTGCGTCACCATCGACTGCGGCTCCAAGATGACCATCGACGGTGCCTCCTCCGAGCTCAACCTCTACACCGTGTGCAACTACTCGCCGCCCGGCAACTACGAGGGCGAGTACGCCGACAACGTCGCTGCGCCCGTCAACTCTTACCAGGGTTACTCATGGGCCGACTAAGCGCCCCTCATGTCTTCGCTTCTTTCTACCTTCTTACCACTTCTTCTTTATCCGCTGCATATGATTTGGCGACTTCATGGCATGGCCATGCCGGGCTGCCGGTCAACATGAGTGACATTTTGCGTTGCATGAGCGGGGCTATGTTGTTGAGCATCTTCACTGTCTTTCTTGAGGAGAGCCGTCCGCCAGGAGGCCTGATCTGTGGTCGGTCAACGCGGGCTTTGGATTTGATTCCCTTGTATATACTTTGCGCCCTGGCCTAGGGCCTGCTACTGGGGCTGACTTGGTTCACTTCTTACCCCAACTGCAAATGCAATGATAGGAATCAAAGTTCGTACTGTGAGATTGCTCTGAATGATTGATGGGAATTAGTGACTCGTGTTGTGAAAGTAGCTAAAGCCATTTGATTGGTGGCGGTCTCGGAATGCGGGCAGCGCTGCCGTGGCGTATTGCGGTGCTTGCTCTCGCGTCAATTACTGTTGAGGGTCGGGACAATCTTGCGATAGGTGGTGTGGTGTTGCGATGTTGCAGCGCGCGGCCCGGGCCCGGCGCCGGAAATGGAACGGCAACGCTATTGCGGGATCCCGAGGTCCTCAACAATGAGTGCTGGCTGCGACGTAATGACGAAGTATAGTAGCATGGAGTTTGGGGGTAGGAAGACGTGACGTGAGTAGGCTGCTATATAGATGGAAGGCGACGGTGATTGCGATGTGCGCTGGGAGGTCGGATCTGGGAAGGTAACAACAGTGGTAAGGTGCTGCCCTGTGGCCCCGGGGGCCTGGTCGGCACGTGACAAAGCTCTCCCCGGGGCCAGGGCTCCCGCGGACGCACATGCACGAGGATGTCCCAAGGTTCTCTTACGGTACTTTTCTCACGTGCTTTTATGCAACCTTACGCTCTTGAGAATAGCATATCCTTGTCATAAGCAAAGCGCGGTACTTTTGGTCCCTCTATAATAGTCTATCGACCTATATCGTAAGGCTGCGTGCCCCGCACAATATATATCTCCGCGATGAGCGCGACACACCCCACCACCATGCTAATCGCGATAATGGGCAGATTCACGCGCGCAAAATCCAACCTGCTGACGCGGATGTGCTTGCGGGCGAGGATGTCGCGCCACAGCAGGCCGGCGAGGGAGGCGGAGAAGGCCGCGCTGAAGGCGCCGTAGTTGACGCCGAGGGCCATGCTGTAGACGGTGGCCCAGAAGGTGCGGTCGGAGATGGGCGGGGCGCCGGGCTGGGAGTGGATTACTTGCCAGGCTTGGATGACGCGGGAGAGGAGGATCGAGGTGCCGATGTTTGTGCCTGCGAACTATGGCGATTTTTTAGTAGGGGATCGGAGGGGAAAGTTGGAGGGGGAAACGTACGTTGCAGAGAACTACGGATAAGAAACCCATGCCGCCGACTGCGCCGACTGTGCCTGTCTTGCTCACCCAGTGATCCCAGCCGTAGGCGAATACCGAGACCCAGCCGTGGGAAACGAGCGCTTGGACGAGGACGAACATGCAGAAAGCAAAGGGTATGAGGGCGAGGGGGAGATGTGCGAGAACTGTGGTGGAGGTGGGGAATGTTTCTTGCAGCCATCGCCATGACTTGGCTGTGAGTGATGCTAGGGTTGTCCGAGTTTGCGGAGTTTCCTTTTTGCCCTTTTCAACGTTCACTGGAGCGTCGTCATCTTGTGGAGCGTCATCTTTTTGCTTTGCAGTCACCGCTGTTGCTTGCTGAGAAGGCTTTCCTTCCACAGGCTCCTTTTCGGCAATTGTGTCCGACTCAGATGGTTCCATAAGAGGTGATTCTTGAATGGTGTGTAATTCGCCCCTTCGCTTCTTTTCGGCATGACTGGTCTCCAGTTTTGCGCGACCCTGGCGGGCGATTTCACGCGTCTCCTTGCGATTGTACCATCCCAGGACCAGATCAAAGACGATAAGAACAAAAGCAGAAGGCACCGTGACCCAAAATACAGGATGCTCGCCACTCGACGGCGATGCAGCATTTAATGCTAACACAGCGATGAGCGTGACAGCCATGAGGATACCGCCAAACGCGGCGCCCTTCTTGTCCAGGAAGGGGTTCATGATCTCTTCTAGTGAGAGAAGTTGGCCAGTCTCGTCATTCATATGTTCGTCCTCCTGTTCTTCCAACGTTGCGCGGGCATTCGGAATATTGGGGTTGACGGGCTTCTTGTTTTTCACTTCCTCGGGCAGCTCATGCATCTTGATGGAAACTGGGATAAGCGACTCGTCTGCGAAGACGATGTACAGCAGGAAAGGAAAGAGGACAATGGCCGTGATGACCACCGGTACGATGATGTTGGCGGTATAGTTGATGAACTTGATGTTGAAGGCTCCAGCCAAGACCAGATTCGTCGGGTTCGAAGACACAAGGATGGCTGATGCCATGTTGGCAACAGTAAACTGGGTGTAAATCCAGGCTCGAGGGTGGAGGATGTTGCTTGATACGCGCGTCATGTAGGCGAGGAAGGCGGTGCCCGACAGAATTACGGGATCATTCCCGATAAAGGCAGTAAGAATGAAGAAGAAGGCGTAGAGGTAGAAGAAGAGGCGGTGTCCGACCTTGCCTCCCCATTTCAGCACTCTGAAGGCTAGATAGCGAATGAGTCCCGAGGCATCGATAGAAATAGCGATGTAGGCCAAGGAGAGGAAGAAGGCCATGATATCCAACGGCGAGATGTTGTTTGCACCAATAGTCCCATCATGCACCTCTTGTCGGCCGATGGCCAATATGGCCAGCAGAAATAGGTCGGCAATGAGCGGCGCAGTGACAAAGTTCATGGGGAACCTCTTCCATAGGAGCTTCGTCTCGCGGTTGCGCGAAGCGGCCTTGCGAGGGGCAATGACGCGCATGAAGGCAAGCGCATCAAGGACCCCATCTCGTACTACCACGGGTAGTGGCAAGGGGATGTGGAATGGGAAGAGGACGACGATGTTGGTAAGAACAAAGACGACGAGAGTGATGATGGAGCGCCATGAGCGGATGACGCTCGTGTCCAATGGATCGATGCCGCCATCGTCGCCAGATGTCATCTCGGGGTCGCGCTGGCCAGGCGCCTATGACAGGGCATCTACCTTCGTAATAAAGCGCAATTGTGATACTGGTGAATGGCTTGGAGTTCGTGTGCCGCGGTTCTTGGAATCTTGGGTGCGGGCTGCTGGCCTGAAATCTCACCGGTTTAACAATTTTAACAAGCCTGCGGTCAGTCCGTCGGGGTCTAGCGCGGCTGCCAACTCCACGTGTGGTTCGCTCCTACCCCCAGATCTGCAGCAGCGCAAACACAGCCTCAATGACGGCGTCCAGCGACGTCGCTAATTGCTGCCATTGTCGGCCTCGTCTTCCGGTCACTCTTTAGTTGCCTTCTTGCATGAGGCTCAAAGGCACCGTTGCTTCTTCTGCGCTGTCAGCCTTCCAACCGTCCCTCATGGACTCCTCCCCAGCCGTTCACTCTAGGTGCTATGCCGGCGTTCTTCCCCACGCCAGAACTGGTTGACCTTGCGATTCGTGCCCAAGCCAATGCGACAGTCGGCAATGGTTTGAAGGTCGTCTGCGCTTGGCCTGTCTCGGGCCAATATGGCCCTGGATCGCGCGTGCTGTATGTGCCACACAAGAGCCTCAACCCGCAAGCCGTTGCTCACAATATCCAGTTACTACGTCCTTGTGGCGGCGTGTGTGCTTGCGCGCAACATTGAGTGGCTCCGAAAGGCGTGCTTGGCCGCTGCGCTGCTTCTGCCCGCTGTCGGCTCGTTGCATGCACTCGTGCTCGCATCGCTGCACGTCAATGGTCCGCTTCAACCCCTAGCCCACCGTACGCCGTGCCTCAACCACTGATTTTGCAATCTAGGCGTCGTCGACATGGACATTTACGGAGCTTTCCAGGTGTGTTCCATAGCCATTCTAGCGGCTCCACTCACCGTTCGCTTGTCCAAAACCTACTTTTACGATCCCGGTCGGAATCTGATCTTTGTGTGGACTGGCCTCATATTGGCTGGCCTGCTCTCTCTGGCTGTCGAGTTCTATCGTGTTACCCCAATCGAATGTCCCACTCCAGTTCCAGGAGGCAAGCACTTCCCCTATGGAAACGAGACTTGCGGCTTGATATGCAGCGAGGATGACCCTACCGGTAGGAGTCCTTATTCTCCACTGCGCGCTGGTCCCGCCGCCAACATCGGCGTCATTCCTATACCAACCGTCTTGACCTTCAATACAGGCATGCTGGTTGCCACAGCATGTTGCGTCCCTGCCGTCGTCTCGTTGATGTTCACCTGGGACAAAATTCTGGCTCTTCACTGGAAGCGGCGATTCGGACATCATGAGCAAACTGAACGAAATAGAAGTATCGAGCCCATAGAAGGGACCAATGGTGCTACGGAAGCGCACATGGATGGTATAAATGGTGCCATTCGACGTGTGCTGAAAGTGATCGAGATTCCACTATTCAGCGCCGCAATACTTGCCATACTCATCACGGGAGAGATCAATTTTTTCAGCCATCAAGTTCGCTGGGAGACCGAGCCCATCGCTAGTGTTGGTCAATGGGGTCCTATTGCCGGTACAATCTTCGCTGCGCTTGGCTCTCTCTACGTCCTCCTTATGACTGGAGAGGAAGAAAAGCCTAGTACCCCGCACAGTGACAACGAGTGTACATGCCATTGTGGGAATCATCTCCAACGACAACCCACGTTCACGCTCGAGCAAGACACCGATGACTCTCCGAGTCAGATCAGCCTTGATGATAACGGCGCACCGATGCAACTTCGAAGATCTCACGAAACATTCATCACAGATAGCACTCATCCACGCAGATCCACGGACCCAGGGGGTCGTCGTAGAGTTGCTGAGATGCTGCAGAGAGCTGGCGATAAACTTGGGTCCGCCGCTCACAATAAATACGATGAGAGACACTACAACCATAGCAGAGCACGCGAGTTTCCAGAAATACCTGGCGAAAATTTGCGCAATCCTGAATTAAACGAACTGCAGAGGCAGTACAGCATCCGGAGAGATGTGGTCCTCCGCGAGGAGAAATCAAGAGCTGCTAGCCCTTCACCAAGCAACCTGACCTTTCCGGACCTTGATGCTAGCCCTACTGCCAGCCCAGTGCTTCAGCAGAACGAATTCTCTGAGAGCCCGGAAAGAATGCCAACACGACGCGACACACTTGAAATTCCTTCACCAACTCATAAAAGTTTTCCAGACTTAGAGCCAGGGCGGACTCCTGCTCGACGCGCTACACTTGAAGTACCTTCCCCTGCGAAGATAACATCATCTGAGACCGATCGCGGTCGAATCCCCGCACGACGGGCCACTCTTGAAGTGCCCTCACCCACACAATCGAGCCAGAATAGCGCGGATCGCGAGCGCCTTCCTGCGCGACGTGCCACTCTCGAAGTACCTCCAGCTACTCATTCGCCGGCATTATGACACCTACAACGCACTGCGAGCATCTCACTGCTGCATGGTTTCCTTTCGAAAGCTACAAATGCTTGTCATGTTAGCGGCATCGCCTTGAAATTCGATTCTATCTTCAGCGATCTAATTAAAATCATTAGAATATGCATATCCTGACCAAACAGACACGCAAAGCGTTCACTCGTTCTTACAATTTGTACCTGCATCCACTTCGCACTCACGAGTCTGAGTCATAATCTACCACCTACAGGAGGAGTGCGGCGCGATGCATGATAAGCGTTGGTGCATCCTTGGGAAAACCTGTCTTATCATTGTGCCCCGGGCGATGGAGGGCTCAATAAATTTATTCGAGATTTGGGAAGTGGAGTGGATTCTTAAATGTGCTGGGAGGCGAAGTGGGGGCTGAGGAGCGGTGAACTTGCTTCTACTTACGGACTAGTACACAGCCCCGCACGCATGGAAGTTGGAAGACTGACGCTTGCTCAGCCCGCACAGCCTCCAGGCTGCGATATGATAGATATGATATAACCACTACTGTGTAATGAACTATCGTTCATCCTCGAAGCATTCTTCTACGGCTCGTCCGCCTTCGTTTCGAGTTTTCATTACACGACCCCTCCCCATCCGCGAGCTCACCGCTCCTATCAGGATACGCCCACGCGACAAGAGTTGGAGATCTTCGAGGCCTAGCGCAGGCTAACACCGACTCTTATAATCTTATTCCCGTACTGGTTATTCGACCATGTCTACAGTTGTATCAGGAACCACAAAAGCCGGCGGCAAGCGGCATCGCGATCATGACCTGTGGCGATCCGCCTATAAGAAGCTGAAGCACGAACCGGATGGCAAGAAGATCCTCGAGAAATGCCACAAAACTATGCAAAAGGAGTCAGCCAAAAAAGGGATATCAATAGGCCACCTAGGCTCCAGCGATGGAAGGCAAAAACTGCTCAAACTCATCAATGCACATGCCGACTCCATGAAGTCGCATAGCGGGACGTACGACAAAGTTCTCTCGACAATATTAAAGACTAAAGATGTCGTCTCCACTGGTGCCGCCGCAAGTCCACCGGCTGCGATTGCGGTGGCGGGTATATTCATGGTGTTTTCCATACATCAGGATTACCTCAGGGAGGAACAAGCGATGTTAGACTGCGTCACACTAATCGCCCGAATCATTTGCCGCCGCGCAGTGGAACACAAAGAGTGCGAAAGCAGGCCACTTGAATCGAAGGAGTTGAAAGAGCTCCGGCAGCAATTGAAATGGAGCTATCTGGAAATGTACTTCAAGCTGTTATTGACAACCGCGAAGCTCGTTTACAAGCTGAGCATACCGCGCATGCAGCGCTGGGCCGACACCCTAGTCGGATGGACGGACTGGACAGCTGAGATAGCGAGCCTCGAAAAGGCGGAGCGCGAAATCGTTGATGATCTGGACGTTATTCATCACTATAAGACTAACCCAGCTGCACAAGCGTCACCTTACTGGCGGAAAGGACGCAACACATTGCACCAGAACGCGGCAATCGGAATCGAGAGTCGCGTCGCAGAGCTCATCGAGACCAATTCCTTTGACCCCAATGCAAAGACGACGGAAGAATGGACGGCGTTGAGCCTCGCAGCTGAAGGTGGGCATCTGAAATGCTGCCAGATTCTCCTCGAGGTCAGGGGCATAGACATAGAATCCCAGAACAAGGATGGGCGCACTGCATTGCACATAGCAGCAATGAAAGACCGCAATGAAGTTGTCAGGGCTTTGGTCAGGAAAGGCGCCAACCTGAATGTCAAGGACAAAGACCGCAAAACACCGCTCCATCTCGCTGCTGAAGCAGGCAGGCTAAGGGCCGTCGAGGTCCTCTGCAACGCTTCCGGCATCTCCCTCGATCTTTCCGACTCCAACGGCAGAACCGCTCTGCATCTCGCCAGCCTAAAGAAGAAAGCCCCAGTAGTCAAGCTTCTGTCCGACAAAGGCGCAAAGATCGACCGCAAAGACTCCAAAAAGCGCACCGCCTTCCTCGATGCTGCCGACGTCGGATCCACAGAGCTGCTCAAAACCCTCCAAGAATGCGGCGCAAACATCAACCAGCAAACACTGACCCACAAGTGGAGCGCACTCCACATGTGCGCCTCATACGGGCACTCAAAAGCCCTCCAAGCACTCCTGTCATTCCCAGATATAAATGTCGATATCCAGAACACCGACGAACGCACGCCGCTCCACGAAGCAGTCCTCAAGAATAGGACGAAAATCGCTCAGACACTCTGCAACAAAGGCGCCGCAGTCGACACGCGGGATAAGAAGAAACGCACACCTTTCCTCGACGCTGCGCACGCTGGAAACCTGGACATTATCAAAAAATTGAAGGCCAAGGGCGCAGATATCAACCAGGTGTCTGGGAGGAACAAGTGGAGTGCGCTGCATGAGGCGGCGCTTAAGGGGAAGATTGAGCTGGTGAGGTGGCTTGTTAATGAGGGGATTAAGACGGATTTGAGAGTCAGGAGTGGGACGAAGAAGGGGATGACTGCGAGGGAGATGGCGGAGCAGGGTGGGAAGGAGGAGGTGGGTGAGTTCTTGAGGATGTGTGAGGAGAGGGGATAGGATGGGTGTAGGAAGATGTCTAATACATACTCGGGCAAGACATAGAGAACTATGGATGGTTCCCGATAATCAGATTATTTCCAAATGCGTCAAAGCACACTGTCATATGTCGTATGAGAAATGCATCCAGAATGAAAGTCATAGCCAAGCTTTGGATGCCCAGTGTTCCTAGCAAGGATTTACACTGGTGTAGTCAGAATGGGACAAAGCTCGCCAACAGGGCGTAGCCTAGCACCTGTGAGGTTACAAGCCCGCTTAGCGGCGGTGAGCATCGCAACGACACAAAACCCTCCACATTACACATCTACCATAACGCGCACCATTTCAACTTCGCTTTTAGCCACACCACCTCTTCAGAAACCACTCGCTACAACCACCTTAGTAAGACCTAGCTACACCCAACAATGGCAGGCCCCTTCCCCACCGAACTCTGGGAGTCCATATTCGCCCACTTCGAATGCCCCATGCCCCCCGACAAATGGTGGTACTACGGCTCCCAATACGACGTCTCATCTCTCAAAGACCTCGCCTCCTTGGCCCTCGTATGCCGGGCGTTTCGTCCCATCGCACAGCACTTCATGTACGGCACCCTGCTAGCAGATGGCTTTCGCGATGACCAAAAGTGCAAACGGCTTCTTGCGCAGTCGATGGCGGAGAATCCGCGGTTGGGAGCGTACGTGAGGAGGGCGTGTATTAGCGACTGGGGGCACGGGTCGGCGAAGGGTGTCGATTTTGGGCGTGTGCTTGCGAGGGAGGATGTATCTGATAGAGCGAAGCGGTGGCTGGAGGTGATGATGATGGAGTACGCGGCGTTGGAGTGGAATGCGCAGTTGTTTGCGCTGATGCCGAATTTGGAGGTCGTGGATGTGTCTGTGTTTATGGATGCGGGGCATCTTGCGGGGTTGCTGAGTGGGAGGCGAGATGTTGAGAGGATGGTGCGGGCTGAGGCGGAGGTGAGACAGGAGATGGGGTATTTGTATGACGATGAGGAGGGGGAGATGGAGAAGAAGATCCCGACGATTCTCAGTGATGAGACGCTGGCGGAAAATGCGCTGCCCCAGCTCAAGGAGGTCCGCCTGAGACATGCAGACTGTACGGATGGCAGCCTCGGTATATCAGACATCGAAGCGATTCTGCTCCACCCCGGGCTTGAGCGACTCCATCTCCTCGGCTTCGACTGGACGTCGTTCGGCCTAGACAAAGCGAAATGGCCGCTATACCCCAACCCCACGCTCCAGATGCTCGACCTTCGAGAATGCCTCGTCGACGCCTACAGCCTGAGTAATATCTTCGCGCGCTTCCACAACCTGCACACTCTCCACATCATACTGGGCGATTCCCGCAGAGAATCCTCAAGCGGGCGTTACTCAAGAGAACAAGGCTCCTGGGACGTCAACCTCACCGACATAGGCACCCTCCTGCGTCGCCACGGCCAAAACCTCATTTCCTTCGAGCTCCACACACCAGAATACAACTCCTTCTCCCTCGCCGAAGGCCGCCTCGGTTCCCTCGCACCCATGACCTCCCTCCGACACCTCAAAATCGTCGAAAACGACCTCACAGGCCGCAGAACCCGAAGCTACGTCAGCGAGTCGTATGCCACGCTTCCGCTTGAAGATGTCCTGCCTGCAGGGCTCGAGACGCTGTATCTGCATTTCGATGACGAGTATTCTGAGCCTTGTCCGGCGGACGAACAGCTGTTTGAGATTCTCAAGCGGACGGTGAGCAGTGGTAGGTTTCCTGATTTGCGGGAGATCAAGGTGGAGAGGTATCTTAACGATCCCACGAAGAAGTTGGAGCCGGAGATTGAAGGGTGGAAGGTATGTGTGAATGAGGTGCATTTGTGGGGACGGCCGAGTTCGAGTGGGTGTATGCGGACGGTGATTGAACTTAGTCGGCTTGGAGATGAGTAATGCTGGAGTGCTGCTCGCTATGTGACATCAGCATGTGCGATTAGAGATTGAGAATTAGTGACTATGAGCCGAAATATGTAGATGGTGATATTCCATCTTGTTACGACTCCAGCGTCCGCTGCTCTGACGTTGTGCGTTGTCTTGTGAAGGATGAGCATTACGCAGCCCTCCAAGAACATTCCTCAATCTAGCCATATCTTATGTCCTTTCTCCGGATCGTATCCGCTAGCAATCCCGTGTCTCTTCGGGATTTTGATAAACGTGTCCCGGAAAACCTCGAAATCCGTACCATTGAACCGGAAAGCTCCTTTCCGGACAAAGTGCCCATTGCAAGATTCGGACGGCCCGTTATAATCGATCATCAATCCAACCCCAGTGTACGTCTTGACGGACTCTTCCTTTTTGCGCCCACGATTGCCTTCCGAATAGTCCAGACTCATAGCCAAGATGAGGATGAGAACGTGACCGGCATTATCAGGTTGAATATCAGGAGATGCCTTGATGACCCCGTATCCACCCTGACCACGGATCGGAAAAGTTGTTAAGGTCCAGTCCGATACTGAGGTCCTTTTCTGCAGGATCATCTTCCCGATGTGTCCCATAATCGGGATTGAAGGGCTTCTGAGCCGAGGTATGGGCGAGAGGTCATCTGCCTCGGGAGGCGCCTTGAGGGAGGATTGTGGATTATTCAGTCGCAGTTTCTCGATCTCTTCCACCCTGGCTTCGTATTGTTGCAACTGTTCAGCCCAAGTTCCTGGCCCCTGGGGGTGTTTGCGGGTCCCAATCAAATCAAAAGCAATTTCCTTCCCGTCATGGCCCACAACTTGATAATCTCTGATAGCGGCGAACCGATCTGGAACGACGATCTCGCCATGAATTGAGGCCCATGACCACGTTGGTGCATCGAGACCCTCTTGTCGTGTTGAGGGTTGACCATTGCCTTGTTGACAGCCAACAACATGCCATGCCAGCTGCTCTTCGAGATTGCGTTCCCACAGTCCGTCAGCGTACCTCTCCTTAAGAGCGCCAATAAGAAAGCGAACGAGACCCCAGATAGCAATGAGCTTATCTGGACCATACGTTAGTTGGCACATCGAGTAGTTGTGAACTGCGTTGCGCCAAAACTGCTCTAGAGAGCCGTCAACTACTGTTGGTAAAAAGACGTTGAGATCGGAAGAGTCTTGGAGCTTCCAGCGCCAGTATCTGTCATTACTGCCGGTATCCAATGGCTTTGGAAGACCATCGGGGAAGTTTTCACACGCGCTCATAGTAGCACAATCCCAGAAGACCTGGCTTCGACTGAAATGTATAATGCGCGGTGACAACAATCGTTCTGGGTGAGCCACATCAGTAAGGTACGCAATTGGAGTGCGACAATCCGACAGGGTCTCAGTCTAGAATGCTACCGCAAGTGGAGGGCTTTTAACAGACAGTGTAAAAGGTTCTGTGTTCATTGGCTCAATAGAGTGCTCACCTTGAAAAACCCATCCACGAGTATTGAGGCGGGTTTGGAGAATTTGTTCATCCCACAATGCTCTCGGAACGATGCGCCAGATGCCGTTTCCAAAGATCGTGGAGTTTGGACACCCTTGACATTCAGCATCGAATAATTTCTTTCCATCCCTGTGCCGAAAGATGCCGTCACGAGCATCGCTAGAATCACTAGCGGCGAGATTGACGAAGGAGCTTCGATAGACTTGGAGCATTAGTGAGGCTTCAAACTGAAAATCCCCTGCTGAGCCTTGTATTATGCACAGACCATCTACCCAGAGATATTGTACGCCGAGCATCCTTGTAGCTTTGATAGCGTCCTGGATAGTTCGTGCTAGGGAGCTAATGGCGACTCCTTCGTGCATGAATTGGTTTATGTTCTCTGCGAGCAGCGTGAGGTTTCTGCTACGACCCCAGCAGTAGCTTAGGGTGGTGTATTGGTTTCGGATGTTGGTGGTGCGGCTCTCGATCAACACTACGCGATCCTTGTGTTGGTTCAGATCAAGCAGCCGGGTCGGAATAAAGCCTTTGTCGGCTCGCCCCACACAATTGGGATGATTGCTGTCGCACTCATTGATCCAGTTCTTTATTGTCTGCTGGGCTTCTTCGGAGAACGTATGATTTCCAAATGGGCGCAGCGGCTGCATACGCTGAGGATCTGTATAAGCTGTGAGAATGCGCTACTTCTGTCTCCGAGGCATCATACCGCTCTGCTGGAAGAGAAAGAAAGTTCGCTCTGGCAAGTTCACGACAGTGTCGTCCGAAAGCCTCGTGGCAGACGTCACGTTGATAACCTGTCTGAATACCAATGCAGCGGAGACGTTTTCGGTGTCATCAATACGCTCAGGGCTGCGGATATTCCATCGATATAGGGGCCAACTCATGTTTTCTGGGTCCTTGGGTTTCTCTTGAAGGACATCATCGCGCAGTTGGACGCACAATGTGCAGCCATCCGCGGCAGATTGCTGCAGTGCGCCATAACTGTCATGGTGCATGCCCCATTTGAGGTCCGTTGTAATGATTTTACTATTGCAGAAATAGCAAAGCCTTTTTTCTACATTGGGTCGTGTCCGGTTCGACAAAGATACCCACTTGGTCAGTGGGACGTTCAAGATATATGGCCCTCGAGAATGATAGGACCCCAGCGAGTCGATCGTGGCACCGCGCTTGAAGGTTGTGTCGCCGTTACTCGGCGCTTGCGTCCAGCCCCGTCGCGGTCCCGTTCCTGCGACCAGGTCAACATCTTCCTCGGGCTCCGCGACGAAAGGTGTAGGATTGTCCATGGAGGGTGCATGAGCCGAGTTCAATGAAGAAATTGACGATGAGGATGAATAGATCAGATGCATCTTGAGGTGGGGTCCTCTAATCTAGGCAGGCACAGTTTCAGCCTCAGCCTCGCCTAAGCTTTCCACGGAAAAAGAAAGAACGCTGGACAGCCCGCTGACCTCTCGAGGGCTTCATGTTACATGGGAACAAATTGAATACAAGAAAGCGAACGAAGTAGATATCACATATGGGCTGGAGACTTTCTTGGGATGCATTGTCGCGTGATGTACCAGATTTTCGACCACAGTACTTGAAAGCACTGCTCCGGCTGGTGGTTACGAGACTAGGAGATGATTGTCTGTCGAGTCTTTCATTCAAAGATTTGCAATACACACATTGGTCTTGAACAAGATGCTGTGTTGATGCCTAAAGTGTCTAGTAGCTTCTATGTGGTGCAGTTAGTGGCTTGGCACTCGTCGTTGCTCGCGTTTGCGGGAAGCTGCGACTCACGACGAATTTCCAAAACCGTATACCCTCACACAACTCAGTCTCTCCTTTCAAAGCTTGTTCGTGAGAACATATCGCTTAAATCTTTCCATCTTCCTTCATCTAAACCAAGATCACCTCAACCATGGGCGCTGACGTCGTTGCGAACCCGCCGCCTGCTGCGTCTGGAGCGTCGAAGTCGAGCCGCAAGAAGCGTGCGAAGGCCGAAGCAACAGCAACCCCGACTCTGTCCACCACCGAGAAGACGACTTCTGAGCTTGGAGCCAACAGCTCTGACGCGGCAGGCAAAGCCAATGGCGGGGATGAGAATGCCTATGTCAAGGAGCTTCAGAAGTGAGTGGTTGACACAGGCCCATGTAGCCTGAGTTGCGGAAAGCGGCATATACTGATTTGAGTTCTCATAGGAATGTTCGCAACGTCAATAAGAAGCTGGTAAGTTTGCCAACGCCCCTCAGCCTTGCCTCGGCTCAGCTAATGATAACAATAGAATGCTATGAGCAAGGTCATTGAAGTCGTTGCCGCGAACCCCGACGTTCCGCTTGACGAGCTTGTCTCCACGCGCAAGATCAACGCCGACCAGAAAGCCCAGTATCAGAAAAAACCGGCCCTCGAAAGCCAGCTGGCACAGTTCGAGGAGCAACTCGCTACATACAAAAAGTTTGAGCAGGAGCTCCAAACTAAGGCAGCCCAGGAGAAGGAGATACTGCAGAAGGGGCACTCGGACGAGCTCGAGAAGCTGAGGGACACTCTGAAGGAGGAAGCTGCGCTGGAGGTCAAGAAGACCTTCCGAGATCAGTTCTTGACCCTGTCCCGCTTCCTTCGTGCTGCGGCTGCTCGACGCCAGCTTCCTGAAGATGACAGCAACGAACTCACCAAGGCTTTTGAGGGTGCACTTCTTCAAGTCTATGGCGGTGATCCTTCCGCGGTGGTCGCTGCGGAGAAGCTGATTGAGGGGTCACACGACAGCGTGCCCTCAACAGATGGCGAGCTCCTCAGCATCACCTGTGAGTTCTCTCAGCCAGAATTTCCCTCGAGTGAACGTACTGATTGAGATTAGACGCCCAGGTCAAGCAGGCCGCTCTCGACGAAGCTCCTTTCGCCGCTGAGGAGGCATGGGCAGACGATGTCGCACAATCTCAGCCAACGGCTCCTGAGACCGACTCAACAACGGTCATGTCCACAGATCCAACTGTCGCGAATGCAGGATTGACCGAAATTGAGTCAACAACGGGTGCAGTCAATGGCGGGTCAGAGGTGGGTGCACCGAGCGCCCCTGCTGCCTCAAGCGTAGATGCTGGCGCAGCGAACCAGGCGGGAGGAGACTGGGACAAGCCAGGCCCTGGCTCGGACGACCCTCTCGCGGAGTCATTCGAGATCATTCCTCGCGATCCTGCTGAGACCGAGACGCCGGCTGCGCCTGCCGCCGTCAATCTGACTCAGAGCTGGGCCGATGATACCCCTGAGACGGCTCCCGCAGCTCCCGCAGCTCCCGCAGCCGCGAACGATGGATTCCACGAGGTGCATCACAACCGTGGACGTGGACGCGGCGGACACCAAGGCGAGGGCCGCGGTGGTTTTGGTGGAAGGGGAAGGGGCGGCCCGCGTGGTGACTTCCGCGGACGGGGACGTGGACGCGGTCGCGGTGACGGCTTTCGCGGCGGTCCTCGAGGAGGTGGAGGCTTCCGCGGAAATCGGGGCGATGCGCCGCAGCAGCAAGGTTAGGTAGCACATGCCCCTTCTCTTCTTCGCACACTTTTGCATGATTGGAAACGGGGGTTTGGATGTTGGGTCCGCAATTTCGCTGTTTTACTACACTGGTGTACTGGCATGTTTGGAAGAATCTGTCTGAGCGGATCGCATGAAAAGAGGGCATCCTCAAGCATTACACAAAAGTGCATTGATGTTTATACAGCCTAGTCGGTCATCTTCACAGCATAGCATCGGAGCCTTGGGTTCTTGGGTTTCCTCGGGTTTTGGGCCATTTTGTAACATAGTGGCTACGGGATGCGGGTGCTCAAAATCAATGGACTTGTAACAACATGCGAACACGCAGTCTCACTTACGCCTCTGGTGATCGACAAAGTGTATGAAGACCGAGACTGCGCAGACCACGCGGAGGATGGAGCTCGGGCCGATCGACCTGCAGTATGACGACGCGGAGAATAGCGGTCAGGGGTGCATCGTTGGGCTGAGATAGGCGAGTGGAGATGCGGAAGCCAACGAGGCTACCCGCTCCTTTGTAGGAAGGACGCCGCATGGGGAAGCTGTCGTAGATCATAGGTGCAGATACACAGACGTTGTAGCCTCGTTCCATCACTACACAACCACATTCCTCGTTCCTGCGGTTCTGCCATCCTATACAGCGTGTGGTTGAGGCGTGCAACTTGAGAGCGGAAGATACCAACAGTGCGCGATAGTAGCTGAAGGCGCACCCTGAGGAAGTATTGCCGCGATGGAATTCGTGCAGAATCATCTATACTACGCGATGGCAACTAGCTCTGGCCTAAATCAAGCTCTCCAGTGCTTTTGCTTCCTCTGCCGGAGATGATGTTACGCCACATGACGACCGTCACTGAACATCATCTACGCAACCTTTGAACAACAACGCGTGCATTACTTCTCTGGATGATACTTGGCCATGGATATGTGCGCTGCACCCTAGTTTTCGCCTCTGAAATCGGAATTGTTGCTGTTTGGTCCAGCAAGTGGATTCGCAAAGCTGTGCGCTAGTGCGTTTACCCCAGACGTAAAACGGTGTTTTAGCACGCGCATCGCCTGCACAGCGCTCCCAAGACCACTGGCGCAAAGACATAATGTAGAAGGTATTCTTCGGCTGATAATATGATATGCGTTGTCCCTGAACCTGCTACAAATGCATGTCATCAACAGAGCACACCAGAATGTTAAGTTTGGAAAGTGTCCGATTCCTGGCATCCAGTGGAACATCCATTGTATGTACCTGGCATGCATGTCGTGGCTTGCATCAGATAAGATTGGGATCTAGAACGGGATGACGTGCGTGAGAACTGCAAACGTGTGTCGCAGTGTCCGCGGAAGAGCTACCCGCATCATTCGATCAGAACGAGCAACCACAGCATCCGCGTATAGTCCTATAGAACGCACTTCCTTTCTACTAACTCTAAGTGCTCACGGAAGCGTATATTTACCATCGGAGTATTCAGCTTGGGCCGAACCATGGGCTGATCTTCGTTCCACTGAGTTTTGCGCTAGCCGGTTAGGGCTGGAATTGGTCCGAGCGGCCCTCGCAGGCTCGCACCTCCTCAACCTGCACTTGCAGTCCAAAACCCTACCACTCGTCCATCCGCCCCTCGAACGCCCCCATACGACTTTCGTGAGATCCCACGAGCTTATGCGACGACCGTGAGCGAGTCGTTGGTGCTGTATTATACTGCACGACGCTGCGTGGCGACGACGGATGCCGCCCTCGCGAACGTGCGCAACGCCCGCCAGCCTCACCTACCTTTCGCATCGAGTCCACCCACGCCGCCTGTAGCAGTCTTCACCGCCCGCAATGGAGGCGCCTGCGCCTGCACCGGTGTCCGCACCCGCAGAGGTCGTACCGTCGGTCGAGAATCCCACCCACGACGATAAACATGAAGACCTCGCGAACAAACCTGCGTTGACTCCGCCTACGAGCGAAGACATGGACAAGCGGGACGAAAGGATGTCGTCGGAGCTGTCTGAACTAGACAGTGATGACGGCGAGGACATTGAGCCCGACCATTACTGGGACGGTGGAAAGATACCTGTGTTCAAGCCGGTACGTTGCATGCCTTCCATAGTATTGCTACGCTGCAAAAGAAGCTTGCGCTATCTGCGGCAAGCTACCAAATGTTTGCGCAAATCGACATTGGATTGCTGATAACTTGGTGCTGCAGACAATGGACCAGTTTCGCAACTTCAAACGGTTCATCGACAAGATCGACAAATACGGCATGAAATCTGGGATCGTCAAAGTCATCCCCCCAACCGAATGGTAAGCACATCCGCACTTCGAAGCTCGGCAAGCTCAACTCACTGACCATTGTTGTAGGCGCGACTCACTTCCCGATCTGTCCGAAGCCGTGAAGACGATCAAAGTCAAGAACCCAATTACGCAGGAGTTTGCTGGTCAGCATGGAATCTACACACAGGCGAATATCGAAAAGCAGCGATCATACAATCTGCCCGAATGGAAGGCAGTGACAGAGGAAGCTCATCACCAACCACCGGTCAGGCGGGGCGAGCGTCGGAGAGCTGCCGCTGAAGCCCCGTCGCGTAACCGCTCCACTAGAGCTCAGACCAACACCGCAAATGCCGATGGCGCCTCTCCTGCCCCGAAACGTGGACCTGGCCGACCACGACGTGGCCGCGCCGCTAAGAAAGAAGAGGTCGATGATGAGGACACTGCTTCGATTGATGTTCCACCGACGCCCAAGTCACCTGGCCCAGAGGAAGACAAGAAGACGTCGGTCAAGAAGATCAAGGAAGAAGAACTCGATGAGTCGCCCGTGCGATCACGTGGCCGTCAACCACGTGGTCGTCAACCAAGAGGCGATACGAAGAAGTCGACCGCATCCCGCCGAATGAACAATAGGACCGCAATGGCAGACTATGTCGATGAGGCTGCCTTCGAGGATTTCGACTACCATCTCGACAATGTTTCCGAATTCAGTGCTGATCGTTGCAAAGAACTGGAAGAGAACTATTGGAAGACCGTCAACTTCGGTCAGCCAATGTACGGAGCCGACATGCCTGGATCTCTATTCGACGAACGGACGACGAGCTGGAATGTCGCGAAGCTTCCGAATTTGCTCGACGTGCTTGGGACTAAAGTGCCCGGTGTCAATACCGCATACCTGTACCTGGGCATGTGGAAGGCAACCTTCGCATGGCATCTTGAAGATGTTGATTTGTACAGTATCAACTACATTCATTTCGGTGCTCCCAAGCAATGGTACAGTATCTCCCAGGCAGATGCTCGAAAGTTCGAGGCAGCGATGAAGCAGATATGGCCGAACGATGCGAAGAATTGCTCCCAATTCTTGCGCCACAAAACATATCTCATATCACCTGAGAAGCTTGAGAAAAATTTCGGCATCAAAGTGAACCGGTTGGTGCATTACGAGGGCGAGTTCGTCATCACGTATCCTTACGGTTACCACTCTGGCTACAACATCGGCTACAATTGCGCTGAATCAGTCAATTTCGCAAACGAATCATGGCTGAGTTATGGCAGAATTGCCAAGAAGTGCCTGTGCGAGTCAGACAGCGTTTGGGTCGATGTCAATGAGATTGAACGCAAGTTGCGCGGCGAACCGACACCCGAATACATTGAAGAGACAGATTCCGAGGGCGAAGATGAGATTGATCATCTACCAAGTCCTCCGCCGAGCGTTGCCGGGAAGGCCAGAAGCAAACCTGGCCGTAAACCTGCGGGTAACAAGCGCAAGAGGGGCAATAAGGAACCTGAAGAGGCGCCCAAACGGAAAGTGCGCCGTATTCGCATTCGCATCAAGGTGCCTGGTCGGGGAATGCCTTGCATCCTATGTCCTAATGATGTTGAGTACGACGAACTATTGCCCACAGACAATGGTATGAAGGCGCATCGCATCTGCGCAGATTACACTCCCGAAACGTACATTTTACAGAAGAACGGCGTGGAGACCATCTGCAACGTTGCCAACATTGGCAAAGACCGGCTGGAGCTCAAGTGCAATTACTGCCGATCGAAACGTGGAGCTGTCTTCCAGTGTTCGCAGAAGAAGTGCACCAGGGCTTTCCATGCTACTTGCGCGATGGCCGCCGGTGTCCAAGTCGATCTTGGGCCAATGCCTACTTTCGACGAAGAGGGTACCGAGTACTACTACGATGGTTACGACTTCCGATGCCGCTTCCACCGACCGAAGAAAAGGAACAACAAGACCGTGGATGTGGATTATTTGGAGAAAGACAAGTTCATTATGAACTATGCCAAGGGTCTCAAACCAAAGGACGCCATTCAATTCCAGTATGTTGGTGGGGAGATGTACCAGATTTATGGCGGTCTGGTGGTCGAGAACCGTCCTGGAGAGCAAGCTTTGCTCGTAGACGTTCTACCTGACGGTGACCGCGTTGAAGTTGAGTGGAAATACATCCTGAAGCTCGCTCCAGAAGACTCGCAGCGACCGAAGCCTTCTGCTAACGCCAAACCACTGCCGGATCATCTCAAAGAAAATGATGCCTCTCTCGACATCAGCAACCGCACGGATGGCGTTCCTGAGATGGGCGATCCGTTCCATGACCCCAACTCGGATCAGAAATGGGCCGAATTCAATACCGCCGAGGCCGTGATTCAGAAAGTCGCCAAAGTTGACTTTTCCAAGCCCAACCATGTGTGGTTTTATCTTGGGAAAAATTCAACTGAAGCTCGACCGCAGTATACGCACGACCTATCGAAACGTGTGCACAACCCCAAGAGCAATTTCTTGGACACAGTCAAACCTCCACCACCGGTCATTCCGCATTACCAATATCAGCAACGCTCTTATCCTGCGTCGTACCCCATCAAGCCTGCACCCGGTCCTACCTATGGTATTCCACCTCGAACGCCGACGCAGCAGCAGCAGCAGCAGCAGCAGCCTAAACCTTACCAGTACAAGCCGAAAGAGTCAATGATGCACACTTTCAGAGCTCCAGCGTACAATCCAGACACGCGTAAGAACCCCAATTCGCCTGTTGCGCATCAACCCAATGTTACGTACGACTATCGGGCTGCTGGTTCTCCCTATGGGCAATCAACCTACCATTCGAGCTATCACTCTTCACGACCATCACAGGGCGGCTACATACCTTATGCTCCACCACAATCGTATTCTACTAATGCGAAGTCGCCAACGACAAGCAAGCCGGCACCACTTACTGGTATGCATCAATACGCTCAGTCGGCTCCGTCATCAGCGCTACAGCCGAATCCATATCAACTACCTCCTTTGCCATATTCACAAAGCCAAGGACCGGTGCCACGTCCAGTCTACAGTCCACCTGCAGGCCGACCTGGCTCACAATCACAGCCATATCACGGTGGCGCGCCAGCTTCCCACACAATGAGTAACCCCACTGGGACCTCCAAACCTCCTATGTACGCCACAATGCATTCCTCCCTTTCCGCACAACCCCCTTCGTCGCAAGCTGAATATCTTGCCTACGTGACAAAATATCCCTATCTGAAAAACGCCTTCCTAAGGAGAGCAAAAACTTACATATCTCCTTATAGTCCAAACGGCGGGTTTACGCCCGAGTGGGCTCCCAAAGTATCCTCCGCTTCCAGCGGACCATTAAACATGATGCCGCCTATGCGACCGGGCCAGCCTAGCCCAGGCCTGGGTCTGAATTTCGGTGGAGCGATGTCGCCAAGTCTACCAATGCCGAGGCCGACCGCGCAGTTTCAGTCGCCAGATGCCTTCCGACAAGATCTGAACAAAGCACCTAGACCACTATCTGGGGCGCCAAAGTGGGAGACAATGCTCAAACATCTTGGGACTACGACTGGACAGCCCGCTCCATCAAACTCGACGACTTCGCACAGTCCTCTACCTGCCTTGGCTCCAGCTCCGGTTAGCAGGCCGGTGCCTGGCGGTACTCCTCTTGCCCCTACGCCCATGGCGCCGCAAACTCCAAGCACTTCGCAGCAGCCGACTAAGAGTGCGTCGCCTTTAGCCATCGATCCTGCTCTCCAGAGCCATACTCTACCATTGCCTCCACCGAGTGCAGTTTCGCACCCAACACCGACTCCACTTGGCGAAAAACCGAATACACCTCAGCGGCCAGACTACAGCCCCATTAGCGACAATGGGGAAACGAGACCAGTACCCTTGGGGGCGGCGCCGTCGAATGTAATGCCGCCGGCGCATACGGGCGAGACCTGGAGGTACAGTTAGTATAGACTGCGATCTAATTCGCAGACTTGGCGTTTGTCAAGGATGTCGTGGGTATTACGCGGCATTGGGCGTTATCGCGCTGACCGCCTCGCCGTATGGGTACGAGTAGAGGACATGCCTTCATGTAAGGATTAATGGTTTATGCGTATGACTATCATTTACAAGGCGCTTAGGCGTTTTTGCGAGGTTCGCTATCGGAGTTTAGGTCAGCATAAGGGATATATCGGACGGTGCATGAATGGAACGCCATAAAGGCGTAGGAATGTAGTATCAATGCATGGTTGTTCTGCTTGGTATTTTCACCTGGTGTTGTGTGCTTCTGCATTTGTTCACTAATTTTGTGTAACGACAGCTCTGGACAATCATATCCATCAGTGCCCATTGACCCCATTGGCAGCCTTTGCAACCTCCTTTCCCGTCATCTGATTCAGCTTGCCCTCCTCTCCCTTGAACTCCCCCCTCTCCGCCATCCTCTTCTGCCACGGCAACGCCTCCCTCGCCGGCACCGCAGGCCCTACCTCCCCGCCCTCCCTCCTCCTCTCCTTCCACTCATCCACCTCCCTCTTCTCAATGAAATTACCATGCAAGCCCAATCTCAGCTTGACTGGCAAATGCACCGCAGCAAGCGGTCCCTGCGCCAAATTCTGCGCATCAAAAATCAAAATATCGTTGCGCAGCACATCGAGATGGTTCAGCAAAGCCATGAGATACCCTTCGCCCTCGACTGTACTCCCTTCTCTGGGCACGAATATGGGCTCTTGAAATGTGCATGTGGGACCCGCCCACCACGTATCCTTTCTCCCCGTGTCCCACTCGTAGTGTCCGATGACGTTGAAGAGGCCACCAGCTGGAGGCCCGCACTTTGCGAAGTTGTACGGCTTGGACGCGTCGATGTTGCACTGCCAGAAGTGGTTGTATTTCTTGGTTAGCACGCGGTCGTCTATGCGGGAGAATTCGCCGTTTATGCCGTAGGTGCGGGCGGGCTGGACGCGTGTGTGGGTTGGGGTTTTGGGGTCGAAGACCCAGCGGTAGGTGTCGGAGACGAGCTTGTTGCGTTGGAGGAGGGTGGAGGGTGTGGGCGTGGGCGTGTCGGGTGGGAAGAAGAAGAAAACGTTGTCCGAGGCGACGGTTAGGTCGCAGACGATGTGGCCGTTTGAATCCTCGTAGCTGCCTGCTACGTGGCCGTGGAAACCTGCGTGTGTTAGAGAGAACTTTGATATGAGGTTCTGGGGATAGGTACCGTTGTCTGCACGGAGCCATACGATGTCTTCAGGCTTGCCGTTGCGGCGAGGTACAATTCCGTACCATTGGTCTTCGTTTGGATCCCATGCGAATTTGTTTCCACCCTTCTTTAGCCGCTCTTCGTTGACTTTTATAGGTGTCAGAGGCAGGATGAGATAGTTTTTCGTAAGCGCGCAGTCATGTATCATGCCGCAAAACGGCGCCTTGTACCAGCATTCTTCCGTCTTCTTCCCATCTTCATCAATCGTGTACACCACGATATCACAGCTCGCATCATGTCCATTGCCCCCAGCTTCGTACCCAAAGCAAACCATCTCTCCCGTATCCGGATCGAACTTTGGATGCGCAGTAAACGTCGGGGCCAACACTTGCCCATCGAAGTCATACCTCCCGATCGTCTCCAAAGTAGTCGGATCCATCGCAAACGGCGGCCCATCCTCCTTCGTCGCCAGCAGCACGCCCCTCCAAAAAATAATATTCGTATTCGACGCCGTCCTGATAATCCCCTTCACCATCTCATTATCCGTATACGGATTCCTATACTTTCCCAGCAGCGCTTTCCTGGCGGATCTCTCCGCCTTGAAGCGATCCGTGTGCACGAATCGCTGCTTGAAGTCTACATGCCCGTTCTCAAACTTGAATGCTGAGACTGAGCCATCGCCGTTGAAGTGGATGTCTTCTTCGAACAGAGGTGGGAATTGGTGGTCTGGCTGCACGCGGTAGAAGGTCCCGTTGATGTCTTTTGGGATTGTGCCTGAGGTTTCGCATTCGAAGATGTCGGCTTCCAAGCGCGAGGGCTTGTTGAAGCCTTGGAAGAATCCCGTGTCTGGGAATTTCACTTGGTCGCCGGAGTGGTTTCCTTCATGGTAGGCTGGGGGAGGTGGAGCTGCGAGCGAGAAGATGTGCGCCATGGTGGCTGGTAGTATTGGTGACGGTAGGATTCAAGTAATGTGTTAAATTTGCGAGCTAAATCTCTCGAAGTCACAGAAATGACAACCAGTTCATGTTGTCTTGTGACAGAACCCACGGCATGTCGGCCTACTGTAAGGCGTCCTCCAAAACCCGGGCGATGTGGGGAACAGGTAGCGCGCGGGGTAGCGAGTCATGAATGCGAATGTGTATGCCGGGTTTATAGAACCGATCAATAATGGCGCATGGCCCTGAAGTCGGTATGATGAAGCCGCGATGCTACGAGAGGATTTAGTGTACATGGTCGCTTAGCGCTGGGGTAGCGCGGCACATGGATGTAGACGCAGTGGGGATAGTTTACAGATTAGTCTACATGGTGTGCAGGGAATTGGGCGCCGAAGGAGGGACAAGCATACATCAGCGCACTCGTTCTGTAGCTTTGCTTTTGCAGTCTCGCGGTGTTTCGCTACACGTTGTATCTCTTCCCTCTCCCATCAGAACGACTTCTAGACACACAGACTAAGATGAGAGGCACCATAGCGGTCGAAGAGGCCATCATCGACCAGGCTGGCGTTGAAGCGCATTCATTCGCACAGTTCCAAAACCTTATGCGTCCGGGCAGCGACCCGACGACCGGACTCTCAGCACACGAAAAACGACTTCTTGACATACATGGCGAACGTCTGAAGAGCATGGACGAGCACGGCGTCGAGTACATGCTTCTTTCTTTGACATCACCAGGCGCGCAGGGAGAAGCAGATGCAGAAAAGGCAAAGGAACTAGCAAGGGTCGCAAACGACTATCTCGCTGGTGAAGTGAAGAAGAACCCCAAAAGATTCGGAGCATTAGCGGCACTCTCGATGCACAATGCCAAAGATGCAGCCGATGAGCTGAGAAGAGCTGTCACGGAATTGGGTATGTTTGGTGGATTAGTCAACGACTTCCAATCAAAGGGAGTGGAAGCGGAGGCGAAAGTATACTTCGACACGCCAGACTACGAACTATTTTGGCAAACGGTCCAGGAGCTTGATGTCCCGATATATTTCCATCCCCGATACGCAATACCGCAGGACTTGCAGGCTGGCACGAAATACGGCGATCGGAAGCATTTGCTCGGCGCAGGCGTGCAGTTCCATCTGGATCTGAGCTGGCATCTGTATGCGATATGTTCATCCGGTATTTTCGATCGATACCCGAAGATACAGATTGTTGCAGGGCATCTAGGCGAAGGGTGAGCAGTCGACCTAAACTTCTCCAAAGAATCAATATACTAACCTACCACAAGAGTACCCTTCAACCTATGGAGAGCCAGTCACTGGATCAACCATCCCTTCAAACGTGGATCACGACCAATGAAAGAGGACTACAGCTACTACTGGACACATAACGTCAATGTCACCACATCTGGTAATTATAACACCAGAGGCTTGAAGTTCTGTATAGAAGAGATAGGCCTCGACCGGTGCCTGTTTGCAATTGGTGCGTCACTGTTACTTATGTGTGGAAGAACATTACTGACCGTGTGAAAGATACACCCTACGAAACAGTGGAGGAGGGTCAGAATTGGTGGAAGTCGGTGGATTTGCCGGAAGATCAGAAGGAAGCAGTTGCTCGAAAGAACGCCATTAGATTGTTCAAGCTTCCACTTGAAGAGTAATCTGCTGTTGAGGCCATACGAGAGATGGCTTGGAACGGGTCAATAGCAATAGAGCCTGATGAACGATGTTAGACGGTCTTTCGTAGGCTGAAATGCATGATCTGACGCCGTTAGCGAATAATTCAAAGTCGGATGTTTGGTGGCCTGGATCAAGTCGTTATTCCCTGAGTTCGGATCAATCATGTTCTTGCATACAAGATCAATATGCACACATCGTGGATATCTTTCTGAATTGTAAACATGATGGACATCTTTCTCCACTGTGCAGTACGATTGGACTTTCACATGCGTAGATAATATATGAGGAGGCGACAGCTCTTGTAGCATGGCATTGTGTTATAGCTACTGCTCGGACTTTGGCGTGCTCAAGACTAAAGCCGGCGTACTCGATTTTGGATCTTCGCCGTATGGAGGCGCCCTCAGATCGTCTTCTGCCACCTGCTTCCCGGTTATGGGATGTGCGTAGTGGAAAGGGACGACGCGAGTGTCTGGCCAGAGCATGGGGTTCTCGCACAGCTCATTCGGCCCTGCAGGGTCTTCGGGATATGTCTTCGACATAAAAGGCACGTAGTTCGGCTTGGTATGCGACCAGCCCTTCTCGAATGTGCCGTGCCAGAACGGGAAGTACCTCAGCCTGAAGATCTTCCATATACCATCTTGTTTGATGTACTCGTTCTCGTATACCCCTCCTTCCCACCATTGCACTAGCCCACGGGGGTGCGTGTCCTTGATGCTCTCGTGCGTGCCGGCGGACATCATGCTACGGAAGCGGCCTTTGGCGCGGGTGCCGTCGGGAGTAATGTCTACGATGCCCTGAATCTGAGGATGGTCGAGGAGGAAGCCGTGCACTGGTCCATTGCGGCCGTTCACGAAGGCTTTCGAAAAGCGGCCGATGTACAGCCGCTCCACGCCCTCCTTGCCATTGTAGCGGCCACCGAGGAACTCTACGCAAGTGTCGGGATGGTCGGCGAAGAGGTCAGCGACCTGAGTGTATCAGTAAACTTGCAATTGTAGTCTTGCATTGAACTGCCGCACTCACCTCCCGGTACAGGCATTTGTCAAGATAGTAGCCGTAGGTGTACTGGAGCTTCCTGACGTCCTCCTGAGCTATTGGTCGATTAACCTCGGCTAGAATGTATGACTAATCATTTCGACCTACACTTCACCAGGGAAACCTCTTTTTGAAGCTGCTGAACCAACTGCTTGAGCTCTTCGATTTCGCTGCCCATTGTGATGTAACGGTCCGGAATGTAGTTTGAATACAAAGAGGATTGCAAGCTGACCTTCTTAAGCTGCTCCTTCGAAGCTGGACGTGTCGCATGCTACAACTACAACGCCCTCTTTTCCCATTCCGTCTCAAGCTCGCGGCTACGCTGAGCATCTATTGGACCGGCAATTAGATTACAGGCCACAGCCTCTTGTCCATAGCGGTCGTATATGACCGATGCCACAGTGCCCGTGGCGGGGTCAAGTGGTAGCGCGAAGCTGCAGGCACACCCCACTACGGTGTCCCGCGATGTGGGGTCCTGCTTCTAGCCCTTCAAACCTTCTCCCTCCAGTACCTCTTGCATTGGACCTACCAACTGATACTACGAGCCGGCGAGCACTGCCGCAGCCTCTAAGTAACAGTACCATTGCCGGCTTTGGAGCTTTGTCAGAACCTGGTATTTCTGCAAGCAACGTCCCCGGGAAAGTACTTCCATAGCTGCACCTCATTGACCTGATATTGACATTGCCCCTTTTCCGAACAACGTCCGATATACCAGCGTAAGCAAGATGGGGCTTCCTGAACAAATCGAGACTCGCCTTTTCATCAACGGGGAGGTTTGTGCCCATGTTTCTCTCAATCGACATACGCTGATTTACCTAGTTCGTAGAGTCTTCCGATGGCAAAACCTTCGATATCACCAATCCGGCTACACTGAAGCATGTAGCAAAGGTTCACGAAGCATCCGAAAAGGATACGGATCGAGCTGTTGCCTCAGCGAAGGCCGCTTTCCCATCATGGTCCGCTTTGTCGCCAGCCCAGCGAGCACCTTACTTCAAGAAGCTTGCTGCTCTGATTCGCGAAAACAATGACGAACTTGCTGCCCTTGAAGCTGCATCAATGGGGAAGCCTATTGGTTCCTTTTTCGATGGCTTTGCTGCGGCTGGAAAATTCGATCATTACGCGGAAGCCGGACATACTGTTCAAGGAACGACCAGTAAGTGCGCGTCCGGCTACCGATTGCTATGAGACCCATCAACGCTCACCTCGATTGTAGGTGTGCAAACCCCTGGGTTTCTGAATTTAACGTTACGCCAGCCGTACGGGGTTGTGGCTGCTATCATTCCTTGGAACGTTCCTCTTCTTTTCTTAGCAGGCAAGGTCGCACCTGCGCTTATCGTCGGTAACACAGTCGTTGTAAAGAGCAGCGAGAAGGCCCCTTTGACAGTAAGTCACTCGTACCCCACTCGTTCCCCGATACTCACATAGCCTAGTCCGCGAAGCTAGCCACTCTTGTCCAAAAAGCAGGGTTCCCTCCCGGTGTGTTCAACGTCATCACGGGTTTTGGTAACGTAGGTAATCCCAAGATGACTTTGTAAACTGTATACTCACAAGGAACCTGTTCTAGGTCAGCGGATCTATCCTAAGTCACCACATGGACGTTCGGGCTCTATCCTTCACTGGATCCGGACGGACGGGTAGGCTCATCCAAGCGGCCGCTGCAAAGTCAAATTTGAAGGCAGTGTATCTTGAATTAGGAGGTAAATCTCCGGCAGTCGTCTTCGAAGATGCCGATCTTGAGAAAGCTGTCCAGGACACTGCATACAGCGTCCAGTCGAACAGCGGACAGGTCTGCATGATGAACTCGCGCATATACGTGCAAGACACTGTCTTTGACAAGTATGTTGAACTCTTCAAGGGATATCTTACAAGCAAAGTAGCTGTGGGCGACCCGTTAGAGAAGGACATCAACCACGGCCCTCAGGCGGACGAAGCCCAGCACAAGACCGTCCTTCGTTACTTGGAGATGGGCAAACAGTCCGGCAACCTAGTAATTGGCGGTGCAGCGCCTTCAGACCGAGAAGGATACTACATCCAGCCTACAGTATTCACCAACACGCCGGAAGACGCCCAAATCATGAAAGAAGAAGTATTTGGGCCAGTGGTGAACATAAACACCTTCAAGACGGAAGAAGAAGTACTCGCAAAAGCGAATGACACTGAGTTTGGCCTGTACGCAGCGGTCTACACGAGGGACATCAGCCGTGCGTTACGATTTGCAAAGGGTCTGGAAGCTGGCACGATTGGCGTCAACTGCACGAGTCCTACGACCGCACTCAATGATGGGCCCTTTGGAGGCTACAAGTCGTCTGGCACGGGTAGAGAAGGAGAGCCGTTCTACTCACTGAGCAACTTTCTTGAAACAAAGTCGGTCGTCATTAAATTAGACTAGATGCTCAGCTTCCGCTATTTTTCCAGCAGCCTGGACCTATTGCGCTCAAGCGAGCTCCCCTTGTATGAAGAAGGAGTGTCTGTTCCTTCAGTATGCAGTATACTTTAGCGAGCGAAGCAGAGGTTCATCAGCAATTGCTAAGCAATGAAACTTTGATGAAACAAGTGCCATCTGCTTCGGTCGAGAGGCTATCCATTTGAGTATTAGCCTGATACCACGGACACGGCTCATGTCCACCGCCCCTGGCTAAGCGCCCCCACATTTATGAACAGCCCGGAATCCCCGCATTTTCCCCAACAGCATCCTTTTTGACGCCGGGCTGACTTTCCCTATCACCGTGTGACCTCCGCCGCTGGTTTCATTATCGAATAATATCAGGCGTACCGACCGATACGCGATACGGCGTCGGGCCCGATCGTCGCCCGAACATGGCCGAGGCTTCGGCTTCATCGGGCCATGTGCTGCAGCAGCCTATGCGAGGCCATGGCACCCACCGCGTGCATAGCAGCTGCGACAGGTGTCGGAGCAGGAAAACAAAGGTATACGAGGCGCCCTCTGACACGTATTGCCCAGACACTAACCGCACTAGTGCATCGATCCAGGTAAGCAGGGGTTTTGCTGTCGTCTTGTGCGAACGTGTGGGGGCTCATCGTACACCAGTTCCTGGGCCGTGTCGATACTGCGCGCGCACTGGTTCAGTATGCCAGATCGCGACGCCTCGCCGGAAGCGACCCTACTACCATGTCACCGAGGAAGAGTATCAGTGCTCCATGCGCATATTGGAGCACTTCTTTCCAGATCGCGAACTCAACCTAGTCTCGCTTAGGCAGATTGCCCAAGACGTCGTCGATGGAAGGCTTGTGGGGTCAGTGACAGAAGGTGAACCGATGGCACCCATCAGTGAGGAAACCACGCCGGATGAAGGGGAAGATGCTTTCCAGGACGAAAAGCCCGTGCTGGATTCGGTGAACGATCTTCATGAGCCACTGGGGACCATGATGAGAGACTCCACAGGTCGATATCGTACGTGAGTCAATATCTCAACCCAATGCGCCTACTAAGATACGGTAGGATACGTGGGTGCACACTCAGACATCGCCTTCAACGCAGCTGTCTGTTCAATGGGCAAAGAGGCAGAGATGCGGAAAAATCCCAACATCATCGGGCCTCCTAAGATCGGCCTCTATCCTCCGCCCCTACCAACCATGTCATCAACCGATTCTGGATCACCTGGCCGGTCGTTCTTCCTTCCACGCCGCGAGCTTTGCGATTACTACATCTCAAGATTTCTTGAGGATGTGCACTCTACACATTGGTTCTATTCGATCGAACAATTTCTGTATCGCGTGGAGACCACCTACACGGGGAAATCAGGAAAACTGAGTAATTCATGGATGTGTTCACTGTACGCAATTCTAGGACTAGGCGCCGCAAATTATGAAGAGCCAAGCGGACAGTCGCCGCTGCCAGCCGACTCCCCTGCTGCTTCCGACGAGAAGTCGTCGGAAGACTACATTGCTCTCGCGAAAGAGCTAATACCCGCAGTGTACGATGAGGCGGATATCGACAGTATCCGCGCGTTGGCTATCATGGTGAGTGCATACTTAGCTGGACTCTGAAAACGCTCAACAAGCGTGATATACACTGATGTATCCTTTTATGGGCCGCCCTCAGACTGGAACGTCCATTGTGGTTATGGGCTTTTATGATACAGTTTACCTGACTGACAATTTCAGAGCATTGCACTCGAAAACCTCTGTTCAAGAACAACCTCATACCTCTACATGGGCGCGAGCATTCAGATATCCTATTCGCTCGGACTCCACCGAGACTCGATAAATGGCTCTGGTGCCTCAATGGAACTTGAACAGAATCGCCGTATATGGTGGACTCTCTTCACGCTCGACCTGGAGATTGCGTCGAGAGGCGGAAGCCCAACCATGATCGACGACCGGTACCTCCGAATAACCACCCCTCTGCCGTCCGAGCAGGTAAACACTCCCTCGCTCCATATTTCCACATGTGCTGATGGCCCACAGGTCTTGTATCCCGGTTTGCACACGCCACTCTCCTGGCTCAGCACCTCCGTCTCTCTCTGCCGCCTGAAACGCGAAATCATTCAAGCAGTCTACACAGAGCGCTTCATGAACTCGCGCGCCATATCCTTCACCACCATCTCCAAGCTGCTCCTCTCGCTCCAAGGCTGGCAGCAACTCATGCCTCCACACCTCAAACATGACGTGCCGGCGCCTCCAACGCACAAGCGCGCCGTCGCCGTCCTGCATCTGCAGTACTGGAGCACCACCATTCTCTTATGTCGCCCGTTTCTCCTCTACCTCGTTTTGAGACACAGCACGCTTGAGCCCAGCAAAAAAGTTTGGTTCGAGCGCATGGGAAAGGCGACCATCGACGCCGCGCAAAAGAGCCTCGGCATCCTGCAGCAGATGGCGGCGGACAACACAATCTCGAGCCTCACCGCCTTTGACAGCACATGCCTCCTCCGCCTCGTCATGGTGTTTATCCTCGCATTTGCGCACACGAAGCAGCCGCAGTACCGCGGGCACATCGAGACGTCCATCTCGCTTATGAAGAGCCTCGAGCAGATCGGCTTCAGCAAGATGGTGGCGGAGGAGACGCCGATGCGGCTCGCGGATCTAGGCATTCCCATCGAGACGAAGGAAGGCAACACGAGTGTGTTATTAGATGATGATCTGATCGCCCAGCTGTGGGGAAATCTCGATCCGTACGTTGGTTCGCAGAACTTGCGCGGAAAGGGTACATATACTAATATAGTGATAGGAACTTCATGACGCCTCTGCAGACGCAGCAAAGCTTGGACCTAGCGTTTGACGACTCGAACTATTCGGATCTGAATTCCGAAATCATGCAGCTGACGAACCTGGACGATTCGATTGTCATCGACGCGTCGCAGGTGTATTCGAGTTTCGATTTTCGTTGAGGCAGTCTTGGGATGAACATGATCAGCCACCAAGCTTGGAGTTCGCGGACAGGCTATGGTTCGACTACCAAGGCAGCACTTGACATAGACAGCACTGGACAGCGCGGTTGCGCTTTGCTGAGGACGAGACCGAAAGCCTCGTAGCCCGCTTCGGGCCACAGAAGATTTCGCACTTCGCACTGTCATATATGATTGCATGACCTCACCAGGTGCTGTGCGTTACGCAGACTTTCAGGGGCCAGCAGATCTCCATAGAAATCAGCGACCGGGGAATGAGATTGCGAGTAAGGGGCATTGTAAATCGACCGTGTACATACTATAACAGCTAGTGCGTGAGAATGAAGCAGATACACGATCGCTTTGTGGAAACGCGTATTACAGTTCAAAATGGGTAAATACGTTTATACATGCGCAACTTTCCGGCTTAAACGGGGAAGGCGCATTTACGTAAGCAGCTCTATCCCTACTTGGCTGCTGCCTACAAACCTTCCTTTGCTTTTAACCCCACCAAGACACAAGAAATCCAAAGTCGTGGCGAGAGATTCCAACATGGCGCCTTCATTCTCGGCTCTTCCGGAGGAACTTATCACCTCTGTTATTTCACACGTCGAGGATGCTGGGGATCTGTTCAATTTGGCTCTTGCTACGAAACAGCTTAATCGCATTTCAACGGCTCACTTGTACCATCGCATCGCACTGGAGGTTGATGAAGATCGCCGCGCACTGGAGTTTGGTGAAGAGCGTAGCGAATACCGCAGCAACCAGGAGAGGCTCTATTCTCTGGTCATATCGTTACTAGGACACCCGGAACATGCAGCGCAGGTCCAGCATCTGCACATCCGCGGTCTATGGCCGGACCCGAACAGATGGAGGGACCGAAAAAAGAAACATATGGGCGCGTTGCATCCACTTTTAGACGAGCGAATCAAGTCATTTAAAGGAATTCCAATAACGGTCGGTGACAACACGTACGGCTGGGACACTGTGGAGGCATTCATTGTCGTCCTGTTCCATCTCGTACCCAATCTTCGCACCCTGAATACTAGCTTACCCGGGGATTCGGGCATTCACTGGAGGTGGTTCTTCCGACAAATGCCGTCGAGCGACTGCCCAAATAACCTGCAAGAAGTGGCGCTTGTGGAAAGTGGAGGGTACGGCCTCGCTCGTGATTCGTTCTTGAAATTGATACGGCTAAAGAGCCTTTTTTCTTACAACTCAAAGGATTTCGAGAAGTTCCAACTGGTTGACCCAACTCATCAGGACGACCGGAGGTACATGGACGATGCCATGACGTTGATATCTAAAGTGGTGAATCGAGCAAGGTCCAGAGAACATGCGGCGGAGCACATTGAAATTCTTGAAGCGTCTCGAAGTTTCTCATGTCTATCGCACTACATCCAAAGCTTCGCAGTAAGTACCAGATGGTATTTCTCCTTGCAATTGCTGACGTAGGCATCCCTGTGCCCAACAGGCTCTCCGGACCTTCGCCTTCGACTTTCGCAAAGAATTGGTCCCCGAGCACCGCTGCTTTTACAATGCTGTGGTTTTGTCCCTATGCGTCCATGCCGAAACTCTGACAGCGTTGCACCTTGGAGGAGCGTACAGTGCCTTCCACAACCTTGCACCTCCAATCAACTTCAGCGCGTTAACGAACTTGAAGCACCTCAGGACCCCTGTTCTTTTCTTCCTCGGATTTCCAATTTCCTCAAGTGCCACCTCCTTACCAGACCACCTCATGCGCGAACGATTTCCCCCTAGCCTCGAGAAGCTGGTCCTCTTGGTATACAAAGACGAGGAGCATCAAATCCTTTCGCAACTGAAGCATTACTTTGGAACCGATCCTCCAATCGTACCAAACCTACAGCATCTTGACATCCACTGCCATGCGCCTGAAGCGATGTACGCGTGGCTCCAAGATCCAGTCCAGCGACGCCACATCAACCTGCGCATCTTCCGCAAACTCAAGACTAATGACGAGGAGCTATTCATTACACCGTTCGTCAACACGGTCGAAGGCTTCCATCAAGAGATCTCCGAGGTCCAAATCAAGATAACGCCTCCTGTATCGAGATTGCAACTTGAGGATTTGATGCCCGTGGAAGAGTACGAGCCAGATGCTGAGGCCATTGTTCCCATTTTTGAAGAAGCGATTGGACACTACATGTCATAATAAGAGATCTCTGCGATAGGCAGAGAGCAGGAATGGTGGCACCTTCGGACAAGCGGACTGCGTTGGTAGGAGAAGGCTTCGTTGGTGCAGCACACGAAACATGACTCTGGATATAGCTTACGACTAATGAGTGGCTAGCGAAGCCCGTGTCATTAGATAGATCTACGTTTGTCCCCCGGCCAACGGCGTGTGTCGCACATGCGTGTTCCTAGAAAAACATTCCCCGCACTTTCTTTGCACCTGTATTCCGATATTCCAATGTCGCTTCAACATCCTGCGTAAGCTTTCTGATTGATCGTCCACTCACCTTTTTGTAATATATCAAATTGCGTGTCCCCGTACTTTCCCGTGGGTGAGCTACTCTATTCGTCCTTGTCTGCCGGAGGCTTGCAGATGAACGTGTGTGCACCGAACATCACGGACATCATGCAACAAGATCAAACAAGACGTCTCTACGCGAACTTTGGAGAGCAGTTCGACCTTTTGATTCGCTTTCTTTCGATATGTGATCATGTCGCCGCTCGCATCTCATGAAGCGCTTCTCAAATTCCTAGGTTCATTATCTCTAATTGCCTTCGTTTTGACGATAACTTCCATTCTACTATTGTGCGCGACGATTGGGCGATGAGTGAGACGTGATTGGTAGAGCAGGTGTCTGCAACAAGCGGAAAGATATCAGAAATGGCCGGCGTGAGAGGCGATAATGCGAGGGGCGGAGATGAAAAGTGCTATGACAGCTCGCACTTACAGGAAGTTTTCGACTCATCTTGCACTCAGGTGAAGACGAAGACGTTGCGTCAAGCATGCAGAGAAGTAAGGCACGATGAAGATGTCACGGATATGGGAGCAAAAAGGTAGCATGATGAAGTGACACTCTTTGCGAGTGATGGCATTGATGTCAACCAGTAGTACCAACCACCAAGGTACATGCGTCAGTGCAAGAATGTGAGACAACCAACCACCAAGACCAATGACCAAAGACCGACCACCAGACCCAAGATCATCCACCAGGCATGCGTTGCAGGTAGGCCAGGCGCGTAGCCCTCAGATTCCACACGGCCTGCAACGTAAGCCAACCACCAATATCGCGCACTCAGCATCGCGAAGCAGGACTAGACACTCGACCGCGGGCACCAACCTGTCCAGTCGTCAAGCGTTCAGTTGCAGGTAGGCCAGGCACGAAGCCCTCAAATTCCACACAGCCTGCAACGTACTAATCATGACAGTCGAACCTGATGTGCTTCCAAGACCGGCGGGCCATGACAATGGACACCTGTGAGGCAAAACAGTCACTGCTCCGATGTGTAGTGCGATCCACCTCTTGACCATGTTGTACCCACCCAAGCCATGCCGAAGAAGAGTGTTGATGAAGGATGATGATGAAGGATGATGAAGGATGATGAAGGATGTTGATGAAGGTTGATGAAGGATGATGAAGGTTGTTGAAGGTTGATGAAGGATGATGACCGAGTGAGGTAGACATCGACTGAGGTCAGTCAGCAAGAGTGAAACAAACCTGTTGAAGGACGTGCTGGACCATGGTATGTGTTGGATGTCTCACCCGAGAGAGTGAGTGAGTTTGGTATGAGCCGACATGATGTTGTGACTCAAGTGAGTGTGAGTCAAGGTAAGTTGGGTGAGCTGAAGTGGAGTGAAGGTCGATGCTCAAGGTGGGTACGTTGGAAGCTTAGAAGTGAATGAAGGATGAGACATATCGAGGGAAGATTGGGATGATGTCATGTCCTTGAGACTTGAAGAGGTCTCAAGTGGAGCTGAGAGCTCGGAAGGCTTGTGGAGTGAGAGTGGAGAGAAGAGGAGAAGGCCTGAGTTGGCCAAAAACTTCTTGATATACTCTTTGGGCGCCGCTAGCTCTGGCGCCACGTCAAGAGTCATGTGACTGCGACTGCCTCGCGCCCGATTAGGAAATAGTCGTCAGGTGAAGGAGAAGGTCGAGTTCTGGGAGCGACTGGAGCCGGTGGGCAACAGCACAACCAAGGAAACGGCGCCTTTTCGTGCAAGAATATGCGGAGAGTGCACTGAGCAGTACGAGAAAGGCGGAAATTCCTAGCATATCGCGCAGTAGCTGGGCAAGCGACAAAGGTCGATGATCTCGCAGTGGCGAAGCTCTGCGTCGTCATTACCGCCTTGCAATCTGGGATGACTTGAAGTCGACATAGAGTTCATTATCGCTGAGCAGGCGCGTCTAGAGCTGCCGCAGGTCGTTCCTTGTGAGCTTCTTCAATACTGGAGCGCGGTGCGCGGGTCAGAGAGACACTGGTCGCGACGAGCGGCACCAGTAAATCTTATCAGTACAAGAACTAGTATTGGAAGGAGAATAAGGCTCCGCTGGAGGCTGCAAACATGCGTCGACGCTCATGCTAGCAACGCCCGTGTTTGGCTACCACGAGCAGGCGCTGCTTCTGGCCGTCGCGTTCGCCTGGCTCACCGAAGACGAGCAGCAAGTCTATTGAAGATGATGGAGCAACTGCAGATAATCGAGAGTAGAGGGGTTTCAAGGCTCCGGGTGCGCGTAACTATTTGAGACAGCCTCGTCGAGCTCGCGGGCGCAGTAACTGGCGGCCTGTGGACAGTTATGCTGCTTCCAGTGACACCCACTTAACAAGAAGACTCCTGAAGAGCCCAGCACTCTGAGAGACAGCCCACAGCGTCTGTATGGACTAGGTTCAAGGGTCTGCTTCGCGGATCGTGAAGCGGGGCTTGCCACTGCCGACGGCGGTTGCGTCTCTCCTATCAGATTGCTCCTCAACACCTGGACCGAGCATATTTTAAGTTCTCCAGCGCTCAATAAGATACCAGGTGATGCTGCCAATGCAAGAGAGGTTGTGCCGGAAGGAGATCGCAGCTACGGCGCTGTGGCGCTGCGGCCTACTGACGCGCTCTACTCACAAACCCCACCACGAGAACAAACACTTCTGGCCGTAGCCGCGGACTGCGAACTGCTTTGGGGTTTTTAATGGCTCTGATGGCCGTCTAGACGTAGCAAAGACCTCGCGCCTGCCGCCAACACCATCATGGAGTTACGCACTTCAAATACCGCCCAAAAGCTAACCATAAATCGCTCGCGATTGTCCCCGACTCGACGCACCACGTTAATACCGAGAGCGCATCCGCCATGTCACCCTCCCGAGCCGTGTTTCACTGGACATCCCGCTTCGATCGAGAGGATATATTAAGCTACATGGGAGAGCATACCACAGACACGCGATCTGGGGAAGGAATGGCGACGATGCGGTTTGAAGCAAGCTAAAGAAAACCACAACGGGCTCCTTCTTTCTAGCCTTGAAGCAAGCCTAGGATACAAGAGACGCCGCTTTGGCCGACCTCACCGACCGCAAACACTGGTAGCGTCTATCATTTGCACCACGTCATACAAGCGATGGAGGGGAGAACGGTGACTCTCCAGGTTAACAATGCCAACCACTGACATCGTGAATCTCCACTCCAGCTGACGAGTCGATAGAGGCAGCACGAAGAGCCACCTTCGTATTCCTGGATCTGTTCTCTTTCTCCAGTGTCTCCTAGCCCGAAGCAGGCAATTGCAATATTTTCTGCAACTTGTTCGATTCCACTTTACAATCCCTATGAGCTGATCCTATGCCTCCGACTTCCACGCTCCAAATCTGACAGGGACTAGTCTTTACAAAACTCGCACTTCGAACGTCGAAATCTTAATCCAAGGATCAGCCTAATCGTGGCCCAGGCTTTTTCAGGGCCTACTGTGACCTGAGTTGGCTCAGAATAGTCTGCTCCAATGCCGTCGCATCATTGACCGTGAAAGATCTATTATGGTGACTACGCCGATAATGCGGTTTGTTGAAAAGTTCCTTGCCCAGAAACGCAACTTCCACCTTGGTATCTTTAGAGAAAACGACGGGTTTAGCGCTTGCCCCCACTTGTGTAATCTCTGTCCGATAAACTTTTGTGCTGATGCTCGACCATCCTCCCCAATCTATGACCAGTTTGAAAAGATCCAAGTTCCTGCAACGCGACGCTATCGCAGATAGCCGGTCCCAGTCGACGCGATGTATCAGAAGGAAAACATCAAAGCGCCGCACTTGCTCTGGAATACTATGTTTGGGAATGTATGCGAAGGTGTTCTGTTTGAAGAATACCTCTTTGGCGATGTGAGCTGTGTCTTGGGGCAAAGCGAGATGGAACAGCAGTGTTTCCGGCCAACGACTATATTCACAAAGCCGAAGATTCCTAAATGGAGGAACAGTGAACGTGCACTCGTCACCGATGCCCCGGGTTGAGACATAGTAGAACTGGTCAAAGTCCTTCTGTGGCCGATAGATTTTACCGAAGCTGAGGCTGAGCTCCAGAATATCCACCTTCAGCTTGTTGGGCAGTCTATTCCAATTTCTGCCAAAAGCTGGATACGTAAGAGGATAACAATAGAATCTCGCGTTTGACGGTGCGATGTGTGTGACTATCCTGCCGTCGTAGGGGACGATTACTCGAACTCGCGCTGAGTTGGCGATCCGAACATGATATGGTGTGGAACTCCGAATCCTGATTCTTTTACCTGGCTCTAATATCATTGGCGCATAAAGAGTACCGACGTCATAATCGGGGTGCGTGGATCTTTCGAGCGACATTGTTGAAGATTTTGAGCGCTGTTTCGTTGGGCACCAAGACGACAACGGATCTAGCATATTTATATCTGGATGTTGGGATTGTGATAGATCATGGGGCTAACTCAGCAAACTCCGTGTACAACAAGTGACAAACAATGACATCAATTGACTGTAACCTCTGACGCAGTTTTGCTTATCAATTTCTTGGAAGGAAACAACACTACTTAGGTTCACTTTCCAGGTTTGTGCGCTTCGGAGCATCTCGGACCTTCTTTCTCACCATGAGAAACATGCAAAGATTTACGTGCGGAGTGTCAAAGGCCTTGCGATACCAAGATGAAATACACTGATGTGAACATGCCGGTTTTTTTGTTGCCCAGCCTTGGTCAACGTATTTGATCCATTACATTGACAAGATACAAGTGGCTAACAGTTTCAACCAAGCTACTAATCTCTAATCATCATACTACTTCCCCTCCATGAGCAAAAATCCACTACATGCTATCATACCGGTTCTTTCTTGAAGTCATAATAATCTCAAAAGCCACAAAAACTCCGTATCTTAGACCTCCACTAATTAAACATCCGCTTTCCTGCGACCCAATTCTTCCCAGAACGATCGATGAACAGAAATTTGGTCATCATTAGTTGTTCCAAACTCCTATTCCTCTGAGGATAATGCCCAGTAAACTCTACTTTGAGCTTGAAACCTTTCGGGAAGTAAAGAACATCGCCCCTCGTTGCAGGAGGACTCATGAGAAGGTCCGCAAGACGCATCTTTCCATAGGGCTCGAGAGTACTCCAATCAAACGTCACATGCAGACGATTCACTCCGCTGAGACGCCCATGTGGGATTTTAGAAAGGAGTTTCCAATGTGTAGAATTTACCTGGAGAGTCAAGCGCAGGCTTCGCACGTGCATGGTGATGGAGTGGTGTGGGATCCAATCGAAAATACCGTATGAATAGGGAAACGCTGCAAACGTATTCTGTTTGCCAAAAACCTCTTCTGAAAATCCACCCATCTCGTCAGGCAGAGCAAGGTGATGGGATAGGATTGCTGGCCACTGACTGTTTTCACGGAGTCGTGTTTGTCCCGATTGGGGAACCAGATTCCATTTCGTGTCTGATCGCAGTTGTATTTCGTCGAAAGAGAGATTAAACTCAAGGACACGAATCTTCAACTCATTTGGTATCGATTTCCAATACATTCCGAATCCGGGGTATGTAAGCGGTTCGATGTAAAGTTTTGCATCAGGCGGAGCAGTGTATTTAGCCAATCCAGTGCTGGCGATAGTCATTGGTGACGAGCTACCGATTCGGATTTCATATGGACTGCGACTTCGTACCGAGATGGATCTATTCGGTTGAAGTACCATTGGTGTGTATAAGGTGATACAACCCCATTCGACATCACGGGGTGTGTTCGCGGTGGTGTCAGAGGGAGGAAGCTTCAGGCCGCTAGCCTCGTCCACCAAGTCAGAAATATTGAAGGACATTTTCGACTAATCGGAAAGGTTCGCAGTTGCCGTTTATGTTACAAAGAGCTGCAGGAGTTCATTCAGAGTCTATATTCTTAGAAATAGCAAGTATGACCGCTCTTGTGACCAAGTCAGCAACAGCGTCCGATGACTTGCGCAAATAGCAACAAATGTTTGTATCAAGATGGGGAAGCATGTGGCTCATGAAGCTTTGCTGGGACATTGCCGGGAAAGAATTAAGCATCTCAAGATCACGAAGCACGTTGAATCAGTTTTAATCGAGCTCCCAATAATGGCTAATAACGATCATCGCGGACCTCATTGCTTCATCCGGTAACTAGCACCCACACAAGCGCTATCCCGACGATCTGCATCTTATTACTACACGCCGCTTCAAAAAAAGCCTCATCTTGAATTACCTCAGCTCTGTCCTCCTCAACATACTCCCTCCCACTCCCATACTAACATCCATCCACACTTTCACCATCATAGATAGCAATCCCACGCTCCCTAACCTCACTATCGGCACTCTTCAATTTATCCATCTCCGCGTCCAGCGGCGAAGACGGATATTTGCCATACGAGGGAAAATCGTAGGACCCATAGCTATGGTAGCGGCCGTAGCTACTAGTTTGACGGGTAGGGAGAATAGGGAGGGCTGCAGCGGAGCAGAGGAGGAGGGCGAGCGGGGCGAAGGAGCAGATATGCATGACGGCTTGCTGATGAAGACAGAGAGTCGGGGTCGGTAGTGTGGTTGATGGAATGAAGACGGAGGTAGGCGGATGCGGGGGAGTCCCTTGCGTTTTGAGAAATAGATAAAATGGGTTGGGTCGGCGAAGGGAGGATTAAGTAAAGCTGTGGATTGTGGAATGGAGCACACGAGAGCGGGTAAAACGGGAGCTACATTGGGGTCCTAAAGTTAGTGACTTGGAAGGACAAGCGCAACGCAAGTCTGAATGTTGATTTACTTGTGTAGCCAATGGTGAAGCAAAGATAGAGCAGCGGTTTCCCGAAGCGCGTGTTGAGCGTAGCGTGGCATTTTCATGGCGCCTCCCTTGTGCCACAATGCGTCGCACTGACAGCTGTCGTCATGCTATAGACGGGTATGTACTCAATTCTGTGTGTCACCCTTAAGGGTGTCGAATCGTTCGAAGCGGAGGAGTACATTGCATCATGACCAAATGTGATGATTGATAATGGCGGGTTCTTGCATGGGTACACCGTGCCTCACGTCAACAAAACCACTGGTCCTTAGCCCAAGAGCAATTCAAGTCTAATGCGCACGTTGGGAATCCAGTCCCACAGTTTTCACATCGTCAGTCTTCCGCGTCGCCCAACATGTTCTTCCACCACCTCAATATCCCGATAGAGCCACCACCACCACCACCGCCAGACTCGGAAGATACAGAAAGGCTGCTCAAAGCCTCAGACCCCTCTGTGCACAGCAAGAAATGCCGGCGCAAGCGAGAGAGACAGGACCTTCGTGTGGGGCTCAAATCGTGCATTGTGACCAGCTGCGTTTGGCTCCTCGTATTCGTCGTGGTATTGAATAGTTGGGAGAGGCGAATATTGATCCAGGCGACGGATGAAGCTTGCATGGAGCACATCTCGTATTATTGTAGGGCGCGAAATTGAGGAGTATCGAAAAGAGATTTGAGCTGACGCAGGAAAGCACCGCTCATGAAAGAAGTAAAGCCGGAGTGGCAAGACGTTCGATTCAACGGCACGTTTCTGCACGAAAATGTATATCGGCAAGGTGCGGGTCCCCAGGTTGATGCCGCATGGGAGGCTCTTGGGGTAGACTGTGAGATCTCACCCATGTTCGCGTCGTAGGCACTGATAGAATATCAAGACAGGCCGATCGTTGTTCCGCTCAAGGAAGCATCTGAAACAGGGCTTCGTCCTGATCATGTGAGGATCGAAGAGGAGTACGGCGGCGGCTTTGTCGCGAACGTTGAGGGACTCCACCACTTGCATTGTTTAGTAAATTGTCCCTTGCGATGTCTGGCGATCGCTAATCATGAGCAGAACATCCTCCGCAAGTCCCTTCACTGGAACTACGATTACTACCTCGCGGAGGGAAAGCCACCCTTTTCGAATAGCGAAAATATCGTCCGGATCCACGTCACGCACTGTCTGGATATTCTCCGGCAGCAATTGATGTGCGTTCCCGACGTCGGAGTGCTTGGACAGGTGTGGTATAAGCTGGAAAGCATGCCGCAGCCGCAGCCGTTTGTCGACTTCAATACGGAGCATCGATGCCGAGACTTTGAGGGCGTGCGAGCGTGGGCGGAGAAACATCAGCTGCCGGAGGAGAAGGATGTGGATCTGGAGCATTTCTACAGGATGCCGGGGCCGGGAGCGATGATATACTCGAAGATACCGTAAGGCCCTAGCATGGATATTAATTTCGTCTTATTGATAGAGAGTGGAGCTCTTACCAGCCTCGACACCAAGGGCCATGCTTCTATAGGTCGTGTCTCCAGCTAGAATCAGTGGCCACTCTGTCTTAGTATCGCAAGCATGCCGCATGGTCTTGACGTCCCCGTCTCAATTCTGCCTGGGCTTCACTACCCCATCCTGCACAATATAGTACACCACCGTACTATCCGTATCCACTGTCGCCAGCACCACTCTCTTCGTCTCCCTCCACCTGCTCACCTTCCCCTTCTTCCCTTCACTGTCCACGTCTTCCTTCTCCGGTGGTACCTCACTAATCCCATCAAAAACCTCCGCCAGCCTCCTCAGCGTCCACTTCTCGCTCAATCTCGCCGGCAAGATCCACTCCCGCTCCGGCTCGGCCTTAACCTCTAATGCGCCCGTCTCGCCTTCTTTCTGTGCTTTGCGCGCTCGGTCGGCGTCTTTTAACAGCTCGATCTGCTCGTCGGGGTGGATATAGAGGCGGTTTGGGGGTAGGCCGGAGAGAAGTGGGCGCGGGAGGAGCGAACCGGTGAGCGGGGAGTGGGTGTGGATGTGTAGAGATGTCCAGTTGTGTTGGTATTGGAGGTTATGTTGTATTTGGAGGGCCAGTGAGTGGAGCGTGGGATCGTGAGTCTTTGTGGAAGTATCTTGCGCGATGAGGGATTGGATGGGCGCGGACGGAGGGGGCGCGATGTCTGTTTCTGTGCGCGCCATGGTGGGAGGAGGTTGCGTTTGGTGATCGTGCTAGGTTCGTGGTGTTTGGAAAGTTTTGGGGTGGGACGAGAAAGAGCAATCGATAAGGACTGACTCAGGACTCGCCAAGCACTGACCTCACCACTTTGTCTACGTGAGCTTCGTCTGTCCATTGTGCCTCCCTAATAGTGCTTGCAATTCATCTTGGAAAATTCTCCTTGACCTTCGCATCGGGTGCACTCAGGGTACTGATGATCTAATTCGGACGTGTGCGCGTACCTTCTGCGGCTCCCAAGCCATCTAGAACACCTGGTCACGTGCCGCCCATTCCACCTGCATCTTTGCGGATCAAGTGTTGCTGTCTGCTGAAACATGGTAGCTACAAACATGATATATTGTGTCCTTCAAGACTAAAAAATCAGAAACTCCTTGACCAGTATCCAGCATAGCATATCCCCCTCCTTCTACACATCTCCATCATTTCCTGTTACTTCCCTCCCAACCACACTAAACAGCCCACTCCTAATTCTACAATCAAAAGACCTCTCCCAACCGCTCCCATACGCCGTCCACTCCACCTTCTGATCATCACATTCAAAATCCCCATTCTCCCCACAACCGCCGAGAAGCCCCTGGCCATCATTCCCGCCCGTGCTCCACATCGCATGACACCCTTCTGTATACTCCCACTGGATGCGCGTCTTGTCTTTGTCCAGCGGATCCCATACTTTCATGTCGATGGTGTTAGGGAGATCCGGCGCTGTGATGGGGGAGCCGACGCCCTTGTTGCGGTCCTGGCCGTTGGAGTCGGTGAGGGTCCAGCTGAGGTACAGGGTTAGTGGTAACGACATTGGTTGGAGACGAGGGAGGAAGTGGACTTACTCGATTTCCCAGATGTCGCCGATGATTTGCTGGTGGATGTGCATTGTCCACCTGTCTGTGACCGGGGGCAGTGGTGTTGGCGAGGGAGGGGGTGGTGGAGGTTCCTCAGACGTTGAAGGAGGGTGTGGTGGTTCCTCGGATGTTGATGGTGGCGGAGGTGCTTCAACAGTCGTCGAAGAGACGACCGTTGCCATCGTTGTCAGCACGAGTGTCGCGGACGGACTCGCAGTCGCGTTTCCACCCTCTACTAAACCCGGATCGATCTTGCCCAGCATATCTTCGATAGCATCCGCCCCGTTCAAGATCGCCTGAGCATCCGCAAGCGGCCTGGGTCCGTCTGGGCTAAGGGAAGGTGCTAGCGTACAAGCCGGATTATCCTGTTTTGTGAGGATTTCAGACACGGTAGTGGGTGCCGCGTTGCAAGCGATGTCTTTGCGGCATACAGTCGTCGTACATGTTGTGGTCAGGGTCGTGTCGGGATTGGCAGTACTGGCGATGCAGGATGCGGTACACTGGTCTGCTGTCTTCGGTTCGTCACAGTCAAGCTCTGGAGGTACCGTGGGGCTAGGAGCCTGCGTGGGGTCTCCGCCTCCGCCACCTGTTTTTGTGGTATCGTTGCTACCTGTATTGCTAGGCTGAGGAGGGTTTGATGGATCGGGGTCAGGATCTGGAGTGGGGTTTGGGTTCGGATTAGGATTTGGATTAGGATTTGGATTAGGATTTGGATTAGGATTTGGATTAGGGTTGGGGTTCGGATCATCTGGACTGGGTGGATCATCCGGATTGGAAGGATCATCTGGATTGGAAGGGTCGTCCGGATTGGAAGGATCTGGGTTGCTTGGGTCTGGGTTGCTTGGGTCTGGGTTGCTTGGGTCTGGGTTGCTTGGGTCTGGGTTGCTTGGGTCTGGGTTGCTCGGATCTGGGTTGCTCGGATCTGGGTTGCTTGGGTCTGGGTTGCTTGGGTCTGGGTTGCTCGGATCTGGGTTGCTCGGATCTGGGTTGCTTGGATCTGGGTCGCTTGGATCTGGGTCGCTTGGATCTGGATTTGGTGACGGTCCAGGAGGTGTTAAAGTGATAGGTACTGGGATAACCACTCCACCCGCATCAGTTGAGCTCGATGTTGAGATTAGAGGGGTTGGGGTTGGGGTCCCTGGCGGAGGCATTGGGCTGGAAGGGCTGTCTGGTATTGGACCAGAGCTGGGATCCGGGCTTGGATTGTCTGGGCTTGGAGGATCTGGATTTTGAGGTGGGCCAGGAGGCGTCAGAGTGATAGGTACCGGTACAACTACCCCGCCAGCATCGGTCGAGCTTGACGTTGAGATGACAGGCGTGGGGGTTCCAGGTGGAGGATTTGGGCCTCCACTGGTGCCTGGTGGAGGTGCAACGACTTCAGTCGTACTCCTTGGTTGCGGACCGGGTGGTGTCACTGGAGGTCCAAGTAGTTGGTTCCGCCACCTACAAACTATAAGTCACGATACAGAGTTGAGGGGAAGTTCTTACCAATAGCCTTTCGGTTGTACGACTACACTGACAGTAGGAGTGATGAGCAGTGCACCGGTGTCGGTTTGGGTAATGGTGGTTTCGATGGTGGTTGTGGCGGAGAGCTCAGTCAAGTCCGTCCAAACGAATGGGATCAACGAAGAGGATATCCCATCTGAGCCAGTCATGGCGGTAGGTCGGGGAAGCGATGGTTCGGTCGCGTAGCACGACTCATCCGTGCAAACGAGCACATCGGCCGCTACAGAGAGCCCTGCATACAAAATGAAGAGCGGTAGCTTCATTTAGAGAAGCTCCAAGCGCCCGAGCTGATGGAAATGTGGCTCGCAGGGCAATAGCAAGATATAGTAGTTTTTAACTCAACGAGAAGCTGCAAATGGTTGAGGTGATGATTGTATCGTCGGGACGTGTAGAGATTATATAGCTTCCTCGCCACATTTACGCATATTACCCTTCCAAAATAATCAGACAACCTAAAACGTGGCTATGCTCCAAGGGAAAGAATGTGCTCAATTACTGTGGTCTCAAGACATTCATCACTTAATGGAGTCTTGATATAGATGGAGTTCCGGGTTTCCTGAGTTAGCGCCGCAAAAGCTCTTGGGCAAACATGTTTCAAATCCTACGAACAACGTCCATTGTACATTACGTCGATCATCCGAACAATGCCCATTGTATTTCTGGACAGACAACTTGAGACGAGTACGGCCGAACGTATAGCCGAACACGCAAGTAAGAATGCGGCGGCGCTGCTTCTCAGATGTTTTGGAGTATTTCTACTCGGTCACACCCGTAAGCTGACCGAAGTACAACGGGAAACAAAAGTTCCGAAAAGTCGACCAATTATCGTTGCCGGTAGCAGCCCCCATTTGGTGAGTCTACTTGCCCCACGCGGCGCGTGGGGCGGATACGCACGTGAGCTCTAGGCGCCGTGAGTATGCTCCCATTCTCGTGTTTGAAATCTGATGTGTAGGTGTCGTATTTGTGGTATGACGAGTGCCCGTCGTTGCGGCACACACGGGCGGATAGGTTGAGACTGAGGGCCTCGCCTTGGGAGATCTTATATCGGACCGAAGATGGAACAACATGTACTCACTTGTCATACCGGACGTGGTATCCGCAAGTTATTCTTGTTGTTCTTGTCTTGGACGGCGTCGAGTGGTGCTGAGCCTCAGTGAGAAGCATGAAGCATGAGAAGCGGTGGACATATAAATCTCTCAGTTCCAACCTGCTGCAAATATATTCTCACTCTTAGATTTCAGCTCGCTAGTCGCTTCTTGAGCTGCGTTAGCATCTTGTCCACAGTCAGATTATTAACATTGAACATGTTCTCTAAACCTGGACGGGTTCTCCTTCTTTTCCTCTCAGCAGGTGTGCTTCAAACCGATGCAATCCCGGACGACGGTGCCGAGAACTCTTTACTCGTAAGTGTAGATGTATAACAGCGAATCCTATATGCGCGGCTGATCACAACCTCTTTTAGCCGACCTTCACTCTCCTCGGCGGAAATGGAGGCTCAGAAACGGGACGATGCACTGGAACCGATCTTGACAATCTCAAAGCATCTTACGAAGATATGTGCCTGATGGCACGCTCAGCCAGCAACGAATTAGAGTTTCTTCTAAAACAGGCGGAAGTTACTGAAGGCGATGGGCCGCCCAGGCCGGACGATGACGCACAGGTGCCAGTTGATAATTGGAAGAGGTGGCAACGTATTCGTGAAACGTATTTTTCGCTGTTTGGCAGGGATCCTTTCGTGAAGAAGAATGACCCGCCGGGTGCGAAAAAGCCTGGGGAGACTATTCTTGGGCATGAAAGAACCGTGAAGAGTGAGTAGTGAGCTCTGAAGTGTGAACCACGAATTGGTCAAATATGCTAATGTATTCTTAGGCTTCTATAACCGCGTGGTCAATGAGTTTTGTAGCGGGCACAATGCTAACAGTCCTCTTCTGGTGTGCACCGATTCACACTATGAGTTCATCAAAGTAGGGACACGCGACCCCGGTGATGCGCAAGGACAGAACATCGAAGCTACGCGTAAGTATTCCCGATTCTTTTTCTGACACAAATCAAGTACTAACTATGTCCGAGATCCACAATGTACGAATGTTGGTGGAGTCTGGTATTCGCAGTATATGCCTACAGATCAACGATACGACGAACGTCCACCGCCGCAGGATCCTGAGGACGGGCCCATCTGTACGGATCCAAATCACCTAGCAGTCACGATTCCACTTCGGAATACGATATTCTTCTGCAAAGGCGTAAGGAAGCCTCTTCTTCAAGACCCGTCGTGGATGAACGCCACGTACTAATCTGTCCTACAGGGCCTGGATACAAACGTCCACAAAACCGTCACCCTCCAAGACCTGCGCAGCGGTATAAAACCAGCCAGTAGGCGGTACAAAAAGGTGGATCACGACATGTTTCTACAGTTGCTTACACTCGGTCGTGTAACGAAACTTGAGGATGTCAAGAGAGTTGGCGGTGAAATCATGCCTGTGACTTGGCTGCATGAGCTGCATCATCTCCTCACACGCAGTATGGAAAGCTCACTATGCCGCATTCACACGCGGCTCACTGAATTATGCACACGCTAACGCAGCTCTAGGTGACGACGAGGCTGCTGTCGACAAGGAGGGAACCCGTATCAGAACCACGGAGAACAAATACAACCCTGCTACAAACCAATATGAGGACCAGGAGGTTAATATGAAGGCTTACGGATATGATCTGTCGAGAGACCTCGCCCTTTATGGTGGCATATCTGCGATGGTAAATCCTGACAATTCGGCTTTCTTTGCACTGGCCATGTTTTTCAGTGAGTATGATTGGTCCAAAGGCTTTGCAATGCCGTTGAAAGATCACAAGGCGAAGAAAGATGACTAGGTGGTAGACAGTGGTGTATAGTAGCGCAGGATGTCCAGTGGCTCCTGAGTTGATCCTTTGGACGGTTCTTTGAATTTTGAGAATGGGAGTATTTCGTCAGATTCGTCTCACATAGTGCAACAGCTTTTACATCCTCTTCTGTCGGACTTCTGCGTCCTACGTCTTGCAGCCTCGATCTCGGCGTCTGGCCAGACCAATGGATAATTGGCTGCGAAATCCCTCAGTGCGAAGGTGCAATGTTCCACCCGTGCACCTGCACTTTCGAGCCTCGAAAAATGACCCACAACTTCTTGTCTCCACCAATCAGTCTCAATCTTCTTTCCATACTGCGCTATGCTCTCTAATTCGGGGTGCTTGAATCGAGCCATTGCCTCTTGGTTTGACCAGTAGACAAGGAGCACAAAATCATTGACATGATGTCCAAGATCGGGGTCGACCTTCTCCTGGTATGCATCCATGCCCAATGTCACCTCCTTTATATCTCCATGAGGACGATCCTTGCCACAGAGAATATCAGGAAGGAGCGATATACAATTCTGTCGCAACTTCGTCATTTCGGCCTCGATCGAATCATCGAGCGGACCATCTGAAGGAGCTTCAACAGTAAAGAAGTCGCAGTGTCGCTCGTACCAAGGGTAAGAACCGCAGAGTACCGGTTCATTACGATCCGGGCTCTGTAAGTGACGAATGCTGGGTGACGATGTCAGGAAAGGGAAAAGTGGTTCGATAGCCCGAGGCACTCCTTTCGCCTTCAACTCCGACAATGCCACTTGGGAGACTGAGTCTCTCTGGTTAGAGAGCAGTTTCCGTCCTACAAGAACCATGTCAGCCGGATTTGACAGAGTCGTCAGCCCCGCACGAACCTATCATGATGCACACTCTGTCCGGATCCGTCGTCTCATTGCCCCACATTATCCATTCGGGTCTTTCCTCTTTCTCAAGCTGGTTTAGGCAGTCTTTGAACAGATCATACAGGAACTCTGGGGGACCGCGCTCTGTGAATGGCGCTTTGAAGCCAAGCCTAATGATGGAAAACACGGACCAGATTCGGTCTGGTAGCGTTGGCTGAGGCATCGTATTGGGACTCTGCTGGGCAGTGCCTTGGTCAAAAGAGAACAGGTACGAAAGACGGGGCGTGGTGAAGGAGGGACTACATCAGACGCCACATCTAACTTGAGGCTTTTGAAGAGCCTCCGGTCCTTCTCATCGGCGCCTTTCGTCTGGGATGGTCTCACAACGATACATGTTCATAAGAATTGAGAGGGCATCCGGGGGCGTAGAAGATGGGCGGCTAATCCAGCTATTCATATCTTAGCGCGGATAGTCAGCACGGGGTATCCACACAACGGGGGCCATCTCTCCGCATTCCAGAGTTCTCTCCTAATCTCGGATCACATCAGCTTCATCTTGCAATGTGGAGACTCGTGCACCGACGTCATCGAGGTTGAGTCCGCGCTTACCCTTTACGGCTAGTGAGCATTGCACGCAGAGTCACGTGGATCTCGTTTCAAAACAGAGCACCATGTACGCCGGTCCAATAGAGCGCTTACTAACAGGAGCGCTGGTCCAATATCGACCGCAGCAACCGAGGACCCTCTGTTACTCCACATTCACGTTCCAGGCAGCTCGCTCACGCGGTGTGCCCAGTGACCGTCGATAGAATAGAATTGATTGCGAGCAGAGAGCACCTTCCCGCAGCAAACAACACATCACGTCTCTGGCAGCATATTGGCGTGGCGACACGAACTCAGCCGGTTTCATGTGCCCTCGACGATCTATAGCTGTCTTGAGCTGCGACGCTTTATTGGATGTGCTCGCCCTTTCTGGTGTGGAGCTGAGCCCTAGCAGGAAGGAGCCACGCCCGCTAAGCCTCACATGGCCACGAGAATCGAGCAGGCTACGTAAATGCAGAGGCGCGCGATGCACAAAGCGCCAGCGCGCATGAACTCAGGGCCTCTTCCTCCCTCTGCTTCTGTCTGCACTCGCACGCATTCAAAGTCTTCGACGTTTCTCCAAGTTCTGCGACTGCACACGATAATACATTCGTTTCCATCCAAAGTATCAAATCAGCACCATGTTCGCCCGACCTTTCGCTTGCGCCTTCCTTTTGCTTGCTGGTGTGACTGCACAGGACACTGCGCCAGTCTCGGTGACCAGCGGGGAGGTGACCAGCGAGGAGGGCTTCATGACCATTCAGACTATCCTGCCGAGCAGCGTCGCAACTGAGGGTGAGTCTACTTCGGCGTGCCTGGAGGTCTGCGTCGTTGAGCCTTGTACCCAATGTGCGCATTCGCGCCAGGCAGCTTCGATATCCTTTCTAACAAGGAATAGGCCCGTTGACCAACCCACTGCGCACCACGGAATCGATTCCTCAACTCACTTTCTGTGATGGCGTCTACACAAACACTCCTTGCGCATCGGCGACTGGACAGATGTCGATCCCACAGGGGGAGACACCTGAGCCTTCCTCCGCAAGCGCCAGCTCAACCAGTGTTATTTCTGTATCCGAGGGCTCGTCTTCTGCATCCCAAGGTTCCATTCGAAGCTCCTCTGGAAGCATAACCCGACCTGCCGCGACAAGTTCTGCATCTGGCTCCGTGCCCGAGTCGTCGACCACATCAACACCCGGCGCTGCTCCTTCGACGTTCAAGCGCGACGGAACTTTTGTATGGGTGGTAGCACTCTCAGGTCTTTCTGCCACACTGGGATTCGCCTGGACCCTGCTTTAATCGCTCTTTCACTGTCGTCGGCATCGTTCAAAGGCGTTGGATAACCGGTGTGGAAATTGATCATCTATAGGACATAAGACAAAATTGATAGTCGCATAATGTATATACACGAACAAAAACAAGATATCATGAACATGTACAAAGGCAATTTCCCGCGTGCCCCACGCCTCCATTTATTCCCCGGTAGCCTAACGACCCTACCCCAGCCTTGCATGTGCGACAGCCTGGGGCCCCTTTGATGGCTTTCCTGTTTGCGATTGTGCTGGCCTAGTTAAATTATTATCGTGGCATTTTGCCGGATGCATCAGTCTAGCAGAGCTTGTATCCAATCTTGAGGCCCAGGATGCTGCCCAGTTCAGCGCCACCGCCTGGAACGTCTAGGCTTGCGAATTGACATGCGCCGCGGCAAGGCCGAGCACTGCAGCTAGAGTCGCGTACTCGCGTAGCATGTACGGTCGTTTCCGACGGATACGCCGGGTCTTCAGTGTCCTATACACCAGCGCCGGCGCGCTTCACAGTCGCTCTTTCCTGCGACCGCATTCACAGCCATGGCCTCCTCAAACAATGACATACCAACACCAGTCCCGTTCCCTCGCCCCGATGCCACGCAGACCACGCCGCCGTCAACGAGCGCCACTCCGACAACACCCGTCGCAAAGCGGTCGCGCACGTCTACCAATGCGTCTACCAATTCAGTCACCAGTCGTATCCGTACCGCGAGTATAAAGGCTATGGAAGCTGCGCCACCGCCTGGCATGTGGGCAGCTACAGGCTCTGTGACCGCGAAAGCGCCTACGCTGGCAGAGATCAGGGGCGGTCACTTCGACGAGTCGGGCTGGAAGGAGGAGCCGCAGCGGATGAAGGCGGAACGAAGAGGAAGCAAGAACGAGATCAATGCGCGGTCTCTGCAAAGAACGGGCAGCAATCTGCAGGACCTCGTCGAGCATGGAAGCGAAGATCGACCGCCGGTGAACACTACGCAGACAAGTCCGTCTGATAAGCTCAAGTCGCAAGGCGCGCAGCAGTCTGTTGAGCCGTTCCCTACGTTGACGGAGGAAGATATGAATGCACATCTTCCGCAAGAGCAGGCTCCTCCCTACGACATATCACAAGCACCAAGCTACGAGGACGCTGCGAAGGAAGACTTGAAGGATGGGTCGAAGATCAGAGGAAAGGGCAAGTCGAGTAGTGACAAATCTAAAGAAGAGCCGCAGCATGTATGTTTGTTTCGAAACTCCTCTACTACAAATCTGACCATGCGACAGTACGCCAACGGCTATGTACCTCCACCAAAGCTACCATGGACAACCTCGACCGTCATCGGGCTGAAAGCCTTCTGGAAGTGGTTTCTCACAATTCCGGGCTTTCTCATCACACTGTACGGTTTGAACGTGGTGGCCTGGGGCGGCATGCTCTTCCTTCTCCTCTGCAACGCTGCACCCGCCATGTGCACCCCAACGTGCGACGACATCCAGTCTCCGCGACGAATATGGGTCGAGATCGACTCGCAAATCCTCAACGCACTTTTCTGCGTCACCGGCTTTGGGCTTGCGCCATGGAGGTTTCGCGACTTATTTTGGCTGGGATACTGGCGTCTCGGTGGCGCGACGCGCAAACAGATCGGCATGAGGAGGCTCGCAGGCATACATCGTGGATGGTTCCGCTTGCCTGGCTCGCAGGAGCTGCCGGAAGATGCGGACGCCTCGACTGTGAACCCGGATGATCCCGCTGTGCCGATACCCGTCTCGAAAATCCCCGATCCCCCGCCCACGGGTATGCGCGCGCCGCCTACCAAGGGCTGGAAGATGGACTTCGTGGTGTGGATGAACGTGTGGAACACTTTCTTCCAGGTCGTGCTGTGCTTTTACATGTATAACTACAACAGGTACGATCGCCCGTCATGGGCAACGGGCCTCTTCGTCGCGCTGGGCTGTGTTGTCGCAGGTGTAGGAGGCATCATGATGCACATCGAAGGCAAAGCTGTGAAGAAGGTCGAAGGCGTACCCATGCCTGAAGGTGGATACCAAGGTGTACCGGGAGATGCGGAAGCTCAGCCTCTCCAGACTGGCAGGTAGCGCCTTTTTCGCTGCAGTCATGATGATTTGTGCCTAGCCTCATGCTAGCAGCCAGCCTCTGTGGCAACTTTGATTGGCCCGGGAAGTTTCTTCCATGGCCTTGGTATGGTTCGCCTTTGTGCGAACGACGCCACCTCGAAGTTCTACACGTCTTGTTTGCTTCAGTATTCAGATACCCACATGCATATACCCGCGTTCTTTCTTACATCATTGTTCCAACAATGTCGCCTCGCTTTGACTCAGTGCTGGGATGCTTGTGAAAGGCTCGTGATGTATGGTTCGCTAGGCCTGCGCATCTGTAAGCGTGCAGGTCCTCGCCTACAATGGGCATGGGACTTCGGCACCCGGCAGGGAACCCACTTCAGCCAAGGCCCTCCGCTCAACCCAATTTGGTGCAAACAGTGCTCACAAGATCTCGTACACGACCTGATGACGTATCCGGGGGAGTGGCTATCCGCCGAAGCTGCGAGATGACTGCCTCGAGGTGGTTAATAAGGCGGCGAGTCCGCCTTGCCTTCTTTCGCCGACGATACCCTTCCGCTATATAATAATAGCCTTTCCATCCTAGATAATTCTTGTACACCTAATACTACATCGTGGAAGACTTGCATAAGAGATGGCAGCAGCAGAATACTACATGGGCACTGCGGCCGCGCAGCAGGTGCAAGGCCACAACAGACCGCACCCATATGAGCTACCAGGACAGCAACAGTTATACTCGCAGCCTCCAAACCAGCTCCAGCCTTACAACGACAAACCACCAACCTATTCGCCATATCCCAGCCAACATCCTCCTCAGCAACAGCAACAACCACCACAGATCTACCAGCCTCAACAATACCAACAACCACCACCCCAAGGCTATCCTCATCCCCAGCAGCCCTACCCACCGCCACCAGCATCATACTCGCCACGCCCTTCCACGCCGCAAATGAGACCACAGGGCTATCCTCAGCAGCAAACCGGCTACCTCGGCGTCCCCCTCCAGCCTTACCGCAGCCACTCCCAACCCGCCGCCCCCGCGTCCACTTCGCAGACCAAGACTCGCCCTCCAGCGACTCAGGCCGCTCCTACGCCTCAGACGACTCCTCCCCGCGCCGCCGCCACAAGCGACGGCATCACCACCACCACCGCTCGCATTCACACGCCGACCGCGACCGTCGAGACAGCTACGACGACTACTCCGACGACGAGCGCCTCCGCGCCGCGCATGCTAAGTCGCACAAGAGCCGCGACACTTTTCTGGGCGCAGGGGCGGGCGGGGTCATCGGCGACGCGATTTTCCCCGGTTTGGGGACCGTAGGGGGTTATTGCTCGGGGGTACGGGGAGGAAACATGCGAGTAAGAAAGATCGGAGTAAGGAGCGGAGTAGGAGTAGGAGTCATAGTGATGTTGGGGAGAGGGGAGGTATGAAGATGAGAGGGAGAGGGAGAGGTATGCGGTGGGGAGTGGGAGGAGGAGGGGAGAGGAGGCATAGGCGGAGGCATCATAGACATCATGGGGATAGAGAGGAGGGGTATGATGCGGAGGAGGAGAGACATCATGGGCGGAGGCACGGGGGAGTGGGTGGGATGAGGGAGTGCGACGTATAAGAAGGGGTTGGCTGTTCGGTAGGTTGAGGGAGGGAGAGTGAGCGAGACAGACAGCGATGGAGGGTGTAATGAGTAATGACAGTACGAATAGATGGCCCAGCGTGTATGTACCGAGTTAACATCATCAATCAAGTGCTTGAAACCTCACCCTCCTTTTTGAATGTCCTCGCGTACATGCCATTTCTTTTCTTCAGCCTTCTGTCCACGTCGCGCGTGGTGGCCCTATGTTCACAATTGCCCGGCAAACAAGAATCTATAAGTGAGATAGGGCGCTGTTGCATGCGGTCTGGCGGCATCTAAGCCTGTGCATCGGGCTTTCGCCCGCGCAGGCTGTACGGTGCAAGATGGGGCTGTGATAGACATCAACGTAGGGTGATCAGGCTCTCGAGATAGGCGGATGATATTGTGCTATACAAAAGTTCCGACCACCTCCCGCGGTACTGGGCATTAATTCCCTACATTTTCAGCCAGCCTGTGTACTATAGGAGGCTAGTTATTGGTCTCATTACTTTAGTGAGCTAATTTTAACAGCTTGGTGCCCTATTTTAACGTCTACCAGGCCCAAAAATATAGATTCAACAGATTCTAGCCTATAGTCAGCCTTCTATAGTACATAGGTTGGCTGAAAATATAGGAAAATGAATGCCTAGTACCGCGGAAGGTGGCTCGGAACTTTTCTATAGCACCGATATGTGGAGGGCGATGCGTGTGTGGATGGGAATGTGAACGATGCGTGTGTGCATAATAATGCGGGAGACGCAGATTGATAGAAGTGGGATGCTGTGACACGACCGGAGCTCTGCAAGATGATGAGTATGCATTCTGTATAGTATGAGGTATGGTGCTAGGTGGGCATGCTCCGCTAGGCTAAGTACATGCCAAGCCTACGCTCCTGCCACAGATGCCTAAAGTTGGGATTACAGAGTTAGTGTCATGTTGGCATTTTAGGGAAGTGGGTATGTAGGCGTTCTAGCCCGCTACTAATACCTGAAGATTTCAGACTTAGAGGCGTAAGGCCTAACGTGTCAGACAATCGCCCAGCCTGAACATCCACTTTGTACCCCGAGATTAGGTATTGTGGGCAGTAGCGCCTATAGAAGATGAAGTGATTTGGTAAGAGATTACTTCATCGCCCGTATAGATTAGCTGGTAGGAAGATATGTGTTTCAGATCACTTAGCTAGTGGAAGGGTCGTTCCACGGCTGAACACAGATTCTCCACGAACGTCCACGGGTTGCCTGTCGGCACGTGATAGAAGTGCCGAAAGCGAACACGTTGTGCGCAGCTTGCAAGTCAGCTTCTACACCGACTTACTTGGAGTGCCCGCGCATAACGCTCACTGCGCCTCGTCTGCCTTCTTTACGCCCCAAAAGATGGTGACTTCGGGGTCTATTTCGAGTGTAAGGCGTGCAATTACAGAGGGTGTTCTATTCGTTCGCTAAATCGTACGTGCATACAAGCAGTTTGTCGTATGACGTTCCTGACGATTTCCGCCAATTACCATACAATAGCGCTCTTTTTCATTGACTATTCAGCTGTAATAATCCGTGCACTACTCGGTCACGTTACTGAGCAGCCAATCAGAGGACTAGTTCGAGCTCGACGGGCGTCTTCTGATTGCCCAGGCGCAGTTCTCAACACGTGACTGAAAAGCATTAGGCCGCCCTGAGGTATGGCCGAATAGTCAATGGAACGCGGTCCTACGGTGAGAAAAGGTGTAACGACTCTGCTGTGGGCATTTGCCTTATTCCCTGAGGCGATAGAACTTCAGTTTTTATATGCTCTAATGAGAGCTCTTCAGACTTATCGTCTTCACCTCTTTCGACTCGAATCGCTCATTCCATAATTCTATTGTCGTACTATATTGCATAAGTTAGTAAAACTTTCCACGGATTCATCAAGCAGCCTATCTCAGCCACCGGGCTGTTCGCTCGTCCGGTTGCACTGGACCCATCCTCGAGCAGCAGTACCTAGATATGGCGCGACTAATCTCGGATACTTGGTTCGCTGAAACATTTTTTCTGTTATCTTCATGGGCAATTTTCGTCACAACTGTGGTCTTACTACAGCATTACGACCAAAAACCCGTATTCTCATGGTACAGCCTGGGACTGAATCCAATTATTTCGACACTTTCCACAGCCTCAAAATCGTCTCTTCTGTTCGCCATCTCCTCGTGCATCGGGCAGTGGACGTACATATTATTCTCACATGGTTCGGGGCCCATTGTTCACTTCGAGACGCACGACAGTGCCAGCCGAGGTCCTTGGGGCAGTATCGTACTGCTCTGGCGCTACCGGCAACGCTTGTACAGGTATGACCGTCGGTGGTGAAAATCGTTAGCATGCTGATGCTTGGATCAGGTCACCTCCTGCCCTAGGCGCTGCGTTGATCATTTTATCGCTTTTTGTAGACCCTTTCTTCCAGCAGATTATCGCTCTGGGTGAGCGACAAATAACGATGACCGGGAACGAAGTTTCAATTCCACGAGCGATTCGATATTCTAAAGGCCTGGGTGTGATTAGATTTGGTAGTGAGTAATTCGCGCATAACAGTCCTACAACAGCAAAAGCTGACACGCTTTCAGGAATTATAGACCCAAGAGAAGTACTTACTGATTACTCTATGCAAGCGGCAATTCGATCGGGCCTGGCAACTACAAATGAAACAGCTTTGGTAGGCGCGCGCTGTCCTTCAACAACTTGCTTATGGGAAAAATATACGACGCTAGCGGTATGCAGCGAATGCCTCGATATCACGAAGACTCTTGTCAAAGAGACAGTAAATTATGAGAGGCATACTCCTCAAGTCCTACAGTTAGTGGGTAACGACGGAGCTCTGGAGTTGCACTCAGGTCCTGTGGACTTTTATTATCTACCTAACGGTCTCTACATGGAACGCGAGCAGAAATTCAATTACCAGCTTGAAACGATCATCTCGAGCACATACAATGCATCGGATACCGTTAGCTTTCGGGACGAGTCGAAACTGTTATGGTCTGTCGCTACCATCAGATACCACAATGATACGGAGCCACGTTTCACTGCTTCGGAATGCGGCTTATCACTGTGCATGAGAGAGATAACTTCAAAATCAGTGGGTGGCGTTCTGGAAGAGCACTCTTCCGAGATCAACGCCTCCATAATACAGAGCTCGAACCTACCTCCAGCCGGATTCGAGAGTGGTGGGTTTAAGGACCCAGAAGCCGGTCATTTTGTGACAACAACGGGTTTCCCTAGACAGGGTAAGCTAATGCTCGATTGAAGTACTTGCTCCAACGATCGCTAACTGTACTACGTACCTCAGACCTCATATTCGAGGGGAACTTTAGTATGCCGCAAACGTCGATTAACAGCATCGGAAGAGAACTGCATTCACTGTTCTTTGAGGATGTAACTACACAGGAGTATGTCAATGTGGAAACCCACAATAATGGTACATTCCGTGGAGGTATCCCTCGCAGAGTGCCGACCGGGTACTACATCTCGATCGGGGATGGAGACGGTGCGAAATACAGACCTTCTCCAATGCAAGTACTCAACCCGGTTTCTGATCTCGTAACATTATTCGACAACGTGGCCGAAAGTATCACCATAAACCTCCGGCAGAATGACGAAACCGGTACCGTTGTGAACGGAACCAGTACTGTCGTTGTGTACAATATCCGATGGATATACATCATTCTACCGGCTGTATCTACTCTTGGCGGCACAGTCTTCTTGCTGCTATCTGTGTGGCATACACGTCGACTCGGCGCGCCGTTGTGGAAATCTAGCGCAGTGGCTATCCTGAAGTGCGGCGCAAGTCTGGAGGGCTTCGCCGAAGGCCAACACCGTGTCAGCGAGATAGATGCCCTGGCAAAAACCACCCCCTTTCAACTCGGCGGGACTACCTGTAAGTAGTTGCCGTATACCAATTTCTTCATCAACTGAATTTTTAGGCAAACCGCCAATGTCACCCTCGATGTTCGATCAACACACTAGCTATACACGAGAATCGTCGGCAAAGAGTTCTGGAGTGGGTGGATACCTTTCCGAGGCTAGGACGGATGAGGCATTTTTATTTGACGACACAGCGAGGCGGGATCAAGATAGATGAGTTGCTTTCGAACGTCGAGTATCCTACTTCCCAGAATCTACTTTACAGCCTTTCTTGCATTATCGTGCCATCTGCTCCGGTCCTCGTCCAATTGGGCGTCTGCATCAAAACAAAGAAAGTACAATAATCAAGTTCGCGTCGAGTGTACAGTAGGTAGGTAGGTAGGCAATAGATTTACGTCCAACTATGAGAATAGTTCCAGAAGCCTCCCATGGGGCAAAAGGAGGCGCCGAGGACCTCTGGTGAGGGCGTGTTTTGCGTAAGCTACTGCCAACCTAATGGGCAGCCCGTCTAGGCGTCCGTCCTTGAAAAGAAACTCGCAGAGTGTACAGTAGCAGTAGGTGAAAGGAGTGCTTTACTGCTTCTTGCTGATTTTCGCTCGAACTTCGGAAATTCGCTTTCCGAGCCAGGACCCTTCTTTCCACGATTTGTTATCTGCAAAGACAGTCAGCACTCTTTCAGTGCACTCGGGAATCTAGTACACGTACACTTCGTACTGATACCTTCCAGACTCTCTCCGCTTGTTTCATACACGAAAAGCAGAGACAAAATCCACAACACGACGTTCAAACCCCTACCGAAACAACGTGATTAGCACATGCGCAACGCGCAACACAATACGCTAGAGATCTTACCCGAATGCCATCCAGAAACCTCCTGTGTTTGCTGCTCTTGTCAAACCCTGTGGGATGCAAAAGCTGAGTATAGAGGCTAGGAAAAAATTGGTGAAGACCTTGTGGAAGATATCAGCTGTGGATTATGGAGATGAAAGAGATTTGGGTCATACTGCTAGACTCATTCCGAGCTCGCGCACCATCAATGGAAAGACTTCTGAGGAGATGACGAATGCTGCGGGGCCTTCGCCAATAGAAAAGAACTGTGTGAGGCATTAGCACGTTCTTCGGTATTGGGATTCAAGGAACATAGATCGGAGATGGCACTGGTCTAAGCTTATAACACCTGTGGACGAGTCCGCGAATGCTGGCCTAGGAAAAAGTGATGTTGATCGAGACAGGGCAACTTACGAATGTGAAGATAATTGTGAAAGCATAGAACAAATCTCGCCCCGCTTCTGGATCTCTGCCTCGAAGGAGGAGGCCCCCGCCACCTAGTAATAGACTGACCGCCATGAGAGGGAAAGTAACTTTTAGCAAAGCACGGCGACCTGCCCCGTCGATAAAGAAGAGCGGGATAAGCGTAGAGCTGACGGGAGGATTAGTCGCAAAGTCGCAGACAAACATGGTGCTGTACGTACAAGCAATTGACAATTCCAAAGTAGATGGAGAATTGCAGAGACCGTTCCGTATCTACAGACGATAGTTTGGGTAGGTTGGGTAAGTTGGCGTTCTCTGCCATTGCATTTGCAAACATTATGTTAGACATGAATGCAAGGATATTGATCTGCAAAGAATTAGTGGGCTAAAAAGACAGATCGATGGAGGTATAGTACACCGCATGCTTGCTGCGCTGCCATGACGAATTGACTGGCTCGTAAGGCACTATTACATATTGTCAAAGCAACTCACGAAGTGTTTCCACTACACGTTTCTTTCCGTATAGTGTTCCTTATGATGCACTCACCGCCGTATATGTTTGACTCGCCAGAGAAGTTTGATTCTTGTGGACAGACTTATATCTTTGAGCTTCACCGGGACGTAAACGCCACTGTGAGCACTCTCTCTACTTAGCGTAGTAGCTTCGAAGCTTTCCGTACGTTGTACCTCTTCAGTGGGAAAACTCCTTGGAGAATCGTCGCGCCTTGGCTGTAAAGTCGATCCGGAAGATGTGATTTGCGCATCAATAGCCCCGTCGCCCTGGGATTGTATGAATGAGCGTCGAGCTATGCCCTGCCGACCTTCAAGCGCTGAAGCACTAACACTTTGTAGCTCAGTACTTAGTTCGGTCTCACTTGTACTTCTTGTGTCGTTGGGATTATGATTCCTCTTTAGGTCCTCCAGGTATCTACTTTCTTCGGCTTCCAGCCGACGAAAGATCATGTACAACTCGCCGCAGGCAATCACAGGGCTTGGCAGCTGGTGCAATGTGATGAGCGCGGTAAGTGCCTCCTTATACCTGTTCTTCTTCAAAAGCCATCTTGGAGATTCTGCAGGTCTGTGAGTCAGTAAAAGGGGATCCTGTGCAGAGCGCCTAATGGACTCACCAACGCAAAACATTATCAGAGTCAAAAACAACAAAGCAGGTACACCAGAGATGCTGATCATGATTTTCCAGTTCGGCTTGCCCTGAGTGTAGCAGTATATGATATAATTTACAACACTTCCTGTTAGTATTCCGAAAGTATCGAAGAGCTGCCAGCACATAGACATTCGACCTGTTTGCCTCGTCAGTCTACGGTATTCGTTATCCTCTCATGGAGGCAAACTTGCCTCGAATAGCTTCTGGAGCTATCTCTGAGATGTAAATAGGAACCTAGAAGAGGCCGATCATTAGTGTCTCGAACAAGAGGACAGACAGGCACTCTTCTTACAACTGATGCCTTGGCACCCATTCTGCATCAGGTGTCAGTGTCAGGAACATCTCTGAAGCATCAATCACGATGAACCCACCCGACTCCCAGAGCTATTCGGCAACACATAAATCCAACCCTATATCATTAGTGACTGCACGATTGAGAACTATTTACTACGCACCAGTTCGTTACAAACAACGTGCCTACAATTGATTTAATTAACACATGAAAATCCCATCTCGTCATGTTACTGCGGGAGTGACTTACAGATGACTGGGATTAGGCTGAACCACCCCCCAAGGGCGATGGCCCAACGTCTCCCAAGGCCTGCATTAATCAAGGGATCTGTCAGTAGGCATCCCACGATAGCACCGATCAAGAATGGCGCTGCGTTCAGCCAGCCGAATATATTGATACCGAAATTGGTTTCAATCTTGACGTTAAGCTGGGTAGGCCAGGCGATGTTCGCACCTGTCATTGTATAAGTCGACCCCAGTACATGAGGAGCTCCTCCTACCGTTCATTGCTGATTGGTCCCAACCCCTGCACGTTTCAGTATAACAATATTCTCGCATAGTCGTCAGACATGAACACGTACTGTGTCATAGCTGCCAGACAGCAGGTGCAGAAAATCTGCCACTGCGCTCTGCTGAAGGTCTTTACATGGTCCCAAAGTAATTTATCCTCGGGACCATTGGGCTTCCCAACAAGCACACCCACCACAGCATCGCCAACGGCGAAGATCATCTGCTTCACAACGGCATCTGCATGATGTTCAACCGTGTACTCTGTTCTACACGCATACCATCGAAGGGACCTCTTTTGTCTAGAGGATAGTCCAGAGAGACGCTCTTGATGTTCATCGTAGCGCCGCTTCTCTTCTTCTGTGTGCTTCGAAGATTTATATTCGAATTCTCGAGCACCTTCCAGGTCATGGAATATAAGGGCACCTTTGACGAAATCGTCTTCGTCCACGATGTTGCCCAAACTATGACGCCGCCAGAACTCTTCGGCCTTCAACATCGCCACATCGAAGTCTTCTTGCGCTAGAGGATTATCGGTTCTGTTCAAATACAAGTAAGCTCAGTTGTATCAATCAGCGAGTTTCCCACGTACGGTACATCCAAATGCTCGTCTGAGCCTTCCATCGCTATATAGAGCTCGCACGAGCAGGATTGTTGTGCTTCAACTTCCTTCGTTAGGTTTTGGGGCAACGTCGGATGCTTTCGATTAGAACTGAACAAAGGCTGCGTGTGTGTGAGATCAGGAAATTGTCTAGGAGGCTGAGTGCATTCCCAGCAAAGCGGCAAAAATCGGAGGTAAGCTTCCGCCCCAAACATGAACTCATGGTTGCGGCCGCCATTTGCCAAGAAACCAATAGTGCGCAAGCCCGCTGAAGGACCAGCAAAGCGGCGAAGCGCGGCTCGTATGAGTTATTAGCCGATAAGATACGGCCAAATGCACCTATCACATGGCATCACAACTCCTATGATGACGAGGCACGGCTTTTCGTGTAACCACACCGCGTATAGTGGCTTAGGGGCCATCGATGTTGCTGACTGAGGCCTTAGACCATGCCGCAGAGCCTCAAAAGCAAATATCGACACAGGCAATAGGCACATTGTGATTGGATAAAATCGAGCAAAAGCTCGTTCGTTATAGCTGCAAGAAAAAGACAAATCCCAATCTATGAGCGACCATAGAGATGCGAACCTACACCTTATCTTCTGGAGACTTGTAGACTGTGGTATGGGAACTCCTGCCACGCAAAGGAAACTTTCGCAGCATGGTCCACCTCCAAACGACGACTGTGATCGTTGCCAGCGGCAAAGATACGCAGAAGAATATCCATATCTGAGGCGATACAAGAATCTTGTTAGTTGAAACGTCCATTTCGAAGAAACACATGCTCATGATTGTCTAGAACAAAAGGACATGTTAGTCGTGGTTTCATTGTATTGACTTCTGTAGGATACTCACTGCAACGAACGAAAACGGCAAATACACAAGTGTGAGAATCGTGATAACTCGTATACTAAGTGAATCACTCGCGCTAGCTTCGGCCAATCTGAAGAGCTGTCCATTTTGCTGTGCCGAGATGTCTTGGTTTTTGAGGTTGAGCGCATCTGACGTCTGTATTCGGATTCTGTCAGAGAATTGTAGGAGGTACTTGCAATTTTCAACATATGACAAAGATTCGTTGCGGAGATTGCATGTTGTTCTGGTAAGCTCTCCTTCGTCATCACTAGAACCCAAAGCCCCGACGGACTCTAGTGTATCAAGCACCAGGCCTAGGGCAGTAAAAGTCGAGCCAAGTGGTAACAGCTTCTGCTTCAAGCTGTTCGTTTGTCGTAGAGTCTCATGGCTGATGTCAAATTCTGAATCGAGATTGATTGTCATCACACGTCCTGACTAGATTTACCAACAATTAGTAGTTTCAACGATGGACACGGTTGTACATACCAATTCCCCCAAAGCCATCTCCATGTAGGTACAATATTGGCGCCAGTTTGCTAGATAGCAGGAGATGAGCACGGTATGCAAGTAGAGTGGGTTTACGGAGATCATTTTCCGCCCAGTGTCGCTCTGCAAGCATTCTGTGACTCTCAATTCACCTAAAGATGCAGGCATCGGGCTTAAAATGATCCAGATTGATTGTTTCGTTCTCAGATCCAATCGATGATATACACCTGTTTTTCGTATCTCCCACGGGTCACGCCCATCTGTCGTGCGAGCAAGAGGCCTTAACTCGGCGTATTTGTATACATAGCAGAGTTCTCCAGATTATCGTCAGGGATGTTGAATCGGACAAGACAAGTTTTACTGACCTAACAAGTCCTCTCCTTTGACTGTACGTACTGGCGAGCAGTATCCATCTTCGGTCCTCGTTACGCGTTTTGTGAAAGAGCTAACCAGATCTAGGAAAAAAGGTGTGGTGTGATAACGATCAATGATCGGCTGCAACAAGTCGATAGTCGTATCTAAAGCTGATCGTGGATTTTTCTGAGAGATGAAGCTTGAGTCCAGTGTATTAGCGATGAAATCCATGCATACTTTGATGGCGGCTTACAAGATGCGCTGGGTCAAAGTTGGCGCCTCAAGGCTGAGATGGCGGGTGAGTACTTCGGAGTCAGAGATGATAAGCTGTTCCGTCTCCGCATTGCCCCCTGCCTATGTCAGTGATCGTAATTCATATGAGTGGGTACTACCCACGAGAGCTAGACTTGTTAAGATCAACTACGTGGACATGACCGCCAGGTGGGACTACGGTACAGCCCTCTGGGATCTGATAAAGAGAAGCAGGTGAACAATCACCATGGAGTGGGTCTGTAAATTTCGCAAATGGTCCCATTCTCAGATAAATTGCCAACACGATCGCACATTCCGGCTGAAGCAACACAATGGGACATGGTGGTTATATGTTGGTTGAAGGCGGGGTAGGATGCGCCTCGTGGGCTCCTCACCGGCTAGTCTTCCAGGATGCCTTGACGCCCGCGTTCAAACTACTCCATCGCATACCTGTATCATGGTTATCGACCACATATTACCCAAGCCAGCTTCCTGTGACGTACTCGAGCTCATCCTTTATCAATTAGAAAATGTCAGCCTCAAACCTCACTAAGAACGCGGTCACCTACTTCTGTCAACTTCCGAGGAGCGCAATAGCTGTATATTCCAGCCGTATGCTGGTTATTACGTTGGCCTGATTGCTTACCGCCAAATCAGATTCCGAGCGATGCTCACCCTTATTTTGAAGTCTGCAATTCCCGGAAATTTCGTGCGCAATAGCTCCTCAAGCTTATCCTTCACAATGTAGCTTGAGCCCGTTGTAAACCGTTCCATGACCTTACAATGTAGACTTTAGGCTGCAAGATAGTAACGGGTAAGGTGAAGTGATTTTGCGACTACTTTCGTGACGTCGACTTTCAAGGACGCAGAGAGGGTCCTCCTTGATCCGAGTCAGTGCTGTTAAGTGAATGCGTAAGGAAAAGACTCATGACTGATGTGGCTGCTCAGTGCAGCCGGCGGGGCTCATGCAGCTGACCCCGCGGCTTCAGCTCCGCATGAGCCCGTACGGACAGCACAGCCTTGTACACGACGCCCTTGTAACCTTCCGCCGCGCAATAGCCAAGTAGATGCTAATATACGTTTAGTACTAGTACTACTTTGCACATCTTTCTAGAGCATCTACCGCTTGTGATCCGCCTAGAGAGGAAGTAAGCTCGGCCGCGTTGAAAACCGCTCATGTATGTCACGTATGAAAGCGATTCGAACCACCGAATCATAGCAAAGCTTAGTCTTACCTAATCATTCGGGCTGACAGACCCGTCGCTTATCCCAAGCGCGGCGCCCCTTTTGATATGACTCCTACGTCAGCGGTTGCGAGACCATATGGAAACGTAGCCTCAAGCTCCCGGGCCGGGTTAGCAACACCATAATTCCGTGCACTCGATACCATAAACTAGACAATATTCAACGCAAAAAAAGAAACGATACAGAAAGCTTTGTCTTCAAAGCTTGTTCGCTCCCCAGGCTGTATGGCTTTAATCGCCATACACCAGTAATCATTTCCGAATGCTCTGACTAGCTTCGAAGGGCTGTCATAAAACAGCGCGAACGCATCAACCCCTGGCTCATTAGTGCCCCACCAATACCTTGCACGTTGACCCACACCCATGGAACCAGATCTACGGTAGTCATGCTACACGTTGAGCCTACACCGTTTCAAAGAAAACAAAATGAACTGAAAGAACGATTAGATTGGGCAAAGCGAGAGGACTCGGGTCATTTCTACATACCTTTGGGTGAAGTGGAGCGGATCTTGAGTGAAAGCGCTTTGAGGTTGTTGATCCGATACTACGACCCTCAATGTAGTAGAGAAGATCTAAGCAACGCTGTCTGTCTGCTTCTTGAACGCCAACCGCATGACGATCTGGCGGCATACCGTTATCTTCGAGTGTTTGCAACACTGATCCACTGCGGAAACGAGACCTACATCGAGCGAGCGATTCAATATTTTTTGAGCCCCATTCGTGCCGAGCAACCAGAGTCGAAGATATGGAGGCCGCCGGAAGATGTTACTTTGCCAACAAACGACGCCGAAGATATAAAGGCTTTCTACAACAATCTGGGCATAGAGCGGCACGGGTTCTATGATCACTTTTTCGAGCGAAAGAAAAGGTTCTGTGCCTTAGTGCTGAAGGAGGGTGGCAGACATGAAGTCTCTCAGGATGTAATACTGCCGTTCTCGATCAATGACGATGACCTCCTCGGTGAAGGCGGTGCGGGTAAAGTTTTCAAAGTAAAAGTCGGGAAGCGTCATTGGGTGGATAAGTGGCTTTCGAACCCGGAAGACATGCTACTTGCCATCAAAAGGTTCAATCCCCCAACTACCGACAAACTGAAAGATCGATTCGAGAACGAGTTTCCGAATCTGATGAGATTGAAGCACGCTAGCATCAAGAGCGAGAACGTCATGTTGCCCTTAGCGAGTTTGAAACATGGACAGCAGCGTTATTTGATTTACGACCTGGCAGAAAACCATCTTGGAGACTACATGGCGCCCACAAATGCCAAATACGTCTTCACCAAGGAAAGCACAAAGACTGTCCTTAAGAATGCAACAGACCTGGTGGGAGCCCTAAAGTGGATTCACCAATATAAGCCTTATCACTCAGTATGGCATAACGACATCAAACCAGAGAATATCCTCATCCTCCGAGATAGCTCAAGAGAGATATGGAAGCTTGCGGACTTCGACCGGTCTCTTGCAAAAGCAACGCTCTCAGCGTCTGGAACTGAGCTCAGACCGAAAGACGAGCATTCATATCGCTCCCCAGACAGAAAACGTGGCAAACGAGGTGACGTCTGGTCCATGGCTTGCATGATCACACTTGTTTTATCATGGCTCGCCGACGGACCACATGGTATCGGAGAGTTCACTACGTTGAGGAACAATGGCAACCCGGAGGCTCCGGATGTTTTCTACGAATGGAACAACCCTGAGTCACAGAACTTGAACCCAGGGGTACAAAAGTGGCTGGTACTATTGTGTGGAAAAGCCAAGCAGATGGCCGAAAAGCCCCTGGAGAACGGCGAAGCAGACGATTTCAGCTCCAGGTACTCAAAATACGTCGAAAATGTCATTGGTTTTTTGAAAAGGCGGGCGTTTGTTGCGTGGGAAAGCCGTGCACATTCCGACGAGTTCTATACCTTCATGGACAAGGAATATTCTCAAATCCCGAATACAGACTTCATGGAACCCGAAACCGTCAAAGAAAGCGAAGAAATATCGCCGACGCGTATCGAGTCAACGTGGGATGAGTTCCAAACGGCTTCACGAGCCCTATCACCGCAGCCACAGAGAGCTTCACATGATTCTGAATCCCAACGCACGCTTGCTCTCAGAACAAGGAACCTATCGACATTAAGCACTCCAATATCAGCAAAAACAGCAACAACTGATCCTTTAACGGGGATAACTACAAGGGAATGCTCTCCGCTATGTTCCGCAATAGGCAGAAAAGTTCCACCCGACGAAATACCCACGGAGAGTGCCGCGTTGAATGATCCCTGCCCCAAATGTGGCGACATACCCATCCATAAAGCGATCAGAAAAGATTCGGAGGCATGGGTTCGCAAGCTCCTCGCCAATAAGAAAACTAAGCGCGAGCTCAAATGTGACAAAGGAGGAAGCTGTAACCCCCTGACACGCAGCGGCAAGGAAGGCAGACTATGGGCAGCGAAGCTTCTTATCGACGAAGGTTGCCGAGATATCGATTACAATGCCATAAAGAGTCATACTCTGAAAGACAAGATCAAGAAGTACATTAAGGACGTAGAGAAAGGCAGGAGGTAAGATCTTGACGATTAGGTAACTATACAGTTCTTCTTTTGACATGCCTCTGCTATTGAGGCTAATTATTACTTTCCCAAAGGTTCATCACCTCGTAAGACTGGTAGTCTTACTTTCTCTTTCGGTACTATACCCGTCCACCTGCATCAATGAGATCACGTGAATGCAAATCGTATCACACATCTGAACAACATTCAGCCGTGCTAGCCTCACCACATTGCCTTCTCCGCCTTTCAGCTTCCGTCTGTTTGAAATACAACTTTGACAACTTTTTGGAATCCTTATACAAGGGCAGTCAGCTACTAGGTCAGGTACCCATGCTTCCCGGATAAAATTGTATTCTAAGTGCTCTTCCTACATTAGAATCAGCAAGTCAGGGGCATTCTTCATTTTTCCTCGTTGGAGACCTTCCCGGCCTGTGTCGAACCTATTCAGCACCAAGTACAACACTCGGGTTATCGTAGACGCTGACCAACTGGAGTTAATACAGTAGAATCGTGCCGAGAACGACGTGTGTGAAACCACAGCAACCTGCCGCCACATCGAGCAGCACCGATCACTGGATTCTGGCTGTCCGTATCATATTCCTTTATACTATTTTTTGGCTTGGCGCATACTGTTATTTCTTTGCGAACCCATTGCGAATCCAAGAAAAGCGAGATCCTCTTTGGTTTTTGTACTCAGGGTGTCCACGTTCACTATCCTCCAGCAATCTCTCAACCGTCCGAGTCCTCAGCTTTGCCATCTCCTTTCAAAACCTATAAATCTTTCCGCAGCAATAATATGCACATTCGATGCTAGAGACGTCATCAGTATCGGTGACTAATTCCTCGACGTGATGAAGACAATCCCGCCAGCTGCCAACGCTATGAAATACCAAGTTAAGCTCACAAGTGCCGTGATCGGCTGGCTTTCTCATTCAAAGGTCAGTCTACGGATGATGCCCATACTGTCTAAACTCGCCAAAATACGTCCAGGGTCATGATATCCAAGATTTCAAGTACATCTAATCGCTAGCACCCCTGTACTGATGAGGAAGGCGAGGTAAGGCCGTTGCAACACTAGGTCCAATAGTAGAGAGGCGCGTCGGCGCAAGACCTAGCACGGCACCTCAACTTCAGCCCCTAGCTCAGGAAGAAAGCAAGGCTCATAAAGAAAGCAAGGCTCATAGAGAAAGCAAAGCTCATAGAGAAAGCAAGGCTCATCAAGAAAGCAAGGCTCATCAAGAAAGCAAGGCTCATAGAGAAAGCAAGGCTCATAGAGAAAGCAAGGCTCATCAAGAAAGCAAGGCTCGTATTAACAGCAGACCAAGCGCAACTAGGTAGCTTCGAGCAAGTCTCAAAGTGCAGATTACGTATTTGTATTCACGTTGGATGATGTTGTAGCTACCAGCCACAATATTATGTACATCTTATTAGTTTTACAAAAGCCAGGATTAGTAATTCTCTTCGTAGGGTCCTAAAAGTTCATAGGACTGGTATTAGATGCTCTCCTCACCCGAATAGTAAGAAAAGGGACCATTGAAAGTAGCATGGGTACAAAGCGCTTCTTGTGCCCGTGAGTGCAGGCTTCTCAACGTAGCTAGTAGTGAGCGATCTTGAGCAACTAGGCTAAGACAAACTACCTTCTTGTCCAATCTCAATACCGCTGTCTTGAGTTTGGGTGCGTCAAAAGGTAATCAGACATCGTTTTCTATCGTCACAAGCACCAATGAGATACAAATAACGCACTTCCACACGCCTGTCGTCAGTAGCACTTGCTATTCTGCGCGTACGGATTCTGCACGCATGCACATAACCCTAGTAGGAGAAACTGTCGACCGAAAGACATTTCCGCCACGGGCAAGCTCTGACTAACAAGGAGTGCTCAGAAACGACAGGCTACTTCTACGGTATTGTCTTTCATGTCGTAACCAATCCTCTGCGGATCAAATTTTTGAACGCCTTAGTCGTAAGAGCGAGGATAGTGGGAGAACACGGATGAAACGAATCCAACTAGAGGTTGTTACACCCTTTGGAATCGACGGCATAGTAGGCGTGACAAGTCGAGTCGTACTTTCTCTAAGTCTGAACGCGCTGTGAGAATTACGCTTACCAGATTAACATCGATACAGCTGCCATCGGACGATCATCCGGAAATGGGGATGGAGACGTCGAGCAAGACGAGACGGGTCTCTTGAAATTGGTGGGCATCATGAAAGATACAAACGAAGGTTTGGCAGATATAGCGGGCCTGGATATACAGAAAGAGGTCGAGCTCAATGCAAGGGACCAGGGAAGTCAAGCTTAATGAGCTCCCAACAAGAGTAGTTCTTGATTCGTTTGGTCGGACATGCATTGCGACTTTTGCTTCTCCAGTACTTTAGCGTTGGCACCAATTCCTTCAAAGTGAGAAACGTTCATGGGTCTTCCACACTCACGTGATGAGCAATTTCCTGAGGTCTCCCTGAGAATGAACTTCCAGTATGAAACTCATCAATGATTTACTCCTAGATTTGCCGGGATTACACCCTGTTCGAAATTGGGAACCGCATCCGCATGATGCTTCGTTGTAAAATCTGATTAAAAGCACGTGGATGCGGAGAAACCCGGCCATGCTCGACCTGAGTCTGCCGCGCATAGAAGACCACCTTCTTCCAGAATTGTTGGAGAACCCTCGGTGCCACGAGACCGAAGTGCGGGGAAACGTGGGTATATATAACGAAGGGCTCCAACCGTGGTACCGAAATGAGCAGTGAGTTTGAAGAAGCCCTCTCGTGCTACGATGCAATCAACAGGCACACCAGAAATCGGACGCGAACGGAGCGCAACCAAGAACACTTCGAGCGGCTCGAGTTGCATGTGGCAAGTCGTCGCTCCTTCCTGTTACGGCCTCTCAATGAATGTAGAGGCACAGCCAACGAGGCAACGAGGCGGATAGTGCCAGCACATGGCACTCGGAGCCAAAAGACACACCGTTCAGCAGCCTAAGCCGACATGCACCTGATCCGTTCAAGGGCAGCCTACCAAGATCTGCCCCAGCATCGCTGGCCGTTCCCGTGCTGTTCCGCATGGCAGATATTAACTCGGGCCATTATGCAGGCGACGTGCAGGCGCCTTGCAGCTGCGGACGAAGGGGCCAAAGCCTGGCGTACGCGGGCAGAACGTAGAATCGCTTCGATAGACAAGTGGTCAAGAAGCCGGCGGTTGTATGTAATATGCATAGATTTCAGCGCATTTGCACCGCAATCCTACAACAGCACCGACGTGTAAAGTCGTTGCGCAATAGGGCAACTTTCGTTGGACGATTCGCGAGTATTCTGGCTAAACCTGCCAGTCATGTGTGGAGATATTCGATGACCTGCAAAGGAGATGAGAGAGGAAGACCTTCCGACAAGGAAGGTCCATGAAAGGGTAATCTTCGTTCATGTAACCAGCACCAGGACGCACGTGCGGTCATCAAGAACCACATTGAACGTTGTGCGCGCGTTGCGTTCCGCCCGACAGCTGTTCCGTGGAGGCGATCGAATCAAAGAGCCTGTGCCATCCCAATAGAGTGGATAGCTAGCAGGAGACATGGGCATCGTCATCGCGTTCAAGCTGACTTGCGTTCTCGTCATTACTGTTTCCGAGTATCACGAGGGCAAGGAAAACATCAACAAGTCTTGCCAACAGGCGATCGGCATGATAAAGTGTGGCAGAAGCGGTGGGCGTGTTCGTAGGATATTGGTGTTGATGGAGTTCATATGCACGCGAGAGCTACGCGAAGTAGCAAGCAGCGGAGCCCCGCAAAGGAGCCAGTTCCCCGCTGGAGTCGCGAACCAATGCAGGCGCGTGACGTGCAACCTCTTTCCGCCACATATGAACGCATAAGGAAGTCCAGCAGCGTTAGAGCGTTGCGACGACTGTAGTCGCCAGGTCGCGGACTTGTCAAGCGCGTCGTGGCCGACGGCTTGGGTGCTTTGTCCTGTCTTAATAATACAATGCGGTCGCGAATCTGCAGGCATGGGCCATGTGGGGGGGATGCATCGACCATTGTGCGCGCTGTGGTTGGCCTGGGCCGAGGTGCCTGTCAGGCTATCCTCCACCTTTTCGCGGTCGCGAATCCTGCTGTGGCTATTACGAGGCCCTTCTGCAAGCCTTCTGCGGTGCCTTGTTCGTTTTGCGTGACAGTTCCGCGGGAGGTGGCGTCTGATGCTACACCAGTGCTGTCATAGTCATCCGTCTCACTTGCGCCCAGCAGAAGAGCTGACAGCTGTGTCCTTTCTGTGCGTGTCCTTGTGCTCTGAACGATTTTCGTCGCCGCCTGTGGACTAGCTAGACATCGGCCCTTTCAGACGTCGTTGTGGATTTGTGGGGAAGCCTCCGATACTTCTCCGGACGAACCGAGCCGCAACCGCAGTGCACGACCATCACATCCTGTGGGGAGGCTGACAAGAACCCCTTTGAGCCTCCTGAGGCCACACGACCGAGTAATCCTGTTGTATCTGGGTGTCTTCTTTCGATGTGAGGAGCGAAACAGCTCCGCGGCACAGAGACGCAGCGCGCGTCAAGGAAATGGGCGACCCCGGAACGACCGCGACGACGATGACTGCGCCGCAACATTCGCGATTGGCACACGACGACCCGCTGGCACTGCACGAGTACGGCCTTTCCGAGCTCCGAGAGTCGATGGCGTCCTTCTCCGACTATCCCATGGCGTTCGGACAAAACCAAGGCTTCGGCAACGGTTACGATCGATCGCCTACGAACATTCAGACGAGCCTGCCGAACCACCGGGGGAGTATTGTGGACATGGAGGAAGGAAACATGAGCGGGGGCAGCGCCCATCCACACAGGCTCAGCATTGACCTGGGCCGCGAAGGCAATCACACGAGCCCGGAAAGCGCGGCTGGATTGGGGATGCTGCTGGGGGACAACATGGACGACGGATCGCTGGCAATGAAGCTGGAAGACGGCATGCTGAGGGAGGGCGCGGATGGCATGAAAGACAAGGGCGACGGCGACCCTCCGGCGTGGAGCGAGATGAAGACGAAGGCAGGAAAGGAAAGGAAGAGGCTGCCGTTGGCGTGCATTGCGTGTCGGCGGAAGAAGATCCGGTGTTCGGGCGAGAAGCCGGCGTGCAAGCACTGTTTGAGAAGTCGCATCCCGTGTGTTTACAAGGTCACCACGAGAAAGGCGGCACCCAGGACCGACTACATGGCCATGCTCGACAAGCGGCTGCGGCGCATGGAGGATCGCGTCATCAAGCTCATCCCCAAAGAAAGCCTACCTTCGATCGCCGGCGTCGGGCGTTCCGTCGTCAAACCTGCGCTGCCAGGAGCGCCGCCGAAGACACCCACCGCGAACAAGAAACGAGGCGCCGAAGAAGCTTTCGGCAATGATCTGGACGAGTGGGCAAAGTCAAAGTCGGCCAATCCTGACGCCTCAGGCTCAGCCTCAAGGAACAAGGAATCGGACGATACCAGTCTGCTCACCGAGGGCCTTGAGAGTCTGCCACCGAAAGAGATCCAAGAGCATCTGGCCGAGGTCTACTTCGACTATGTCTACGGACAAAGCTACCCACTTCTGCACAAGCCTAGCTTTATGCGGCGACTCGCAAAAGGCGACGTGCCCCCCGTACTCATCTTGGCCATCTGCGCGATATCCGCGCGCTTCTCGACACATCCGCAGCTGCGATCGGAGCCTTGCTTTCTTCGCGGCGACAACTGGGGCGAGAAAGCGCGAGAGATAGCGCTCAAACGCTTCGACGCTCCCAACATCACCATCCTCATCGTCTATCTACTTCTCGGTTTACACGAATTTGGGACATGTCAAGGTGGAAGGAGTTGGATGTTTGGCGGCATGGCTCAGAGGATGGCGTATGCGCTGCAACTGCACAAGGAACTCGAGTACGATCCAAGCGTCACCGAAGCCGAACGCAAGCCCCTCAGTCTTACCGACCGCGAGATTCGACGGCGCACAATGTGGTCTTGTTTCCTTATGGATCGCTTCAACTCCTCCGGCACAGATCGACCGTTGTTCGTGCACGAGCAGTACATCGAGGTCCAGCTGCCTGTTAAAGAGCATTTGTACGTGCATGAGATACAAGCACCGACAGAAAACCTCGACGGCAACGTCCCGAACCCTGTAGCGGAGGACAGCGGACAGCTCTCAGACCCACGCGAGAATATGGGAGTCACCGCTTACACCATCCGGCTCGTGTGTATATGGGGAAAGCTCGTCAAATACATGAACCTGGGCGGAAAAGAACGCGAACCCGAGCCTATGTGGTCCGCCAAGTCCACCTTCCACAACATCAAGAAAGAGGCCAAGGAATTCAAGGAAGCTTTGCCAGAAATGCTGGTTTACAGCCCCGAAAACCTGAAGAGCCATGCAATAGGCCGAACCGCAAACTCTTACCTTTACCTACACATCCTCTACCAACAGATCATACTGTTCCTGCATCGATTCTCACTGCCTTCGCGGGCTGGCAGTCGACCACCGAAGGAGATGCCCCACGATTTCCTTACTGAATCTGCGCGCACCGCATTAGACGCGGCGAATCAGATATCTATTCTCATCAACGAAGCAATGGACCACAACGTGGTTGCGCCGTTCGCTGGCTACTCTGCTTTCTTTTCCTCTACCGTCCATGTCCACGGTGTATTTTCGAAGAATCCGAAGCTCGAAGCGCAATCGAAGAAGTATCTCGCATACAACGTCAAGTACCTAAGCAAGATGAAGAAGTACTGGGGCATGTTCCACTATATCGCGGAGAACCTAAAAGAGCTATACCGCCAACACGCAGATGCGCAGCTCAAAGGCCCAAGTGCTGCGGGCGATAAGAGCAAGGCCGTCATCTTCCAGTACGGTGACTGGTTCGACAGATATCCGCACGGCGTGTCCAAGACAGACTACGAAGACGCTGTCCAACCAAACACCAACGAGCCAGGCACCGATGCAGTACTCGGCCAAAAGAGCGACCTGCAAAGCGTAGAAGAATTCTTCGCCTCCCTATCACCACCAACCCGCGAGACCCAACGCAAGCAAGCCCGCAAAAACAAGTCGAAATCAGTCTCCAAATCTGACGCTCCCAACACGAACCACGCCTCCGCTGCCCAGCAAGCACAACACCGCGGCCACCCATTACACCCGACTCAACTCCACCAACAAATGGGCAATATCAATATCAACCCCCAAGACGCCATCGACGCCTTCGACCCCGCCTACTTCGCACAAGCAAGCGCCCAACAGTACATGCAAGACTACCCGCACGCGCCGCACAACCTCGCCCTGCTCAACACCTCGCCCACAAGCATGATCCACCCCGGCCAGCAAATGGACCTCTCGCCCTTCCCGGAACTCACGCCGCACCCTAGCAACGCCTCCTTCTGGGGGCTCGACCACTCGGGCATGGGCAACGGGTTCTTCGACCCCGGAAACGCCGGCTGGTTTCTGCCGTTCAATGTTGAGCCCCCCGTGCTTGGAGATGACGGCGGGATGTTCAGCGCTGAGGCGTTTAACTTTGGGCTTGGGGTCGGGACGCCCGTGGAGATGGGGATTAATGGAGGGGGACAGAGGCAGAGTGTGGGTCGGGCGCATGGGCCGTCCGGGCTGGACGGGTTGGATGGGTTGGATGGGGCGGGCAATAATATGGGAGGGCGCGGGGTGGTGGCTTTACGATGGCATGATTTGGAGTATATATACTTGAGGGACTTGTGGGTTGGAAGTTTGCTTGAGCGTTTGGTAAGCGGGTGTATGGGTTGGGCTGGGTGTATAGTAGGGTAGTGCGTTTCGGCTGATACCATCACTATTGTTATCTTTGTATATGCAAGACGTTGCTAGAGTTCAACATTTACGATGATCTTAGCGTGTGCGCTGGACTTGCGGTGCGTGAGCCATTTCTTTCCATTGATGTGCTACATGTGAGATATATGTCATGGGCCTCTGAGTATTCCTTCTCGTGGTGTGAAGTATATTTGACTCGTAGAAGAGAAGAGTATGAAGATTGAGCCGCTTGTGGTTGGTTCAGATTGCACCAGAGCTCATAAGGGTAAAGTTTTCAGTCTGATTAGCTAAGCTTTGCGTACTGAAATTGAAATCTGTACTTTTGCTTGTTGTCCTGCTTTGGTAGATCTGAGGGTAAGATGACATGTAGTTTGGTGAGATGCTAGAGGTGTCTTGCGCCGTGGGAAGAAGAGCGCTGTGCCAGAGTAAGCAGATGTGTACAGTAGTCTGGTGGCAATTGTTCTGCTTTTCTTTGCATCACTGGAGGATTAGCAGTTCGGTCAGTGTCTGGCGTCAGATCAACATATGAGGTATAATCCCATAAACACCGTCTTTCTTGAGGAACCAGAGGCGCTGAGGCGAAGTCTGTGTTATACACATAAACATAGTTGGTCAGTAGCATAATCAAACAATAGATGGTCTTTTAGCCTACATACGTTAGCATGGCGATGCCCTGATCTACAAAGATTGAATCGTGTGTAGCTACACGTAGACGAGTCGATAATTGCCGCGCATGCTTGTTCTAATCTGAGCTTATTATACAACCATAGTTTGCTACCTCTATTGTTTTCCATGACTACCTCCACACATCTTGTTGAAATAATGGCGTAGCTCGTTCGCAGGCTGCTTGCTCCAAGGATCGGATGTGCTTCATTGGAGCCAACGAGACAGTTGTTGGCGATTTACAGGCGCGAGCGAGAGACCTGCCTTGCAAACCCGCGAACTTCAAGTGATTGGCAGTATCATAAGCTATTTCACACGCTAAAACTTCCAGCCTACTGGTGAATGGACATTGTATGAGTTGTGAGCGTCCTGAGCTCCTTCCATACAAGGCTGCATTCACCCAACCTGGGAAGCTGCATCTTGAAGGAGCCAAGGCTCATCGCCCAAGCATAACCTGACCGCAGTCACCCGCTCGCGCTTCTCTACATCCACTGTTATCTCCTTATTCTTTTATTTTTGGCTATCATTCCATCGTTGACAGTATTCCGAGCCGCTTCGTTCAACATCTTTACTCGCCCGCGCCGCACGCACGTACGCCATCGCTCGCTTTAATACGCCGGCTTAACCCTCACTACGTTTCCTTGACGGCCAAGACTTTTTGAAGTTCCACGATCATAATGGGAGAACCATCCGGCAAGGCAGCGACAACACCTGACCTGTCTAAAGTTTGCCCGTTCGGAATCCTCAACGTACCAGCTGCCCTCGAAATGCACGCACTCCTACAACTTGGGACCAAGGAGATACATAAGCGTCTTCGAGAATGGCTAGCTGAAAGTTATCTGGACGGAAACATGCACCTGCTACAGACCGATGAGCCACTCGGGATAAGAATTCACAGTGTCGAAGACCTTGGTATGCTGGCTGGTGCCTACAACCTTGCACCGGATCTGCGACGGCCGAAATCATCGAGGCTGGACAACGAGCTTTATTTCTATGGACAAAAACCTGGAAGGGAGGCTGCCGTGGCTGCGGGTCAGTTTATGCAACAATACTTCAAGCCCGGAGCGACTCCTGCGAAATTATCAATGGCAAAAGAGCCGACGCCAAGAGAGCCATTCCCTACTATGGAGAAGGTGACGGCAGAAGAGGATGCCGTGGCTGCAGGTCGGTTTATACAGCAATACTTCAAGCTCGAAGAGATCCCTACGAAAGTTTCCACGGCAAAAGAGCCAACGCCAAAAGGACCAATGGGGAAAGATCTATTGCCTACTGTGGAGGAGGTGACGGAAGAATCGTCATTGGAAGACTGAGGCGCTCTAACATTGGGTTGTTGCGCGGTATATGGAGCAGGTGCATGCTATTGTATTCAGGCACTATTGGGTTTGGATATACTCGGTGTTCAATTACAATCACTATATCACTGTAGAACGTGCGATGTATGATAAGCAAGCCTTTTTTGACTTTCTGGTGCTTCCAATGACAGGATACCGCAACATCTCTGGGCATATGTGTATTGCTTGAGATTAGCGTTTTGGTATTCTACCCACGTTTCCATCGTATACGAGCAATCACAGCAACCGCCAAGGTGATTTGATGGCAGCTGTTCTCACACTATAAGGACAGGCTGATCGTTGGCTTGATTCTATGGAGAACAGTGAGTCCAAAGCGGACGCAATGGCGTGTCGAGGTCAGAGGCAACGAAGACGTGCGCACTCCAGCTATGGATGAAAGGTTTTCAAGAGGCCGTAGGATCCACACCAAGATCCAGAACATAGATTCGCTAAATTTCTACGAGTTAGTTGAAGTGGATGTAATGACCAGCACTGGTAGGGGAGAACTACGCCTTGACACTTCCTGTGGCGTCGCAATCGGTGCTGAGAAATACGCCCACAAGCACGTCCGCACCCTGCTTTCCAACCTTCTCCATCTCATAGCCTGGGTTTCGAAAGAAGCTTGCGCGATCGAAACGGTTTCGTCTAGCCATCGCCCAGACGACTGCAAATCTTGACGTTGGCTGACGACAGCTGGGACACTGCAGCGTTCCCTTGGCTGCAACAAGCGCGGAGCAGGCCACGCGCCCGGACGTGGACCCTCGACGTTGGTTGACGTAAAATTCTCTCTACAACAGCTCCACCACCGCACCTTTCACTGCTCAACGCAAAACAATAGAACAAGCTCTTATTCTGTGCCTTGTCGCCTTATAAGTCTGCGTCCACACTGCGCATTCGCCCTTCGCTCACGCTCGGCACGCGGGGAAAGCTTCCGCAAATATCTAAACCAACGTTTCCAGCGATTATCGCCCCTCTAACCAAGCCATTCGAGATGATAACACGCTCCTTGCATCGGCCTACGGGCCCAAGCGCTACGATGGGTGACTCTGTTCCGGGCTCCCACGTCGCGCCCTTGAACAAAGCTCGGAACACCCCACCACGCCGCCACTCCAGCAACCACAGCGCGACAATCGCAGCAGTCCCATACACCACCCCGACTACTACCATGAATATGCCGCCTGCTGAAGGTATGGTGGATCTGCAGACGTTGGCCAAGATCTTCGAGGTTCTCGACACAAGCCAGGTAGGTAACACTCACTTACATGTTATCTCACGAGTAAGACTGTCAGTCTTCGTAGCTCCTCAGCTACATAAAGCTTGAGTTTTCTATCTATTTTCTCCAGATGCCGAATATTCACGAGCTAACGAATGTAAAGCATGACGACGACAAGGACCTGGCGACCTGGATCAAGACAAACTACCTCCCCCGTGACTTCAACGGAGTCATCGATCAAGGTGGTGTAACTATCAACGGTACTGAAGCTTTCGCAAAGTTGTACAACGCTTACAAGCGCGTGCGCACACTCACCAATCGCGCCCAGGACAAGTGGCCGTAGGTTTTCCCAGACACCTAGCGGGTTCACATCGACTGACTTGAACAGGTTCTTCGACCGTAGGTGGAAGAGCATGACTTCAGCTCAGGTGACGAAGATGGCTACGAGCGAGCACGCCACGTCTTCTTCTGATGCCATGAATGGACTTCCACGCAAAGGTTCATCGGTGCCAGAGTGGATTGGAAACCGTAAGTTGATTCCTCATGAGAGTCATTGTTCTGATTAGGTAATAATCAATATACAATAGGTCCCGAAGCCACCGGGGGTCAATCTCAACCTAAACTACCATCTCCTGCTCTCAACCAGACAGCGGTAGACCAAACTCTCGCAACGGGTATGTTTGCTCTATTTCTTTCGACAACTATTGTTTAGCCCTGTTTCAATTCATAACTATTGCAATGATGAAGGTCAGCGACAGCTAACAATGAGAAGGAGGTATAGCACCAGAAGTGACTCAAAAGCCCACGAAATCAGTAGAAGGCCTGCCCACACCGACTTCGCCGTCCATGAAATCTTTCGCGACACAACCCCATCACGCGGAGGGCAACAAGGCGGCAAGCAATACGTCTTCCCGCTCATCCCCAACCTCAGGTACGTTCTCATTGGGCCTACAGGTTCATACTATGAGGCCAACTTGCTTTAACAAAAAATCCAAATGTTTAGGTTCTCATGTCTTTGATTAATCTACTAACGTGGTCCCAGTTCTTGCTGCAGAAGCTGCACCCGAGCACTCAAACCTCGATGATCTACCTGTGGTATGTAAACTGGCGCTGAATGAGAACCTACAAACGCTTATCACATCTAGTCATCTGGACAGAAGCGCAAGCGCGGTAACCCAGACTACGATGATAACGGACGGTTTGCTCGGGGCCACGGCAACCTGCGCGCAAATAAGCGCCTTCGTGGAGGCAAGGCCGGACGTGTACGGCGGAACATGTTAAGTCCAAGGGCGAGAGGGGGCTCGGACAGTCTCCTGAACGATCATACGCCGTCGACATTTGAGGACGATCGCAACGATAACGACAATGAGATGGCCGATGGACCTGTCAAGAAGCCCAAGGTAACCGCGCCGAGTCCCCGCGTGACTCGGCGGCAGACGCGTCTCTCTAAGGGAGGCGATGATGTGAGCACCTCCACCCAGGCTTTGTCCGCACAGGCTAGCCCGGAAGCCGCTGGTTCTCCGAAGCGTCGCGCAGACAGCGATACCACTACCCTCGACGAGAAAAACGTGAGTCCTTTATAAATCGATACCGTCAACGATAAACTTGCTAATCATAATCGGCTCGACTAGGTCACCGCTGCTGAAGTCCAAGGACGTGCAGCAACTCCCGACCACGAAGATACAATGGTTGCCGACAACGACAGCGCCACCACGGTACCCACCGACGCAGATCTCCTCAACATGGGCTTGACGCATTCTGAACGCCGCAACACTGCTGCTACCACCGCGAAGGATGACCAAGAGAGCAGCGAGCCTGACTCGACGGCAGACACCAAGAAGCAGGCTGCGGCACAAGATGATCAGTCGCAGGAGTCTGGAGTCAAGTACTTCGCTCGCGTGAGCACTGGCACTGCTTCCTTCGAAATTGCCCTCGACGAGGCCATCACAGGCAAGGACAAGGACCTTACAAGCGACCTACTTGGCTATGCTGCGTGGAGGGAGAAGAGCGGCGAGAACTCGAAGAGCATCTCATTCGACACGTGGCGCAGCATTTTCAGCTTTGGTCGCTAAGGAGAGGTGCGAGTGGCTGTATTTGCTAGAGTGATTGCGTTGGAAGGGGCATTATTCGTAGAGTTGTGGTTCTGGCAACTTCTTCGTGGACTATGGCGTGAGGGCTTGTTTCGGATCACTAGCGATATGGAGCCCGCATCGGGAGGCTTTCTACAATGAAGAGGTGACTCTCACTTTTTACTTGCTTATTCTCGGGCGCTTTGCGCTTTCTGCAGATTGGTGTCGGGGAACAATATGATCACGAGGCACCGTATCAGCTCCGTAGGTAATTCCAACCCCATGAAAATCGCCCTCGATCATATCCATTGAAATCCGACTTTTGACATGCTTGTGAACCCGTCCATGTCTGCCCTTCGGCCGCTCAATTTCGATCATGATGTTGAGAAGTCACTATGACTGACGTCCAGAAACGATGAGGCTAGACAAACTTGATATATTGCAAGCAGAGCCTGTTTTGATCTGCCAAGGATCTCGAAGATGTAGGCAAAGCCCTCGTGAAAGCGCAGATCGAAAGTTATTGAGGCGCATGGTGGCAGATGCATGCCTCCTACTGCGGAAGGGGCAGGCGCGCATTCTCTGCAGCTGGCCGACGCAACGAACAGTTTCGACGTGCAGCCATCGAAATCGCCAGACCCGATTGTTTTTGATATTCTACCGCCGTAGGGACGACGAGTTAGAAGCTCTTCACTGCATGCAACGGTCATCGTGTCACACGAGAAAACAGTGGGTACCCATCCCGATGCTTTGAAATGTTCCCTCTTCTGGAATCATTTCTACCGTGCATCAATCCACTGGTGCACATTGGCAGTGCGATCGTATTCAGCCTTGCGCCGACATGTCGGTTTCGCTGACGAGAGATTGCCCATGTCGGGATTTGATCGTACCCACGCACCAGGCAGCCGGGCTGTCACAACGCCCATCACACTGCATCCGCTTCTCGCTCCTCCCACCTCATCCTCAAAACAAATTCAGTCGGCGACCACCTACAATCATCCTGGCAGAAGAGATCACCTTCGTAACTACGGGATGTGGATAGAGGCTTACGCGCAATGCCTGTGAACGCTGGACAAGAGTGGTTAGTAGAGCAGCAGCGTCCGCGGATGAATGCCTCGGTAGCGCACCCGTGCGAATGGCGGAAGAAGTCCTGGAGACCCCAACTAGCATCCAATCGCTCGCCATGAGAGCGACATGCATTGCAACCTTGACAAGCCAGCTTTGCCGCAATTGAGCACAGAATGGGTCTTTGGCGGTCTGGACAGATGCCGTGCCGTGTGCTCGCCTTCGCTGGTCTCTTTGTACGAGGGCGCGAGAACCACAAGGTAAACTGGGTTTTGATGTGAGATATTGCTCGCAGGGCTAAGTACCCGTAATCTCCGTGGGCCATGGATCCACCTGCATGCGGGATAGCGAAGCCTCGCATGGCGGATCCAGTTGCACGACGCTCCCACGGCGCTGGGTCTCGCAGCACGTCTCTCCTTCATTGCATATCCTGGAATCTGTCGCCCGTGTCCCCTGCGTTCGACCTCAATACTTGCTGCGCGGTATACTACCCAGAGGATGAGGTGTTCGCTCGCTGTGACTGCGTTGTTGGGGGCGAGAAGTGGTGCGTCGCCACTGGCTGCAAGGGGTGCACCATCGGTCGATCTTGGATACGCTGTCTACGACGGAACTCAAGATAGCCAGAATGGCATCAACGCTTTCAAAGGGTATAAACTTATTCCATCGTGATTCCGGCTCCAAATACTGATGTTGAACATGCAGAATCCGATACGCGACCCCTCCTGTTGGGAACCTGCGATTTGCGGCGCCCCAACCACCCATAGTGAACAGAACTGCTTCCATTTCAGCGACCAGCGATGGTCCTGCTTGTCCACAAACTGGGGCGGGCAGCGAAACGCCTGCTGAATATGGCTTTACGTCTGCACTTGGCGACGAAGATTGTCTGTATCTGAATGTTTACGCACCCTCCAATGCGACCAACCTGCCAGTCTTCTTCTGGATACGTAAGTCAAACATGCCCGACAAACACAATCACTGTACTTACCAACCCTTGAGATGGCGGTGGATACGGCCTCTTTAGTGCTCAAGGTCTCGATCCTACTGAGTTTATGACGACAAATAATAATGGCTTCATTTCGGTGATCATCCAGTACCGTCTCGGCGCATTCGGATTCCTGTCTAGTGAAGATGTCGAGGCTGGAGGTGCTCTGAATGCCGGACTTTTGGACATGAACTTTGCCCTCCAATGGGTACAGAAACATATCAAATCGTTTGGTGGCGATCCTGCACGTGTGACGATTGCGGGTGAGAGCGCAGGTGGCGCCGCTGTCATGTATCAAGCCATGGCATATGGCGGCGCACAGAACGTATCCCTGTTCAATAATGTACGTTCCTAAAATTGCCATTCAAAGCACGTGCTAATACACATGTAGATCATTGCTGAAAGTCCGTGGGTGCCAGCGCAGCATGACTACAACGACGAAGAACCGACTCAAGCGTACGATGACTTTAGCGCAGCCGCCGGCTGCTCCAACGCGACAGATACATTGCAGTGCCTTCGCGACAGCGACAGCGAAGTACTCCAGAACGCCAGTGCTCGAGTATCTGAAGCCAGTGCTTTCGGTAGTTTCGCCTTCCTTCCCGTTACGGATGGCTCTTTCGTGAAAGACCTCCCCTCTACTCAGCTGGTGGCCAAGTCTCTGAGTGGGAAACGTATCCTCTCCGGCAATCTTGCGAACGAAGGCGTCCCCCTCAGTCCGCCCACCACCGTAACTCTTGAGGATTTCCGCGACTATGTGTCCTCCACCTTCCCATCCTTCTCTGCCGATGACAAAGCCGCTCTAGAAGACCTTTACTCCTACGAAGGCGATGACCAAGATGCAGACCCATCAGCGCCAGTCTACGATACCGATGGCACTTCTTCCGTCACTGCTGTCAATCAATCAACATTCGGCACTGGCCAGCAACAACGTGTGATCAATGTCTTCGCCGAATCTACTTTCGACTGTCCTTCCTACTGGCTAGCCTCCGCCTTCCCCCAGGCGTGGAAATATCAGTTCAGCGCTAACCCTGCGTATCACGGCTTCGATCTTCAGGCCCTGTGGTCTGGTACCAAAACGCCAGGCGCGTCTTTCAAGCACGCCTTCCGCAAGATCTGGGGCAACTTCATCGTGCAGGATGATCCAATCATCAGCGTGTCGGATGCCAAGGGTGGAGCCGCCAATTCGACTGTGCCGGAGGGTGCAGATGGACTTATTGAATGGCCAGTGTGGACCGATGAGTCGCCTGCGCTGCTGAACCTGAACACTACAGGCGGGAACGCGACGTACCACCCGGTAACCGAATATCTGAAGTATTACACATATTCGGATCCTGGAGTAGTGAATGTGTTCAATGTTGCAGATGCGGATGCATGGGAAGGTGGAAGAGGGGAAAGGTGCAAGTGGTGGCTTGAAAACGCCAAAAAGGTACCATACTAAATCAAAAGCGCTGCGAAATAGTTCCATAATGCTCTCCCAGATAGAACAAGCAATTGCGCATTATACTCTATGTCACAATTCGTGACCTCGGAACATTGGAACCCTCAACTTGTCACGTGGTTCTGTATGCGGTTAGTGCGATCCGAAAGCTCCTTTCCCCCTCCGTCGTGCATCTTCCCAGCCACCACCTAATGTCACCAACCTCCTCGGTCTACTGCGTTTCTTTCGCAGCCTGTGATAAAGTCCAGGTTGTTTACATCAAGCGCATGCCTTTGGTTCCTGGACTGCATCCCACCGTGCCCGAAAGGGCAGTCGATAAGACTGGCTCCGTTACACAGAGCAAACTGCAAATTGATCCAATCTAGAATACGAGGGGATTGTCAACAGAAGCGCCAAACATCAAAATGATCCTGATCTAGTGTGATGACAATGGCAGTTTCGATGCGGAGGCACTCAGTTTCGGATTTCATGTTCGCACCAAGGGATGCCATGAAGCGCTACCGGTACTCAGCAGCGCGATGTTGATTCTGCGTGGCGTTGTTGGGCCTGGGCTGATCGCGGAATCCGAAAGTTCGAAAGACAGTTATCTGCGTCGATTTGACAAATACATCGCTCGCACAGCGGGTGCTCATGTCGAAGGCTGGACATCTCCTCGGAACGTATGCTACGCTTTGTGAGGAACGGTCTGTAGCGAGGCGCCAGCCAACAGCAAGGTCAACAGACGCTGTGTGCGGCTGCGCGTTGGTTCCCAGCGATCAATTGACGAACAGCGTGGCCAGCGACGACCTCAACTTTCCACACGTCAGCAAAGTCTCTTCAACCACCCCCTTCAGCTGCGATTACGCAGTGTGTCGATAACCACCACTAGCATGCGCCAGCGTGAGGAGGGTATGCAGGGATGCCAACACTAGCTCAGCCATCAGACGGCGAGGATACGAAACCCTGCATGTCAGTTCAATCGCCGAAGCGCCGGCTGTCATGAAGTTGCACATGTACTTCAGATCTACTCCGTAATTCGTCGAGACAAACATGCACGCATCTGGAGGCTTTTCTGGGCGCCCTGGCGACTCGACGCCAGTGTCATACAGAAAATGTTCCGGCCGTAGGTGAGGGCTCCTCGAGGGCCTAGACTGGAAAAGGGAAGTGCCGTCGTCGCATATGCATACAATTGCTGGCTTGTTGCTTTTTTAAGCTCGGCCGATCTGCCCTGCAGCTCGACTTCAATATCAACCGCGGCATATTAACTGGACATCTCGCTGACCCCTCCCTTGTTACTCTCCATAACATATAGCCACTTTGCTACAGGCTGCTCGCCTGCAACTATACTTACTCCTTCCACCGAACTATCCTCTACTGAACCTGCGCAAATGATGTAAAGCACTGCTAGCGCGCCAGCCTTCACGACGCCACTTACCTACGCTCGAACTCGGTGTTCGCAGTCGCAGCATGAGCCATGTCAGCCTTTACGCCAGAGGAGCTGGCGTACCTCGAAGCGCATAGGGATGATACAAGAGTACACGAGATTCACTGGGTATATAGTACACCTATCGCTTTCGGGGTCCTTTCGACGGCATTGAGGCTTTGGGCTAAAAGTGCGGGTCGAAACGGTATCACGTTAGACGACTGGCTGATTGTGGTCGCGACAGTATGTGCCCACAACGACTCTGTTGATATAAGCTAATAGCACTTAGATATGTCTAGTCGGTGAATGCGCAGCCGGTTTGGGCTATGGTAAGGGCTTTTCAGGGAGACACACTTACTTGAAAACTGACTATACTAGGCCCTCCTCACGGTATGGGAAGACATGTCATTGTCGTATCTCCACATGACCAATCCATGGTCCGCAAGGGCGACTACGTCTTCAGCCACTTTTACGACTGCGCGCTTGTCTTCGTAAAGCTAGGAATACTGGCCTTTTACCATCGAGTTTTCGTCGTTCCGCTGTTTCGCAAAATCGTGACCGCAACTGCAATTTTCGTCATTGCATGGGGAATCGGCATAACCGTTACGTTGGCTCTAGCATGCCGACCTATCGAAGCATTCTGGGATGCGTCCGTCAAGGGCGACTGTCTCAATCTGGTCCACTTCACCTACTTTACGAACATCACGAACATGGTCACCGATGTATGGATATTCCTAATGCCTGTACCCGTCATATGGCATCTGCAATTGCAGACCAAGAAGAAACTCTTGCTCTGCTTCATCTTCTCGATAGGCATAGCGTATGTATCTCCCAGACTGTTCATACTAACGCGATGGCCGGTACTAATCCGCGCATGTAGAACTTGCATCGTTTCCGCAATTCGCCTCACCGTTGTTCTCGGTCACGGCTACGCTGACTTCACATGGAGCTACGTTCCACTCGGCGCTTACTCTGCTTTCGAACCCCTCGGAGGCATCCTCTGTACGAACCTACCTATCATCTGGCACATGTGGCGCAAACACCGAAAATCAGAAGCCCTCTTACCGGGTTCTTCGCTCTTCAAATCGAAACACTCGTCGGCCGCAACACCTAGCTCACGTGAATCGCGCCGCAGTCGCATCGCTCGATCTCTCGGGCTTAGCAACGTGGACCAGACCGGTACCGATAGCCAAGCTCGAACAATACTTGCCGCAGAGGAAGGGCAGCCCACCTTTGAGGAGATCAGTCCGACTAATCCCGAACGAGCGCTCTACTTTGGGAAAGTGGAAAGGATACAGACGCTGGAACGGGAGATGTCGGAAGCGAGCAACGAAGCAGATCCGAACTCCAAGAAAACGAGGAGCTCCAGCGAAACGGGAGCGTCGCGTGGGCCCAAACATGCTAATATGAAGAAGAACGTATGGGAGGTCAGGAAGAAGTGAACATCCTCACCAAATACGCTTTTTCTTGCCTGATAGCGGCGCACTGCTATCGCATCACGCTCGGCGCCATCCCCCGCCGAATTTTTCTTTTCTTTTCTCACAATATACCCGGGATTCACGAGCATCTGCATCAAGGCGCACTATGGTTGGAGTTTTCAGGACCAAACTGGGCCTAATTATGTTTTAATGATTCACGGACACTGTACGGCGGTTGGACTCCTACGAAATTTGGAAGATGAAGGCACCTTGAATCAACGATTGTACTACCATCACGATACTATATAATTCAAACAATCATATATCACATGCGCATTATTCCCTTCACACCGAACGCTCCGTCGATTACGCCGCCTGGGCCTTCGCGCTAGAGGCGCCAACACACTGTGGCGATCGTCTTCCCTTTTCGGATGGGGCTGCATCGTGTATGTCAGCCACTTACGCATCCCTCGGCAATTAGCTTCGCGTTCAATTGTTTTTTGCAGCGCACGACGCTATCGCGGGAATGTTCGGCTTTAAAACGAATATGAGACGCGCTCGGCATCTGTCATGAATGCTCTTGGTGTTCATCCCAAGGCCCAGCCAGGAAGTGTGCGGGTAGTAGCTACATGGTAAGTGCATTCATAGTGAATGCATGTTTCTAACGGCGTGCACAAATCCTGGCGAGTTCTATAATATTCCATATCTTATTACGAAGGCTTCATACGTCTTCTAGTCTCCGAAGCTTCAAGCGGTAATGTGGTCTTGTTTCGAATACGTACCTGGTGACTATTCAAAAAGAAAATAAACCCTGCCCTAGATATTGCATCGTATAGAGAAGCGGAGGCATATGATCGTAGCTTTAATTGCACTCAGGTCTCACATTACGGGAAAGTAGATGGTTTGATCAGTTCTATTACCACGCTTACGGATTTGCTACATGAGATATCGGTCGCTTAAGTTCGGGTGGTCTCAGTCGGTAGCATACATTCTCTTCAACAGCCTTGAGGTCATGCATAGTAAAGGTGGAGGAGGCTACCCAACGATACTACCTACGTGAAAATACACACACAGGATCTTGGTGTCATTCAAGGCTTATCTTGGCCGTATCCTCCGAACCTGATCTTGCAATAGGACATCCAGCCCCGTCGAGGACTTCGAATGCGACATCAGCCATGCAACAATGAACATGGCATCTGATCCCCTTGATTGTTACATTATTCGAACTACCCCCAAAGGAAAGTGACTCAGACTGAAGCATCAAGTCACATCGATGCGTTCACTGAGATAGTATCTATTTCACATCCGTCAGCCATTCTCGTTGCCACCATGAAACCTTAACCAAGCTGTTCGTGTCTCGAAATCCAGCTACTGGAGAGGCACTCCACCAGTCTCACCACCATCTTCCGCTTCGCAATTTCCGATGCCGCCTATCGAGGCCGAAGCCGACCCGGTGATGTTGGAGTGCTCCGAGTTAAATGATACAACCTACGCTATCGCCAGCATTAGACAGCAAGTGAGCAACAAGTTTTTGGCTGCACAATGCCTGCAATTGCTGAATAAGCATACTGCAGGAGTTAATGACACCTTCGTGGAGGCACGTGTGAGCTTGAAATATCCGTGCCATTAAACATTTTGTGCGGTCGTGTTGTATCATTTGGTAAGGATGCCTAGGATGTGCGGTACAGTTTGATGCCATGGTTCAGTTGGAGGTTGCGCTAAATCAACTTTATCCCATGGACCGGCCTTCACGAGATATGATTCAGTGTCTCTGCACAATTCACAGCCTCCAAGTGCAACAGGCCAGAATATGTTGACGAATGCTGTATTTTCGTGGTCAATTTTGATCCCTCATACTCGTTGACATCGATTCGTACCTTGGTATAGCTTCATGAACACACCATCACCACTTCGAACATGCTCGTAAAGATACCATCGCCCACCCTTCTTGAGATATCCATAGAGGTCAGTGATGTTCTTCTCTGGTTCGGGTATGCTGCATAAGCAGAGTATGGAGACTATGCAGTCCACACTGCCTTTCTCAATGGTTTTACCATTGATCTTGACTTTATTGACTTCTTCTATCCCCACTGGAAGGACCTCGTACACCCCGTCCAGGCCTATTTCTTGGACTCTCTTGGATAGTGCAGCGTGTGAGTCGGGGTTCGGCTCGACACCATACACTTTTTGGATGCCACCACTGACACCTTGAGATCTAGCGCCAGGCTTGTCAATGGGTACCTTCGCCTTGTCGTAGAGATCTATCCAGTAGCCGCGACCAGGTCCTATATCAAGGATTACGCCACCCACCGGAGGTGCCATCGGTTTGTCTGTGATCTGCGCATCTTGCATCCGTCCTTCCAGAAGAGCTGTGATACGGTCTCCATTGCCTGCTCTTAACTGAGGCCCAAACCATAGCCAAAACGCACTGAACCATGCATCTTGTAGCTTTGACCACGAGAATAAGATCCCATACTCGCCAGCCCTGTACAAACGCAATATTGTGCTACACAAAAAAGGTAGCGTAGAGGACATGAAACGCCATGGATCGAGAAGGGACCAGAAGATCTCGCTGAGCCCAGCAAAGTTCACCATAATGCAGGGCGAATGAGTCGAAATACGGAGAGACGTTGATGATGAGGATAGAAGACGGCCGTTGCAGTTTCAAGTCGCTTTTCATTTAGCGAGCCGCTGGCGCGAATTAGGTCCGAAATGTCTCCTTTGGGCAACTAGTTCCGGACGTGGAAGCGTGCGCTACCCGCGTCATCGGAAACCCGCTTTTGCCAGTATATGCTGTTACAATGTTTCAGACACACCGGACATAGGCCGTGAGGATTATGTCACATACGTATTGAAATGCTGCAGCCGCGCGTTGAAAGCTGCATGCTTATAATGTGTATATTGGATAGGCAAAGCAGGGCGAGGCTGAACCATCGTCAAAAGTCCTGGCGTGGAATCAAATTCCGCAGTTGTGACAACTCACAATGTCTGAGCCTCAAAGCTTGTTTCCTTGTTTTCAATGCATTGTGCGATTTCATATCGAACTCCAAGTATCCTCCCCTCTACTGAAAATCTCATCGTGTGTTAACAATACTGTATTGACACGATGCGCTGGTGTAGATAAAACAACCGCATCTGCGTAGGCCCTCTACTTATCCTGGAAGTTAGGTCATCGAGCATTACAAACGCCAAAAGTACGATAGTTCTGTGGATTCTCGAACATGGTGTTCGACGAGCAAGCCCAGGTCCCAGTGGAAGTGCCTTCGCACCCAAATAGCCCTCGTTATCGTTTCGAGATCGCAGAGAAGTTGAATGATAACTCAGGACAGAACAATGCCGGCATTCTTCTTGTTGGTGACACTACAACCGGCAAGTACTGTGTTGAGAAACGGCTCAAATCGTCCGACGTTGGTAATGGCCGTGCTGAGCGCGAGATTCACATACTCTCGCAGCTTAATGGACATCCCAACGTTGTACAGTTGATAGACTTCGAGCTGATCAACAATCCCAAACTGCAGGAGTGTGACCTTAGCGCAACGACCTGGATGGAGTACTGCGAATGGGGGAATTTGAATCACACGATTGACTATCTCAGGGCAAACAACGAGAGGATGGTCGAGCCACTTCTTTGGCACGTTCTCGAGAGTCTAGCTGAGGCAGTGAGGCACTTGCAACAGGGTCCTAAGGACTGCGACCATGGTACATGGAACATGGTATATCACCGCGATATCTCCCTTTCCAACATCTTTCTCAAGTCAGATCCAGGTTCTCAACTTCCTCGGGTGGTTCTCGGCGACTTCGGACTCTCAACCACGAACGCCCATATCAAGCTCGGTTATAACGATCGGTGGATAAGCTCCACATTCGAGAAGTATTTTGCGCCTCCGGAATTCCCCGTTTATTATCCAGAGTCAGACATATACCAGATTGGGGCGGTATTGTATTGCTTGATGTACGGACAATACACGCCTTATGTCGGAGCCGCACCACGCTTGAATAAAGGCCAGCGCGGTTGGCTAGAACACAATATCTGGGTGCGCGAACTTCAATCTAGCCAACCCTATTCGGATGATCTAGTCAGCATAGTGAGTGCTTGTCTGCGAGGAGACGTGTCTTCTAGATGCAACACTGATCAGCTGCTGCGGATGCTTGGAAAATTTTGACATGTAGAATGAATGAACTAGTTGAGCGACATCTGAAACCCCCCTTGTCTCCCAAAATCAATCGTGCCCTGCCTAGATCTTAACAGTGCACTTCGTTCCTTTTAGCGTTTTAACCATGAGTTATGATATGGATTCAATTACCAAGATAATCATCACATCCAAAACAAGAATAGCAAATATCAGTTTCTAGAAGGTCTTGATTCTTCATCTGCAGATTATTTCACTTGAGACCTCCAACCTACATTGACCTGGCACTGCAATCTGCTAGACTTCCTACTATCATAGCTTCATTGTGTCCAATCGCACACTATCTCCTCCTTCACCTCAACCAGGCTTTCAAACGCTTGCGACCGTTCATTAATCCGTCCTTCTGACACCATCGTTTGTATTATGGAGGCTAGAATCCCTGCAGTTGGTCTCTGGGCCGCTTCTTTGGATAAACACCATGTCATAAGTTCTTCCAACCCTCGTGAGGTCTGTCGCCCGTGGGTGCCCTGTCCAACGAAGAAGTTGGCGAGGCATTCTGTTGGGTCGCTATCGCACATAAGCAAACACAATACCACAAGGCCGACTTGATAGATATCGCATGCTGCTTGTGCTTCGCAACCTTCCGGAGGCATAAAACTAAGATTCCCCGGAAAAAGTTTTCCTAGCGACAGCTGTCCCAGATCCTCTTCAATCGCTGCGCAACCGAGGTCTCCAAGCTTAACTTTCGGGTATGCATTCTTGGTTGCACTCGATTGTAGAAAGACATTGGTGAGCGTAATGTCCCGATGCACTATCCCTTGACTGTGACAAGACCGCACTGCCGCAGCAAGGCATCCAAAGACATGCCACAGGAATGCTTCAGGAAGATACAAAGCAAGGCTCGCGTAGCTGTCCACGAGTTGAGCCAAAGTCCCTCTGTCGCACAGTTCTGTCACCATCCACGGAATATCATGGGGATGCCGGGATCCGTCGTACGAGTCCAACAAACGCAGAATATCTGCATGGCCTCGGTCACTATATCGATTTAGTTCTTTTAAAAGACAGATCTCCCGCGCCGCGTGACCCGGGTAGCAGATATCCGGCGAAAGCATCTTCAAGACACACAGCTTCCCTGACGAAATCTCCCGGACTTGTTTGATCCCTCGGTGGAAGGAGCCATGGGAAATGTGGAAGGCATGATGTGAGAGTGATGGAAGGATCGACCAACGACGGCTAAAGATGGAGCCCGGCTCGAACTTGCGGCCGGCTCGCTGCCTGATGCATATCTCTTCGAGCATGTAGAGGTAATACCTGGGTCTCAGGTCTGAATGCACATCAGGTTGGGTATACACAGAACCAGGTGGCGATAGACTGAACTGTGAGGATAGAACGTCGAAGATGAGAAGCAAACGATTCCACAGCATAGCATGCTAAGCGACGCTTAAATGTAGTCAGTCGTCGATGAAGGTAGCCGGTGACAGTCCCTGTTAGCCGCTTGACAGGGGAGGATGTTGGTATTTTCCGATTACATCTCGCATCGTCGGATTGAACCTGCGAGACCGTGAAAGCGGATTTTCAGCCACCACATACATTCGATATCAAATATCAAGCTTTATCAAGAGCGCTCAGACATATCAGGCTCCGTGATCCATGATATCCAATCTAGAGATACATGTTCGTGGAATTCAACAGTTCGGGGACTTATATCCGCACTAATGCAACGCTAGTATCGCGACAGGATGATCCACGTTGCCGACGCTGAGGTGAGGTTAATTGGCGAGTTGAATATCTACGCGATAGGCGTTGTTAGAGTCCTTCAAGCACGATCAACCGTTATTGTAGAAGTAAAATCTGCTTGATGTTGCGAGAGGCATATGAGAGGTGATCCACGTCAAAAAGACCAAGGAAGCCCTGGAGGGCGCGACTAAGGCGTGCGATTGACGATAAGCTCGCATTGGTACGCACACAGGCTGTCAAGAAAAGGCATACATTGGCTATAGTGTAGAATTTCGTATCCGTAGGTGTTCGTCCGCCAGATCGGGAAGAGCTAGGAAGAGATGAACGGCGCTTGTGGCGCTAGTGGCGCTAGTGTGATTACATAAGTGGTAAATGGCGAAATTGTCTCGAGACACGACGCGTCAACTTTCCATCGTTGATACTCTATAGGCACTTTGCGCACCCTCATCTTAGATCGTTGAAACTTCGTTGCCGTTCTGTGCGCCCTCATATTTTACTCCCCATTGAGTCGGGTCCGACATGCTATGTTCATTCGGTCTGCTATCCGTGTCACTTCAGCCACGCGATGCCGAAAGATCGACAGCCATGTACAAATTCGTTGCATAAACTTATATACGCACACAACAGGTGCGACTGGGTTTTCGGCGAAACCCGTGCGTATGTTTGAGTGGGAACGTTTTGACTTGGAGTCACCGAATGGACCGCCCCGGATACGAATTCACAACAATGAAGCGACTAAGTTCAGACATAACAAGCACCAACGCCTACCAGAATCTGTACTAGACAAGTGGTTCACGCTCTGCGACAACGCAGTCGATCTGGTTTCACCCGGCCGAGCGCTCATCCGCATTGATAAAACATCTGAAGATCTGCCTGGTCAATTCTATGTTGCCTCCATAGTCAATGAAAAGGAGGGTCAGGACCCGACCAAGCAGCGTATAATGCCGAAAGAGGTTCACATAAAATTACCTACGGTGGATGCCAGAACCTACTGGATGTGGATGCGACGAGCTTATGCCTCTTTAAATGCGGGTGAGATTGTCCAAGTTCACTGCCATGTGCATGACAACGTGCACTATCGAAATCCGCGCGAGGTCCATACCGCCATGTTCCAGAATCCGCAACTCTGGCCTGCAGCTATCTTGCGGGCCATGCCAGAAGGAACGGGTCTGCTGATGCCACCATGGAGTGACGGGAACGAAGTTGTGTGGTCGATGACTCGTTGGCCGCAGTTGACACAGATCCGGATCAATGGTTACTACGGCAAACTGAGAAGCAGACTCAACGATCCTTGGCTCAAGGATCTCCCTCCACGAGCTGAGGCATCTGCCTTCCTCGACGCAAAAGACACGCCGACCTTCATGAGCAACGAGGTTACCACCCTGGCGCATGCGATGGATACTGTATTTGATTACCAGGTCCAAGTTGTGAGAAGAGCAATGATGGGAGACAGGAAGTACTCTGCAGAGGGGAGAGAATTTGAAAGCAACCTGGCTGAACTTGCAGCTGCCCTCAAGAAAACACGACTTCCCTTCCAAAGCCGTAAAAGAGATCCAGAATTCCAAGAAATCATGTGGAGGTTCGATCAAGCACTAAAACATTCCTCTGCGAAGCTGAGCAGACGCTAGGAGATATGTATACTTCTGTAAGATTAAGAATAGAGGAAGCAACAGTTCAATCCTAATCAGACATCTGAAGACGTACCAAATACAGTTTCCAATTCTTGAGGCTTTGTTCCACCTATGCTGAGTTGTGTTTACGCTCACAAGGGCCTGAATCCACATCCCTCTTCCAAATCATCTGTACTGACAAACCAGAATCACAACAACAGCAACAGATCAAGCCAAGCCAAGCCATTCGTCGTATCTCAGTCTATCCAAAGCAGTCTATAACATATCCACCGCGAAACGAACCCCCACTCCCTTCCTCGTCCCAGCTCCCAGAGCTTCCCCTCAACCGCCTCCCCACTCCACCCATCTACACCGCAGCACTCCCATCCAAAGCCGTCACATTCAACGGCCCCCACCTCTCCGCAAAAGGATCATAACTCGCATTCCCCCACCTCGTATACTCACTAACATCCGCCACCCACCTGCTCACCTCCTCCCCATAAACACTACTCAAGAACGCATACGACACGTCCACGCCCGCACTCACCCCGCTGCTGCTCCACACATTGCCGTCCTGGACCCACCGCGCGTGCGGCACGTACGACACGTTGGAGCCAAAGGACGTCGCCCACGCCCAGGCCTTCTTGTTCGTGGTCGCGCGGCGGTTATCGAGGACGCCTGCGCGCGCGACGATGGTGGAGCCCGTGCAGACGGAGATGAGGTGCTTGAGGGAGGGGTAGACGGTGCGGACGAAGGAGATTTCGGCGGAGACGTCCTTGCGGGTGCCGCCGCCTCCAGGGACGAGCAGCACATCCAGAGGACCAGGAATGTTGCTGCTAGTGTGGCAGGTGCTGTTTGTGGAGCTTTCACCAACGTTTGTGAAGTTTGTGGCGGCGGCTTGGAGGTATTCGTCTATAGTGATGGTGGGGGGAAGGGCCATGCCGAAGTCCATGCCTGGCATGGGCGGGTTGGTTGTTGAGGGGGTGGAATTGACGCTGATGATGGAGAGGTGCATGGGGCCGGTTAGGTTTTGGAAGGCCATGGCGAGGCCTTGGAAGACGTCCATTGGGCCGAACATGTCGATGGGCGTGATGGAGGGGGTGAGGAGGATGCCGTAGTGAGTTGGGACCGCAGAGGTGTTCGCGAGCACCGGCCTTTCCTGCGCTAGAGCTGCCATTGGGAAGGCTGCCAGCAGCGAAGTGTAGGGTGTTGTGCGCATGACGTTGGTTGGTTGTTATTATTGGATAGATCCAATGCTGATGTCAATAATGAGATAATGAAGTGAAGCAAGCCCAGCTCGTGTGATGCGCGTAAAATAGAGTGAGGATGTGAGTGGATGTCTTACACGATAGTGTGAGCAACCTCTAGTGCATCTTTATACAGCCCGCAAGAATATGAGGTGCTGAGATTCCTCTACAGTTCGCGACACCGCCAAGTCCGACTCCAAGCAACCCATTTCGCAATACCTATTGCAAGCACCGTAGCGCACGCAGGATGTTTACAAACCGCGCGAAGTTGCGCACCAACCCTTCGTCTGTTGCGGTGTCATTGGTGGATCGTTTCTCTGCATAGATTACAGGCAGGGCGTAAACGCAAGACACGATCGGTTAACTACCTGTCCACGAGGCCGAGCATGTTTGCGGGTAATACTCGTGCGAAAGACGCGCGGGAGCCCGCTACCGCCTTTGTATACAATGCTTGGTGTTCGACTATCGCCGGTGATTGTCGGAGGCCCAACGGCTTCCAGGCGCACGGTTCCCCCGGCGAATTGTTTCGAAACCGGTGTTAAGGCTACAGATGGCAAGTGGAAGGGAATTCGTAGGGCTGGCAGCACTGCCGGAAGACTTTGCAATGCAGTGCTGAGAGATGCGCTGCCCATGCTGATAGCTACGCCTGCGCAAAATCACGGTGATCCTGGAACACGGCCGTTGTTTCATATTTTCCGAATTCATTTGCTATTACTTCGCTAACATAGGTATCCTACAAGACCGTTATACTCGAGTCGTCTTCTCGTCGAGACATAATTTTGGTCTTTGTATGTTTACAAACTGGCTCCTGCTTCCGCCCTATACGATGAGACCCTCAGCTCTCTCATGCTGCGGCGCCAGAGGGGCACCCTGCTCGGCCTTGCTCCAGCTCCTTCCACCGGGACCAACGTGCAGGCGGTCTGTGTCGACAAGACCATCGCGCTGCAGCGACTCGGGAGTCCATTTTGCGCTGGTGATGGGGTTGACGTGAAGCACGTACATGGTGTCGATCTCTTCCAGCGAGCGGCCCTTGGTCTCGATCATGAAGAAGTAGGTGATGACGGCGAGGGCGGCACAGCAAGCTCCGAAGACCAGGCCGTAGAAGTAGTCGATGTTGTTGGTGATCATGGTGCTGAAGAACGAGATCAGGAAGTTGAAGAGCCAGTTTGAGGCCGTAGCGAGACCCATGCAGGTAGCGCGGTAGCGGGCGGGATACAATTCACCGACGATGGCCCAGACGAGCGGTCCCCAGGTGGTGGCGAAGGCTGCGATGAACAGGCAAGTGAAGACAATCATGATGTTACCAGCCTGCGGGGTGCTCGTTGGGTTGTTGTGGTCGAGCTGGTAGTGTCCGACGAAGGCGTAGATGAAGAGGCAGACGAACATCCAGAGGGCACCGGCGATCATGGCCTTCCTCCTGCCCACATTCTCAACGATCCACAGACCGACAATGGTAGCGGCGACGTTCACAGTACCCAGAATGATGGAGGTGACGTCTAGTGCACGTTAGCATGCCTCGCGCAAGGATTGAATAGCGGGGGTACATACAGCTGTTATCAAGACCTGTCGCAGAGAAGATGGTCGTGCCGTAGTAGAAGAAGTAGTTGGCGCCCGTCAACTGCTGACCGGCCTGCAGGACCATACCAAGGATTGTACGGTAGAGCATACGAGGACCAGTGAAGATCTCGTGCCATGGGTGGTCACCGCCGGCCGACTCCGCGTCGAGCTTCTCCTGGATCTCCTTGATCTCAGCATCAATGAAGGCCGAGTTCTCAGCTACACCGTTCAGGCGGGCCATGTTGCGGCGGGCTTCCTCGATGCGGCCCTTGCGGTATGCGTAACGGGGGGACTCCGGGAGGAGAAGAATGGTAGATCCCAAAATGATAGCCCACAGCGCTGACAAGCCATTAGGAATTCGCCATTGCGCGCTGTTGTGGTACTCGGCTGAGGTTCCATAGTTGACCATGTACGCGGTCCAGATACCCAGTGTGATGAGCAACTGGTATGAGGAGACGGTAGCGCCACGAATACGCTTAGGGATCGACTCGGACTGGTACATAGGCACAACGGTGGACAGAGCTCCAATACCGAGACCGGCAGTGAAACGGCCCATGGCGAATTGCACCCAAACATCCTTGCTCGTGATTTCAATAATCACACCGACAATGTACCAGAAGGCGGATCCGGAGATGGTGAGGCGGCGACCAAAGTTATCGGCGAGAGGCGCAGAGCCCAAGCAGCCAAACAGAGTACCAATACTGATTTCGCATTAGTGATGTTCACTAGGTGAAAGGGGTTGTAGCAGCGCACCAAAGTAGACCAACGATAGTTCCCTGTCGCACGGCTGAGAACTCTCCGTTCTCGCCGAATCTTTCGATGAAGTCTGTCATTGCCAGGAAACCAGAGATTTGACCGGATTCGTAACCAAACATGAAACCACCAATACTAGCAACAGCTCCGAGGATGACTGCGATGATCGGAACCCTTCCTTGAGGCTCTTCTACATCGTGGTGCGAGTGCCTCCTGGGCGGCGTCTGGGCAGGAGTTGTCATGTTCGAAGTGTTCTTCTCTGCCACCTCTTCGGTGGGCTTTCTGTTGAAAAAACGCATGATGCGAATGTTGCGCAGGTATCAGGCAAGATGTTATTAAAATAATGTAGTCGATAGCAAAGATGCTGTGAGGTAGAGGATTCAATGAACCATTCACTGGGGAAGAGATGAAAGCATGGGGAATGGAGAAGAAATACTTGGGGTTTTGTTGACGAAGTGCCGCTTTCGGTTTCCCATGGCACCTGAGCATGGGTCGACCGGCGGCTGTACCGTGATTCGGCCGATGAACAGTGGAACTTGCCATCATTGCAGGCTGCGTGACACTAGCAATTTTCTCACGATGGTAAATCACTCGCTCGAGCTCGAGCCCGGCGTCCGGCGTTCTTCGAAACAGTGGAGTTGGTAAGCCAAGATGTGGAAGACGGCGGGCAGGCCATGGTATTTCAATCAACGCCGGGGAAGCTGGTGCTATCTTTGAGACTCATAGGCACTGTCCCACTGCTGCAAATTCTGGTCTGACACAGTGGAGTTTCGCTCCATTGTTGTTATCTCTGTTGCGGTCAAAATAGATACAGCCGATCTTGACCGAGCAAACTATCGGAAAGAGGTCGGAGGTCGGGAGATGTGCCATGAGGCTCTGCGGGACGTTCCTCGGCTGGACCGTTTTTTGCATATCCTTGTCCACTGGCGATCGAGAATTTTCGCTTTCGTTTTCCGAAAGCGGGTCTCAGTGGGTCATGATGGGAGCGTTTGTGAGGCTCTTAGATTGGGTCCTTTTGTTGGCGCAATAGCCCGTCTCGCTACCAAGGCTCGGCACGCAGCCGGCGACGTTGAGCGCTGATGTTTGAGGATGTGTATACCAGTGAACAGGCTGCAGGACCGTTCAACAGTCGAACTGCAAGCTTCGGACTGCGCGCAGAATGTTACCGCGCTTGTCGATGTGGTGTGATGCTGTTATCGATCCTTGGCCGGACTGGGCTAGCTTGGAATCTAAAAGCGGGCCGACCGATCCCGGAATTCTCCCGCTATGGCCACAGCTCGGCGCTCACGGCGCGCGTCATCAGTTGGCGTGATGGAGCCATGAAACGATGCTAAAGAATGCAACACTCGGAAGGTTCTGCAAAGATCGTGAGAGCGCAGAATCAGCAAGCTTGGTGCCGCCCCTTCCGCCTTCCGAGCTGTCTCCTTACCACGTTACTGCCACGTTGGTGCCACGTGAGGTCATGAGAAGATTGGCCACCGCATTCGCCTGCGTACGATCACTCGACCAACACTTGAACCTTCACATCATTCTTCGCATCATTCCCTGAATATGAGAATTTTTGGCCTGCGTGGCTGTATTGGTACTAGCCGTCTCATGGACCCACTTGGAATGCGCCACTTCCCTACCCGCAGAGCCGCACTATCACGGACATAAGCCAACTGCAGACTTTCTTCACGGCAATAATCCATAATTCCTCACAGCAAGGCGTCATTCGTGTATGAACCTCGTGTTGTCAGAGAAGCCTTCATTGCAAACAATTCAACTCCAGACTTCAATATTTGAGAACGAAATAGCAAACCCTCGCTTTGTTATCTACCATTGACAGTAGCTCGGTGGCCTGTGAAGCTTATTCAGGGGTCCAAGTCGCCAATGTCTTAAAGAACCTGTTTCTGGCCGAGAGAGGGGCCGATCTTAGGCTGGTGTCGCTTCCGTTGTTCTGTCCACTTACACCGCAAGTCCTGGCCGAGCGGGCATGGCATTAGACCATACATCAGTGTCTGGGTTAGAGGGTTGGCAGAACCTGGTCGAGCTCTTAGTGTTAGGTGTTCTTGTTCGTACATCTCCGCCACTGGTTAGACATCTAAGGACTGGGCGAAGGTTTGGCAGAGAAGCTGCGCCTCTGTTAGCATGACCGGTTTCGCCTACGCTTAGGTCTGCTTACTCGAAAAGTGGGCTAGATTGATCTCGACGACAGCTGCGATGGCCTGGGGAGTGTTGATCCACCAAACCTCTTGTGAGGTAGTATTAAGTTGAGTGGCTAGAACCAGCTGTACCAGCGACGCGATGCACACCCTTTGATCGTTAGCAAGGCATCAATAGCAAGACCTCGGTTGTACACTTACAATATACCGGAGCTAAACATTGCTGCAAGCGCTATCCTCTCCCCTTTTGCCCTGTTGAGCCTTCGGAGCTCATACCAAGGTAGCGCAACGATGCATATCTCCAGGGCAAGGTGAACTGCCTGTAGTCGGCCGGAGTTAGCGAATTCGTCCACCGTCACTCCACCATCCGGTTACTCACTGTGGAGAAGTCAGCATATGTAACTAGCGCCAACATTGTCTGTAGTCTACCTGTAGAACCATAGAAAAACTGGGCCATATCAACCCGACAATCCCCCGGACCCTTGCGGTTCCAGAAACGCGAAATCGGGTGGCACACGACCAGTATAACGACATACTATTGGACATCAGCCGTGGAGACCCAAAGGCGTGGTATACCCCATCAGCTTACTCGCGCGAACATCCACCACACAACGCAGCCTGCCAATAGCAGGATCCAGTACTGTGTTATGGATTTGCCGAACAGACGCCAGTATAGGGCTAGTGCTGTCATCTTGGAGAGTCCCATGGCCGTGGTGTAGAGCCACATGTCAGGATACAGGAGGAGAAAGTAGTCGTGGGTCATGCGGTCGTAGTCGATTTCGCCGTGGTGGTTGTGCTGGGCTATGTCTGCGCAGTGGAGGCCGAGGCCGAACTTTAGCTCTGTATGCGTTAGATCTTGAGTTACTCGTGCAGTGGAACGAGCGTACTGATCAAGTAGAGAATGTTGAACGCGGTAACGAAGAGCTGTCAGAGTTAGCATGGCACCATCAGCTTTCGAGAGTTCTGGAGCATACGAATGCAGCCGCGGAGACCCAATCTCCGGTGATAAACGGCACACCATTCCATCTTCTGGAAAAGAATCTCAAAATGAAGGCGATAAGAGCAGCTGAGTAGGTGATGGATATTGCAGCTCCGACGTTAGGTTGTAAGGTTTCCATTATGCAAAAGTGCTGAACGCCAGAAAACCTGCAAAGTGGATGGGGAATACTTCCAACAGTACATCGATAGAGTGCGGCGGCATCGGGTGTTATGCGTTGTGCGAGTGCGAATAGGAATTGTAAAAGGTGCGAGTCAAAGTGTCACAGCCCTTTGGCATGATGGTCAGGGCATGTAGAAGAGCTTTGTGTGAATATTGTTGCATACTGCAACACGTCGCAGCGTCCTTTGTGATATGAAAGCAACTTCACTCGCACTTGTCACCCACCAGCTATCAAGAAGCGTTCCAAACTGGGAAGCAGTATCCGCGTGTATGCTTCCAGACATGGTCCCTAGGTTCCCGCAGTGATCCCGCTATACCGCAGACTTCTGCCCACACCGTTTGAGCTACTCGCAAGCGACCTAATCGGAAAGTTGATGAGAAAGGATAAACTAGACGTGAGAGTTGATCCTGAGCTGTTGATTGGTGCACCCCCAGTCCAGGTCAACCGGGGTGGGAAAAAGTCCATGGTACGAAGTCTTCTCGAGCTTCCTGCGCACATCCTGGCTTTCAAGATCTCGTCCGGAACATATAGTCAAACGTGTCCTTGACCTGCGCTACTACGCCTTGAAACACCGCTTTGAGGAACGCAACGTCATCGAGCGTTTTGAAACGACAGTCGAAGTCACAGCTGAGACATCTGCGGACTGCGTCTGCGTAATTACCTCCGGCATCGTCGCGAAGCTCTTCCACAAGCCTGTTTGCGGTAGCAAGCTCTGTGATAAGGTCTGTCTGTACATCGCCTGTCCCTGATAGCCCGTCCTCTGGTTTATGGTATTCGGATAATGGCTTTCCGAACCAAAGCTCGATGAGCACAATGCCCAGTGCATAAAGGGCCTGATTTCGAATGATCAATTTCATGAGAGGTGGAAGAGAAGCAGCGCGTGCTTGATTTTCGCCTACAGCGTTCTGCAGTACGAATGGATCAGTGTAGGCGGTGTTGCCCGATCTTTCGATGAAGAGGATATCTGAGTTTCTCCAATTGTCTGCGAGCCAGGGAGTTTGATGTAATTGCAGCACGCTGGAAGCTAGAGTGACTGCCAGTCGTATACGATAGCGGCGAGAGAAGCGTGGATCCGTGAGCACGCTCGGAAGATCCCGGATTGACCAACTCTCAGTATCTCGTGGCGGGCTCTTGGAAGGGTAGATGAGTATACTATGCTTTTTTTTTGCGTATTCGTTCACTAGGAGAGACAGACATATCTCCCTCTGTGGCGGCTGTAATGTGCTAATGGTCGCACATAGACTCTGGATGGGCTGCATGTTGCGGGTTGGTCCCAAAGCTGCTTGGACAGCGGTCTTGGCTTGTTTCGCGAATCGAACGCCTTTGGCGCCAGCAGCCAAGGTTTTTGGGTTTCCAGGCGAGGGTTCACTGCGAATAGTAACCTGAACATCTACTTCCTCCCAGTTCCATGGTTTCTTGGTGGGCGGGATCGGGTTGTTGCTCGTTAGACTGTGGTGATCATAGCGGAAAACCACATGAAAAGGCTCCTGGACAGACTCATCTTCGTCACTTTCTTCGTTCTGAATCTGATCCATACGGTGCTCTAGGCGCAGATGAACGCCATGGTCGGCATGGCATGGGCACTGCCACCCAGACTCTAACGCGTAGTGAACTCCTTGAGCATGCTCCTTTATTACATCAAACCTGGGCATTGGAGGACGATACGGATTTTCTGAAGTCTGTAGACCTTCTAAAGAGATTGTCTGTGTTGTCATGCGGTTAAGTGATGAATTAGCCCGACGTAAACAACTCATCAGGTCGTCATAGTCGGCCTTCTTCAGACTGAAATCCAAACGCTTGTAGTACTTTCTGAAGTTTGCTTCATCCTTGAATTTTTGTTTCCCATCTGGATCCAGCTTTAACCGTTGCTTAAACATATCGGTCGTTTTCCGTAGTTCATCGATGGTGGCGATGTACGAGTCATAACTTGTGCCAAGACGCTTGTGCAGCTTGTCGTTGAACTGACCGTCCTTCCAGCGACTGCCTCCAGGATCGGCCAGGAATTCTGACATATCACTCTGTTTTAATATGCCTACCTATGATATCACTGATGAGCGGAGAGTCGATGGAACGTCCTGGGTTGACTCACTAGCAGTAGGTGCAACGAGTTCTCGCATATCGTTTTCTCCGTCCGAAGCTCGACAAGGAGACTTTGAAATTGCTGTCGGTATTTGAGACATCGCCTATTCACTGCTTTAGACACCCCTTTGCAGTGAGCACGATTATGGTCACGTACCGCGAGACTGCAATGCCTTTCGCGTAGAACTCCATTGACGCTAGGATCAGTGGGATCGCTCCCAGAACGAGGCCTGCAACCTCTATTCCCGACATCTCAAACGTTAAGAAGACTATCTCCGCCTTGAGATACCCTACGGCATGCTAGATGGAATAAAAAAGGAGTTGGGTGATGATGATGAGGTGACTATGCGTGTGAGAGGCAACCAGGCTGAGGGCTAAAGTTGAGATGGCAGGCACGTTGGGTTCGTTCGTTAGGTTCATGGTGCGGGGCTCGTTCAGCCTCATCGCATCGGGCATCATGATCGCTACCGCAAAAGCCCATCACCTTGCCTCATTATCGACTCCTGAACAACCTCTATGTCGCGCAGCTAGTTCTCGATGGCTACACCTCCTGCCATTCACCTGCGCGTGCACGATGTTGGTGGTGTTTTCGTCCGCCTCACGCAGGCACTAGGTCACTCCCCGCAGCACGCAGGTCAAATCGGATCACACAACATCGAGGACGAGTTTGACCGTTTCAAAATCTGGGCTGGCAATATTGCCGCCCACCGCAAAGGACGAAGATCTCTCGAGTATCGTTTACGAGATGCTGCTCATTTACAAGACGAGATTAACGGTTTGCTAACCACCCTGGAACAGTCACTCAAACATGGTATACGCTCATAGGATCCTACACGCTGCTTATATGCTTACTTTTGAAGCCATCGCTGTCGTAAAGGGCGAGAAAACACCTTGGGATGTTCTGGAAGACAGCGACAACGATTCGGAATTAAGCAGTAATGCGTCCAGCGCCGGAGAAGACACCGAACTCAAACAGTTGTGTGGTAGCATACAGTCTTCGGTCACATGTCTATTCAGACTTTCGATGGCCATACGAGATCCTGCGCCGGACGATCGTCTACAAAAGACCATCACTGTCGATAAGTCTTACTTCGAAGATTACGACATATTGCACGCCAAAACCAAGTTCCCTGATTGCGCCGAATATCTGACCGAACGACTTGGACGAGCTATCTCGGGACGACGGCAATACTTTAGTTATCGGGAGCTTCATCATCAAAAACTTGCGAAGAAGGCCGAGCTGATCGGACTAGAGCAGCCTCGCACCGAACATACATCCAATAGTACTGAGGCTTCACCCCTTCCGGTATCTCATAGCTTAAACATTCTTGACGAGGACGACACTTTATCCCAGACGTCTTATGCGACATCGGTGAATGCAACCATCCGCGTGCCCCCACTGCCGAAGGAAGCTCGCGAACACGAGCATTTTGAATGTCCATTATGTTTCATGATCGTTTCTGATCACACTAAAGCTGCTTGGAAGTACGTGAACGTCAATTGTGGATGAAGACTGAGGCTGACAGTGCAGGCAACATGTTTACCGAGACCTCCATCCCTATTCGTGCACCATCGAGCAGTGCGCCATGGCAGATCATCTCTACGCGTCGCGTAATGCTTGGTTTCAACACGAACTTCAGGCTCATAGATCTTCGTGGCAATGCGTAGCAGGGTGCGATGCACTGTATATGAAAGAGTGCGATTTTGAGGCCCATGTCGCAGAACGACACCCGGGCCTCGCCTCGCCACCTATGCTTATCGCACTGAAGCGGACATCTCGAAGAGCGGCTGACACAACTGCGAAAATCAATTGCCCGTTATGTGGCGTGCTGATGTCCGTCATGGCCCTCAAAAGGCATGTTGGGAGACATCAAGAGCAGCTAGCTCTTTTTGCTCTACCACCCAATCTGGAGGAGACTGATGGAGATGTAAAGGATGATGGTACCAATTCTTCCGATGCCGCCGTTAACGTCGACGAATGGCGAGACGCAGATATGTCAGATTCTGGCGATTCAGATAGTGTTGATCCGTCATCCACAGCCGGGACGACAGAACACGTCCAGCCACGAATGATATCATGTCTTAATTGCCACGATTGGCGGGTGCATGAGGAACACGAGAGATATTGCCCCAGGTGTGGATCAGAAGACATTGCCCCTGCGAGCGCTCGATGGACGAAGATCGACAGGAGGTTCGTGAATCCGCAAGCGCTTGAGGAAGCACGGGAGCAATTCGAAGAACGTGAAGACTGTTGCATTGTTCTGCGCGTATTGACTCAAGAAGAAATTCAGAAGCTGGCTGACCGTACAAAAGAGATCCGCGAAGCTAGACAGGTAAACTTATGATCACATCGTAAGGCCATTGCACTGACGAAGAGATGATAGGCAGAGTGCGAAGGCTATAACCAGCGCTGGATCCCCAAGCCCATCGAAAACTGGCCGCCCCATCTAAGAGGGATGACCAAGTCAGCAGAGGCAGCGAGGGTGATAGTAAAGGCAGCCCAGGCAGCTCGAGAGGAAGCTGAGAAGAAGGCGGCTAAGGAAGCAGAAGACACGAAAGCTGCACACAAGAAAGCACTCGAAGAAGCCAAGAAAGCCCAGGAGGAGCTTGAGGAAACTAAGAAACTGCTAGAGAGGCTGCAAAGTTGAAGTCGTCAGATGCACCGAAACCTCCGAATAAATTCATGGATCTAGCATAGACTCGCGAAGGGGACATGGGAAAGCAACTCGAGGCAGGCAGACCGATTCGGCAGTTCCAGTATGTACTAGAGAGCCCGCTGCTTACTGCGGATGGCGATGGCGACGTGGAAGTCACGTCGTCTCAAAGCGCGGGAGTCTATACGAGCGCGATCTTCCCTTCTGGCGCCGCAACATGAAGAAGTATAACGTCGAAGTTCGTGAACCCTCGGAACGTGACCATAAGTAGCACAGAGATACTGGGTACTACCCGTAGGCCATAACGTTGGGAGAAAACGTCACCCGTAGTTCATGAACTGGGACTGCCTTGTGGAATTGGATAAGATCATACCTCAGGTCATAACGGAATGGATGGCTAGACAATTAGTGCTGCATCTGAGCTCAAGAGAAGCCCTCACGCTTATCCAACGTCGCAGAATCTCAATGACTCAACCAAGTAAGACAATTGTGTAGCCTGGGTGCAGTGATCCGACGTTGATTTCGACACTGTCCAACACCGCTAGAGCGATACATCTGGAAGACATGAAGCCTAGTATCGTCGCATACGCGGGACTGTAGCCCAGGAGCAATCGACAACTCGTCTACTACATACGATATGCCATGTTTCACACAAGATCGACAACGCGAAGGAGCTTGAGTTCGCCTAGGCAGACTCATCATTGTGCTTTGTGACGGGAATGCTGCGGCTAGCTAAGCGCAACCAATGCTTTAGGTAAGTGATCGCCTACTTCATATGCAACTACTTTGTATATTGACCTCATAAGGGAAGAGTCAACTAGTGTTCGATACGGCTGTACATTCAGAGCGTGTTTAAGCGGCCTAACTACTCGGTCACGACACCTCATCACTTATGGCGTTGTGCACGGTACAGGCGGCGTTCAGCGCTGCAAACGCGCGAGGCAAGAGACCCATCCATGGCTGCCCCTTCATCGTTTGCATCGAAACTGTTTGAAGACCGCCTCTGCTGGCAGCATCTATACTCTGGCGATATTGCATGTCATGTGTCACGACTGGGGCCGAACTTGACATAGCCTGTGGTCTGTGCGACATGATCTACACCGTATTGGGGCGAAGCGATGCATAGCCGCCTCCCCTTTACTACACAGCCTCACGGTTCATTGCAGACACGAAACAACACCAGCCCAGTACCCTTTGCACCGAGTACACACTAAATGAAGAATCCACTTCCTGCAGACAGTGGTACCCAATGAGGACAGGCTTCAGTGTCGCCAAACATTCCCACATCTAGTTGCAGCCCAGTACCCGCGTTGTGACCCCGCGATGTCTGGGCAGCCTTTCAGGCGTGCACTCGAAGCCAACTCCGGGTCGGCATCTTTATAACTTTCGGATGCTGCCATGCGGCTATTCGCATTCGTTGTACATAGATCTGGCGTTTGTCTTTCGTTGACTACCATTATTGGGTAAAGCTGTCTAGCAACGACACAATCTGTTGCTGATAGCTTCGTACGCTGTATAGCCCAACATCGAACTCATCGTGTTTATCGTTGTGCGCCTAGGAGATTGTTACTCGCACTTCTTTTTCCTTCAAGCTTGGCGGGCATACGCTGCTGCCTTGTAGCCCACACTCCAACCGCACTTCTTCTGAGACCTACGATGGTAGGAAAGCCAATATGAGTCTCTTAATTCGGCAAATTTGGGCTTTGGTCCGCAAGAATTTGCTCATCATATGTTTACGACGGCCCATCTCGACCTTCATCCGCGCGTTGGCAATCCCTCTTGTCGTGGTCCTCGTTCTGTCCTACACAAAAGAATTCTTTGCGTCACCACTGAAATATGGGATTTCATCCCCGCACACTGTGAGTAGCTGTACACCAATTGCGATACTGCACTTCTGCTGACCCTGTCCAGATACGCTCGCTCAAGGACGGCCTAGCAGCGAGCGATGGCCGTGACGTCGTCGGCTTCGTCAGCAATGGAATGCAAGGCGATGTCTCCGAATTGATTGATGCGCTGTCGAAAACGATTAATGATGCTGGAAAAACTGCTAAGCGATACGATACTACCCGGCAGCTCACACAAGATTGTGTCCCGAACGGAGTTGACGATGGTCCGAAGTGTTATGGAGGTGTAGTCTTTCTCGCTTCACCAGATCAGGGAACCAACCAGAGCGCGAAAGGAACCTGGAACTACACGATTCGCGGCGATTCCACTGGTGGGTTCACAGACGTGACGCAAGATAATAACAACGCAGAGGTGTATCTCATACCGTTACAACGCGCTGTGGACGAAGAGATTGTAGCACGCTCGAGGTCTGGCCAAGATGGATCGTTCTCGCAAACTCAAACGGTTGTATACACTTCGCAGAATCAGGAGTCTCTGGACGACTCGCGAACGAGCAATTTCTTAGCGCTCTGCATCTACGCTTTCGGCACGCTGTATACCTTCACCCTCATTGGCATCGTCTACCATATGACATCCTTCGTCTCTCATGAAAGGGAGCTTGGTATGTCTGGGCTCATCGACGCTATGATCCCAGGTGGTTCCAATATCCGAGGCCGACTTGCGCGTCAGATTGCGACCTATATCTCTTTCGCCATTGTCTACTTCCCGAGCTGGATAGCTGTAGGCGTGGTCGTCTCCGAGCTGGCTTTCCCGAAAACCTCGCAGGGCATTCCCGTTGGCTTTACAATCTTTGCTGGGCTGGCATTGACATCCTTCTCCCTGTTTGGAGCCTCATTCTTCAAGAAATCCCAGCTTAGCGGCTCGATCCTGGTGGTCATTGCACTAGTTTTCGCTATTCTACCTCAGACCCTCTATCAGCAGACGAAGGTTGCCTGCGGTATTATGAGCTTCATCTTTCCCTCGGCAACGTACACCTACCTCATCACAGGCGCTGCGGTTTTCGAATCATACGATGTGAAGATGCAGATGTGGAATCAACCGCCAGAAGAAGCGGAGGTCCCCACCAGCTATCGTCTGAACATTGGCATCCATTGGGTGTTCCTAGCTGTGCAGATTATAGTGTACCCGATCCTAGCGTTTCTCGTCGAACACATACAGTTCTCCACGGCATCACCATACAGGACCTTCGTACCCCCATCGCACGAGCAGGCTCCGACCGTTACGTTGACGTCGTTTTCCAAGACATACAAAGCGGGTTTCTTTTCGCGCATCTTCAAGCGCGGGAAAGATGTACGCGCTGTCGTCGACATGAGCCTTAGCGCGTATCGAGGGCAGTTACTTTGCTTGCTTGGGCCAAACGGCAGCGGCAAAAGTACTACTATGAACTGCATTGCGGGACAACACAAAGTAACGTCTGGGAGTGTCGCAATCGATCCGAGCGGAGGCTTAGGCTACGCACCTCAGAACAACGTCATCTGGCCGGATCTGACAGTCGAAGAGCATATTCGCATCTTTAGTGATCTCAAATGCATCTCCAATGTCAACGAAGAGATTGTCTCGGAACTCGTCCGTATGTGCGACCTGCAGAAGAAGCTGCCGTCAAAAGCGAAGACACTGTCTGGTGGTCAGAAGCGAAAGCTCCAGCTAGCTATGATGTTTGCTGGAGGGTCTGCTGTCTGTTGCGTCGACGAGGTGTCCACAGGTCTCGATCCCATCTCGCGTCGGAGAATCTGGGAAATCCTTTTAGCGGAGCGCCACAGACGGACAATCATTATGACTACTCATTTTCTGGACGAAGCCGACTATCTCAGCGACAATATTGTAATCATGTACAAGGGCACTTTGAAGGCCGAGGGTACGGCTGCGGCGTTGAAGAACCAGTACGGACGCGGATTTACGATCAAGTTGCCAGAGAATATCGACGTCAACATACCTTTGTCAGGTACGATCGAGAAAGAAACATCTAGACATCAGGTGGTGTTCAGAGTGGCGACGGCTGCATTGGTGACCGAGCTTGTCGAGCATCTCGAAGCGAAGGGTATTCGCGACTATCAAATCTCTGGGCCCACAATGGAAGAACTGTTCCTGAAGGCGACTGGCGACACCATCATGTCGACTGAAAGCAGTCCCAAAAAGGAAAAACAGGCAGTCACTGCAGATAAAGCAGACAAGGTAGACGAGGAAGACGAAGTGGGGCTTGTAAAAGCTGCTACCGGACATTACGAGCTCAAGGATGGTCGACCTATCTCCGTCATCAAGCAATGGTACCTGCTCGTTGGAAAAAGGTTCCGCATTCTTCGGCGCCGCTACGTTCCCTATTTCGTGGCTGTCGCGTTCGCCATCGTTGGCGCCGGCGTTGCCCCTCTTCTTATCAAGAGTTTCAAGGTACCCATGAAATGCCCGACACCAGCAGACCTCGTCAGCGACTACAGGGGTTCTTATCGAAACGATCTTGTCACCTCGTATTCCCCTCGCATTATGTTCGGTCCTCCAGACAAGCTGAACGAGACGCGCTTGGCTCAAGTAGCGGATGTGTACTCTCACAACACGACGGGAACGAAAGACTGCGATTCTACCGGGACACGTTATTGTCCTGATTACGGATTCCACAACACGACTCAGCTTAAGGATTCGTTGGTGATGGTCAACTCGTACGATGAGTTTCTCAAGAAGATACAGGCCTACCAGGACTACAACTCAGCATCTTACACGAGTTATTCTTATGATTATTCTTCATATACCGATATTAAGATCGATGGCGGAATATGGATGGGCAATGACGGAGCCATCGTCGCCGCCAACGTGCAGGCATCTGATGACGTCTTAATCATGCTGAACTTTCTCGACAACATCGTTACCGGAGTGCCTATCTCGGCAGGCTACTCGCCGTTTCCGACGGAACAGCCACCAGAGATATACGACTACCGACCACTGATTTTCATCGTGTATTATGGTTTGATCATGGCTGCTTACCCGGCGTTCTTCGCGCTTTATCCTACCAACGAGCGCATCTCTAATGTGAGGTCGATGCAGTACTCGAATGGGATTCGGCCGCTTCCACTTTGGCTGTCGCATCTCGCGTTTGATGGCATCTTCGTTGTTGTGATTAGCTCGGTGGCTACTGGCTTGCTCTCGGCCTCTACCCCGGTTTGGTTTGGCCTTGGGTATATCTGGCTCATTTTAGTTCTGTATGGCCTGTCTGCGACGCTACTTTCCTATGTTATCTCCATGTTCGCCAAGTCTGCGGTGACAGCCTGGTTTAGTAAGTGAGCCCCTAGGTCTGAAAATACACACATGCTAACACGGTGATAGTGATTGCGCTTGGACAAGTGATCTTCTACTTCGCCTACCTCGGCGGCTTGATCGGTGTCCAATCTTCATTCCCCTACGCGAAGATGGAAGGAGTCTTCAACAGCCTCTTCTTCGGCCTCGGTATAATTTCTCCAGCCGTGTGTCTCGAAAGAGCGCTCATGATCGGAATGACTCAATTTGCCGCGCTCTGCAACGGGCACAGCGCCGGCTCGATCTACCTCTACGGCGGACCCATCCTCTACCTCGTCCTTCAAGGAGCCATCCTATTCACCATCCTACTCTGGTGGGACAGCTCCTTCAAGCTCCCTTCCTTCGGCAGACGCCGCGCCGCCCACGACCCCGAAGCAACAGAGATGTACTCCAAAGACCTAATGACCGAACGCAAGCGCCTCAACGCCTCCAACTGCGATCTCCGCATAGAATCCGTCTCCAGAACTTTCGGCAAGAACAACGCCGTAGACAACGTCACGTTTGGCGTCCAATCCTCTGAAATGTTCGCGCTGCTCGGTCCCAACGGCGCAGGAAAGAGCACCATCATATCAATGATCCGCGGCGACCTCAGGCCCTCGACTTCCGATTCTGCCATCACCATCGCAGGCCACTCCATCCTCTCTGCCCCCGTCGCCGCACGTGCAAACTTAGGTGTATGCCCGCAATTCGACTCCGCCGATGTGCTCACCGTCACCGAAACCCTCCGCTTCTTCGCGCGCATCCGCGGCGTCTCCGACATAGCGCACAACGTCGCGACCGTGATTTCCGCCTGCGGCCTCTCCGCCTGGGCCGACCAACTAGCACAGAAACTCTCGGGCGGCACAAAGCGCAAGCTAAGTCTTGCCGTCGCGCTGGTAGGCAACCCCCGCGTACTCGTTCTCGACGAGCCATCTTCCGCGCTCGACGCGAATGCTAAGCGCAACATGTGGCGCTGTCTCCAAAGCACCGGGAAGGGCCGCGCGGTGGTGCTAACGACGCATTCGATGGAGGAGGCGGATGCGCTGGCGGACAGGATTGGGATTGTGTCGTCGAGAATGCTGGCGCTGGGGGAGCGGGAAGACCTCAAGCGAAGGGCAGGAGACTCCTTCCACATCCATCTCGTCGCGCGGTCTGCGCCGCGGACTACAGATGAGGAATTGCAGCGGATGAAGGACTGGATTGCGGGGACATTTGCAAACGCGAAGGTTAGTCGGGAGACGCAGGGTGGGCAGGTTCGCTTCGAGGTTCCTGCGGAGGGGAGATCGTTGGGGGGTTTGATCCAGATGCTTGAGAGGGTGAAGGACGAGCTGGGCGTGGAGTTTTACAGCGTGGGGAAGGCGACGCTGGATGAGGTGTTTGAGAATATTGTGAAGAGGTATGGGGAGTATACTGAGAAGTGAGGTGTTTCTCTTAATTTGTAGCGTTCTGGGTTGTTGGATATACCACTAGGGGAACGAACTATGCGCATCAATCGGAAAGAACAAATTTAACTCATGACTACCACCAGTCTCTTCCGTGCTACGTAAAAAGAGAAAAGGAGATGGAAAGTATCTCGAACGTCTGTGTGACAGGCTTTGAACAAAGGTCTGCCGACTCGTAAGGAGTCGCTCGTAGGAAGTCGGTCAAGGAGGAACTGGTCAGGATGTTATTTTGGATGGCAGCGGTATTTCGACTTGACACAGAACATACAAAGTTCAAACCCCAACCTCTTCACAATATTTCCCAGCCTATCACCTCCCTATCGGCACTCTACAACCCACAGCAACCTTTTGCCCCACCGCTATATCTCGCTATAATACAGTGTACACATCGAACATAGAAATAAATGATTTTGCCAAATTAGCACACAAACCCTCCCTAAGGATATCCGCTCCACGCAACATCAGAGAAGAACCGAATAATAACAAGAAATACACTACACCCCGCTCTTCACCCTCGCATAGAGCCAAACTTAATAAGGCACCCTCTTCACACTGCCTCCGAATCCCTCATCATCATCCCCACCAACATCAATACTATCCAAAAACGCCCCGAAATCCGGCTTCTTCATCTTCGCACTTCCATTCATGCCTGACGGAGCCCTCCCTCTCGACGCACTCCTCTCCTTCACACTCTTCCCCGCACTCGTCCTCACACTCCGACTCTTCCGCATGTCAATGGTTCCGTTCGCGTTCCCGCCTGGCGCCGTCTTCGGCCGGTCTGCCGCAGGTGCAGGGCTGACACTCTTGTCGCGCAAGGAGTCGGGTATAGGCGGGACAGGTGGTACAGCATCGCGTGAGTACGCGCGGGCGCGGGAAGTCTGAGCGTGCGTTGGTGAGCCCGGCGAGCCGGGTGCGCCAGAGGTTGAAGGAGGCCGGGACGCCGTAGTTGGTGTGTGCGTCGCGGCAGGGGTGGAAGGGGACTGTATAGGCTGAGATGCGTTGTGGTCTGCTGTGATAAAGGAGGCGTCCGAGAGGCTGTGGACGCTAACCAGAGACTCCGAGGCTGAAGAGTCGACGGAGGAGGTGTGGTTGCGGTGGCTGGGGACGCGTGTGGAGTAGGAGGTGCGTGGTGCTGAGCCGGAAAGCACGCGTTTGAGATCGTCGACGCGCACGGTGGAGTGGACGGAGGAGTTGCTGCCGGGTGTTCGTGAGGGGCTGTGATTTCGGTGGGGAGAAGCTACGCGTCCGACAAGGCCGTACGCCATGGAAGGAGGCCGACTGTGGGCGCGTCGAGGAGATGGTACAGGAGAGTTTGCAGCGCTGTCAAGATTGCCGTTAGGGATAGAGACGCCGAGGTAGTTGTTTTTCTGTGCTGAAGTTGCGGTTCGCGAGCCTGTCATTGAAGCTGACGAAGCGTCCTTGGTGTTTGTTGCAAGACAAGCCTCTCTACTCCAGTCGGCAAGCAGGTCTTCTTTAACCTTGTAAGATAGTAGGAGTGGAGGTGCGAGGGTCGCAGGCGCAGTCATTGCTATTGACATAGAGCGAACCGGTGAAGCAGTCATCGCCATTGAGCGGTCGCGACCGGGTGAGCCGGGTGGACTAGATGGAGGCGAGCGTAGAGAATCGGCATAACCATCGGCAATCTTGTCGACAAGCGCATCGCGGTTATCAAACGGCTTGAGAGCTTCGGTTTGGACAAGGTCAGCCGGCAGCTTGACTGGTTCAGAATGTGGCGTTTCGATTCGGTCCACAGGTAATGGTGGGACGCGGATACTCTTGACCCACAAGCCCTTCTCGTTTCGCCTAGAAATCTCAGAGTGGATTATCCTGCCGACCGTGGAGGTCTCGAAGTCCAAAGCTATGCTGACTGTCCACAAGTAGCCATGGACCAGACTGCCTATTCGCACTTTTGCCCCTGGGTTTTCAATGGTCGAGATGTCCTCTTGTAATCGTAGAATCATAGGTAAGCCCGTCCGGATAGCGTTGACGCCCAATTTGTTGACCAGAGTGGTGAGCAGCAGGTGAAGCAACAACAAGTCCGGTTCTGAGTCGACGAACTGGAGCGCGTTCTCGTAAATTGCAAGGTGCAATAGAGCAAGGAAGGTGGTCTTCCCTCTACGAGGAGACTTTTCTCGTTGCGATGCGTTGGAGACAGCGCGTCTTGCAAGCGCACCTTGGTTCTCCTTCTCCTTCTTGCGATAATCATCAACAAACTTCAGGTCCTCCTTTTTCTTCTCAAGCGTCAACCAAGTCACCAATGCGTCAACATAGCTCTTGCGAACCTGTCCGCTGGGATCGCGTAACATCCATTGTGTACCCTCCCAAGCTCTCACGCTCACCGAGCGTCGGGAAACAGAGGATGATGAGCCATCGGGTCTCCGGGTGTTTGCGGTTTCGATGATGTTCTTCACAGTTTCCAAGGCCGTCAAACGAGCCGTCTCAAATGAGAAGAACCGATCTACCCCCGGCGGTCGCTCTTTGAGGTTTGCTGAGTCCGCGACCGACTTGACAGCGCCAGAGGGATCCTCTATCGCCTCCACAGCCGACACGCCAGCCATAGGCGATGGCTTCAACCGACTCAATATCGCCGCGACCATGTCCGAAATCTGATCGGTGTAGTACACATGCACTGCCAGGCTAGCCATGCACTGCTTAACGATGTTGAGCAGCTGTAACCGGAACTGCGACGGCTCCTTGACAACTTCCATGACCACACCTTCGAGATTCCCGGAAGCTTTGGGGGTTGCGGCGTCCTTTTCAAAGACCGAAGTGTTCTGTTGGTGGTGCGGCAATACTGAGGTTCCAGGTCCGCCGAGTTGTAAAAGTAATAGGGTGTGAGAGATTAAACCAACTAATACGTCCATTACGCTGAGTCCGATGAAGTTGATAGTCGAGCCGAGGAGATGATTAATAACGGTCGCGAGCACGAGCTGCCGTTCGAGGTCGTCTTCCACGATCGGGCTGCGCACGAGCACTTCCACGGTGCAGACCAGAATCGCATATCTATCCTGAACAGGCGCCCACGAACAGATCTTCGACATGAGAGTGGTCGCCCAGTTCCCTACTCCATCCTCTTTCAAGTGTTCCTGTGGCTTCACATGGGTTCCGATAAATTTGAGGACGGCGGAGGTCGCAAGGCGCAGCTGTCCGCGGTTGACGCCCAGGAAGATGTGCCGCAGTGCTTCCAATGCGATCACGCCAACCTCCTCTTCTGCGATTTTGTCCGCCTCCTCGGTAGTCCCTGATGCAGCAACCGGATCGGCTTCTTCCTCGTCTGTCCGTACGGTGGATATGCTCTGCCGCCGCCTCTGCTGCTCAACTTTCTCATGCTCCTCCTTCTCATTCTCGCGGCTCTCGAGGCGGCGCAAGTACTCCCCGGTTTCGGAATATACGTTCAACAGAATGACGGGTATTATGACTGCGAGCTGGCGCCCAGTCTCTGATCCGAGCGATTCCGAGGACGCGACTGCCTTGAGCGCCTGCAGCCCCGACTTGCGAAAGCGGATCGCGACGGGCCAGCTAATGGGAGCCTTGCCTGCTTTTATAGCCTCCTTGGAAGCGAATTCGGCGTACAGCTGCACGATCTCCTCGTACTGGCTGATGTAGTCCTGGTCTGCGGCGAGGCTAGCCGGGTCTTGGTGCGCGCAGAGGGCTTCGAACGTAGGCACCGACTCCTCAACCATAGCGACATCGTTCGACTTGAGAATAGTCCTGAGACTCCTCAACACGGCGGCGGCGAAGAGAGGCAGGTCGCGGGGGCATTTCTCGATGAGAGCCTTGAGGATCTGCAGGGTGACCTGCACATTCCTGTACGATGGCTGTCAGTACTTTCTCCGGGTGGCGTAATTGGGTCAATGTCAAGGAGAAGAATGCAATTTACCCCGTGCGGACCTTCCAGACGTCTGCCGTGGTGCGCTTGTCGAGAAAGTCGCCCACCTTCTGCAGCTTGCTACGTCGCGTGCTCGCATAGTACAACAGGTAGCTCAGCTCCGACGAATTGGCCTTGACTTCGACATTGTTCTTGGTGAACTTGGGGTAGCACTTGCGCACTAGCACCTGATGCTTTGGCCGGCACGCCTGTTTCGCGGCGTTCATTTGACTCTATGTGGTGGGTCGTGGGCGGCGCTGTCGCTGGCGGGCAGGGCGAGCACTCGACGAGGCGCTATCGAGCAGCCGCTGTCGCAATCAGGCTTGGGAGCGCGACTATGGCGGGAGAGGGGCATGCGGTTCTCGGAAACCCTGCGTCTGTGTGCAAAGATAAAGGGTCCAGGGGCGCGGGCGTGCGGGAATGTAGGGGTCGAGGTCTCGGGCTTATGCTCTCGTCTCCATGGAGATGTGGTCTCTCAGGTGCTGGCACTTCAGGCTTCAGCCCTGCGCTGCTGCCAAGCCCACACACCCTGCAATAAGTCGTCATCGTCCAAACACCTTCCCAATCACCGTCGTACCGGAACGGCGTTGCTCCCGAATCCCGGTGCCCTTGGACTCGTCCGTCGAAACCTTGTTTGCGGCCTTTCGAAAGTACCGATGCTGTGCCGCGTGAACTCGACACCGCACCGCGTTCGTCAGCACGCCGATTTCAAACTGTAAAAAGCACGTCGCCAGCACGACATTTATCCACTTGAGGACTGCTTTGGTCTGACTCTTATATCATCAATCAGCATAATGTTGCGTATTAATGCTACAGCGTCTTAGCACCCCGAGCGTGTAAACCGCCCACTATGTTACAGTGCGCCCAAAAGACGCGTGTTGTACAGTTCGGAGTACATGTCATCCATACAAACGCCGAGCAAAACTACGTGCAAGGGTATCTCGCGGTTTCCGCACTTGAAAATGAGAAGAGCACTCCGTTGCACATCCCACATCTGTTCAACATCTTCTTTTCCGTCTTCCAACCTCCTTCTGTCTCTCAACCTTCAACCTTCTTCTCCCTGTTCTCTAGCTTTAACCTCTGTTTTCTGCTCCAGCTTGGCTGCCCTCTTCTCCTTGTTTTTTATAGCCCTGATCTCTTTCTGCAATGACTTGTCTGTTATTCGGATTTCGTCCTTTTCGCGGAATATCGAAGATACTGAAACGTTTCTGTCACCTCCCGTAGTCCACTCAGCCCGTCGTGCTCCCCTCTCCTCGGGAAAGGGTTGAAGATAATCGGCGCCCCAGCGTGGGCGCTGCTTGGTCATCGTTGTGGGAGCCTTTCCCCACGCCTCTGCACGAGCCTGTCTCGGAATACCAAGATCAAGAGAGTATTGTGCATCGCCCTGTTCTATGAGCTTAGGACGGGTTGCCTTGGGGAGTTGTTTTATCCTTTTTTTCATCCATGGCTAGTATAACCGCTCGCTTCACGTTGAACAAGCGTTTCGTCAGGTCCATTTTCCCCAGCCTGTCACCTTCCAGTTCAGGTCCAATCACGAACTGTAAGTGTATGCCATCGGTAACTGGCTGTACGAGGTATCTTGATTTCGCAGGCATGCTCTTGAGAATAAAATCCGGGCGAAGGTGGGGAAAGTGCCCGCAGGCGTAATCGAGACTGTCTTTCGGCTGGCTCACTATTCTTGCAGCCTTCTTCTCCGTGACGTGGCGTATTAGTATATCAAACTCAATCGGACTCCCAAGTGTGATAAGTTGATAAGCCTTGTCTATCATGTGCGCAAAATGATCCATTGGAGAATGGAGCAGGAGGTGGACTTCCCGCAGAGCCCGCAGGTGTGCGATCTCCACTTGGTTACCCCTTGCCTTCAATGGCTTCTTGGTGTCGACTTTGGCTTGTGCTCTCGTGCTGTATGCGTCAAATATGACATAATCTCTATATCTTCGGGCGGTTCGTAGTTTCTCTAGTTCAACATGATCCGAGGGTGCGTGGCTCTTCGGCACAGTGGATGCGAGCCTTAGAAACTTCCCAGGCTCTATGTAATCATCGTAGACTTGCTGCAGCGTGAGGCTTTCCGCAACTATCTTTTTGACTGGATGCCCGTCTTCATCCTTGACGAATTCAACAATGTTTATCTTGTGGTCTGACGCAGCCCGATCGGGTACATCATAGCGGTCAAATTTGAGCACTTTGTGCATGCCAAGTATCGTCTTCGCCCTGGCCGTCTTGTATAGATGTAGCGAGCGACATTGCGGCGGCGAGGGCGGGTGGACGAGAGGCGGGCGGCGTGTGATCCAACGCAGCGACCGCAAGGAAATCCGGAGCGGCGGTGACAATAGGGGCACGAACGTCGCCGTGAGGTGTACGGTCGGCGGCATCAAAGAGTATGAGCGGAGGAGCAGTACATAAGATTTTCATGCAGTGTATGCTGCAGGAAATGTGTGGCAGGCATATGGAAACATTGGAAAGGTTCCATCCCCGTCAATTTAGCGCGAGCCGAGGCGCGCAGGCGCGTTCAGCCCTGTCGCGTGCGCACTCGGACCAACACTAAGACGTCGCATCTCAGGCACGGGTTTATCGTGATGTCATCTTAAGCGACTTCAGGTTGGAAGTTGTTCATGGCTCGGAAAAATTATATTAAGTACTAATACAGCTCCTAAGAAAAACATTGTCTCTATCACTGCGTCCACACAGGCGCACTCAGTGTCATGAACGTGTCCTCACGTTCGGCGCCCTGTAAATCTGGTCCAGGAGGAAAGGGAATATTCCAATCGATCCATGGACTTGGGTCGAAGACATCTAGATTGGGCCAGGATGGTGGAGCCCCCGGATCATGAACATTACCTCGCGGGCTTACGGGTGCCGTTGGTGGTACTGGATTCGCAGTCAAGTGCTCCAGGTTAGGGTCAAAGCTGGAATGATGTTGGGGAAGACGTTGGGCAAGACCGTTGTCAATAGTATCAATAGGGTTCATGATGGCCGACGTACGTCGAGAGGGCGGTAGTGATGATGGGTGGTCGCCAGGCGGCGCGCAGAACGACTCCAAAAGATCACTCTCGCATCGACGAATAATGCTAGCTACTTGACGCAGTAGTCTTTGCTCGACTGGCCCAGGCTCCCGTTCAGCTGTTGCGAAGAGCTCTTGCCGCACACGTTCAAGTAATTCGCGGCGGAAACGGCGCGATTCTTCGGTAGGCGAGTCACTGTCATAGTCTGTTATTCTGTCAGCAGGTCAAATAAAGAGCTGATGTGCGCCTCGAAACATACATGGTGAAGGGATGTCCGCAACTGCTACTTCCGGAAATAGCAACTGATATGCATCCCTCCATTTGTCTTCTTCCATCCTCAGCGCTGGAGACCTCTTCTTCAGGTTTTCAAAAGTCCTTCGATCGATGCCATCCATGGGTTGTGGTGTTGAAACCTGGCAAGGATTACCACGCAGATGACTTGAGAGTTCAGCGTCCGAGTCGAACATCGCATAGCAACGGAAACAAAATATGGGCTGCGCATGCGAGCGGTAAAGATGTTCCTTCATCCGGTGTACAGTCGGCCATCCAGGACCACCACATGTGCGTTTGTGGCGGTAGCGATTAGGGTCGTGTTTGAAGAACGGACACGCAAAGCGGGGTCCGGTCTCTGAGTCCTCGGTGGTGGTGGTAACTGACACTCGACGCCTTTTGGCATCGTCCTCGTCAGGGTCATCGGGTGGAAGACTTTCGTCCGAACGTGCTTTGCGCTTGCCGTTGGATGCTTGAGAAGAACGGCTGCCACGCGAAACGTTGGCACCGCCTTGCGTTCGAGATGTGTGACCCCCGGCGCACTGCATGCATGCAGCATAGCCGAGGTTGACTTCGATCTTCCTCATGATGAGTTCGATCGTTTTCAGTGTTGCCTTCGGTAGCGTGCTAGATGCGGCACTGTTGCCGTGCTCGTCATCGCTATTGTCATCAGTGTTGGAATACATGTCGCAGCTTCCAGTAGAGTCCAATGATGCAATCGAAAGATTCCTTTCCTTTGGCCGATCGTGTGGATGGAGGTTGTCCTTCACCCAAATCTCGATGTTTTCGTTGCGCGAAGACTCTTTAGTTGACTGCTTGAATCCTGCTGTACAGTAGTTACGGGTCACGTCTGCTGGAGTCTCGATAAGCGTCGGATTACTCGTGAATTCGATCCTGGGGGTTGAAGCAATTTCCTGGGTCGTCTTGTGCTTCTTTGCTTGAATAGGGTTTAATGTCGTGACAGCCAACCGTTTCGTCCTGGATAATGCGACTTCCTTCACATCGAACAGTGCTGACGAGTCATAGGTGAAGTCAGACGATGTATGAGGTACTACGTGTCGATGTTAACATATGCTTCATGTCGATGTTGTAGACTCACTATGCGGGCTAACAAAATCAAGTGGAGACAATGAGATGTCTGGGTCACTAATGTATCCCGAGTCCTGGGTTCTCGATGAGCTCAGAGAGTCTCTTCTAGGACACTCTTGCGCGATCCTGAGCTTCGGCAGCGGCGCCTGCCTGTACGAAACTTCGCTCCAAGTTACAGCCTCCATTGCGCAAATGCTCAGATTGCAAGATTCGTCTGTAAGTCACATAAGAAGCAGAGCGTGCGTGGCAATAGCGGCCGAAAGTTTGTGAGCAATAGTGTGCGAATGTGTCTGGTGATATGTCTGCCTGAAGGATGCCGAACGATGCCTGCAACTGCGCATTCGCGCAAACGCATGTATCGTCAGCGTCTGGCTAGCACCGCCGACACCGAACTGCCAGACGATCGCCACGACATCTCGGAGACGCGGAGCTGAGCCCACGAGCAACGGGAACGGCCCTCGGTGGCTGTGAAAATGCGGGTGTTCCAAACCGGTGAGCTGTGCACTGTGGGAAACGCTGGGCTAGCTTGCATGGGGTAATCGTGCTGCATCACAACGCCTTGTTTATCACGGGTGGTGGGGGATCGTCGTGCGCTGACTTGATGTCTATTCTTACCGCTGGGCTGCATTGGAGCTGGACCATGGCCGGTTTGCGCATTGTTGTTGAAGCTGTGACTGAGCATGACGACCGATTAAGGAAGGCTCGGCCGAGGTGGTCGCAACATGTACCACGACATGATGCATTTTGGCCCCAATTGCCAAATCGTTAGCAGATTGCTGTGCCAACCACGTAACTGAGGTAGTGCTAGATATGAAAATTCTAGAATTCGGGATTTGGCATGAATTTGGGTATACGATCACATCTTCATAGCTACATTAAGACTCCGCAGCGCTCTTCCTTCCTTTCCTCTTCCTCTTCTTCTTGCGTTCACCGTCATGGATGTTCCCATCCTCTGCCTCCGTGTCACCAATAACAGCTCCCTCGTCCTCTTTGAGTATTGTTTCGAACCCTCCCTTCGGTCCTTCAGAATCACCAAACGTTTCCTGCCTCCACTGCCTAAGCCTGGCTTTCTTGCTGAGCTGCTTCTTGTCTTTCTTCTTCTTCGCAGGGTCTCGGAACGCGGCGAGCTTCTTGAGGCCAGCGAACTCGTTAAGCTGTTTATCGCTAGCAAGGAGAATATCGCGCGGTGTCATGCCAAAAGTGGTGGGTGAGGTTTCGCGGTAGCGGAAGCCCTTTGGTGCTTTGGATGACGACGCTGCGAGAGCGGTCTCATATTGTAGGCTGTCGTTGACGAGGTTCTCGATGAGGCGACGATCACGGCGCGCGGCGCTCTTTGCATCCGCGCGCTCCTGCTTGTGCTGTTTCGACGACTTCTTCGATGTTGATGCTTCCTCGTCGTCTTCGTCATCATCAACATCCATCTCATCCACACCACCGTCAGCGTTCTCATCGTCAGTCAGGGTAAATTGTTGTTGCTCCTCGTCATCGTCCTTGAAATCCGGGATGAGATCCTTGATGTCGATGTCGTCGTCGAACTTTGGCTTCTTCGTTTTCTTTTTCTTGTCCACACCTTCATCCTCGTCATCACTTCTCGCGAAAGCATCATCGTCCTCGTAGTACGCGTCGCCAAAGCGCCTCTGCATCTCCTTATCCCACTGATCATCAGACCAATCAGCTTCTAAAACATCTCTCCACTCATCGACCTTGAAGTCTCTACCCTTAAGCCCTCCTGTTTGACGGATCTTTTGGACTTTTTGCTCCATCTCATCGATCTTAAGTTTCCGTAACCGAGCAAGGTCTTCCTCTTTCTCCCGTCTCTCAGCTTCCCGCTTCGCGCGTGCAGCCTCGCGGGCTTTCGCTCGGCCACTCTTCCCATCTCGACGGACTGTAGTTTTCGCAACAGCGTCACGAGCGTATGTGACAAGCTTCTCGTTTGCGCCAGTGGTGTCCTCAAAGTACATGTTGTATGAGTTTTCCCACTCTTCGGCCGCAGCATCCTCGTCCTCATCGTCGGATTCGAGCGGCTGAAAGCGGGATTCGCCCTTGGGTACCCACGCGCGGGATGCCATAAAGTTGGAGAGGAAGGCCTCAGGATCCTTTTCGGCGTTCTCGACATCCTCTACAGTAATCTTGACACGCTTCTCGGGTGCAGGCTCGGTCCTAGATTTTGCCACCAAAAAATCATCATCTTCGTCGTCCTCATCTATAGCTTTGAGCTCCTTAACGAGATTCTGACGTGCATCTTCCTGCTCTTGTGCGTACGTCGGTTGCGGTGTATCCTCCTCGTCGCCAAGCGTTCCTTCGAGCAAGTTCTTGGTGTGGTATTGCTTCAGCGTCATAGAAGGTCCCTTGTCGGTGGCATCGTCTGCATTGGAGGCACCCTCCTCTTTCGCCTTGAAAAAGTTCACGCTCGAATCGTATATGCGCGGATCCTTGGCACGAAGCGCTGCGAGGGTGGCAGAGATTTCCTGATCCAGGTCTTCGGTGACGAGTTCGCCGGCGTCATCCTCCTCTACGCCTTCTTGAGAGTCTTCCGAGTCCTCGCCCTCAGCCTGAAGTGCTCTGCCTTTGCCGTACTTTTCCTCCACTGCGAGCAATTAGCGCTTTGACCATATAATTGCTGATGTAAATCACATACACCTATGCTGCTCCTCTCGCTTTTTGTTGTGCTCAAAGCGGCGCGCATAGTCCTCGTTGATCTTCAGCGACACGCCGCCATCGTCGCCGTTCGCTTCGTCGTCGCTGTCGTCAAGCAGCTTCGTCTTCTTCGCAGGGTGAGTCTTGGAAGTTTCAGTGTCTTCGGCGAGCTCGCGCTTCACGCCGTTGGTCGGCTGCTTGCTCCTGCTTCTACCCATGGTGTGTGTAATGTCTTACTCGAGGCTTGAGAATTTGTGTTGCAGCGGAAGGGTCGACCCACTAAAAAATGAAGGCGCCAAGATTTCGAGTTCGGGGCGGAGAAACTGCAACCGGGCAGCGGGCTGACGTCGATTGGCGACAGGCATGGGGATGCTTGGGGGCGGCAAGAACACCTCATAACAGTAAGCCCTCAGCGCCAAAGGAGGCACGAAATATACATTCCCGCGCCTGCCACTATGTTCTGTAGCCCCAATGCATCATAACATACCTCTTCGCTGCGCATTCTACTATCCAATACACACCCACGATAAAGACTGAACACCATGGCCGAGGGCGCCGCAGCACCGCCTGTGCTGGAGCCCGTCGCAAACCCAGTTGCTCTCATGTATGTCCAGATACTCTGCTTCGCAATACAACACTGACTTCAGAAGCCCTGTGGTGATCAAAGAAGCCGCTCTCGACTCTCCCACCTTCCGCGCAACGGCAGTGCATTTTAGCGATCAGATCGACCTGATCGAAAGATGGCTCAGCACCTACCTGACCGCCGTCTCGAAGCTCGCGAACGAAATGAACAACATGCAGGCACTTGTAGACGCGTATGTGCAGGCGTCTCATCCCCCACTACAACTCTCCGAGGCGGTGCTCGATCACGACTACACTGTATTGGCCCTGAAGCGCTTCGGTGAAGGGGCACGCGAGTTCTGGAACACCACGCTGCGGGGCATGAAGCGGGCCGAGACGACTGTGTGTGAGCCCGTCCGCGCTTTTCTGAACAATGACCTGCGAATGCTCAAGGAAGCACGGAGAAATCTCGACACCACGCAGCGCACATTCGACGGGGCTATTGCACGGTATGCTGGACAGGCTAAAACTAAGGAGCCCTCGTCGCTGCGAGAAGATGCATTCCAGTTGCATGAGGCAAGGAAGGACTATCTCAAAGCGAGCATGAACTTTTGTGTTCTGGCGCCCCAAGTGAGATCGACGTTGGACAGGATACTCGTCAAGGTTGTCAATGAGCAATGGCGCGACATGAAGTCTGCGCGCGAGAGTTCGGTGAAATCTTTTGCATCGTGGAACTCCGACATCGACCGCGTGCGGGGCTGGAGTAAAGAGATGGAGGATGGCGAACGCGTCTTCAAGCGAGAGCTTCATCTGGCGAGGCAACAAGTCGAGAGCAGCGCTGAGGTTGCTGCACGACCATCGCGAGAATTAGACACGTATGCAGCTTCTACCGTCCCATACATAGGCACCCAAGCACCTTCCTCCGCCAATCTCGCCTCTCCTGCGAAGCCGGATCCCACCAACGAGAAAGCAGAAAAACAGGGCTGGCTGTTTCAGCGTACCATCACAGGGAAGCCGGCGAGGACGTATTGGGTACGTCGGTGGTTCTTTGTCAAGCACGGCATCTTCGGCTGGCTGACACAAGGCACGCGGTCTGGTGCTGTGGAGGAATCTGAAAAAATTGGCGTACTGTTGTGCGGTATCCGTCCAGCGTTTCAAGAAGAGCGACGCTTCTGTTTCGAAGTCAAGACCAAGGATACCACTATATTGCTCCAAGCCGAAACACAAGCCGACCTCACCGAGTGGATCTCTTCATTCGAAGTGGCTAAGCGAAAAGCGCTCGAGGATACGTCCAAGGACTCTGGCGCACTTGGTTCTATCGACGCTGCCTTCTCCATCAGTCCGCCTGTGGCCCCCGAGTTTGCTGCCAAGACCTCAGAAGGCCATGCTGTTCATTCTAGCGAAGATGCTGGAGTAATCGAACGTACCGAATCGCTCGCAATTCCCGGTTCTGACAGCCTGGCCGCTCGTGGAAGCTTCGATGTCACAAAGCGTGCTACAGGCTTTGAACGAGAAGATGGTAGTCGCCGAGACCATGCCGCACGGATTATGGAAAAGCTCGATTTGACCCGTAAATCTACTGTAGGGCCCCAGCTAAGTGGAAGCAATCCCTCTTCCGCTTCTGGTGGCATTGCTAGCCTAATCTCTGCAAGTCTCGCGTCTGCAAGTCATAACATTGTACAGGTTGGACAGATAGCGGCTCCTGCGCCAGGTCTACCAGACACTCGCCTCGTGATGGGCCAGACCCTACCGTTCAGCAGTTTGGCTCCTTCGACGCTTGCCAATCCGCCCGCGCCCACAAATTTAAGCAAAGCTGCCGTCGCTGTCAGCGGTGAACGCGGCTTGGGTATTGGAAAATCAGGCAACATGCCGGGAGGGTTGATGGCAAACTTATGGGGCTCGGTCAACTGGGGCTACGTCAATCGACTTATGCGCGAAGACGAACCAGAAGTGCGCGATCGTAGCATGTCGGATCCTCCCAGCCCGGTGCGCCCATCTCTTGAGCTCGACGCTTTCACCAAATCGGGCAATGGTCCATCGGCAGACCCTTCACCAGGTCCTACTTCCCCAGCAAATGCTGCGCATCGCAAGACCATGAGTCTTGGGAGCCAAACGACTATACAGCAGCGTCCAAAAGTGGTTACAGAAGACTTTCCGAACTACTATCCTCTTGCTTTACGATTGCAAGACGCGCAATTCCGTATGTTATTTCCGACTGTACCTCGGGCAGAAAAGGTGGTGCTCGTCTTTCGCGCAGTTTGGAATATGACCGATCAGCAAGAGTTTCCTGGTCGAATTTACGTCACAGCGAAAGACATCTACTTCTATAGTAACCACTTAGGTCTAGTACTGATCACTGGAGTCAGCATGGGGTCTATCGATGAAGTAACAGCAGCGCCAGGAAAGGACTGCGACTTCCTTTTCTTGCACTTCAAGTCTGGCACGCGAGAAGACGGTGCTACTCGAATCACGATCAAGACTTTCCTCGAGCCACTTAAGCTGCTGCTTCGACGCCTAAACTTTTTAGTCCGCAACGCCACTACCGAAGAGCACGGTCTAGAAGAGATCATGAAACGACTTATCAAGATGGAGGCTAGCGAAGATAACTCACCTAGTGCGGACAGCTGGGAGGAAGTGCCTTCACATACACCCATGGATCCTGGTTATGGGAAGGACCTCAAAACCAGCCTGCGCATAGATGGCAACCTCTTCGGACCTTCAGGCGTCAATCGAAATCCCAGCAAGTTCAAGCTCCCATCACAACCTGTTCACTTCGCGCCTCAAGGAATGACACAGGTTGCAATAGAGAAAGAGTACGAGATCAGCGCCAAGGGGCTCTTTCACATCCTGTTCGGTGACAAGAGCGCCGTCTTTCAGATGCTGTATCGAGAGCGGCTTGCCCAACGCGTCGTGCAGGGACCGTGGACGAAGATCGATCAAGGTTCCCAACGTCGCGATTTTGAATACGAGGTTCTTCAACCTGGTAAGACCGGGGCTGTTATCATCAATGACTATCAAGTCATCGAGGTCCTGAATGATCACCTCTGTTACGTTGTCGCTGACAGGAAGACACCGTGGTATCTACCCGGCCACGACCGGTTCATACTGTTGAGTAAGATCGTTGTAACTCACGTTTCGAAATCTCGCTGCAAGCTCGCGATCCATACGAAGATCGATTGGTCACAGAATCCACGCTTCGCCAAAAAACTTATCGAACGACAAGGTCTTCAGGATCTGGAACTCGAAGCGCAAGATTTACTAGATGTTGTCAACGACCAAGTCGCCCGACTAGGGCATAACAGGAACACCGGTAAGGTTACAAATATCTTCGGTCAGATTGGTGTTGCCACCCAAGCTGTCCAAGTCACTGCCCAAGATATTCCACCGCCTAATCGGCCACGTAAATTCAAGCTGCGACCGCAAACAACGGGCTCATTCGTTGCCCAATTCATCGGCAACATCATTGTCAGCATCTTCTCAACGCTGATGAGCTGGATACTAGCAGTCTTTGCGGGACTGGGCAAGGTTGTTTCTGCACACAAGCTACTTGTCCTTCTACTAATAGTCAGTGGTGGCGCAAACTTCATCCACACATCTCGGGACTCGTGGCAGTGGTGGAACGAGCGCAACGCTGCGAACTTCATGTCGAGATTGGGTGTCGGACCTACTACCGTCATGTCGCGATCGGTGTATCTCCGTGATCTCGAAGAATCCTTTGCTACCGCGAATGAGACGGCCATGGCACTGCACCTACCTGCCGATGCAGCGTCGAACAAATGGTACGTTCCTCTTCGCTAATACTCATTCTTGTCGCCGGTTCTGACATACGAGCAGCCACCAAACTTTCACATCCCTCCTCACAGATCCCAGTGCCAACCCATCGACACCAATCTCACCATCAATCCACGCACCGCGCCGTCTCCACCGCACACGCCAGAATCTGGGGTCTCATCGACATGATCTACTTGTTGCGCTCCGTGTAGTCAACCGCATCGAGAAGGAAGTCGTCGAAGCGGAGTACGAGAACTGGCTGCTTGACGAGACGCATAAATGCGAGCGCGTAGGCACCATGCTAGGCAAGGAAGGCAAGAAGGGGAAGAAAGAGGTGGAAGCTTGGGTGAAAGGCTATTGTGGGGATTGCGAGCGGGCGCTGGGTGGTGTCAGGGAGGGAAGAGGCTTGATATAAGATATAGGGATTGGGCTGGGAGTAAAATAAGGATTATGAGGTTTGGGTATATACCGTAGAGGAGTTGGGTACGAGCTGTGTTATTTTAGCGGGCATGTCGCATGAGCGGGCGCTTTGGGTAATGTTGTATGAGAGATGCATAGCGAGGTCGCGTTTGGATGGGTTGAAGGTATGTACCAGTATTAATTGGTTCGAGTATAGCCAGACTTTCGTGTCATAATGTATATGATCTGTGTTCCAAGGTCCGCCAGTAGGTTCCAATGGATATGGCCTGCCTAGCTTGTTTCGAGATCATCAACTCTCGATAAGATCGAGTCGTTCGCGAATAATTTTTCAATACTACGACGGGAACTTGTCGAGGTAGAACTCAGTCGATAATGCGAGGTGTCTTGTTACGTTCCATGCCGCATTGACATCTGTCGAGGTCACTGATCGTCGCCATGGTGTCGCCTTGTCAAATCCGCATGTGCAACAGTAAAAATGGGTATCAATTGCCTCCATCGAAAATGCTACACGGCAATAGTTTAGTACGCCGACCCATGCAATATTAAGGCTGAAATCCCGCAATACGCTCCGACTTCCCTCTTACAGCTTATCTCCGCCCTTCACGATATCACCCTCAACCTCCTCCTCCATAACCTTGATCTCATGGCTCCCCTCCAACTCGCTCAAGATAATCCACGTCGGCACAACGCACAGCAACGTGACCCCAAAGTTCAGCCCAATGCTCACGAAATGGTTCGCATTACCCTCAGATTGCATGGCCCAGGCAACCGTCTGACCCAGCGCCTCCACCCCGCGCAGAATACCCGTGTGGTGCGAAAGATTGGAAAGATCCGTCGCATACTGGCCAACCAGCCAGTACAGGAACTGCTGGAACGCCTGACCGCCAAACTGCCAGAAGAAGACGAGCGCGTACGACTTCCCGAAGCCGCCTGTGAACCAGTCGTGCACAGGCGGCTCAGCCATGTTGTAGAACTCGTTCTGCAGGACAGACGCCCATATCCAGGTGCCCACCAGGATGGTAACGATTGAGACGAAAGCGATGCGACCCCGAGTCTTGATGTGCACCCTCTGGTTGTCCAGCAGAAACGCGATGAGGAACGAGCTGAAGATTCCCGCAAAGTTAGTGAAGAAACTGGAGAAGGCGCGCGCGCGGACGGTGAAGTATGTGGTGAGCCACGTGCTCATGAAGCCGTTGTAGAAGTAGCTGATGAAGAAGGCCGGGAGGAGGAGCAGGATGCGGCGGCTGATGAGGAGGCGGCCGACGGCTTTGAACTCTGCGGCCCAGGTGGGCGCCATGGAGGTTACGACTGCGGTGCCGTCTTTGCGCCAGACCTTGCGCGCGGGGGAGAGGCAGAGAGCTATGGGAAGGCCAAGGCACATGATGACGATGAAGACGATATAGGTGGAGGAGGAAACGGAGCCAGCGGTTTTGCGGTTCGCGTTCAGTCCTAGGTTGATGGCGCCTCCTACGATGGGACCTGCGGCTTTGGCGGTCTGCCATACTGCGAGGTAGAAGGCTCTATCGCCGGGAGACGGATATCCGATGATGATTGCTGCTTCGGCGGCCCAGAAGAAACCAGCTGAGATGCCACACAGTGCAGAGCCAAACAGCATGAACCAGGTCGTCGAGTGTATGTTGTTAGTATACAATCCGGCGCCGTAAAGAGGATAACCGATTGCTCCGAGCGCGAGTCCGTACTTGAGGCCGATGCGGTTGTTGATGGCGCCTGCAGCCACGCACACAATGGCGAAGAGACCGTAGACCAGGGCGTTGGCGGCCGATACGGCGTACGGCTCTGCTGCTCCTCCTGCACCGAGTCCGCCCAGGGCATCCCACATGCCCGGCGCCGTGAAAGAAACACCGCATGCGACGACGATCTGGAAGGGAACCGAGCGGAATATTGAATGCGACTTGACGGGGCCCGTGGGCTCATCGATGACGGACGACATGGCGGCGGGGAACAATACTGAGTTAACCCAGGATACACTTCAGTAACTTTCTCTTCCTCGCCAAGTCTTAACCAGGACAAAGTGATGTTCGAGCAACTGGCAGTAGCTACCACGGGTTCCTGCCACTTTCTTCAAACTCCCAAGAAATGCGTGGAAAAGAACGACCACAACGGGGCTGAAGAAGGATGGACTTCGACATCTTGGCGAGTACGCGCATTTAAAGCGCTACGCGGTACCCTTGTTTACGTGGTGTTTGAAAATTTGATGCTCGTTGCGAGCATTCGAAATCCCGCTAAGGGATCACGACATCGGCGCTACATGACTAGGGTAGGCAGAGTTCTTCAGCCCTACGACCAGACACTTGCAAATGCTCGCGGGACCCTGCCGGGCTGTAATTAAGCTACTCCGAAGTCGGCGAGAGGCTCGCACCTTGGTGAAGGATTGTTCGTGGACCGGAAGAGCGTATATCATCTAAGACAACGCAACTTTTAAGCTGTGCAGCGCGGATTCACGTGATATTGAATGCACTGTGGTTGCGACTATACTGTGTAAGTCCTAGTAATGGGACCTCTGAAGTCGACATAACACTACGTTCTAAAGCTTAGAGATAAATCTTGAGTGAGAAGAGGCTAAGCCTCACACTCAAGATTTATCTCTAAGCTTTAGAACGTAGTGACCATAGGTAAGGTAATTATAGCCTTATCCCGAACAGCCTCCACTGCTTATAGTTCTGGCTGCAACCACAGTACCTGAGAGGGGCGCTAAACAGAAAGCCGAACGGCCATCCAGACCCTGTCGAACACGCTAGGAAGTATCCGCGTTCTGCACATCGGCCCTTGCTGGAGTGAGGCTACCATCGGTCTAGGAACTCAGAACAGATGTCACTTGTAAGACAACAAGTCAATGTTCCGGCGGAACGTAGGTTGATTAAACTATGCGCCAAGCGGCCGTTTTACAGCCAACCTTGCAACGATACATACCTATAGTAGGTAATCCATATATGCTGCTCGTGACTTTCTGGCTTGTTCGTTTTCGCTGCATGCTTTTTTTAATCCGATTTGGTGTTGTGCTATACAAAAGTTCCTCCGCCACCTGTCCATGGCTCAGGGTATGCTTTCCACATCTCTCAGCCAGTTTCTGTATTATGGGAGGCTGATTATTGGCTGCTTCACTTTTTGGTAGCTCAGTGCCCTATTTGAACGTAAAAATGTAGATGCAATAAAATTTAGCTAATAGGTGGAAATGGGTACCAAGAGCGGAGGAAAGATGGCGGAGGAAAGGTAGCGGTAGCGGAGGAAAGGTGGCGGAGGAACTTTTGATCACATTCTCAATCACACTATGGCAAAGCTCTCTTCCTTTCGATGCATTCGCATCTGGCCGAATTCGGCAATATTCTCGACCCATGATCCAGGGTCATGTTTGAAGATCTTGTCCGCGAATCTCTTCAGGGAACGGCATGTTTCAAACTAGCATCGTAGCGGTAAACGTATGCCCACAACGAGAAAGGCGCATAATTGATTATAAGAATCCACAATCTGTTCGCGGCGTTCGCGTGTAGCCTTCCGCAAAGCTTAAATTGCTTTGCAATGTAGGACTCTTGATAGCGCATCATCCCTCGACTATGGCTAAGATTATTTCCGTGTAGCTGTAGATCATTAGGGGTCTATAGAAAGCTTAGCAATGCCTACTTCTCCAGGCTTCAGTAGCTTCTACTCCTATCCCAACTGACTTACATTCTTCTGTTCAAATTTGATTAGATATATTCGTTTCTTTCCGTCTTGCGTGTCAAGATGCCTTCTTACAACACTAAAGCCATCCTCACCTGGTCTCTTTCTTTTGCGCCTTTTGCTCTTAGCGCTGCGCTTCCCGTCAAGCGAGCTATCTCCTCTGTCGTCTCTGGTACTCCGATCGGTTTTGCGGCGGGTGCCACTGGTGGAGGTGATGCAACCCCTGTCTATCCCACCAACATCGACGACTTGAAGAAGTACCTTACCTCCTCGGATCCACAGGTCATTGTCATTGATGGCGAGTACAACTTTGCCGGCTCTGAGGGCAGTCAGACCGAGGCAGCCTGTAACGATTACTCCTGCACGCCCGACGACGGCGGTCAAGCGCTCTTGAACACTCTCAATGCCTGCGCCAGCTCAACTTACAACGTCGAACTCGACAAGGCGGCGACCGAGGGCATCCAGGTACAGTCTGACAAAACGCTCGTCGGCAAGAACGGCGCGACTCTAAATGGTGCGTCTACCCTACCTCTCCTTACCACTACAACCCCAGCAACATCAACTAACACAATGGGAATCCAGGCAAGGGTCTCCGCATGGTCGGCGTCTCCAACATCATAGTCCAAAATCTCAAAATCACCAACCTCAACCCCAAATACGTCTGGGGCGGCGACGCCTTCACCCTCTCCGACACCTCAGACATCTGGATCGACCACGTTGAAACCTCCTTGACGGGCCGCCAGCATTACTCCTTCGGGGTCGATCCAAACCACTACGTCACCATCTCTAACTCTTTCGTCAACGGCGAGACAACCCAGTCCGCTACTTGTGACGGCCACACATACTGGGGCGAGGAAATGGTCGGCACAGACGATAGCATTACATGGTACGCAAACCACGTATACATGACTTCCGGTCGCAGCCCAGCCCTCAGCGGCAGCACCCTACTGCACGCCGTCAACAACGTCTTTGAGGACAATACCGGGCATCTAATCGAGGGCGGGGGCACCGGTGCGCGCGGTATCTTCGAGGGAAATGTGTTCAAGAGCATCACGACGACACTCGACAGCGGATACGCGGGGAAGTTATTCGGCGCGACGTCCGCGAATGCAGCGGAGTGCAGCGCTGCGTTGGGCCGGAGCTGCGAGGCGAATACGTTTAGCAGTGCGCCGGCGCTTGATAGGGCGGATATAGACTTCTTTGGAGATTATAAGGGGTTTACTATTGTGAAGGCTGCGTCTGCGGATAGTATCGCGAGTTCGGTGCCCAAGAGCGCTGGTGCGACCTTGTAAGACAGCCTGGAGTCGGTCGCGCGTGGGAGAGGCAAGTCTACTTTCTCTTGTACATTCTTTCAATCGGACATACCATATCTGATTTGCCTTGTTGGCATTCGACCGTCATTTCAGTTTTGCTCTAACTTGTGTCGAACTGACTATCCTGCGATGGGAAGCAAAGTTCTTCCCCCTCCTCCTACGGCTCTGGAACCTTTCCGCAATGTTTACGCCAATGTGTGTGTTATAGGAGGCTGATCGTTGGCGAAAGTATGTTGAAACTTTATTTCTGGGTCCTAGTAGACGTTAAACGGGGCACCAATCTGTGAAACGGTACCATTATTAGCCGCCTATCGGCTAGAAAGTTGTGGAAAAAGTATTCAGACCCGTAGGAGGTGGAGGATGAGCATGAGCTTTTGTGATCAACTATACCGCCATGATCGCATGGAGTGAGCACGAGCTGAGCTGTGCAGGAAAAGCGTTGGAGGCGTTGCGCTGCAGAGCATCCGCCACTGAAGATGGCAGGGTCGCCCAGATTGAGATACTGCTGTCAGTCGATAAGTACAACAAAAAGTCGAGAGATGTGCTAGGAGCAACGAAGGCGGTGTTGTGGTATAGGACGTCATCTCTTGCGAGTCAGGTTGCACGGCACTCGGCCCTGCCTTTTTTGGGTATTGACAGTACGCTACCAATCCTGAACCACTCCCCAACCCCATCTTAGGGTACCCAATGAATGATCAGAGCGAAGAGCACAGCCGTGGTCGCTGCGATGATACCTAGCGTCTCGGCATAGAGGGCACCACAGGGTCCGTACCGCCCCATCCCGAGCAACTGAGGTACTCCTCAACATCTCACCTACAGCGACCAATCTCGCCTCTCATACGATCAGTTTGTAGCCTCACCTCGATTGGCTCACTGCGGGTTTCCCCGCGCACAACCCTGCCCTTGCATGCAGATCCAAATTGTGGGGTATCGGCAGATTAACATCGCCTAGAAGCGACCAGGCCCTGCCCAATGAACAGCGACACCTCTGCTGCTGACCGTTGACAAGTCTCAAACGCATATGCACCTAGCCTTATATATGCCAGGAATGGAGGATGATTTATCAGGGTAAAGTGGAGGATCGTTCTCGAAGATAACCGTACATAAGGTGAGGGGCATCGCACAGGGTCCAACCCAAACTGTTTTGGACGATTGGTTTGTTCCATCTTGGGATTCAAAAGGAGGTTCGGTTTGAGAATCGACAACAAGTGCATCATGACGCTGGGCATTGTGGAGCCTAAGACAAGCGCGCAGCCGCCCGGGACAGAGTACTTGCTTGATACGGCGCAGACGAGCAGGGAGCATCAGTATGAGCATTCGCACTTCAAGCATGGGAAGGGAAAGGTTGGGTTCTAAGAGCATTTGTCCAGTCTAGCACATTGACAATTCACCAGAAACAAGAGATTGTCCTGATCCCGCAACCATCCGACGATCCGAACGACCCGCTCGTGAGCGCTTCGATCACTGCGCAAAACGTGACTAACATGTTCAGCTCTGGCCGACATGGAAACGCGAAGTTGCTTTCGTTGTTCTGTTCTTCAACAGCATAATCTTTGCCGCTTGTCCAGGGCCAATGATAGCCCCTGCAACCGTCGCGTTAGCCACGCAACTTGAAGTGCCGGTTAAGAAGATCGCACAGCTCTCTGGCTACCAGCTTCTGATGGTCGGTGCACTTGGGTATGTTGTGTGTGCCCTGATATTGTTCAAAGCCTAACCAGCAATCATTGTACAGTCCTATCGTATCCGTTCTAGCGGAGAAATATGGTAAACGGCCTCAATTTCTCTTCGCCGGTCTCTTTGGTGCACTCGGCACTGGCATTTGCATCGGAGGGTTCGACCAATCCAGCCTTTCCAAATCATACACCGTTCTCCTTGCAGGACGCATGATACAAGGCTTAGGCACAACAGCCTATGAGTCGCTCACCGTAGCAGCAATCGGCGACATGTTCTTCTTGCACAAACGGGGTATACGTACTTCCTTGCTTGTTCTGACGACAGCATGCCTCGCTTCCTTTGTAGCCATATGCTCAGGACACATATTCGAGGTGCTTGGAGCGCGTAATTTGTTTGTTATTCTGCTACCATTGCAACTTTTTGGGTTTATCTGTTCGTTCCTGTTTATTCCAGAAACTCAATTCCGGCGGAATGAGTCGAGGGGCGGTACCGTGACGGAGCACGAAGGACTTGCGGTTGAAGAAAAGCCCGAGGCGAGCACACAATCTATCACACAAGAGCCCGCAGCGACAGCACTTCCTACCGTTCCAAAACGTACCTTTATTCAGGACCTGCGCTTGACGTCCGGCGTCTACAACCACGACAGCATCTTCAAGCTCTTAGGCCGCATCTTCTTTCATTTGCTGAATCCAGCTATCGTATGGATTACGTTAGTGGCAGCCATCTTGATTGTATGCAAGACTTCTTTTTCGGTTCAACGATCCTGCTCCTTTCAGGTACTCTCTGCATGACACTGAGCTAACACGCAACAAGTCCTTCTTCGTAGGCACAGCCTACACCCTCGCGCAAATCTTCACCCCTCCACCATACAACCTCACCGTCAGCCAGAATGGGTACTTTTTCACGGGTGCACTGATCGGTGGCATCCTCGGCGTGATATCCGGGCCGTTATGCGACTTCTCCGCCAAAACCCTCTCACGACGGAACAACGGCGTTTACGAAGCCGAATTCCGCATTCCAGTCAATATCCTTGCTGTGACTATGCTCTCCATCGGCTGGTTCACCTTCATGTGGGCGCTGGAACATCCCGCGATGAGGGGCGGCGTGTATCTCTGCTCGTTCTGCTATGGCGCGGTGTGCTTTGGGACGAGTGTCGCGGGGACGTCTACGGGGCTTTATATCCTGTCAGTTCACCCACGCCCTTTGTTTCTATCCTCCTTCCTTTCTTCAAGGTTTTATAGACATATGCTGATCCTCGTAATAGCGACGCCTTCCGCCCCTACGCTACCGAGATCTTCATCCTGCAGATGATGATTAAGAACTTTCTTTTCTACGCTTTCTCGACGTTCATCAATGAGTTTGCGGCGGAGCGTGGGCCGGCGCATATGTGCAAGGTTTGGGGTATAATCACGATTTGTGGGTTTGTGACTTGTGTGCCTATGTGTAAGTGCTTTAGTCGTGTCAAGGAAGATATGACGCTGACGAAATGCAGATGTCTTTGGGAAGGTGAATCGTTCGTGGGTACATCGCATGTCTGGAAAGTATTTGGGAGATAAGTGAGCGGTGGAGGGATGTCGTGATGCTGTTGATCGTAAATTGAAGCTTGAAATATACCATGGAAAGCACATAAACTTGGTAAATTACATTTTTTTAGCCTCCGAGCACTAGGAAGATCTGAAAGACAAATAGTTGATATGAAGATTGTTGATGGAGGAGCGTAGGTACGCGCTCGATGTCATCGCTAAATTTAGGCAACGAGCCACCACGCCGTGGTCCAAGCTTGTGGCTTTCGGACTTCAGCGTCGATCTTCAACGTCTCCTTTCTCCAGGCACCATCAAGTCGAGACTGACACAAATAATATTCCTTTGCGATGCCTCGTCTGAAGCCTTTTCGTGCGTGCAGACTGCTGTTCTACATATGGCTTCTCACGGTTGCTTTCTGGTCGCTGCTGCCTTCATCGAAGATACCATATGCCCAGGAGCAACTACACATTGAGAAAACGCTCAAGGCAGGCCTTCCATTGACAATCGTCGACGGCTATCCGATGACGTACGGCCAAGATGAAGGAGTCGCTCACATCATCTATGAGTTTGGACTTTTCCAGGACCCCACGCCACAGAACGGAGTGGAGCTGCTACTAAAGAACGAACCAATCAACTTGACAGGCCTAATGAAAAGGTCGGAAGCATACCACTTCTCGAAGATCAAAAACGATGCTGTTCGAACACCCTTCTTCGACACGACACGATTTGGGCTCGCAATCTCCTCGGTCGATGACCATGTAGACTGCGTGGTGTGCCTTCCATGGTTCGACCGGAGCGACAAGGCACTGCTCACACAGCAGATGCAAGACTATAGAGAAACTATCGAAGTCCGCCTGACTGTGGATGAGCGCGGTGTGGTGGAGGTCTGGCCGAGCTCAATCGTTGAGCAAACTCTTGCAGAGCTGGAAAAGGTTCGGCAGAAGCCAGAAGCTGCAGATTATGAGGAGGGCCAATTACTTGAAGAAGCATTGCAATATTTGCGGGCATCCGGCCATCCTATCATCCAGCTAGAAGGCGGAGACATGACGAAGCTGGAAGAAATCTCCGTGCCCTACGTACGAGGCAACCTACCTTCGAAAACCTACCACATCCGGAAGGCAATGTTGGCGCGCCTTGGACCTGTATTGCGAATTGCCCTATTTCCCCTTCGTCTTGTTGTCCGTCTATTATCCATCGTGCCGCAGGCCCTGTTGCTTCTTTTGCTTGAAGGCGGGCTTGCGTGCGCTGGAATAATGCTATCGGCCTGGCTGCGGGCAGGACGACCTGATTTTCGGCAATGGACTCGCACATTTTGGATGACGAGATGGATTCCTTTCAGATCGAACAAGCCAAAACGTTTATGGGGTCCCGCAGGACCTGTTGAGTCGAAGCGCACGGAGCGCAGCGGATGGTCAGCGGGTGGTGTAGTGGGTCTCCAAAGGCCGAAGACTGTCAGGCTTGGACGAGGCATGGATGCGGTGGTATGATGAGCGAAAGCATTTTATCGCATTGCTCCACTTCGGGAGATGGCAAGGCCGCGGATGCCAGGCGCACGATTGTCGAATTATCGTTGTGCTGTGCAGCGATCTATCACATGTTTTGCGGGTAGGCTTAGGCATCTTTGTGCACCCTTCCCAACCGCCTGTTCGCGTTTGGTAGCGAGCGCAGCGCGTCCATTCCTCCGCTTTCAGCGTAACCATGGTATTACAACCACGTCTTTTCAACAGGAAACGCAACAAATCCTGCAAATATGCCAAGCGACGCGGCCTCCCGGCACTCCAAATTACTGGCAAGATGTTGATTATCGAGTACCGTCTCACCCGAGATACACAAGATACAATGCGTCCCTTCGAGCGAGCTTGGCTCGCTGCTGTATCGACTGCGGGCACCAAACGAGGAGCGCCTTGCCCGCTCGAATCCGAGCCAAAGCGACGGCGGACAAGCACACACGTGAGCGGGCCTGCGCACGCAGAGGAAATGGAACTGGACGAAAGTAATCTGCAACAGAGCGATACTGCGGAAGAGCAAGTCATGGAAATGGACCAAGCCTCTTGAATTGTCCGGCCTGTGTCCCGATCAGAAAGAACGCACATTGAAGCCATGCGCCGCTCTAGGTAAGCTTGAGGCTACGGAGATGGTAGCGGCAACCAAGCGGTGTCCACTAGGTTCGAAGAGAGTCCGATACGGCTCCGCATCGTATTGCGGCAGCCCGTTGGGCCTTCAGAATAATAGACACAAGAGGCAGAGCGCAGGCGGCGAAAGCGGTTGGGGCTTACAGATGTAATCGGGCGCATCGGGACAACGCAGCCCTCGAAATTCAACGGAAACGGCACTCCTGAACCAATCCGGATACTACCTTCATACTGAGCCTTTCCCACAGGCTGTAAGGTACAACGCGACATCGACAGATTTGCGTTCCTTGTCTAACGGCAGGTATCGCTGAAATCCTGAGAATAGGGCACCATTTTCAGGAGTTTACCACCCCTAGGAAGACGGTGCGAAAGGAGCCAGTCTTGCGGATGAGATATCGCTACAAACGTCGATGCTGGCTTCCTTCGTTTCATCTTCAACATCAACATTCACCTCACTACATTCGCACCGTCGTTACAACTCTCGTCGTATCGCCACACTCTATCGGTCGCTTAATCCTTCGCATCGAGAAACGTGCTTCCTTAAAACATGGGTTTCTACAAGCGGTTCAATGGGCGATGCCGCAACGGCCGCGACGCGCTCAAGCGCCGTTATTCCGTCGCACATTCACCTCCGGTGCCCGAAGAACCACTGCTACTACCAAAGATACCTGAGTCCGCATCAGAATTTGGACAAAGAACCATGTCCGAAATCGACAACATCTACACGGGGATGCTGAGTCCGCCGCTACCTAGGACGTCCATATGTAGCTCTGGATCTTCCGTATTGGGGCTACGCAGCGGAAGTCCAAGCATTTGGGGAGCATTCAGCAGGTTTCGCATACCGTGGGCACGGAAAGATTTTGGACCAAGGGTTCGTCGCTAATTTTGACGAGGCCAGGTTGCAGAAGTAAAGATCAGCGGGATAAGATTGGACATCGAAGACGTTGTAGATTGTGAATTGGAAGGAATCTGGAAACAGCTGAGCGAATTTAACGACAGTTGTTGGAAAAGTCCAACTCAGCCGGAAGTATGCAGATGGATACGGATTATTACGAATAAGATTAACACTGCTGAGGTGAACCGGAGGACTCAAAATGGCAATTAGGCAAGGGCGGTCGTTCTTAGCTTTAGTTGGTTCGACACAATGCTGAATATATACTGGCCGTCTTCCATAACCCAGGTGCGCTGCTAGATAACACGCCCTCTGAACACAAGACTACTGGGTAAATGAATGCTATAACAATTTTGCTTGTCTTGTCTTTGCTCGTCTCACACAAGACCGGCAATGAACTATCTCACGCTGGTCCTCCTACCCACGGCGACCAAATCATAGCCACTGCTTGTTACCAAAATGCGAGATAAAGTCGCCAGCACTGCCCTCTAGACTAGCCTCCACAATAACCGGCCGCATAAGTGACACGCTCTCCTCCGGCGTAATCGGGCCCCTAAAATCCGGCGCATACTTCGGCGCCAACTCGCCGAAGAACGCTCCGAGTCTCTGAAGCTGTTCCGGAGTCGCTGATACCAACCAAGTTAGCATAACAATTATGTATACAGATGCACAGCGATCGCCCTTACCCTCATTATTCTGTCCCACATCCACACTCCCCGGCGCAAGCCCCAAGAACAGAATCCCCTCTTTCTTAAACTGCGCGCTGAACTTCGCGATTACCATGTTGAGCGCGGCTTTACTGGTTGAGTAGAGCGGGGCGAGCGTCACGTCCCAGTTGCGCGTGAGCTCGATGTCGGAGTAGCCGCTCGTGATGGCGATTACTTTCTTAGTGTGGCCTTTTTGAATGAGCGGGAGAAAGAGGTTGAAGAGGTGGATGTTTGCGATGACGTTGACTTCGAAGAGGGCGCGGAGTTCCTTCGTGACTTGGTCGGGCTGGGTTGCGCTGTGGGGTCTTAGTCGTGACGAAGGTTAGGGAGGATGGGACTTACAGGTCGCCGATGCCGTCGTATTGGTCGAAGGGGGTGATGAGGCCGGCGTTGGCGATGAGGTAGTCTAGGGCTCCGCCGGTGATCTTGGTGGTTTCAGAGACAGCTTTCTATTGCGAAAAGTCAGTGATCATCCCTGAGTTGATAATGAGACTTCTCACTTGTAGAGCGTTGTAGTCTGTGACATCCGCCGCGATGATGTGGATGTTGGTTCGGCCTCTCAGATCTGGGTCTTCTGACACCTTCTTCTCGGTGGCCTGCTTATTGCGGACGAGTCCGATTACGGTGTTGTTTGAGTCGCCAGAATACTGGCGAAGGAATTCATACTGTGCAAATTAGCAAGTCGTTTTCAAGGAGGCAGCGCTGGGCCGTACTCCGATTCCTCTGGAAACTCCGGTGATGACGTATGAAGGCATGTTTGTGAGAGTTGCCGAAATTTTGAGTTCTCAATGCAGGTTGTGTGATGATGCTCAAGGAAGACCTAGTTCTTATATACTCTGGTCGTCTTGCTTCTCACAAAGAGGCCTCGTGCTGATGTCCGATCATCATCGGAATCGCAGTTTCTCGAAACTCTTTGCTCCATTTCGTCCGTGGGAATAACGTTATCACCAGTGCTTCAGCGGATGATTGTACTCCGATTACTTCATACTTGCCGCCTCTGAGGACGTCCGATTATCACCGGACCCACAGCGATGTCTTCAGTCCACTATCTCCAAGTTCGTCCCAGAAAATGCACTCGGACAGATGCAAATGTTCGACAAGCCCTTGACTACTTCTTAATTGCTATATCCTCGCACATGAAGCCGCAAGCCGGCATGACTGTTGTTCCATCGCAGGGGAACGGATCCTTTAGTGGAACCAATGGAATGCGAGGACTACAAAGCCACTTGCGACTAGTCTACTCTTGCTTACTCGAGAGTTGCCTAAAAAATGATCTACAGCTCGACCTGCATAATAAGCGCCACGGCGACTTTCCTTTCTTGAGCTCTGCCTGTCAGCCTCGCGTCTAATGTCAACCGCAGTTGCCCAAATCCTCTGATTTCACTCACCTTGCAGCTACATTCGATTTACTTATGCGGGATTGACATTAGATAGAGCAAGCGCCAATAAGAGGGATGACAAATCCAAGGACAGAGACGGTTGGTAACCTGCATGCCGCTCTAACATGCACACGATCTCAAAGCTCGAAGCCGGACACGGAAAGACGCGGCCTGAAACTCTCATGGCCGTATGGTAGCCAACATAGACGCGCGATCGTAAGCAACGTTCCGGCAGGCAACGATGCCGTCCGTGTCCGTGATATTCTCCACACTTCGAGTGAAGACATTCAGAGGCATAGCCATTTCACAAAGGGTTCTTCCGAGAAAGGTGCGCTGGTAGTTTAAACTTGCTACCGAGTCAGAAGACTGACATCCTTTAGAGCCTGTATGGTGGGTATTGGAGTTAAAAATACCAATGGTTGCTGCGGTGAAGGTGGAAGTGGAGAACCAAGATCGGTTCCAGTATTGTAAGTCTCGTCGGCGTTTTGCAAAGTCATGTAGCCCAAGCCCAGATCCGACCATAGCCCGATCCAGTGTCTACTTCAGCCTTGCATATGTTGTATCTGCATGACTTCGATCGCAGGCTTCCGTTTCATTAAGCCTACTGGTGCTTGGCAATGGGAGACTGACAGATGCAGTCCAGCACACCGCATCAAAAGCACTTGACATTCTTGGCCATGACCCTACAGCGTTAGGAAACGTGCTGATCAGGATTTCTCTGGCTAGCAACACGAGCTCTGCCAAGGCAGTGCGCGAATGCATTCTGGCATACTCCGCACTTCATCGCCACAGCATCCATGCGCAAGCCATGGAGAGCAAGATCGCTGGTCTGAATGCTCTGAAAGCTGCAGGAATTACAGCAGAAGCAGATCACGCGACCGATAAAATAGAAGCAATCCAGCATGTTGCCGCGGGAATGCTGTTGCTCTCTTTCGAGGTGAGCTTTAGCTTGTACATGGTCGTTGCACCGAGAGACCAAATTGACCATATCCGGTAGGTCCACCTATCGGTTTGCACATCGGATGATTGGACGAAATATCTATGCGGTGTCAAAAATGTCATCCGGGCGGCCAGTCTAGACAGGCTCGATAAAGATGAAGACCTGACGATTCTGCTCGACTGGGTATACTACCACGATGTCCTTGCACGATTCAGTCTGCGTCATTGGTACAGACAACATGGGAAACCAGCGTTGAATCTTATCACAGTCTCGTGCACATCGGTGGAGGCATCCACTCATGTGACGGAGTGGATTGATCAAGTGAGAACTAACCCACTGCTAACTGCTTAGATGATCGCTAATCGAAGACATTCTTAGGCTATGCGAAGAACTTCTGCCTCCTCAAAAATCGTTGACCTACTCTCAGAACTTTCCGATGCGGTGCCACGACCACTATGTGGGCTCACCCCGGCTGAACACGATGAACTAAAGCGCTTCCTCGAGATACTCGAGTGGAGAATCAGGAATGTGAAATCTCCCGCGTCGACCTACGAAGACGAAGCAGCCAACTTGAAGTTCGAACTGCTTAAGCTGGCCATGCTTGTGTATCTCAACAGAGTGACCTGGAACCAGCTCAGACAAACATTCAGCGTCCGAACGCAGATTGAGAGGGCTTTCGAAATACTGATGCAGCTTGAAACGTGCGAACGGCAATTTCCCATCTTTATCTTTGGCTGCGAAGCCCAAAGCGACGCACAGCGGACCATCGTTCTGGATGCCATTTCCAGGACCGAAAACTCAGTATGCTCTCGTTCGCTGAACCATGTACGGCTGTTACTGCAGGCCATCTGGGCGCAGGAAGATTTGGCTGAGGGCAAAACGAATTATTGGAACAAAGTGAGCTATGTAATAAGTTGTTGTATGACGCTGCCTTCTTTTGCTTAGGTTACGAAATTATATTACACCGCTATTATTCTGTCGCGAACTCCATAATGCATTGACAAAGATTGCTACCCGACGGTTACACTGGTGCACTCAACGAGACTTCAGTGCTTCTTGATCCCCTTTACCCGGATGTGATTGGTCACCACGCAAACAAAGTAAACCAAGCATATGGTCGGTATCATCCACGCCGAAGCCAGGTAGTTCTCCTCCAGTGGTTCATTCAGTTTCAACGTCGCAACGAGGCATAAGCCGACACCGAAAATGAAGTTCACACAAAGGCGGACGTACGAGGAGACGCGACGTTGTGAAGCTGGCAGCGACAAGTAACCCAGAACCGAAATGATGATAAGCGCGAAGCCACCCTGTTGTATGTCAGCATATGCATTTGCCATCGGGAAGGAGGTCAACTTACCGCAATGAAAACATACATAAACACCAGCTGGAACACCCCCCAGATATTCATAGAACAGTTCCATGAAGTCCGTTTGCTTCTTCTCCCCAAGAGAGGCCTTCTTCTTCGGGACCGTTACGCTGAAGCCATCGAAGAGCGTCTTTGTCGCCGCAGCTACAAGATCGTTGACACCCGCCGTGAAGTCGTTAAACGCTGTGGCGTTGTTTGAATCTTCGAGAAGGTAGTCGTACGCATCCGCGATCGAGTAGATTGCATTGTCGGCGGTGTATTGTTCTTTGGTAGCGTCTACGCCCTTAGGGACACAGCAATATACGAAGCTGTATGCTGTATAACTCAAGTCGTGGGCTAGCTCACTACCATTTGTGTAATTGCCCGCCCCATCGAGGACATTCCCGAAGGTAGTGTACATCCCGAGCAGCGCTTGAACGAGTTGCGCCCAGACAATGAGCAGACTGACACCCTGCAAGACCAGGACAAGCACAACGTGCAGCGGAAAGTGAACAAAAGACCAGAGCTGTTGCTTGATGCTGCCGAAGTGTTCTTCCTGCATGCGGTCAAAGTACAGCATGTACAAGAAGTAGATGATGAGGACCGCAGCGATGATCTGTCCGACGACCGCAGCTGTCCAGAGAAACTCGTTCTTGACGATCTTGCTGATGGATTTGCATACCACGATGATGCCTTCGCCGAGGATGATGAGTGTCAGGAGCGACATGCGCTGCACCATGTGCGTGCCCTTGAAGCTGATCACCCGGAAATAGCACGATACGGCGACCGTGGTCAGCGTCTCGCTCAGCGCAATGATGTACCACGCGATGTAGACATTGCTCTTCTGCGGTAGCACTAAGCCTTCGAGATCGAGCTTTTCCTTCGGAAAAGCCGGCGTGAGTGCACCATACAGGATAGCGGCAAGTAGCGTCGAAGCCATGATGATGCTCAGCGGGATGACCGTCTTCTTGTATTTCCTCACATAGAGCAGAGTGACCGCGTATTGCGTGAACAGCGTGATACGCGAGACCATCAGGATCAGACCGAATGCTTTGTAAATCTTGTAGTCGTCAATTTCTTGTCCTGGCTTCCACTGTGGACCGATGACGGCGAAGCCTACCATCACGCCAAAGTGTATTGCCTTAGCCACGCGCTCGAATACGCTGTCCGTCGAGAACCGTACGTCGTAAAGCGAGACTTGGTACCATGTTAGCCATAGCAGCGAGAAGAAACCGACGTATGCTGTAAGCGTGTTGTAGTCGTTGATCTCGAGCATCGATGTGAAGGTAGTCAAGTTGGCGACGAAGAAGAGATCGTAGAAAAGCTCAGATGTAGTTGCTTCTGCATGACGATGGAATGCAGGGTTGTCATGAAGAGAGCAGTCTGCGTTGCCGAAGGGCACTTGTGTTGTATTGTACGATGTATCTTGAACGGGTTTGTGGGCTTCGACGTCGGATGAGTGGGTCGATGGGGTGTGGTAGTGAATCTGGGCAGGTTTGGCGGTATGTTCGTTCAACGGGGAGGCGAATAGCCCGAGAGGGTGTCTTTCCTCATGGTGGTGCTCTTCGTGGCCCATCTTGGACTCCGGTAGCTGCGAGTAGGACGACTGAAGACGGAGAGATAAACGACAACGAGGATTTTGACCACAACAGTGATCATAAGACTAGAGACCCGGCGTCCTAGGATAATAAGAAGCTTAAAGCAATGTGCAGCTCGTTAGTACCGGAACGTCAGTATGCCCTGGATTGCTGTTATATACGCTCCGTCGGCTCTCCTAATGTCGACATAGATGGGGTCGGAATAACACAGCCCAAACTCACCGTATTCAATGGTACACAACATACAGACGCTCTTCACACATTTCCTCGATTTAGAAAATCCAGCCTGCAGTGCCATTGCATCAAGTCGAGCTGGAGCGTTCCTTTTTGCAGCCTGGTCCACCCGCCTCAAGCCACCGTCCAAATATTCTCCGCCTGTTGGAAGCTCATTGGGCAAACGCAAGTTTGATCTCCGTGCCTGAGGCTACCTAGGTAACATGAAAAGCCCATGCCCCAGATTGGGGATACTTCAAACAACATGGGCGCGAATCAGTGAGTTGTTCTAGCCAGCCATGTGTCGACGGATTCGCCTAGCACACCCACTAGTCCCTAGCACAGCCTGATGAGGACCCCGCTGATCTTGGCGAAGGCTCAGATTAGAGCAACGTGCAGACTGAGCCTCGTGCTCGGGCAGTAATAAGCTTCAGGATTGGATCACTGAGATCTTAATGTTAAATCGTCTGGACCGTTGGTGTGGGTCACGAGATGATCTTCGGACACGGCTGAAGGTCGAGTGGGGGCTGAGTTTGTGATTTGTGTTGGCGGTGGAGATGAAGATGTAACACGACATTGAAGAGAACTGCGTACATGCAGAGCTGGACTGGTATAACGAGCCGTATGAAGATGGCAAGAATTCGTAGAGGTTTTCAGAGTAAGAAGGCGCCACTTTTGGCATTTATCGAACAAAAGCAATGTAGAAAACCTGTACACGCACCGTCGCTAACCGACTCGACATACGGAAGATGCCGTATCTGCGGCCCCTTCGCAACTTTGTAGGGCGTTTCATGTTATAGTCTTCCTCTTTGGGTGTATGGGCATCGTTCATCCCGCCTAACCGCTTCCGGCGAAGGGTACCTAGCGGTCGTTCACCGGAAAAACAATAGTAGGATAGACTACAACCCATGGGCCCCATTCAAATTTCGTACCTTCGTCAAACCAATTAGATTTATTAAGTTCCATCTCCCCTGAACTCACTTCTTCACTCCCGGCGGCGGTGGCGCTCCGGGAGCCGCACTCGCCGCCATCGATCCAGCATTCTCACGCTTCTTCCCAGCTCCCGTTCTGCCGGAAGGCAGCCCACCAGAAACTGCGCCTGTGAAGTTGCTTCCTGTGCTGGAGTCCTAGAACGATGAGCCTCGCTCTGTCTCGAATTCCTCATCTCCCGGGTGCCGGACTCATCACAAATGAAGTGCTTACCGGAGCAGTTCCACCACCCGTAGCGCTCTTCATCCCCCCGCTTGAAGTAGTACCCGTATTATCAGGCGGCGCAGGGGCGCCAGGAGTGACAATTGCCTATGTGTCACCAGCCATGATGATGATTCGATCTATGGAGATATATATTTGGGAAGACCTGCGCCTATGGGCGGTTGCTCTGAAATGTAGGTCGAGTAGGAATTTCATCGTGGGGTATCTAGTTAAACAATCGAGGTGGTATCTAAAGGTTATGAATTCAGTGGCGATACACATCGGTAGGGCTAGAGTAGCGGGGTACATGTTCTTTTCCTCGGGTACTCCATAGGTGCTTGATGGGGAGTTTGAGAAGCTACAGCGAGATGTAGCTTGTTAAGCTGAACCGAAGTCGAGATTTCTGTTAGGACAAGATGTAGGCACAGCTGTCGGTCCTTTGGCCAGTTCAAATACGCGTTCCATCCAATTGAGCACTTGGCCAGGTCCACTCTAAGCTCCCTATCGGCTGAAGTCTGAGCAGATTTACGATTAGACGCGCCTGCAGCTTGTAGATAGATATTCGTGTCAAAATACCGTGGACGGGCAGCGGAGGGTACTCGGATCCACAATTGTCGGATCCCCGCATGTGGCTGCACTTCTACACGCGTAGAAGAGAAGTAGTGGATAAAGCTGCACAGTGGGGAATGTTTCAGCTCATGCATGATCTCGGTTGGCCTGACGCACTGCGAGTGGTAAGCATCCACTGCGGGCCAGTAGTCAAGTATGGCACAGATCATACAAGGAAGAAGATTGGGCAGTGTACGTTATATCGTTAGGAAGCACAACGTGCAATGATGATGGTATTCGCTTTAACTATCCTGCGCATTCAGCTCGTTCTGAATCCGCATCGCCTCTTGTTCCCAGAAATCAGCTATCTGCTCCGCGCCGCGTGCTCCGCCGAATTGAGCCTCTCCATTCGCCATGTCACCTTCAACCATGTCCATCAACCGGTTGTAGCAGCCCTTGTTCTTCGGATTGCCGAAATGGCCGTAAGGGTTCTCCGGAGGGAGCCACGCGCCGCACAAGTAGCAGAAATGCGATTTACATTGGAAGCATGTCATGTGGTTGCATCCGAACGACTTCTGGCAAGGGACGGAGCAAGTAGGGCATGGCGAGGTGTTGCGCATGATGTAGTTGAGCGAAGCTTGGTCCTCTTCCGTAAGTTGATTCTTGTCGCGCGGTTCGCATCGGACAAAGTCACCGTGCCATGAGGCTAGACAGACCTTGCAGAAGGCAAGGGTGCAGTCTTCGCAGACAGCTAGGCGATCCATTCCCGAAGTGCCTACCCTCCGCTTCTCAGGTCCAGATGGTGCTTGTTGTTCTTCTAAGATTGTCTCCACGGCTTCTTCTGCATCGGAATCTGAATCGTCCATTTCGCGTACGTCTTGGATCTTGGGATACTTGTCCGTTCGCATGGCACCTTGACACCATGATCGTGGGCAATAGATGATCGTCGGATCGGCTTCAATCTTCTTCTTCCGCTTTATCTTAGCATACCGTTCTACTGCTTGTAAGGACAACGGAATCTGTAGAAGCTCTTTCGGCGATAGGAGACGCTCCTTCTTCTTTCCATTCGGCATAAGTTTCCCGCAGTCTGTTGACATGCACTTTACGTTGTTGACATCCCCTTCTGCAATGCAATTATTGAGGTAGTCCTGGAGGCATTGAACGCAGAAGACATGGTTGCACCGCTCCATACGGTAGCATACCGAGCCCTTCTTCGGTTCTAGACAGACTTCGCAGTCAAACGTCTCCTTGTCGAATAGTTCCCGCTTCATGTGCTTGCTGTACTGTAAGAGCTCGTCCTTTAGGCTGTCCGGGAGGGTGAGCTCAGACAACCCGAACGTCGTCCCGGCCGCCTCCTGTAGATAGCTGACGTATGCAAACAGCATCTGCCCACCACTGTACTCTTCCCATAATGAATGCGCCTCTTTCACCAGCTTGTCTACAGTTTCAGATGGCAGCCATGATGGCGAAGCAGAAAGCTTGACATTCGGCGGGGCTTCAGCGGGGTACTCGATAGGAAGATCGATTTCGAGGCGGAGAGGCGGTAGGTATGCCACTTTGTGTACCTCTTGCGCGGGCTCGAAGGTGATGGACAGCGGCGTGGTGGGTGCTACCAGGAGTTCTACATATGCAGCGAATGGCTCATCAAGAACTAGCTCCGGGTAAATGGACTGCAGCGTTTCGAGCTCCTCGGTGCGCTCATCGTCGCCAGCGGTCGCCATATGCCACGGTGCGGTGCCAGTTCTATGATTGATATCGGCCCCTGTCCTTCTTATCTTCAGATTACGCACAGTCCTCAATGCCTTGACTCTGTGTTATATCCTAGAAAGTTCGGGAGGCGAAAGCTGGAGGCGGCGCGCGTAGGTAGATGCGGACTTAGTAGTGGGGAGAGATATCAGGTGTCGGGTGATGATAGACTTTGTCTGGTGACGGGCGCCTCAACAATCCAGCAAACGGCAGTGACAAGAGCGCGCATTCTGACTCACGTTAAAGAATGACTTTATGAAGGTGAAGGGCGGTGGTGAAGGCTAGACTCGTCTCCTCACTTCCGCCACCTTAACGCCGTGCCAAGCTTCCAGGAACCCTGCCGAAGTACCGTCATCACTCAACTTTCCCTGAGCTTGAGCATTCACCAATATCAACCGATGGAAAACCCGCCGCTCGCGTCACTGTCTTTGACGCATGTACATTATGTATGTATAAGTCTTTTAGAAGAAGTCTAAGGCATTTTCTGACTTGTGGCAGAACCCCGCAGACCGCATCTCGTACCTCTGCGCATGGCTCGCGCTCGTACCCCAAGGGCTCTGCGTGATATACGCGACCCTGATATGGAGCAACCGCGAGATCGAGATCATGCTGATGTTCGCGGGGCAGATGGCATGTGAAGCCTTCAATTGGATTTTAAAACGCTTGATCAAGGAGGAGCGCCCGCGGGGTACATTCACTCCACATCCTGCAAATCAACACTAGAACATGATCGCTAATACAACACAGAAATGCACGGCAAAGGCTATGGTATGCCTTCTTCGCACGCCCAATTCGTCGTCTTCTTTTCCGTCACGTTGACCCTCTTCCTTCTCTTCCGCCACGTCCCCCACCCGACCGAAACGCATACGCCTTTCTCCTTCTTCCAGCGCTTTATTCTTTCGGTGCTTGCACTGATTTCGGCTGCGGCTGTTGCTGTGAGCCGGATATACTTGAATTACCACACTCCGAAGCAGGTCCTGGTTGGGTGTCTCGCAGGTGCTGTATGCGCTGTGGTGTGGTTCGGCATCACGACGTACCTGCGAAAATCTGGGTGGGTGGAGTGGATATTGGAAACGGAATTGGCACGCCTCTTTAGGGTGCGGGACCTGGTAATACAGGAGGATCTGGTGGATTCGGGCTGGGCACGCTGGGTCGAGAGAAGACGTAAACGGCAGCCAACATTACAGGTGCAAGCCAAGAAAACAAGGTAAACGGCTGTCGATCCAGTAAAACAAATACACTTGCAGACGCCGTTTGCACAGACATGTACACGCATGCAATCCATCGATTACACCCGCGACAACTACTTCAATAAAGCTTTCGCACATCGAGTTCTCGCCTCTAAATCTTACGCCTTCTGAATATTTGAAAAGCCTTTTCGGCCGATTGAACGTTACTAAACTAATTCTAGGTGCTCCATACGAGGGCGGCGATCTGGAAATGCGAATGCTACAGCGTACGCTGCGAAAGAAGTGCAAGGTGGAATGGCTGTTACGAGCCCGCCCTGAATGGACGATTTTTGCACCAATGCCACAATGCACAAACACAATCCGGCAAATCCCAGGGATATCAGCATGTATCTGCGACAATTAACACAAATTAACGAACAAGCAGCACCAACCCACAATTTGTTATACGTCACCCTCCGGTACTGGAGGGTAAGGTACATCAAGGCGAACATTGACCAGGCACCGAGGACACTGCAAGATATGTCAGCTACAAATAGCATGTACGAAGATGATGACCTACCCCCATGCGAGAACAGCTTCCACTGCTGCGTCGTTTCGCAACATGAAATACAACACGCTCGTGATACCCATTAACGGGCCTACAAGACTTCTTGCGGCGCCCATCAAATATCCTCCACAGAGCAATAGCATCCCAGTCAATGTTCCAATGGCCATCGTCGGTACCTGATGAATCTCGTATACGTCAGGCGCAGAGAAAACCCTACCCAGCACTAAGTGATCATCCATGGCCGCCGCTGGTGCGATCAACATAGCGCAGGTCAGAGCGGCGATACACGTCGACGCTGGACCGCCTTCGAGACCGCGGATTGTTCTCAGGACCAACTCCATGGTTATCCCGCTGAGGTTCGATCTTGGCAGCGTTCCCTCTTCCTGGTGACCGGCAACAGCGTCATCTTCAGGCTCGTCCAGCAGCAATTCACCGGCTGCTTGCATGTCATCTCTCGCCTTGATCATGGCCCTCTTCCGCAATTCGAACTCTTTCATAGCATTGTCCATACACATATCCATCAACGTCATGTGCATGAACAGCTTGTAAGTAGACTCATGGATCGATGACTCTAACTTCGAAAAGTCCTTCTCATACAGAACTACATCATCCGAATCAGTACAGTCTCACGGATAGAGGACACTGACTCACTAGACGACATGTTGAATGGTGGCTGTTAGTCTCCACGGAAAATCCAAGCGAGCTTGCGTATTCGATCGTTGAGAGCGAAAATTTGCGGTACCGCACGAATTGCTGAAGGACGGAGCTTTTTGGGGAGCCGTGTGGCATGTCTCGCATGGCCTTCCCGCGGCATCTAGGGAAGGCGAGATCAGAGTCAAGGTGACCTAGGTACCAGTGAACACGGGTCCCATACGAACGATCAGCGCGTTGCGATTTCCTATGAGATCGTCTCGCGGATACCATTCGTCAAGAAATACGAATACCGCTCCATGGCGTTCTCGGCTTCGTAAAACATGCAAGGCTGAGGCATACCAAGGCAACAACGCATGCAGTGCGACGCCGCGTGACGTCGGTCTCACCGGTAAAGTGCGTTACCTCGCTCATCAGGGCGTTATCGAGTAGGCATGTACATCTACGTTGCGGCACTTCTACGTCCAGAATCCCGAACTATGGTCGTGATCCCTCTCCAACTCGATTACAGTGACTATGCCGCATACATTCCACATTGGTAGCCAGTGCGATGCCTTCGATGAAAGGGCGCAGGCTGTTAGCTTAGAAGGCGCACTCCGGTAAGTCCGCACTCGTCGTGGCAACTTCCAAGTGCTTATTGCGTGCAGTTCTGTGAGCGAATATTTGCCGTGGATCAACTCGAAGGCAGGCATCAATTCTTCGGCACTCCAATCTTGCGGCAACATCGACAAGAGCAGGAACAGCAGTGTCCATGATGTCGACATTGGCAGAGCGATTGCAGAAATGAAAACTAGTGAGGTCGATTCTTACAAGAAGACTCTTGTTGCTTGGAAGGACGAGCGCTGTTCTGGCGCTGTTCATCTCGTCAAGAAGTGGCATCTACACTTTTTAGATGCCATAAGCGCATTGTTCTCGCAGCGTATGGACAATGCTCTCGGTGACGGCGATCTTGAACCTTTCCACCACCCAAGGGTTACCCCACAGCAGGCCTCTTACACCTCCGGCGTCCCAATCGACCCTCACAAGCCACGTTTACCACGCATAAGGATTGCCATAACGTCCATCTGTTTCCTCGCCGCCGCAGCAGCAACCTTCTACGAGTCCTCAACACGCGATCCATCTAGTCTGCACCCTCTTGCCAGGCAGAAAAGCGACCGGGTACCGCACGATCTAGCTTCGCTGGACGTCCTACAGAAGTTCACAGATACTTTTGCTCCTCTGTTTGTATTTACAGCCGCCACATCGATAATTTATCACCTAAACGCACATCATAATTACCAGGATTATTTTGTGCTGAGCGGAGTCTTTCTTGGGGTATTTGCAGGCATGGCGATATACCGTGATTTGCAGGATGCGATGCTGAAGGTGGTGCCTTGGACAATGCTTGAGGGATTCGCAATGAGTATAAGTGTCCACGAGATCTTGGAAAGGCGCAGAAGGGTATCAATGCCGGAGAAGTTAGTTGCGTAAGCAGGGTGAGAGGTTAGTCGGTAGTGGATGGGAATATATGAGAATGAATAATGCTCCTTTCCTGAAGTCTTCTTCTCTGTTGTGTTGTCTGCCAGGGTAGTTCGAGCAAGTGAGGTGTGTAGCTGCTCTTTCTCCGAGCCTGTCGCAGCTACGTGGAGCACAGAGAGGAGTGGGACCACAATGTTAAGGAACACAGACAGGACGGAATACGCAAATGGACCGTTCTCCGGAGTATGATGCTCCAATGCTCCCCTTAATGGTCAGTTGTCCTCTTAGCGTATGATTGATTGCCAATTGCACGTGATCTGGAAAATCCTTTAAATCGGAGGGGCCTGCAGCTACAGCCGAGTACGTTATCTCGGCCCATCGTTAGACGGACAATGGGGATAACTCGTGCATCATAGCGATTGTAGAAAGTTATGTCCCAACGAGAATATATATCTTGAAATATGATCAGTAAGAATTCTTCGGTACCGTGCCTTTTGTGTCCCGACCTCGCCCTCCAAGTCAGCCCATGCACTACGCTCCTAATGGCGATTCGCGACGCTTTGCATTCTGTACTCTGCCTGATTCGCCCGTCTCTGGTCCAATGTGCGGCGAGAACGCTTCCACGCAGACCCTGATCCCGTCACCGTCAAGCTTCTGAAAAGGAATTGTCCTGGTATCTCGACGGGAAGAAAAAAGCGACGCTGTATGCCGCAAACGATGCGCAAGGTGGGATGACAGTAACGAGTCCATTTTGAAGCGAGGATCGTTGTAACAGTGCGACGATGCACATGCAGATCGAAGCGAGAGCGAGACTCAAGAATATGTACCTGCAGTCCGTCAGAACATGGTCTTCTAGGGTCTAGGTCTCCGCTTACAGCTTGTGGTTGCTCACTCGATGGCACTGCAGCATAAAGTACGTCAAGCCAAAGAACAACCAGGCACCAAACATCCTACTAACATCAGCATAGTCTTTCAAACGGTTTATTGTTTGACGTAAATCCACGCTAACCTGGGATCAATGGCTGAATCGTTGCGCATCATCAGCCACAGCATGCTTGAGATGCCCATAAGCGGTCCAAGTAGGCTATTCGAGACTGTGAACGCGAAACCGCCAATCAGAAGGCAACATGTAACGAAGAAGCCCTGCCTCGCTTGCACTTGGCTAACGAAGGACTGATGCCTGATTGGACCAAGTGCGTAGTCATTATCATAACCAGCCGCTTGTTGTATAAGTGTGGCACAAAAAAGGCGGACGAACAGATATGTCCACCGAGAAGGCAACCTCACGTGATGGCGACCCTTGACCGAAGAACGAAAACGCGGATTCATAGTGCCTCGAGGACGTTTATGTGATCTTGTAGAGGATATATGCTGTATTATTTGCCGGATGCTTGTAGGGAATGGTTACCATAGGTAGTTCTGAAGAAGCTCGAAGCGAACAAGAAGGACGAAGTAGACGTGTTATAAAGCCGTGGTTGGGGTGCGCGGCTCGAGTGGTTCGCAATCAGGCGGACCAGGTTCGCGCAAATCGACCGGGGTGTCTATTACTTTCCAGAAGTAATAGAGGCAACTGGTCCGTGCTGTGAAGGGCGTCCATAAATGGAATCCCGGCATGCGTCTGCATGTTCGCCGTGACAGGCATCGACCGCTCACGAACCACCACCAAAGCTGATTTGCAGGCCGCATCTCGTTGGTTCCCCATAGCCTCCGTAAGCCAGGATGTCTCCGGCTTGATTTGCTCGCAGACGTGCACATCATCATCTGGAAGGTGGCTGATGCGTGCTAGGAAGATCTATTACATGCTATTGGACCAACTCGTTAGCGGACCTTCCCGTCCACCGGTGTAAAACCACAGAGAGTGATCAGTCTATCAGTGCGCTTACCTAGGTAGGCTTTTCAGGTTCCCCCGGCTCGCCAAGGTGTATCACGTGTCGGGGGTAGCCGATCGGGCCTGCAGGGATTAGTACCCTCCGTTCTCCTTTGTGCCTTGCTTTGCGCTCACATCATTTCGTCATCCTCACGATATCGTGAGAGCCTCTCTCTTCGTGTAGTACGCGGATTATTATGTAGATGTAGGATTCCTTACTAAAGCTTGCTCTGGCTCCTCGCTGCATCCTAGATTGATGGAATACTTGGAAACGGATTCGCCAGCAAAAGTGAGACGCACTACTGATGCCATAATAATACTGCATCATATTTTGACGGTACCCGTTAGACATTCTAGGTAATCAGTTGAGTAGGCTTGCTACGAGTCGGTTTTTTTTGTTCGAAAGCACAGCTGGGATGATTTCCCCACTGATATTGGATGCTCAATCCAGAGTAGATTTGGGGATGTCGCTTTTCTTCCGCAAGCACAGTTGGAGCAAGCTCATCACTAACATCGAATGCTAAATTTAAGTAGCATGCGCCACACCTGTGGCATCGATCAACTTGGCGCTGCAACGACTTGCTCCCTCGGGCGTGCAAATCCATGTTCCAGAAGGTGAGGGAGCTGCTGGTAAACGCCGTTTATCTCTACAGGTTAACAGCATCGTCGCAATGCCAAAATAAGTCAAGCTTCTCGTTTCCTTGCTTCATACGCCCAGTGTTCGCAGACTTTGAAGAACAAGCACGGAGAGCAGCCAGCAAACGCACCATGGGCTTGTAACAACTTGCCGTGCAATGTAAGAGATAATTCGCTCAGACATCAGTCTTGCAGATGGCTTGTGCACGTCGGCTTCGCATGATGGCGTAGCCCGGGTTTATTGTAGGGGAAATAAAACCTTACTGAACGTGTCTTCGTGGGGCTGTGAGATGATGGTTTCCGGTGGACACTAGACTGGAGTTGGCAGCGATCTCGAAGGAATTCCGCATGTACCAGGATGATCTCCGGTGGGCACTAGGCTGGAGTCGGTAGCGATCTCAACTGCAGTTCGACGTAGACTGAAACAGGCAAGGCACTGCTGCGCTCAACTGCACCACCCTGTCCTTGCAGGTTCCCAGCGTCAGCTTTGGCGCCCACCGGAGACCAAAGTGTTCCTTTGAGATCGCTACCAACTCCAGCCTAGTGCCACCGAACATCATCCTGGGCATGTCCTGCTTGGCTGGGCTTACACGGTAATATATTACAGTCCCACTGCATCCACTTAGGGCACATCTCAAGTTGCGCATTCAGACAGTGTTCTTGCACCTGGCGTAATTGAGAATACATAGCGAAGATGGAACATCCGGCGGTACTGGAAATATCTCAGAAAATTGTCCCCAACTAGGGTAAGCAGGTTGCCTTTCACGACTCGTCATTTTGTCGGTACTACATCTATTTCCTTTCCCATCCTCTATCCGCAACACTTGGCAGTATAGTTGCTGACCTCAAGCTTTGGATAGGCCCTCTAGAGCCTATCGCAGTTCCTCCGATCTTTCAGCCCACGTGACCGTTCTGTTCTTCACAGCCGTGGGTGTTTCTTACCATTGTCTTAGTCCTCTTCGACTTCGTCGCCACTCTCAAAGATCCCTTCATCTTCTTCCAGCTCAAAAAGTATGTCATCAAGGGTCTCATCCACCTCTATTGTATCCTTCAGATCAACTTCTTCCTCTTCCTCTTCCTCTTCCTTCACCTCGACTTCCTCTTCCTCCGACTCACTGGATGATTGTTCATCCGTGAACCCCTTCTCAGGACGTCCAGCTTTCTCCGCAGCTTTAATCTGCTTCTGGCGATAGATCGGCAGATCCAGAACATCAAAAGTATCCTTCATAGCGTTGCGAATCTGATACTCCAACTGCGGATACTGAGCACCATAATCCTTGAAGGAACAACCTCCCATAGCTTCATGAAGAAAAAAAGCTTCCTCCCTGTGCAGGGCAATCTTACTGGGACGCGGGTCTATAATCAAACCATTCAAGCGACGGATCTGATTCGGGATATTCAAAGGCTTCCCGTCGTAATTCTTGTCCCCCATCCGCAGCGACTTTTCGTAACGTTTATCCGCCAATCCAGCAGTACGACCTCCCTTCTTCTTCGCCCTACCCTTATGCTTATCGATGCGCTCGATGGGGATGTTCTCCGCCTCCGCCTTGCGCACTTTTGCTTTGAGCTCTTCGACTTCTTTTCTAGCCTCGTCTCCGGCTTCAGTGTCGGCGCGGATCTTGTAGCATCCGATTACTGTGCCGTCGATTTCTTCAACGACGATGCCTGAACCGCGGTAGTGCCCTACACCCGTTGTCTCGTAGTAGAGTAGACTCGCGGGCTGTTTGGGGTAGGAGGATGGCTCGTCGATCTCGCAGTACTCGGTGTTGATCCAGGGGATGAACCACCATGTTTCGGGGATGGGGTCTTCGCGGAAGCGTATGTCTTCGAAGAACCAGCCGATGGGCTCTGGTTTCCTGCACGCTGTGAGAAACGGTGTCTGAAGTCAGGGGTCCGTGACTCAACTTACCTCGGGTAGAGCGGTTCCGGGGCGGGTGGTGAAGACATCTTACGTGCGAGTTCAAATGCTGTGGTCCTCACTCTGTCTGCGATGGCGACACTGTTGGATGTATCGCCTTATAAAGGTCGGTACTGATGCGGATTGTGGTTGAGAGCAGCACGTGGACGAGTGAAGTGCTTGTGGAAAAGCCTCAGCAGAGCACGAGGACTCTGTAGTCATAAATTTGATTCTACAGCGCCAAGACCACGGGAGTGAAAGTCCATGCTCTTTCTCTTCCTTATGCAGCGCACACAGGAAAGACAGAGTCTCATTCGCGATGATCCATATCTCCATAGGTTGCAAACTTTAGCGCACGTGAGAAACAACTTTGGAGCCACCACAAACTTACAATCACTTGTGGGGTTCTTTCCTGACCAGGCACTAGTTTTGATGTACTCATTACGAAGGAGCCGTCTTCGACGGCTGTGGGCTAGCGGCCCGCTTGCATACCTCCTGTACGTTCTAGCGCAGCGTGCTTCTACGCACAGGAGAATCCTAATAATGTACTATCATCACTGGAGTGCATTCAAGATCAAAAGGCTCAGATATACATACTCGAACATCGATTCTATTACATCCTACAAGCGCTCGTGCGCGTCTAATCTCAACCTTGAAACGCTCTAACCTAAACCCCAAAAACGCCAAAGAAAAATTATTTATATCTTTGAGCTGCGCGCCAGCCACGTCGTGCGAGATAGGAGATGGGTATATGGGTTTTTGCTGCGCGCCAGCCACGTCGTGCGACAAAGGAAATGGGTTTGTGTGGGTTTAGGGAGCGCGCCTCCAACGTCGGTGTCGTCAGACATGATAAGGAAAGACAAGTGCTTAGGAACGCAGGTACAACGCTGGTATCGGTCTATAACAAATTACCCCAAGGAAACTTTTGAATATAAGTCTGGGAGAGAGCGCGAGTCGGAAAAGTGTGTCGACGTCGTGATAGAGCTGTTGTGTACACAGCAAGAATGAGTTACAATTACTCGGCCTTCTTGCTCGCCTTGGTACGCAGTTTCATGAGCAGGTACACCAACGCATAACCTGACAACACAAAGATGACACAAATGCCAGCGTCGCGCCAGCCATAGACGTATTCGCCTAGGTTGACAGTGGCGAGGTAGTCCTTGCCAACAGTGTACTGGCAAACCTTGCACTGGCTCGTGGCATCTGGGTTGACGAGGTTGTTGCTCGCGCCAGGCCCTTGAAGCCACGCTGCGAGGTACTCTCCGCAAGTCTGGTTGGAAGGCGGATCGAAGCGCGCAAATTCCGTTTCCGTGCACTCAACCTTCCAGTCGAAGTCGGAGAACACGAGAAGCGAGCCCATCATGTAGTTGAAGGGATTCAGGTAGTACAACCAGTATTTCCAGAATGGTTGGATCTGGGCGTAGGGAACCAGGACACCGCAGAAGGAGACGAGAGTACCGATAAGTAAGGGATTGACGAGCGAGGCGAAGACGGCGTTTGGTGCATACGCGGCGACGAACTGGCCTATGCCGGTATAGATGAATTGATACATCAGCATGACGAAGAAGGTTGCACCAGCTTTGTTGGAGTCGGTCGGCAGTCCAGCCGTGTAGTAGAAGCAGACGAAATAGAAAATCGCGCAGATAACAAGGTAAGGAAGTTCAGACACAACGAGGCCTGTGACGAACGGGCTCCAGTGGTACATCTTCGATTTGCGTTCGCGGGCTTCGTAGATATCGCGACGTTCGATGAAGAGGGGCTGTAGTTGCGCGATGACACCAGGTGCAACGAATATGTAATTGAATAGAGCGAACAGGATGAGTTGTTGATCATGGACCGTGTTTCCAATCTTCCAGAAAGAGAAACCAACGAAGAGCGCCACACCAATGTGCAGAGCAAACTTGTTATTGACGTAGTCAATGTTGCGGTACAAGCTAACGTTAGATCTGTGAGTGACGATCTTAGTCTGTGTCCAGATAGTGGTAGCAAACTCATTGCCATCATCTTTGGTTCCAGGTGGCTTGTTAGCGGCGTCGGTAATGATGTCTTCCAGGTCATGATGCATGCGAGCAGCCTCGGGCGAATCTAGCCAAATCTTATTCCAGTCTTGCGAAGACTTGCTACCAGAGACCACATCAATCATATGCTCAGCAGGGTTGGCACCTGCAGGGCAAGGCATTCCATGGCGGCCGAAATAATCTTTGATCGTTTTCGCATTGTCGCCAATGTCACCGAAATAGACAGTCTTGCCACCTTTCGCCAGCAAGAGCAGTGTATCAAACTGGGCAAAGAGCTGGGCAGAAGGTTGATGGATAGTGACGAGGACTGCTTGACCAACATCAGCGAGTTTTCGGAGGAATCGGACGGTATTGTATGCTGCTTGTCCGTCAAGACCACTAGTTGGCTCGTCGAGGAAGATTAGGATGGAAGGCTTCGAAACTAGCTCCACGCCGATAGTGACACGCTTCCTCTGCTCAACGGAAAGACCAGCGCCGAGCCTGCCAATAAGGGTATGCTCAATGTCATGAAGCTCAAGTAGGTCAATGATGGTATCCACGTATGCCAGCTTCTCAGCGTCCGGTGTTTCTCGGCTTTGGCGAAGAAGTGCCGAAAATTCAAGGGCTTCCCTCACAGTGGCAAAAGGCTCGTGTACGTCAAGCTGTTCACAGTAACCAGCGGAGCGTTGGAAAGATACCGGGAGTGGACGACCATCAACCAAAATCTCTCCATGGATCGTGCCTTCAGTCTTGCGCTGAGCAAGCACATCCAGTAGAGTTGTTTTTCCAGCGCCAGAGGATCCCATGAGAGCGCCAAGCATGCCTGGTTTCACATACCCATGGACGTTATCGAGCAAAGTACGGTCTCCCGATGGCGTCTTCACAACGTAGGACAGGTTCCGCCACGTGAAAACTGATGTGTTTCGCATAAGCGATCCTTCAACATCATCCTGGGTAGCGTCGGCGCTATTGTTACCGACAGCCGTAGCCCGAGGAGACTTCTCATTGACTTGAGCTTCTTCATCAGCTGGAGCGGTGATCTGGGCCGGGACCTTCTTAGCGGTCTCGCGAGGGATGAGAAGGGCACCGGAAGAACCTGCGGTGTCATCCCATCGTTGGGTGAAAAAGATTGTGAGGCCGACATATAACACCCACCAAGCGAACAGGATGCCGACATTGCGCCAAATGTGAGATGGCTGGTATGAAAGACTAGCAAGATAGTCCTCCCCAGACACTGAAGTGGCGCCTAGAGCAGCTCCACCGACACCAGCGCAAGACTGGTGAGCAGGATCGAGGTACTGAGGAAGATAGTTTGGAATGAGATTGTTGACTGCACAAGGTATGGTCGTTTCCTTGAACTCATTGGCCATCACTGCTTCGAAACCGTAAGAGAGAGGGTCGATCCAGTAGATCCAGACGAACCAGGGGTGCATTGCAGGTTTCGCGATCTGATACCCAATATAAAGGATAAGTGCGGTCAGCGAAAAGCCAGAGACTTTAGAAGCAGCATCAAAATTCGGGAAGGCAGCGCCAATCATACGGAAGAACGCTGTCATGGTGAACGTAGTCAAGTAGACGATGAACCAACAAGTGAAGAAAGCCGCCGCGGTCGCTTTCAGCGCAGTCATCCAGTACAGGATGATTATAAACACAGTGACTTGGAAAAATAGAATTGGGACATCTGCTGTGATCTGAGCGATACAGAAAGCGGCAGGGTTGTAGAAGGCGAAGTTCTTGTGCTTCGCGAGAATGGGTCGACCAGCAAACGCATCGGTGACCTCAGACATGGCCATCAAGGCGTTGTATAACAATCCCAGGAAAAGCGAACCACCCTTCACAAATAGGCCAGCTGAATTTGAGGGAGCATTGTAGAACAGAGAGCCGGCGATGAGGGCCTGAACAATAGTGGAGCCTTGCTTGATGAAGAAGGTTGCCTTGTCTCCCCAGAGGATTTGGTATTGTCGAATGACGCAAGCTTTGATTTGATCCTGGAACGAGACAGTCATGGGTGATGATTTCGGGAGGCGAGGCGATCGGTCGAGCGTGATTGCCTCGCAGAAATTATGTGTGTTACTCTTTGCTTCCTCAGTTGCGGGATAGTTCAATTCGTGATCCATGGTGGCCTTGATGTCAGTCTGGCGATATGCCAGCTCCAGTTCTCCGGCGTTGCGCGGAAAACGTGATTCGAAGTCGGGGTGGATCTGTCGCTCACTCGGCACAGTGACACCCGTCAAGTAATCAGCGACATTAGCACCTTCGCCACAGACAAAGCCTTGAGACTCCATAAAAGGCCGAGCCTGTTCACGTGGTCCGTAGTAGACTTGTTTGCCTTCGTCGAGGACAAGAACCTTATCGAAAAGATCGTATATGCCATTTCCAGCTTGATATAGCGTGACGATTGTAGCAATGCCTAGTTCGTCAGTCAAGCATCGGAGCGCTCTTGTGTACTCCAAAGCGGTGGAAGCATCTAAACCGCGTGTCGAGTTGTCCCAACACACAACGCTTGCTCTGTTGGCAATTGTCTCGATGATTGAGACTCTCTTCCTCTCACCACCGGACACACCCCGGACATAAGCATCGCCGACTTTCGTGTCCTCGGTATGCGAGATACCCATGGAGTCCATCAGGAAGGTTTTGAACTTCTTTCGGAAGTCCTCAGCATTCTCGGCATCTTTTGGTAGGTGTTGTGGAATATTGAGGCGGGTCGCAAAGTCCATGGTCTTTCCTACAGTGAGCGTAGGGAAGAAAAGCTCTTCCTCGGTATTGATGACGATGGATCCGCGATATTGCTTTGCTTGTTTAGCATCTAGAGTGCCCCAGTGCACGTCGCCTTCGATTTCTGCATAACTGTTGCTAATGTTAGCTGCGTCTGTTTGAGGTTTGATTTTGGTGTTCGTATGTACCCCTTGCGTTTGTTCGCCAGCATCTTCAACAACGTGGTGCAACCGCTACCTGGCCTTCCTAGAACAAGCAACATCTCTCCAGGCTTCACGCAACCCGAACTTCCGTCCAAGATGGTCCTCAGGCCTGGTTTATGGCGTCCTTCCCTTATCTGTTGTGGTATATTGAACTGGCTGAGCATATTCTCCTGCAGCAAGGCGTCCGAAGGTACCACCTTCACTGTCAACCCTTTCCAGCTCACGCCCAACTTTCGTCCGTTTGCTGGATCGTTGAGCGGAATTTTCTTCACGAATGGGGCGAGTTTCCAATCTTCAACCTTAGTCTTGACGGAATCGTCGTCTTCAACGCTGCCTTCAGCATCGTCCCAGATCCGGTCGGCATCTTCACGATCTGAAACCTGCGATTTACCGGAGAAGGTGCGCGATAACCTCCGCATCAGGTCCTCGCCTGTGCCTGAGGGGATGCCACCAGCTGAGGAAATCCCAATACTGGAACTGCGTCGCGTCATGGTGTACGCTGAACGTAGTGATTGGAAAATGAAGGTTGGTACAAAGTTACACACAGGACGAACGTAGGGGAAGCGAAGGACAAAAGCACCTCATCGGGGTCCGCACGATCCGATCCGAGAACTTGTCGGATTGATAACGGTCGAATATTCTTAATCGGTCGAATCTTTTTAGCGGTCCGACTCTTCCACAACGTTGTCCCTGGGCCTTCAGCTCCTCGTACTAAATCGTACATGGCTTCGTACGAGACAGGGTTGGTTGATACAGGCACTAGCGCGAGATTTGTGTGGATCGGATGGGTATCCAGTGGAGGAACAACCCTCCGATTCGGATTTTTCGGTGCCACGGATGCCAAGCGTCCCGGGTTCCGCCCCCTTCCTCGTCTTGGTGTCTCGGTCTTCGGGGCGCAACGCATCTTTTTGTCGCTTGCTGACGTAGTCGTCGAAGGTTGAAGGTAGGAAACATTCTGAAGTGTTTTAGGCACGGTCTGGCCCGTTCGATGACAGAACGTGGTTGTGGGTCTCGCCAAAATCTCATCCGCGTCCCGAAAAGCAGCCTCAACACCAGCAAATCTTAGATGCACCAACAACCTCCACACAGTTCTTCTAGCTCATTCCATGACATCCTACCTTCATCAATTCTTCGCTAAAACCAGGAACTTGTACTGTGTGGGAAGAGACTTACCTACTACCTAGGTACCATCCATGGCATTCAGACCGGCATGATCGCCAAGGGTCTTGTTCAGAGACCACGTACTGGAGCCGCGAATGAAGGGTAGAGTGCCGACAGACGACGGTCCTCGTCGTCCTTTTCCTAGCCCGCAGGCAATGGTGTCTCCACAGCATACGTCGCTATAATGAGTATAGCTGCTGCTCTTTGCACTGTGGAATCGGTAGTAGGTCCACCAGACAGCAGAAGTCTTTTGGCCTGGCACAAGAACGTTTTTGAAAAGAAAAGCATGAGTATGTGGAGCCGAAGACGAGCTGATGGTGCGTTTGTTGCAAGTCACGATCATCTCCACACGTTCACGCTGGTGTCACGCCACTACCCTGTTCAATACTAGCGTCGATTATCTAGGTTCACGTGGGCGCGGGGAAACCTGGAGCCGCTGCCCGCCAATTGCCCCCTTGCGCACAACTCAACAGCCGCCGCCCGCGTCAAGTCACCACGCGCCTCTCCACGTTCAAGATGTTGGTTTTTCCTGACGAGGATGGCGACAAAAGTGCGGACTCTCAACATGACCGCCTTGGCGTCCTTCCGGATGAGCTCCTATTGCAGGTCTTCGAGACGCTCGCAAAGCTCGGCACGCGGAAAGACCTCTGCAACGTGTCACGACTGAGCAAGAGGTACCATCGCCTGAGCGACGCAACACTGTACAAGCAGGTGCTATTCCAGACTCCGGAGCTACACCTCACCTTCAGCGAATCGCTCGGTCGCCGCCCTCGTCGTGGATCAGCTATCAATGAAGTCACCTTGGCGTACCCGGCATCAGAGCTCTCGCAATTGGCGCTCGGTGCCCACGTACATGGTTCCCATATTCATCCTTCCCGATTCGACGGCTTGTCACGCACGCTTTCCATAATGTCGAACTTAGAAAAGCTTGACATTGCCGTTCCGAGCGTTCTCTTGCACGGCGTTGGTTCCCTATTTAACGGTCCTTTCGATCTATCATGTCTCAAGTCATGCAAACTATTCTATCAATGTCCCAATGATGAGTACTGGGACCTTCGCGAAAACATACATATATTTGCGCATCCTGAACTCGAAGAGCTGACCCTTCGGCGTGCCAGATTTGACGAGCAAGGTTTCAATTTCCTAGAGCGACCTCACGAAACAGCCTTGAAGAAGCTACATCTAATCGAATGCGACATCAATGACGACGGCTTGAGTGATATCCTCGAGCTCCCCGAAGCACTTGAAGAGTTTGTGATGACTCATCAGGAAGAGCCAGAGCCGGAGCTCGAAGAGAGCTCCGACAGTGTTGCCGATTACATTCAAGCTCTCAGATCACAAAGCGAGTCCTTGCAAAGCATCACGATCGACTCTCCATCCATGACAAGTCGAAAAGTGTTGAGGATGAGGGAGTTCGGCACTGTCAAGACCCTGCGCTTGAACTGGGACTACCAATTGTTCGCCAAGTCATCGAAGAAGCCGCGCCTACACTCCGTCGGCTTACCTCCCGAATTGGAAATGCTGGAATTCTTCAATGAGCTCGGTACTGATGCGGAAGTCAATGATCTCTTGCTTGCTTTGATCGAGAGCAAGAGTATCGTTGCGAGACATTGGAAAACTATGGTTGTGGTTGAGGGCGATGACGCTATTCTTAGACAAGTCAAGGCTGCCTGCAAAGAGAACGGTCTGCAGTTGGATATTATTGGTGCTTTTGATGAAACAGATTCCGAGAATGATGGAAGTATAGGGTCTGATGGCGGGGACGACAAAGATACTGATGATGATTCCGAGTAGACCGCTCATGGTTATAGACAGACCGATGAGACGCGAAACAGATACGCAAAACGATATACGAAACGATACACGATAATGTAGACTAGATTCGATTATACAAGCAAGAACTGTTTGAAATTCATACTTCAAAAACCTATCTCTCTGTTCCGCTTTCCCGTCACCTCCTCACGATAGCAACAAGGCGACGATACTCGCACCGCCCAACACAACGGATAGGACCCCGCCTGGCGCGATTCGAGTACCTGCCCCCGGCGCTGTCGTGCTGCTCGGCGTGCCACTATTCGAGGATGCAGGCATAGCCGTCGAGGTCGGGCCACCACCAGTACTGATCGTCGTTCTACTTTCATCGCCCTCCTTCCACCTGAGTATCACAGCAGGATGATCCAAGGCGAACTCCAAAGTGGTTTCTCTAGCGAGCGTCGTCACCGTCGCGCTTACGAATTCTCCATACCCACCAGTGCTACAATGCACGAACCCAGACACCGGCAACTTTGACCCCGATGTGAGCCTGCACAATGGACCATCTGTTGACCGTGTCTGGAGAACGAGCTGACTGCGTTCCGTCAGTCCCTCCTCGTCGTAATACGCAAGGGACAGAGGAATTACCTAGGACAGCACACAATTTCCGTCTCTCCACTATCAACAGACGACGTCGCAGTCGTCCACGCAGACGGACACACATTTGCCGTCGAAAAGTACCCGACGGACAACTGCCAGAAGTTGTCCTTGTCTGCTGAAGCGCTCAATGGGACGGGGTAGCAGTCGGTATTGTAATTGTACGCATAAATGTCTGGACGAGCGGCGCCGGTCTTGAAACACGTCCCATCGTCGCCTCCCAACCCGTCATACCAATTTCCTCCCCTGTCCACCGTTCGGAGATGCGGATAGGATAGACATGTTGAGGAGGGTGTGAAGGTCGTGGTTAGAGGGCCGTAGTTGGTGGATGTGGTGGGCCAGGAGACGCCGCCTAGCCACGAGCCGTCGCCCATTGTGGCCAACTCTTGTTTGTGCTGAGTACGTTTGTGCTGATATGTGTCTGAGGTTCTATTACGACTTCTGAGGTCGTTTGCGTTAATCGACGATTTTGAGGCTGTTTTTCCGGGCTCAAAACTAGGAAGATGTCTGCGCCTTTAAACAAGTTGTAGGTAGTACGCGTGAGCGTTCGTTCCTCGTATGAATGGGGCAGAGTTCGGCATGTTCAGTGACGATCGTTCTCATGTTATTGGATGGTTGGTGAGGCCTCCCAAGCCCAAAATAGTACGTTGTTAGCTCCACAAGGCCACCAATGTCAATAAGGCTGATGCAGCTAGTACGTATAAGGCTAGCTGTATCGGAGATGTCGATCGGCCTCCGCATGTTGGCATGTCATTGGTAACGTCTTGATACATTTTCATGTACAGTGGTTGTGACTCCGATCAGAGCGGCGTGGGTGTATATATGGCTTGGCACTCCGAGTGTTCATACACACGAGTTCGATTGAGGTAACGAAATTGAAATCAGGATTCGGGAACGTGGGATATCAAAAGCCTCTCATACTCAGAACTCGAAATCCAAATGCTAGACGCCCTCTTTACGGCATACGCATCATACAGACACTCTAGGCCCTAATGTCCATCGATCTCTTGGAAGGTCGGAATGGTGCCTGTTGAGATTTCAGAAAGCTAGCTGCATTGGAAGAAAGATTTCATTACTTCGGATGATCCTAGACGTCCTCGCAGGTGGCATTCTCACCAGTCCCAACCGGCAAAAACATCTTATACGCTGCTTTCAGCTCTCGGAACCTCGCGCAGGCCTGACCAGACACGCGTACTTTATCTGGATACAGTTGCGAAACGTCTGGCCATACCCTGTCAGCAACCGCCTTTTCCCCAGCCTCTTGCAATTCAACAGGGTGCAGCCCTTCCACCATTCTGTCCACAATCTCCTTGTATCCATGTTCCCGCGCTTGACGAACAATCAGCGCCCATACATGCCTGGCCTTAGTCCAGTCCTTTTTAGTGAGTATTTCCTTGATCTTGTGTTCCCCGAAAGCGGCACATGCATCTACTACGACGCACTCCCAGAAGAAATCTCGATAGGCAGGATGATCTGCGAAGTCGAGCAGTGTGCTGATAACATGCAGGTCGCCTGCAATTGCAACGTTCTTGATCTGGGTTGACCTAAGAGGGTGTACGTAGCGTAAATCGGCGCCTCGGGAGAGACAAAGCCTCAGAAGACGTGGTTTGCGCAACGAAACTGCTTGTCGGGCCAGACGCCCGAAAGAGCGCGGCTCCCGGCGTACAGGAGGGGGCGCTGTTGAATCGAGAAGCCATTCTATGGCTTTGTCCCAATCACTAACTACAGCAAACACGAAGGTTGTGAGTCGTGTATTTCTTGGTGACCTATGACTGAAGCCTTCCCAATCGGGTTCCCACCACGGACCTAGGAACTGAAACCAGTTATTGGTGTTGTGTACGTAGGTTTTGGCGAATTCATCGAGGAGGGAAGAACGCGTGTACATAACTGACGTCGTTGTGCTAAGCAGAGTCTGAGACGTGAGAAACAGAATGTCATCAACCACATCGTGGATATGGGCGACAAAGTCTGAGCAGGGCCGGGAAGGCACATCGCCAATATGTTCTCGAGCTACGCGGACCTTGAAGCTTTCAGTGGACGATCGGTATCGCTTCCTGCGAGTGAGTATATCAATGTTGTAGCGCGCGAGGTATTTGAAGACATGTCGATCAAAGAAGCCTGGATGTGGGATCAGTACGATTACTACTAGTGCACATCTGTGTCTGCGGGAGGAGGCTCACGGTTAACGAGACGGAGACGAAGGCCTGTCTTGGCGTCTGAAGACAATGCTGCAGCATAGCGTAGGATATCTTGTACTAGGGGAAGCGGTAATTCGAGAAGTTGCATGTTGAATGGAACAACGTCTAACATCAACTGGGGATGTGTTTGGTGGTTTTCTAAGGACCAAGTTGAACAGGCTCTAGATTGCTGCGCCACACTCCACCCGTGGGGCATCCTTCACAAAGGCAGTAGTCTGCGATCCATGCGCGAGGCTTGACTCAACTGTCACGTGTACTATAGTTTTCAGTACCACAGAAAGAAATAGATGAGGCCTGGCGGTAGCTGAGTCATGATGTCGTGTCTATAATTTTGTCTATGTGGAGTCTTCGCTCCGCTGCTGCACCAAACCACCCAAGATCTCTAAAAAAGCGTCTTACAAGAATCGAAGAAATCAGAAGCAACCTCTATCACGAGCCGCATCCAGTTTGACCCCTCCCTGTGTTCTTAGCCTGACTCTCAAAATTCGCCCCCACCCAGGAGCCGATCCGTGTCCTCCGCCCCACCTCCGCCACTAGCTCCACCCTGAGCCCCATGATAGCTTGTATCCACTGCTAGATCTCCGCCCACATGCCTCGTCCTTCTCTCCCTGCCCTGCAGCATCTTGCCCTTGAGCTGTCGTCCTAACCCACACACCCACATGCTCACGCGTGATTGGAAATCCTTTCCCCGCTTCGTCAAACGCAACAGAAGCGGGATGATAAAGCACAAGCACCCGACTGCCAGCTGCGTTGCCTGATCCCAATCGCTCAGATTCGCAGCTGAACGCGGCGCAGTGGGGCTATCGGGGTCGTAGCGCCAACGGCGAGGCGTAAACAAATATATGATAGAGATGGTGAGAGTACCGATGACGATCGAGTGCGTGGCCCAGCGCTCGTAGCGCCAGTAGTAGATAGCGGAGAGTGGGGCAGCAATGAAAGTGAGGAACGGGACGCCGCAGAGGAGGAGCCGGGAGAGAAGGTTGCCATGTTGGATGTTATAGGCAAGCATGGCGATGGTGAGAAAGAGCTCCAGGGCGAGCCAGGTAGCGGTTTGGAGGGATGGAGTCCAGAAGCGGATGGTCTGGCGGAAGCGGAGGGAGCGGAGGCTTTGAGAATGGGAGAGCAAGGGTGTGAAGAGAAGTGGAACTTGGTGTCCTGCGGCATGCTCGGTATCCGTGAACGAATGGATCGCATCCGGAGCGTCGAATAGATCCTCGCCGTGGTTGATGGATGATGCCGCGGACGAAAGAGGTGAAGGTGAAGCAAGACCATTGACGGGTACACCTTCTAATTCCACAGGCTCGACCCCCGCAGGTAGGGTCTTAAGCTTACACACAAGCCTTTGCAACAGGTAGTGCGCGTCGACGATCCACCCGATCATTGTAACTCGATCTGCGGCATCGAACTTCGGCTGTGTGTACTGCGAAGGATGTGCGACACCATACAGCAAGGCGACTCCAGCAGCGGCGGCGTAGGAAATGACGAGTATCATTGAGGCAAACCTCAGTGAGAACACCTCATCGGAAGTGCTGATCATTCCGGACTCGCAGACGAGGGCAATAGCGTTGAGAAGCCAGGCGTAGTATGCGCCGGGCGCGAACCAGCCGGAAACACCGGACGTCTCTGGAGGAGGCTGGAAGGAGGTTCGAGCTTCCCATTGTCGGCGGGTGATGTCCACAACAGCGGCGAAGACCAGCACGGATAAAGGAGGTATGATTTCGTTACCGGCGAGAGAGACAAAGACCTCTGGGGCTTGTCCGGCATGGTGTTGGATAATGTTGAGGCATTCGAAGAGAGCGTCGACGCAGTTGGCGGTGCGGTCGTGAATGTTGATGTGAAACAGCATGTTGGGCTACATGAAAAATGATTGGTAGCAGAGAGTGACTGAATGAAGTAGGATAAAGATCCTGCTCATGAGTGAAGGTGAAGGAATGATGTTGTCTTTGGGAAAGAGCCGGGCGGTGCTACCATTATATGCCCATTCAGTGCAGAGCATTGTCGCTGTGCGTGTGGATGGTCGGACGAGAGTCCGCAGTCGTTCACCGGGATCCTGCTGCTAGCGCAGCGGCGGTAGATCTCCCAACTATGGCAGACGAAGATCTTCCACGTGGAGGCGCTGCGGATGGCTTCATGCCAATGCAGTCAGCGAAAAATTCAAGTCGTAACCCGTCATAGCAAACTTAGGGGAGATGAAGTCTTGACGGCAATTGCCTTGATCGGCTTGCACAAGATCCGGGTACACCACCTAAATCTCGGTTATCAAACTTTTACAACTGCAGATCGGCGTTTCGCCCAGTAGTCTATACATTTCGTGCCGACGTATGGTACATTTTGAGACGTGAAACGGGAACCCGACATCGTGGGCAAGCTTCGACGCCACTGAATTACCGCTTGTTGCCTATTGGGTGCCACATTTGCAATCGATTGAACCAGCTGACTGGAAATAGCAATCCGCCACACAGTTCTCGTAGTGTGGAGTGGGTCCTATGCGATGTTCCGGGGGCTAAAAATGAATCGAGTGTGCCCCTGCGTTAGTAACTGCCGGATGCTCCCTGGGACGCACGCCGCAAACGAATGTTCGACGACCGACACAAGCGAGCGCTTTCCGGCTGCCTGCGCCTTGGGTTGCTGCTCGGATCTCCCACGGTGCCTTTTGGGAAGCACTGGCCTCTCATAGACTAGAACACCATACCAGTTCCTCTCCAGGCACACTTAGACGTAGCAGTGCCACGTAAACAGGGCGTATGTGTTTGGCTGACTTTATCGTTGAGTGCTTGACCGAGCTGTTTTTGCTTGGAAAAGACTCAGGGGTGACTCGCGCATCTGCATGTACGAATTAAGGCCGAGTGAACAAATGCGTCATCGCATCGCATCGTCATGCTGGCAACTGCACCATCACCAGGGGGCGTTGAGCGGGATGGAATTTCGATTTCCTTCTCAGCAAGCCACTTGGACGTTCCAATAAGCACGGCAACGACGCGACGCCGTCGTTGCGGGCGGATCGCATGCGCTAGGATAGGCGAGCTATCGATACCCGTGCTCCGGATAGCACCTGTATACCCTCGATTCAGGGCCATCGCAATGTTGGCTATAGAAAAATGCCCTAAAAGTGTTGAGCGTCCATGCGTCCTAGTGAAAGTCGAATGGCTGTTTCAGCGTTGCTGCTCTGCGCCCGTAAATAACTGCGGCCTGTCGGGACAAGTGTTGTTTGCATACCGTAGGCCCGATTGTGATTAGTGCCGAACGTCCCCTTCTGCTTCTCTGCCAAACACGTACGCAAAGGGTCGGACTGATCACGGTCAATCAGCGCTCAGCTAGTCTGCATACAAGATGTCTTCGCAACGTGCTCCTATTCGAGGTTGGTGTCAATCTCCTGCTTCTCACAGTATTTTTCTTTCTTTTCCGTGACGTACTTGAGTGTAGTGGCAACTAGTGAAATGTGTACGTCGGCGAAAAAAAGCCCCCATCTCCCCAAATTTGTGTCGGGGCCCACCAGCTTCCACGCGTTGTAGATGTCTGACTCTCGGTGGTGCTAATTCCGCCTCACACATGGGAAATCTCGTCCTGCAGGTGCGATTCACGCATCCATGAAAGCGCTCATCGACAGCGTGTTTCGCCGGGCGCGCCTCCGCTGGAAACGCTTCTAGGCTGGCAATCAAAGCGGTCACTGCGTTCGAAAGAGGCCGCCAACACTGCCCAAAATTTGGTTCAGTGTTGCATACGTGCGTGTGGTGCAGGTGGCACGCTTCCTCGACCAAGTATGCGTCAAGCGTCACCGACGGTCAGCAACGCCTCAGCGCGACCATGGACCTGGCATCAGTCTTACATCTGTAAGGCTAGTCATACAAGCGTCAGGCAGTTCGGCCGCTGTACAGACCATATGCATTGATGGTAATTGGGATCCCATTGTACACCAGCATGTGCGATGGAATACCGGTAAGTGGGATACAGGCGTGGCACAGCATCTCCATTGTACCTACGCAACCCAATGCGTTAACATTCTGACCTTTGGATAACACATCGACGAGTAATACAGAGGACAATTAAAGTCGCTGAAAAGACTCTTGGAGCTCACTGGGCTCCCGCAATTTGGAACACATTGTACTAGGCGTTGAGTCGCAATGAAGTTTTCGAAGCATCCTTCTATTCTCTATGTACTCGATCGCGAGCTTTCCTCCGTGTTAACCTTCATGTTGCTATCGCTCCATGGTGCTCGTGCGATATGAGGTCCGGCGTAAAGAGAAGCTGAGTCATCTAGCCTCGGCTCAAATCGGAGCGTGTCGAACCTACAATGATTCCGAATCGGCGAAAACACTTGAACACAAACATCTATAACCATGGTCACTCCGCGGTTGCCGTTCCTATGGCCTATGCTTTTTAAACCGCCGAAAGCGTGCCGCACACGAGCACCGAATGCAACGCGACGCACTGCAGCCAGACGTAACTTCGCGGCGACGTCGCGCCCCCGACAAGAGACCATCTCAAAGCGCTATGGTACAGCACAAGAGCCCGCGGCGCATCTGCGAGACCAAGAGACGCAGCCGGATGCTGACGAGGAGGCTAAAACGTCACCGGAGCCCGAGCCCATAGAAGAAGAGGAAGAGGAGGAGTCGCTCCCGCCAACGATGCCCTCTACTGAAGCGAAGAGCGCAGACGCCGACTTGCCAGACGAAGCGGCACCTCCACCTCTCGAGCCACCAAAACCACCCGATGCAAAGCCCCTCGATACAGTATTACACATGCCCTCTCCGCAGGAAGAGCAAGAGCGCAAGCCTCCGCACCTGAAAACCCCACCCTACGTGCACCACTTCGACACCTACAGCCTCGTTAAGGACCTTACAAAATCAGGCTTTACGCAGGATCAGTCCGTCACTGTGATGAAGGCAGTGCGCGGCATATTAACAGATAACATGGAGCTAGCACGAGACGGCCTGGTCAGCAAGTCGAACGTGGAGAACGAGACGTATTTGTTTCGGGCGGCGTGTAGCGAGCTGCGGACCGAGGTGGGAAACACGAGGAAAGCTGAAGTGGAGAGGATGAGGAGTGAGAGGAATCAGTTGCAGCATGAGGTGGATATCCTGAGTCAGAGGATGGGGCAGGACACGAGCCAATTGAAAGATGAGCTGAAGGGGCTGTTTGATGATCGGAAGATGGCAGTGAGGAATGAACAGAGGCATATGGAGTCTCAGGTATGACTTCCAAATCTATCGTTTGAAATCAGACTGCTAACAAAAGTGCAGATCCAAAAATTGGGCTACAAAATCACAGTGGAGCTGAATTCAGATGCGCGCAGCGAGGTCGAGGGTCTGAGATGGATTCTCACCCGGAGAGCGGCCACCGCAATCGGCATATCCGCCTTTCTACTCTTCACGTGCTTGCGTTTCATGAGCTACTCGAGCCACCAACCGGAGCAGAAGAAGAAAGAGGACACCCCGCCGGAGACTTCAGATAACTCACCAGCTACAGGCAAGCCCACGTTGGGCAGAGACGAGCCTATGGGCGGCGAGCTGCTCACGACCGAAGGCGGCGTCTCCCTCGCATAGACGCAATGATACCCTTATTTGTCTCAAACACATGTACTTTTCTCTTCGATCTCACATCTACAGCTTATGCTTCTTCTCCCCACTCGCAATCTTCCTAAACTCCTCCTGCGGCACCCCCTTAATAAACCGATCGAGCCCCGCAAACACCTCCGTCACACCCTGCTTATCCAGCGTCTCCATCTCCGGCTTCCGAATCAGTGCCTTGATCTTCACCAAACTCTCCCTGTTCAAATGCGCGCCCAACCTATCGTCAACCTCCTTCAGCACCTCCGCTAGAAACTCCTCAGACTTGTCTTTGCCCCCGACGTCCACAACCTTATTCACAAACCCCGTAGACACCATATCCTCAATGCCAATCCTCTTACTCATGATCAGCGCCTCGTTCGCCTTGCTTATCCCCAGCCTCCTAACGAACCCCACAGACGCATTTCCCTCGGCGACTAATCCCAGCGAGGAGAAAGGTGTGAGAAGGAAAGAGTGTGGCGCCGCGTAGATAAAGTCCGAGAAGGCGATCAGCGCAGCGGATAACCCCACGGCGGGACCATTCAGCGCGGTGACGAGGATCTTAGGATGCGTGTAAAAAGCGTGCGTAATGTGAAGATTATTCGCGACGAAGTTCTTGAGCCAGTGGAGGCGGGTGGACTCGTTTCCTGTGGAGGATGCGCCGATGGAGACGTCGGCGCCGCTGGTGCACGTTAGTATACTGCCAAGGTTACAAAATGAGAGGGATGGGGATGGGACGCACGCTGAGAAATAACGTCCTTTGCCCGTAAGCACAGTGATGTATATGTCGTCGCGGTCGGCGATCTCGCGGAGGGCTACGGCGAGCTGGAAGTAGGCGTCTTGGTTTAGTGCGTTGAGCTTTTGAGGTTGGTTTAGTGTTATGATGGCGATGCCGTTGGGGTTGTAGTCGACGAGGATGGGGGCGTCTGCCATTGTGGTAGAGGGTTATGTGAGTCTGGTATGGTGGAGAGGTGAAATGAGTGTTGGTGTGGATGCGTAATGAGCGTGGGGAAATCTGGGGAATATGCTACGCCGCATGACATCCGCTGAGAGTCGTGCAGGAGCCGAGGTAGGATGGGGTGGGTGCGGAGGTATGATGCTGGTGATTGGTCAATGGGGGGAGGTCAGTAATCATGGGTGTTGGTGAGCTATGCTTAATGTGGTATGCCATCGTCTTGCACCTTCGTTGCTCAGACTGATGTAGTCATTGGCGAACTTGGAATTGGGGATCGCGTGCGTGAAGGTCAACGCGGGGAAGATTGTTGATAAGATCAAATAAAGGAAGTTGGCGAGGTATCTCCGGATAATCTCCGGACCATCTCCATCGCAAACTCACCTCACCTCGCACCACCATCACAACCACCCTCCCCCTCCCACCGTATCCTCCTGCATACCCACAAACCCAAAATGGCGGGTCCCAACCTCGAAGTCTTCAAAGTACCTCCCACTTCCCCTGCCTTCCGTCCTTTCCCAGCTTACACTCGTAGTTCGGCATGTACATCATGTTCCCAATCGGCATCATGTACTACTTCGGAACGAACCTGGACGGCAAATTCTCGGTTCCAGATTTCTGGCCAAAGCCCGAGCAGACGCATCGAATACCGTATGATCGGGAGGACATCAAGGCGGAGCTGGAGCGGTTGAAGGCGAGGAATGCGGAGATGAAGAAGCTCAGAGAGCGGAGAGAGATGGAGGAGGCGTTGAGGGAGGGGCGGAACATCTAAGTTGGCGTGATCTCGTGCGGAAAAGTTGGAAAGGCGCGCCGGGAACAGGAAGAGATGAAAGCAATGGAGAAAGATATCACATTTGAGCATGGGAGGCGTTTTGGACACATGCAGAAGATAATGGTGGATTTTGTACAGTATTGTACAGTATTGTGTACATGTATATGGACATGAAGGCAGATCTATCGCCAAAGCTAATTCCCCGGCATTATATGGCAGTCTTGCTCGCCAGCTCTTCCCACAAGCCCTCATCTATTGACCCTTTGGCCCAGTTCAAGTATACGCCCTGGATACCCTGCACCTCTTGTATCTTGTCCACAAACTCCCCTAGCTGCCCTGCCGCTTCCGCGTCATCAAGCGGCACCATCGTATCTTCATTAGGATCATATACGATCTCCGCCTCCGCGACTTCCATATCCATTGACTTTGCGACTGTCTGTGCGATTCCTTTCGTGGTGGCGGGGTCCGTAAAGAGCAACACTCGGCCGTCGTCCAGCTCCTGAACATCTTCTGCGCCGGCTTCAATTGCAGCTTCCAGCACCTCATCGGCACCCACGCCTTCCTTCTGGTGCAGTATTATCCTACCCTTCTTCTCAAACATGTATCCTACAGTCGAAACGGTGCCCCCTGCCTCCTTGATTATCAAACGCAAGTCCGCAAGCGTGCGCAACTTGTTGTCTGTCTGCGCCTCGATGATCGCTGCGACAGATGCAGGCAGCATGGCCTCGAGCATGATCGACTCGAGCGCAGCTCCTGTCGTGGATAGACCCTGGCCACGCGCTATCGCTGCTTCAATGGAAGCCTTGGGAACTTGGCTTTTCTTCGCGGTATTGAGGGCGAGGGCAAGGCGCGGGTTCATGTTTGGATCGGGTCCATTATTCTTTACGGCGTTGGTGATGTCGTTGGTTAGAAGAGCACGTTGCTTGCTCTTTCCGGCGTCAGCCTTGGCTTTATCATGCTTTATCGTCGCCCATTTCCTACATTATGTTAGTAAAATGCCGATTGAAAGCGTGGGTTTAACATACGAATGACCTGAAAACGCAGCGGGTGAGCTGCTGAAGCATCGCGCCTGCTCAAAGCGAGCGATTCTGGGTGCCCGACGGCAGGCGCATTGCGCAAAAGCATCGAGTGACAATGATGGGCTTACTAGCCGTCTAAAAGGAGCGGGCATTGGTGTCAATGAGCGGATAGTACTGCGCTGCTGGGGTCTCTGCGAATTTCTGATGACATTTACCTACCCTTGGCGAGGTCGGGGGTCCAGCGAGGCACCTCCGCTTGAACTCCGCACACCGCAACCCCCGCGAACCGACACGCGCTCACACGCCATGCCCGTCGCATACGTAGCATCCACTTGAGTTCCTTCCTGATAGCCTCAGGGCGCTTCCAGCATAATGGCGACCCAAGAGGCCGAGCCCGCACCCACTAACGGGGCCACGTCGTCGAATCCAGAGCTCGACATCAAGAAGCTGCACGCGCTTCCCTCAGAGCAGCAAGAGCTCTACCTCCTGACCTTTTCGTCCGATCTTGCGCGCCATGTCGCTTCGCTTGACGCCGACGGTGCATCTGCCCACCAAATTTACATAAAGAAGGAGCTGTTACAGATCATCAATCTCTCTTCGCCGCCCCCCACTCGAGTTATACGGGAGAACCTTGGGAGAGCATTCCATGGCATATTCGACAAAGGAGATAGAAAGCTGCTCTTTGAGTCCATCAACGAGCTAGTGAGCATACTCAATGGTGCCGGAAAGACGGAGAAGGACATCAGGGCAAAGCATGCGGCAGCCTACTGCCTGGGCGCTGTGTTCGAGGCTGCAGGGGATAGCGCGATCGGACTGCATCCTGGAGCAGTGGGATCGTTGTTGCGCCTCGTAAAGGTTGCGCAAACTCACACTGGATTAAGAGCGACGGTGTTGAAGGCAGCGGGAAAGGTATTCAAGGGAGTGGGACGTCATGCCGAAGAACCCATTGCAAGAGATGCATGGAAGCAGGGCCGTGCCTTGTCTGCTGGCGATAAATCTGCTTTTGTGCAGACGAGCGCTTGCTATCTTCTGGAACAACTGATTCGGCATACACCCTTCTTCGACAATTCCACCGATTTCGATAAGCTGCAGAATGCCATCTGGAAGACCATCGATAGCCCATCGGCGTCTGTGAGACATTCGGCGGCATCTTGCATCAGTTCGTCACTGGTAAAGAATTATTCGGAGTCGGCACCGGTAGAAATGACTCTGGTGCGGTCCAGAACCTGGAAAAAGAGCAAGAAACCAACTGATATAGATGGGGATGAGGACATTATCGAGCGCCCAGATTCACCAGCACCGAAGAAATCCGCTGCAAGGCTATCGTTCAACGTACCGGCCCTCCTCAAGCAACTGTCGAATCAGTACTGCCGACCAGCGACAAGCAGCAGAGCAAGAGCTGGCATCATGCATTGCTACTTAAAGGCATTGCGAGGATTGGGCGAGCACGTGGTCGAGACAAAGTATGCGGACATTGCGCGCCACTTCTTCCTCGATATCCTCAGCAGTCCGACCATCGTTCAAAACCGGTATCGCACACTCAGCACTAGAAGATATGTCGCTGTCATTCTTGAGACTGTCGTTGGCCGCGAAATGCTCGGAGAGTCAGGCCAATTGAACGCGGCGCGCTTCCTCGTCAATGATATCCTCAAAGACTACCCACAAGTGCTCAAGGAAAGGCCCGAACCCTCGAAACAGACGTTGATCGGCGCTCTCAGCACACTCTCTTCATTGTTTGATAGTCTTGGCTCAGCAACCAACGTCATTGCCGATTCTTGTCGTGACGCGCTACTTCAGGTGCTGCAGCATCATAGTTACACGGTCCAGGTGTATGCATCGTCTTGCTTGCGTTCATTCGTTTTGGCATGTCCGCTGCAACTTCTACCTTCCGTCACTATTTGTATGAACAGCGTCAACAGGGAGCTCGGGCTGTTAGCAGGTCCGCGACAAGCACCTAGGAGATGCGTTGGTCTCGCAAATGGGCTCTCCGCTGTACTGAGTACCTCTACATCGCAGCCGCTCCATGGATCCGTCGATGTCAACTCGCGAGTACTGTCACAAGCTACGTCCCTGCTGAAGTCGAGTAGCAACTCCGACCTGCGGATATCGGCTACTCAGATTCAAGTTGCCTGGATATTGATAGGGGGGCTGATGACGTTGGGTCCCAACTTCGTCAAGATCCACTTATCACAGCTCTTGCTGCTCTGGAAGAACGCGCTACCAAAACCGCTGAACAAAGACAATATGGTACAGCGGAACGTGCTCGAGCTGAGCTTCCTGGCTCACATACGCGAGTGCGCGCTCGGCTCAGTATTGACATTCCTGGAATTCAACAGCAGACTACTTACGTTGGATGTGACAAAGAGACTGGCAGCGATGCTGCAAAACACGACAATGTTTTTGAACACACTGCCCAGCAAGAAGACCACCGACATTGTCTCGGAGCGACTGTCGCCAGTCCTCCAGCTACACGACTTCGATCTTATGGTGCGAAGAAGAGTCTTGCAGTGTTATACAAAGTTGGTTGACCTGAGTCCTGCTGGCAGCAGTGAAGTCCTCCTTCAAACAAATCTACTCCCTTTCGCGGTTGCGGCCTTCGCCGATCCTGATCATTACACGCCGAGCTCTCTAGGCATTGCTATTGCGAGTTCTGCTGGCAGTTTTGAGAGCATATGGGACGTTGCGGACAACTACGGCTTTGGTGTGACCGGATTGGTCAAAGGCTATGATATCGAGCCCCTACCAGGCGAGCATGAGCCCGAAAATCAGCATCATTGGGTTACAAGACACGGCCCTGAAGCTATCATCGATCGCACGGTATGTGTTGTGGGGCTCGCCTCGATTGAACATTCTCTAACATTGTAGCAGCTTCTTTCGCCCATTTGCAGTGCTCGCGAGCACGACTCAATATCTTTATACATTCGAAAGGTCAATGACCCCTTCAACCTACCTAACCCGCCCGCAACCGAGGTTGTAAACTCTGCTCTGCAGCTCTTTGCGATATGCCTCCCTCTTCAAACTCCCAAGATTCAGGAAAGCATCCTCGAACAGATAACATCGTTTCTATCGGCTGGCAGCTTACAGAGAGATGTACATCGAAAATCCGCCATGATGGTAAATATCGCATATGCCCTTCTCGGTGCTTTGAAGGTGGCTGTAAAGGAGACGCGTTCCGCTTCTGGTGATCTGAAAGGCTCAGCTGTCGAGAAGGTCATTCAGGAGCTTCTGCACGTAAGTGGCACACTCGGTGCTGCGTTCTCTGCTAACAATGGCAGTTGTTTATCGTTCTGCCCGATCCTTACGTACGCAACGTTGCAGGAGAGGCTTTGGGCCGCTTATGCAACAGTTCTGGTAACGCTCTTACCACGACTGAGGTCAAATATCTGGTAGACCAGATCGTAGCAAATCGCGAACCGAACGCACGATCTGGATATGCGGTTGCACTGGGCTGCATACACTCTCAACTTGGAGGCATGGCTGCTGGATACCATCTGAAGAATATCCTTGGGATACTAATGTCGCTTGGGAACGATCCACATCCCGTTGTACATTTTTGGGCTTTGGAAAGCCTGTCCAAGGTTGCCGACTCTGCGGGCCTTACTTTCTCCAGCTACGTCACCAGCACGCTCGGTATGCTCGCACAATTGTACGGCTCGGACACGCACAATGCCGAATCGGCCAATCTCGCCAATTCAAACCTCGAACTGGACCTGCCGACTCCAGCCGTCATCGCACGCTGTATAGACAGCACAATTAATGTTCTTGGTCCAGACCTCCAAGACATGTCCAAAGCACGAGACATGGTGATGACGCTGATTGGGCTCTTCAAGGCTGAGTCCGATGTCCTCATCACTATCGAGAGTTTGAAGTGCCAGGAGCATCTTTCTCTATACGCGCCAGGTCACATTCAGTTTTCTCAGTATATTGGACAGCTGCAACAGGCGGTCGAAAGCAATGCCACACAGATACGTGACATGGCCGTCGATGGTTTACATAATCTGATGCGGAGAGATACGGAAGAGGTCATACGGTCAGGCAACCCAGGGCTTGAGGACCAGCTCTGGCACGTTCTCGACAGAGATCCCGAACACGAGGTCGTGCGAAACATCATCCGTAATTGGCTGCACCAGACCGGACTTACCGACACGGCTACCTGGGTTCAAAGATGCCATTCCGTGCTGACCAAAACGAAGAAAGTGACTGAAGCAGAAGAAAAAGTGGACACTAAACCGAAAGGCGGCCAAACTGACTTGCAGGATGAAGAAGTCGCTGGCTTTGCTGCCGCAGCTAATGCACCAGGTGAAGATGGGACCGCTACACAGAGTAGCCAGGAGTTGTTGAAGTGGCAGGTTCGGACATTCGGCATGGACTGCTTGAGCGAGCTCTTGGCTATGGTGAGCAAGGAGGCGGCGTTCCGAGAAGAAGCACCTTGTGTGTTGGCACTGCAGAAGCGAATAGCAGATGTCGTTCGCATCGCATTCTCGGCATCTACTGCGGGAGTTGTGCAGCTGCGGATACGTGGGTTGAAGATCATCGACCAAGTCCTCAAGGTATGTTCGCTCCGCTGTATCTCGGGAAGGTGCTGACAGAGGTTCTACAGCTATTTGGTAAGACGCCAGACCCTGACTTCCCGGAAGCAACTCTACTCGAGCAGTATCAGGCGCAGATCGGATCTGCGTTGACGCCTGCTTTTGCGGCAGACTCGTCGCCGGAGCTTGCGGCAGAAGCTGTCAATGTGTGTGCAACCTTCATTGCGACGGGTATCGTGACAGATGTCGATCGTATGGGACGTATACTCAAGCTTCTCGTGTCGGCGCTCGAAAACTTCTCCAGTGAGTCCATCAATCTAATTATATATGTAAACATCTGACATCCTCAAGGTGAAACGGAAGCCGCCACCATTGGTGATCTCAAAGGCCTCAGTTCAAACGCAGCAGTCATGGTTAAGATGTCAGTGTTCTCCGCATGGGCGGAGCTCCAGATTGCTAGCGCAGAGCAGAAGTACCTAGTCGACGTTCTAAAGCCTCACATTGCTCGCTTGACTCCGCTTTGGCTCGCCTCGCTCCGGGAGTACGCTCGTCTGAGGTTCGAACCTGATATCTCATCGATGGGCTCCGCATCACTGTCTGGCAGCTTGGACACAATTTATGCTGCTCTGAATAGGGAAACACTGCTCAAGGTATGAGACTCAGCCATTTTATGTGCCCAATCTCACAAGTACAGTTTTACCAAGAGTCATGGCTCAACCTCGTCGATGCGATCGCAAGTCTGATCGATGAAGACAGCGAGTTCGTCTTCGACGCGCTAGATGGCAAGACCGAGTTTGACGAGCAATCATCGACGCCCAGCAAGAACCCTGATCACATCAACTATCGCGATGAACCTGTAGCATTCTTCTTCGTGCTTTTCGGTCTAGCGTTTGAGGCACTAGCAGGCCGCCCAGGGGACCTGCAAGCTTCTAAAGAGCAAATATTGGAAATTCTCCAGGCATTGAAGAAGATCCTCCGTCCATCGGTCTCCGGTCATGCTATATACCAAGAGGTGGTGTTCTCGGAAACGATGGACATGCTTGACCGTCTAGTCCTTACGGAAGGGCTGCAAGTTCAAACGGTGATTGTGGAGATCGCGAGAAACCTCTGTCTGGGCCACCCGTCAGCTAAGAGAGCTCACAGGTACGTGTTTCATACTTCATCCATTCGTAACCTGCTGACTGATCAATAGTGCTCTTGATGGCGACGAGCATCTGTCTGATGATATTGAGCAATTGTTCGAACTCACCAGGATTATGGTGCTTGTCCTTACCGGCCTCGTTCCCAGCCTTGACGACGGCAAGAGCGGCGGTATGCTTTCCCCCCGTTTATATGCCACTGAACTTGCTAACAGTTTCCACAGCCCGTCACAGTCTCAATGAGGAAGCGGTTGCCCTTCTCACCACTGCCCTCTCGGCCCTCGTCGATGCAGCTCGCGTGTTCCCTTCCATCATCAAAACAGATCTTCACGCCTGCATACTCCACATTTTCGCCACCATACTGGGCACCGGCTCCTGTCAGGCCACAGTCATCCCGAAGTCTCTTCCCATTCTCAAACGCTTCGTCACAAGCATCTCGCAAGTTGCGGATCCCGGCTCAAACACTAGCACGCAGCTTCGCGCGACCCTCGTACGCTTCCTACAGACGCTTAAGCGCGCGCAGAACCGGGACTTCGACGCCGCCCTCGCTTGCGAGAAGAACACAATACTTACCACGACCATACTACTCAGCTCAGCAGCGTCGGCATTCACAGCCGATGACCCGCTGATCAAGCGCTTCATCGAAGAACTCTTCGACTGTCTAGGCAACAGAATGACCAGTAAAGTTGCCGCAGGATGCTGTCGCTCCCTGCTACTCTTACCAAAGAAAACGCCCGTCGAGACATCCATCGCAGCCCAGGTCCTCCCCCAGGTCCTTACTTTCCTTGTTAACCCATCCGACCTCGAAGGGCTTGACGAGTCCCGCTCCACCCTCGCGCAGACCCTCGTGGCATTTATATCTACCCTGCCGTCACCCACGCAGCGTGTCGTCGCCTCTAAACTTATCATCCCTGCATTACTCGCTAGAGTGAAGAAAGAGCCTAAAGCTAGTGCGGAAACGGCAGGGAGGTTGCTTGAACTCGCGGGCGCGGATCAAGCTAGTTTCAGGGAGGTTGTAGGTGCGCTGGGGGCTGAGGAGAGGGAGTTCTTGCAAAGGGTGCTGCAGAGTGGGCAGGGGCAGAAGAGGGAGGTGAGGGAGGAGAGCGGGGAGCCGAGTATTGCGTTGAAGATGAACTTTGGGTAGGGTGTAGGGGCCTTCGGGCTGAATTGAAATGTTAATGTTGTTTGAAAGTGGGATCTGTGTGAGTGTGTGACCTTCATGGCTTGGTGCGAGAACGGTAGCCTGAGGCACAAAGTTGCACGAGTGAGGGGGAGCGTTGCGACTGCCCAAACAGGTTCACTCACATGCAGCTACCTGCTCTTAGGCTGTATGCCTTGCAACATGTACCAGCTAATTTTAATGGTCAACTGATCCTCTGTGGACCTAGCCACCTGCAACTCAATTCTTCAAGCACATCGCTGCTTCATTTCTGCATTTCCATCGATGGCTGCCGGTTCCCACGACGAGACTTTGGTTCCGTTAGACACAAATCGAGACCAGAAACAACCTTACCACTACGAGCCTCTTGATCGTTCGAAGACGCAAGTACGGCTTTTGAGATTTCGACAACCGACGAATGACGACACACATGAGCCGTCGTGCGACATCTACATCTTTGACCTCGAATCTGCCCCTGAATACCATGCTCTCTCGTATACTTGGGGTTCGCCACTCCCGGTCCATACCCTTTCCGTAAACAATGGTTATCTGACCATCAGGCACAACCTATTCAAGTTCTGTGAAGAATTCCGCCGCGGTGGATATTCCATTGGTCAACTAGGGGCTCACAACAGCAAAAGGCCCGTCAAACACGGTAACGGGACGGTTCACTTTTGGATCGATCAGCTTTGTATTGACCAGGCCAATACCCTTGAGCGCAATCGCCAGGTCAACATTATGTCACAGATCTATTCAAGAGCTGCGAGTACAGTTATATGGTTACATGAAGAAGGCCACTTCGTGGTGCCGCCTCGCTTCCACGAATTGGTTTCCGACCGTGATTCTCTGTTCGCACGGGATATTCTCAAAAATTTCACGCGGCAAATTATAAACCACACATATTTTTCCCGGCTGTGGATTATCCAGGAGATAGTGCTGGCCAAAGAAGTACAGATCCTATTGGAAGGCGGTCTGTGGCTTCCCTGGTATAATTTACAAGGCCATGTCGTTTTCGTTCCCGGGCTCCCGGGGATTATGTCCCAATTAGATGAAAGCCGCGGGGAACCGCGAGCTGTTCTTATAGGAGCTCTCAGCTTCGCTCGAAGAAAACGTGGAGATTATCTGGTACAAGACGCAAGCAGTTCGGTCCTGCCCTTTTGTCGGAATGACTGTAGTGATCCAAGGGACAAAGTCTATGGGCTCTTGGGCCTTGTGGCTGAAGACTTTCGAATCGAGGTCGATTACAAGAAGTCGGTGTATCAGGTCCTCATCGATGTACTCGGAATGGTATCGCGCCTACCTCGTGCTATCGGAACTCCACACGACTCTCGCACTGAACTTTTAACGATCTTGGGTTCAGAATTTGGACTAAGTCATGTTCAACATAACGGCTGGGTGAACCTCTTCAGGACGGTCCTGAGGAATAACGATGCCAGACGGCTGAGATATGGCCCAACCCTGGACGAGCCTTATTTCGATGTTTATGCTGGAAGCCTACGCCGGCCTATAGAACGCTTCGAATTTGAGACCACCTCATCGTTGAACCTTTCGCCCTTCAAGTGCCAGGCGGATACTATTGATTGCTGGTGGTATGAATTTGATGAAGAGCGGTATGCTTTCCCGTGCTTGTCACTTCCTGCGCTTGGACAAGTACGCACGATCTATCACACGAAGCCCGACAATCCGAAAGTGTTCTACACAATGGAGGAAATAGACAGTGATTGAGAGTATCCTTCCTTCTTCATCGATCCCGCTCCTCCTCACTCTCGCTGTCCGAGCAGAAGGAAGCGTCATCTAGATTCCTAATTAAGAGCCAGACGGGCCTGGATAACTGTGGTCAATAGCAGGCTCCATTGGCCTTCTCGCCGATCTAGGTAATGATTGTGTATTTTTTTGAAGTTAGTAGGCAGTCGTGGGAGTGACCAAGGCATTTATGGAGATGCAGAATACATCGGCGCTATGGGAATGTACCCGCCACTAGTCTACAAATGATCTCCATTCAATGGGATTGATCGCAGTGGGCATGGTACGAGTAAATTCAGCTCAGCCAAAGCACACATGGAATCGAAATCTCATCAGAGTAAATCAAAAGGCTGACTTTCCAGCAGAAGCCCCTTGTTCAACCCGAGGCCCCAGAGCTGCACGTAATACCCGGATTCGAATTATCAATATTCGCACACAAATACTTCGCGGTCCCACTCGCCGCCTTGACCGACCATCCCGAGAAATAAACATCGCACGTTCCCCCCGCAGGACAGTTAATATTCGCAATCGTGGGCGCGTACTTAGAGCTCGTAGTCCCCTTGAAGTTCTTAAAGTACACATCCGTAATCTGTGCAGTCGAGGGATTCGTCGAACAGTACGACGCATCTTCGTTATAGCAGGACTGGATCTGCGCCGCATAATCGCTCGATGTAACGGTTACGCCGTCGTACGTCACGTTCTTTACAACGGCGCTGCCGTACGAAGAACCTCCTGGATAGACTTTGATACCCACGGCTTTGGTCGCGCCCTCCATGATGGCATTAGTCACGTAGATGTTGGAGACTGTATCGGTTTTCCCTGCGCTACCGCCGAGCGAACCGACAGAGAGGCCGTGCGAGCCTTTGCAGTGGATAGTGTCGACGGTGACGTAGTCTGCACCGGGCTTGAAAGCCACGCAGTCATCTGTGTTGGAGATAGTGATGTTCTTGAGGGTGGTGTACGTCGCGGGACCGACATCAATACCGTCGGTGTTTTTGGCGGGGTTGCTGGACTTAGATTCCGCAGTGAGGTAGAGGCTCTCATATGAGATATGCGAACTATCTCCATTATTGGTTATGAAGAACGCTAATCCTCAGATAAGCACACATACCTCAAAAAGACCCAAATCATGGCAGATAGAGAGGAACTTACAAGGCGGGTTCTTAAACCGCAGGTTCGAAACTGCGATATTCGTCGACTTCCCCGCTATGTTCAACAACTTCGGCCTCTTATAGCTCGAATCACTCGCAAACTTATCGTAGCTCGCTTGGCCATTTCCATCGATGACACCGGTGCCTGTCAAGCTGCGGATCTTCGCGCCCGTAATACCACTGACAGAAATAATCGCACCCACGCCGTTCCAGAAGGCCGTGTCATCTGAAGCTTTCAAGGTGCCTTCGACTTGGAAATCGCAGTTGGCGCAGCCTGTAAAGTCGAGCGTGCTGCGGATCATGTAGGTTTTCCCAGCGGGGATGATGATGGTGCCGCCGGAGCCGCAGGATTTGAAGGCTGCTTCGATGGCGGGGACGTCGTCAGTGGATGCACTGCCTGCGGAGGTGGGAGTGCAGGTTGCGCGTTTGGTAAGGGTGTCTATGCTGCGACCGAAGAGGGAGTGGTCTGGTACGGATGCGGCTACTGCCACACTGGACAGTAAGCTGAAGAAAGAGATAGCGTGAAGCATCTTGTATGTATCTCCCAAGCTGTCTTGGACAAGCCCTTTCCAAGTCAATGTTGTCTTTATACATTTTCCTCAAATTCTGATGTTCAGTGGATCCGCAGGCTGTAAAAACACTGGAGGCCGACTACTGGTGGAATTGCTTAATTAACCGGGTTGCCGGTATCTGGGGCCCCGGACAGGGATGAACGGCTTTTGCTAGGATATTGTAGGGTTGAACTAGTGCAAGCCTTGAATAGCTTTATTACTCTTGGGGGAAAGGCAAGTGATGGGAAATACTGACGGCTAATCATGTAGTAGCGCACTCTCTAGGATCGTCCATCGTAGGTTTAAGCGTGTCGAAGCAATCTTGATCTCCGTTAGTCACCACCGAGTGACTCCGTATTGGCTACTGCCCGCTCACATGATAATGCTAGAAGGACGTAAAATTTCCCGGTGCAATGTAGCGGAGGTATTATTCCAGCCCGGGTTGCAAACAATAGCGCGGCCAGCGAGACACATGCTCCGGTTTTGATCAACCAAACACTGATAAAGAATCGTCGAACAGCGCGATTTAGGAGGCCAAGATCTCCGTGAGGTTCTCAGTCAACATGAAAGTTTCCAATTGCCTCAACATCCTTGCGGCCTTGGGCCTTGCTTCAGCGTCTCCTCTCGAGAAACGCGCGAGCCGCACAAGCCCTCCAAGTGGATGTAAGGTTGTGCGAGGATCCGGGACACTGTCTGGCGAGTACTCGACTTTGGGTGCCGCAATAACTGCTCTGGGAACATCGTCGACAGCCTCAGCATGCATCTTCATCTACAGCGGTACATACACTGAACAAGTCGTCGTTCAGTACAAGGGCGCACTCACCATCTACGGCTACACTACAGAGTAAGGCAATTTCGTTTTAGACAGGTTACCGCGATGTGTAACTGACGATAGAAAGCACTGGTTCCTACAAGAGCAATGCTGTAACAATAACCCACAAGCTTTCCAGTCCAGATGCAGGCTCGCTCGACGCCTCAGCCACACTCAACGTCAAGTCCGCATCCTTTGCACTATATAATGTCAACGTAGCAAACACCTATGGCCAAGGTGCCCAAGCTGTAGCTCTCGCCGCCAACGGCAACAAACAAGGCTACTACGGCGTCTCCTTCAAAGGCTACCAAGACACTCTCTACGCAAAGTCCGGCGACCAGTACTACTCCAACTGCTACATGGAAGGCGCCGTAGACTACATCTTTGGCGACGCTAGTGCCTGGTTCGGAGAATGCACCATTGCCAGCAACGGCGGTGGAGCCATCACTGCGACTTCGCGAGAGACGAGCAGTGACACGGCGTGGTACGTTTTCGATCACAGCACGATTACTGCTGCGTCTGGCGCTAGTGTAAAGGGCACGGTATACCTTGGTCGTCCGTGGCGCGTCCTCTCGCGCGTTATGTACCAGAACAGCGTTCTCACCAATGTCGTTAACGCTAAGGGTTGGACGGAGATGGCTGATGGAGCTACACCGTAAGTTTCCATACAAGTACGATCGGTAGGAGAGCTTGTTGACAAAAGCAGGCTGTACTACGAGTACAATAACTCGGGTGATGGCGCGAGCACTTCGGGCAGGAAGTACCTGTCCGCATCGAGCGCTGCGGTTACCAAGGCCCAGATCTGGCCTAACTCGGGAACAGATTGGATCGATAAGTCATACTAGGAATGTTCATGCTTTTGCAGCTGTAACAGGGGCACAATTCAAATCTTCTAGCAGTAAATAGTTCCTACAGTCAACACCATCTGCATTTGTATTCGCGAAAAGTATAACGCGTCTTCAGCCGGCAGTGTTCTTTCTGAAGCTGTCGCCAAATTTCCTTCCACTATAGCAAGCTTGTCCAATATGTTCTGCCGGAAGATCTACCTAGGCTACTCGAAACTGCGACAATCAAATTGCCTAAATACATGAGCCCATCAGACTAGTCATACAGACTTCAGTGAAAGATACAGCAAATCTCTTTTCACGAGTCTGTGTCTCACACCAGATATAAGCAGCACCGAAGAGTTTTAACGCATCCAAGAGTAAACCAATATAATAGGGTGGCACCACGATGACAGCAACACCTTTCACGCTGAGAGCTTTTTGAGAAAGCATCATCTTCCATACATCATTTGGAGCAATGAATTCAGTTGATCAAATGACAAGGACCCATTCGTGGAATGATATCGGTCATCATGTTGGCCGTTCAAGTAACAGTGCATGGAGGTGCTGATCTTGTTCAAAAAGACTTGGCGAGAGACAAGGATATAATATTTCATACTTCTTTTTGTTGAACACTTCAGAAGATGAGTGCATGCCTGAGCGCAATGCTGCTTTTAGTCCTGTCAAGCAAAAGAACATGACCTACTGGCTTGTTAGGCTATAGTACAGGAAGCCAAGGGATAGACACCATAGGAAAATCTTTGGGTCCATTCAGCTAGTTTCGCTCGATGTACTTTATAAAGCTGCAAACGGAAGACTCTTCTCTCCAAGTGTCTGTTTTGCCAACCTTTTGGCATAGGAGCCGAGGAAAGGACAAAATTCTCACAGATAATCATCCACTAAGGTTCCAGAACAAGGGCCATATCATAACGATGCTGAGACTTTGGTGTAGACGGTAAGGGAGGAACACAGATATCTGGTTTGCTTGGCGTTGAGAAGTCAGAGCCAGAACAGCATAGGCTGGTCTCATGGTCTCTTCGAGATATTTGAGTCAACTTAAAACCAGTTAAACTTGTCCATCGCGCTATAGCAACAGCACGCTCCTCCGGCATCATCCAGCAAAGCAAACCCTTTGGTTCAGATGCCGAGCCACACGAACACCATACCTCCATATCGTACGACTTTGCAGTGTGGTGAAAAGACCACATAGACAATGAGTGTCGATCTTTGGAACATCAGCAGAAGACCACATGACTTCCAGGAAGTCATTATTCGAGCTACAGAAACGCACCATATGGTCTAATTCTGCAGCCCTTGGTCCAGGCACCAGTTCAAAAAAACCGGTCGGATTCCTGTAAAGCTGTAGCTTGAACATTCTTTCCCCCCATGCGATCTTTGCGCCAGCACTTTGCTGAAAGGTGAGGTCAAAACGCAGCATGCCTTCATCCCCATTGTTAGGCGAGACCATGGCACTCAGGGCAGTACATCTTGAGAAATGCGTAGAAGAGCGCCACATAGTCCTTTGTGTATGGCTCTTTTGGAAATCTGAGGCCAACACGGCATTCGAACGCTTTTTGGCCGTTTGCGGAGAAATAATGGGAAATTGAGAGATTGAAGTGTTCCGTACAGCTGCAGCCGAAACAAGAGCCTCTCCGTAGGATCATCTCATCTAGATATTAGTGCAGTGGGCGAGAACAGAACGGGGCATCACTCGTCAGGCTAGTTGCTTTGAAGTCCAGAAACATGATTTGATGGTGTTCGGATCGCTAGAGGCACCGTATGAGCGTTTCGGAATGACCTTTAAGGGAGGCTAGAAGCAACACATCATTGTTGTTCCATGAGGTTTTGAAGAGAATTCCTCAGAATCTTTTTGTGAGACGAGACGTGGGTAAAGAGGTTTCTTAACAGACGCAATGTATGGTAGCACACGAAGGGCAGACAACATCAAATGCTTCTCGTTTTCTTTTGGACCAAGAGCACCACATGCCTTCGCATTCTTCCAATTTTTAATAACGCCAGGACACCACCACACATGAAAGCACATGATGTTGGGTTTGTTGAAAGTACTGGAGTTGAACATACGATGAGTACGAATAGCACTTTCGAGGGAGTCCGGAATAAGAACACATATAAGAGCTTTGTGATGTCTTGGAGACACCGGTGGCTCCACATTTTTCAGGATCTTTAAGTGATCTCAGACGCACCAGAAGCACATTTTGGGGATTTCCAGTATGTTTTGGTAATTCGTTCTTGTGCCGTAGCAGAAAGGTCTGTCAAGGTTCGCGAATTGACACTTGTAGTACCGCTGTCGAAGGGCAGGTCACGCCATGTTGCAATCAGAGCAAAGGTTTTCGAGTCCAGGAGGGAAAGCACATGACGAAGAAACGAGTAGTTCTGGAGACGCCAGCGCCCACCATGTAAAGTGATGGCATGCCATCTGTGGAAAGAGCGAAAGGCACAACATTTTCTGGTGTGTTTCACGATTTGAGAGCCACCAAGAGCAGCACATATGACAGCGACATGCTAGTTTTTAGACACCAGAGGAAGCACATGGATGTTGGTGTTGATATTCTCAGTTAACAACCTCAGCCCAGAAGCGTGTGAGAACAAACAACGTGTGGAATGCACCAACTTAAATACTGCAGAGCACACCCTCACGTGACAAAGAGCTGAGGTCTTCTAAATCCAGGAAGGACACTGCATATGGGCAAGGTGTGTTCGATTTTGGAAAAGGCAGCAGCTCCATATGATTGCAATGTACCAGTCTGTTCGTAGCGACACAAGCTGGACACCACTTCACCGATTTGCGATTTTATTTATAAAGAGTCCAGAAGTGCTTCATGCATTGACGTGCTATTTGTTTTGCAAGACACAGGGAGACGCACATCGCTAGTGTCTTCTATCTTTTTAGTGAGCCACACCCGGTGTCAAAGCGTACAGAAGAGCTCTGGAAATCGCGGATGATCCATGGAAGTTATGTACGAGGCCGAGGGCAGGCAGGACACACCATTTGTTGACGTAGCCTTTGTTTGGAGTCCGGAAGGGTCCCCACACATACGATTGTGTCGCTTCTTTTTGAATGCCAGGAGAAGCGAATCGGAGTTGGATGCATGTGTGTGGAGAGGCCGGAACGACACCACATAGGTATTTGGTATCGTCTTCTCTAGACACAGGAGCGCACACCATGGTTTGATGTGTAGCTTGTCTCTGGAGGCGCAAGGAGCAGCACACCGCTATTTTGCGTGATGTTCGGTATAGCTCCCTCAGAGCAGCATCGTAGACCAGATGTTATATTTTGTGGATGGTCCACGGATGTTGTGCCCAAGACGAAGCGTAGAGCGCATGCTCAGAGTGTTTAGTGGTTTTGAGCGTCCAGGGAGGTCTCCACATCCAACACTTCTTGTCCGCTTTCTGGAGACGCCGGGAGCACCGCATGGGTTCTGCATGAAGTGTTTTGAAAAGACACCAAGAGCACCGCATACCACGGCAGGTTGGTCACTTTTGGAGCACCAAGCGGAGCACATCGCCTCAGATTGTGTAATGTTTTAGTGAGCCACCTTCGGGGTAATCATGTGGGGAGTACATCCAGGTTGCAGACAATTCAAGTATATTTAGCAAGAGGCGAGGGGCAGAACTCATGATTGAGTCCATGCTGCGTTTCACGAGTCCAAGACGGGGTCCACATGAAGAGGTCCATGTTGTACTTCGGAGACGCCGCGAGCACGACATTTCCTGCTTGGATGTGGGATTGTGGAGACAACGGAGGGGACCGCATGGTAGTATCGGTTTTCCCTCTCGAGAGACGAGAAACATATAGGGTCCTCATGTATGCTTTTAGTGAGGCAACCTCCATTCTTTGGGGCAGAGGAAATTTCGATTCCCAACGGCTATAACACAGGAAGAAGAGGCCAAGACGCCATATATCTGATTACGTATCTCTTGGAGTCCAGGAAGCGGCACCTCATACGTGGTCAATGTCCTCTTTTTCGAGTTCTGGACCGGCAAAGCAAACACGAATGTTGAATGCGCTCTAGGTCTTAGAGACGCCAGGAGCGTCTCCACATGGACCGTTGCTGCGATCAGTTTTTGAGACACACCAGGCGCAACACATCGCCATGGGGAATTCCGGTATGTTGACGCGAGGGAAGAATATGACTGGATTTGAAAAAGGGTTTTGAAGTGGAAACCTCACTCCAACATGAAAAAGATGTCTCTCACCTTGAAAGCTTCCTTGACAATGAACAGGAGGCGAAGGGCAAGACACGCCATAGTACGAATGTCTTACGCTTTTGGAGTCCGAGAAAAGCACCACATGGAAAATTCCGAATAGGTCTTTGACCTCCGCGAACACCAGACCGGGTCCGCATGATGTTCGAAGAACAGTTTTTGAGACACCGGAGGCACACCACATACATATCCTGATACAGGCTTTTAAGAGTGCGAGAAGAGCAGACCATGTTCTCTTTTTTCAGATGGTTTTGAGGCAGGCAAATCACCACATGTGTGTTGGTAGAATGTGTTTTTAAACAGCAGGAAAGACCCACACCAGACTGGTCAAAGTGTGTTTTCGGAGACGTCGGAAGAGCACCACATGAGTCCATTATTGGATTGTTTTGTAGAACCCAAGCGCACCATAGAACGTATCCACGAAGGTTTTGGAAAAAGCAGCCAGACGCCTCATCGGTTGATAGCACCACCTTTTTGTTCTCGCGGACAAACCAGGAGCCCGACCTCATGCATTGGTCATTGTGAATCTTGAAAGTCGCCGGAAGAGCAACACATATACTGTGTGTCTCACAATTTTGAAGAAGCAGGAGAGCACCACATAGCCTTTTCGATGTTTTTCTTAGAGTCCAGGAGGACACCACATGGGTGTACAGGCGTCTTATTTTGAAGACACCAGGACCACGACGACCATTATCTTCTTCGATATTCTTTTTTGTGGAAGGCAAGGCACCACATAGCGTGCCTTCTCACCCTTTTTCGAGACCCCAAGAGCAGCACATGGTGCTTTTTGAATGTGGATTTAGAATCGCAAAAGAGACCACAAGTCCAGCCATGACTTCAATTTCTTATAGCTTCGGGAGCGGCCGCACCCACATCGCTGCGTCCCGTAGCACCTTTTCGACACACCAAGAGCAGCGCCATATAGGTTTTCACGTTTTTGTTTTTGAGACACAAAGTCCAGGCGCGCCACATATAGCGCTGGTAGGGATCGTTTTTGGAGACGCCAGAAGAGCAGCACATCGAAAGCTACCTTTCGATTTTCGAAGACGCCAGAAGGGCACCCCATGTGGTCAAATATGTCTGCTTTAGGGACACCAGGACCAGCACATTCAATCGATATCTTTGGATTTTAGTGAGGCGAACCTCAGTGCAGAAGTGTGAAGAAGAAAAGGTCAGGTTGAGGAATAATGAGGGGGTTTATATAGACAGCGGGAGGGCGACGGGAGATAGGATGGACGGAGTGCCAGTGGTGCGCATCATCACTAAAGTACTGTTTCGTCACACTTAGCACAGTCCCAAAGCCACCCACAGGCGAAGACTACCACAACAATGTCATAATTTTACTCATCTACTGCCCCTTCTATCCAACGCACAACAGCTCACTTGAGCCAAGATCCCCGCACATCATACATCTACTTCCTCTTCCTCCCCTCGCCCTTCTTCTGGCTCCCCGTCGCCTTCTCCGCCTTCTCCGCCTCCACCTTCTTAACCTTCTCCTCATCCGGCACCTTCAACTCCCGATCCCCACCCGCCGGCGCCTTAAGCGGCTGATTCGCCTTCTTCTCCTCCTCCTCCTCGTCATCGCCTCCCTGCCCAAACTCATTCACACGCGAGTGATCCACCTTATAAACCCACGTCTGGTAGAGATACACGAAGAAAATGACATCATCACGCAGCGTCGCGAGACGGTGCAGGGTAGGCATCTTGATCGTGAAAGCGAAAAGGTCGTCGATGAAGGTGTTGAGGAACTTGTACGTCATGGCGCGGCCAGGCATATGGGCGACGGATTTGAGGCGGTAGTTGATGTATAGGGAGGGTACCATCATGAGAAAGCCGTAGGCGTAGACGGAGCCGACGAGCGTCGTGATGATGAAGGAGTACCATGATTTGTGCGTGTCGTAGATGAGGGAGTAGACGGCGTAGGCGGCGAGGAGAGGGATGGCGACCCAGGTGAGGTACTTGAAGGCGATTTCGTCGTACTCTTCGGTCTTCTTCTCTGTCTCGGAGAGGACGTGTTTGTCTTCGAAGACGATGCTGTAGGGAAGGAGGGAACCTTCGGGTGTGGGGCGCACGCGCACGTTGACAGTCTTGGTGATCTTCCAGGCTTCGATAGCGATGCCCATGCCTTGGCCGAAGAGGATCATCCAGGAGGTGTTTTCGTTGTTGTCGATGAGGTATAGGAAGATGATGGACTGCATGAAGACATTTGCGAGGATGGTGCGGACGGACGTGCCGATGTTGTCTTTCTTCTTGCGCCAGTGCTGGACGTCGTTCTTGAAGGCGAGCATTTCGAAGATCATGTGAAAGACTGACACTACGGCGGTAATGGCGAGCAGATAGGAGTTGCTGTCGATGAGAATCTCCTTGAACATCTCCATCTCCGATCCGTCTCCTCCGCCAGCAACAGGCTGACCGTTCGCAGCCGCAGCTTGGTTGGCACGGATGTTTGCTTCCATGGAGGCGTAGATGTTGAATTTCCAGTTGGCGAGATTGTTCAGCTTGACGTTCAAAGGTAATGTTTTAACCTGTGGAGAGTATGTAATCAGTGTACGTTCAGCAAGCATAACACGTTCCGAGACTCACCGTGTCGTTCAATTCGATCATATCCTTCTTCAGCTGCCAAAATGTGTTCGTAAACACTACGGGGTAGTACCACCCATTCTGGCCGGTAGCATCCCTCGAGCCCGTCTGATCAAGCTGGACGAACTCCCTCACACCTGCGTGCATCGTGGGATAGTTGATTACACCGGTATCTGGAATCATGCTGATCGTAAAGTTGGAGTGGTAATAACTCGCAACAACCTTGGGCGCGTTCTTCTCCTCCTCGCTCACCGAAGTATCCGGCATGTCGGACAGCAAGTTCCTCGTCTTGCGGGTGGTCTTCTTGGGCTGGAACTGTGTCAACGGCCGAATCGTATGGTAGGCTTTCGTCTTGTCATATGCCGGACTTGTAGGGTCGAGGGGGCTGCCGGTCTGAGCGACATAGAAGTGCGCGAAGAGGGTGGCATTGCGCTGGACCTCGGCGGGCACCTTGAACTCAGTCTCAATCACCCTGTTCTCCTTGTAGTCACCGAACTTGAAGCCCTTCTCATCGATCAACAACGTGTCCTGGGGCAGCTGCTTGAACGGCGGCATGGCGATGGACGGCGAAATGTACAGGTTGATGTCAACCTCTGTTCCCACAGGCCACATGGGCGCGACATTCTGCGGGATGACGCTGCGGATCGCGCCATCGTTGAATTGACTCGGGCGGTTCTCAAAGGCTGGGATGGAGACTTTCGTGTTGGGGACGACAGCACCGCTCGTCGCGGGGTCTGCGGCGCCGGTGGCAGGTGTCTGGCCAAAGAACTGCTTCGTCGCAAACTGGATGAGAAGAAAGATGCCCACACTCTGGACCAGCGTCTTCACAATCTGTTCGGGAAGCGTCAGCAATATTGTTCCACTGAACTCCACATGCAGCGGGGAGAGCTGACGGCCACAGCGGCCGCGGAAGCATACGTACCCCTCCAGAGCCTTGTTGCTCTTCCTGGCGGCGTTGCTCAGGCATGACTCTGACTCTGCTCTAACGTCGCAGTAGAAAGGCGGTCAGGCAATGGGAGTCACAGTATAAGGGACACAGCGGAGAGCGGCGGTTTTCTCTCGACCGCGGCTGGATTGCGATATCGCCAAGGGTCTGCATCCGCATAGCGTTAGAACGGACGCGGGACGACTGCGACTGGGGAAGCTTCGCGGCCAGCGATCCATGCCACGCCCTGCATCTACGCTTTAGGCAAGTTGTTGATCTCAGAGTTTGGTTTTCCTGTACGACGGCCTCAGCACTTATGACTTAATCTTGACGCTATAAGGATCTTTGTTTGCTTCCTTGCCTCACACTCCTTTTGACCATTTCTTCTGCCTCCGTTCCTTCTGGACTTGAAAATACCCCGCCATCGGCCTTCTTTCTCCCCGCCATCCTTCGCCACAACCTCACAGTACACAAACCACAACCACACCCACACCCATTCGAGCCACCACCCACCATGACAAACACCTCGGAGCAGCCCCAACCCGTCGTCTGCGTCTTCTGCGGCGCCTCCAGCGGCACCTCCCCCGCACACCTCGAAGCCGCCCGCGCCCTCGCCCACGCGCTCCACAAGGCAAACATCAAGCTCGTCTACGGCGGCGGCACCGTCGGCCTCATGGGCGAAGTCGCCCGCACTCTCGTCTCCCTCTCCGGCCCCTCCTCCGTCCACGGCATCATCCCCGCGCCCCTCGTAAAATACGAACAAAACCACGACCCCTCCGACCCTCTCGCGCACAAGATCGACGAAGCTATATACGGAAAGACTACCGTTGTGAAAGACATGCACACGCGCAAGCATATGATGGCGCAGGAAGTCATTCAAGGTGGACCGGGCGGCGGCTTTGTCGCGCTGTCAGGTGGGTATGGCACGTTGGAGGAACTTATGGAAGTCACGACGTGGAATCAGCTGGGGATACACGATATGCCGGTTGTGGTATTCAACGTGGACGGATACTGGACGGGGCTGCTCGAATGGGTCAAGAATGCTGTGACGAGTGGGTTTATTGGGCCGGGAAATGCGGGGATCTTGGTGGAGGCTTTGAGCGCGGACGAGGTAGTGACGCAGTTGAAAGAGTATACCAATGCGGAGGGGAGGTTCAATTTGACTTGGGATCAGCAATGAGGTATCGATTAATGACGACGGAGGAAGCATTGAGGAAGGATATGCCAGCAGGGAATAACTCAAGAGAGGTAATGCGAGCATACAATCGACTCTGGTCATAGGACTTGGAGCAGATAGGAAGCATCCAAGACGACGATAGGCTGCTGTATAGCATAGCGCCCAGGAGGAACGGAAATTCCATCGGGCATACATGGGACATGCAATAGATCTAGACAGGCATTGCATATGCACGCAATTAAGATTCAACAAATATAATGAACCTGCAGATCAAATTCTGAATGTCATCAACGTATTGCTTGTGTATTATCGTACTATCTCAGCTCATCTGTACTTGAGGCCGATGAATCCACTACTTGTACATGCACTAATTTCTACAATGACCCTTGAAGGGTGGAGGGCACGCTACATCATGCCCTAAGCCGCCGCGGAAATTTCCACAGCGCCTTGCAATGCAGTAGATGCTGATCAAAACCGCCCCTACAATACTCTGAATGACCTGACGGAGGATCAAAGCCGCCGTCGAAGAACGCCTGCACGCCTACGGGCATGCTGATGGAATGATTCTTTATGGAAATAATGGTGAAATGCGATCATTTCGCTATCCCATCTGGAAGGGAAGCTGGAAGCCGAAGCCAGGCACGGAGGGAGGTACAGCAACGCCTTGCTCCGCGCGTGGCGAGATATGGCGCGTATCGTGTCTAGCAGGGCGTTGTTCGGCGCGGCGAAAGCCATTGTTGTTATCCTCAAGGCCACCGCCGCCTCGTCCTCCCCGGAAGCCACCACGGGCTCGGCCGCCCTCGGGAGGTACTCGTCTACTAATAGCTGTGCAAGTGTTAGACGGAGATGCAAAGAAACTGTTTCCGGTGTGTCACATGTATAATGCAGCCACGGGTAGGAAGTAGGGTGTGAAAATGGGCAACTCACCTTTCGACGACACGCCAGCGCCGATCTCGATATCAGGCTCTTCGATGACCATGCCCTCTTCGAGAGGGACACCGCCAGTACCACCATATTCAGCAGTCAATACCCATTTACGGTCGGCATCGGTCAGTCGGGAGATCGGGATCACGCTAACGCCGGTATTATAGTCGCTGCAGTCCCTGGGGCCAAAACCTACACCCCATCGTGTCTGTGTCTATGGTCAGCCAAGTCCAAATTTGTAGGTGCTGTCGGCATGTGGTTCATCCAACACAGTTCAAATTGATACCCGAGTAGTTGATAGACTTACCTGGCGAGCCTTTGCCAATGCGTTCGGATCCTGAGTGCTGTCCATACCAGCCTTTGCTGCGAGCGCATCCGGACGAGTCAGCATCTTGACGAAAGCATGGCGTTTCTCCTGGTTGACAATACAGCTCTGCACTTTGCCGAATTGACTGAATATGCTTCGGATTTCCGACTCAGTCCCAGTAGCACCACCTATGAAGAGTGTACGGCTATAAACCTTGATATGGTCACGGGGAAGTGTGCGGTCCCAGTCTATGAATTTGGGCGACCCATTCTGGTACGCCTTCGAGTTGTCGCCACCACTACCTCGTCTAGGCGGAGGTGTACGTTGACGGTATTCATTATGATCATTACGACCACCGCGATTCCTACCTCGACCACGGCCACGATCACCACGATCTTGGCGGTTCACTGCGTTCCCTTCAGGGCCTGCATTTGGATCGTAAACTCCATATGTCGGACTATCGCGCCGTGCTGGGGGTGATCTACGTGGAGACTGGCGACGTCGATTGAAATCAGGTGAGCGGCTACGATCCCTGAGTCTACTGCCATTCTGTTCAAAGCGATCTGGCTGTGCACCATTTTGTATTTGAGGCGCTTGCATGGTAATTGCAGGCTGCGATGGCGGGACGGCAAGGCCACCATTTTGAGCCGCAGCCAACATGTTCAGTACTTGCAATCCTTGTTCTTGGCTGATGGTACCGGCCTGCATAGCTTGTAGTATCTGACCTGCCATTTCAGTGACACCGCCGGGCTGTGCTGCATTACCATTAGGTTGTACATTGTTCACCACATGTGCCGGAGGGGGCGGCGGCGGTGCGAATCCTGGTGGTGGCGGAGGGAACGCCGCATTCTGAGGGAACGGCAGCGAGGGTGCAGCTATAGACATAGGGTTAGTCGGATTATTTTGTTGCGGCGCGAGGCCAGCCAAGACAGCGAGTAGAGCGCTTGGGTCTTGAGGTGGCACTGTTGCTGGTGGTGCTGCGGCAGCGATAGGAGGCGGGTTAGTCGGGGGATTCGTGTGATGTGATGCCTGGAGGTTCTTGGATGGGCTAGCTGTAGCTGTAAAAGCGCCTGCAAAGTTTGTGGTCAGCATACGCAGACGCGGGTCCAGGGAGAATCCAGCGTGGATCTTACTGGCTTTTGGGCTGCTAAATTGTTGTTTGAAGCCGGCGAGCATATCCTTTGGGAATGTCTGCCCACGCTCCCAGATCTCAACAAGCTTCAAGATCTTCTCTTTCTGACTGTCCGGTGCTGATTGAGAGAGATCGGTCATGATTAGAGGCAAGATATCGGTGATCTTCTGTACGCCTGAAGCAAAGGTACCGGGAGCGGCACTGCGAGAAACGGCTTGTCCAGTCTTTTTCGCACGATCCAACCATTGACGGACCACGGAATCTACCACGTATAGGACTCCGAGCTTGTGGGTGGCGGGGCTATTCTTGAATTGCTGAGCGATTTTCTGGACGATGAGGACATCGGACTACGCAAGCACAAGATCAGTATAAACTCAATCAAGGAGAATACGAGGCTTCATCTACGCTGTGGTACCCCAGGGTATGCAAGCAAAGAGTCTCGTGTATGAGGATCGATGCCGGGTCTGGTCCTCAATCTTCGTACAATCCAACACTGGGTGACGCATCCTGAGGTAACACATGTCGCTCAAAGGTTTATCCTGTCGCATACCTGTACGTTGTCCACACTCTTCTGCGTTATCTCCTTGATCTTGGTAGCTGTTACGCCGGGGGGCTTCAACGCCTGCAGTGACTGTAGAAGCGCCTCGAGCTCCTCCATCGCAGCCATGACGGCAGGCTGCGCTCGAACCCGGATGAGCTCTAGAGTGATACAGAGTATGAGACTAGGTCAGGATCGATGAGAGATGTAAGAAATCCTCCGGCAGTGACAAAAGAAGAGCGCGAGTGAAGGCGCGGTGTTTGTAGATCCGAAAGAGAGAGGTCTAGATGGCACGCGGTGGTGGGTTGCGGAAGCACCAGGCGGGGTTCAAGCTTCAATGCAGGTGGTCAACAGTAGCGCCTTTGCGCTGTCCTCGAAAGATGAGCTGGCGGCTGCCGTTTTTACCTACACACGCGGCGAGGGAAAGAGCAGACGCGCGATCAAATGCACGGTGGCGGGAGTTGCTACAGCGGATAGAATATTGTCGATGGGTGAGAGAAGTTGAGCAGTGCTGCACAGACGGCCTTGTGCTAAACGACTGCAGGTGTGCCCGTTATAAGGTGAGGGGAGAAGAGCTGCTGGCCTGCTGGCACGAGTGAGTCGCAGAATCGGCAAGGGCACCCTGGCGCCACTTACCTAAGCCGACATGCACGTGATCAGAGCCGACCGGTGGACGGTTGAAGAAAATCCCGCGAAGCAATCTACGGGCGCGAAAGACGGCAACAGAGTTTTCGTGACCTGGGGTGCCCAATGGTAATTCTAGGACAACGACAACGTGTTCGAATGCTCGTAGTGAGCAATTGCGTCTGAATATTGCACTGCATTGTACACATTCCCTATTGCATTTGGGCCATTGGATCAAGACTTCACGTTGAACTCAGCTATATGCAAGATTTGCACACCATGATGCTAGTGATATAGACAAGGCTGCGTGCCTGCGCAAGTGACCGACGTGGCGCATGTCGATGGACTCTACTGTGTATGGTCTCGGGTCTGAAGCAGCGGTGCCCGCTCTCCGAGAGATGGCCGTGCATGGGTGCCGGTCGTTCAACGACAGAATGACGCTTAGCTCGTAGTGGTGGGTCGCGTCCAAGCTCAGGTCTCATCGCAGCTCATCCATTGCGACTATTTTTTTCCTCCGCTGCTCCTCCACTCCTTTCCTCCATCCCCATCATCTGGCTAGTCTTGGACCTGCATTACACAATGGCCTCTACTCTGCGATTGAGCACTCGCGCCCTGCGCGCTGTGCCCTCCACTCCTCTGCGGTCCTCCGCCTTCACTGGCTTCCGCAACTACTCGACCGGCAAGACCCAGGTCCGCACCTTCCGCCAATGCCATCGGAACTGTCGCTAATCCATTGCTTGCAGTCCCTCAAGGAGACCTTCGCCGCCAAGCTCCCCGGCGAGATCGAGAAGATCAAGAAGCTTCGCAAGTACGCGCTTCCGGTCCCAAAATCCTTATCGCAACTCTGACATCAGATTCTAGGGAGCACGGCAACAAGGTTGTCGGTGAGGTCACTCTCGACCAGGTGTATGGCGGTGCCCGTGGCATCAAGTCCCTCGTCTGGGAGGGTTCCGTCCTCGATTCCGAGGAGGGTATCCGCTTCCGCGGCAAGACCGTATGTCATCCGCTGCGCCGGACAGAATCAATGAATAACACGAGATAGATCCCCGAGTGCCAGGACGTCCTTCCCAAGGCGCCCGGTGGTCAGGAGCCCCTTCCCGAGGGTCTTTTCTGGCTCCTCTTGACCGGCGAGGTTCCCTCCGAGCAGCAGGTCCGCGACCTATCTGCCGACTGGGCTGCCCGTTCCGATGTTCCCAAGTTCGTCGAGGAGCTCATCGACCGCTGCCCCAACGACCTCCACCCCATGGCTCAGTTCTCTCTCGCCGTCACTGCTCTCGAGCACGAGTCCAACTTCGCCAAGGCCTATGCCAAGGGCATGAAGAAGACCGAGTACTGGGAGCACACCTTCGAGGACTCCATGAACCTCATCGCCAAGCTTCCCACCATCGCCTCCAAGATCTACCGCAATGTCTACAAGGATGGACGCGTTGCCGAAATCCAGAAGGACAAGGACTACTCTTACAACTTGGCCAACCAGCTCGGCTTCGCTGACAACAAGGACTTCGTTGAGCTGATGCGTCTTTACCTCACCATCCACACTGACCACGAGGGTGGCAACGTGTCCGCCCATACCACCCACTTGGTCGGTTCCGCTCTAAGCTCCCCTTACCTCTCCCTGGCTGCCGGTCTTAACGGTCTTGCTGGTCCTCTCCACGGATTGGCCAACCAGGAAGTGCTCGTCTGGCTCCAGAAGATGAAGAAGGCTATCGGCAACGACATCTCCGACGAGTCGATCAAGGACTACCTCTGGTCTACCCTCAAGGCCGGCCAGGTCGTCCCCGGATACGGCCACGCTGTCCTCCGCAAGACCGACCCCCGCTACGTCTCACAGCGCGAGTTCGCCCAGAAGCACCTGCCCGACGACCCCATGTTCAAGCTCGTCAGCCAGGTCTACAAGATCGCCCCTGGCGTCCTCACCGAGCACGGCAAGACCAAGAACCCCTACCCCAACGTCGACGCTCACTCCGGTGTCCTCCTCCAGTACTACGGCCTCACCGAGCAGAGCTACTACACCGTCCTCTTCGGTGTGTCCCGCGCTCTTGGTGTCCTTCCCCAGCTCATTATCGACCGTGCCGTCGGCGCCCCTATCGAGCGCCCCAAGTCCTTCAGCACTGAGGCCTATGCCAAGCTCGTTGGCGCTACCTTGTAAGCTTGTTTGGATGATGTGGGAAGGAATAATAGACAATTCGGAAAGGTGGCTCAAGACTGAGAAGACTTTCTGTGTACCAATTGTATAGGGTGTAAGGATAGTATGGGCCGCGCGTTTTGGTGTATTAGCATGCATCGAGTTTCATTTACCTGATGATATCCGGGCTGTAGAAGTATCTTCTAAAATATCACGCTTGGAAAGTTCACAATTCGTTTGCAATGCTTGTGGGACAATGACAGCACTGAAATTGTATTCTGAGTTCGGACGGCAATACACCGATGGTTAATAGCCGCGGTGTTTGGCTTGGAACACCGCCCAAGCCGGCTACATGTGAACCGTGGAATCTGCATTTTACAGGGTCCAGGTACAAAACAATGCCAACGCCCCTATTCTCAAAGTTTCTATTCTCAAAGTTTGAATGCTTTCTATTCTGCTAAACATAGCGCATATCCACAACAGAGCCGCAAAGTCCAAGCTTCGTACCCGATGTCCTTCCCGCGGGAAGCAAAGCGGTCGCACCGCTGTGGCTCACTGCTTACGCCTCAGCTCAGCACCGAGCTCTCCGGAATAATGATTCGCAATGCGCAACTCGCAGACAAATGTCCAACGCAGCCAACACCATTGCCCGAAGCCGGAGATTATCGGTGTGTTGTGGTTATGACAGTCAGGCGTAGGCGCGGCTGTTGAGCTCTGGCCCGATGCCTTGGGGAGCCGCTACTAGCCCATCATTCTGTAGGCGGCGCACTGTTGAGAAGAGCGGGTCACTGTTAGGGGAAGACAATGAGCAGCTGTGAATGTGTCGCAATTGAAGCAATAAATACATGTCGGCCGTGATGATTGATTGCCGCGCATGTCGGAACATTCCGTAGACTCACATGTCAGAAAAGCTGCATTGGGGCATTTACTGCAGCGAAAGCTGGAGTACTCCGCGTCCGCGAAGCACATGGGCTTGGCACATGGCATCGAGCTCCCGCGAGTCGCCCAGCACCGCCCGGACCCTTTGCGAGCGCTAGGGTACGTTGTTCCTTTCCCGCGGCTTTTACCCTTCTTCTTTTTGTCTCGCACGCATTCAGCTTTCCTGACATCTTTCCCAAGTCACTCTTACCCCCCGTGATCCTCTCTTCAGCGAACGACGCGCCCTTCTGCCTCGGTCCGGCCCTAATCGACAACTACTCCCAGAGATGAGCGACGCTGCGACAGTTGCTGGCTTGCCAGGTGCGCCGCCGAAGCTTGAGAAGAAGCCGGTCAAGTTCAGCAATCTGCTGTGTAAGTTTGCTTTCGAGGAAGTTGTGCAGAGTGAATTGAAGCTGATCGGCGCATTTGGAATGCAGTGGGTGCGGGATTGAACTTGTTTGAGTAAGTTGGCAACGATGCGCCCAACCACTGTGAAGTGATCGCTGACCGATGTTTACAGAGTCACAACTCTGGGGCAGCCACTCGAGGTGGTGAAGACGAGTAAGCAAGCTCACAGCACGCTTGTCGCGCGGGACAGTGATTAACAGTATTCAGCAATGGCCGCGAACAGAGCCGATGGCATGGCAGGAGCTATTGGCCGTATCTGGGCGCGTGGTGGTGTTTTTGGGTGTAAGTCTTCCCGGCCGGATACACTCGAGATGCGAGAACGGATGTGCCATGCGCTACAGGAAGCGACGAAACGACACAAGCTAACAAGCCGATCACAGTTTACCAAGGTCTCATCCCGTGGGCCTGGATCGAAGCGTCTACGAAGGGCGCTGTCCTCCTCTTCGTCGCCTCCGAGGCCGAGTTCTACGCCAAGTCGTTCGGCGCCAACAACTTCGTCTCGGGTATCTCCGGTGGTATGGTCGGTGGTCTGGCGCAAGCTTACGCGACTATGGGCTTCTGTACTTGCATGAAGACGGTCGAGATCACCAAACACAAGGTCGCAGCCTCTGGTGTAAAACCTCCGGGCACCATGGAGACGTTCATGAACATCTACCGTACGGAGGGTATTCGTGGCATTAACAAGGGCGTAAACGCGGTCGCGGTCCGCCAGGTCACCAACTGGGGTTCCCGTTTTGGTCTGTCCCGTATGGCTGAGACTGGTATTCGCAGAGTCACCGGCAAGGAGACGGGCGAGAAGCTCAGCGTTATGGAGAAGATCACCGCGTCCGCTCTTGGTGGTGGTCTCAGCGCGTGGAACCAGCCTATCGAGGTCATTCGTGTTGAGATGCAGTCGAAGAAGGAGGACCCCAACCGTCCCAAGAACTTGACTGTCGGAAAAGCTGCGAAATACATCTACTCGCAGAACGGTCTGAAGGGACTGTACCGTGGTGTTACCCCTCGTATCGGTCTCGGTATCTGGCAGACGGTCTGCATGGTTGCTTTGGGCGACGTGTAAGTGCCGATTCAATCTCTCTACATCAACTACCACTAATATCTTCACAGTGCCAAGGAAGCTGTCGAGAAGCTCACAGGCGACAAGGTCACGGCTAAGCACTAAACGGCGTTCGATTTTTGCTTATGTATCGACCTTGTAATCTGTTGTCTGTCTATCTGGGGTTAGTGGGTTTGCAACGAATGTGACATTATTAGGATGCTTCGCAACTATGCATTTGTGCCGGTGTTTGCCGCTGCATAGACTTGGAATTCGGGCCTGGGAAAGCGAATCATATTGGTAGACTTGCATAATGCTATGAGCAATCAACTTCAAGTTTCTGATAAGACCACTTCCACGCTATGTTTGTCTTCGTGAAAATATGCTGCCAGCCTGCCATATGCACACCCTAGCTACCAACGTTCGAGTACGAGTGGAGCAGTCATCTCAAAGCCCATTGGCCCGAGCTCCTCCCACCAAACGTCACCTGAACTCCTACCACCCGCATCGGGCTCTAGCACCTGCTATCCAACCACATCAATCGTTGCATAGCTGCTTTTGCTCTCAGACTACACCATTGCACTTGCGCAAAAACCGCGAGATGCCGGCGCCATGTATAAGCCTATCTCATGCGTCCAAACAGGCATGCAAGATGGGTACCAAAGGGTAAGCATACCACGACCACGTGAACTCTGAAAGAGATAGCTTTAGGCTCTGAATCCGCCACCTTGCTCACATTATACATTCCGCTCGTTCCAATATACGAACTCCGCTGGCGTTCTTCGACAGTGAATATTCATGCTGATTTGACCACTCTAGTTTCCCACGCCCTCCCCACCGGTAATCAAGCACTGGCGCTGCGATCTCACTGCTCTCTCTTCCGTATACAATCTCTACTTTGTGGCCTGCAATGATGAGATTCATGTTTACTCTCCTGGTTTTCCTTCTCAGAGCGTTGGGGAACCTGTCAGGGTGTTGCCTGTTCCTGGCTCGGGGGCGCCGACGATGCCGGGCATTGATATTAGCGATCCGCATTCTGTGACGAGGTTGTGTGTGGCGTATTTGGGGCTGGAGGAGGTGTTGCTTGTGACGTGTGATGATGGGGATGTGGTGGGGTGGAGGGTGGGGGAGATTGTGAGTGTTTGAGTTTCGTTCTGTTCGTTCTGTTCGTTCTGTTCGTTCTGTTCGTTCTGTTCGTTCTGTTCGTTCTGTTCGTTCTGTTCGTTCTGTGTGCCTCCGGTGGTCATGTTCAAGGACCGTTTGGGGGAATTTGCGGCAGCGCTTGGGAAAAGAACTGCATGCAGTATGCGGTTGAATGTACTGACTTGCTCAGCACCGTGCCATTGTCAGCCAACGAGACTCTCCGGACGAAGACGATGAAATGGTCGCGACAGAAGACATTCGATGTTTTGAGCATCGCAATGTCGGTTGCAGTGCTTGGGGTCTTGCCGTCCATCGGGACGCGCGATTAATAGCGATTAGTGCGAACACGCACCTAGTCAGAGTTATAGCGTACGGTCTGTCGCAACCGGAGGATTCAGTGGATAGCCAGAACGATTTTCCGTTTCCTCGGCATCAGAACCGATCCATTATATTACGTGTAAGTCGAAAGCTATGGGAAGGACCGCGATTTGCACTTAGAATCGCGCAAAGTCAGAGACGATTCATTGTTGATCAAGTTCTGGGCTGATGCTTGTCCTTTGCAGGCTCAAACTAATATACCTGCTGTATCGTTCGATAACACTGGTGGGGATCCAACTGGTGAGCTGTCCTCTATGTATTGAAGATGTCCAGCGTACTTGACGATCGTATTGAATCCTTTAGCTGATGTAGATCTCATTGTCTAGGCAAATGGCTCTCTAGCAGCAGCATCGATGGACTTACTCACCTGTGGGACCTCAGTAGGCCGACACAGCCTGCCAGAGTGATAGCAGTGGGACATTGTGCAAGTGTATCTCTGGCACCAGACTTGGTAAGCACGCCATACAGTCCTGTGGTCGCAGGTTGTTAATCACCGCAGCGTGTTCTTCTGGGATACACTATCGAGGGACCGTCTGTACGAACAACCAGACCGGCACTGTATGGATTTAGTACATAAGCTTACAGCAGCCAGATGCCGGAGTCCTGTAAATGCCTCAATCGGAATTCAGTGCCCCATGCAGCCTGGGCAGCTATGTTCATAGACCCTTGGTCGTGTCATAGTGTCGACTCGCTTGCGGATGCATGCGGTGTCGAAGTGCAGTCGCATCGACGAATGGCATATCGCGATCCTTGTTTCTGGGATATCACAGAGGAAAAAGCTCGATTTGCTTCAAGTAGAAGAACCCCTACCTGGCATGTCGGTCCAGCAGCAATGACGCCAGCAGCAATGACGCTTGTACCACCGATTCCTACAGGAGAAGCTGAGGATGAACATCAGAGTGCCGGCAGTGAAGCCTCAAGTCAATTGTCGATGGAGAGTGATTCTGAGGGCGCGATCGTAAACACTGCAACACAAGAATTGGTCGACGCGGTCGAGCAGGCCATGGCCGAAGCACCACAAGGCCAACCAACGCAAAACGAGGAAGAAGAAGAATATTCACTTGGAATTGACCTCTTCGCAGATTTCCCCCCACCTCAAGTCTCGTTGCCCCCTCCCTCACCGCATCCTGATCTTCCACCGCTTCCACAGATCACGGCACCTCCTGAAGTTTCACCCAATGAAGAAGCTCAGAGCGATGACGAAGACGGTGCGTCAACCTCGGACGAGGATGCGGATGAATTACAACTCGAGATATTGAAGAAGCCTTATTGTGCCTTTATCACTTCAAATCACTACAAAGAGCATTCACCTAAGGTAAGTTACTACCAATGTACACGCAAAGAAATCGAAGTCCCGTGATACTCACTCTTGAGACGACCCAAACTACGTCGTCTACGCGTATAATCCCCTTCCAACCTACCTAACGTAGGCCATATGTCACAAACCCAGACGAAGTCCACGCGTGGTTTCCGCATCTCACTAACAACGCGACGACAAACTACGCTAATGCTCCTTCAGCCATCCACCGCCCAACGTCCCCGGCCCTTGCTCATCGTCACAAAAGAGGAAATCTACCTCTTCCAGAGCCCCTCGGCCCATCGTTGACGACCACCCCCTCCCTCCCCATCCTCACAATGCGCAACCCCTCTACCCTCCACAGTCCTACCGCCACCACGCCGGCGGCACTTGGGCCCACCCGTAAGCGTCTACCACCGGCAGTGCTTCACCGCACAGATACCCGAGCTCGGCGTCTTCATTGTTGGCTCGCCGGCCGGCCGTGTCGGTATCTTCCGTCTGACGAGGACGCTGTATAGACATCGAGATAACGAGCCTGCTACGGACTTGTTTGGCTTCCGGCTTGATCACTTGTTGCCGTTGAAGAAGAAGAGGGAGGGGGAGTATGTCGTTGATGATGAGTGGGGAGGCAGTTGGTGGGGATTGCGGTGGGGCCGGTGCAGGGATGTTTGATGCTGGGGGATGAGGGAGTGGTGACGGATGGGGGCGGGGTGGGGGTAAGAGGAGGTGGAGGTTGATGATGTATTATCATGATCATACGGTGTATAGTTATGAGCTTGGGAAGTATAGTGAGGAGGGGGAGGTACGGTTGGATGAGTTGGTTGTATAGGGTGAGTGATGAAGGGGGACATTTTGAGGCTGGGAGTATAGCATGTATGGACCGAGGCTTCCACGAACCTAAGGTCTCCAGAAAATGTGCTGTCCTATTGGTAGAACCACCAGTCGCGCCAGATCACATTCATACGATTATGCGATGAGAGCGTTGCCAAAGTATATGTGCTTCACTCATCAATAAAAGCCTCTTCTTCTAGCGTCAGGCCTACCAAAGATAAACTCACATCCCATAGCTCCTTCTGCTTCTGCCGGTCTCTCGATTCTCTTCCGCTTTGCTCAAGTTTGTGGCCGTTGCAAACCATAGCTTTTGCAGTGTCAGAGCCTCCCCCGGTTTTTAGATCAAGTCCTACCCGTACAATATCATTCGCCGAACGCTCGGGACTCCGTAACAGCGAATTGGAAAACAACCTCTCCGAAATCGGTGTCAGAAGCGTAACAACTTTCTCAACCGCAAACGTGCATAGGAGATTCTGCTCCCGCATAATTTCAGTCGCGCCAATAAAACCCGGATCCACAGCCAAAATCGCAATATTCTTATATTCAACACTCCGATCCAAACGCTCCTGCAGCGAGTGCATGAACATCATAAGACACATCTTACTTCTAGCGTATCTTGCAAACCCAGCTTTCGTACTGTTCCTCCGCGGGACAGGAGGATGCGCCAGCATCTTGGAGTCTAACCACAATCGCCGAGGAAGAGGAAGTAGCTTCGCACGAAGACACGTCGGATCGTGCGTAAAGCTAGTCATGAAGACTACTCTGCAGTTCCTCGAATCCATAGCCGGAAGCAGCGCGTTAACCAGTAAGAAATTCGCCAAGTAGTTTATCTGGAAAACCCTTTCATATCCGTCGTGCGTGAACTTTGGCCGGAAGCGGGACATCATTCCTGCGTTGCAGATGAGGGCTGTGATGGGCTTGAGGCGGCCGGTTGAGACGTAGATGCGGAGGGAGGTTGCGAAGGTGCGTACGCAGTCTAGGCTTTCTAGGTCGAGATGCCAGATGCGGAATCTGGGGTCTTTTCCAAGGGAGTCGCGGAGGGCTTGGGTTTTCGCGCTTTCGAGGGAACGGACTGCTAGGATTGTTGTGAAGGGGTGGTTTAGCTGTTTGATGCGGTGGAGGATGGCTCTTCCTAGGCCGCCGGTGGGTCCTGTGATGATGATTGTGCCTTCCATTTTTGTTTGCTTAACACATCCATGGGATAAGTGGTTACTTCAACTGTTATATTTAGTGTGTCACGGCTCTTTCGTCTTGTGTTATGCTCAGTCTGCCAAGGAAGCCTTTCGGACAGCTGTGAGTTCGGATATGTAAAGCACCGGTACATAGGTAGGTAAGTAAAAATCGCATATGATGCAGGTGAAAGCCTGTGCTCGACAGGCCCACAACGTGCCGTGCTGTGCCGCACTCACCAATTGGAGAGTCACGTCGAGCATTACAAACGTAAAGAAGCGCGTGAAAGCGTCATGTGGGCTGACTACTTAGGTACCAAGGTTGTGAAGGCTCCCTCTCACCAAGAATAAATCCTTACTAGATAATACATCCATGCTACAGGTACTTCGCCGGCTTGGGTAGGTGATACAAAGGCTGAGTTGCAGCCTGGGCGATGGGGCGTAGCGCCTGCGTTACAATATCAGCCTGCATCCGAGGCAGGGGTATCCGAACCCCCGGGTGCACGCCACCCCTTGTCAGTTGATAGTGGGGACACCTGCGAGCGCGCAAGCCAACCCGCTCGCACATTGAAGCTCCCCTGATGAGCTACGTTGTTCACCTCTCTCGTCCGGTCGATCAAGTCAACGGCAGTAAGCAATTTGAAAGATGGTCTTCGAGTTCAGCATGACGCGTGGGCTTGTCACCCTCGCGGTTGGGCTGCTGAGCTTGTTCTTTGTGAAGCTTTATCAGGCTCGCAGCTTCTTCAGACGGCTTCAGAGGCAAGGCTTAGTAGGTGCAAACTAGACAATCCCTAAATCAAATCGCTAAACGAAACGCAACCAGCCAATGCCACCGCACCACTGGCTCCTCGGTCATCTTCCGCTGGCTGCGGAAGTCACAAGAAACCTTGCACCTGACGCAGCTGGTGGATACATCGCAGATCAGGTCCGCCAGAAGTACCCAGAGCTCAACACTGCCTTCTATCTCGATGTCTGGCCATTCAGCCGTCCTGTGCTAGCTATACTGAACCCAGAGATGATGCATCAGCTCACTCAACAAGGGAAGGAGGTAAAGTTGTGACTCGTTCAGGAGATGGATAGATACCAAGCTAATCACTTCCCTGCTCTAGGTACCCAAAGACCCCGGTTTGAGGACATTCTTGCAACCATTGACTGGCAAAGAAGATTTGGTCACTATGGAAGGCGCTACTTGGAAACGCTGGAGAAGCATATTCAATCCAGGATTTAGCGTGAATCATATAACCTCCTTGATTCCTGGAATGATAGACAAGGTGCTCGTCTTTAAGCATATACTAGCCGAGCAAGCCCAGCGCGGCGAGGCGTTTCTCCTCGAGCATTTGACGCTAAACCTCACTATCGATATCATTGGGGGTGCAGTTATGTGAGTGGCAAAGTTGCAGCGATATCGTGTAGTACTAACGTTATCTCTATCAAGGGACCATGAATTCCAAAGCCAGACTCGATACAACAGCATGACCGCCGCTCTCCGCAGGCAGTTGAAGTGGTGTACTATGGGAATTGAAATGAACCCACTTGACAACCTCAAGAACTTTATCCGACCTTTCGTACACATGTACAATACAAGGATTATGAACAGCTATCTTACCTACGAGTTGGAGGAACGTTACAGTTCTGTTCTGGATCAGCAGCACATTCCTGGAAAATCTGTAATTGATCTCGCGATGAAAGCATATCTCGACGAGAACCCCGGGTCCACTGGCATTCCTGCCCCTTTCAAATCGGCTGCCATGGCACAGATAAAGCTTTTCGTATTTGCGGGCCACGATACTACCTCTACTGCGACGGTTTTCACCTTCCATCTCCTGTCAAAGCATCCGGAAGTATTGCAGAAAGTTCGCGAAGAACATGATGCCGTGCTTGGACCTGTCTCGAACGTGCCGTCGCTTTTGGCGTCGAAGCCACAGCTCTTGAACCAGCTTACATACACCTTGGCAGCCATCAAAGAAGCACTCAGAATCTACCCAACGGTGTCAACTATCCGAAGCGGTCAGCGAGACCTGCATCTCGTCAGTCCCAATGGACATAGTTTTCCCACAGAGAGCTGCATGATCTGGGGAGATCATTACAGCAACCACCACAATCCACACGTCTGGAATCGACCGGAAGATTATCTGCCGGAGCGTTGGCTTTGCACAGAAGAAGATAGTCTTTATCCACCTAAACACGCTTGGAGGCCATTCGAAAGGGGCCCTCGTAATTGTATTGGGCAGGAGCTGGCTCTTACGGAGATTAAGCTCATTCTTGCATTGACTATCCGGGAGTTCGATGTCGCTGATGCGTATGCAGAATTTGACACGGCGAGAGGGAATACTGGAAATATGAAGGTCAATGGGCAGAGGGCGTACATGGTCCGTATTGGAGGCGGGGGGCATCCGGCCAATGGCTATCCATGTAGGGTGCGCTGCTTAGAGTGAGGGGTGTTGGTTTGAGAAGATGCAGCTGGTTCATGAACTAGTGCTCTATTCCATCTACATGTCTACAAACAACTATCAATGCCAAGGTGAACAGGAAGAACTCAATATGAACACGGCATGGCCAAGTGAACCTACTACTTTGAGATGCTGCAAAGAACCACTTATGTCTCGGCTAGACGTTGGGACCGCCCCTCTGCTCACTCACACTCGAATAATCCATGGACCTCTCTTCATCCATGGTATCGTATATTCTTGTTCTTCCATTCGCATCGATGAATGTTCTCATACCTGTCATGGTACCATGTGGAATGTCATCCTTCAGGAAACCATCACCTCTCTTCTGCATCTCCACAGATGTAGTTTTACCAGTTGTCTTGGTGATGATATTCCATACCGCAGCATGTCCTTTGTTGTACCATCTGAATGAAGTAATCGTCTTATTCACGTGGCGGTCCTTCGACTTCGATACGTAAAGAGCACGAAACGCTGAGACAGCGACAAGTGATAACCCGATTTCTGCTGCGATAACGATGAAGTAGGTTTCCCAGATTGAGTCGAGCTTGCCTCGCCACTTGAGGCCGGCAATCCGCGCAATAGTAATGATGACCATGACTATGGTCAAGCAGAGTGTGAAAGCGAGCGCCAACTTCTGCTTCCAGGTGATGCGAATTTTCCAGATCAGGACCACGGGAATCACTAAGACTACCCTGTTGTCAGTCGCTATATAACGACATGCACACCACAGACTCACTGAATATGTCGCCGATAATATCAAGGGCCATCTGTGATATCGAAAAGCTGAGCGCCAGCTTGAGTCCACTTCCTTGCACGCATTGCACTGTATGAGTGTTAGCAGATAACTTTATGAAGAAAACTCAATCACGTACTACTCTGGAAGACCTTCTCAGGACCGAAGTAAGGACATGTCACATAATACGTCGTAGTTCCATAGACAATGACCGCTGCATTGAACACAAGCGAGAACCACCAGAAGATGTTCATCGCAGGCATTTGGCGAATCAACTTCTTGAAGAAAGCCAAGAAGCAAATCTTGACGCAACCCATGCTGAGCCACATGAGCATCAGAGCGACAGCTGACATCGTGCGATAATGGGCGATTCGATTGAGCAGGTTTGGGATCTCCATAGGGTTGATCGTGGCAATGCCTGACCCAAAGACAAAGTTCTCTGATTCATACATTGTATCTATGACTGTGAAAAGGAGTGTCATGCCTACGATGAGGCAGCAGAGGCCGAAGATGAGGAACCCATCGTCCCATCCTATCTCGCGCTGTATGCAAAACCGGATGTAGCAACGGAAGACTACTGTGATGAGGCAGATTCCCAGAAAGGCCGACGAGGATCCCTACTAACGTTAGCTAATCGTCGGTCTTTGATTTTCTGGAGTACATACAACGAATGCCGCCTTTGAAATTCTGCCCGTTGTCGTCTCCATTATGTAACAAAGGAGATAGATTTGTGATGGTGATGAAGTCGTAACTAGGTGCACGGAAATCAGAGCAAGGTGTCACTTCAAGGGCGTCTGATCAGACGATAGAGCTACAGCGAATACATTTAACCGCTGGAGCAGCGCAGGTATGATACGATCTGACATGCAGCAATTGCTTCTGGAAGGTAGTGAGCCCAGATGACTATTCAGATAATTGGGGGGCCATTTTCGTATTCACTTGCAGCGTACGCAAGGCAAACATTGCGCCTCTTTGGCTGCATATAAGCGAACGCCTTGGGTCCCGAAGTAGCGAGACTGCGACACACGATAGCACGGCGCATGACCTGCCACCCAATGAATAACCTCACTACAAATTACCTACATAAGAGGCCCCCAGATCTGCTCTCGGCAATATTTCGCCGGTAGGATGCGGGCCGAGGCGGAGTGCTCGTGTCTGTGAGGATAACGTCCGCCTCTGCAGCCACCCGTCGGATCTTTGTAATTATTGGGAAGTCCGAAGCCTTTTGAGGCTGCTTCATATGATAGTGCTACAAAGTTCCGGCGTAATAGGTGCAGGTGATCCCCCAGCCCCAATCTTCGGTTGGCGTGTGGGTACTGCATTTGCTATCGACCTCAAGGCTCGTACAACCGGGGAAGTCAGTATTCTGCACGTACTATGGAAGATCTAGAAATAACCAAGGGCATCCGTAAAGCAACGAAAGTCCTGTCAACATCAGCACACCATCAAGACGTGCATCAGACGAGGCAGATCGGGCTGACCATGGAGGAATAGACGCGCTCCATCTACAGAGGGCTGAACCAAGGTTCAACATGAGCGAAGGATACTAATATGGGCTTTACGTGAGAGCTGTCCGATATGTCCAGCTCATGCAAATCTCTCCATCATGTCAAGTTGGTCTGCGCCATTCTACCTGTTAACAGATCTTTCAGCAAACCAACTTGATCATCACTTGCGAGAGATCCTCGTCTTCCTGTTGCTTGGAGTTTTTCTTTTCGCACCCGCCTTCTTTTTTGATTATTTCGCCCTGCCGAAAGGCTATTCGGGAATACGGAATGAGCAACTGTCGCCCAAAGATCGATGGGCTTTCGACTTGTCGAACTATTCGGCTTATACCTTGATTGAACCAGAGGAACGAATTACTGGGGTTGAAGAGATCGCAGCATGATGTTTGCCACAATGTTTGAGAGGATGCAGAGCAAGGTGCGATCTCGAGGCTTGCTTCATAGGTACTCTGAGAAACTGACACACACAGGGCTTCATTTGGAGTCTAGCGGTGATCTTGGAAGGGAACATTGTTTATTTGGCCGTTCATCTGAATCCACACTGTACTACGCATAGAGTAAATGAGAGGAAACCGACGTAGTCGAGCTAGGACATGTTGGATGGACAGAAACCCTCAAACTGATATTGTACATAAATATGTGCACATCATCATAATACAATCGGTTTATGACATGTTCCTCGTTTGTGTTACCGGTAGTTGGTACAGGAGATCACGTAAGAGTGTACATAAAGCGCAGCCTTGGGGGCTGAAGCTCGGAATGCACAGTTTTGGTTTAGTCACAAGCATACGTTGCGTGGCAGTGAGCGCTGAATTTGGCCGATATTCAACCCCTGCAGGGACCAGGGTTTCTGAAGGCTCCCTCTGCCACTAATGCAATGCTACCACTCACCTCGCTAAGGCTGGAACGCACATACTCACCAGTTTTTGTGGGGATATCGTGATAAACAGGTCTTGGTATGATACGGATCAATAAACCCCGGCTTGGCTATCCTGGCATGCATGAAGGCAGCCATGAACCCATACTCTATGTGTGGCACTTGAACCCCGAGTGGGTGTGGGGCTAGTTAGGTAGCAGTTCAAATTACAAAGTTGCCTTATTGCATGCCGTATGTCCAAAAACCGATGCATGTGGCTGCCCTTGTGCTGGTGATCTCTGATAGACGAGACAAGGCGAAGCAGCTGAGCCGTTGCCTTCAGAGGAACGAATGAGACTGATCAGCCCAGAACTTGCGATTGCCTCCATTGAGCATGATGCAAGCGGGTCTCCCACCTGCCTTGGCTATGAGGTCGGCTGTGTATTCAAAGGAGACCTTGTTTCGCAGTTTGTGTAGAAGTATATCTGTGGACTGGTGCACTAGTTGCTCTGCCAAACATAATTCTTTGTAAAGATGGACACGAAGCAATCATTCGAAAGTGTCCAAATGACAGTCATTTCGTCATTTGGCAGCGGCCTGTTGAACAGAACCAACTTCATAGGCTCAGAGTACCCTCGCCCTGCGCTAACACTGTGGAGTTTACCAATTCCGATCCTCGTCGCTTGTGCAGTCGGTCTCTGCGTCTGCACCACATATCTCGAAACTTGGGTGTCATTCAAGTCTAAGAGACAAACAAATAACACCGGAGAGGTTCCTCGACCTGTTCCGTACGCTCTGCCCTTTGTGGGCAAGGCAGTAAGCTTCGTGTTCAGTCCCTCGAAGTGTGTTATATCTGCCACGTAAGCACAAATCCTTGCTATATTCACTGGAGAACTTTCCAATATTGTTGTAGTAGGATCGCGGGCCCAAGCACAGCGTACGGCCTGAAATTGCTCGGTTCCACTTTATACTTCATCTCAGGACGCAGCAACATTGCCAAGACCCGCAAATATCCCGATATCATTACAGATGCAGGAGTTCAGGCATTTTGCCTCACCCGAGTCTTTGGCATGGCACAAAAGGCCGTCGACATGTACAACAAGGACGACTCCAGCTTCTATCCAAAGCCAATCGGGACGAGTGCGGTCAAGCCTAACAATCGTATAGACTATCACACCCACGCCAACTTTCTCAAGATGCTCAATGGAGAAGGTTTGAATAATCTTTTCAAAAGATGGCATGTGTCGTTCTGTCGCCGACTTGAAGCTTTGCAGATCGGGACAGGGTGGATCGGGGGGCAGGACCTGGAAGACTTTTGGACGATGCATCTTACGGCCGCGCTAAATGAAGCTATGTCAGGGCCGGTACTCGAGCGTGTGAATGCTAATTTCACTCGCGACTTCGTAGACTATCTGCCGTACGTCCATAAGCTAATGATGGGCCTGCCAAAGTGGACCATGCCTCGAGCGTATGCGTTGAGAGATAGCCTCATCCGAGACGTCAAGACCTGGCACAACCTGGCGAGAGAGAATTTCCATCAGTCGGAGGTAGAAAAAGATGGCGGGGCTGATCGTTGGTGGGGCCTAGCAACTATGCGCGAAAGACAGGAAATCTTGAAGGAGGTTGATGATTGGGATCAAGACTCCATTGCCTGTTCTGACTTTGGTCTTCTCTGGGGGTAAGTCGTCCGTCTTTAACAAATCCAGATCCACATTGATAACACGCTTAGCGCCAACGTCAACGTGCACACCGCTGCCATATGGATGATAATCGAAATCTTTCGGGATCCAGACTTACTGATACGGGTCCGATCAGAGCTTGATACAATGACAGAATCGCCGGAGAACCACTGTCGCTGGATCGAAAAGCTCATGGAGCTTCCACTGCTGCAGTCTATATACGCAGAAGTATTAAGACTACGGGTAGATGTCCAAACTGTGTTTCGCAATAATCTTGACGACATTCGTGTCAATGAATGGGTTTTCCCCAAGAAGAGTCTACTTCTCGTCCCTACAAGACCAGCGCATAGGGATGAAGACTACTGGAACACTCGGCACGGGAGATACCCCCTGGATCGGTTCTGGTCGGACAGATTTCTCGCTTATGCTGGCGATGCTGAAAGCGGTCCATCTAAACACAACAACCGTCGACAGGAAACCATCAAACACGAACTTGTAATTAGCAAGGCCAAACCCAAGTTCATCACTGCTGGCACCTCAGACTCATGGATCCCTTACGGAGTAGGTGATCGTGCTTGTCCTGGGAGATTCTTTGCACAGCGCGAGATTGTGGCATTCTGTGCAATCATGGTTCAGAATTTTGAGATTGAACTTCCATCTTTGAGCACGGAAGAACATGTGCTGAACAATGATGTGTTCTATGGCTTGGGTGTTCAGCGGCCCAAAGCAGTCATGCCGTTTCGGATTCGACGATTGCAACGCCCGCAATGAACGACTCTGTCCGGATCCCCCTCACTAGAGATGTAGGACGTTGGGAATGAAGACGCGAAGCAAATGGTTTTGTGTTGTATGGAGTTAGTGAGAGAGCGATTCAAGCGCGAAAATGATTGGGTAGATACCGAGCCTTTGATGACGTAGCCGATAACGTATAGAACTATATGTGATTCACACGTGATGCACGCGTTGGACGTTTTGGTATGGGTCACGCAGATGGTGCCCGAGTGGCCCGCTCTTTCGATGCCCCAATGCCACCCATGTTGTGTAACCTTACTGGCGTGACACATACGACGGCCTGACACCTGATCCCTGGGCTAGGCGGTACTGTGCTGCAGCTACTTCGATTCGGTCCTCCCTTTGGATCTTCGTTTGCCTGTTCACCAGCAGCCTCATGCGGCCTTGCTGTCGCTTTCTCTCAGCAGGGATCCTAAATTGCTAGGCATCTGTGCCCAGCACTTGGGTATCGACCATTTCATCAGTACCCTTGCCTCCCCTCACTTCTGGCCCCCGGTGGTAACGCCTGGTTTACATATATTCACGAGCGGCGCAGTGCATTCGGCACATAATCGGAGCAGGTTGGAGCAAGTGTGTGAGTTCGTGCAATAGCTGACTATGGCGCTTCCCTCACCGTTCGTCGGCGCCCTCGTCGTGGGTTTTGTGACAGCTATCTACACTTTCTCTATCAAGCTCTACCGTGCTCGCATGCTCCTCATAAATCGGCGTCGGCAGGGACTCGTAAGTTCTTTTCCGTTTCAAACCACGGTGGAGATGATCGACTGACCCACCACAGCCTACAGCGCCAAACCACTCATTTCTCTTTGGCCATTTGCTCTACCTGAAGAGCGTACTCGATCGTCATCCAAAAGATGCACATTACCAATTTGGGTTCGCCGCAATTGCTCGGGAGAAGTTTGCTAGTGAAGGTGCCTTCTATATGGACCTGTGGCCAATGAGTGGCCTATTCCTTACCGTGACTTCGCCGAAAGTCGCGACTGAGATCACGCAAACCAATCCAAAACTCACGTCCGATCGTCCTCAGCTCCTTCGCAGATTCTTAAAGCCCATCACTGGCGGTCTTACAATTTTTGACCTCGACGAAAAAGACTGGAAGCCATGGCGAGCAGTGTTCAACAAGGGATTTCACAGCGAGCGTATGTATGGTCTTGTACCTAACATGGTCGAGGAGGTCCAAGTCTTTGCCGGAGCCTTGCGTGATCACGCAGCTAGGGATCAGCTTTGCTTCTTGGACCCGATTACTTTACGCTTCACCATTGACATGATTGGGCGCTCTATTATGAATACTTCATTGCACGCACAAACCGGCTTCAACGATCTCGCAGACGGCATGCTCAGCCAGATCCGCTGGCACAATCCCAACGCTGAAATCAACCCGTTCAGCCACTTCAATTTCGTGCGCGCATTCGTGCACTGGAAGAACCGTCGGCAGATGGACAGGTATATCGGAGCTGAACTTGACAGGAGATTTCAAGAGTACAAGAGCAATGCTGAGAGTAGCGCATCCAAGTCGGTCATAGATCTTGCGCTACAAGAATACCTCAAAGGATCCGAGAAACTCCCCGACAAGCTAGACCCCAGCTTCCGCGCTTTTGCAATCCGTCAGATCAAGCTGTTCATCTTCGCGGGGTACGACTCAACCGGGAGTACTATCTGCTATTGCTTCCATCTTCTATCGCAACATCCGAAGGCACGTTCTCCGTCACTCTCAGACGTCCTGTAGCTTACCTGCTGACCTACCCAGATCCTCCAAACTCTGCGTGAAGAACACGACAAAGTACTAGGCTCTAACCCAGCGGCCGCAGCCTCCCGACTCGCGGTAGAGCCTCGCATCATAAACAACCTACCCTACACCCTTGCCGTGATCAAAGAAGTGCTACGGCTCTTCCCACCTGCTGGCACTACGCGTGCGGGCAAGCCTGGTGTCAGCGTTACAGACGACGCCGGAAACGCGCTTCCCACCGATGACGCCATCCTCTGGATTCTGCACGTGGAAATGCACAACTCGCCGAATTACTGGGTCCGAGCTGACGAGTTCTTGCCAGAACGCTGGTTGGCGTCACCGGATGATGAACTGTACCCTGCGCCTGGTGCGTGGCGGCCCTTTGAGCTGGGGCCGAGGAACTGTATTGGTCAAGCGTTGGTGTTGATTGAGCTGAGGGTCATACTTGCTTGCCTGGTTAGGGAGTTCGATATTGTGCCGGCGTACGATGAGTGGGATAGGCGGCATCCGACGGAAGGAGTGAAGTTGCTCCGTGGGAATCGTGCGTATCAGGTAGAGCAAGGGGCAGCTCATCCTGTAAATGGGTATCCTTGTTGGGTCACGATAGCTGAGAGGTGATGTGTTTGTGGAGCGCGAGTGGAGAGGATGGGTTATAAGTGTGATTTAGCTTTCGGCGTCGTTCGTATTCCAAAAGGGCGGCGGTGGGGCTGAGCACACTACAAGACCACAACACTTCCGCATGGTGAACAATGGAGCACAACCAACCAAACAAATCACATAAGACTTGATTCAAGCGCTCATTTACGACACGCAACGGCTGACAAATACAATTCGTGATAGCGAGCATGCAGAAACAACGCCCTTGTGACATCGAATACCAAACTAACAACCAAATCGCCACGCAACCCACCTCCCAACCCGCCATCCGCGAAATCCGCGCATCCTACAACACGGAATCCATCACCGTCTACCAAGCCTACAACTCGACCATCGCCTCCGCAGCAGTCACTGCCCAGAAACTATCTGCCTCTCCGCTGTACAAGCCTGGCCGCACAACATGGATCAAGCCCTCATGGTGCTGGATGATGTACCGCAGCGGCTACTCGTACAAAGACGCTAACCAATCGTGCATCCTCGCGCTCAAAATGAAGCACGAGCATTTCGCAACGCTGTTGAGGAGTGCCCTCGTCGCGGGTGATCCGCGTGCCGCTAAAGAGGGCGGCGCGACTGTTGTGCAGTGGGATCCCGAGCGGGGGGCGAGACTGGAGAAGTTGGGGTGGAGGAGTATTCAGATTGGGATTAGGGGCGAGGTAAGGGAGAGGTGGATTGAGGAGTGGATTGGGAGTATTGAGGATGTTACTGAGGTTGCGAGGGGGATGAAAAAGAAGGTGGATGAGGATGCAGATGTTGGGGTTAAGGAGCTTGTTAGGACGGGGCTCGTGCCGGAGGAGAGGTTGTATGCTGTTGAGAGGGGGATTGTGGAGAGGCTTGGGATGAGTGGGTAGGGTTGGCGATGGGTTTAGTGAGCCGCGAAGGTGGTGCACGGAATCTTGTATACCTTTGGTAGTATCTGCGATGTTGTTGTACAGAAGTAGCATACACGCACGAACTCGCTTATAGGAAATTGGAACGAAAAAGTGTGGAAACAGATGAACGAAGGTTAAAGCGCGATATCATAGACCATTGAATATAGTTTGACCGCACTCGAGAGCCTAAGGCCTCATTGCATGCCGAACAATTACTCCAAAATGGTGTCGAATGTCCAAAATCTGGCATGGGGTGATGATAATCACATCTGAGTCCGAATGCAGCAAAGATTAGCCAGTACCTTCTATGACAATGGCCTTGAGGTCTATTAGTGACCCATTTGCGGACCAAGCTCCAAGAAGGCACATGAAACTCGTTCGCGCCACCTTTGAGTGTATGCAACTATCCTGTGGTAGTGTAAAGAGAACAGACAGATCGCAGCGAAGTACCTTTATATACCAACGCACCGTGTGAGCGTCCATGAGAGGACGCCAAAAGCCACTGTATGCGCCAACAGAAAAGTTACGCGGAATTTATAATACAAGTGGGCGACGATGATCTTCATCATCAAGGAAGCATAAGGTTCGTTCAAGACATGTAGGTGCGAAAGTGAGCTTTCAAAGGCCCAGGCCCGAGCCCCGCAGACATAAGCGCTGCTTCCACGCAGCTTTGATCCAGCGCTTCAGCGCAACAGCGCATGCGCCATTCTGATGATTTTTTTGGTCTCCGTGCCACAGGTGGAGGTTGTGTGAAGAGAAGACGGAAAGGATACAGAAGCGTTTTTTTATACCTGTGGTTCGATCGGTCGTACATGAGATGCACGCTCAGCGATTTCATGTCCATGTGGTGAGTGCACCAGCAGATATCGTGGGCAGACTGGGAAATGCGAGAAAATGGACCTCATGGCTCAAGACTACGGCGAAGATTTCGTGATCTAGTACGATAGTGATGCTTGTCGTCACCATCAAGCTAGTTGCATGGCTGTGATATTCCCTCAACTCATGAATCACGCTCCATTAAGAAATGGGCGAGGTCGTTTTGAATGTAGGGTTTCGGGGTCGTCTCTTTTGAGAGGCTGACACCAGAATCTCCGCAGCACTTCAAGAGAAATTTTCATCCGCCTTTCAGCGTCCGCAAGACTGCCACATGGCTCGCTCTTGATGTTTGTTTAGCAACTCAAACTGTTAAAACTGTGGAAAGAAGATCTTTCGCCGGAAAACCCAGGCCTTTCATAGACTGTCAGACCGCACGGTCCAGAGGGGTTATCTTTGAAGAGGCTGATTCAAGAATCTCCGCAGCACTTCATAATAGGCTTGCACTTGTATTTTTAGCGTCCACCAGAGCGCCACATGCATCGGTATGGCTGTCGTTTTAGCAACTCCAGGCTATTGGTATCGTGTGAAGGACATCTTTCACAGAAAACCCCAGGATTTTTAGAGACTGCCAGACCATGCAGTTCGTAGTGGTCCCTTAAGAGGCTAACACAGTAATCTCCGCAGCACAGCACTCCATGTATTGTCCATGATCGAATTTTAAGCGTCCACCAGACCGCCACATGGTGGTAGTCCTTATCATTTGTTGGCGACCACCAGACCCCCACATTGCAGAGCTGCTGAATTGTTCTAGTAACTCAAACTAGTAGAATCCCGTAAAGAACATCCTTCGCAGAAATTTCGAGGTCTTTTACACACGTTCAGACAGCGCTATACTGCATCGAGACTTTGCAGCAATAGGGCATCAGATAGGTTTGCGATAAGATGAGCATGATTTCCACCATTACTCATCAATGATAAGCACGGTATCAAAAGATCATGAAATTCTCCATGCTTTCCGCGGAGGTACTTGTAACAAGCTACTCCATACCCACCCCCATACGAGGGGATGTTGAAGTTTCGAGTGCGGCGCGGGCTTCCGGAGCACATGCCTCCAGGGTGTGGGCGTTTTAGTGCTCACGAAAGCCACATTGAGTAGCAATTCGTCCACTTTTAGTGTCCAGTCTTGGAAGTTGTGGTGTGAAGAAGAAAGGTTTCGGAGTCAGAGAGTGGGTTTTTATAGACGCGTTGGTGGATGGATACCACTTCGGATGGTTTGACCGTGTGGATACAAGCACTGAAGATGTTCTCAGTCGGAAGAGTTAATTGATTGGTTAGTTCTCAGCTAGTGGGCCATGTGAGCGGTTCGTTGGCACATCGATGTGTGAGGTTGAAGTAGTATGGTCATGAACAACTTAATCGTCCTTGAGAGGCAACGGATATGACTAGCACCATCAGTGCATGGTGTTAAGAAACCGCGCAAAATTGGTGGAGACCGCAGCATTGCACACTTCGGAATACTCTCAGTTAGCTCGGCTGCGCCAGGCATCCCATGAGAAGGTGGTCTAAGCCTTTCAAAGTGCCGCAACCTTCCAAACCCCATAGCGCTGAGGGGACGGGGTTTTCGGAGTTCACGAGACGACACACATGGGGTGGTTCAAAATCGCTTTTCATTCCCAGCAAGACACATGAGAGCGTGAAGAAGAGAACGACCTGGCGTCGGAAAATGGGTTTATATAGGCGCATGATCTCCATCGTCTGTTGGTGGTAGAAAGGTCCGTCAAACATGATTTTCCAGGGAAGATGCTTCGAGTTACACCATTGTCACTCGTTTCAAGCTTCCATGGCAGTTGAGCTTTGTTGTTTTGGAGAGCAAAAAACGTCCAGACCACATATACGTCTTGTTCGTCCGATTTTAAAGCTCACCGAAACGCAACATACTTGCGGACTTGCACGGTTTTAGTCTCCAATCTTGGAGGTTGCGGTGTGAAGAAGGAAAGATGCTGGTAGATTGACGTGGTTTATATAGACAAATCTGCTTTCTGGACTATTCCGGATAGGGTGGGGATTCGGGCTATGCTATTTGAGGGATTGTTGGACCGGCGCTTACCTCCTGTAGGAAATGTCTCAAGAAGCACTCCATAGATAGTGTCACTTGGAAAAGAACGAGATGAGCGACGCGATTTGATTGGAGTAGATTCTACGTGGATATAAAAGTTTATTGCTGGAACTGTCGTAGTGATGAGGCTGTGGGTGTGTGTGAATCATAATTAGCAGATTAAACGCACTTTGAGCTCGCAAGTTCAAGCGGGAAGTCGTTGAGGAAGACCCGCAAGCTGGTGTTGTGTATGTCTTGATTGACTCTGTGTATTTAGGTCGGCTTGTGCTTGCAATTTATTGTTTTCTCGAGGTAGAAGGGCGGTCCCTCCTTTGACTGACCTGATCGCTTTTTGCGAACATCTTGTCAGCATGTTCGATGCTCACACGCCACATCCAATGATCCTATTGAACGCACTGCTTGGACTGTAGCCGTGTTCGCGTAGCATCGTAAGTCCGTCAGACGCACACTGTAGCGGTGTCTACTCCCCAGTCTTGACCCAGCGGAAGCGCACCGTGCACCTCGAACGTGTTTGAGTAAAGACACGACCCCAAACGAAGGCTGGTACGCTTCACCGAAATTTGCACGTTGTACGTCAAGTGCGGAAATGTGTGCTGCAAGCGCTGCTGTAGTGGCATCAGGGACGGACATTGGTAGCACATGTGCATCCGGAGTTTGAGTTTCCTGATAGCCGAAGTGTCTGCTGAACGAAAACGATTGACCAGATGCAGTTGTTTACACGCCAGGCATGCGTGCCGGCAGGTGGATCCATTGATGGCTGTGAACCAGTCCATCTCTGTGCATGGACAAGGTTCGTAGAATGTCTTATTGCGGCAGCGCTCCGCAGCTTTGACAACTGGCTGATATCGGTCAGGGTCCAGAAAGACGGTATCGACACCAGGATTGGAGAAGAGAATGAGGGACGGCAGTTCGTTTTGGAACCGGATTTTTATAGGTGTAAACACCTTCAAGGCTTCGTGACGAGCTTCGCGGTTGACGTGAAGAAGGGTAGGTGGAGGTTCTTTGGTCATGTAGGCAGGGACTTGAAGTTGCTTGACGATCGCTGGGCGGGAGGTTATTACGTCGGCCAGGGCATGATTCCAAATCTTGATGCGAAGCTCGGGAGGAAGTCTTTGGAATATGGGGAACATGTCGAACCGAAGGGACTCACCATCGCTGGCGGTGCCATGACCTGGTAGACTTAGACTCGGTACGTCTGTTCGAGGTCTCTTGAAGCTTCTGGTGGAGGACATCTTGTGTGCTTATTAGCGTTGAAAAGAGCGTACACTAGATATGGGAGGTGTAGATGATCTGTTATTCAGGAAAGGGGTGAAGAAGACTTACATGTTAAAAAAGGATCACCTTACCTTGGTGGAAATAATCTCAACACCCATAGTACTAGCAAAGGAATATCCGGATCCACGATTCTCCTAAGTCGTGATGACTATGAAGTGGAGCATCACACGTGCGGTTCGAGCCAAAGTAGGAAGGGCTGACATGTTTGTATTGTAGCCAGGATTGTATCTCTCTTGGTGAAACATCGTGACAACGTAGACTCAATGTTTGATCACGGACCATTGCAGCTTCTGGAGGGCGCCACATCTTGTGCCGCAGAGAACGCCGATTAAAACGAGCTCACGTAGGCTGAAAGACATTTCGTTGCGTTCCTCCCCTTTTTTGGGTAGTCGTTAGCAAACAAACCAAAAAAGAGATCGACTCAACTAGAAGCCTCTCGAAGGCCTGCACATTCGGGAGCCATGGTACCGGATATGGAACTACACATCGCTTGTACAATACGCACTGCCAAACCAAGTGAGCCGGCTTCTTCATTGTGAAAGGAACAATGAACGAAGATCCATCATAGCAGGATCTCGGTCCTACAGGAGCGTTTCAGTCGTAGTCGTAGATTTTCTGGATGCAGGCTTGCTTTGCCACCGGGAGCGTTGACAAGAACATTTATATGAGACCACATCAAAAAAGGAATTCGATTAAGTAGTTCGACCAAGGTCAGCAGTACTCGGATAAAGGGCCGTTTCGTGGGGGGGTGACGCGAGCCATGGTACTGCCAGGGAATGGCAGGTTCATCGCCCACTCTTACCTTATAAGCTATCGAAGGAAAAATCTTTGAATTCAATTTTCACTTTCACCCTGGACGAGCTTTTCGTAAGAAGACACTGGTGATAGGATCGGCTCAGTTGTGAAGGCACCAATACCACGTGACCATGCCGACTGTCACGGACCTTTCTCGCTTCACCTGTGATGACGCACCCTACTTACGCCAATAGCGCTTAATGTTATCGCAGCTCACTTCTTCATCACTGAGGACTACATGATTGGCAACGACCCTACCGGTAACGCTTGGCAATACTTGGTAGACCGCCTGCTGCCAGTCATAGAAGATCGCGATGCTCATGATGCGTCTGCCCTAATCTAAATCCAAGACATTGTGCGCCTATCAGCCTTCTAGGATCCTTCTTTTCCCTTCTTCCCAGTAGCATTTTAATATTATCGTTAACCATGTGAGATTGCCTTGCAGCCTTACTTCACCGGACTCGCAGCTTTCCCCCGCACCTGTACTCCCATGACGCTTCACACCAACAGTTCTTTCTCATAACAAATATTGCTTGAACTGTACACAATTTTCATCCCACTCAAACCCAATAATATAAGTCAAGAACAACTCGCTCACTGGTGCCCGGCTACCATCAACGACCCAACGACCTCAGCTTCTTTTACCCCGCTCGCGTGCATCTGTTGACGCAGCCGCAGCTCATTTCTTCAGAGACACAACCCTCTGCTTCCCTCCAACCGCCTCTCCAACCGCCTCCGCGATAAGCCTATTCAACTCCGTTGCATACTCGCGCTGGTTCCGCCAATATCTTCCCGAAGCCTGCAAAAACACCAAGTCTCGCAGTAAGACCACGCACCGTCACGTGGATGTCACTCGACCATGTCCGATGATATCAGCGAACCATTTTCGGAGGACTATATTGAGTCTCTTGCTTCCACGCTTTGCAAAGAGTGTGATCGACTCCTTCAACATGCTGCGTCCATGCGCGAGGACCCTGCCGTCGAAGAACTGAAACTAGAACGACTTTGGGGCGAAATCCGGCAAAGTGCTAAGCAGTGCCGTTTGTGCCGGTATTCTTTACGTACGAGGATTCACTCTCGATGGGCAGACGAAGACAGCATCACGATTTCAATGTCTCCAGAAGACTACAACCAATCAATCTCCAGTGGGAAGGTCTGTTATCAGTTATCGGTCTTTTCGAAATTGAGTGGCGGAGGAAGTAGATCAGTTCCATTCTATCCGGTTCGTGAAAAGAAATCGCCAACACCACAATTTCTGACAGATTATGAATATGCTCCAAGAACAGACGCCCCTTCGGTCGCTCAATTAGTCAGACGATGGTATAACCAGTGTATCTCTAAACATACGCAATGTGATCATCCTGAAAATAAGTACCAACCACCCAGACTTCTGGAGGTTAAAAGTGGTAGCTTTCGTTTGGTCATTCCAAATGAGCCTGGATTAAGTTACCTTTACGCAACGCTCAGCCACTGCTGGGGATCTAACAGTCACTTCCTCAAGCTCTCATCAAGCAATATCGACGCTCTTATGCAGTGGACCCCAGTAGAGAACCTTCCAACGTCTTTTCAGGATGCTGTACGTCTCTGTTATCGCATAGGTATCCACTACCTGTGGATTGATAGCCTCTGTATAATTCAAGAGGGAAGGGGCAGTGAAACAGACTGGTCAGATCATGTTTCCAGGATGTCCGCAATTTATTCAAATGGGGCTCTTAATATCGCTGCCAGTTGTTCTTCCGGACCATGGGACGGTTTACACACCTTACGAGATCCGGGGATGGTTAAACCCGCCATTATAAGAGGCGGACATGGCTACGGTCTATCTGAAGATATTTACTGGATCGGAGGTGAGGAAAGTATCACCGCAGGTGTGTTGTTTTCACCTTTGAATCTCCGTGGCTGGGTGTTCCAGGAGCGGCTACTTTCCCCTCTGGTTGTTCATTTCGAATCAGAGCAAGTATTCTGGGAATGCAACAGTGGAGAAATGTGCGAAACATATCCATGCGGCGGAAATTCACACAAGTCGCGCTATTCAAGTCTAACTGAATTCACCCTTCCGACTAAAACAAGTCAATGCGGAAATATTATCGAAAAGTATTCTCGATGCAAGCTTTCGTTCCCAGATAAGGGTGAGTTATAACCTCATCATCATGTTTCCAAATCTAATTAGAGATATTCTCAGATAAGCTTGCTGCCTTCGCTGGAGTTGCCCGAAAAGTCTCGCAATATTATGATGACAAATATTATGCCGGCCTGTTTCAGAGCAGCCTTCCCAGAGATCTGTTTTGGTATAATGCCAATAAAATTGACAAGGTCACCGAGGTGAATGAAAAACGACCAAATACTGGTATTCTACTCGATGATCGACATGGCTGCCCATCTTGGAGCTGGGCCAAGATAGATGCACCAATCTGCTATTACACACCCTCTGGACCGCATCTTATGACAATACGAGATGTGCAGATAATGCTTGTGGATTCAAGCAGTCACTATGGCCCTGTAAGTGGTGGGTATGTGCTTCTACGAGGATTTCTGCTAGATTGGGACTGGGACGTGATAGCTGGAACAGAACCTCCAAACTGCCATTTTGATACAGAGATTGTAGCTTGCATAGACCCGCAGGATCTCAGGATCCTTCCATTCGGGTTCGTCCTAACAAATAATTCCCCTGCCAAAAGCATTATTATGGTTTCTCTCATTCTACAAAAGCTGGATGGGAAGCCTCGAGAAGAATACAACAGAGTTGGGTTGCTGAGGTTTACTTGGGTTACAAGAGATAGAAGCCCTCTCGCCAAGTCAGAAGAAGGGGATGATGATCCAAAAGCAAACACATGGCTGTTAAAAGCTAGCGAGGAGTTTCAGGAAGAGTGGGATGCAGGAGTATACAAGCATGACAAAGTTTATATCGATGATGCATGGAGGTCAAAGGTGGTCAGTGCGTTTCAGGAAGAGTTCAGAGCAAGAGGAAAAGGAGAGCAGGACATTTGCATAGTCTAGCGATATGAGTCCGCAAGCCGGGGTCTCATCAATCACGACTTCATTCCCAGTACAATTTCAACAACCTGTCCTAATTGAATCTTCTTTCGTGAGAAGCATACCACACATTCAATGAAACGCCGTATCGAACATCGTGGAAAAGTTTTCCAATCAAGCTCTCTGTTGGGCTAAATCTTTATGGGCCGATTAGAACCGGTGATAGTAACACCAAGGAAATATACCACTCTAGGCGTAGGTCTATAGAATGGCTTAATTAGTCTTTTAAAGACGTTTATACGGTAAGTCGCTTACCCTAAATCTTTTGACAGTACTAGCTAGCTTCCGACATTGCTGGCGTGTGCTGGCTGTGAATTTCTGGTGACTTTTGGACCTCGGCAGCAGCTAGGCTCGAACGGCCGCAGCACCACCACTACCAAATGTTTCACCGGCGCAACTGCCCTCTGTCTAATTGCCCAAGTTCGGCGCTTGCCACGCAACAGGCCAAGGGGAGGGTGACGGGAGGTATACCCGGAGTACGGGAGCGACGTCGTCGGCTGTGGTTATCTGTGCAGCTCGAACTTGCTCGCCCCGAATTGGAATCACTTGCACCATGTCATAACAGACACTGAACATCGCTCTCAGATTCTTCACCTCTTCTCCATGATGCTCTTCAGGTCCTTCACAAGACTCAGTTGCGCCGTCCGCCTTCGCGCAAGCCTTATATCTGTCCAGTGCTTCAAGAAACAGGGGTATATTACCTTTCCGCCATCCACATGTGCCGATTGCGCTTGCGCCCGCGCCCTCGCCCTCGTGAATCGGCGGGCCTATGGAAATGGTGCTAGCGGACCTAGGCTTTTCGGTTGGCTCTTGTAGAGGTGTTGAAACTTGTTTCTGTTGTCATTTAGTCGAAAGAGGGTGTCTTGACAAACCCTGGCTGTTCTGATCCCTTAGCGTTTAATTGCCCTGCCATACTGTGGGTAGCTATAGCTGGGTCTGGGTCGGTTACGGTAGGGTCTAATATGCAGATCAGAATAGAAGGATTATTAAGCACATTATAACATTTTTGTGCAATTGTTAGTGCAGAAGCGCCTTTGGTGCAAGATCATGTCTACGAGAGCGCTACAGTACTGTAATAATTTGCAGACTTGGGCCTTTGTAATTGGTATGAATTTGCAAACAGGCCACGGCTTGCCTCAATGACACACCCTGTGGACATCCAGTGTATACCTCATGAAATGTTCTTTCCCATGCAAACAAGAAGGGTGACGGCAATGGAGATTGCATCTGCTGAAAGGAAGGATGCTGAGCTGAGGCTTGGCCGGAACCACCTCGGGACCATAGAACGGCTCATCAGTTGTTACGGTGCCGTTACTTTGAAGATGTTGATTATCGCCATAGTGACGATGGCGATGGCGATGATGACTATTATGATATCGACGATGATAGTGACTATTGGAGAAGAGCGGGAGATTGAATAGACTGACATCACATTATCAGTGCTTTGCGCAAAGAATGTGCCACCTTCTATAGCGCTAGAATAAGAAATTTATAAGTTTTTAGCTAATATAGTTACTATAAGGAGTAAATTATTAGCTTATCTACTATAGTATACTTATTTTAATAGTTTAATACTCTATTTTAGGCTCTACTGTACCTAAAAGATAAATTTAATAAAATCTAGCTAATATTTTACTCCTTATAGTTACTATATTAGTTGAACTTCTAATTCTAGCGCTGTGGGAGGTGGCACATTCTTTTTGAAAATGATAATAATAGGCTTGATAACGCTAGGGAGCACATCCAAGCAGTTGCGCTTGACATGGTGTTGGATTTGCGAGGTAGTAGGCACTGCCTGGTGCGCAATGGACCCGTCTCTGAGCTGGAAGCTCCTGTGCAAGAACATGCACGACCAGAAAACAGACAGCAATACAATCGTTCATCACAACCTCCGATCGACACTGTTTACGCTGTTACATTTTGACTATTACAACCAAATAGCGCGGCGTACATAACACCTCAGGCCGTCATTAATGAACTTTGAGATTCTCAGCCCGAATACTTCACTAGCAGCGACGTCCGTGAGACTCGTGTCTTTGGCTCCTACTACCCCGAGACGTCCGACCGCTCCTACAGTCAGGTTGCCCAGGCTGTCACCCGTCTCTACGGCGCCGGTGTCCGCCAGCTCAACAAGCGCGGCGAGCCCGTTGACGAGAAGACCGGCCAGTATCTTGGCCGCCCTATGAAGGAAGGTGACTACCACCACGATCTCGACATCACCGCCGACAAGTTCGCCATGGATGGATCCTGCACCGTTCACTGCTTCATTGGCAGCTCTGGCAACAGCACCTCCAACTCCCCGCCCCGTAAGTACTACCCTCGATACCATACACATTGATTGAATTCAACGCGAGCCAAGTTGATTGGCGTGTTCTATCTGCAACGAGATGACGTCTCGCTTCGCCGAGCGCGCACGCAGGCAGCCATTGCAGCAGGATTCGGGCGGACTGAGGTATGTTTCCGAAGCTCATTTTGCCTGGAGGTGCCTACATGTTATAGAGCCTCGATTCCGCGATGCGTGGATCGGGCGCAAACTATAGTTCAATTGTGTACAGACACCGACGCTGGGTCGAAAGTTTCGCTCAGAGCTGGCTGAGTGATCATATTGAGGCATTTGAGGACGAGATCCTTAGACAGCAGCCAGCCAATGCAGAGTCTTTATTGAACACGCTCTCGGACCTCAAGAACAAGATCAGCGACATGACGATTCCGGAGGACTGAGTGGTCCTCGTCTCCAGAAAGAGTGTTATAGCCAGCACAATGTTCGCTCAACCATGCGTTATGCTCCGCGCACTTCTCTCCTCATTGCAAAACTTCTCGTGCCCAAGACTCCATTACTGAGTCGTAACACTCCCTGAAAGACGTTAAGCCCGCCATAGCAGGGGTGTTACCAATGGAATCACGTGCCCATGACTGCCATGTAACAATATACGCTAATTTCTGGTCCAATATAAGTACCTCTCCGCTCCCCCTTGAACTACTTCTCCACCACTAACTCCTCCCCACCATATTTCCACCCCCCCGAACGCACCGACACCAAACCGTATGTTGAGATGTCTCCGACGATACAGTGCTCTGCACGCAAGATATCCAAGGAGTAATTTACTAGAAACCACTTTTACTTCCAGCTTCCACAATCGCGCTTTCACCTCTCACTCCACACCCGCCAAGAACCCAACTTTCACTCGCTCATCCACGATGTCGTCCAACGCCACCGCGCAAGGAGAAACCGCACCACCACGCCTACCACTCCCCGGCAACCCCCTTGGCACCATCCGCGCCTCCCTGCACTCCCACCATCTCCCCAAATGGGGCCTCCTAATTTATTGCTGCGACTATCGCTGCGACGCCACCTGGGACTCCTTCATGGCCACACTGCACTGGAACGTGACCGACGCGCTCTCGCTCCTCAAAGCCACTGATCTCGCGGCCTCGCTGGACATGCGCGTCTGGTCCGATCAATCAGCGCTCGACGGCGCAAGCGTAGACCGCGTGCGCGACGCGTTCAAAGCGTGGGTTGATAGCACGGAAGCGAAAGAGGAAACGAAAGATGCGCCGCTTGACTGGGGTGGCGCGGATTATCCAAGATATACGTACTGCGTGCATGTTGATGCTGATGCGGTGGATTCGGTTGTGAGGAGGGCGCCGCAGCCGCAGAGGTTTGATGGGGAGAAGGTGGGGTATGTTAATCTTGTGAGGCTTGATATGAGAGAGATCACAGATGGTGGTGAGGATAGAGAGGAGGAGGAGGAGGAGGAGGATAATGGTGGGAAGGGGAATGTTGTCAGGGCTCCTGTGTCCAGGCTTTTTGGTCCGGAGACGTATGGGGAACTGTATGATCTAGCGGCGTTTGATCGGATGAGGAGGGATTGAAGATGTGGTTATGCTGTGTAAAGCCTGATAAATTGTTCCTTTCGGCTATATTAGTGAGCTTCCTCGAAGCTTAGCTTAGATTTCGTTGACCCTTGGTCGCTCAATATCTACCTTTCCCCTGGTGCCTCTCGTAATTCTACGTAAGCAGACGCAGTGTGAACGCCAATGCCCATGCCGATGCTCCAAATCCTTATTATCATCCCTTGTAAAGGCTCCAAGCCGTTGCCGATCTAATTCAATTCGTCTAGTCGTTATCGCCATCTAATGACATCTATCTCTTTCCCTTCTTCTTTCCCTTTGCACCAGACACGCTCTTCAATGCAGCGTGCTTCGGATTGTCCTGCAAATGCTGATGCAGTCGCGATTTGGATGGGAAAGCAGCATCGCAGCCTAGACACTTATCGTTGAGACCTCCATCTTCGCTTTGGGCATCGGCTTGCTTTGCTGCACGCTTTGCCCGCTTCTGGGCAGTTTTGCCTAGCTTTGGTACTTGTGCGGATGCGTCCTCCCATACTCAATCCAAGCTTTTTTCGTGCTATTATAGTACCGTTAAGTTGAAGCTATAACTGGACGCACTTCTTGGCAGTATCTTTGCTGGCGTAGCTGCGTTACACTGGTCCCACAGGATACGGCTAACAAAGCTCTTCGACTTAGAGCCATATTGACTAGAGTAAAGATACAGAAGGTACCGAAGATCGAGGAGAGACCAGTAAAGGATCGAAATTAGGTGCGGACGGGCAGTTACCTCCCCTGCTTTCGCCTTGCTTTCCTTCCTAGTCTACGGCGGCTGAGCTGATAGCTTTGCAACCACTTATCATCCCTAGGCTTATTTGCCTCACTTCGTCGAAACCCGAATATGAAATTACTTAGCATTTACCAGGGGTTGTTAAATCGAAAGGTGAAAGTCAAAAACGGAAACATACTTAACAAAATACGGTTGTAAAATCTAGGCTGGAAAAGTATCAAGGCGCTGGGCTAGTCACGAGCGCCCACAGGCCTATAGGCTGGCCCTATGGTACACTCCAACAAGAGCTTCATAAAAGTGCGATGGACTCCAACAAGAGTCTCATACTTATCTTCTTGAAGTGTACCTGAGCTCTAGCATTCAGGCACTAGTCGTTCTCGCCTGCATTGCACAGCGTGGAGCTGGGAGCGACTTCAGTCTCCTTCGGGGGCCTGATCGGGGCAATTTTTGCTGGTCGAACACACCTTTTCATTGTTGCTGAGCCGATGGCGAGGCACGAGGAAGAGTTCTGCGTGCTATGCCTTCAACACACATCTTACGTGATCCTGATCACTTGACGGCGGTTCGTAGAAAGAATAACGAGGGTATGCCGAAAGAGCGTATGCGCGTGTCGCGTGTCCTAGCCAATGTGAGTTGTGTGTAGCTTCGCATAGCTGCCGTCCAGGCTGAGAGGTTTCTTTATTGCTATCTGCCATTTATACGTGCCAGTGTCTAGTATTATCGGGACCAGCTGAAGTTCTTACACGTTCGTGACGCCGGTCGTCGCGTCTACCTATTTCACCTGCAGCTGCTACGCGTTCATATCTGTCCACATGTACGAAGCCCTGCCGTGTGCCTCCCCCAAGACTGGCAACAGCCTCTCGATGCTCTATTCTAGGGCTGATGCCCAATGCTACGCTGCGCCGCCGCGACAGTGACCTGGCGTCGCTGTGATGGCCCGCGTACTACCTCCGCTGTAACCCTGGGAAGCTCTTCGACGCCGACGGAAGCCTGGCTTTCTACGGAGGTAGATTGTGATTGAATCTCCTCGCGATGGCCGATGTAGTTGTGCTCAAGTCTTTGGACGACCGCCCACTCACTCCAGTACCGTGTTGCCTTCAATTTCCTGAATGTCCGTCTCGTAGTGGATCTCAGGATGTGCATTCCACGTCTGGCCTCGTCAACTGCTTGCCTAAACGAGAGGGCAAGAACTTGTTCAAGGAGTTCTTGCGCTCTTCGCATCCTCGCCCCCAAGCTGCTTGCCCTCTACCTGCTCTCCATCTGTTCCGCCTAGTCCTTCAACGTCCGCCTCACTTGTCCCTTCGGCACCGCCCTCCTTCCCCTCCGCCAACGCTCTATACTTCCTCCTCTTCTTCTTATCCGCACTACTTTTCTTCTTACTAGCCTCCCTCGCCTTAATCGCCGTCCTCGCCTGATCCCCCAGCTCAAGCTCTTCAATCCTCTCCCCCAGTATCTTCCGTGCGTTCTTGCGGTTCAGGCTCCGGGAGCGCGTGTCCTGGTACTTCACGACGATGCCCGTCGGCAGGTGCTTGAGCTGCACGGCGGAAGAGGTCTTGTTGATCTTCTGGCCGCCCGGGCCGCTGCCTTTGAGGAAGTTCTCTTCGATTTCGGAGTCGAGGATTACACGGCGGGGTGGGAGCTGTTTTGCGAAGAGGATGGGGGCGGTCGTGAAGGGCCGGATGGAGGTAAGGAAGCGGAGGGCGAGGCGTGGGAGGGTTGTTGGAAGGGCCATTGGGAGGTGGTTAGGGTTGGAGACGGTATGGAGAGGATTTCATGGTAGCATTATGCGTAGAGAGGTCATATGTAGCTTGTCTGCGAGAATTGCATCTTTCGCCATCGCCATATGCCGCTGGCGAGTCGCTGGCGTTTCGTTCGGAGCGATGGCGCCAGGAACCCCCGATTCGGAGCAGGCTAATTTCTCCGGCTCCTCCGCACGCCGTCGCCCGTTGGCCCCTTCATCATTCCACCAGCTGCTCGCGCCGCGAAAACAAATCTTCCACGCCCCATTGCTCCAGAATTAAGACTGGAGACGTACTACCCATACTACCCGAAGTCCATTGGAGCATGCTAGACTCTGCCTCCGCGTCCACCATCGTCCTCCTCTCCGCCGCCTCCGCGCTCCTCCTCGCCGCAATGCTATACCCAACCTCACTCCTCCGCTGGCTCCAGCGCAAGCGGTACCAATACGAAGTCACATTCTCCCTGTACATGTTGACGTCAACCGAGAAGTTTATTCTGAGTACGTCTCGCACCCTTATTTCCCATCCCTTCTCCCAGACACGCGAGCCGGATCGGCCTCGGGTGGAAACAACCAACTGTTGTGGAACAAGATGTATAGATGGAAAGCTGACTGGGACATACAGATTCCCTCCTCTTCCTCCTCCTCTCGCTCTTCATAATAGCCGCCTCGCTCTACCTCCCCGAGCACATCGCCTTCATGGCGAACCGCATGTTCTACTACTTCTCGGGCGACTCGTCGCACTTTACCTCGCAAGCAGCGCCGAAGCACGAGTTCGCGACGGCCGCAGTCACACAATTGCTTAGTAACAACGAGGCGTTACGAGGAGGGCCGGCGGCGGGACATGGGCATGAGTTGTAGTCATGGGAGTTGTTGGGTTATGCATTTCAGGAAAGGCAGAGGATAGAAGGAGTGCTATCCGGTGTGAAAGAGGCGTGTCCGTCCGTGGTCACGGCGACTGCATGTCCCGATACGTGGAGACATTTGAAGCCGAAGCCGTGCGAAAACACGGCAGTAGCATTGAAGCGGGCGCTTGGAGTGCTCCCACATACGTGAGCGTGGATACCCTTGCACCCGATACACCACAAGGGCGTTATCACACCCGCAAGAAAGGCGTTGGGCCATTCGGACCGTTGTTGTATCACAAAATACCTGCCTCATAAGGCACATTACTTAATGTTAATGATTCACCACCATGTAACCACCATGCACATTGCCCGCCTGTCCACGTCCCCCTGGCCGAGGCTGCAATGCCGCTGCATGTGCATGTATGTGCATATACACGTGCATGGACATCGTGTTGGCCAGCGCGCAGATGGAAGCATTCTGGAAACCTACTAGAAGGCGGCTAAAGAAGGGCCTGCCCTGCTTCGTTCGCTTGGGGCCTTGTTTCATGCGACCTAACATCATCTATATGAAATCGATACCTTGAAGAAAGGCTGGGACCAGGTTTTCGGGCGGCCAGACGGCATAATTCGATGGCGGGCGTGTCGGGCTAGATGGGTGCGGACATCAGCGGTGGTAGGTATCTGCGTCACAGCACGATGAGCAGGCCTCTGCAGGATCGGAGATGTACGGGGAAAAGATCTTGTATATGGTACGGGGATAAGAATATCTTGTATATGTATGCTGCACGGCATAGTGCTGCGGGAAATGTATCGTACAAAATGTTCGAATATGCACAGGGCAAGTAATCGGACCGCCATAGTGAGACAACAGAATCAAGTAAGAAGTGAAGCGCGACGTAACAAAATACAGCGAACTGTAACAATATCTAAAAAAAGTAATACCGGGTACTCGAGTCCATCGAGGAAAGTCAAGCAAACTCGTCAATAGCTGGAGGAAGAAATTCCCATGGTGTCAACCGTATACAACCTAGGATCTTGGAAGTGAAGGCTGGGCGTCATCACTTCTCAAACAGCACACGCACAGCGTTGGTAAGAGCGGCCGTCGAGTAGTCATTGAGCGTGACTAGAGTAGGGAAGTCCTTCAAACCATACTCATGTGTTTGCCTCGCCGTGCCATTTGACACAAGTAGAACGACCACAGGCACACCGGCTAGGGATTTGGTTTCCGCTACCCTCTTCATCACGTCCTGCGCGAATCGAGTCTGCCGCTCATAGGCCTTTGGATCGTAACTGAGAACGTTCTGCGAGGAACATATCACAACGACGATGGCTCCACTAGCAGGCAGAAAATCGGCATGTGTCTCGGTCATGCCGTGGTCGAGACGGTAAGGCACGTGACGCACCTGTCGTGGAAATGCTCGTCCCAAAGGTTCGAAAGGGTCCATATCTCTTGCCAAAGATGTACTAGGGGGATGAGGTACGAAGGGCGTAAACATCGTGATAACTTCCGCTTCGTTGAGATGTCGCAATCTGGTGACTGCGTGCGATGAGTCCCGGACGAGTGTTGGGTCCCCTGCCGTGGGAGCACTTTGGAGAAGTGCGGTGAGATTTGATGTTCTAGGTGCGGGCGAAGGCATCTTGCGGTGGTGTTTCGGATGTAGATGTGGTGATGGCAAGTAAGTTCTGATCCTGCAATCGCCCATTATGGTCTTGGAACTAGTGCTTTTATGGTTGGTGGTGTAGTGGGCCTAAAACGTTCCCTTCGGTGATAGCGCGACGTTTTGGGAAGGACAAAGGCCCGTGAGTGAACTGCTTCAACTCGATGACTCCGAGGCGGCCGGGCAGTAACAACGAATAACGATTTTTTTTTGTTGCCTGTCCTGAATACAGTGGCGTATTGTATAAGCCGTGCCCAAACCTCGGCCACTTTAGAAATGGTTTCCGGGCTTCCGGATGCGGTATCGATAGACTTGGAGTGTTTCGAGTAATGGCTTCAAGATTGATGCTCAATGTTGAGCTTTGGACCGTTCAATTAGCTCTCAACAATTACGAGCACGGTGAAAGATCTGAGAGCGTATCAGACTCGGGGTGATAAAGAGAACCAAAAGTATTCTGTTCACAGACATCAGCCTCAATGGTGAAGGAGGGGGCGAAGTTGATGTATTAATGCTGGCGGATCGCCAACTGGACCGTGAGAGTACTGCGATATCCGCGATCTGTGACATTAATTAAGCAACACGTCTTCCGAATATACTGCCAATAATGCATCGGAGTGATGCTCAGGGTGCTACGGCATGAGTGAAAGGAAGAGGTAGCACGAAGTCGAGGCACATATGTATCCGCGTGCTGGTAAAAAGCAACACTGCACGGACAGGCCAGTAGGGCGACACAGCTGCAGGGCGAGTCGTTCGAAGGCCCGAAGTACCGCTGACGCACGGCATGATGCCTCGATGTGGCTTGGTTGCACACAGGATCAGAGTGCAGTGGGCCAGTGTGCGTCTATTGATGACTTGCTAGACGTTGGGTAGCAGAGGTATTTGGCGGCCGACGACTAGGCAGCAGGCGGAGAGAGTGGCGAGCCGCTCCTTCACATGCTACGCAATAATCCAGAATGGATTATTGGAACAAGGACAGGCCGATGAAGACGGAAGCTTGTAATTTGGCGTGATGGCGCACAGCAGCCATCCTCCTGACCGAGTCGACCCAGGACCGACGAGCCTCTTGGCCGACAGGCAGCGGAAAGAGCAGCGAGTCACCCCAGGCTCGGGCGACGAACAATCCAGTCGAGGCACTGCCGCGGCCAGCAACCGGGGCGGCGAGGGCTGAGGTAAAGGCTTCGCTATACGTCTGGTATCGTTGATATGTACGATACGCGGGGTTCATGGACGCTTCTGGTCCGCTGTGCAGAAACGTTACGACTTGTTGGCCAGCTTACGAGGCGGGACAGCCACTCAGGGCGCGCCAGCCGGCGGACCATCAATCGATGCGTGCTGTGTAACGTTGTAATTGTGCGCTTCGTGGCAGAAGTCGGCGAAGGGCGAAAGTTAGATGGCGCCCCCAGTGACCCAGGGCATATGCGGGTGACTGCTGCAGCCAGATTGCGCGCGCAATTGGGCGCCGTAACGAGCCTCAGCCGAGGCCGCGCGCTACGAGTAGACATGCCTGCCAGGAGTTGCCAACGGGCGCGAAGAGAATCTGCGGCGGGCGCTGCATTGACGTTGGGATATTTTGGTGGTTTGACAATGCGGGCAGACGTCCGGTGAGGCACGACCTCACACAGAACGTGGGCGGCGCGGTCGTGCCTTCTTCGAGCAGCCTCATGCTGACTGATGAGCCCGAAGAGGGAAGGCGCGATCTGCGATGTAAACAGTAGGGCTACGCGACCACCAACGAGCACTCTTCAACGGCTGACCGCCCATCTTACTGCGTGCATGGAAGGAAGCCGGCGTGATGCCCTCTATAACCGACCGTATGACAGCTTTTGCTCCTCAGCCGCCCACCGCTAATGCTTCGGCAGAAGAACGGCCCGCCAGCTTGCACGACGCGCTAGAAGCATTGGAGAGAGGTTTGCATGGCCTCGTGCAACTTGATCTGCTGCTAACCAGGGATACAGCTTCCAACACTCCCGCAAAGCAGCGATCAGTCAAGACCTCTAGCGTTGTCGATGTCGTTTGCCGTCAAGCCTTTGACGTGGGACTAGACCAAGACTCCCTCAGGACCGTGGTACAGATCGTGTCAGTCAAGACCGAGCTGGATCAGACAAGTGTTACCACACTCATCAAAAATCTCTATCCTGCTCAGCGCGTACCATCGGACGTCGTGATCACCATTGTGGGTGCTCTCGGACAAGGCAAAGGCAAGCCCACCCCTGGCTCTCAGAATGGCTTCGTCAAGTGGCTCATCACCGTCCACGAGATCATTGAGGATCCTAGCACTCTGTCGCGTCTGTACGGTGTGTTGTTCGGGCTACTCGATTCGATCAGCATCAGGTGGGCATCGGTCAAGTCCGAACTCTGCTCCAATTGCTAAGCTGATCAGAACATCCTTGTGTCATCTGCTCTCTTTGATAACGCTCCGAAAGCACGTGAAACCTTTCAGAATCGAGCAACTGTACGTGGACGCATGGCTCGTTGCGATCGTCTGTCCGCTGCGGCTACTGACATGATCTCAGACTGGAGCTCGCCCGTGGTCTTGGTAACGAGCCTGTTCTTCAAGGCCTTCTCCGCGTTTACAAGGATTACTACCCCGACATCATCCTCGGGAGTACGTCCGCCGGCCGAAACTCATTTCCCCCAGTAAGTCACGACTGCCGTGCTGTGTCACACTTGTATACAACCGCGCAATCGCTAAGTTAAAAGGCACCCGATGCCGAATGGCGAACAAGGATCCTGGCGATACAAGAGCGGGCTATTACAGAAGAAGACTCCGCTTTTGAGCAACGGAATGGCTTCAAGGTTGCGAGGAGAGGGCGAGCCAGAGTCAAGACTTCAGCTATACCAGACGTCCATACTTTCCATGCGAACGAGGCAAGTGACATAAACTTCGGGTGTCGAACTCCGCTTATGAGTGTAATAGACCTCAGTAACACTTGAGGGGATCGACAACGTGGAGGACTTTGTTGAGAAGCTGGAGAGGATCGAGGCCCCAGGGCAGATGGTCTCTTTCCTTACCGATCCACTTCTGCAGAAATACGTGGAGCTGAGTGACTCACCGATCATTGTGCAACGAATCCAACTATGGCTGTCGATGTGCCTCGAAGATCAATACAACGCAATCAAAGAGGGTGTGGTTGATATGCGGTACTTGTCCGACATACTCAATGGCTTGCTTAAGCATGCACAGTATACGAAGGTACGTCCGATATCGCTCGCGCACGCAGAGACGGCACTCACTACCATTAGAAACTATTACCGATTGTTCAGACATTTCTGAAAGAGTACCTGCTTATTTGGGACGGCCTGCAGAATGTTGACACGATTCTTAACCTACTATCCTATTCTCCAATACAGTCTTTCGCAGGCAAGTTGCGTCTATCTCCGCTCGATTTCGTACGACCTGACCCTTTATAGATGCACGTGTAACCTTCCTGCAGCCGCTCGAGCGTTCTCTCCTTGCTCACGATGTACAAGCATGCGAACGTCTTTTCGGATTCTACACCTCGCTTTTTCGACAATGGTCGAATCAGGCATCTCCGCAACCCTCTCGTTCCACTTCGTCCCTCGCACACTCTGATCAGCGCGCTCTATACGATCTTGCGGCACATGTTGCAACTCTCTCTCTATCGCTCCTTCTCTCACTGCCATCGAACTCCTCCATAAGCATCATTACATCTGCCATCCTGACTTTCTACGAACAGCTTTCAACCTCGTCGAAACCCCACCACATTCCCATCATCCTACCTCCGAATTCGCTTATATACCTCCTCACCCTGTCATCCAGCACAACAGAATTTGCCCGCATAACCGGCATCATCGCAAACTATAGACACGCATTCAGCGCCCACCCCGCTCCAGTACTGAAATACTATCCAGAGGAGACGACCAATTCCTTCAACACCGCCCTGCGCGATGTCTACAACCTGCTCTGGATGTCGCGCGCCCTCGACGTCGCCCCTCCGAAGTCGATGGGTCTATACTGCGACCCCGAGCTGCGCGACACTCTGCACGCTTACCTCACCGAGCTCGACCATGAGTACAGCATCCAGGCCGCGTTCAACATATCCAACAATCCGGTGCTCGCGTCAATGTCTCTGGCCGCCTGGCTTGCGCTTGAGAATGAAGAGATCGAGAAAGAAGGCTATGACCCTGACGCGATAACGCGACATGAGGGCCCCGTGAGCCAGCGCAAGCTGGAGATGTTACGAGCGAGCGGGGGCGTGGATGTCGAGTGGGACGCGTACAGAGTGCGCGTGCTGAAGTGGATGGAGGAGAGGGGATTGAAGGGTCCAAAGGATTTTATGTTTAGTGCTTCGAATCAGTTGAGGGTGAAGTTTCCCGAGCAGGCATGAAGATGATGATGGTGGTGGAGTTGCGGCGTGGAGAAGTTGCTTTCTACCAGTCTTGATGATGGAGATCACCATCGTAGTGCTAGAGATGGACGTCAGACTTGCTATATAAATACCCATATTTTCTTCCATCTAAGTTTTTCTACCACACTACAATCCTGCGCATGCAGACTAAAAGCGACCACCAATCTCTTCATGTCTTTCTTGTTGGTGTCCAAAATCTATGACGCCACAGATATGTTGCGCGCCTCCGGACTCTGACATCAAAAGGCAGACAAGGATAAGGCCATGTCCTTTCAAAACATATCTTATGATCATTGTCCCAGAGAGTAGCAATCTCCAGCATGGTCTTGGGGATGTCAGACTCGGCATATAAATACCCGCATTTCCCTCCCTCCGAGTGTTTCTTCCACACTACACTCCTGCGTATGCAGACTAAAGTTCCTACCACTTAATCATATGTCGTTTCGTTGGGGTTCAAAGGCTACAATCTCGACGATATGTTGGGGCGCCTCTGGGCTCTCGCACCAACAACCAAAATATGGCTGCTGTTTCCTCATGCGCTTTTTTGGTGTCCAAAATCTACGACGAAGCGCTCATGTTCGGCCGCCTCCGTCCTCTCGCACCAAAAGCAGGAAGGCGTATAACCATGTTTCTTCCAAGCAAGTTCTACCATGATTGTTCCAGCAAGCTACTTCCGTCGGACTCCAAACGCTCATCGAAGATCGCCATGTCCGCCGTGGAAGCTAGTACCAAACCCTCATGCGGCGCGATCAGCGTGCGGAACGTGTATAAAAAGGCCTTCGAGGCCTTCTCTTGCTCTTTACACTACTTCCGCTGGGCACTAAAAGTATCTACCCTGGGAGTTCATGGGGCGGCGGGTCTAAAAATAAGTACACTGGAAGCGCCTGAGGGGGTGGGTCCAGAAAAGAAAAAGAAGAGTTGCATGTCTCTGCTGGAGGTGGCGGTGTCTAAAGTTCCTAATCGCAGAGGCACATTGGGTGCGTCCTGGCGTCTCCCCGTCTTCCCAGGCAGGTTGTGGACGTCAAGTGACTGATAGCGTGATGAATTTTATCATCATAGACGCAATAGCTGAAGTCCGTCGTGTATAAATAGGGCTTGAAGGCCTTGTCTTCTTCTCTACACGGCTTTTGCTGGACAACAAAAGTATCTACCCTGGGAGTTCATGGGTGGCGGGTCTAAAATTTACGGCGATGCCCACATGTCTCTGCTGGAGGTGGTGGTGGCTAAAAAATGGTTTAACAACGGCAGATGAGCGGTGGCCTGGCGTCTGTTTGTTTCCACAGGCTCACTGCGGGCCTTTTGGTTATAGAAGGTGTCATAAAAATCAACATCGCTGACGTGATGGCCGACGTTCTGCGTGTATAAATAACGCTCTGAATCCTGGTATTCTTCTCTACGATTCCCTTGCCGGGGTCTAAAAGTATCTACCCTGGGAGTTCATGGGCAGCGGGTCTAAAACACAACAAGATTGGTCTCATGTCTCTGCTGGAGCTGTTTGGTCACTAAATTTCTCATCGCAAAAGGACATAGGCGGTGTTCTGGCATCTGTACATTTACACTGGCTCGTTGTGAATCTTAAGGGAGTGGAGAGCGTGATAAAGTTCACCATCATGGACACGATGGCTAAAGTCTCTCGTGATGGCTTTCGATGCGCCGGCGAGAAGCGGTATAAATACCCCGTTGAAACGCTTCTTATACCTTACATAACTTCTCTCCGCTGGAGGTCTCAAAGCTTGTGGACAAGGTACATGTGCTCCCTCTCTGGGTCCAACCTCTTGAGCATGTGGTCCATGTCCTCCTTGACTAAAACCTTCGACAAGAAGCCCATGTCCTCTCCTTGGGCAACGTTGGCCTCAAGTCAATGTCCTCTGAAGCTATGAACGGACTGCTCACAGGTGCCCGGTTCCTGGGTCAAGATTGCAAGCAGCTTCCGTGCCTTGACGGGGTGATGCTGGTGCACTTCATCGCTCAAGCCCGTGCCACTAAGGAGCTAGGCGTGTATAAATACTTGTACTTGCAGCGACGATGCTTTTCTTTACACTACACGCCGTCGGGTGTCTAAAAACTTCCGCCGCGCCGTCTTATGTGCTTGCCGGGACTAAAACCATTGCAGCAACACATCATGTGCTCTCGGTGAATCTGACTAAAAGCCGAAACACAAGGAACTATGTGTTCCGTTGGCTGGGACTAAAAAAGAATACATTCACATACATGGGCGTCGCGTGGGGGTGGAAAACGATACGAGCTTCCAGTTCTATGGCGCGTGCAACTTTCTAGTTCTCCTAGTCGTTTTGTACTTGATTCAAGAAAAGAAGGTGGGCAGCATCATCACTGCATGATGTCAACCTGTTCCTCAAAGTCTTGATGCAAAGGACTGGAAGTGTATAAAAAGCCCTTGTTGCTCCGCTTGTTCCACTTTCCACTCCACCTTCGGGTTCCTAAAAACAGCTCTTTGTGCACTTTTGTGTGCGTTTTGTGACTAAAAGCAGATGCACGAGAAGCTATGTGCTTTTGGGGATGACTAAAACTAAGAGGATAAGCACGAATGTGCTCTTCTTGGCTGTGCGCTACAAAGCCAAAAAAATGAATGGACTGTTGGCTTACGAAAAGTCTTGGTTCTAAAATATGCCTAGTGCAAAGGATAGTGTAGATCCTTAAGTCTTCGTCGCAGTCACGTTTCTGTCTTCTCAACTCCGAGACGGCGTTGGAAAGTATAACTTCCCCTCATCGGATATCTGCTCTACCACTCAGACCACTTCCCATACTCCACTAAAAGAAAAGAAGTGAGCCGCCATGTCTTGCTTGGACTGAGACTCTACACGAAGAGTTCCATGTGTTGCTCCTGGGGTGAACAAAAATTTTCTCGGGCACCCTTTCACGTGCTCCGCCTGTAGGTAGCTCCAAAACTGCACCACGCACTGTCATGAGCCGCGTTACTTGTCTCTTGAGTACTGTCAACCAGGCCGCCAGAGCCGCTGCGGTAATGATATGTCCATTAGAAAAGAACGATAATTCGCACGATGATCCTTCGATAGTCACGCACCAAAACCACCCACAGATCGGACCGGGACAGAGATATAAATACTCATTGAGATTTCTCGTCTTCAATTACACACTCATTAAACCCTCCTGTGCCTAAGAAGGAGCGTGAAGCATTCATGTGCTTCTGGGGGTGACTAAAAGTAATAAGCTGCTTTGCTTCGAGCCATGTGCTCTGACTAGAGGTGACCAAAACCATACATCAAACTCGCCATGGGCCTCTTGCTCCCTTGCGCCTGCATTATCTCGAAGTCATCCAGTCGCGTCGTGGGCAATCGAAGCAAACGAGGATGCTCTCTATTATCGATCTACATTCACAGATTAAAATCGTCATTCTCCCTTGGTGAGACGTTCGATTGTGTATGAATAGCACTCGTCAGTGTGCTTCTCCTATCACAAACAACACAACTTCAGTTTCTTCTCTGAAATCTTGTAGGACACCGAAGATGTATGGAGGGGACCAAAGGCGGCGACCTTACAAGCCTATGTGCTCCGCCTGTGGAGGCCAAAACACCGACCTCAAGCGTTCATGACCTGCGCCCTCGGTCACTTCTGCGCTTTCTTTCCAAGTCCTAGATCTTTGAGTGGCCAAGGTGCCTAAGCCATGATACTCATCATCACCAGAGTTAGTTGAAAGCGATGATTTACCCACTCGTTCACTAAGAAGCCGGAGAAGTATAAAATACCCTGGAAACGACGACTACACTACCGCACACACGTCACCTTTGGAGTGTTTAAAACTGAAACAGCCTCTCACCATGGGCTCGTGGCCAAGACTAAAAGCTAAACTGCCCGCGTTTTATGTTCTCTGTTCCAAATCCACGAAATGGTAATGGCGACCCATAAATGATCCGTTCGCTTGTCCGTCTGCGGATATTTACCCAACTTTATGAGCCTGCAGCCAATGTAGAACCATGATGATACTCGCCACTATCTTCCGAAACCGCAGCAAATTTTGCCTCTCGGAGCAAGAATTTGAGCTATAAATACCCCTCGAACTTCTTCTTTTGATTTTCTACGCACCACAGAGCATTGCTCGCTGCAATACGAACCATGAATACTTCATGTAGTTCTTGGTTCTAAAATTCATCCAGACTCCAAGGAATGTTTTCTCCCTGGAAGCAACCACAAACTCAATTCTCAAGATGTCATGGCTTGCTCTCTTGTCCTTGTTTGTTGTTTTGCCTAGTCTCCGCGTGCTCACTGTGGTGATTAAGTGTGAAACGACCATGCTCACCAGTGTCGTTCGATGGTACCGCCCGGCACCTATCCAAATTTGAACAGAGGCCGACCCAGAACTATAAATACCCACACAGCCAGCTCTTACTATTCCCCACACATCACTGGTCCTTCTGATTAAAATCTGATATCTAGGAACGTACGTGGTTGCTGGGTCTAAAAGCCGCATTCCGAAACGTTCATGTGCTTGCTGTGAGCTGTCTAAAAATGAACTTGCAATGGTGATATGTGCTTGGACTGCTCTGCATCTAAGTAGACTATAACATTGCTGTGCATCCCATCTCATGTCCTGGTGGGAGGCCCTTGAGCGAGTATAAATGGCTCTGCTCTATCAACAGTTCGACTTTTTACACACACCACGAGATCCGCTCATCAAAAGAATAACATTTTGCCTTTCATGTTTTTCTGGGTCTGAAAGCAATCGAAAATTCTGTCATGTGCCTGCTGTGAAGTATAAAAAGCAACTTCGGGAAACAAATGTTTGCGGCGGACGCTTGGAGTGTGTGTGGCTGTAACATTTCTTCCATCGATCTGGATGTTAGGGGACCCCAAGAAAGCTACGCGAGACCTGAGATGTACAACGTATACGCCTCGCCATCGCACCTTGTGCCTCACAAAGCACTGAGCTTTGCTCAGCTGAACCAGCTGAAAATACCTTTTATGGATATCATGTGACTAAAGTCAGAATGGAGTATGAACATGTCTCGCCGCGGGGTGGTTCAAAAAAGTGTGGCGCGGCTGCTCATGTGAGTGTTTTGGTGAGCGTGGAGTCCGCCTCGATGCAGTGTCAGTGGTGCATCTTATGGTTATCTATGGCAGGTGCTTAGAAGAGCATAAATACAACTATCAATAACAACTTATCTTCTTGCATTGTAGTGGGCATGTGCTCGCCAAAACCAACGATCAATATGAACTATGTAGCTCTTGAACTTCACAGTCCAGGGCTAGCTTCATTATGTCGTCGCCAGAATCGATGGTTCTGGGACTAAAAGTGCACAGGAGCAGGCCATGTGCTTGCTGTGAGGTGGTCAAAAAGCATCTTCCCTTTCCCCCATGTCCGCTTTGGAATGTGTGCAGCTTGCATCAAATATCACTCTTTCCTCCTCGCACGATACTGAGATGTACTCACTAAAACCTGAAACTCGCAATGTGAAGGCATTCTCAAAGCTAATAACGGCAACATGCATGGGCTTGTTGCGAGGCCGTCGTAAAGACAAAATTCGCCATACTATGTCGGCGTGCCCTTGTAAGGTTCTAAACATTTATACACTCGTTACGCAGTAGTCTCGCTCTCGTCCGATGAGATAATGCAAGGGGCAGCAATCCCCTTCATTATGCCTCCCTTTGTTCACACAGTACGCAAGAGTGCTCACTAAGAGCTGCAAGCTTGTGTTGTGATTAAGTTCTCAAACAAAAATTCTCTGGAGCTATTTCCGTGTGCCTGTGTTAGGCTCTGAGTACATATACGATATTGAACAATTCATCTCGAGGCTGTTTGAAGCCGACACTAAGAGACATAAATACCGCTCCCTCTCCCCTGCTCCCTCTTCTTCACACAACACTCAAAAGTGCTCACTAAAAGACACAAACTCGCAATGTCTATGGGTTTCTCAAGAAGCACGATATGCATACAACATGCTTGTTATGAGGGGGTCACAAAGGCAATACTACTATGTCGGATGTTTGCGTGCCGTTGTGAGGCTCAGAGTATATGCACTCTGTTGAACTCTTTATGCCGAAGTTGACCAAAGCCGACACTAAGAAACATAAATACCCCTCCGTCTTCCTTCATACTCTTCACACACCGCTGGGCTTCTGTCTCAAACCGCATACATACAAACACCGCTGGGCTTCTGTCTCAAACCGCATACATACAAACACATGTGGTTGTTGGGTCTAACAACAAGCCACGGGAATGGAATTTCCTTGCTGCGAGGTCGACCAAAAAGACGTCCACCGCATGTGGTTCTTGGTTCTAAAAACGCTTTGCAAGACATGCTCTGTGCCTTTCCGAGTCTGTCCGAATCGATGAGCGACATGAGTAATGTCTGCGTTGGAAGCCGCGAAATCTACACAGCTTTACCACAATGCTGCTATGTGTCACAGTATGACCCTCGTTCTCTCGACGACGGGGATCCCAGTGTATCGCCGTGAGCCACATCATGCAAGTCGACACCTGCAACACAGAAATGCCGCAAAATAGTCACCGTGTCCAATCATTCAAGATCATCTCCGTCATTGCAACGACCTCACCAGTCATGCGGTAGAGAAAGGGCATATAACCCCCCTCTTCCTACCGAAGAATTTGCTTCTTCACGCTACAGCCTACTAGGCCTTGCTAAGAAAATCCCTACGTATTTTTGGCCATGTGTGGTCCTCGGGTCCAAAAACTTTCTACGGGAGGTATTGAGTGCCTGGTACGAGGGAGACTAAAACACCAACACCAACACCACATGTTTGTAGTGGGAGCCCGATAATCACATGACTTCACCCAAAGGCCGCGGTGTGAAATGGTCAGCATCACTGATCAGCAACATCATCATTTCTGCGCAATGATGAGATTTCTAAGCGTTCAGTGGTAAAAGGTATATAAGCCCCAAATGCTGCGGTACAGATTTTTTTCTTCACAGTACAATCTACCTCACCTGGCCCTAAACGAAGAGACGTTCATGCGATGCGGTGCCTGGGTCTAAAAGCGCTCTACAACTGGTGTGATGTGCTGGTGCGAGGACGACCAAAATCACCTCCACCAACACCATGTCTGCGTTGGAAGCCTCGAATATAACACGTATTTTAACCACCCCTAGTTTCATATCGTAGTTTGAGATGCTCAGAATCACCATCATTCATCTTCATCATCTCCACAATTGTAGCGGCCTTACCAGTTATGCTGTGGGAGGAGGTATATAAACCCCTCTTCCCACGGTACAATCTTTCTTCTTCACACTACAACTCCCATGGTTGGGAACCAAATTTTAAGAACTGGAGGCCGATGTGGTCCTCGGGACAAAAGCCTGGAAGCCTACAGACGATGGAGCGGTTGATTGGTGTTGCGGTAGTTCATGGCTGACCACAATGTTGAACGTCTATCATTTTGTCCTGATTACCATCACTGACTGTTGGAAGTCATCATCTCCGCGCAATGACGAGCTTTCCAAGCGTGTAGTAGGGAAAGGTATATAAACCCCTCTTCCCACCGTACGATCTTTCTTCTCTACACTACACCTCCCAGAGATGGGAACTAAAAGCGTGTCTACGACCGAAATATGTGGTCCTTGGAACCAAACCCCACTATACATCAATTATGGGACGCTTCTTTGGCGTTGCTATAATTCACGACTGCATGCGGTGTGAAGAAATTCTGATATGGCCACAGTACGACTGCGTGACGATGGCGTTCAGCATGGTTAGCATCACCATTGTTCAACGTCATCGTCTCTGCGTGACGATGGCGTTCAGCATGGTTAGCATCACCATTGTTCAACGTCATCGTCTCCGCGTTCGTAGAGACCTTATGTGGGGGAGAGAGGTATATAAACCTCCCCTCCCCACAGAAATGCTTTAATTCTTCACACTACAGTTCGTGGAGCCTTGCTCTACAATCAATACGCCCATTAACGCATGTAGTGCTTGAGTCTACAACCAACGATATGAACAAGCTATGGGAGGGACGCTCGGTGCGATGACAGCTCTCTATGCTTGTGCCCTGGAGGCACCATTTTGGCGAAACCCTCACTACGTGATGACAATGTCCAGCGTCAATCAGTGGGAATGGTTAGCATCGCCATTATTCAACATCATATCCTCTGATTAGTTACTATTATCGTTTGCGAAAAGAATGCCCCCACCCGACTATGGTACAGATGCCCAACCTTTATTAATTGTATGATATATTCACTCTATTACTGGCTAGATCTTGTTGAATGCTAGCTAGATCTTATTGAATAGCTAGATCTAGTTGTGGTAGACGTTAAATTAGGGCACCAAGCTATTAAAATAGGAGTACCAACCCATTTTAACTGATAGTTGAGTAGATATATACCATAGGTAATCAAAATAGGGAGCTGTACCATGGTAGGGTGGTGGCATTCTTTTCGCAAAGCACCGATAAGCGCACCATAAAGAAAGGTATATAAACCCCCTTCCCACAGTACAATCTTTCTTCTTCACACTACAAGTCACTGAGCATTGCTCTAAAAGCATCTAACACAACCTCCATGCGGTGCTAGGGTCTAAAAATCCAACAAGCCTGGCCAATGGGACTTTCGGAGCGTTGGCAGCTCTCTATGCTTATGACCTGAGGAGAAGGTTTTGGTGGAACTCGTACTGCGTGGTGATGATTTTCAACATCTTCAGTGTGGGATAGTCACCGCCACTAAGCGTTAAAAATCATCATATAAGTCGTGGTGTCTTAGTAAGCTTGCAGTACAGAAAGGGTATATAAACCCCTCTTCCCACGGTATATTCTTTCTTCTTCACACTACAGGTCACTGAGCACTGCTCCAAAAACAGAAGGTACGCCACCCATGTGGTGCTTGGGTCTAAAATCGTGGTGGCTACATGACATAGGACGCTCGGAGCGTTAGCAGCTTTCCATGTTTGTGCTTTAAAGGGATCGTTTTGGCGGAGTCCTTATTGCGTGATGATGCTGGTCACCATCTCTCACCATCTCTCACCTTCTCCCACCGCGAGGGCAGGGGAGAGCCTACGGATTGTCCAAATACCGTAGCCTATCCGGATTATCCACGAATTACCCTTGTACTCAACATCACATCCCGTCGAACGGGAGGGAGGATTCGCAGCCCAACGCTGTCTGCGATCGTCGCCGTTGATGCCCGGCTGCAATCAACAGCTGTAGATCGTGCTGTTTCGGGAAGTTCTGCGTGTACAGACATTGGTCGCGCAGCAAGAATAGCCCAGTGCTGCATTCCCACGTCGAGATAGCACAGCACACAGCACACCTTTCTCCACCCACAACCCAGCTCCGTACACCGTTGAAAACATTCAATCATCCCTATTTGCATTACACACTTCACATGAACCCCACACACATAACCATGCCCAATAGCTACAATAAAATAACACCACTAATGCACACCCGCCAGCATATAATTTAGCTTAATTAACCCCAATAGCCTGCGGCATCCAAAACACCATCTTCGGATCCCAAGCACTCTTCAACCCCTCCAACCTCCCATACACCTCACTCCCATAGTACAGCTCATGCGCCTCCTCCGCAGTATAACTCGGATCCACATAGTTCAAGTACGCCCCAAAATGCGTTTCCGGCTGCGCCTCGATAATAACATCGTTGATACCATTAATATACTCCAGCGTCGTAGGCATCGTCCCGTAGTTTTGAAACACCCACAGACTGTCGCGATCGTTGTACGCCGCGAAGGAGGTGTCTTTGGTGTTGATTGCGGAGCCGGGGCCGCCGTACAGGTTTATGATTACGAAGTAGGCGTATGGCGCGGGGGTGCTTATGTAGTCCCAGAATGCGTTCAATGTGGTTTCGGTGAGGCCGCCGGAGGATTCGGGGACGGTGAGGGATTTGGCGAAGAAGGTGTCGTGTTCGTCGTAGCCGGTTAGGGGCTCGGCGATGGTGGTCTTGTCGGACATGAGGATTAGGTAGGGGATCCAGGCGTATTCTTGGACGACGATTTTGGTGGGTAGGGCGGTGCCGCGGAGGAATTCGGGGAGGATGGTGCCTGGGGTCGTTAGTAAGACTCGGATAAGGTGGAAGTTTGAGGGGGGCATTGTGATTGTGCGAGTTGGAAATGTGATTTAGGGGGTTGTATTGTGGCTGTGGGAATCGGTTGTAGGGGCTGGGCACGTGATTGACGGGTATGAAATGTGACTGCGGGAGTTGCGATGTGATTGCGGGAGTGGCTGTGATGCAGACATAATTTTCGGCAGGAAATATTGACTTACTGTTGAACTCCTTATCAGTGCCGAAGAAAGTACCGCCCAAGTTGTAAGTAGCGTTGCCATCCAGATAGATACCGTACGAAATACGGTTATCCACAACGGAAGCATTCAGCGAGAACGTCTGAATATGCAAGAAAGTATCTGTGAACGCCTTCTTGTCCTTGAACAGAGTGTCGCCCCACTGGAACTGGAAGTAGGTGAGAACCTCGGGAGCAGCTTCAGTGCGGAGGTAGAAGTAAGTGACGACACCGAAGGATTCAGCGGCGCCACGGAGAGCCCAGAAAAGATCCGTGTTCTCGGTTGCAGTCGCGTGGAGCAACTTTCCGTCGGCAGTGACTACATCGAGGCCGACGATGTGGTCGAGAGCGATACCCCAGTTACGGGATGTATGGCCGTAACCACCGTGGGTGAAGTGGCCACCGATTCCAACGCCAGGGCAGGTACCGTGAGAGATTGCTCGCTTGCCTTGGTCGTAGACGCCCTGGGCGAGGTTACCAAGACGGACACCACCGCCAACCTTGGCGATGTTGGTGGTGTTGTCCAGGACAATGCTGTTGAGGGGCTGGAGGTCGATTACTGTATACTGTCAATATTTCGAACTTACGTACATGCTTGGAACTTACCCATCGAGCCGTTCTTGCCACCACTGCTGAAGCTGGCGTAGGAGTGACCTCCCGACTTGGCCTGGACCTTGAGGCCACACTGAGATGCGCAGATGACCGCATCCTGAACATGCTTGTTAGTCTCCGGAAGCACAATTGCAGCCGGTTTGTACTGAAGACGCAAGTTGAAGGGCTCGGCAAGTTCGTCGTAATCAGCATCGCCGGGGTAGCTAGCCGGAATTTTCTTTCCCTTCAAGCAGGCATCAGCAGCCTTGTTGGGAGCGGCGGCGGCATGGCCCGCTGCCAGCAACCCTGCAGTGAGGGTGCAGAGGAACTTCATATTAGCTAAAATAGAAGATCCTTGATGTGATGTCGTGCTTGTTCGAGGAGTCCCTAACGAGTGTCGACTTGAAGGGAGACTCGGCAAGTGAAGAGCAAGACGGCAATGGGCGGGACGAATGATTTATACGCTGAGGATGCCTGACCGTTGTACCTGCTGCTCAGGTTCAGCAATGGCGGAGGCGAATCCCTGCATCCTTCTAAGCCGAATTGGAGGATCATGGTGGGTGAACGAACGGCAGGGGTGGCGTCGCCCCCACTTGCTGATTGGGCGTCCATGGGCTACCAAGATAGAGGTGCGTGAGCGTAATTTGAGCCTACGAAGGGTCGAGCGTAGATGGATTCTACCCTAGCTAAACGACGTGAATGAGGCTACTGCCAACAGTGCGTCTACACTCGCGCGAAATCCTAGGGAAGAGCATGCATGAGAGACATGCTGTCGGGCTTTCCGACGTGTACATATCATGGGGTAACACAGCGTATTTAACATGATATACACAGTCTGCAGTGAAGCGGCGCAGAGGGTCTTCTGAGCGCTGACGCCGTCAGTATGCATGAGCTGGGGACAGAGTCGACCCTGCATCTGCAGGCTTACATCAACCTTCGCCATGTGGAGGACAAGCGTATTCACAGTCTCAGTGAACGCCCAATCCTACTCTTACACGGCACCTCCCCCCGCAAGTGATGGCGCGCATTGCCCGCGAACAAATCATGTGCCTACCCGACCCCTACGCACGCAGCTCCATGCATTCGTGGCTTCGCCCACGTGCCGCAAATAAGCCTCCTATACCGGGGACCTGGATAGCACACCATGTCATTGGCTGACGCAGGTACGCATTGCACCCTGGCCAATATCACGCCTGACGATGATTGCAGGCGTCGTCTCGCTGTACCACCCCCGGATGTGCTTTTCGCGATATCGTCCCGGGCATAATGTGAAATTGCATATGTATCATGCACTCCAAGGTGGGACAGATTGCGGATGCAGCGGAGATAATCCGTGGTATCTCTTCGTCCTCGATGCGCTGTCGTGCGGCGGGCGAGGAAGAGGGAGGGAGTGTGGACGCCCAAGCGACCCGTTTCTCCACGCCCCGCCGTTTCCAAGCCACTCCGGTCGCTGCCGGAAGCGCATCCACGAACCTTCTCCACGCCACCTGAGCCCTAATGTAACGACGCTCTCTCCAGCCTAGTCGAACGTGACCATCTTCTCGAAGAGACACAGTCTCAGCTCCCACGCTGCGCGCTAGGGTGTTCCCACGGGCGCGGACGCGAACAAGGTCACTTGCTAATTCGGGCCACCCGGCAAAACCGCCGCCCGAGCCTCAGGCCCAGCTCAGGCCTTTGACGACTTCAGGCCCCAGGATGACGCCGCAGAAGGCTGTGGTGCTCGGGCCGCCCACCCTATACATGTTTTGAGTATACCGATGTTGCTGCGGGTGGCGTCGAGGCTCGGCGATATGCCTCTTCGAGAAGGTTTCGTGTAACTGCAGGGCACGTCTTCGTCGTAGCATTCGCTTCGCTTGAGGATTTACGTTGCAATAAGAGGATCGCGAAGGAAGAAGCGGAGAAGCTGCCGAGGAAGAACTCGTATCATTGTTCGCTTTAACGCTACATGGACATCGCACATGCAGCAGTATTATACATTCAGTCCACATTCTGTCAAAACACTGCGACATCGGGCGTAGTGGCGCCTAGATGCTTCGTATGTGCGCTAACATTACCTCTTCCAAGACATTGCCTTCCGAACCTCCATCGCCGCTTCGATAAGATGCAAGCCATGGTTGCAACACCACGTCGCCGACTTCTCAAGGCTGCATGAACCCGTCGCCGGCATCGCGCTGGTATTCCGTCTCCACAGAAAAGCTACCCTCGAGGGCTTCGTACTGTCTCAAAGCTTGTACGCCGTGCACTTGATAGCCCCGAGCAGGGCTCAATGTCGTAGTTTTGCCTTGAGCAGCACGTTTAGCATTTGAAGGGTAATAGCCACCATTGCCAATACACTTGGAGGAATCCTTCCACTGCGCATTGGCAGCAGCTTTCCAGATGGCCGCCGCGTTCACCGTCATCTCCGCTGTGTAGTAGAGGCGGCAGTTCGCTTCCTCATACTTGAACTGGAGCGCAATACCCGATTCATCACCCAGGCGCACGGCGTCACGGACATTAATGCCGTCGGCATAGGAGCGGCCCACCGCTTTGCCAACGTCGTACTCTTTCAGTGCAGAAGTTCGGAGCGTGTTATTGAGCTGCTTGGCCTGCGCCGCGTACGTCTGGATGAAACCCCATTGGAAGATGTTGGCGCCTTTGACGCCGCCGACGGCCTGGATCTTGTTCGCGTTGCTTCGACCGCCCATTGCAATGGTCTTCACACCACCTTGTTGGGTCATCAACTCCGCAAAGATAGAACAAGTCGACGCACAGTATCCGTCGGTGACAAGGACAATATCCTCTGGCTTCCATCGAGTAAGGTTGGAAAAGCCCGTGACGTTGATGCCAGCCTGATAAGGGATGTAGATGTCAGTGAGATTCCAACGAGAGAGCGCCGTGTAATATTCTGTTCCTGTCAGCGGTGAGAAGCAGATACACGCAAAAAATCACGTACGTCCGTTCACTGAGATCGGTCCAACTTTCTGTGACCACGACTCGAAAGGCTTCCCATCAACGGTCGTGTCCGTATGGTAGTCGAAGTAACTAGACTGTACAGCTCTCAAAGTACTGTTCCTCAGCCCAGCTTCTCGAGGGTATTGAGAGGCTACTCCACTGAAAGCCTGGCCAACGAGATCGACAGCTTCATTATAGCGGAAGCGGTTGGCACCGTACGGATCCAATGCTGGGAATAACTGCTTGAACAGATCGCTAGTAAGTGGTCAGTACCAATGATCCGTTCTCAGCATGGCAAACTCACTATCCCTGCAGGATCGTGCCGCCTCCATTCGCCTGCACGTCAATAACAAGTTTGGTCTTTCCTTCACTCCATGCCTTCTCCAAGAACTTCTGTGAAGCAGCCTGGAAAGGGGCTTCAGCAAATGAAGAGCTAATAAAGCTCGGCACTTGGAGTACCGCCACATCCTCGTATCCAGTCCCGTCGATATAGAAACCATTGATGAGGTTGGAGGGACCGGCTACGACCGGCGCCGGATAACCAGGTGGCGCTATGGCTTGGGTTGATGGAATGGTGTCTCGAGAGACCGGAGTGATCAAGTTAGGGCGAACAGATGGGACGGTTGAGCCTTCGTCATAAATGATTTTCCTCCTCAGATCCTCGCCCGAGGTGACGTTTGCGAAGCTGAGTAATGTTCGGGCAGTGTTCGCAATGGTAAGGGTTGTGCCGTTGGCAAATTCGAGGGTAGTGTTCGCTCCAGGCGGCGCAAAACGACCGCGGCCTCCACCAGAGAATCCTCCCGTGCCAGATCCGGCAGACTGCAGACTAATTTGCGCAAGATTGTAAAACAAGTTGTTGTACAGAGCATCGCGGTCCTGGAGAGAACCTTGTTGGCTCAGCTCCTCCAAAAATTCGGGGGGCCGCGCGGTCGTCAATCTTAACGATAGCCGATGGTGTATAAGAGATGTTCTTGAATTGCAAGCCCAGAACATCAGAGTAGGCAAACACAGCGGGGAGCTTGCTACCGTCCTCAGATACGGAAACCAATGGAAGAGGGCGGCTGAAGGTGAAAATCTGTCCGACGACATCTAGGATGTAGGCGAAATGACCATCGTGAGCAGCTCCCACCAACTTATACAGCTCCCAGCCGAAGCCGTATTCACTCGCAATAGACCCGTCGTCGACGCGAGCAGATATATCATCCAGTCCGGCGAGAAGGTCGACAGGCGGCTGGACCTTCTCGACGTACTCAGTGGGTGGATCTTTGAGCACGTCAAGTGTGCTTTGCCAGTTGAAAAAGAGCGGAAGGTCGAAAAGAATAGCTTTTGCCGACGTAACGTTAAGCGGCATGCTGAACAAACAGTCGTAGGCAATGTCTGCAGGGACTGCCGTGGGCTTCGGGCCATTCTTATCGTAGTCGTACAAGATGACTGAAACTTTGGCACACGGTGGAAGTGAAGCGGTGGGTGTTCCTTGCCGGCGATTGAGGCTATCAACGGGCGCCACAGGGGAGGAAGCTGCGAGCGCGGTCAGGCCCAAAAGGGCAACCGTGATTCGGGGCCACATAGCGGATGTGGCACTTGTTGACGGCTGTCAAGCACGCAACAGGACAACGAGAAACGAGTGTAGGTAGTGATCGAAGGGATATCGTAAAGAGCGAGGATAACGAACGATGATGAACGGAAGTTGGGTCTGAAGTGAGTGTCGCCGAGGAGTAATTTACTCGACAAGAAGAGGTCCAAGTGAAGAGGATGGTGCGGTGGCCTGCAATCACATGCGCAAACGGAGAGCACGTCCCAATCGTATGGACTGTCGTTCAGCAGAGCAACGCCTCAATTGGCGATGGCACAAGCAGTAGGGTACCTACCAGCCGCAATCGACCACGCTGAGGGACTGCCTCTTTATGGCAATGGGAAAGACGAGTTTGGAGCTGGGCAACGGCTCTAGTGACGGCCGCCAAACGGTCCACAACCGTACAGATACATTGATAAGGTGCCGGTACCTGCATAATTTCGGGTAGCCGTATTCGAGCAACAGCAGCCTGTAGGCAGTTCACCCGACAACGAGCACGCGTGGACAGGACGCTAATCGCTGCAGGAACAGCGTGGTCATCAAGATGTGCATGCAAGACATTACCAACGAGGTTCCAATAGGCGGGTACAATGTCCAAGAGGTACAGCGGAAGAGCTGTAGCTTGTACGACGTTAGATACGGGTAACGCAGCTGCGCAGTCGTGGTGTCACGCATCCCGTGGCTCGTGCAGGACTTCGAAGCATCGCAGCATGTTGATCTTCGAGGTCGCGGAACCACACGGTAAGCATGTATCCTGCAATTGATTGTGGATGGGAAGAAGTAGGGTGGTCATTGAAATTGCAAACGGCCATGACGATGGAGGATGTCGAGTTACGGGTCTGACGGGTGCCAACAGCTCCCGGGCGCTTGTTTCACCCAATCTGCTGCAGATCATCCGCTAGCTTGTGCTCACATCTTCGCCCAACAACGTTTGGTCGTGCAAATATATCTCGAGACTCGAATCACAGAACACAGGCACATCGCTCTATTACCGCATGTACCTGATGAAACGCAGCACCCGCGTCTTAGATTTATTTGACAGCAATCGCATTCAATATCCCGATTGGGTTTTGAAAACTCGATCACAATCTCTTCGTGGACGGCAATGCCATTTCAAAATTGAGCAAGTTTTCGGAATTCGGAGCATTGTTAGAAAGTCCACGGGACCCGTCGACGTATCAGATCCCATACACACCGCCCTGATGGACGAAACGTGCAAACTGAGCACGGCAGCAAGACTTCCTCCTTGCTTCGATACCAAGCCAGCAGCCAGGCACCGCAAGGATCTGGCTAGTTAGAACAATTCTTAGCATACTTGTTACCGTGCCGACTGACCCGCTCCACTGGAACGTCCCGTAGAGCGAGCTCCTCGAGGCACAGTGATCCACTTTGCACGAGTCTGTGCTACTGTCCGCTTTGCGCAGGTTTCAGGGGTTGAGTTCAGGTACTATCAGGCTTTGTCTTTTCTCTCCTAAGGATTTGTTAGAATCAAACCTCCGATAGTCGTGGCACACATTGTCTACACAATCCGGTGCCAATAAGCTTCTCTACCTCATTGCACGCTTCAAATACGTCCTTGGACCATTTAAGCCAAACACTGAATGTGATACAAAGCTTCAAGAAATGGACCTGACTCGCCTTTTCTCTTCTGTCACATCCAGGATAATCCTCGTCCCAGTGGCACACCTGATTAGCACAATCACGGACATTACGTACGCATCGCTCCTACCACGCTTCCCGCACGCAGCTTACCGCAAAACCTTGCAACCCGTTATCACGCTACAGATGTGACATTTCACTTCGCACTATCTTTCCTACTCCAGAGCACCTCACGCTACAATATATCTGAGGGAAAGTAGCTATTCGTTCCTCTCCGCACACGTCTCCCGTCATCACAGTATACACCATATATCGAACGCTTTGTTCCCGCTACACTGACAATCTGCCTCGCCGCGAATCACCTTTGCACCCGACAAACACCGCCCTTCCCACCACTTGCCACGACTCCAACCTTGAACGAAATCGGCATTGCCACTACGTCCCCCAATGCACAGCTCTACGTACAAGCACATTCCACCACACACATGTCTTTACCTTTCTTCTCCGTGCCCCAAAAAGCCACCTCGGTCGACGTCCTCGCACACACGTAACACTTGCACACCCTGTCCCAGCTCACCAATCATTGACCATACACAGCCAAAAGACAAAATATAACAGCGATGCGATACGATACGATACTCCCTGTTCTACAACAATACGTACAAGCGCTCGCAAGGTAACAACCCCCAGCAAAAAGCAACCCTAGACCGTGACTGTGCGCTCTACCCATCACACGCGTGCTTCCCATCCACCCACAGCCACCGCACAAACACAAACGACACAACAGCAGCCTTCTTCCCCCTCCCTGACCTCCCTCTTCCTTCAACGCACCAACTCAATGTGCTCCAGCAGCGTTTCCACCACCGCCTGCGCCGTCCCATTATGCCTCACGCGATCATGCTCCGCCTGAATAGCGCGATACTGTTGCACGTTAGCCTACATCCCCCCTTTATAAAGGAAAAAAAAGGTACATACCTTGAACCCAAAATTCAAACAGAGCGCAACCGCCAAGCCCACAGCTACCACGAGCGGCCCCACCATATTATCAAAGTCCTTGCCGCTGCGCTCGGTGATGAGTCTCCTCCTCCACATGTAGATGCCATAGCCCCAGAGCAGCGTAAACAACGCCACGCATGTGTACACGACGGCTAGGATGCGCGCCACGTTGTTGGCTTCGCCGGCGGCGTTGTACAAGCCGAGGGAGAGCGAAGCGAGCAGCACGGAGACGTGCTGCCACTTGATGAAGGTGCGCTGGTTGGCGAGCCAGACTTTTGCTTCGACGCGGACGGGGCCCTGGTCTTTGATCCAGATGCCGGGGTGTCTGATGCCTGGGGGGAGCTTGACCTGCTGCTGGGAGGATTCCTTGCGGCGGGCGTATTTGGAGGTGGAGAAGGAGGGGAAGAGCGAGGAGAAGCCTGCGCTGCGGTTGCCAGGTACGACGGTCGTGCCGTCTTCGTCGCTGTCGACGTCTTCGTTTGTAGGCTTGGGCTGTTCGACGACGAGGGGCGAGGGCTTCACGGGGGCGCTGGGCTTGCGGAAGGATGTGCCTGCTGCGGCGGCGGGCGAGCCGGCGGGGGAGATGACTGAGGGACGGTAGCTGGGGCTTGCGCGGGCGCCGAAGAGACTACCGACGGCGAAGTCGTCCTCGGCGGCTTTCTGCTTTTTCTTCTGTTCTTCTTCGAAAGCGGCTTCGGGTTCGCGCTTGATGTCCGTTTCGACCTCGCTGAGCCAGAAGGGGAATGTGTTGACCTGGTCTTCAAACAGCTTGGCTACACCCTGCACGAACTTGGAGAAGCGTGGAGCCTCCTTGACCAAGTGAGAGTTGATCAGGTCCTCGATCCACTCATATTTCTTCATGCCCTTGACCTTGATCTCGAGTATTGCGTGAGGGAAGTCGTATCGCTCGCCCTTCCTGAGCTCCTTAAATGGATACTCCATCTGGCGGTCATCAATATCCCGCCTATGCCAGTCATCAGGATCACGGCACGGACGGTCCAGGTCCAGAGAATCCTCGCGAATAAGCGCCAGGTTCGTATCCAGAGACACCCGCACGCGATTATCGCCTGGAATCTGAAACGCAGTGCGAGTGTAGTTTGCGCGCAAGACTGGCTGCAGATCTTTCTCCTTGATGAAGTTGGAGATATCGTCTACGGTCTTCTTAAACTCGTTGACCTCCTGCTCGTCCTGAATACTGCGAGCTTCCATCTTCTGGATCTGCTTCTCCATGTGGTACTTGCCGGTGATGAACGGCTGGATGTACTTCTCTTTGATCGCGAAACGCTGTTCCTCAGCTGCGTCTCCCTCCCTCATCTCTTTCTTTTCGAGGAAGATGTTAGGTTCCTCGGCAAGCTGCCCATACCATCGAAGACGAAGCGAGGCGGCGTTGGGGACACCGTTGACCTTGTCCGTATATAGCGGGAAGTCCTGATTGTCGAAATATATGGAGGTAATGGTGGGATCGCGCTGGGTGCCTTCGGCGATCTTCGAGGTCTGCGGGTTGTACACGAGGACGGGGAGACGGCGGAGGATTACGGTCTTGACTTCGAGTAGATTTTCCTTGTGGACCCAGACTGCGCTGTGTTAGCTAGTGAACATACAATAAAAATAGGTTTCCTACATTTGTAGGAGGTAAAGTCCTCTGAGCTCGTAGCGTTCTCTGCAAATGACAACGCCTCCTGCGGCTTGCCATCCAAGCTCTGGCGCACGAAGCTATACATGGCCGAGAGCCGGTACAGTAGCGAGCTCTGATCTTCCGTATAGATTGGCTTTTCGGTGAGGCGCGCGTTGATGAACGGCCTCAGACGGTACGACCTCCCACGCAGCTTGTCATGCTTCTTCGTCGCCTTGATCACCGCCGTGTAGTTGATGCGCCCATATTTCTCTAGCTCCTTGACCTCCTTCGTGATCCCATCTAGCTCCTTAAGAACCTCCTCGAGAATCTTCTTCCTCTCGGCAGGCGACACATTCGACTTGTTGTCCTTGGACGAAGACGCCGCCTCGCCGTTGTTCTTGCTCTCCTCCGCCTTGATGCCAATGGCCAATGGCTCGAGTTTCTTCTCGCAAGCCGTCGTACGCTCCTTCAGCTTGTTCTGGACGTCTTGCTTAAAGTTATACACCTTCTCCAGCTGCACGTTGGCAAGCTCCTCGGTGAAATCCGTGACATCGTCCGAGGTCCACGGCTTGTCTTCATCGTGCTCGCGGAGCAGGTTCTTGAGCTTGTCATAGTCGATGTACTGGTCTTTCCACGGCGGGTAGATGCTCTTGCGGAGGGTGGCGCCGAACTTCATGGTGAATCAACCCTATGCGCGCGGGCAAGCGGTTGGTGGAGCTATCGGAAGCTATCGAGAGAAGCAATTGACGGGAGCTTGGCAACCAAGCAAAGAAGCTAGCGAATGGTAAGGGTACAATTAATCCAAGCAAAAGTCAGCAGCCTGTATGTAGGAATAGCATGCATATCAATCCTTCACCTCACAGTGCTGCTGCAGCAGAGATTTGTTTGATGCGCAACCTGCGGGGAAGCTCTTTCTTAGCCCTGGTTCGCGACAGCCAATGACTGAGCACGTGGGCGCCTGCTCCCGTCGTCATTGCGAGCACGGGCTCCCATCCGATGCCAAAAGCTATCCCACGCATCCCACGCGCTCGAGGATGATGCAATGAATAGTAAAGATGTGGTAGAGTACTTGAAATAGAGATGTGACCTAACAGACCTTGTTGATTGATGGCAAGCATGAGGCACCGTATCGCTTCACGACATGCTACTCAGAGACCGATCACATGCTACCCTTGTACCCAAACTATCGACAGACAAGGATGGAGCTTTCACGGATCCACCATAAGTTTCGACAATCAATGCACTCACTGATTCCTGAGAAACACAAAGCACTCAATTCTTTGGCACAATATTGTAGTCGATACATTGCAACTCTTTTCATTGCTCATCACCGGGATATCATCCTCTCCGTTAACTATACAGTCCGACGCAAATCCACGCGCCCATCACGCAACCATACTTGTACAGAGCGCCGCAAAAAAGGACTGCCAAAGACCCAAGTCCCCCCGTCCTTTCGCTGAAAAACAATATCATGTCGTAGAAACTGATGCTCCAAAGTTAGGGAGCTTTTTCAAAATCCTCAATAAACCGCTTCAGAGCGTCTGGCGGTGTCGGCCAGAAGGTATAAGAGCCACTGGGTGAGTTGCCCACCAAGGTAGGAAACTGATTTCCCAGGCCATTGGTAAGAATGCCGGTCCCGCCAATGGACCGCTGTTGCCATCCGCAAATGGCCTGGCACTGATGGGCCGACTAAGCCTGCTGTTCACCGAACTGGCCGCCGCGAGGAGCACCGCGACCGCCTCGGAAGCCACCACCGAAGCCACGGCCGCGTCCCCTGCCTCGACCACGTCCGCGACCACGGTATCCGCCCCGGTAGCCATCGACACTGCCTTGGCCGAAGGTTTCCATATTCTTGGCCCTCTCTTGCGTCCTGAACTGCTGGCCACGATTGGTAGCTGAGTCCTCACGGTCCTTGAGTTCGCTCGAGATGTTGTCGAAGAAGCTTGATGACTTGTTGTACGCCGCAGGAGGAATGACGACGTTGTCATTGCTGGGTTCAGCAGCGTGGCCGTTCGTCGCAACTTCAGCGGTGGGAGCAGAAGTCACGCCCTCACCAAGTGGTGAGCCTGTCGCAATGGCCTCCTTGACTGAATCCATCTTGTTGAATTTGGCGTTGGCGGATGCGAAATCGAAGTCTGTCGTTGGAATGTCCAGCTTCGCATGATGAGCACCACCTCGGCCACCGCGACCTCCTCGGCTGCCTCCACGGTGACCAGGCCCGCCCCTTCGAGCCTGCTCATCTCGCATATCATCTATCCGCTGCTGGAGATTCGCGTTCATGGGCTGCGCTCCAGGTTGTGCCGGAGCCTTCCCAACCTCGAGTTTCGCCATAGCTGCTGCTACGGCAGCAGTCGCAGCCTGAGTGGCGTTGTGGTAGTTTTGAGCGGGGTTAGCACTTGACTGACCAGGTTGTACTGCGGCAGCGGCGGCGACAGGTTGAGCTTGGGGCGCAACGTTCCTCTGACCAGGGCTGACAAGAGGCACGGCAGGGGCGATGCGGCCGCTCTTGGGTCCAGTTGGGGCAGCCTTTGGTGCTCCAGCGGCCTGTGTAGGTGGAGCCAGGGCAGCGGCAACGGGTGGTTTTGAGTCAACAGGAGGAGGCGGAGGCTGCTTCGCTGCAGCAGTGGGTGCAGAAGTAGCTTCTGAAGCTTTTGCGTTGGGTTTCTGCTGTGTAGGCTTCGTGGCACCATCCGCCTCCGCAACCTTGGGTTGAGCATTCGGCTTCTCGTCCCTGTTTACGGGAGGACCAGACGACGCGCCCTTGGGGCCAGACGGAGGCTGGTTCTGGTTCTGATTCTGTTGAGGTCCTGGCTGCCCAGGTGGGCCAATGGGGCCTTGTCCAGGGAAAGGCCCGGGAGGCCCATTGAACTGGCCTGGAGGGCCCTGCCATCCTGGTGGTGGCACTCCATAACCATACGGGCCCGGCATGCCGAATCCTCCTGGGCCTCCTGGAGGAAATGGCCCTGGCGGACCGCCAGGAAAGCCACCTGGGGGTCCGAACCTATTACCGTACGGCGGTGGCGGGTGTCCAAAAGGTGGGTAACCACCTGGAGGGAACTGGCCTGGAGGGGGAGGAGGGAAGTTCTGGTTTGGTGGCTGTGGACGCTGATCAGGCTGAGAGCCTTCTTGCCGCTGAGTAGCCTGTTCATCGCAACATGCCATGTTAGCGCAGCTCGTGAACAAATAGCTTCAACAGTCAAAGGTATTGAGTGGTGCTCAGAAGGAAGGCAACGGAAATCTCCACACGGTTTTGCGCTCTCGGAGGTTAAAAGTGTTTACATCCGAAAATATTTAATCATTGTGCTCTTGGGGTGGGAACATAGGCGTGACTTACTCCGATGATGGCGGGGTCTTGTGGCATGGCAGGCTCCTCTTTGGGCGTCTCCTCGATGCGCAGGTCCTTCACGTCGCTACCACGGAACACAATTTGCTCGTAGACCGCGTCTGAAGGCCCGAACTCTTCGGCGCCGCCACGACGACCCTCAGTGCCGAATGATCGCACATTGTCGAGCGAGACGGTCGATTGTTCTGAGTTGATGTTGACGAGCGTGCCGACATACCTAGGCTACTCAGCAATTGCGCGAAGCTCGCTCAATGGGTGCGAGCATACCGGATGTCGCTCTTCGAGATGAGCGATATGCGAGCACTGCGCAATGCGTGTCAGTAGAAGCTCCAATTGATGGCGTGGCTAAGACGTACCCGATGTACTCAGACATGATGGCGGCGTGTGTATCGTGCTCAAAACGAGTTAAATAAGTATCGCTTGAGTTGAGAAGAAGAAAAGGGGAATGAAAAGCACGTAGTCGGGAAGGACGAGGCGAGGGTGAAGGGCGGGAGGAGAGATGATGAGGTTTGTGTGGGTGAGCGAAGAGAACCGCGTGCAGCTTCGCCAAAGACAGCTCCGGCTCCACTTCGGCCCAAGCGCATCATCAAAAGGCCCGGAGCCATGCTTCTCTCACCCAACCTCCATGCCTGACCTTTACCTGGAGTCATGAGCGTCGCCGCAGCAGATGGGCTGAACGACATCTACGAGTCGCTGGAGCAGTACAATTGGGACGATGATGCCGAGTTTCAGTCCGGTCTGAATGCCATTCTGGGCAACAATAGCTCGCCCGAGCAGGCGTCTGAATTGGCACTGCGGGCGCGATGCTTTTACTATGCTAGGTATGTCCTTCAACTTCAGAATACTTTCACATATACTAATAGATCCAGGAAATACAACATCAACGTCGACTTCGACGCCTACAAAGCATACCGCAGCTCGCGGGGCCGCCCCGCTCTCGTGCCCAACGGCGCACAAGCTCCTCCTACTACTTCCAGCACCGATGATGCAGGCGGTATTCTCCCTGTAGCTTCCGCGAATGCGAATGAACCTCCGGCGCCGTACCCTACCTCCTTCGCGCACATCGTAGAGCTGGTGACGACTGGGCAGCCAATTCCAGGCATCAAGGAGATACCCGATACGCTCCTCACCGGACAGTCCTCGGAAGCTACGAAGTCGAAACGAAGGAAACCATGGGAGAAGGACGAGTCCACCACAAGTGGCGAAGCTGCTGCTGAGGCTACGACGACGAGTTGATGATACGTAACGATTATGACTATGGTAAATATGGTTAGAACGGCATGCATAGCGCTAGGAGAAAGTTTTCACGGCGGTCAAGGATATAACTAAGACATATCGGCTGCAGCTCTCCTCGCGTAATCATGAACAGCGGCGACGCAGTTGAGAAGTTTGATTTAGACTTCCCATTGAACCGTGAGTTGCCCTAGGGTATAGCATCCTATTTGTCACTTGGCAACCGTTCTTCGTCGGCAACCCCAACGCGAGACACCCCCTAGTGAAAGGATCTCAGGCTGGTATGAGTTACACGCCTGCACCGCCCAACGTAAGACCCTAGCACGGATGTCAAATTGCAATTCTGCCCTTCAATGGCTGTAGTTGTGCCGCTTTAGAAGTGCTTATATCGAAACACGTCTTGCTCGGCGACGAGGCTGCTCCCGGCCTGGCTCTCTTCGTGGGTCAGGCTTGGAGTGGCGACGTGGACATGTCCGAAAGAATCAATCGATGGGCGGATTATCCGACGTGAGAGCTTTGCAGGTCAATGTCTCTCTTGGAAGCTGTGTATCCTTTGATAAGAAACGTGTCGCACATTATATGATGATGGGGAACTTCGGCTGTCGAGAGACTTCACATCTTCGAAGACCATACACTGGGGTTACTGCAGTAGTCTTGGGAACATGTCAAATATGTAGTAACGCTGCCGCATTCCAAAGCATATATACCAGCAATCCAACAAAACCATCCTCTCCAGCGCCATCGGGTATCAAAAGCCGCTCACGAAAATGCAAACAAGCCCAAAAGCCAATGCCGAAGCACCCAAACACCCGTCCCCCACCTTCCTTACTTCTACAAAACCGCCTCCAGCACCTTCTCCCTCAACGCCCTCGCCTCCTCGTCCTTCTCCCAAAGCCTCCTCTGCGTCTCTAAGAATCTTGCCTTCCACCCCGCCGCCGTAGTAGGCGTTTGGTCCTGCGCCTGCCTCTGTTCTCCCGTGCCCGCCTCACGTCCGCTCCCAGTGCTTGCAGCAGCCAATCCCTTCGCCGCCCACTCCCCGACCAACCCTCCAAAACTAACATTGAAGAACACATCAAACGTCTCACGGATGGTTCCCGTTCCGCTTTCAGGGACATCCTCATCATCCTCATCAATCGGACTCTCGTACCCATCGCCACCGACGCGAAATCTCACACATTCCACTCTTCGCACGCCGCCGGTTGGGCCACCGGATCCCAGGCCGACGGCGGATGTTAGGCCGAGACAGCTGCTCATCGCTATGCTGAGGAGCTGGTCGGACATGGTTTTCGAGCTTGAGGGGGTCGGGGTGGAGGACTTGGAGAGGAGAGGGGACAGGATGGCGGAGGCGAGGATCTTGGCTTCGGTGCCGGAGAGGCGTTTGCGGCGGCCGGTGAGGGAGCACGGATGAGTTCTGCGACGAGGGCGCGTTTGAGAGACTCCGGGGAGGGAGGGAGGGAAGGTGGTGTGGTGGGTTGGGGTTGGCTTCGGGGAGAGAGCTGGGCGGGTGATGACGTTGGCTGTTGGTGGTGGGATTGCTCGGTTGAGTGGTCGTAGAGAGGTCCTGATGATTGGGTTACGGAGTTTGTCGTTGCGACGTCGTTCTCCTGCCCGTTTACGAGTACCGTGGGTGTGACGAGCCGTACTGGGTTTCCAACATTTGGGGGCACCTGCAGGCTCAGTCTGTGACCTCTCTGTGACGCGTTTGGGATCTGCGAGTCCATGTTCGTAGGTGAAACAGCTGACGCTGGTGTTGGAGGGAACCTGAAGTGGTGCTCTGCAGCTGGAGGGTCCGAATGTGCTCTTTCCACTATTGGTGTGAGGTTTCCTGGGTTCCTGTTCACATCTATCGTGGGTCCTTCCTTGGTCTTGGGATTGGCAGGAAAGGTGACAAATGGCCCGTCACGCACAGATCGATTACTCGGCGGTCTGCCACGAAGCTTCCCAGTCGAAGAAGAGTTATTGCTTGGCCATGCTGAAGAAACAGCAGGTCCGTGACGTCGTCGTGCCCGTTTCGAGCTCGACGGCGTAATCGCTGATTGAGGTTCATCGAAGAAGTCTGGATGAGCTGAGTGTGGCGTGACAGCAGAAAGGGGGTGCGGTGTTGTTGGATTATCCTGCGTATTCAACCGCCATCGAAGTTGTTGTCCGGACATGGGCGAAGCCGAATAGGGCGTCAAGTTTTTGTTCGGGTTCATCCGGCCAGGTGCTGATGCTGCAGTCATGGCAGAGGATGGTGTAATAGTGGATGCCGTCCAGGGGTCATGTGTCCCAAGGAATCCTTCCATACTATCGGGATGAGCACTGCTTGGATATGCAGACTGAGGTTGCAATACGTTGCCAAAGGGTATAGACGTGTCTAGCTGAGGGCGTTTTGGTGCAGGTGAATGGTCGATCATGTCCGTGTCGTCTTCGCCTTCATCAGCTTTCCGACGTCCCCGCTTCGGACGGAACTTGGGGTCAAGAGCTCTGATAGCCAGGTCCTCTTCCAAGGGTACTCCATCGCGGCCAATCTCCGGAAAAGGGTTGTGAGGAGGTGGTATTTGTAGATAGTAAGGATGTTGTTTACCCAACATGTATTCGAAGAATGCATCAATATGCATCGCGCGCATCCATCGCTAAAATCGTTAGTATCTCAATGAGGTGTAAGTAATAGGAAAAAAAGACACGCGAACAGAGTACAGATAATGAGGTTGTCAACAGAGGCCACCTGACGTAGCCATACAGGAGGATTGCTCACCCCGCATTGGGATGTCTTGGACCAACAACTCCAGGGGACGAAAGCGTATTAGTACATGAAGCAGGTGCATGAATACACTAAGCGACATATTCGGTTCCCGTATTCGGATACTTTTGGGCCGCGATTTTCATTTGCAGTCTTGGTTGGTCATACGTTTCTCGAATGCAGACACGAGGTTACCGCAGATGGTTGCAAATGTCGGAAACCAAACATTGTCCGAAAGCTGTTCGCATGATTCAAAGGCCAAGAGCCATCAGATGCAAAGTGCAAATGAAGGCTGTGCGGAAACATGCGACCTGACACCATTGTAGGGAACAGGAGTTCTGGGACTGTATGAAGATGAAAAAAAAAGTCTATCTCACCTTCAAACGAACAGAGTATTGCTGCACTTTTTGCGTGCTCTGTCCCTTGTCTGTATCCGGTCGTTCTACACCTAGGTCGAGCGCCAATTGTGTCCACGTCTTGATCTCCCCCGAATCGAACTTCCGTATCAACTCAAAGAGCGCCCAAGTGCTGAACGATTTGCCATCGCTTTTTGGAGGGGTCCGAAACAGTCGCGTCAACTCCGATGTGTCTATGGTCGTCGGGAAGTTTGGATTGCAATACAAGATGAACGTCGCATAGGCTTGGTCAAGCGTATCGTCTGAGACATCGCGGGAAGGAGGTGGACGATCGGTTGGAACGTAGTGTGTAGTCACCTGCTTTGACTGACTAGCTGGGGATATTGCTGAGAAGCGCGGCGAGGCATTGGACGGCGTTGAGGGTGTCTGCGAAGTGCGCGACATGTCTCCATAGAAGCTGTGTGCGAGGTGACCGCTGCCCATGGAGGCATTATCAGGCTGCAAAAGGTGGTTTGGCGGGGCGGAGTGGTGGACGGATGACATGGGAGGATGTCCATTACGGTTCGCGGCAGCACTTTGTTCAAGGCCTGGGTCGATTGTTGGTAGCTAAGCGGTGGTACATCAGCGAAGTTCACCGGCACAACGGGAGACATAGTGCACATACGGCAGGATGGCGGAAGGGCGAAAACGCCGGGCTACCATGGGTTTGATGTTCAAAATGGCCGTGGGACGAGAGATGTAAGTTATGCTCCGCTTCTTCACCGAAGTCTACTTGCATGGTGCCGGATGAAACAGCTACAATCTGCAAGCGGGTCTGCGAGCCATGAGCGCTCCGAGATCAGTGAGTCGAGTCAGGCGCAATTCACCACGCCGCTACCGATAGGCTATGGATGCGGGTTTCTGAGCTGCACGGCCGCCGACAGGTATCTACAGAGCGGCTGTCCAGCGTGTTGGCGACGCGCGCGCCAGGTGGCGGGTCGTCGCGGCCAGCGCGGACAACTGGGAGAAGCGCGCGGCGCTGTCGCTGAAAGCGATCCTCGTAGAAGGCGGCGTGCGTGCGTGAAGATGTTCGCGACGCGTGCTGGAAATGCGACAAAGTTCGGGCTGTGGTCGTGATAATTAGCGGTCGTTCCTCCCGCTTCTTTGGGCATTTAGCCCACTTATGTTGCCTTAGAGCAGCCAAGGCATCGCGTACTATCTTTGGCGGTCTCGTTTCAGCCGCAACAGCCAAAACGCCCTAATGCGCGACTGTGTGCCATTCGCTGAAGTAGGCATCAGCTGGTCACTGTACGGAGACCCCAGGGTTGCAGTCATGGACCAGGTCCCGAGAGCTTAGGAGTCATTGATCGAGGTTCTATGTAAGGAAGGCCCACTATAATATACAAGTAAACCAACAGTGAAGGTCTCCCAAAGCTTTGCGTTTCAGGTTGCATGAATAGAAAGCCTTCTCGCATGGATCAAGCGAATTTAACGCGAAACTGACTGCATCTTGAAAAGCTCGTAAGGAAGAGGTCCCACTGCTTGTTGGAATCATCGAATATCATTGCTGAATTGTGGAACAGTGCAGGGCCTGACTGTGTTGGGTCTGCTAACATGCATCCTTCTCGGAAGAAAGACGCTTCATATTCCCGGAGACATGAGAATAAAAGTGATAGCGATTAGATGATATTTGTGCATGATTTGTTGGTTGGCAGAGAGAACATATCAGGGTCAAAGTCAGCCCGCGACACGTACAACACATGTAGCGTACATGACCTTACGGATTCGCAGGGTTGAGGTCATCATAGTGCTATGAGTACCATTATGAAATAGCAATGCAGAACCTTCCAAGTTAAATAGAAAATGAGAGTTCAGATAGCCACCCCGCTGGCCATGTTCGTGCCATAATCTCCCGGCAAGGTTCATACCACCGAGGGATGAAGAACAACCATATTATCCCTTTCCTCCACTCTCCATGCGTCCATATGATATTTCCATCGAGTACCAAGCCTTTCCCCAATTCGAAGACAGCCATAGCAGACCGTATCGGTCTCTAATATTGATCCAGGATCAGAGCATCAGGCATTTCCTGTGCGGCCGACGCTAACGGGCGGGCGGCTACACATGGATTACCTGCTCCATCAGTCCACTTCTCGCTCAAATAACAGTAACCTGGCCTTTCGTGTCCGTTCATGTCTGCCATTGGGCACTTTTCCTCTCCCGAATATGATGTCGCGCCAAAAAACCTGACGTTAGATCCATGGCAGATGAGATGCCTCAATACCTCAGTGGCCAAGTTATGCATAATTTGTTGTTGTTCTACTGTTCCGTAGGAGGAGGAACTCGCGGCGTAACCGATTATGGGTATATTCAACATCCGAAGCGTTCTCAGTTTCGGAAGCTTGGCCAATTCTTGCTGCGATGTATTTAGAACCATGAATTCCATGAACTCAACGTTGGGACCACGAATGAAATTACTTTGACTTACTAGAACAGAAACTAAGCCAGCACCTACAAGACAAGGATCATGGTCCTCCAGATGGAAAGAATGACCAAGGTCACGCCAGTGGCCCATATCACAAGGACCGAGGCATATCCCGATTTCTTGCAGCCTCAAGCAGTTCCGGAAGATATCGATAATGTGCGAGTTGTATTGTAGCTGGTAGGCGTTCTTCACATATCCGAGAAATAGCACTTCCAAGGTATCCGCATGATGTATGATACCTTCCTCCGGTATCAGCTCCTGCAGACGTATGTCGATTCCAAATACCCGAAGTCCTTGGAAAGACTGCAGAAAGGAATCCAGCGCTTTCAGGAAGGGAAAAGGCTTCTCCCTGTCCCATATGTAGCGCACGTTGAATACTTCTAGGCTCGAGCCGCTGCGAGAGAACGCTGTCGTCAGAGCGGAAAGGAATGGCACCGTTCTCATAAGACCGACGCATAATTAGTTAATCGAGCAGCACAATTGCTTTGTGAAAGCGCTTACCAAAACAACCTGATATATACAACTCTCTCAGTGTTGACATGTTGACCTCTAGAAGCAATGCTGCTGAGGAAGTTCCAAGGCACAAATCAACGAGCTTCAAGTGAGTAAGCAGAAGCGGTGAAGAGGGACTGAGGCGAAGTGGCAATGCGGAGATGATATTGGCCCCATCATAATAATTTGGGACGTGGTGTTGACAGATAGTCAAGCTGGCCACACGAGGACACTTGGCGAGAAGATATCGGAAAGGCTCATAAGAAGTGATGGACGTATCGTCGGACCGAATGTAGGTGGCTAGCGTTGTGATATTCTCCAGCGAAGAACTGCTCCATGAATTCATCATCTTGGAGAGCATACTGACTCGGTCTACTGCATTAGGAGGCTCAAGAAGCAGAGGTGCTTTTAGTATCTCTAAACGGCTGCGTGGTAACAACGGTGAGTAAAGATAATTAAAGTATCGCTTTGAAGCAACTTACCATTGCTGCTCGAGTAGCAACGTCAGATTGCACGGCTTGATGGCATATGCCGAGAATTCTTTCAGCCGGTCTCGCGGGAGGCATTTCAACAAGAGGACCAACGCCCTCTCGGGATATTCCCTGTTCCACCCCCTTGCTCCGAGATAAAAACGTCGGACATGCGGTAGAATTCCGTTTCCAGGATCGAGTAAAGTAGCCAGACGACGAAGAGTGGTTTCCTTTAGGTCAACAGCGAGGTATTCCCACAAGATTGGCGCCATCAGGTGTGCCCACTCTTTGCTGACCATACAGGCACGCTTCTGGTCCCGAGTAGGCCGCACCTAGAAAAAATCAGGTCTTCGCGGTCCTCGAACGATGAATCTGAGCGACATTACGACAAAGAGAAGGGCTGACTTACGAAAGCGAACACGTTGAGCTTGATCTCGGTGGGCAGGCTACTGAAACCTACCATGACGGGCGAGACCGGTATATTCGTAAGGTCCTTTTGCGTCGTGGGAACAGTCGCGCTGAGAGGTTGTGGTTATTGAGCGGAGTGGTGAAGCCGCGTGCAGTGATACGTCGTGATTGAGGTTCAGTCTCTTGGCGCGGTTTGTTTGTTTGTGGCGGGCGCGCTCGCGGTCGCACACATCAGCACGTGACATTGTGCAGGTCCAGGGCCTGTGAATGAACGCCAGTATCTTGAACACAAGTCTGGGTATGCCGAGAAGGCAGCCGAATCGTGTTGTAATTACATTGCTCGTCGATATGCAATGGCATGGCTCTATTCGAGGAGCTGCTGTTAGTCATAGGCGTACATGATCATGTGTTCTGTCGGAGGTGGTACACGTTAGGAAATAACAAAGCCTCCTTTCTCTGCGAAAGTTAATCTACGTTACTTGATTTCTTTTACCCAACTGACAAGCTTGAATACAAGCCTGGATGGCTCTCGTGTCAACATGAATGTCCGCGATGCGCTTGCTTGACAGACATTTATGAGTCGGATCATATATAGCTCAGTCTAGGACAACTCATGCTATTGTGAGTTGCTGAGGTTGTGGCACGATAGCGTACGACGTTCACATTTACGCGAGACCTCGGGGAGCATCGGTCGGGCAGAAGAGCCTAACTTGGTTGGGCTTAGCTCATAAATTTCTAGGATGTGAGCTGATTCGGGAACCCTAGATCCGAATTCCGCGAACTCCTTTTCTACCTGCGATATCGCCATGCAATCTTCAACCCATCTGACTGTTCAGCCAATGTTGCAGGCGTGAAATCTGTCTGCAACATCGAAAGCTCTACGGCATTGCGATTGTCGTCTCCTTCAGCGCTCATACATAATTTGTTGTTCTCAGTCGAAAATCGCGTGGAAAAGCCAAACACGATCACATAAGCAAACAGCGCGAGCCGCCACCATGGACGTCGCCCTGGAGTTTCTCGATCCCCTCGTTCTGGACAATGCGTACGCATGGGCTCTACCAAACAAAACCATCGGCGTTCAGTCTGGCAATGACACCTCATTTCACGACTTTCCGACCGCACAAACGACTACTTCGCTCTGGGCGCGGGACAACATCTACCGCCAAATTGTATCGATCCTGGTGTTAACTCAGCTGGGCGCGAGCCTGCTGTACTTTGTTTTCAGTGCCTTTTCATACTTCCTTATCTTTGACAGGAGACTCGAATATCATCCTCGATTTCTGAAGAACCAGGTGCGCCAAGAGATCAAGTCGTCTATGTGGGCGGTCCCATTCATCAACATCCTCACTCTGCCGATTTTCTTGTCCGAGGTTCGGGGGCACAGCCTGCTCTACTCAAAGGCGAGCGATTTTGGTTGGACTTGGATGCTGGTCTCGACGATTTTGTACATGGCTTTCAACGATATTGCCATCTACTGGATTCATCGCTTGGAGCACCATCCTTCTGTGTACAAGTACATTCACAAGCCGCACCACAAATGGATTGGTAAGTCAGACTCCTCAGATGCTAATCATTACTGCCGTTCCAAGGGTTGGAGTACAGTGTGTTACCCCAGGCTTGGCAATGCAGCGGTCGATTCCACTCCCACTTTTAGACTAGTAATATACAGTGCTAACCGTGCCAAAGTGCCAACACCATGGGCTGCCTTGGCCTTCCACCCCCTTGATGGATTTGTACAGTCTCTACCGTACCAGTAAGTGGCCTCCAGACATAGTTCACCTTGTTTTGGACTCCCATCATACTTTGAAAGAGGCGGCACAGAACTCATCCACAGTCAAAAATACTGACTCAGCACAGCGTCTTCCCCTTCATCTGCCCCATCCAAAGACACCTCTACATGATCCTCTTCGTGGCCGTACAAATCTGGACCATCTTCATCCACGACGGCGACATGATCTCCGGACATTGGACCGAAAAATGGCTAAACAGCCCTGCGCACCACACATTGCATCACATGTACTTCACGGTCAACTACGGCCAGTACTTCACCTGGGCCGACAGCTACTTTGGATCGCATCGCGCGCCACAACCCGAACTCGACCCTCTCCATGACGCCCTGAAAGTTCTGCGAGCCAAGGGCCTTGTCGACGAGAACGACAACCTCATCAAGAAGTCAAAAGCGGAATAAGCAGTCGACGTGGGTGGACCCGTTGTCTTGACGAGTCCTCACGCTTTGTACGATCCGGTTCGGCTTCGCATTTTGTTTCATAGATTTCTCTTCTTGCCTTCGTTGGCCTGGGGTACTTTTGCATCAACGCAATTTTTGCAGACCCCAACTTTTACGGACGCATGGACTCTTGACGACGCTTTCCGGCGCGAGGCCGGACCATTGCATATGACGACAAGCCTTATTGTACATAGGGAGCTAGGCTGGCAGCGATGCTGGCATCGTTTCACGGAGTATATAAGATTGTACGAGTCTGTTGAAAACCGAGTAAAGGGACTACGAATTCTATAATGTTTAATTGCAGACTATTTTTTTTCGTGCAATATTCCGACGTATAGACGCGATTCGATGGTAAGTCCTGTCATCACTGACGCTGGTAGAGCGCAACGCAATCACATTGCCACCTCCTACAAGCACATCATCTCGAAAACCGATTCCCTTCACTGTAAAGCAAAACCACAATCGCTAAAGAATCGGTGCCTCTTCGCTGCCCTAACGTACTGTGTACTGTGTAGACGACAAACGTTCCAGCCTCACCACCACGCCCCCGCCCTGCCGATCCCTTCCCGCCCACCGTCTCTCCAGCATTCACCCCATCCGTCTACCCCCGTCCGCCACCCACTCTCCCGGACCCCAAACCCGCAGCCTGCATGAACAGAACCACCGCCACTCCCTCCCTAAGCGCCTTACCCGCTTCTTGCTCACGCGCGTTCGGATACAGATGTACGACCGCAGGACTTATGAGCGCAAGGCTCACTCACACCGCTGCTACCCACGGTGGACATCTATCGATTAGTTACGGAGTAGGAGATCACGTCAGCAGGAGGGTCCGGAGGGGAGGGGAGGGGAATCGATGAACAGCGCCACTGCCGCGCACAGGCACGCAGGACAGGTCCCGCTTCGCACTGGAGGTGGATGCAGTGCAGTGCAGCGCAGTGGAGTCTGCACGTAAGCCTGGCGCGCCACCTCATCACTCCCCGATGCACGTCTCCAGCGGATATTACCATCAGCACCTCCAACCATGCGGAACAAGCACAGTACCCACGGCGCGTGTGCTCTGGGCAAGTAGAATACATACCAAGGGCTATGGCTATGGCTATGCAAATATCGAATCCGGAGGCGGTGCGTGGCATGGCATACAGTATCCGCGTTAGCGAGGTCCGTAGAAGACGCACTGAGATGGACATGCAGAGCACCGCAGACGGCGGGTCCTGCGCACGCACTCGCACGCACGCACGCACGCGTAGTCTACACACATACCCGTACATCTCAGAGATGCTCCGCGGGCGGCACGCAAATGCAGGGAAGATTGTACGACACACACAAAGGCGGCAGATGGGGGCATGGGCGCGTCCAAACACGCGTTCAGGCGATGAAACGCGAGCGAGAGTTAGATATCGCTTCGTCCCGCCGCACGCATGTGATGGTGTTGGCCTCCACTTGGGGTGCGGCGTGGATGACTACTCGGGCAGGTAGGTACCGTACTTCGCGAGCCATCTCTCCCGCTGCAAATCTCGCGGTGCACAAATTCCCCGTCCGTTGTGCCCGTCCACGGGGCAGGACAATCTCGCTCTGCGATCCCACGGACGGACTTCACAATGCGCCTGCGCCAGCGCCCCTCCTGTCCGTCGTCCTTTCGCTTCGCTTGCGCGCTGGCCCATGCACCCACCGTTTCACCCTACCGGCGATCCGTTTCATCGCGCTCTGCACACTCGCGTTGGCCATGCCCCATCAGATGAGTCCTGCCAAGCTAGAGGAGCGAGCAGTAAAGCGGCACGGAACACAGGCGCGAAGATCAGTAGATCCACGCCTCGGCAAAGGCATAGCAAGTTTGAAAGTCGAACATCTTCATTCTCTCTCTCTCAGGGTGATCCCGATCCTCACTTCAGGGGACGCAGTTCCCCATGCACCTCCTCCCCAACCTAGCACTAGCCATCCCCAGTACCCCCACCTCACTCCCAATCCACCAGACTAGACAAAAGGAACAAGTAACGCCGCCCTAGAAAGAGATAAGTTGCGTATAAACAGGCAACCATCCAACGAAGTAAAACAGGTAGCGAAAGCGTATGAAAAAGGTATTGGGTGAAGAAAGATTACGACCATGTGTAGCGTTGCGAAACAGAACCATCTCACCGTGAGACCGCGTACGTTTCAGCAAAAGACAAACACATCCAACCATGACAGTACCAAACACGTCGTATCCACGTGAACATCAACAAGCCAGTCCGTTTCCTCCTTTGTCTGCACTGTCAAAAGTCGACGCCGGAGAAAGCTGACAAAAGTAAACTTCTCCAAATCGAAAATGGTAAATGGGGAATCCGAGAAAGATAACCGCTGCGAGCCCTATTAATTGCCGGCGCTTTTAGGGGTGGTATCCGAAGGAAATAAGATGCGCGCGTGCGAAGGTTGCGAGAATAGTGAACCATAGAGGAATATCAAGTAGACCGCTGGTTTGGCGAGCAAATGGAAAGAGATTCGAAGTGCCGTAAAAACAATACGAGACGTAGTAAGCGAGTGCCGTGTCCGTGGACGTCGATAACCATGAAAACTCCATGCGCGCCGTAGTGATGCCGAAACAGCTTTCACATTCAAAAGAAATCACCGTAATGAGCCGAAGCCAGGTGTCACGAATGAAACAGGTCCCAAGCCCTCGCGCAGAGGGAGATGAACTCTTCCTTCTTCCTTTGCTGGGTCTCCGGGGAGTCGCGAGGTTCGCCAAAAGGCCCAGGGCGTGTCTGTTGTCGGCCTAGTGGAGGGGTTCCCATATCGCGCTCGTACTCGTCTCGGCCTCGTCTCCTGCCGCTACCGCTGCGGTGCAGATGATCGGCGCTGGGTGGTGGGTAGGCGTGAGAAGCGTTCTTGCCTGGCATGGGCGACGGGGGCGTCGGGGGCTGGTGGCCGCCATAGTGAACAATGCGGGGCAGAAGATCCTCACGGCCGCCGGAAAGGGTCTGGACAGCTTCCTCGGCGGACTTGTACTCTCGAGGGCGGGTATTAAGCGGCAATTGCTGATGATGCGGTGGTGGGAATCCCGGAGATGGGAGAGGTGGTTGTACGTTGGAGTGGGACGATGTACCAGGGCTGTTGGTGTACATGCCACGACCAGTTCCAAGCGGCTCCGGGAAGACATCTGCGATGGGTGGCAGTCTGTTGCTCGTCTGCTGTGCGGGGACATGGTGGATGTGTGAAGTTTGGGACAGATTCGAGGGACCGTTGGCGAGTTGGCGGGACGGCGGCAAGTTGGTGCGTAGTCCAGTGAAGGACTGGTTGATAGGTGCAGACTGGATTACTCGCTCGTTTGCGAACTGAGAATGCGAAGGAGGGGCGATGGAAAGACCAGGCGGGGGACCTTTCCTCTTGGGCGTCTTCAATGGTCGTCCGAATGGGCTCATATCTTGCTGACGAGGGTCGTCGTCGGGTGGTCCGCCTTTTCCGCCGGTCTTGTTGCGTGCTTCTATGATCTGCCTCTGCCTCTCTCTTACATCCATGCTCCTTTGAAGCTGCTCACGCATCGAAGGGTCGTTGGTGTGGAAGCCCGGAGACAGGCAAGCGATGCCGACACCGTGCAAGTCTTTACCGGTCGACAGACCCGCAGGTCGTGCTGTGAGGGCGCCGGAAGAGTGGACGACGTGCGAGTTAGAGAGGTTCAGGCGGCTGGGGCGGTGCCGCGAGTTGGGCATGTCGGGCGATGAGGGTTCCTTCTTCACGACGATCTTGGGTGCGGGGCCGCGTGACCTGTATGAGGAGGCACGGTTAGAGAAGCCACCATGGGCGGGAGGAGACATGGAGGTGTTGGGTGGTGTGAGCGGAGCGGTCGTGGGACTGATGGAAGAGGAGGGTTGGCGCAGAGAAGATGAGGAACGAGATGAGTAGTTCGAAGACATACGAAAGAGGTGAACGCTTTCCCTCGGCTCTCTGGGGCGCGGCGCTGGAGCCATCACTGGAGGAGGTAGGTGAAGCATTGTCTGCAACCCACTGAGAGCTCTTGGAGTTGGGCGTCACGGTGTGTGGAGAGATGGTGCTGGGCGCGATGGCAGCATATACTCTCGCTGGCCCCGGCTCGAGCACAGGCGCATGTGGAGCGGCCACAGGGGTCTGAGCAACAGCGGTCGTCATGGTGCTGTCGTAGGGGAAGGGGCTCGTGTGAAAGAATAGATGAGAAGGAGTGTCGCAGAGTGCTTGGGGGGCCGTCCCGCTACACCAAAGGTATGAAGAGCGGAGGTGCTAAGCCGCGTTGGCGAGGGTGTAACTCGGGGCGTCTGCGAGCAAACGGCGGGCGACTCTTGCGAAGGCGCAGCAGTGCGGCTCAAGCGTGGAGCGCGAGCAGTTAAGAGAGGATCGCAAGAAGGCCGACAGTCGAGGAGATGCGCGAGGCGGCGTGGATGATAAATTTGGCACGTTGCGCACGGATTTGAGTGGCAGGAGCGACCCATGCATGGAAGGCGCGACTGGCTGGGGTATCGCCGCTTTACACTGGTGCCGAGCGCGCCTTCCACTCAGCGCCAGCCGTGACTGCCAAAGATGCCGCCCTCCAAGCAACAGGTGAGTGATTCGCACATGCACACAGCCAATAGTGCACGCGTGGCCAATCACAGCGCGCCCCAGCGTTTCACGCGCCGAAAGCGGTCCTGAGCTCGGAGCCCTTCGAAACACGCCAAATTGCGTGGACCGCCGTTCATGGCCGCGAAGGTTTCACCCCCAACACGCCAGTCGAACAAAACCCAACCGTCCAGCAGCCTCGTCCCCGCCCAAGCAACCAACACTGTCAGGCTGCCTCTGGTGAAGTGCTTCCAGGGTTTTGAGCCTTTCAGCCGCCATTCCACGTGGTGCGCCGCGCCGACTCATCGCACGTCTGAGCGCCTGTCCGCGGGATCGCCGCTATCGTCCAACGCGGAATCGATTCGCCAGGGCGGATTGCGCACTTCCTCTTCCGTCCCAGGCTAGCAGGTAGCACCTTCGCAAGAAGCGCGAGATAGAGTGCTGGGGTTCAGTGTGCTAGACGCCTATCCTCCTGGCTCCTCTCTATACCTCACCTATACCTCCACACCTCCTCCCGCCCATCACGCGCCAATTTTCCTGAGACAGTCCATCTCCGACTAGCACTTCCTCTCCAGACCGCCTCTTTAAACTGCCTGCAGGGTTGCGGAACGTAGACTTCTTCACTTGTGCCTCACCACCTTCCTCGCCCGAGCTCGGCTTCGCTTTGCCTGCGTTGCTCCAGACTTCTAGGCGATGTTCTGGAACCGGTGCCTAGAGTTCCTGCAGCACACCCTCCCATTGTTGCGCTTCGGAAACGCTGGCGACGACAAAATTTCCTATCCTATTGCTTGCTTATGCGCACACTACGACGGACCCCGTCGCTTGAAACATCATGCGTCCGACCGTCAGCTTGACCGCCCGCGACGTGTGACAGGCCAACCATGGCCGGACTTTGTCGCGCAAGGGCATCCCTCTATCCATTCTGTCTCTGTGCTTTACGAGCACTTCCTTTGTTGACAATTACATGTTCTTAACACGCCCGTTATGCTTTCGCTTCTGCCGTCTGTCCGTTTCTTCCTCCATTTACCCTCGACCCGGGCAATAATCGTCAGGTACAGCCTCCATCTAGCCCGTACCCAACTGGGCCAAACCCTCGGGCCAGAACTGGATAATTTGACTGCAGAGAAAACGTCTTGACGAATGGTGTTTGTCGATCAGCCAACCGAGGGATCGGGACAAGACCAATCGGCCTACCATGCCAATATACCATGTCTCGGAGCATCTGCCTTTTGCGCAAAATCCTAGGGCTGGACGGTAGCATCGCAGCAAGACGGATACTTTTGTGGCGAACCCCACTACCACATGCGAATGCGTAAAGTGACCTCTACAGTAGCAGTGCTGTACTTCGCCCACGGCGCTGGATGCCTGTCAAAACCTTCAACCTTGCCATGTCAACCCCATCCACATCCTTGCGCCCCACCCATCCGCTCTTTCGGATACGCCACGAACGACCTCGAGTGCTCCCGGCCACAACATCGATAGCGCGACGCGAAATGACTTGCCCCGTTGTGAAGGACGAGTAAACTATATTATCGCCCGTTCATTTCGCGTGCGCAGCGCTTCGAGCGAAGCCAGCATCCTAGTCCCGCGTCGACATGGCTTTCCCGACAATCTGCTCATCGCAATATACTTGCTGGTCCCTCACGTTGAGCTGCAAGATAGACAGCCCCTCTATATGAGAAGCATAGAACCACGGCGCACAAGATCTCCGCTGCAGGGTCTCATCTACGTGCGACATGCTCAAAGTTACTTCTAACCTCAACCTAGGTTCAACTCAATTCAATGCAATGCATCTATCCTGCCGCTTTCCTTTCCTTTCCTCCACGCTGGTGCCTCTTCCCGCGCGTCGTTGTCTCTGCACTGCACTGCATTGCATCTACCCGCACCACACACACCCCGTCTAACCCCATCCAGCCTCGCCCAGTCAGTTCCCGCACACGGGTGCAAGTCGCCTTGTCTTGTACAACACAACTACTCGACCACCATGCCGTCCCACCCCTCGCAGCGCACACTGTGCATTCGCACACTGCGCCGTCCCCATGCAGCTAAGGCGGTACGTGTGCTTGTCTCGTTCGGTGCGTCGCACAAATACTTGCGCGTGTCCCCCGCAGTTGCACGCGGCGGGCAACGCTCATGCAGGGGGCTGCTTTGGGTGCGGCGTGCAGGTGGGCTCCCGAGTAGCTCGTCTAGTGTAGGTGCGCTGGCACGGTGGTAGGGGATGGGATGGGATGGGGTGAGTCAGCATGGAGGAAGGGGAGTCGTCGTGGTGGTGGTGTGCGATTGGGATGCGACGAGGTGCCAGGTTTGTATTGTTCGTTCGTGGAGTAGTCTTTGGTGTCATCGCGTGGTTTGCCTCGTGTCGTGTGGTCGAGAGACTTGGCCTGGCAGAAGGTACGCTGAGGCTTGCTCTACGTCGAGCTCCCCGACGAAAGTGGTGGGATCATAAGCGCAATTGATTATGGTAAAAGCGAGGCGGCGCGGTTGTTGGTCTGCTGAACCGTTATGAGAACAACTGCATCCAGACATCATCTTTCTAGCAAATCGAGCGTGCCTGTAATTTCCAGGAGGTATGTTACTCTCCAAGTCGAGCAGTGCAGCGCCTCTTCCAGGTGTTTTCACTGAGGCCTTTGAGGATTCGTAATATTCGTGAGCCGTCTATGTATACGTGGAGGTGCCCACTTGTCGCGATAGGGCTGTTCAGCAGATCATAAAGGATTGTGGCGTCTTTTGCGAGAACGTAATCATCTGCTCAGAGGATCTCTTGAAGCCCTGGAGAGTTCATCGTCAGCCAACGACCCTTTGCCACGCTCAGCGTGCAACCATCACCAAGGATCTATCAAACAGTCCATCGTCAGCCAACGACCCTTTGACATGCTCAGCGTGTACCTATCCAAGAAGCTCACCATCGAAAGCACCTTCATGCTCCAGGTTATATACCTTGTAGAAAATCCCAAGACAAGCTCCTACATTCATCTCCCCGTAGCGCAAGGGCTCATGTTGGTTTAATTCGCTATCCGTGCAAGATACTTCTATGTCAAGGCAATGCGTTTTCGACCCCATGTGTGAAAAACCTAGAATCTATGCGGCATGTCAGCATCATTTGGTTAGAGCTCTACACTATTTGAGACTCGTGCACTTCTTCCTGCTTGTGAGACCAGCGCATAGAAACAATTGCAATCGAGATTTACTCCAAACACGACATCAAAAGGCCTATAAAATGTTAAGTAGCCTACGCTGATTCTGATAGAGCTGCATCTATCGCAGTCTCACTCAAGGGCCACTAACTTGATTGAGGCCAGGATTTCATGCATCGGCGGTGGGGTGGTTGTGCGAGCAGATTTGGACTCTATCGACGGCAGTGCTGATGCATAGTACTCGAATTAGTGGTCACGAAATTTCATGGTTCAGCTTCAAATGTTAGAACGCGGATGGGGTGGGTTGCATATTTTCGGGAGTGTGTATGAAGACGCTATTGAATCGTCGTCGTGAAGTGCATCGATCGCCATAATCGTTCTTGTGGCGGTTGTCCCTCCTGCCCATGAAGAGTTCTCCCGCTTATCTTTGATTGGAAGGTCTAGGTCGCCCACCGACGCTCATCAGGAGGATTTGTTGAGTCACCTGGTATGGAGCCATTTAGGCCAAAGTAATGGTAGGATATGCATCGCCCCACCTTGGTATCTCAGCACCAAGAATTGCTTCCTGAAGCTTGATGAAGCCAATACGGCGATAGCGGCAAGATTCCTGAACACCCAACGTATCCGGAATGATAAGAAGACTTGGATACGAGGCAACGATGGCGTCTCGTCCCATCAACAGTGCGAAGACCGGAAGGCTTTGGAGTGTTTCGTGGCTGATCGTATAATCTAGGAGACCGTAGTGGAGTTGTTGGCTGGACTTGGTAACGAAGGCAAAATATCCATTGTTCTCTCTTATACGCTCGGGATCACCCACTGGGTCCCTAGTGACGCTAATGGGAACCAACGGTGCCTGGATCGCTATTTCCCCATCGTCCACTTCGCCGTATGGGTTCAAGCCACTGACGCGAACGCTGCTAGAGATTATGGAGGCGAGTCGCATGAACTGTGACAAGTCCAGCTGACGATAGCGCTCAAACGATCTTTGGTAGCCATCGGCAGCTGCCCACGACCAGGACGGGGCACGATACTGTACAGGTGGCCAGGTAGTATTGTAGCAACCCGTCCAGAGGAGGTCCGCGAACAACGTGTCTTCCCAAAGTCCGGCGAGGTACTTATCCCCGAGAATCTGCTCAAACTTTGCCGCAAGACCAGACATCGCAGGAAGCTTGTCGGCGCTTTTTGTTAACCTCCGACTGCTGTAACCTTCCACAAGTTCGTCCCAAAAGCCCCGTATAGTGCGGGTTTTGGACTGTCCCGGATCTATGGCAAAGAGGCGCCCTTCCATACAGACGTCATCCTCACTCAAAAAGCTCTCCTTGCACTCAAAATACATTTGGTCTTTCCCGTAAAACAAGCAAGGTGCGACCGCTTAACACTCGTTCTTGAAAGCACCATCCGCGGTCGCTGATTGGATCTTCTCGCATAAGAAGAGCTGTCTTCCCGTCCGTTTCGTTCTCCACTGGTAGTGGGAACACGCTGAGTTTGCCGCGTCTGTGGCTATATGCCGTGTAGTCAAAGGTAGCGTAGTTCGGAGGTGATCTAGCAGTGAAACACCCCTCTGTATTATCACTGGCCCCAGCTGCGGAGATGGTCAAGTAAGAATTGGCATATACGGAGCCCATCTGCGCAGCCTCCCGTTGCCAATCTTGCACGTCGTCTTGTATGATGCATAGTGCCTCAATCCATATGTAGCGAATGCCCATTTTCCTTGTGATAACGAAAGCATCTTGCCTTGTCTTTGGGAAACTTTCGAACCGTATTCCCGCCCGGTGAATTTTGTAGCGGGCGGTCGTCGTAGTCAGCTGCTGTGATTTTCTCCAGACGTAACTAAGTGCTGTATAGAGGCCGCGCGTACTATTGGTTTCCTAGAGTTTTATAACGTCGGACGGAGGTTCGCCGACATCTAAGAGCCTTGTTGGATATGGCATGTCGGCATGCCCGAGGGCGCAGGTATGGTGATGGTCACAGTTCTTGACCCATCCGGGTGCGCGATCCAAGCTTTCGGGCCAGGAAGGATTTGGTTGCACTACTCGTCCTCTGAATGTTTGTGCGAGAGGATCGGTTTCTTAAATGTGAAAATTAAGCTTGCAATTCGATAGAGGTCTCGTCTATGTATGATGCATACCTTCAGTCACTTGGCTCCGGAAAGATCCCGTGTATTTACAGTGTGTCATTGCTCCGGGTACCAAACGCAAATCGTATACCCCCGTTAGGTCGATCGATAAGCAAGCTTTAATCTCGATCTTGGTCCAGCCAAGGTAGGCAATGAGTAATCATGCTGCACTTGAGTTGCCTAATCGGCGGTTCTAGATTCCACCATAACTTGTGATGTATTTGCCAAATCGCGCTCCTTCAGCTTCAGCAGCTCCTGGCAGTAAGGGCTGTGCATTCGAAGCCAAGTGCCATATCTGAGAAAGACAAACGGTATGATTGCCATGGCTAGACTGAGGAAGCCTAGAAGACTGCACGCCCATGGAATTCCGAGTCTCTCATACATCGGACTAGCAGCCAATGGAAGCAGAACAGCAAAAATGCTACGACTAAACGCCGACGATGCCAAAGCCGATGCCGCAAAGATGTCGTATGCGTCTGCGAGATAATTCAGCATGGATATGAAAACCAATTCGAGACCCATGCCGAATGGAACTCCGGCAAGCATGGGGACAATCCAGTGGGTGTCTGATCGGGCAGTCCAACCCTGAAAACATTTATATCAGCTCAAGATCCCCGCGGGGTGGTCTTGGAAGACTTACCAGCCAGAATAACGATGATACATTCAATGGCCCGCTGACACACGCCAAAGGAAGTCGACGATATTCCTCACTCTTCGACCACGAAGCATTGCGCTCTTTGGCTTGTTCGAGGAATGTGTCGTACCAGATTGCTATGCCACAAGCGATCACGCCGCCAACCCCGACTAAAATCTCAATACACAATTCAGTTACCTTTGGACATTTGACTCACCTGGAACCAAGGCTACACCAGCAAGTCCATCATTGAACTTGTATATGCCTAAAAGGAGTTAACATCCAAAAACAGCCAGTGAATACTGGGAGTTACCTTGAAACACAATGGGGTAGACTTGGAAGAAGATATAGAATATTCCGAATTGGAGAGCCAAGTACATGCAAGTGCAGATAACGATAGGTTCTTTGAACATCACCACCTAGATGGTTAGCTAACCCTATAGTAAATGGATTATCACATACCGGTCTTGCGAGCTTCACCGTTACGGTGTGCTTCCACCCATTGTCCTCAAGTTCGATGGGCGCATATACATTCTGGGCATGGTTAGGCGATGCTGCCCTCATTCGTTTTGCACGCCGCAAAAGGATGACTGGAGGGTACGTCTCTGAAGCATATGTCAGGTGGATCTCATCAAAGTCAATATCAAATATCGTACCTGGGAGAACAAGAACAAGCGGCCAAGTTGCACCGGCAATTATCAACCCGACCCAAAACGTCCATCTCCACGAGACCGGTGATACGAACCCCGAAATGATAGGTCCAATGATTGGACCTAAGGAAGTCAACTGAATCCCGTTAGCATTTCAAAACTCTCCCTCGTAATATACTTACTCCTATTAGGGCTATCGCTTGACCTCTTCTCACAGGATCATCATAGATATCGGCAAAAATGCCGCCCACAACTGTTATTGGCGCCGATGCAAAGGCACCCGAGAGGAAGCGAAAAATCAACAAAGCTGGCCATGTTGGTGCTAAAGCGCATGCCAGGGTGAAGACTGTAAAGCCAAAGAACGTCGAAAGCATGACAATCCTTCTCCCATGCATCTCGCTGAGTGGACTGAACAACGGCGGCCCAAAGACATATCCAATCAGGTAGACGGAGTTTGGCAATGCCAGTTGTTCGGCGCTTGATACATTGAATTCTTTGGACAGATAGTGAGAAGCGCCGCTTGGGAGTGAGGAACCAAGTGTGCTGTTGGATGCGAGTGCAAGTCCGATTATCAGGACGAGAATCTTCCTGCTCTGTTGAAAGTGAGAAGCTAAATATGATGGTAAAAACACGACTTTTCCACGTACCGTACTCCAATTTGCAGCGCGTTCAGGGTCTCCATCAGAAAAGGCGACCAATCTCACATCCTCCATATCACCATTGACCATGTGGACAGAGGCCATCGTGATGATGTGCCGTGGTGATGTGTCGTGATGTTGTGTCGTCATTTGGGAGCCCGGTGAGAACTCAGTAAAAAGGTACCGTGGGTGAAAGTGACGATTGTTTAGATCTGTAGAACTGGACCAGCTGAATTGATTACTAAGCACTAAAGAAGCTGCGAGTGCCGGCCTGGGGTTCGGCCAACGGCGACGCAGGGAATTAGACGTGAATCAGCAGCTTCCTGTTCGAGTCTCAGTGTTACGGCTGCTACGCCGCACCAGAATTACGAGAATGACAGCGTCAGCAGTGGTGCCCAATGGGAGTACAACTAAGAGGATTACGATCATAGGTCAGATGCTAAGCACAATATGAACACATAATAAGGTCATGTAACGGGATCTGTAGATTTGTAAGACAAAGCTACAGAGCCATCATCAAATAGTAATATATAGAGATAACATATTACAACTAGATGATTCTTATTATTCATATATAATACAGTTCTCTGCATCTAGTTTCCTCACAGGTGCGTAAGGGAGGTTGAGGCCGGAATGGGCGGTGGGCAGATGGAGAGAGAGAGAGGTAGGGCTTGTGTACGTGTGGACATGTGTACTGCGTGCGTGAAGCTCTGTGTGCAAGTCTGTGTGTGTGTGTAACATGCGTGGACTGTGTATGCATGCCAGCATGTAAAGGTGGAGTGCAGTTGTCGTTGCATTTGCTGCAGTCAGCTCAATAACGTATGGATTCGCCTTCAGGTGTGCAGATCAAGCTCTCCCATCCCATCTCATCCCATCCCATTCTTCTGATACCGGTCTTATATAACTTTCCTCACCTGTACATCCTCTTGTCTAACTCAAATTCCCTTGTATCTCATCCTTCACTTCCTTCCCTCAGCCGTCGGCGTCCCCGGAAACGACACCACCGCTTCCACCGTCACACATCCCCAACAATGTTGTTCGAAATAGCACCCCTTCCCAACCTGCTGGTCCTAGCAGTACCCTTCACCATCATCGTCTTCTTGGTCCGCTTCATCCGGCAAGCAGCGTTCCGCAAAACAGGACCGAAAATTCCGCCTGGTCCGCCGGGCAGTGATCATGCGAAGTACTTGCAAGCTGATCGCTGGAATGTGTTTAAGGCATGGAATGAGAAATATGGTATGTCTGCTCCTGTCCCGGCTGTGTAGAGAGAAGTGTGGTTTGCTGACATGGGGTGGGGGATAGGTAATGTGGCGAGTTTTTATACAGGGCCGCAGTTTAATATTTGTATGTTACCTGACCCTAAAGAAGTGAGCAGTGATGGGCTTGGGAAGGGCTGACTGATGTGATGGGTGCTAGTGCTTGGGACTATGGAGGGAGCTATAGATCTCCTCGAAAAAGCCGGCGAGACGTTCTCCAGCCGTCCCGACTTCGTCATGGGGTAAGATCAACATCCTCCCCCATCCCCCTCCTCTCACCCCCTCAAACACTAAACAAGACTAGCGAATTCCTCTTCTCTCGACTCCGAGGATTCTCCATGGTCTACGGCCAAAAATGGCGGAATTGGCGCACGGTTAGTCTTCTTGTTTTTTTTTTCCGGATATTTCGAAAAGTCAAATCATGATAGGGGGCTAATGGAGGCGGTGTGACGCGATAGATTCACAACTCGCATTTCAGCGCCAAGGCATCACCAGCGGCGAAGCCGATGCAGGAGAATGAGTCGGCGGTGCTGATTAAGGATTTATTAGAGAATAAGGCGGAGGATGGTATTTTGGACCGTAAACATAAGATTTTGAGAAGGTAAGAGTACTGATGGATGGAGATTGGTGGGGATGATAGAGGGGGGAGGGTGCTAATGGGTTTTATAGGCATATGGCGTCTACGATGTTTCAGATGGCGTATGGACGGAGGGTCACGTCTATGGAGGATCCTTTGATTATGGAGCATGATGAGGTTGAGGAGTGTAAGTACTTGATTTTCCGCTTTGACAAGGGCTTTGCTGATCGTTTTGACAGATATTGAAAGGTACGTCGGAAACCATGCTGTTATAATCAGATAACTGTTCACAAGTTATTTACACTGCTTTTAGTACAAAGTAAGTGTCAATTACGGACTCAACCTCTGAGTATGGACTAAGCCTTTATCAGGGTCCCGGGCCGCTTCTTCCTCGAGAGTGTAAGTTCTTCTAGCAGCGATAAACTTTGATTCAGAAACTAGAAGTAACCACCAAAACAACCAGTGGCCTCAACTACTATGGCTCCCAGTAAGCAGCGCTTCTCCCTCGCCATGGTAAAGTTCCACTAACACCCCTCTGGAAACCCCTGCAGTGGTTCAGCTGGGAACCCGAGAGACGCCGAGACACCAACACAAGACTCTACAGGGCCGTAATGAACGACGTCAAGAAGCGAATGGAAGAGGGCACGCAAGTCCCATGCACAACCCAATGGGCTCTAGAACGACAAAAAGAATTGGGCTTCGATGACCTGGAATTGTCTTATGCGCTGTCTTCTCCGTGGGCTGCGGGCATTGGAACTGTGTCTACTGCGATTGAGATTGCTATCCGTATGTTTAGCCCTTCGATGATTTTACGATGCCTTTCATTTATCATTTTCCACGGAGCGTGGACCTCTGACCGTGTTATGTAGTCGCCATCTTGCACTACCCAGAAGCCTACGCGAAAGTCAACGAGGAAATGGACAGAGTGGTAGGACGAGACCGTATGCCTACTTTTGCAGACCAGCAAAGCCTGCCTTATCTAGACGCTTTCATCAAGGAGACTATGAGGTATATCTCCCTATCCCATATGCCCGTAAAGTAATGGGCTGACGTGCATTTTGATGCAGATGGCGCCTCGTGCCACCAACAGTCATTGCGCACTCTTCGGTCCAGGATTATACGTATAAGGGCATGTTTATTCCGAAGGACACGGCGATTTATCCCAATGGCACGTGAGTCCTCCCTGAACCCCAAATCACAACTTCGTCCATCCGTCCAGTGATTAACAAACATGATCTCTCGTAGGATGATGATGAGAGATCCAGCGGTATTCCCTGATGGTGATGCGTTTAAGCCGGAGAGATTCCTGAATGTCACCGATCCAAGGCTGCAGACGTACAAGTTCGGCGTGTTTGGGTTTGGGAGAAGAATTTGTCCGGGGATGTATGTTGCGCTGCAGTCGCTGCATATTGCTATGGCGCGGTACGTGGAGCCTTCCTTCCTTCTCTCCTTCCTTCCTTCCTTCCTCCCTCATCCCCTCTTTCCACTGCCTTTGTTTTCAAACCCGACTTCCCACTGACGCCGCCAAACAGCATGCTCTGGGCGTTCGAAGTCCTCCCCGTCATCGAAAACGGCAAACCCTACATCCCCGACGCCGACGATTTCAGCTACGGTCTCGTCAGCTACCCCGCGGCGCTGAGATACAGACTTGTTGCGCGGAGTGAGAAACACAGGGAGATTACTATGAGGGAGGCGGAGCTGGCGGAAGAGAGAATGGCGGGGTTGCCGGGGTCGTATTGAGAGAGAAAGGGAAAGGAGAGAGAGAGGAGAATATATTGAATGGCTAAATTCAACATTTTGTCAGCCCCTTCGTCTCGATGCGGATCGAAGGGGAAAGGGGGAGAATATTGTTTAGGATTCTGTACAGAGCGGAAAATATCTACTCTATCAAATGAATGAATAATATTTCGAGATAGATTCTGAACATACTACTTTAACGGAGGATGTCTTGGTTTAGACGTATTATGGTAATGTTATCGATGTGCATATATACTCGTGGTTTATGTACGCGAGTATTGAAGTAGCATGTAAAATCTTCAAACTATAAGAGATATAAAGTCCAAAGTGTATCAGAAAACCCTTCTTTTGAAACACAAAAAAGGAAGCCCTATCAATCTACGTTACACCCGACCCCGAACCAGAGCCTAAATCCGAAAACAACAAAATTTACTGCCATCCCTCCCTCTTTCTAAAATAAGGGTTATGCACTTTCCGCACTTTATGCCCCTTATTCTCCTCTCCGCTCCCGCCCGCACTACCCTCGAGCTCACTCCCCTCTTTGATCGTCCACACATCACTGACTTCCAGCTCTCCTCGTTCCCTCCTCCGCTTCTCCTTCTTCTCCCTCCGCTTCTCCTTCTTCTCCCTCCGCTTCTCCTTCTTCTCCCTCCGCTTCTCCTTCTTCTCCCTCCGCTTCTCCTTCTTCTCCCTCCGCTTCTCCTTCTTCTCCCTCCGCTTCTCCTTCTTCTCCCTCCGCTTCTCCTTCTTCTCCCTCCGCTTCTCCTTCTTCTCCCTCCGCTTCCGCTTCGCCTCTGTGGACTCACTTTCTTCGTGCCAGCCTATCATGGCGGGTCGTCTCTGCACTGGCAGTGGCACCGCCTGTGGTTGATGGAAGAAGTAATTTTTTTAAGAAAAAGATAATTTCGCATAAGTTATTGTAACTCGTATTCTGCGATAGTTCCTCTAGAACTGTCTCGTGGAACACCACCCCAAAGTCTATGTGCAAACCAAGAGTCCTCCACGAATTCAACTTTGTCTTGACCGGTGTGAATTGTAGTACGCAAGGGATTTCAGCCGCATAAGAATGCGTGACCGGACATATTGGAAACACCGTCCGAATTCCATCGGACCACAAAATTCTCAAATGATAGAGTGCACGTGTAAGAGTAGGAGAGAAGTTGTTGCTGATACGGCGCTCGAGCTGCGAGAATCCAAAAGTGAGATCAGGCGCGCGTGGTCACTGGCAGATTGGCGAATGATGGAGGCACCATTCTGACAACATATGTTTTTTGACTTTCGATGCAATGCTCGTCCATTAGGATAGCGCTAGTGTATGTAATAATCAGATGATTAACGTTCTAGGCGAGAAAGATCAACATCTTTCGACCACCAGCGACCGGTGAGGAAATTTCGGAACTTGGCTATGCGTTTCCGTCTTAGCTTTGACCATCTTTTATGCGTGTTCACCACCATGGGACTGATTATCCTGACAGCTCGTTTTGAATGGTTATCGGATAGGTGACGTACTACAAGAAGCTGGGGAAGGCCTATAATTCGAATAATGTGGTCGCCAATACGTGCATCGTGTGAGCAAGCTGTCAAGTAGGGTTCGTCGTTGATGACAGCTTGGCATATCTTCCGGCTTCCCTTCGCAAGTAGGTTGCAGATGATGATTCGGGTGGTAAGAAAGTCGTGAAACCATGCAGGAACTTCTTGGCCGTCAGTTAACCGGCGCAGTATTGTCTCCAAATTCCCTCTCCGAGAGGTTTTGTAGCATTGCTGCCATTTCAAGAGCTCGTCAGGAAATCTTTTATCAACCGCTGCATAGTCTAATATTGCCCTGGCCATAGGGTGTTTAAGGTCTAGAGTCCATGCGGCACACAGAAGCATCGTCTGCAGGTTCTCTAGGTGAAGGTCATGCTCGGTGAGCATAATTCCATCGCTAGTCGCATGGAAGCTAGCGCAACCTCCTATGTAGCCAAGTTGAGCAGCGCGTATACGAAGAATATCCTCATTCTGGCTCACTGTTAGAACTTGTTTTGTTCGCTCCATATGAACAGCTCGTGCCATGTCATCCAAGCTCTTGAAGCTCCAACCTTGAGAATCCACGCCGACATCGCCATGATGAGTGAACCATTTGTGCCGTTTCGCGGCGGACCAGTCTGGCACCCATGAAGGAAGCCCAGGCAGGTCTTGCGCGGCGGCCATTGGAAGAAAATTCATCGACCCGGTTATCGCGATCAGATGAATAGTCAACGTGTGATATATCTTCTCGACTGGCAAGGTGTAATCAGGTTTGTGAAGATCAATAGCGCCTCTTTTCTTGAGAATGGACCATATTCCGTATGCCATGTCTTTCGGATCTGTGGCTTGTCGACGATAAAGTCCACTCAACAAATCATCTTCCGCCGAAATGTGAGAGTGCCGTTGCGCGAAATCGTGAACGCTTATTGAACTTATAGGAAGTATTGGTTTAAACCAAACAAGTGGGACAAAGACTCCGCAGATAGACAACAACAGCTTGCTGACTGGCCCGTGAGCCCGATCCTTGTCGAGTATGCCTGCCATATGTTCACTTAATATCGAGAGAAAGATCCGCACCGCCGCCCTTCCTATCAGTCCAACAGTGTAATATATACGCCCGATGGACGTTAAGAATATGTTGTACTCCGCCAGAAGAGGTTTAGGGTTGACACTGATCGACGTGCCCATCTTCTCTCTCCCTAGAATGATGCTTTCCCAAGGAATGACGATCTCATGAAGCAGATCGTACTGCACATTGCACAGGAAAAGGATGCTCCATTCGAAGGCAGCCCAGTCCAGATGGCAGTTTCCACACACTAACACCGGCTTCGAGGCGAGCAGAATCTCTTGATAGGTCCACGCACGACGTAGCCAGTCACGACTCAGTAGCTCTTGCAGATCGCTCCGTGTTACGTGTCTGTCTCTGCGCAGCGGTATAGGGCTCAGAGCTTAGTGTGTCAGCATGCGTACGAAATATCGTGAGCTGCCCAATAATACGTACGGACAAATGTATAATACGAACTCCACAGGTTCAGCCACATCCAGAACAATAACCATGCTACGACCCATTTGTGTAATATACTAATGGTTACGGACCCGTCTTGTGAGATTGTGCGGTATTTCTGCAGACCGAGTACGTCGAGGTATGCCATTGTTCTGTCTGAACCGCCAGATCCTTCTCCCAACCATACATAGGTGACTGTCGCCATTGAATAGATTCCCCCCATCATAGAAACTTGGTGTGACTTTTCAAAGCCATCATTTTGATTGATACAGATGGCATCAAGCCATATCCTAAAACCACCAAGTTTTGGTCGCAGGTGCCATAGGGCTGAAAAGCAGTTGCTAGTTACTTCGAACGGAACGTTGTTGCATAGTATCGTGTGTTTAGGAATCGCATAAGTTCCCCAGACATATGACAGTGCGCTGAACGCATTTCCTTCCTCGAGGTCTAACACACTGATGGTGGCTTCGATCGGTGCGTCGGTCGTATTCGGTGGGAGCGGCTTGATGTCCAATACGCGTATACATTTTGTGATTGGAATGAGAGGAGTTGCCTCATAGACATTGCGGATCGCGTCGATGGTAGTCTCAGACTCTTGAGGAGAGTCGTTTTCTTCGCTCATTGTTGTGCACATTAGGTGTTGGGGGCCGCCGGGCACAAAGCGTGAGAATCCAGGCACGATGTTGAAGTGGTCGAGCTAATAAGTCTCAGGCTCCAGCTGAGAGCGGGGTCATCGTATTTCCATATTGAACAATACCTTGACTCCACATTTCGAGGCTGTGGGACCCAAGAGATTGCTATGGTCATGAAATATCCGGTGAAAAGGCGTGCTAACAAAGCGACGATTGACTGGCTCCACAGCTTTTCCCTTATTTATCAGGATAGCTTTCCTGTATGGTCCAAGGTACTCTCCCTACCCTTATCAGAAGAAAACTGAGCAAATCTACAGCTGCTGCCGATCCTTGCTCGTTTGCTACTTTTGCGCTTGCTCAGCTGGCTGCCTGGCGGATATTCAGGTATGGCAGCCTTCTCCTCCCGAGGTCTATTCGAGCTATTTGAGCCTTGCCCATAAGAACGCGCCTCTCTTGTGCGACCAGGAGATAGCTTCTCCGAGGCCAGTACAGCTTGTCAGGCTGATCGAACGATATGTTGGTCACACTTCCCTGGTTCTGCTGATTGGGTAGCCGCATCCTTATGCTTCGTTCCCAAGCTAGAGCAACGAATCTTGTGCTGCGACTTATTGAATCATGTGGCTTAGCTTCTGCGCCTAATCACCCCCGCACATCCACTGCAGCCTCCAGGATCCGGTCAAAACCCTCCTGTGGAATACATTGAAAGCTAAGACTGAGATTCCTCTGATTCTCTGCCTGAACAGGCTTATACTTTTCGATTACCAAGCTATTGAAAGGTTGTAGATCTCCCTTCGAGTTTCACTACAATACGATCGTAGTTCGTCGCAGCGAACAGAACCAAAGGTTTTGTACCAAACTCTGCATTGAAGCGGAACTAATCCTCTACCCAAACATCTTTCCCTACTCCTCCGCGCCCATTCCCCAGCCCCACCACATCTAACTCCCCAACTGCACCGCCCTCTGCCTCATCCACTCCCCGCCGTTAACACCCCTCCCCTCCGGCTCAAACTTCCCCGCGACCTTCCTCCCTCCCCCAAATGCCTGAACTCCTCACAAGTCTCCATCAACGCCTCATTATGCGGCCTCACAAAATACACAACACTATACCTATCCACGTCCCCCTGCGCCCCCGGGGCAGGAACAACACGATGCTTAGCAGATTTCAACACGCCGTTTGTGAAGGTGACCATCGCGTCGCCTAGATTGATGACCGCGCAGCCGGGAAGCGGCTTGACGTACTCCCACTCCCCTGCTTTGGCAGGATCGTGGCTTTGGATTTGCAATCCGCCGAGCCAGTTGAAGAGGATGGTGATACTGCCGAAGTCGGTGTGGCTGGGTAGCCCGATGGCGTGTCTATCCGACACATGCGCGTACTTGTGCGTAAGCCTGCAGTGGTCGCCGCTGGGCTTCGTGAAGATGTTCTTGTCCTGGAAGGCCTTCGGCTCTACGCCCAATTGTTGTGCCAGCTCGCCGAGTATGAGCATGCCCACTTCATGCGCATCTTTAGTGAAGGACTGGAAGAGCGCTTTGTTCTCTGTTATTTCGGACGGGTAGGAGCGCGACGCGGCCACGCCGTGGACGTGGTCTTTTGCTACGTTGAAGAACTCGGTTGTGTCGGGGCGTAAGTTGGGGTCGGTGGATTTGACTGTGCCGGCGCGTTTGTAGCCAAACAGACTCACGCCTTTGACTAGGTCATGTTTGGTTTTGTATTCTAGCTCGTGGTCGAAGACTTGATGGGATATTTGGAGAAGGCGTTCTGAGGCGGATAGGAGGGATGAGCCGATGGTGGTGGCGGTGAGGTCTAGATAGAAGAACCCGTGGGTTCGGCATGCTTCCAGGGCGGATGCGCAGGCTGGTGGTTTTGAGGCGAGTAGGTCGCTGAGAGAGATGCGGGCGATGGGTGCCGTGGGGACGTCGGAAGGGAAGGGAGGGAGGTCCTTTGAAGACGACATCAGATGATAAATACGCGAACACAATACCCCTTAAAAGCCTTAATAATAAGAAATACAATGAGAAATGCAATCCAAACTCTTCACCCAGTACTGTAGATACCAAGCAATGAACAATGTTAAGATCGAACTATGATTCCTTTTAACGAGGTACGCAGATAGCTATCGTAAGAAGCTTCCGCGAAAAGTATAAACATATAAGAGAAGAGCAACCACTGCCCCACGTCGGGTCAGACGGAATCGCGATCTATTGTCCCCAAGGATGCACATTACCGCGGTCGATCGATTGACGTAAGTCTAGCGGAGTGCTACCCCGCTTCCCCAACACAACGCCATTTGCCGAACATAACGGTGGTATCAGAAGCAGACCCATCTAATATCGAACGCCCCTCATTGCACACGCTCTTCGACGCAACATGTGGCGCGATATCCTTGCCAGTCATCTCATTCATCTCACTTCGCCGAAAAGGGACTCGAGAAGTGGTTTTGAAGAGCATCAAGAGCCAGGTCATTCCAGTCCATCCTCCAGTCTCCGTTTGCCCTGAATGGATCTTTGTGAATGAATTTGGACACATCCTCCTGCATCTTCAATACCTCAAGATACCCAACGACCTCAGATAGGACGTCTTGAACCGGTACATTAGCGACCGGACCCTTGAATTCTGGGATCTCTAGTAGATTGTGTGGTTGTGCAGCGGCCTTCAGAGAGGAGTCATCGATGAGGATGGTATTGCGCTGGTCGAAGTGCGCACCGAACTCATGGCCGGGCATATGGCATTGAATATCCTTTGACGCCCATATCGTATGGAGGTTCTTGTAGCATTGTACATTGAGGCTGTAGTGCTTCGGCTCGAGACCAAGCGTATCCCTCGCCCAGCAAGCGATCAGCCGGTGGCGATATTCCTCAAGCCCAATTTCCACTAAAACGTTGACGTTATCCGGCTTCGCGGACGACCAGACCATGACTGCGAAGTTATCGAAGAGATAGGCTAGGAATTGCTTGAGAAAGGGTCGAGCTATCATCTTCCTGGGCTGGTTGCGGGAATTGGGGCGGTAAAGTAAAGTGCCATTCAGATCTAAGATCACAAGCTTCCTTGATGGAGGGATCCTAACCTCGGCTTGCAACGAAGCTTGCTTCATGTACTGGTGGGTGGGTATCGGTGCGGGAAGATAGATTTTCGGATCTTTTTTCTTCTCCTTCGGTCCGTTTGGCATTGGAGGACTGCGCACTTTGTTAGCTCGCCGTTTTTGAATCCTACTTGTTCGGACCATATGAAGGCTGCCATACCCTTTAGGCTGTGAGGTAGTCACCTGCGACCGTGACATGTTGGGGGTCGGTTGCGCGAAGTGGGGAAGACCTAGAAGTGGACGTGGGTTCTGTGCGAAAGGGCTGGTATGGTTATTAGTAGACTGTCTCCACGGAGGCTGTTTGCTTCCATACTGTGCTACTGTGTTTCCCGTACTTCCCGTCATAGGAGGCGGAGGAGGCGGTGGGGGGAAGCCGCCGGTGAAGAAAGGTGGTAAGCCACCATCTGAAGGCGGCGGTGGAGGAGGCGGGGCGCTGTTGAAGGGACCTTGTCCCGTGAAATAGTGTGACAGCGAATGGTTCGCATTCAGAGAGCCCGGCTGTGCAAGTCCAAACGAGCCTGCAAACGGAGGGGCACCGTGTACACCCGACAGCGGAAGGTTTCCGGTGAAGAACCCTGAATGATTTGGCAATTGTCCGGGGGCAGGACGCTGCTGATGGCGCTGCGCCTGTTCTTGACGATATGCCTCCACTCTTTGGTAATCTTCAGTCAGGCCGTTGTCGGTAGTCTTGAGGACCTCCTTCACGTCTGGTGGCAGCGAAGGACGCGGAGGCAGAGCATGCGCCGGCGGAGGGAAGTTCGTACGGTTGTTGCCATTGTTAGGCTGTGGCTGAGTGGGAAGCTGGTTGTTGGCGGTATTGTTCATCTTATCAGTCGCGACCTCGGTCGCAGTTGCCAGCTTTGACTTAGTTACATTAGCATTTGCGGATTGCAGCTCTTGTAGGTGGCTATTGTACCGTAGAGGCGACGACGCCATGAGGGGCACCTTTGCCAAGCTTTTCGTTGCTCCGTTTGTTGCCTGGACGAAAGCGAGAGATTACTCGAGGGTACGCAACTTTAGGAAGTCGCATGTAATGCCGATGGTGAAGGTGAAGGTGAACATGACGGCGCGTCTACCTAGAATTCTGTGGACCCTTGGTCGCGGGGAATCGTCGGTGCATGTGGGTCGGCGAATCGGCGTGGGGAATTCCCAATAAAAAGTTATGAGAAAGCCATCGTACTGCTCACACACTCCCACTCGACACGCACGGCATGCCGCTCTCTTCAAAACTCGAGAAAAAGCTACGGGCTGCAGAAGAAAGCTCCGACGATGAAGAATATTACGAGGTCACCGACCGGTCCTCGTCGCCGTCTATTATTGAGACAGGTGAAGGCGGGGAATTGCTAGACTCAGAGGAGGAAGATGAGGGCGACGAAGATGATCTTGAAGACGAGGAAATGGTATGAAGTCTCGTAACATGCCAACTCCTTCGTACTAAATTGTCATAGTCAGACAACGCAGAAGAAGTCGCGAAGGCACAAATGAGCAAAGTCTCGTTTGGCGCATTGGCAAAAGCCCAAGACGCCATCTCCAAGCAACATTCCGTAGACCGGAAGCGCAAGCGTGGAGACGAATCCTCGAAATCGCAAGACGACAAGCTACAAGCTTTGAGGGAGCGATTGGCGGAAATCAAGGCGGCAAAGCTTGCGCAAGGTGGCACTTCTCAGCCAAAATCGAAAGCCCGGAAGACACAGCAAAAACAGCACACCAGGGACGACGATGGAGAGGAAGATGACAGCGACGATAGTGGCTCCGACTCCGATACAGCACCCCGCGCGCGATCCAGCAAGCACGCCCCAGCTGTGCAAACGAGCAAAAAGGCAGTCTCAAGGAAGCGCCAGGTTGTCGATGCGAAGAAGCCCAAGTTCCGCGACCCCCGTTTCGATATCGGCCCACAGCCAGATGACAACACCCTCCACAAGCGATATGCCTTCCTGAACGACTACAAAATCTCCGAGATGAACGAGTTGCGGGACGCTATCAAGAAGACGAAGAATGAGGCAGACAAGGAGAAGCTCAAGAAGAAGCTTACGTCGATGGAGTCGCAGCAGAAAGCCCAACGCAACAAGGACCAGCAGCAGGACGTACTGCGGGAGCACAAGAAGAAGGAGAGAGAGCTGGTCAAGCAAGGAAAGACGCCGTTCTTCTTGAAGAAGTGTAAGTTCATGCACGCGTACCTGAGACTATGGAACTACGAATACTGACTGCGCTCCAGCCGAACAAAAGAAGCTCGCCTTGGTCGACCGCTTCCAAAATATGAAGTCCAAGGACCGCGACCGGGCGATCGAGCGCCGCCGCAAGAAGGCGACAGCGAAGGAGCGCAAAAACATGCCCGCGGAGAGGCGTGGAGTCTAGGCACATGTTCATCATGCGATACAATACGATACCCCATGCGATTACGCGTTCGTCACATTCTTTGCAATCCATCTCCATGTGTCGCGTCGTTCTGCACTTTCATATGCTACAGCCCCGTCCAACAACTCCAGGCTGCACGGTACGCTAGATCCGATCAAGCATCCTGACCACCGAACCAGCCACGCGCTCTTCTTCGCGTCTAGAATTGCGCCAAATACGACCTCCATATTCACAATTGCATGACATTGGCTTTCCGATCGCCGCGATCCTGGATGGTGCGTCGCACTAGGCGGGGATGTGGTTGCAAGCAGGGTTCGTCCTGCAGTAGGCGTGCCGCAACATCGTCATCGACGTCATACCCGTTCACATACCACCTCCCAGCCTCCCTGACCTGCTTTATTAGGTCGGCACGGCCACACGTCTTGGTTCTTTATTTGATATTCGCCTCTCACTTTTCTGTTGCGCAGTTCGTCTTCGTTTGATACTTCATTCATATACCCAGTTTCGTTTTAGGAAGTAACGCAAGAGACGATCAGACATCATGACGGCCCCACAGGACAAGCCGCTCAATGAGTACGTTGCCATCCCCAGCCTCAATCATCTCCAGCCCCCCGTTTCCCGTTCGCATCAATGAATTGTGCACTAACATGAAACTCCAGGCTCCTCTCCCGTTCCATGGTCGACATCTACGTCGGCACCGAGAACACGCACTGGATCCTCCACGAGAAGCTCCTATGCTACCACTCGCCCTTCTTCCGCTCGATTTTCTACGCAAAAGGCAGCAACAACAAGACCTACGGCCTCCCCGACGAAGAAGATACCCCCTTCAAAACCTTCGTCGGATGGCTGTATTCCTCTTCGCTCCCCGTCCCCCGCGAAGAAAGCGACCTCACAATGCTCTTCGACCTGTACCTCATGGCGGAGAAATTCCAGATCCCTGTCCTGATCGCCGATGTCCTGCAGGTGGTGCGGGAGTGGTACAAGTTCTCGGACACATACCCAGGACTCAGGAGGGTGCAGTATGTGTATGCGAATACCGAGGATGGCAGCCCAATGCGGCATATGCTCGTGCACTCTGTCGCACGTATGGTTGTCCTTGAACAGGGCATTCCGACGCACTGGGACAAGGCGCTTAAGAAGAACGGTCAACTCGCTGTCGATATCCTTAAGGCCATTCAGGATTGGCGATTGGACGAGCAAATCATCCCCGACTCGCGCGACGACCCTGCCGACGCTGAAGAGCTCATCGATGTTGAGGGTGACCTTGCCGACGCGGAGGGCGAAGGTGAACAGCAAGAGCAGCAGCAAGAACAAGAGGAAGAGGAAGTTGAGGAGGAAGACTCCACCGATGACACGGTCGTCGACAGCCCGGTGCAGGCGCAGCACCCTGTTGGCAAGAACATCAAGGCGAGCGGCGAGAAGAGCAAAGATCTGAGCAAAGACCTGAGCAAAAACTTCAAGGAGATGAGCTTGAAGGTTGTGCCCAACGGCCTGACGAACGGCGACTACGGCACTCTCCAGCACTGAGTGCATCCTATTTGCATGATCACGCTTCCATTTGGCTCCAATTTGCACGGCAGCGAAAACTATGACACGGCGTTGGTTCGATTATATTCTTTTCTTCGGTTCCTTCTTCACGCTTTAATACCTCTTGGTCTTCGATTTGTAGTTCAGATACCTTTTGTGTATAGTATACGCTTTGATGTGTTCTACGTAGCGATCAAAACATCTTTTCAGGCTCAATGTTGCTCTTCAAGTGTGCTTTTGATGTTGTGATCTCGATGCCGAGTGGAACTTACATCAAAATCTGCTTTCGTCATGTAGCAAATGGTACTCGATGACCGTCCATGTATGAAAGTCTAGACGCAATCTGACTCTGGAAAGTGAACGTGCCGTTGCATACGAAAGCGAACGACATGCTGTACACGTCTTTCATTAGCACTTGCTTGGCTTCGCAGCGTCACAGCCCAAAGGTCATGTCGCGTGATGAGCGCACGGGAGCGCGTACATTGGCAGAGACGTAGTCAAGGGACTCGCATGAAACATAGCTTTGCCATACTTCGTGAAGATACTTGGACTCATCCGACGCAGTCAATATCAAGTCTTATAGTCATTAGTCATTAATCATTAGGACTATGCCAAACGACTGGGTACTGCATTGCCTAGCCCGGGGTAAACACAAAGCACCACACCCCCTGACAGCACACTGAGATCCTCAAGGCAGCCTAATCCCCTCCAACGGCAAAAACATACTCTCCCTCCCCACCACCATCGCACTATCCACCCTCTCCTCCTTCACCCTCCTGCCCACCCCTCCCCAAACTTCCACGTCCACACCTCAGCCCTCTTCTCCTTCTCCACCCCACACAGCACATTACTCCCCGGCCCCGGCATATTCACCTCCCTAATCCCCTCCTCCAACCACGTCCCGTCCTTCGCACTCGGCTTGATCCGCACCGCAAAATGTTCCAGCTGCGGCGCATGAACACCCCTCTTCTCGAGATAGTCCGCGATCCTCCCAACCTTCTTGTTCATAGCGTGCCCCGTCGCCCACGGACAGTGCAGCAAGAAGTCGTCCCGCAGCGTGAGCCGCCGGATTCCCCAAGGAGCACTTCCTCGAGCGCCGCCGCGAACTCAGGCGCCCACCCGAGGAACATGACCATTGGGACTTCCACGTTGACTAGGTTCTGCATGTCCTTGAGTACCGCGAGGGTGCCTTGTATGGCTGGGAACTGGAAGCCTTGGAGTTTGATTTCGGCGGGGGAGAGCGAGCCAGGTGCGAGGGTGACAGTCAATTTGCATTCCTGGAGGGTGTTTTTGAGGTTCGAGAGTGCGATGTTGAGGCCGTCTAGATTGAGGTAGGGAGACAGGGGGAGCGGCGGGGTGTGGGCGTTGTAGAGGATTTCTTGCTCGTAGTGGAAGCGCTTTAGGTGGGGGGTGGCGTGGAGGAGTTGGTCGAGGGTGCCTCTCGTGATGTTTGTTCTGAAGAGGCGGAGCATGGTTAGGGTCTCGTTGCGGGGAGCTACAGGGCGGTTCCAGTTGAGCTGCCACGGTTGCGTCATTAGGTATTCGAATGTGCGGACGGTGTCGGAGTAGAACACTGGCCGGATGAGGTCCAGGTCCATATATGACACTGAGTTCTCAGGATCGAATCTCTTATCGCCTAATACTACGTGCTCGAGCCGGGGAAACAAGCGGGGAGCGCGTTTAAGGACCTGCGGAAGGAAAAGCGAGTGCATTAGAAATCCATCTCCAAGATCCAACGTTTTTAATTCAGTGAAGCGAGTCATCACTAGCGTAGCCAACGCGTCCTTGCTACGGTTCTTGAATTGGTCCTGCTCTTTGTGCATGCTCTCGTCCACGAAGGAGTAGATTTCGTTCGAGGCGAAGATCTTCTGCGACTTTGACAGGGTTGTACATCCTTTCAACCCCCACAGGTTGACCGATGCAGGGCCGGCCTTTGAATCCTCCGGCCACGGGTTGTATTTCGTCCAGAAGGGGAGAGGTCCGCGAAGCTTGAAGATTCTGACATACGATGACAATCGCGGCTGCTCGAGAAGAGTTCGGAGAAGAAGCGCAAGTTTCCGGGCGCAACTGCGGGATTTCGTCGCCTCAAACTTGACGTCGCGGTAAACGAATGGCAATGTCTCCCTATAGAGTAGCCTGGATACTCTCAAAACATCATAATAGTCGTGCCTGCTTAGGTACTCCAGAATGATCGACAGGACACCGGCAGGTAGTTCGGAGAGTTTCGCCATAGTGTTCAGCCCAGGAAACTGGTCGCCACGGTTCAGGAAGCAAATAGGTTTAAAGACATTATGTACCTTTTGTTTGTCCGCAAAGGCAATCGAGAAAGTCGCGATTGCCGGCCAGGAAGCAGTAGATATCGAAATTGGGGGTACGACGGTGGAGATAGGAAGGTGAAATAGCAGGCAAGTAAGTTCATCACATGGTTTAGCCGCCACGCCGTGCCTTGATCGGAAGCTTAAGCAGGGGTTCCATGGCGCTTGTCCGCTCTGAGATTAACCCGATATTGACTGGACTCCGGAAACCAGCCAAACGGTCCTCGGTCAGAGCGAGCAGCCTCGGACATTTGATGACTTCGCATCTTCGCGACCAATGGGATGTGACGATGGCTCCTGTATTTCCACGCCGAGGGCCATGACATTGCAGGCGGACCTCCTCGAGTGTGCGCCACATCGAGTGCCAGACTAGGCAACTGACCCCGCGAATTGGGGCTGACAACACGGATGTGGCTGCAATGTGTACGAATTCGGCGCCAGTGGACGATGCAGGTACGTTGATAAGGCGGGCGTACCCGTACTCTAGCGCACGAGTGACGCAGGAGTACATTGAATAGTGTATAGGAAGCATTCGAGTTGCTTTTCCCGTCACGGTGCGCTGGGTGCCTGGATCGAAAACGACAACTCGTTGTGCGGATAGATGAAATTCATCTGAGAATTCATCTACAAGTATTGCGCGTCCAGCGGCCGTAAATCTGCATTTGAACTGGCAAGATAGGGGCTTTTGACAAACCGAGGCCAAAACCATGAAGTTGAAATGCATGTGCTTCGGCGGACGGTCCTGATGTCGGAGCTGTCTAGGATGTAGAACCCGGTGGTTACGGTGCTCTTGCTAAACACGTGCGAACACAGTAGCTACCCGTGCTTGCGTGCTACCGGTGGCTATCTGTGTCTGCGGACATGATGCTTCTTGAACTCACCCAAGTGATACTGCGAAGCCAGGCCAAGCGGTATGCCTTGTCGGTCACCTCGAAAAAACCGAATGAACAATCCGCTATCAGGACACCGAGTATCAAAGAGGGTGCTCTCCCGGGCCAAATTCCAATGGATGGGGTTCTTCCATCGGAGCAACATGGGATAGATGATCTTCGCAGTGATCGACTTGTTCTTGCATGATGTGCGCAGGTCCTCTAGCTGATTATCGAACATATCAAGCGAAGGGTCCGGAGGTTGCCAGACGGCGAAAGATTGAAGATGGGGCAGTTGGTCGATCAGAGAAAGAGCTATCTGAAAGATGCACGTCAAGTCCATGCGGGCTTGGTCTCTCATGCGAGCTTCTTCTTTTGATTCCTGAAAGGTTGGCCCTTTATCTCTGATGGAGGTGTCCCAAGGGTACACGCGCTGCGCGTCAGTCATGTCTGTCCGAAGCGTCAGATGACGAAGATTTGGAGGAGCAAACGGCAGGTAATTCGTATCCGATCCGATCCAAAGGAATGCGTTGTCAGTCAGGAAGGGTACGGGGACCTCAAGCGTATGCAATCGATCAAACCATCCCAAGTCGAGGCGACCAGAGACATGTGGCTTGAGGTCTGGTTGATCGAAAAAGGTGTTGTCCCCATTGCTCAACTCCACGCTGATGACCAGTGTCTCCAAAGTACGTCTGACAGCACTTAGCTCTGCATTCCACTGTTCGAGAGATATCCATGGCATTGGGGGCCCAACAGTTCGTGCTTCTAACGGAGACCTGCTAGTGTCGCAGAACGCCTCGCAAGTGAGCAAGCGGAGCTGTGGAGTTTCCGCAAGAATGCCATGCAAAATCTCGCCAACATCCGTGGTAGATCGTATGACAAGTGAAGTTAGGAATGCCAGGGTGGAGGAAGGGTGGAAAAGCCGGGAACGGTTTATGGTGGGACGCGCACGCGATTGTGACTGGTTGACTGCTGATAATTCCAGTGATTCGATTGCTGGTAAAACCAAAGATTGACACATGTCATTCGTGACAGTGCGAGGGTAGGATGTAGCCGTCTCATCGTCGAAGTGGTATGTCACCGCCTTGATTGACTCGAGATGTCCCAAAAGCCGCCCGTCTCCCGCTGCTCCTTCAGCTCTTATATTGTCCAGAACGTACTTGAGAGGTCGTAGGGTCTCGTCGCCTTTGTCGTCAATGCTGATATGTTGAAGTGTAGGGAGGACTAGCAGGAAAAGCAATGCAGCATGTACTCCATAGTCATTGGTTTCCAGTCCTTCGCGGAAGTCATCTACTCGTACATGGAGCACAGGTCGCCAAGTTTCAAGGAAACTCATCGCCTTTTTGACAGACAATCGATGCTTGGATTTGTCTTCGATAGGCATGCATCTTCGAACGTCGCGCGACGGCACTTGAGACTCCACTCCTAGTCGAAGGCTTCGCACGTGTTTTCCTAATTTCGGCTCATTCAAAAAGTTGAAGCAGAGCGTGTCTACTCGGGGTATGTGTTCACTGGATCGAACCAGAAGAGTGATGTCGCGATATAAGTGAGGTGTGACGAAGTCGCTTAGCGACTTTGAGACCTGCGAAAGGGAACAATATGCTGCCTGAGGCAGACATAACAGGATCTGTTCGAGCAGCTCGGAAGGTAAATCTGAAAGCTTGGCCATGGTTGCCCCTCTTATGGTCGGCTGACAGAACCAGATATCAGCCAATGAATCCGATTTATTCAGTGTCTGTAGCACCAAAGCATGGAGGAACTCACCTAACGAAACCTCAGAAAAGAGCGTTATGCTGCGTAAGATTTGGCAGACACGATACGGTCGATCATGCGAAGTCGTGCTTTGGATGCTGTTGATGATGGTGGCGAAAGCTAGAGCTGGAGATCTGGGGCTGCCAAGCCACGTGCGTTTGGGGGCGTGCCGGGTGGTGCCTGATAGGTGACATCGAGTGATTGACGAATCTTGTAATCAGTAGAACTGTCCGCGGAACATAGCTACGGTTGGTCTGGGGTTGAGTATGCCACAGTAGGATAGAATAGCTCCTATATTGTGCAGGTCTTCAAGCCGAAGTTTGAGTATCATTCATGCATTTTTCGCCCTCCGCGCCTGCTTGATCAATATCAAGACATCGCTGAAGAGATCAAAACGCTAGCTACAATACAGAATTTGGGCCAGATCTCATCGCGAGCCTACCAAAAAAAGCTCATGTTTACAAGTACAGGGAATCTGGGGTAACCGTACCATTACCTATGTGCAATCATCGTTCGCCTTTCTGCCTAAGCCAAAGGCCCCACTTTTACGTGTCGAGCATGCGATTTCAAATAGAGCCATCAAATCGTTGGAACGCTTTCGGAAAGCATGCGTTCCCCATGTCTTTTCGTCCTCCCACCTCTCCTTGTCGCCCCAAGGCCATTGGAAAGTGGGCGGAAAAATTAGTTCTTGAGGCCGATCTTGTTAAGAAGGCTGCCGGTGCGACCGCTAATGGTCGCTTTGTTGTCAACAACCTTTAACAAGCTCTTCCAGACCTGTCCTGGCTCCTGGCTAGCATCAATGGGCGTCCAGATGCCCGTCTTCTGGTAGTATGAAACGACAGGCGCCGTCTGCGCGTGGTACGTGCTGAGGCGCTTCGTGAGCGTATCCGCGTTGTCGTCGGAGCGCTGGATGAGCGGCTCGCCGGTCACGTCATCCTTCATCTCGAGCTTGGGCGGGTTGAAGATCTTGTGGTAAGATCGGCCGGACGCGGGGTGAACCAGACGACCGGTAATACGTGCGACGAGAAGGGAGTCGTCAATCTGAAGCTCCACGGCGTGCTCGAGCGGCTTCTTGCTAGCAGTGAGCATGTCGTCGAGCTTCTCGGCCTGGGTGACTGTTCGTGGGAAGCCATCGAGAATGAAGCTGCACGTCCTCTGTTAGCATTGCCAGGATCAAGCTTGCACAGCTCTCGTTGCGGTCGTCTTTACGCACCCGTTCTTGCACTCCTGGTTGTTGTCCAGCTCGCTCTTGATCATGTTGACCATGATCTCGTCGCTGACGAGACCGCCGGCGTCCATGATTTTCTTTGCTTCCCGGCCGAGCGGAGTCTTCTTTGCGACCTGTGCCCGCAGCATGTCTCCAGTGGCCTGCATAGGTTAGCATCTGCCCCGGTTTATGTACGGAATGGGTTCCCGCATTGTTGGGTCGCAAGTACGTACGAGATGGCAGACGCAGAACTTGTCCTTAAGACGGGGAGCCTGTGTGCCCTTTCCTAAGCAGCGTGTCAGATTCGTCCTTCAACATCGCTTTCGCGACAACGGCGCTGCGAGCTCACCAGCACCCGGAGGGCCCATCAAAATCATGCGCACGCCATCTTGAGCCTGAGCCGCGGTGCCCTGGCCGCCTCCCAGTCTGCTCTCGAGCTCCGCGATGCGCGCTTCGAGTGTCGAGACCTTGTGCTTGAGGTCGTCGACCGATGCGTCTTGTATCGGTGCCATTGTGTTGACGGATGTGAGAAGAAGAGAGGAGATAGGGAGGTATATATGCTGGTCTAGGACGATGGACGCGGTGCAGGTTGGCAATGGCGTGGGACAGAAGTGCAGATGTTGGCATCGAGCTCCGGCAGAAAGGCATGCACGGGCCACCCGCTTCCAAGGCGTCTGTGCCTCGGCCAAATGTCCGGGCAGGAGGGCACGGTTAAGCTGTTGCGATGAACCGATCTACAGTCACCCCGAAGTCTTGTAGGGCCTAAACGCGCTTACTCACACTACCTATCGAGTGTTGTCATCCAAAAAGCTCACCCAGAAGTAACTTCCAACATCAAAATCAACTACGAAGGATTGCGGTCGTCAATGGTTTATTGTGTTCGGTTGCAGATGGATGCAGCACGCGAACAGTTCCTCCAACAAGCGGCCAAAGCCACACTATGCTCGCAAGCAACCATGATGCTAAACCCCATGCTAACGCCGTCGCTATGCAGCAAAACTTTACAAATACAGTATCCATCCCAAAACTATATTCACCGGCAACTTCAGTTGCTCTTATCAATAAGCGCGCAGCTTCTTGCCAGACGCGGGTGTGCCCGTCTCTGCCGTGCGCTTTCCAAGCACAGAATCTGGAGTGCTCGGCATGGCGATGCCAGCGCCCTTGCTGTATTCCTCCCAGCAGGTCGCATGATAGATCTTGCCGCCAACCTTGATGGCGTCCATCCACACAAAATCGTTCGCGTCCTTGGACCATTGCGGCTCGAAGTTCTCCTGGCAGATCGGGCATGGCGCGTGGGCGAGCGTAACGTCTTGTGGGACAAGGACGTATCGGTCTTTCGCCTGCTTCTTGACTCTCCCAGCCGCCCCCGAATGGCCGTTAGTCGAGTCGTCGGGAGCCGTCTCATCGACCTCGCGATACTCAATCCATTCCTTGAACTTTGTTAGTACGAGCTTACTTGCTAAGCATCACCAATCTTACCTTCTCCGTGAAATACCAGCTCCGATGAATACCACGCTTCGCAGCATCTGGGTCCTTCATCTTGAAATGCCAGTCCATGTGACGAGCCTTCTTCTCTCTACCCTGGGCTGTCGCCTCGAACCGTCGTCCACACGTGGTGCAGATATTGGGCTTTGCGTCGTACAACCGGGAGATCAGATGCAAACGCGGTCTGTGAATGTTGTCAGAACTTTTCACTTCGATAGCCAAAGACTAGAGGGAACTTACTGCTTCATCGATGCAGTTGTCAGTTCAACTTCGTTGAGGACATTAACTGGTGCAGAGGATTGTCGTGTCATAGGCTCAGAGGCGAGAGGCGTAGCATTTGAGGGTGTGCCAGCGTTGGGCAATCCGTTCAGGGCATTCAGAAGCCATGACGCATTGTTAGGCGGCGGTGCAACGGGAGCACCAGCAGACTGCGACAGCAATTGACTGAGACTTGGGATCGCGGCAGGAAGAGCGGGATTGAATGGAGGTGGTGTTGGAGCTGCCGGAGTCGCTGCAGATGGCTTGTTGAAGCTCGCCAAGAGTTGTGCAAGATTAGCTGGGGCAGGCGCAGCTGGGGGCGCGGGTGCTGGCGCTGGAGCAGGCGCAGGGACCGGAGTCGACATTGCGGTGGGCGCTGGAAATGGTGGAGGATAGAATGGCACTGCATTTGGCGTAGACGATGTTTGCGGTGGGGTGGACAAGCGTGCTATCAAATCTGCTAGATTAGGTGTTGCTGGCGCGGGAGCGGGAGACGGATTTGTGACAGCGGGAGCGCCTGGTCGAAAGTGTGCGAGCATCTGCGCAAGGTTCACGGGCGGAGCGCTCGCAGGAGGCTGAAAGGTAGGCGTCGCCGGTTGCTGCGGTATGGATACAGTCGGCGGTACTGATGCAGGAGGGACGAAGGCAGACATTTGCACCGGCGTAGGTGCAGGCAGAGGCGCTATTGCTCGAAGCTGGTTGCGAACGGCCTCGAGTGACTGTGGCGGCAGAGTCTGCGTGTCAAGCATCTTTTTCAGCGCGAGGAGAGCGTTCAGCCTTTGCTGCAAGCTAGTGTCCGCAAGATTACATGCAAAGGCTTGCTGAGCGCTGGCAATGAGTTTGCCAACCTCCTCTTTTAGTTCGTTCAGATCAACAGAACCCATAGGTTGCGGGAACGGCTGCGGCTGAACAAATTGATCTGGCGTCGGCGTCGGTTGTGGAAATTGTCCATACTGTTGTTGGCCTGGGACCTATCTGCTTGTTAACATATAAGTTCTAACCTATGACATTGTCAACTCACCTGTCGAGCTCGAGGGTCAGGCGGTGCGCCGAAGTGGGCACCGTTCTGCGGCGGAGTTGGTGTGTCCCTCCAAGCGGCAGCCATTGCGGGCCTCGCAGGTAAGGCATGCACCTGGCGCTGGGACTGCATTTGAGCCTGCACAGAACGCATCTTGTTAAGCGCGTTTTCTATGTCACTAGTCATCTCAGGAGGAAAGACTGGACGAGAATCCATCGACTCAGGAACGGGCTGCTTCCAAGTCCGGAGTAGGCCTTCCATTGCCTTTCGGGTGGGCTGGTCCACTTTCGAGTACGCTTCCATGAAGGTCTTATACAGGCCGCGACCAAGATAGACTGTATAAGGTGTACCAATGTTCTTGACGATCGAGTCTAGCACGTATAGAGATGGGAGTCTCCATTCCGGGCGAGCCTACACTAGTCAGCCGCTGAAGCCTCAGAAATCAGAGGGGGAGCATGGGAGAGACAGTGCCCAAGACAAGGCGAGACACACGACATGAGCTCATGATGACTTACGGTTCGAATGTGGTTCTCTAGTACAGTTGATATCGCCTGTGCATGCTCTGTGTTCTCTTTCGCGATGAGGGTTAGATTGCTAATCTCAGGTCTACTATTGACTTTCAAGTCTTGCAGGGCGTCTTTGAAGTCGGCAGCGACCTCATCGGAAATAGAAGACATGATGGGCAGATTGGTGCGAAAGGTAAAAAGTAAGAAAGGTGCACTTTGGTTAGAGGGGAATAGTGGTAGGTGTGATATGGTGAGAATGAGTTGCTCGATCGAACGTCGGCGGTCCGGACAGTTGCTCGGGTCAATCAGAGGGACGATGTGTTTCCTCGCTCTCGAACACACTAAGACAAAGTGATGTTTTCGCCTTGATGCTAGCTATTGATGAATGTCTCGCCAGGCAAGAGCAGCGTAAGCACTGCGCCAGATGCCCAGAACAGCGACGAATCTCGCAATCTCCCAGCCAGTGCCGGAGCCACCACCCCGCGAGTATGCCTTCTTCCTCCTCCAAGCCAAACGGTGCAGATCCGTGCGCGGATACAGGAAGCCGCAGAAGCAGTCGGGGACTATGAGGGTGAGTGTGGTGCCGTTGCAGAGAGAGCAAGCACGCTTGATAGAAGCGCCGGAGGGTGGCTGCCGTCGCGTGAGAGCGCTATTTGGCAAACCAGCACCGTCAGAGGCAGGTATCCGGGAGTAGGGATGCGCGGGTGGTCGCGCGCACAAGGTGAGGTGTAGTGTTGAAGGGAACTAAAGGTGGAGGCCAAAGCAGGCGCCCGTTGTCGTTTGTAAGTCAAAGAAGCGGCGCTTTGACCCGCGTCGCCGCTTCCACTAGCGGCCAAACACTTTCTCCGTCTGCCGGGCTCGTCGCGACGCTCCCAGCTTTCTTTCACGTCAACCTTTCCCATCACTCCGCCCCTCTTCACGCGCTTCTCGTCAGCTACTTGCTTTGTGCGCACTCTCCGTTTCTACCGTCACTCAAAAACCCCCTTTGATCGATCGAAATCGCCGCATACATCATGGAGGACGTCAAGTTCGTCCGTTCCCATTCCAACTCGCCGCTGCCTGAGGCTGGCAACGAGCCAGAGGACCCCCTTGCACCCGAAGTCGACGAGGAGAATGGCGTAAACCCGCCTCTCGGCGCTCCCGATCAGGATATGGAAGTCACAGAGTCAAAGGACGAGATGCCCGACCCAGACGATGTTCAGGAGGGCGGGCTTTCAGACAACGAGTCTGTACTGAGTGAGCTGGACGACCAGCAGTTTGAGGATTTCGATGAGGGCAACATTGCTATCGAGGAGCGTCCGGCGCAAGTCATTGATGGCGAGAACATGAACCTGATCGGTGTACACAAGAGGAAGCGAGCAGAGGGCGAGGGCGATGCGCCCAAGAAGAAGAAGAAGCGCGCCGACAAACCGCGGCGAAAGAAGCGCGACGACGAGGTCAGCGGCGGGGACGAGGCGTCTGGCTCACGGAAAGTCCGGTCAAGGAAGAAGGCCAGGGCAGCTGAGCCGGATGAGGATGACGAGAACCTTACTCCCGAAGAGCGTATGTAGCTGGACTATACATTCGATAGAGAGACACTGACAAGAAACAGGACGGCAACGTGCTCTTGACGACCAGATCAAGGCCCTTATGAAGCCGTCGGGAGGTTCGCGCAGGCGTAAGAAGGATGGAATCGATCTAGAGGGAATGGCCGATGCCGAGATTGAGGACATGCGCCGACGCATGGCCTCAGCAGCAGAAGCAGACAACGAAGGTCGAAAGCGGGGCGAGCCTGCTAGGCACAAACTTAAACTTCTGCCCGAAGTCGTCACTATGTTGAACAAGAACAGCATCAAGGACTCGATTGTCGATCCCGAAACCAATCTCCTGGAAGCCGTGCGCTTCTTCCTCGAGCCACTTAGCGATGGCAGTCTTCCCGCGTACGACATCCAAAAGGAGCTCTTCGCTGCGTTGGAGAAGCTTCCCGTCACCAAGGACAGTCTTGTCGCGTCCGGAATTGGCAAAGTCATCATGTTCTACTGCAAGAGCAAGCGCCCCGAGTTGATGATTAGGCGGCAGGCTGAGCGCTTGTACACTGACTGGACCCGCCCTATCTTGAAGCGCACCGACGATTACCGCAAGAAGGAATTCGCCCAGGCTGACTATGACCCGACGTATGTGTTTCCTTCCCTTCGCTCTTTCTTCAGCGTTGCTAATGTTAATGCAGAAATGTCCAAACACGCGCCACCGATCCGCAAGCCAGCCAGGCTGCGGCAAAAGCCGCTGCTCGCAAACAGGCTCTCGCACCTCCCACTACATACATGCGTGCTCGTCCTGAAGCCGGCCCGACCACTTACACAATCGTGCCGAGGAGCAACGTCGTGTTCAATGAGAACAACAAGGGCCGCTCGGGCGATGTCGATATCATGCGCAAGATACGGAGCAATCGCGGTGGTGGACGTCGTTAAATCTGTTTCTTTAGCTAGGCCAAAAAGCAGGCTCTCTTTCAAAGGTTCTTTTGGGCGATCAAGGCGTATTGAGGCTTGTACAACGAGCAAACGGCAAGATTAGTAGCTGCATTTCTGGAGTTGGGACATGGCCTTTAAGCTAGTATGTATTGATACAAAACCCTGGGTATCTGACGCCTTCTCGAATATTCAAGTTTTCATGTACGGTCTATTTGTTTGCTGATGCCGTATTTATAACGAACACTTTCCCTTCGTTGCCGCCACGGGTGGTCGGTGATGGCTATGAATCCGGGACTCGGGCCCTTGCCGCGCAGGGGCAACAGGATTTGATTCATACTTCCATAATCCCTAAGGGGGCCAGAGACTTGCTGCTCAAAGCTTTCAGAGGACACGCTCGGGGTGAGAGAAAAAAGCTAAAATATGAGAAAAAGAGCAAAAAAGTATCGAACCCAAGGATCGAACCCGCTCCGAGGCGACTTTGCGCTATGTCAGATAAGATCCTAAGATCACAACTTACACCACGATGGTGGCACGAGGCTAGCTGTGGATAAGCCGTGATCTATTCTAAATGTTTTAATATATATACGCTGTTACATAGATATAGGTAGGTGAATCGTAGCTATGGGTGAGTGAATCATGCGCAAGAAAGCTCGAGATAACGACACCTCTCACTTTGGAGCGACTGCCCCGGAACCTGTGATTTGAATCCAGACCGGCTCTTAGACATATCAACATAATACAGTTTGTTATTAAAAAGTGACCGGAAGCCGAACTTTCTGGTCCCTTTGAAGAGGTACAACAAGCTTGGTAAAGAGATAGAGATGAACAATATGCTGGTTTCACAGACGAACCAATACAGGCTGGTGACGAAACCCCCCAATACGTGGTTATTCATTGGACATGCAGGATCGTCGACTTAGCACTTACAGGTAACATCAGTGTTTACGGTGTCGCCTGTTATGAATACCGAGGCGGTTCGGCCAATTGTAAAAACCACGGCACTGATTCAACATGAGCCTCAAACACGGGGAGGGTAAAGTGTGTACACCTACCAATGCGCAGACAAGAAGACTATAATCGTGAGAATCTTCTTCCGTCGAGTCATTTGCAGATTCCAAAGAAACGGCATCGGAATAAGCAAGAGCCATAGGTCAATAACAACGCTCGTTACTCCGTGGCCTAATTGTATATCGATGGTCCTGATACAGGTATATCCAGAGTACCCAGGTAAGGCGCGATCCCAGAAAGCGTTGACCGGGACGCAGTTGAACAAGGCGACGAAGGACATTATAATCAATCACGCCAGATTCGTCATCATACATGCCCAAAAGTTGATGAGAAATATCCGGCTCGTAGTCCCAAACATACGACGGTAGAGAAACAGTGCTGAGATCTGGGACAGCCCGACCACGAAGTCATATAGGTGATACATGCCGTAGAGGACTTGCAGAAAGCGTCTGAAGCGCAGAACAGGAATAGTGCCGACGTGTCGGCCCATCCCAGAGTCTCGCGAGTATGCGGCGAGAAATAGAACGCTTACGACGAACGGCTTTGTACATGGGTATGAGCATTGTTCTAGTCGAGCATCACCAAGCGATGTTGCGGACTCACCCATGCCGCAAGTGTAATCCAGTCATCCCAGTAGAACCGGCAGTGGATAAACTGGCCTGTTGGACGTGTGGGAAGGGTCAACCGGAACCAGAATCTCAGGATGATGACGAGGGTGCAGAGAGCGGCCCATGTCATCGAGAGGGCGAAGACGGCTTTGCCCTTGATGGGGCCATCGGTAGGTAGTTAGTCGCGCTCACTAATTTAATATAGGCATGAGCGTTAGGGCAGGAGAACAGCCGTACTTGGATGAGCGATAAGATGCTCGAAATGGTATTATATTCGCTCGGCGCGTTGGGGGACAAACCTGTTCGCAGGCTACACCGACGAACTGGCTCGAGGAAGCGACCGCGCTGGACCTTGTGTGGCTGCCACTCATTGGGCATCCGTTCCCAGTGAATGTACTGGGCGTTTTGATGTCCGGTCGTACACATCCTACACCCATGCAGGTGCTAGGTTAGGCCCTTAACAGCTTGTGACTGGACGAGCTGTACCCCGAGACTACCATAGGTAGCTTAGGGCACGCCCGCAGCTTGCTTACACCATGTGGTCTGGCTCCTCACCAGAGACACAGGATCTCTTCAAGAGGGGGCTTCGGCATTCGCTACTGGAAACGCAGCCACTGCAACGGTCGAGGGGGCCGGACTGCCAGCGAAGTCTCTCAATGGCTGGCAGATGAGCCAAAGAAATATGCATTAAGATTTCTTTCAGCCGCAAACGAAGATTCCGCCCCCAAATCACTCAATGATGTACACCTTCTTCCCCCGTGATAATTTCAAACGGCAGCAAGCACCATGCTAGCCGGAGATTGAAAATCCTATGGCGAGCATTGACTCGTTTATGCAGCGTCGACACAATGGCTGGATATGTGTGACAAAATGAGCAATTGGGTTGGGCAGCCAAAGCAGTGGCGCAACTTGAGGACCTAATGCCATGGATATAGCGGGAGACGCTAACATCGGCGGCCCCTTCTTCTCCCCAACGAAACTTCAAGTATCCATTGACTTCTTGCACCTCGACTTTACATTTAGCAATCGTTCCTTGCGCCGACCCACGAAGAGGCCAATTCCCACTCTTCTGGCTTCGCTGACTTTGTCCTTCGCTAACGCACCTTGGCTGACACGTCCTGCCGTCTTGCGCTTCACCCTTTGCTTGAGGGATAATGAAGCGGCACTGTCCATGCAGGGGCGATGCAGTGTACCGCGCGCTCCATAGGGGCACTGTAGAATCGCAACCCATTTCCCTCGCTTAAGTTTCCCATTCCCTCTCTACTCCTCGGGCATTATCACCGTAGGCGCCAATTCCACTTTCCTTCTATCACTCCATTCCTCCACCTGAGTCCAATCCACACACTTCCTCGGCGTCTTCGAATGCGCGTCCAGGAACGTGAAATTCTCCTCTTTCGGCCACGTAAACGTGTACAGACTAAGATCGGCGTTGCACATGCTTGACAGCCGGAGGACTTCGATGCAGTGGTCGAGGTGGGTGTGGTAGTAGTCGATTTGAGAGGCGGACAGGGCGGAGGAGGTGCGCAGGTAGAGGAAGTTGCGCATTTGATTGAGACAGTGTAATTCGTGGTAGACGCCTAGGCTGGCTAGGTAGCCTCCATTCTTGACGCGTACGGCTGTTTGTGAAGGGACATCGGCGGTGGAGAGTTCAGAAGAGGAGGCGTTAAAGTAGAATGGTTGGAGTAGGGCCGTCCAGGCTTCCCTTGTCACATTGCTTGGGGCGCCCTGGAAGTCGCTGTTTTTGACGCCATGCTCAGCGTGGTGTGTATTTATCTGTTGCTTTAGATTTTGGAGTCCGGGGAATGTTGTTAGTTGCGTCGTGTGGGTGTTGCATTGAAGGAATTGGAAGATGTTTGCAGCCACGGAGACCACCAGGAGAAGTGATGTTATGCAAGTAAAAAGTGAAGAAGATAAGGTGCGTCGCTGGCCTCCACGAACAGAGAGTTGCTCGACTGAATCTACCTCAGATTCTGTGTAGCTCTCAGATAGCAGATGCTTTTGCTCATCCATTTTCGCAGACCTGTTCGCAAGCTGCTTCCAAGTTGCCCAAGAAGTGCTGTTGTTGTGTTGGCCCTCAATTGACAGAGGCGTCGGCTAGAGGAAAGATTCTATTTTCGGATCCGCTAGATGAAGTCGAAGTTCACGCTCGTTCCAAGGTTTTACGAGGAATCCTTTGCCGCCAAGGCAGAATGGTGTTGAGTGTGAAGTTGGCCCCCGATGTGGTGGACGCGCCGATCTTACTTGAAGTGGCTAATGTACATACTTGTACTCATATTGTTTAAGCGAGCTTACTGCACTGCCTTCCTCTCACCGTTCCACTGAACAGGCATTTGCTGTCCAGCTGGAAATAAACAGTACGCTAACGCAGTCAGATTGTCTGACCACCTTCGTGTTCCTGGTTTCTGCGTGTCGGTACATTTTCTACATGGGGTGAAAGCTCAACAACGTCCGGGGTAGTCGACCACAGCATAACCTTATCTACTTCGGAACCCATTCTCTGACAATCTACTCACGCTCGAATCTCTCAAGCTTGCCAAATGTCTCTTCGTCACGTTCTTGTGGTAGTCGCACTGTTCGGTTTTTCTCTAGCAGCACCTGTTCCAGGTAACTCGCTCCAATCCCATTGGTCTCTCGAAAGCTAACATTGGTGGCAGCAGAACAAAGAGGCATCGAAATTCACCTTGATCCAGAATGTGATCAAGTCCTTGGTGAGTAGCTCAAACATCGTTTCACGCCCAAATGGCTAACAGCGTTCGCAGTCAAGCGGATTTGCGCAAACTGAGAGTGACAATGGGGCCGATAGACTGGGTGGGCGCAGGGACAAATGATCCGACTCTTCGTACACATATTTAATTCAGTAATTCTGCCTTGATCTCTGGTATCCAATCTGTGTTAAACGTGATATCGGGCATCTTCTTGAGTCTGTCACATGGTAATCACGACATGCGTGTAACATGTGCAACACGCTTTTGCAGACAATAAGGCTGTGTCGCTACTATGGGTCCATACTACTGATCAGGTAGCGCGCGGCCCCATTGATGCATATGCCACGCTTGATATATTTCCGCAAGCGCATATCAATCGGGGATTTACAAGGGCTGTGGAATCTTCGGCGGTGGATTGAGGCTAATTTCATGCAAGGATTGGCTGCATCAGGCCGCACAGCCCTACCAATGATTCCAGCACCAAACTTACGGTCCAATAAAAACCACTTGTTCGCTGAGCGTCTGGTGAGATTGTTTGTGATACATTGCCCACGCATGTATTAGGCCGGCTGCCGCGGCCACGCCCTGTAGACTATACGGGATAATGGTGTGGTCACCCCAGTCATCGCCGACGTGTGGCACCTTTGCTGCTCTATCTGCCCAGCATTGGCTGGACTTGCTTTGCCCGACCGCTTTTTCTTTCCAACTTAACTCCCGGATGCCCATGCTTTGGTAACCTCAAAGTCGGGACAACCTAGATTTTTGATCCTACAATTCTTACTCAGTGTGTTCGTGCGCTGCCGGCAAACTGGTACAGTCTTCGTCATGTTTTGGGACACTCCATCCATACCTGCCCTATACGGCTCCATCATACCATTTCTCGTCTTAGATGTCATCGTGGTGGTCCTGAGATTCACGATGAAAAAGCGACTTGGTCAGAAGTTCCATGCAGACGACTGGGTCATGGTACCAGCGCTCACTGGAGTCATCGGTCTGGCGACGATGTATTTCTATGGACTTGGGACCAAGTCACTCGGCTATCGCTATATGCTCCTGCCTCCAGCAGGTACCGATATGACAAGCCCTGATTTCGTGCCTGAATTCGCCGGACCGACCTCGCGAATTGTGCGGACAAGAAGAGTGAGTTTGCATGATATCTTCTAAACGACAAACACTGACGAATGTAGCTGGAATACTCTTCGCTGATTCTTTTCACGGCTACGGCGGGCTTCCTCAAGATCAGCGTGCTCCTTTTTTATCGTCGCATCTTCACGATAATCCCCTCCTACAAAGATGTTCGCAGTTGGTTCTTCATCATCATGATCACTTTGATCAGCGCGTGGGCTCTGTCATGGATCTTCGCGTTTGTTTTTATGTGCAGACTGAGTGTGCAGACGCTTTTCACCAGCCCGGAGAACCTGACTGCTAAGTGTGTCGATACATTTGCGGTTGGATACTCGCACTCCATTTCTGATTTTATCACGGATGCACTTATCATTCTCATACCGATTCCATTTGTAAGGCTTCTACAGCATCCTGATATATGAAACTTTGGGGCTGACACCATCGCAGGTTTTTAAACTTCACTTGCCCACCGCACGCAAGCTCGCCGTCTGCGGTATCTTTCTCATGGGAGCCCTTGCCGCAGGAAGCTCCTTAGTAAGAATGATCTGGATGATCTGGAACATGTCTGTTGGTTTTGGCGACGCGACGGACGAAGAGCGTAAGTCTCATCAATCATCAAGTTCTGTCGGGGTACTAATTCATGAACAGTCATGATCACGACTGAACTATACTGGATGATGCTTTCGATCTGCCTTGGTACCCTTGCAGCTTGTCTCCCAACGCTCCGTGGGCTCTTCAAGACCAAATCAATGGAGAGCTTTGTCCGCAGCTGGCGAAGTGTGTTCTCAGTTGCCTCTGCATCGAGGTCCCGATCATGGAAGGGATCGAAAGAGGATTCACCAGAAGTCAGTTTCGAGTCAAGCAGGTTTACACCTAGCAAGAAGTCATACAGCGACCACAGCCAAGGCTCGATTGATGTCTAGAGCGTAGACTTGGTTTTCCGATTACATGTCTTTTCCAGCTTGCTTTGATAAAGTACATGGGCGATTGCTTAGATTATCTCTTTGGTTAATATGAACACGATCGTTGTATAATTCACAGTCTCATTGCAGTGAAATTGATTCGTCTTACATAATCAGAACATATTAAAAATCGTACCGACGTCGCTTTTGCAAGGGTGTAGCTCAATGACGACAAACATTGCGGTGTTCAGGCTGACCACGTTGTCCCAAGCATTCGGCGACTGCGCCCAATGCTAAGAACCTGTGGTCACTGCATGATATTATTATCTCAGCACTAGTGCTGGGGCGCATAACGCCCAATCGGCCCCTGCCAATATTAGCACATTTTATACGAGGGTTTGGCGCCGAGAATTGGGGGCCGCGTCTTATTGCGCCGATCGAATACTCACCAGTCGGGGACGTAAATGAACACAGCCTACGTGGCTTGGTGATGCAAGGGAAACTGCCGTTATTGCCTGCGTGTCTTCGCCCATATGACCGTACAGGGAAATGGGATGCAAGAATGACTGGGGTTCCTGGGGCTCATTCTAAGCACTACGGCACGGAGCGACCAAGGAGAATTAAGTATCCAGGCACCTGAACCTTGGTAGAGGTATGTGCGTTACATAGACAACCCATTCTCCCTCTATATCCTAACCTCAGTGGACGTGCAAGCTGCTCTCAGGTCATAAAGTCAGGGTCGATCTTTATATCATCTGCCCCTTGAAACTGACGAGAACCTGAACTCTGGAAACATTGTGTCACCGCTTTCACGATGTTAATGAAACTTGTTGTGCTTCTTTTGGCTTCGACTCTTGCCGCACCAGTTACTGCGATACCTCTCGATGCCCCAAAGTACGAGATTGTTTATGGCACTTCAAAAGTCCCGGACATCTCCAACCTGGGGACTTCCAAGCGTAGGAATGCCTTCTTCGTCTTCTTGGCTCGTGTCGCTAATATGGGATTCAGGTCAGGCCGGGGAACCAACAGCAATTGATTGGAGCTGCCAGTACGCGTCTGGAGATGTCAATCAAAATCGCAAGGACGCCGCTGAAGGCATTGCCCAGTATCTCGAAGGCCTCACCGCGCAAGGTGTAAGATGTGGACTAGACAAGAATCAGGCCTACTACAACCTGGTCACATGGACGATAGACGGACAAGGATACGAAGCGAACATATACTTCACGGGAAGAATCCCGCAAACCGTCTCAGCAGACTATTCCTGGTAAGCTTTATCTCTCCCTGAAAAGTAGATAAGCCAGAGGCTGACACCATTCTAGCGCAGATCTCGCGAGAGAGCTTCGGTTGATACAACAGAGGTGCATCGATAAATCCGGAGGTGCAGATTCCATTTTAGGTAAAAACTCATTGCCATCTGCCCTGATATTGTTGTCGCTGATTACTCTCAGAATGGACCTGGTTGGTGAACTGTATCTCAAATCCCACGTTCTCATCAGCCCCAGCACAACCATACATTGAAGGCGGTGTTGGATTGGAATTCAGGGAGTCTGGGTGGCCCTCCCCTGTTCATTCATCATAGTGTGAGCCGGCTACTTAGCATTTGTTTTCGTACTCAAAGCACATGGGTATCTCAAGTGGCTCGATGTAGAAGTAGGAGAATTAGTGTCTAGAGGTGCATCCATTCGTAATGTCTATTCGAACTCGTCTTTATTGATCGTACTGTACATCATGTAGCTCCTGTCGGCGTGGGCCTTAGGGCGCTATGTTTTTATCATGATCAGCTTGCCAGAGCTTTTCGAATTACGTTCACGAGAGCTGAGTCTGTCCAAAGTCATTACCAGGAATCATAGTCTCGCCTCCTATTTAACCCTTACCCGACCACAATTCCTTTGTGTACACGCAAAAATGCAGCACTGTCCATCCCTATAGACCAAGAGACATTTCTTCAGTACAGTAATGCTCATTTTCTGCCATGGTAGTATAGAGGCTGGCCCAGCTAAGATAATATCAGTTGTTTCCACACTATTGAAGACAATATGGTCACGGTGAAGGCCTCTATCATATGATGTGGTCTAGTGATGAAGGATAAAATGATGTTCTTGCACATAACTTACTTAGCAATACGCTTAGTAAAGCGTCACCTCTTTAGCCTACACCAACTACTCAGGGACCTTTAAATCAAGCGAATCAGGCGAATCTTATAAGTGTCGAACAGTAGTGAGTTACCTGTGTAGATGCTGAGTGCTGAGTGCTGGGTAACAGAGTTGATGATGAAGGAACAGAATGTTAGCACGCCATCCCTAAGCTCCAATTCACCTAGCTGATTGAGGACCCTTCTCCATTAGCCCAGAGATCTCCCAATCAGCCAGTATGAACCTTTAGCAAGCATCTATCAAGTAGGGATACACGAAACTGCTAGATAACTATTTCCTATACTATCTTCTCCACAATCTGCATCATAGATACTTACCATATCATGATAGTGTACTAACTATACTATTTTAGCAAACCTATCAAAACCATAGTATCATAGATTCACTATACTGCAATAATATATGCGATAGTTCGTATGAATCTCATGTCCCTCAGAGCCACCACAGCGCTACTAATCAAATCCATCAGCAACCACCTTCCACTCCCTGCTAACCAGAAAGTAGCCCCGAGCCATGACCTGTGTATACTTGATAAGCGATCGTACTCTAGCACAGTTTATCTCTACCTAAGGTAGATTTTAGATACTGGAGTGACTATCGCCTCTTTCTGTATGAGCTTTGCCACGGCGGAGAGTCTGGGAAATGTTTGTGGCGACGTCACTTGTATTGATATCTCATCATGCGACAAGCTGTTGTGGCAATATCGTTAGCAGGATCTCGCTGCTTCACCGGCGTATGTCTCACTGTATTGGAGGCTCGATCTCTGAATAGTGGAGAGGAGAGGAAGCTTGAGGGCAACAGCGGTCAATCATTTGGTAGCTGCATAGATGAGCTTACCGCGTCATTAGACATGCTATATCTCATTCGAGGTCTTACTGAGATTCTCAGGTGCAAAACAGCCTGCAGCTCATCAGAGTGCATATTTAGGTCGAGCACAATCGCTAGTTGACGGAGCGATCGTGCCGTGGAGATGTGTACCGCCTTGGGTACACAAATACTTAGTGATGTCTCCCCACCAAATGAAGGAAGTTTTCAGAGGGGACCTTATTGTATCTACTTTCTTTCGCCACCGTGCGTGATGGACAAGCGATAATGCGCCAAATATGCGATCTCTGATTTCGGAACAGTCTTAGACTCTAGACCAAGATTGTGAACGAGCTAAGGAAGATCCATCTGCCATGTAGTCGTTCTAACATATTCCAGAAGAATCAATGAGACCAGCCTCGACCCCTGTTATGCGTATGGTCCTGAATTCCAGATGAACGTGATTTTGATGAGAACCAAGAATTTGTATAGCTTCCGATTTTGCAAGTTCACTGGTCCGCACCGCATCTCAAGTTTGCGCGCGAGTACGAACGTTTGAAAGGCCCATATTAACACCTGAGCCGAAGACAGTACTTAGGTCTCGTTCCTTTGTATTCCCAGACTGAGCTTGAAAGAGAAGGCAGGGAGGGGAATGACTTTCCTTCCAACAACGTAGACGCCAGACCTCACGCGCAATGAAAGCTTCCTGCTAGACGGCAGAAAAGTCCCAAACGGAAGGAAGGACATTTAGTAAAAGCCACACGGTTTTTCCGCTCTGTGCACCGTACTGTAATCTATACGCAAGGTATGTATACAATGTGGCGCAGCGAGCGAGCGTTGAACACGGACACGAACACGAGCGGTTTATATATGTATGTAAATCAGCCATGCGCTCTTGCAGCAGCAGCCACGCATCTCGTATATGCGCATGCGGTCGATGGCTGCGTGGCGTAGGAAAGACAGAACATCCGCCATGACGACAGCCAAATTTGAAGATACGAGCACCTCGAGGAGCCACATTCCAAACGCCGTATACTGCAGCGAAGGAATGAGTCCAAAGTTGCTAGCTCCAGAAACCCTCGAGATATGATTGATGCCTAAGTGAAAGTGGCACGTTTCGAACAGAATTGGTACGCTGCCCTGCCCTCCACTCTATTATACGACGCACGTCTCTCTCTGCCCATCAAGTAGCCCCTCGCGTACACCAGTTCCATCCTAACCACCTCTCTACAACAAAGTAAGTCAAACTACAGCATTCCCTCAAACGTTGGCTACCACAACACATGACACCACCACCGAAACACGCACATCTCCCGCATCCATCCCTCCCTACCTACCGACCTTTCTAACCCCACCGCCTGCCCCGTCCCATCACGTTACCCCCGGCCCTCACCCCCAAGCGGCAAGCACCGCGAGAATAAAATCCCCGGCCACATGGGTTCCCGCATCGGCGTGCACTCCGCACACCCACACAGTACGTAGCGGTGGAGCCACACGCCCAGAAGCGCTGGGTTGGCCCCGGCCGACGGCCCCGGCGGGGTCCGTCGATGCGCAGGGGTAAGCGAAGGCGGTCCGAACGGGGAAGCGCTGGATGAAGGCAATATACTTCGGAGGCAGGAGGGACGTGTGTGCAGAAGGCTGGATATTGAGTTGGGGTGGGGTGGGGCGGGAGATGCGAGCTGGGAGGGATGGGGAGGGGTAAAAAGCGCTTGGGAAGGATGGAGGTGTGAGGTTAGGTTTGTATGTTAGAGAGGGAGGGGGCTATCTTTAGTAGAAGCGTGCGTCACAGGCAAGGCAAGGTCAGTAGACTATCTTGAATGAAGGTGCAACACATGCCGTGCGATAGCGTTAGCTTTGGCGTGGAAGCGTCGACTGTCTATCTATCATAGGTACACTTCTGACCCACCAGGCGTGCCTTTTCCCTCGCTCATCATTTCCGCCAAACTATAGATACAATACGTCGTCACATCAACTGACGGACCGTGAAATTATCCCGTCTGTCCGTATTCCCAAGTGCCTGCCTTTACCAGTCCGCTGTACCAGGCTCTGGGAAGGCTCTTCAATGGTACACCACCCCACTATGTGGATGTCACCTCAGTGCGGCGTTGGTGGCAGGCGGCACCGAACCCCGGTCCTAGCCATTGCGTCGGGCGTGCGGGCGCCATACGAGCGTACCGTGAATGTGACGCCAAAACCCCGTAACGGTTTCTCTCCACCTGGCATATGCATATTCGTTTTTGCAGGTTCAACGCGCCTCGCTTTTTCTTTTGCAACGGTCGTTCGTTCTTCGTTTATTCGTAGTGCGGCGTCAATGTCGTCGTCTCGTCTCAGAGGCCGTAGAAAATATCCTCGTTGTATGCAGGCGCCGGTGTCGTACCTTGATCATGGTGAATGCGTCAAAATCGGTAGGGAAGGCCAATATTTCAAGTTGCGTCGAGCTCGGGAATCATCAGGCTGGGAGCTCTCGCAATGACAGGTTTCGTCTTCAAGCTCATCAAGCGATCGTAATGTGGACGGAGATCGTAGTCTTTGAACTGTTCCGATGCGCCGATCTTGACGCTCCTGAGCATGCACTTGCCGTCCTTGACCCAGAAGATTTGTAGCACGTTTTCAAGCGGCATGGCGAGCGCGATCGCACCAGGCTTGAACACACCCTGGCTGATCTTGGAAGAAGCCTTTTTGAGCTTGCGCGGTGACAACGTGCCTTTCGTGGTGTACTCGAATTGGATGATCTCGGTCATTGCGTTGACGACGGTAAAAGTCTCTCCGGTGGGCGATTGAGCGGCCTGGACGACCTTCGTACTGTATGTTTCGTTTTGGAGGTTGTCGTGACCGGGGAACGGAATAAGAAGGGGATACTCTTTCCCTAGGAAAGCCGTCACAAGGGCGGAGCGGCGTGCGGAATCGTAGAAAACGCTGGTCAGGTCGCCGTCATTCAACGTCCAAGGAGGCATCTTGAATGACCGCGAATGCTCAGCTACCGTTGTAACTGGCTCTGTTGTGCAGTCCCAAACATCGGCATAGATACAGTGATCACCCAGCTGGGTTGCGACTACAAGACACCTGCTGTCGGTGGAAAAGTAGATCTTCCTTGAAATGATGACCGACTGGCGTTGCTGTTCCTCGGCCTTTTCCCTAGTGCTCAGTCCTCTGCCTTGTCCCCCAAACCACCCTGGTTCCTTTTCAAAATCGTGCAAGGTCGAGACCGTATCATCGCTCGTAGTTCGTCCAACGGGGATCGTTCGTTTCTTGATGGCGCCACTTCTCATCTCGTAGACGTTGATTTGGTGATGAAAAGAAAGCTTCTTGATACCGCCATTCTCCAGACCAAAAATCAATATCTGGTCATTTAATGATACTGCGGCGAACTTATCATTTCGAGAGACAGCCAGACATAATTCGCCCGCTCTTCCGGGTAGATCAAGATCTATCTCTGCTTCAGACTTGATATTGATGCTGTTAAATATAACGAGCCTCCTCGGAGATAAGCCAGTAGACGCAACAATGGCGCATTTGTGGTTTCCAGCTGCCGCTGCTTCTATTCCAGCAACCTCATATCTGCAACCTTGGATGGCCGACGCATCGTTGCTAGGCACGTCGAAACGAACTAGATGATCGGCACCCACCTCCCACAATAGTAGTGAGTGGCCGGCAGCGGAGAAAGCGAAGCAAGGTTCCTTTGGCAGTGGGGTTGACTCTTTTTCTTTCGTGCTGTATTTTCGACGGAACGAACTCCCTATTCGGATCGTTCGACTCGAAGATTTCATCTTACTGAAGCTGGGAGTGCTTCTGACGGAGCTTGTTGGAGTAAACACATTCATTCCACTTGACATCTCCGAAGGCATAGAAGCAGACTCTGCCTCTGCTATGTTTTCATCAATGCTTGGCGTACGAACGGGGATGGGTAGATCGATAGACAATCTCGAAGCAATAGGGAGAGCAATGGGAATGTTCAAGGACTCATTAAGCGGACTGATCGGGTATTCGAGCGCAGATTCGAGAGAGTGTGAACGAGGCGAAAGTGGGTTATAAGTCGTTGGGCTTACGGGCGATTCGGTATAACGTGGAGGCTGCAGGGGTGGTACTATTTGGATGTCTGGGTCGCTCGGTCGCGAGGCGTGGGATGGTTGGCTATTGCTCACCCCCGAGTTTGATGTTAAGCTAGGCACTATGCTGCCTGCGTCTGAGGTAGTAGATCGAGACCCTGAGGCGGCGTCATACGATCCGGACTCGCCTACACTGTACTGGCTGAGACTGAAGTCGTCCCGCCAGGTAGAAGTGTCGAGCGCAGTAGTGAGAAGCTGGAAGGGCTCGATGAGACGAGCAAGCTTGATCTTCTCGCTTCCAGTGCAGCTGGGGCACGCAACGCCTTCTTTCCAGTTCACTATTGGACTATTTCCTTGGATGGCTTCAAATGCCCACTTATCAGTCCACCGAAGTTTATGTTCCAACAGTCTCTTAGATATGACATGCAGCTTGGGACAATCCACAACGTAAACGGGCAGTCTCGCTGACTCTTGTTCCTTCGATATTGTCTCCGTATTCGGCGCAGCCATTTTCGTAACCCAGTCTCTAACCATCTCTTGCATGTTGTGTCGAGTCACCCCTGGCCTCCTCACGCTGAACTGTTCGTAACCTGACTGTCGATTTGGTAACCAATCCGCGAAACTCGTCATAGCCGCTTCAAAATACGGATTCAATTCGGCTATGTGTCTGCCATAAGCACGGTTTGGGCCAGATCGCGTCGGTGCTCGCTGCTGTTGGAGGAGTGAGTCCTGCCGCGATAGGAAGTTTTCCAAATCCTCATCCCAGTCAAGCAGAGTGACTGCTAGAGACTCTAGAAGCGCTGGTGTTGGCTGCATCGGACCCGTAACGTGGAATATTGAGATGATGAGACTGGTTCGTGTGTGCCAAAGCTGCTCCAGTATTTCGTCTGTGTCGACTGAGATTTGGTTCGAGCCGAGCACTCCAGTCTGTCGGCGAAGGTCAACAAACCGCTGGGTAACCGCACACTCAACCGCCCAAAGACAGTCGTGCAGCACCCAGTACGCATCCATCCAATCCTCTTCCATTGTGCCATGTATCAATGGTGTGACGAAAGTCTCGACCCTGATGTCCAACGGATACTGCAGGCGTTAGTTGAAGGATGAGAAGTATAACACCTCGTCAATGGTTGGTGTGCTAGTCTGAGATAGACTGTAACATGTCACACTGTACATTCTCAGGCGGACACTGTTCAATCCCCTCTTGGACGTGAAATATATCGTGGAGTCAGAGCGCCCACAAAGCGTTTACCAGACCCTTGTCCCGATGCGGAAACCAATGACGAAATACTGAATTTGAATCACTTACAAGACCCGCGGCATATGTTGGTAACTTCGCATTTGCCCATTCCCGCGCGTATGGATTTTCGCGCGATGGTTCATTAAGCGCGTTGAGTATCTCTGCGAACAACTCAGCCACGATGAAACGCTCCACCCCGTGTAGTCGATCTTCTCTCCAAGCTTGGTTAATAGCATTCTGGAGCCGTCGCTTGTCGTTCGCATTAATGCCTTCCTTCCGCAAAAGGAGGAGACGAAGCCCCGAAAGAATGGTTTGCGCCAGAATATGCCTTGGACGCGTGAACTCCCGGGTCATGAGCGTTGTTTGTGAGGAAAAAAGACTGGTTTTGACATTGATAAGGTAGAGAATAGTCGAGAATAGAAGGTCAGGCGGTAACAAGCACGAAAGAACGTAGGGTGGGCATTCCGCAACACCCGTCGCGATGCCGCTCAAGTAGCATCGTTGGGCATCGAAAACGATCTTGATCCAGCCGATGGTGCGGATCGACTCCTCAATGCTTCTTGATTCCGTGTCGTGACTGGCGATGGAGTGTTGGCCGACGATTTCGCGTAGGAGGTTAGCTATGTCGTGCCTGCCCTGAAGGTGCTCCCAGACTTGCGCAAGGTTCCGGTGTTGGAGGGACATTGACGCGGGACGACGAGAAGCGGATCAGCGCTTCGAGGCGCGGAATACGAAACCAGGGAAAGGCGGCGCAGAAGGTAGGTGGTTTTTGGGAAGACGCATGACGGGAGACACAGGATGCCTTCTCGAGTGTGCGGTCGAGATCGGGCCTGCTGCCTGCGAGCTGCGAAAGGTGCAACAGTTGTGGCCGAACGGACGGAGAAAGTGACGGCCTTGGCTGCACCATTCCGAGCGAGGACGTACGGCAGGTTGCTGCACTTGGGCGGCCACGGTTGGATGGGCAGCCATCAGCTCGGACTGGGGTATCGCAATAAACCCAGCGGGAAAGACAACATGTGTGCGCGCCACACGCACGGGGACTGATCGAGCGCACTGTCCGAGCCGAACTGTAATAATAGCACGGACAGTCCGACTGTAGCGACAGACCGTTAACCCTTGACCATGGTCGAGGCCAAGTTCGTCTGACCGGTCTCTTGTCACGTGAACGATGCCCCACCTACGTCCCTGGGAGGAAGCTGCCAAAGTTTGTTACGGCAGCCAGCCTGAGACACAAAACCTGTCTATTCACACGAGACATGGCCCTCTTCAATGTTCGCTCCGGTGCGACACGCCAGCAAGAAGGGCTTACCTCTTCCAGGACACAGATGAAGACTTGCGCGGATTGCTGCCTTACTCGAGGCTGCTATCTTGGAAGCTGGTAACTTGTTCTGGACCATGCTACTGTATCATGCACTATCTACATGCGATGACAGTGGTCACAACAGCGCTAGCACGAGGCGAGCCGGCCGTCTGTCAACCATTGCACCGAACTCGTCCGAGAAAGGCAACATTACCTCGGCGCGGGCGACCCTCCCACTCATTTGAGCCAGCCCCAGATGAAAGCGACAAGCGCCTTTGCATTATCTTCCTGCCAAAACGGCATCTTCGGGTTCGGGGTTTCCAAATGGCCGCGTCTGCGCCCCGGAACCACGACCTTGGGTGGTGGCCGGTGGATTTGCATAGACGCACTACGCCGCCACTTGAGTGGATTCCAGCCGTCAGATCGCACATGGTACGCTGCGATGATAGCAAGGAAGACGAAAACCTGCGTGCGACGTTAGTGCTTGCAAGTAGCTTTGAGTTGTCTGATACTTACCCCAACGTATGACGCAACAAAGTCGGGCGTGGAGAAAGGCGGCACAAATGCCCTCCAGTTGTTGAAAATAATGAGCAGGGAGCAGAAGCCAAATCCGTACCAGGCACGGAAGAGCTGCCCGTGAGTCCGATAGGGATACTGCTTGTCGTCTCGGTTGAACGCGCTACGGTTTTCGAGGGTATGGTCATTGGCAGCCATCTTGATCTTGTGATAGAACTGGGTATAGGCGAGACAGATCATGGTGTAGCAAATCAGCTCCGCAATGACTGCATTGTTGGTCATTCGCCCAAGAATGACCGAAGGGAATGGTTTGATCGCTAAGAAAGCCATCAATCCGAAGCACCAGGAAACACACACGGTGCCGAGTGGAACACCGGCATCGCTCACTCTTTCGAGCCGCCTTCTGTAATTTTGGAACCATAACGGCCAAGCTTCTGGGATACTTGCAAGCGCGTGCAGGAGCCGACTGGAAGTGTAGAGCGCATTGATGCCAGAAGTGGTGGCTGCAAAGATAAAGAAGCCATTGAAAACGGATGGGAAACCTCGGAGGTGATTCCTGACAGCTGCAAGAACAAATACACTATTCTGTCCTGCGCGGACGGCGTTGATCTGGATATTGATGAGATTCGGATCGTCATCTGACATTCAGTCAGAAAGCGTTACAGTATCCGGGCATGAATCGCAAGTACTTACATGGAACGTTGAGGCCGCCAACAAATGTGCCCAGAATGTAGAGGATCGATATCCGCATGGAAAGCTTCTTCGTCGCAATCTTGATTGTCTCATATTTTTCAAGATCCTTGTTCTCAGGTGCTGTCACAGCGATAGCTTCAAAACCGACGAACGAAAATACACAGGTAGTAATTGCTGTCCAAAGACCCAGGAAGTGGCCCAGATCCCCCTTGACCATGGCATCTGGGTTTGTTGGATTCGACGATGTGGGATGTATCACCATGCCCTCAGAAGCAAATCCCCACGGCGCGTTCCATGTCCAGAAATGGTTCGAGTGTTTTACTCTCTGCATGGCAGATAAGACGATGTTGAAGACGATCAGGAATGAGATGAACGTTAACTTAATGACGCCGAAAATATACTCCAGCTGGCCGTATTGTCGGACTGGAAGTAGGTTGATGAGCAGCACGATGATCAAAAACAAGAACACCCAAACGGCCGGGCTGTAGTGTTCTGTACTCCATCCCAGTTGCTCGTCTGGATAACCCACGGATCGTAAATATTCGGGATCGAATCGAAATCTCCATAGTTGAGCCACAGCCTGAATTTCGGCTGCCAAAATGACAATCCACGCGCTCCAGGTCATCCAGCCCGTGGCATATCCGACTGCTTCATCTATAAACCTCCCCGGAAATTCGAACAGCGGACCAGGAACCGGGAACAAGGCGGTCATCTCTCCCAAGCAGGCGATTACACTCCACATCATCGAGCATCCAAGGACCACCGCGACCAAGGCCATTCCCGGTCCAGCCAGATAGATGACCTTTCCTGTGTTGAGGAACAGTCCAAAGCCTATGCAGGCGCTGAAGGATATCATGTTGACATGGCGCTCCTTCAGGTGCTTGCTACACCGGTGAGTTAGCCAAGCTTTACGAGAATCGAACAAATTTCCTACCTCAGCACCGTTCGCCGCGACGACATTGTGGACGAGGTCGAACTCAGTCGTGACCACATTCGAACGGCTTTGCGCAAGATTGATATGCGATGAAGCGCATCGGACACTGTACCAATGTCGAAGTGGCAGACCCACCAAAAGTCAGGGAGGTAGAGCACTGATGGAGCTAGTGGGCGAGGCTATCGCATAATAGGGACCTGAGGATCGAGTCGGCGAACACGCGCCGCACTCTATCAATCCAGCGAATGCCTGTTAGAGGTGCGTCCGGGGGCAATGCAATACCGCGTCCAGGCTCAGCTCAAAAGGAAGTCGCAGACGCTCATCACCGACAGTCGCACAGGACACTGCAAGGACGCTTTGCATCCCGGCGGCGGCCTTTCGTTGGCCAGACATTTTGGTCTGCGGGTGGTGCAGGGAGATGAGGTCTAGCCGCCTGGGTGCCGAAATGGTGGGATGGCGTCCGCAAGCAGGGAATGGTACGAAACACGATTCCGCCCCTGTCCAGATCTGCAGGAAGATCGATGTGGTTGGAGAACTTTGGCCGCTGTCACGGAAGGGCGTTCACCCGTCAGGTCTGTGCTCGTGCGCGATGACGAAAGCGGCTAGAGCAAGCGCCACGATGTGCGTTGGCTGGGCGCCACTGCAACGTCCTATCGTGCGGACATTGGCGTTTGTTTTTTACGAGCGGCCTGCTGTTACCCCTTAATCACCCGCCGATCTATGTTTGGATTTATGCCCTCGAAATATGGCGATCATATTGATGCTTCTATCGTCTTAACCCATGCTCGTGGCTGCGCCTTCACGAACCTAATTCCTGCTGCACATGCCATGAGTTCGGCGGCATCAAGGCATTGTGACGCGAGCGGTACGAAGATGGATGACGCCGATGACGCCGAGTGAGACTCGAAGAAGGAAATACAATCGCGTGACAAGATGAACTTGAAAGGATTTTGTCGCGGGGCAAAAGCAATGAATAGAATCCTCCATGATGTAACCGAGATCTCGCAAGGATCCCACGAGTCAAGTTTCAACTTTAAACTCCTGGAGGAAGTACGGGTACATAGCGAGTTCCTCATTGTAAAGGACTGCAAAGAGATCTGTTCCCCGCAGACACGCTACGCATATCTTCTTCCTGAGAGGGTGTACATGCTATTGTTTCAGCGACATGGCACAATCGAACGCGAGGCCGTAGTCCAAGTACACTTCCGCCACCATGGTAACAGATCTATGTAAGGCGATTTTTAGCTTATAACTGCAGCTTCGTACGAGAAATCTCAGGCAGTTGCGCTGCCCCAATCGAACGACTACAATGACTTTCCTAAACAGTCATTGTTTGCTTCACTAGTATACCCCTGCCCTGAGACCTTGCAAGTTCATGATCCGCTGCTGCTCAGTTTCTGGACAAAGTCTTACGAGCATTTCCTTTGGTTCTCTCAACGCGAAAACACATGCTTTCACGCCCACAAATAACCTGATGATCGTCTTTCCTATTCCTGGTTTCTATTCGTTCCTGACTTTTAATCCTTGTTATGATGTCTCATCTCTCTCCCTCTCCTGCTTTGATGAAGAATGGTCTGTAAACATCGATCGCATGCAGAGTCTCTCATGCCAACTTTCACTTCTTAATCATACCCCCCACCCTGCTTGACCCGAGGCAGATCTGCCAACTCTCCAGTCTTCCGTTCCCATTCTTCCACACCAACTCTCACGCGCCAACCTTCGGCGCTTCTCCATACACGTTATGAACCTTATCCTGTCGTACGTCAGCATCCTGATCCACGTCCACTGTTCCAAGATCCCTAGACAGTCTCCCCTGAGCAGTCCTCCACACCGTCACCGCCAACCTACCTCAAGGAGCCCTGCCAAAGCATCCATAGCGTTCTCTACATTCCCCATTACACCCATCCCAAGTTCAACAATCTCCATCTTCCACTTTGGTCCCCCGTGCACAGGGGATGGCACAAGGCAGTACACGTTGGCGTAGTACATATACTGCGTAACGAAGGTTCCGTCGGCGTTGACAAGGCTGTAGTTGGGTGCGAGCGACATGCGGCCGGTCATGAAGTCCATGCGGAACATGCTCTTGTCGGGATGCAAGGCACGGGCGTTTGCTGAGATGGGCATTAGGGACTGTAGAGAGGGAGAGTAAAGAGAGGATGTACCGAGGATTTGGTCACGGAGCCAGGTTGGGGAATTGGACATCGTAAAAGGGACGGTGTTTTCGTCGCCGTATGTTTCGGCTGAAGCTGTTGCTAGCGTTCGCTTATCACGGTGGACTGGGTTGATGGCCGTCTCGAGAGAGTCTGTAGATGGAGGGAAGTCAAGGATGGCGGTGACGCGTAAGTGTAGAAAGAGCACTTTCGTTCCTTCCTCGCCGGCCATTGCCGCTTGCTGTGGAAGGTGCCTGGACACCTTGGCGTGTGTGGAAGATGAGGATGGGAGTGAGGTGGGCGATGCAGAGGTTGACTGCGCTCTCAGTTCTATCTAGCAGCTACATCGTGTACCCATCACCGCTCAGCATTACCGAACAAGTCACATAAAGCTCTTCCCACGCACGCTGCCTAACAACACGGATAAAAAGTGCCTAAAAGAGAAACTTGGCATGTGGATGATACAAGAGCCAAACATTCTGTCACAGTCTGCAGATATCCTTATTCGCATCGAGTATCCTTCCTATCTATCAAAGTCCACTCTTGAGATCTTTACTTGAACATACAAATGTCGGCCAATCTTCCAAGCAACACTTTGACCTCCGGCTATTTCCTATAACAGGGAATGTTTTGGTTGATGGCTATCGGAATAACTCCGTTCAGTGCTCAAACTAGCTCGTGATACACGCCTTGGTGAATATGCTCTACCAAACGACATCTCGGACTTTGCGCAAACAACCCAGTCTTACCCATCGGATAAGAAAGAAGACTAAGTTCCGTTGCAGTCAGCAGCGCATCCTCTTAAGTTCGACTGTGGGCGAGCGCATCTCTGGGCTTTTTGGTACGCAGGGTGTTAAATCCTGTCACCCTAAAGTTCAACCCCTCAACCGCATGCTCGTCAACATAATCGCCATGTCGGACTTGCCTTTAGCTCGCATCCCGTAACCCCCACACTGCGCTGTAAAACAATTCACTCATTGCCCTCTCCAACTTTAACATAGAATAATTAATCACTACAAACCCCTGCAATGGTATCTAAACACACAATTTCCCCTCCCTTCTATCTCCTCCCGCCACCCCCAACACCTTCTAAACCCAAATCAATCAAATCCTAAAAACATTAACCCCATCCACAAACGTACTATTATTATCGCTATTCGCCACGATATCCACCCCATCCCTCGTAACCATCCACGTCGCCCCCACCGTATTCACATTATACAAGTTGACATCGTGGCTGAGGGCGGACCCTTCGATGCTGACCATACGCGTCTGGCACACGCCCTCCGACGCGACGTCCGAGCATTTCGTGCTGTAGTTGTCGAAGAAGGAGTACAGGCCTGCGCCGTAGACGTGCAGGTTGGAGGAGCGCAGGATGCGGAGGCCCCAGCCCTCTGCGTTATTGGGGGAGATGGGGTGCGTGCTGTTTGACGTACTGTTCGAAGTGTTGTTGGATGCAGGGGTAGAGGAGAAGACGGGGTCGAAAAGGGCGAGATTTTCGGGGAAGGGCATGGTGGCGTCGGGGTTGGGTTGGTAGTAGCTGTTTTTCTATTAGCGGGGTTGTCTCTAAGGGGGAGGAACGCATGAACTTACGCTGTTTCCGTCTGGATTTGGCCCATGACGACGTCCTTTGTGTCGACGAATTGGTACTCGTATTTGACGTGGTGTTCTACGGCCGTGCCGTAGAGCCAGACTCTTCCTTGCAGACTCTGGTCGAGCAGACCGCGGCCGGCGTAGATGGTGATTTGAGTGTTGTTGTTGAGGGAGTCGTCCAAGTCGTGGTCGGCGACCCAGAGCCAGTTATTTTCCAGATACACTCCGCTCGCCCATGGTGTGATGTGAAGGGAGAGATAAGATGCGATGCACTCCTTCTTGAGGTTCGCTGCTGTAGTAGTCTTCTCAGGCTCCTTGATGCACTGCTCTTGTTGCAGGTGTGAGCCTGCAAAGCCTCCAATACGGGCGTGAACGTCCCATAGCCCTGCCGGTTCGCCTGTGGTTGGGCTGAAAAGGTTGTATTCAATGAGAATTGCTCCCGCGTTGGGGCCTTGTGTGCTGACGAAGCAATCAGACCACTCAATCGAGCCCTCCTCGCCTTGCGTGCCGATCTGCACAACGGGCTGGGGGTTCTCCATGTCTCCAAAGAAGGGGCCATTGGCCATGATGACCGATGAGAGGGCTTCACCAACAATCTTTGAGCCAGCAGGGACGTAGACCGTGCCGCTAACCTTGTAGTAGCCAGCATCGAGAAACAGGACCTTACCACCCGTCTTGGCTTTCTGAAGGGCGTCGTTCAGAGCCTTTGTGTCGTCCGTTTTGCCGTCGCCCTTCGCGCCAAGGGTACGCGCACTGAGGAACTGGTCTGCCGACAAGCCCTCGTATTGCGGCTTCGAGCGCTCGTAGTACTTGCCGTCAGATCCAAGAAGGTTAGATGGTCGCTTGGTCGCAGCGATAGAGCCACGGGCCTCGAGCGGCGCAAGAGGAGTCTGGACCCCCGGGCCGAGGGGAGACATAGACACATACCTATGTCCGTCCGCCCAAGCATCGATGACAGTGGACGCAGTTGAACCAGCAAGGATAGTGCTGTTGGGACCAACAACAGCCTGCTGCACATTCGCGAGCTTGACGTTCTCCAAGTACAGAGCACCAGCACTGTCAGGCTGCGAGCTCTCTGTGCGGCTGGTTACAATACCGATCGGCGTGTTCGAGATAGAGCTGTCCAAAAGAGTGATAGATCCAACGGTCAGACTTCCGTCTTCATCTAAAGACGAGATGTTCAAGCCGACGCGGCAGTTGTCGATCGAAACGCTCTTGTACGTCCAACCCCAATCCCAGAGCTGGTTAATCGCCGTGTCGACGTTGCTGAATGACAAGTTACGCATGGTAAACTGCTGGTTACCCACGTTCAGTCCGTAGTGTCCACCCTGGAAATCGAGGTCGTTCATGAAGCCACCTGAGCCTTGCTCTATAAAGAGACCTTCATGTTTTGTCCCGTTTCCAGCCGCCATCTTGAAAACCACATTCTGCAGAGACGTCGTCTGCGCGGTGGGCCAATGAATTCCCCTCATAATCGCCTTCGCCTTCACACTCGTCGTATCAAGAACGAGGTTCCTGATCTGGCGGAAAAAAGTATTAGTAGCTCCAAAGCCCAATTCACCATCCGCGCCGTACGGGCTCGCATCGATCAAATACCCGATATCATTTCCGTCCTGGTTGGCAGTCGTGAAGTTCGAGCTCGCCTTGATAGTCGGAAGGCAATTCGGGTTCCCAATAATCTGCGTGTAATAATAATCGATAATCGCTTCGGAGATCAAATATATTCCGCCTGGAAAGTAAACCGTGGCTGGCGTCCTAGTGGTCGACTTGCAGACGGCGGGCGCGCATCTCTTTCCATCAGTGATAGCTTTTTGAATGGCTTTTGTGTCGTCCGTTACTCCGTCTCCCACAGCTCCGTAGTCCTTGACGTTCCTGAAGACCTGGTAGGAGGTATCATTATTGAATGAGGCGATTCCCTGGTGGGCTACTTGCTCCATCCAAAACGGCGCACCGCAAGAACTTCCGTTCCCTGAAGAAGAGCCACCAGTCGGTTGTGGCGTTGTCGCAACTGGCGTTGGCGTATATACATTTGTCGCGTAACCTTCGCTTCTACGTATGGGAGCCGCGTGATAGTGATGGTTCAAAGCGGCATTCGCGCCGGAGGAGAGAAGAAAAAGGGTTGAAGCGAGCGACAGCATCTTGCAATAAAGAAATAGTCAAGGACCAAAAATGAAGGTGACAGCGACAAGAAGTCTGCTGGGGAGCGGGAGCGCGGTGGGCTGAAGCTCAGTATAAGTGCTTACGCCACCAAAAGTAGGATCTGTGGATCGGCCGCTAGTTGTATGCAAGGTACAGTGTACGAAGAACTACCGCAGGATGGCCGCAAGATTATAAAACAACGATTACTAGGTTGAATGACTGAACGAGAAGCCCAAGATGGAAGTTGAGTAATCTGACAATCGGCCCTGTTGGTCTTCTTATGCGAAACAAATTCGCCCTGTCTCGCGAACCGTGGTCAAAGGGTGTAGAACAATTGTAGAAAACCGAAGTCCTGCGGCGTAGCTGCGCTGTGCGGGCGTAACCAGCCTGATGACATTTGGTGACCCACAAGTCCCCAGAGTTAGCAGAGCTTGCGACTCCCTTCTGTGGGACTGTTGAGTCGTCATGCTTGCAATGAAGTCTCGCGCACACTGCAAGCCATCCCTGTGGGCATGCTGCAAGCCTTCGTAAATCGTTTTCGGCGGACCGCGGAACCCCAGATTACGATCCGCGACCGGCTCCTGCCGATGTCATGGCACAGCAATCTCATCGAGTCTTGACCACACGGGCGAGAAAGTAAGCTCTCAGGGGCTCGCTCGTTGCACTTCTGGGGCTGATGCAACTTCGTTCACTATCCCCAATCCCGGTAAGTGCAGCCTTGTGGGGGTTGCCCAACAACGGTGAGAGAGGACTCAACGAATGGTGAATGACCTTAGATCCCGCTGATTTTATTAGTCAAGCGTGTCAAGGTGTAGAAAGTGTGATTAAGCAATTTGATATGAGGCCAAGTCGTGACTGGGTTGTGTAGGAGCGTGTCGCGCATTCCTGGGAAGGAGCAGACCACGCGCTCGCACGTGACATGCGTCGGCGCTCCACTCGTGAATTACCGCTTTCCCATCGTCAACTTTTATTAAACAACCGTGATCAACGAACGTCATCATCTTAACGGTCCACCACCACCAAACAACTCACAATCAACCCTTCTCCCCAACCGACAACTCATAACCCGTCATCATGTTCGGAGGTGCGTGTTCTTCCATCCTGGAGGATCGGGGTAGCAGAAAGCTTTGCGCTGGCAAAGTTGAAGGAAGATGGAGTAGCTAACAGCAAACAGCACCACCCCAGCCGTCGAAACAGGAGCTCGAGCGCGCCGAAGCCCAGACCGTAAACGACATCAAGTGGACGTTCGCCGGCGCTGTTGTGCTGTACTTCTCGCCTTTCGTTGTCGACTACGCGCGCAAGCTTGTTTAAGCTCCTCAACCAACTAAAGCCTTCACCCAATCCGATGATATAATTGAAGAGAGAGACTCGATCGGCAATTGTACATATTACACCACGGGCGTTCACGACGGATGCGGTCACCTATGTGATGGTCTTCTCAACACTTGGTGAGATGGCACTGTATATTAGACTGTACAACAGCGGACGACACTGTGTCTTTGGAGCGCATTATGGCTGGCATTGAGCGATGAGCTCTGGTATCTAGGTTTTATAGATGGATCCGAAATCGCAGGTCATTTGAGTGCTTGCGGACACTCCGCCCTCCAATGCCACCGCGCCCCAAAAATCATTTGCAATCGGTCCTCCAACCTTATTCTCAAAACTTCCAAAATCCGAACCGACCATTTGTCCTTCGCCCTTTTCATTATGACCGCCATGCCAATGTAGCTTGACCTGCACCGCCGGCAAATCAACCTCCAGATTCGAAGCTGAGCTTGATATCGTACACGCCTTGACTTATGCCACTCTTCACCTTCTTGACCTCGGTGGCTTTGTCTGCTCCTTCTCCCACTCGTTGTACTCTTGCACCGTGTCGTCGACCATCTTCTTGAGATGTTGCAGCTGCTGGTCATAGCCTTTGAGGATCTGACATGTGTTAGCTTGCGACAGGACCAAGGAATGACTTGACCTCACCTTCTCTAGTTGCGCCTGGTCGTCCTCTGACAAACTGCCATCTTGGCTACCTGCGGCGGCCGCATTACCCTGCCTCTCGGTCTCCTTCTGCAGAGCCTGTGCGCGCTCCCGCACGCTCGACATACGTGCCCAGATCTCCTCCTGTTTGCCGCCGTTGATCGGATCGAACGCCCTCTTCTCCAGTTCAGCAAGCTTCTTCTTCAGCTCCTCCTCCGTCTGGTCCATCGCGTATCCCCGGTTCCGCAGAATCTGGACTTTGGTAGCAAGCGCAAGTATCCGCTGAGTATGCTCAATGTGCTTTTGCTTGGCTTTCGTGATCCGCGGCGCGGTTGTCAGCTCGTGCTGGTCTTTGATCACGCCGAGACAATTATTCATCTCGTGCAGTCGGCTTTGTAGTGTGTTCATGGCGAAGACTTGATATTGGATACGCGCCGCCATCTCTTCGAAGCCGCGCACGAGTAGCGGAATAGAGCCTTCACTCGGTTTGTTAGCCAGCGCTTCTTCCCATTTCTTGTGGTCCTCATGCGGTTGAGGGCCGTAGAAAGGGGCTTCTTCTGGCTTCACAGAATTGTAGAAGTAGTGCTGGAACGCACACTCTGGGCTGTTGGGATCCCACTTCTCAGCTATCGTCTTCATCTGATCGATGACTGATTTCTCCCCTGTATTTTATTAGTGAAGTCTGAGGAAACAGTGTCTTATACTTACGCGCGCCGTTTAGAGAAGCACTGGCGAAGCGGTCGTTAACTGACTGCCGTAGCTGAGGAAGAGCCTGCTGTTGTTGCTGGAGCTGCTGCTGTTGGTTTGGATGTAGGGTTGGCGCAGGACGGACGAAGCCGCCCATGACTGAGCTGCCTAAGTTCGGCTGTTGCTGCTGCGGCTGCTGTTGCTGCTGAGACTGACCCAGGCCGCCGAACATACTTCCTCCAGCATTTTGCTGCATGTTTTGTTGCATGTTCTGCTGCATGTTCTGCTGCTGCGACTGGCCTAGATTGCCGAACATCCCGCCCTGGTTCGCATTTTGCTGTGTATTCGCATTTCCAAAGAGGCTCGATGTTGGCTGCTGTTGCTGGTTCTGAGTCTGCGAGGAGCCAAAGAGACCACCCGGCGGGGCCGTAGTAGAACCAAATAACGTGCCCGTCTTCCTCTCCGTCTGCGCTGTCTGCCCGAGGTTGCCGAAAAGCGACATGGTGTAGGTCTAGGTGCTGGCGGTGTCTGGGTGCGTGTTTTCGAATGTATCCAGGTCGTATTGGCAGGCGCAGCGGTTAAGGAACCGTATGCGCACGACAGCGCGCGCTGGTAGAATAACGCACCGGTCGCACGGAAGGCTGGCGATGTGCGGCGACGACTGTGTTGATAGTGTTAGCAAGTTTCCTTCATAATGTTGGCCGCGGGTTGTTTTGAAAGTCAAAGGGAAGCTATGGAGCACCAGCCAATTGCGGCTGATCCAAATCCCTGTACGCGCCAAGAGCGACGCAACTTCACTTCACGAACAAGCCGGCGAGCTTCCACTCCAGTTTCTAGGGCACAACAAATCCGCCATTGGCCCAGCATGTCGTCCCGTCAGCCTAGGTTTGCACCCTCCGCAGCTCACTCGCTACAATTCTGTGCTAATTGGCTCCAGATTCAACGACCAGGCCCTCATCGACACCACCCCTCTGCCCGACGACATTCCTAAGGTCAAGGAGCTCGGCGCCAGCTCTGCACCCCTCTTTAGTGCCTCTTACTTCATTGGCGCGCGATGCAAGGCCTACAACGATGACTACATGATGTGCAAAACTGAGTCCAACGGCCGGGGCGAGCTGGACTGCATGAAGGAAGGCCGGAAGGTGACGCGGTGCGCGGCGAGCGTGTATGACTTTCCGGAAAGATCGCTGGAGCGAAACTGGAGCTAATATTATATGTAGGATCAAGGACCTCAACGAGCACTGTCTGGAGGAGTTCCGCAACCACTGGAAATGCTTGGACAACCAAAACCACCAACTGTGGAACTGCCGATCACAAGAGCGAAAGCTGAACAGCTGCGTGTTCGACAAACTAGTACGCCATTTCGAACTACCATCATTCTGCGCACAGCTGACTCTAGCAGAAATTAGAGAAGGTGATACCAGATACGCCCAAGGGCGAGACACCCGTGCATCTGCGGGGCCGCCAGATCTTTTCGACGAACTAAGCTGTGTATACTATGTCAGGAACAAGATCGCGAAACATGTCAATTCAATTTTCCCACAAATCGCTGTGATGACCATTCGTTTGCGCGGCGGCGGCGGACCGTTTGTACAAGCACCCACTACGTGACGCGCTCTGAGTCGATAGCGTAGATTCAATGCCGTGGCTCATGCTCATGTCAAGAACCGCAGCCTTCTGACTTTACGAACTACTCAGTTCGTGACTCTTTGATTTCTAGCCATGGTAAGGTTTCGCGTTCCGCAGCTCTTGCTTCACCATCATCGCAGGGCCTGTTGAATACCTTATTGTTCACTTCTCACCCGTCGTTCATTCTATTGTGCTCGCTGTTCCTATTGTCGCTGTTGTACACTTCACTCGCTGCCTTTCTTTTATCCTTCATCGCCGCCCTCCATTCCCTTCGTAGTCTCAGTCCTTCGTCCTCTCCGTCTACGACCACGACCACGATCTGTGCGCGCATTGCATTCGCAACAGAAGCCTTCCATCTTCTTCACGCCCAGCGTTCCAGCCAAGGAGTCGAATTCTTCCACAGCGGCCAAAATGATCGCCAACCCTTTCTCCGACCACCTCTACCGGATCGATAGCGACGAGCATATCGACAACGGCAAGTCGCTCGCCTTCCCGGATCTTTTCCCAGTCCCACACATGGAGAAACTCCAACCTATGTCAACATCCTCCACCGTATCTTCTACTGAGGTATCTCCCGCCAGCACCGCACCAAGCACACCACCTCTGCCCTACCCACCCCTCAAATGGACCGCTAGCACCCTCAGTAAGCCCCCGACCCCCACCCTGACATCCCTCAGCGCCCTTTGCAACTTCTAACTGTATTCAGATTACCTCCTCACTGCACTCTACCCCGCGCAGATGTACTCAGGCAGCATGGTGCTCGAATCCTACCCTACGAAGCCCCAGGAACGGTTTTCGCCTGTCAGATTGGAGTTGTATATGCGTATCAAGTGCACCCATGTCCCCGCATGGGCGTATGCTGCCAGCGCACCCATCGGCACAGGCCGTCCTGCTTCTAAATTGCTCGTCGCGCAGGCTAGTGGGGAAACGGAGGCGCAAGCAAGAAGAGCGCTTGCGAAGGAAGTCGTTGGTCTGGCGAAGGAGAATGGGATGCTGGAATACTTCAAGGCTTACTACCGCATCCGAGCTGAGCTGTACACGCTCGACGATCTGGCTTTGCGCTCCTTGAGACGTGGAATTGAAGGCATGAAGCGGGTTTCGGACTGGGAGTGGATAGGGAGGCTTGCGCAGCTCAGATTTGCGGGTGTAGATGAGGCATGGGGCTTTGAGGCGAGGTTCGAGGTTTTCTTGCTGGGGGGTGGATACTGGGAGGTGGAGAGGTGGGGGGTTGATGTAGATATTGCGTTGGTTCTGACACCAGGGGATAGGACGGTTCGGACGCAGACCCACGGTGGGGTTGTGTGGTTTCTGGAGATGGTCGTTGCTGATTTGGCTTTGTGTTAGGCGCGAAGGGTGCGTTGGATGGGTTGAGATGGCGTGAGATTTCGCTGCGATGGCTCGAGGCGATGGCATCAGGCTGTGCATCATCAGCTTCTATTCAGCACAGTATACTCTATTTTGAGGACGGGTTCCTGCTTTGAATGCATTCTAGTAGTATTACAACGCTATCGAATGGGTATCTTATCATGGTTCTCGTCAACGTCAATCCTTCATCTCTGTTGTCTTGCGCCGAACAGTCTCGCCCTCACGTCACCCCTCGCAGCCGCAGGGCTGCTCCTCAAGAATGAGCTTCCCTCCATTATCGAGCTGCTCCCCTCCAGCTCCAAGCTCATCCTATTATTCCGCATCTGCTCCCTCGCTTGAAGCTGACCCATCGCATGAGCCTGGCCCACGGTATGAACCTGCACGAGACCACTCGTCCTCCTCACACTCCTAACCCCAGCAGAACTCCTCCTGCTCCTCGTACTCCTCACCGCGCCAGAACTCCGTCTGCTCCTGGTCGACCTCATGGTTCCTGGCTGCGGCTGCACAAACGACCCATCATCCTCGCTCGAGTCCATCAAGGACGAATCCGTATGTTCGTAATCCCCCGCCTCCGGCACATCATCATCGAGATCCCGTTCCTCAAGCAGCGAGCCTTCCATAGACGCCTCCTCCATCGCAAGCATCTGCCCCACCCTTCCCTCGATCATACTCCCCTCAATGAAGCTATCCTCATTGAACGTGACATCCGCCCTACTCCCGCCCTCTTCCTCACTCCCTTCATTCCCGCTCTCACTACCCGACGCCGAAACCTCAGACTCACTCCCCTCCGCCTCCGCCTCGGGCACATCCTCATCCAGATCCCTCTCCTCTTCCTCAATCTCCTCGCCCGCGGCATCCCTCGCCTCCGCATTCGCAGCATCTTGCTGCGCAGCCGCGAGATCCATCATCTGCTGCTCGCGCATCGCAAGCGCTTCCTGCTCCTTCATTTCCTTCTCCTCGTCGATCATCGCTTGGTATGTCTTCTGGATTCCTGGCGGTCGGATCCAGGACGCGCCGAAGTGGCGGATGTTGGCATTGCGTTGTTTTTGCTTGTTTTCGTCGTGGAGGAGCTGCGTGAAGAGGGAGCGGGTGGGGCGCCATGGGCGTGGGCGGTATGGCCGCGGCGGTGATGTTGCGATGGGGGGGTGGAGAAGTCCGGAGTGTCGAATGTTTGATGGGGCTTGCGGACGGAGGGCCAGAGGGTAGCATCCTGGGTGAGAAGGTCAGTCGTGTGATGAGAGAGCGCTGAGGTGTGAGACGATGCGCGGGGTGCTCAGACGAGGTATCGTTTGTTTATCGTGATTGATGGAGGGTAAGAAGGGGACGTACCGCTCGCGGCGTGATCAAAGGTAAGCTCAACATGATCCTCTCAGTTTCTGAGTGATCTTTTGTTGTAGTTGGTGTCGTTCACGCGACTCAGCGCCCAATGTTTCGCGTGTATGCAAAATGCGGGTTAAGCCGCGGTAGTTCCAGAGCTGCCAAGGGTCCAGCGGTGGTACGCGTCCACGTGACGATATCAAAGCTGGATCTAGATTGTCGGGAAAGTCTACGCGAGCCAATGCGAGTGCTCCGTTGTCAACGTGCAGCGACCACCGCGTGTGATCACACTCACCATTGATAGTGCCCCAAACAAACGCAGTCCAGCCGCAATATAGGTAACGTTTGGCTTGGCCCTTGCTGCCGGCATGTTTCCTATAATCCCTCGGGTCTCAACACCCCGTTCTTCTCGTTCCTCTCTCGCAACCATCCCTCGCTTCGGTGACAATTGCTCATACAAGCTCATACAAAACCTTGGAAGTCTTGGGGCATACGCCAGCGACTACGCAACCTTGCAACTCAGTGCTCCTACGGATCCTACCCTGCCTACAGAGTTATACGCTTCAGCCAGTCGGACGTTTTCACCTGTCATACAGACCTCACCTAAGCCACGCGGACCTCCCTCCGGCAGCGGACCCGCGTACATACTATACTCCAGGCAGACTTCCCAAAAGGGCGCATTGCTACAACGTGAAATTATATCACCAAAGCAAAGACTCCTCGTCAATCAAAGACTCCTTCTCTGGCGCAAAGCTCTCTTGAGCTGTATACATCTCACGACTTAAATACACCAATCTCAATTCAATTGGCCATCATGAAGCTGCTAATAACACTCCTCTTCGTCCTCTCAACTCTCCTCTTCGCCTCAGCACAACCACACCAGAGACACACCCAAGAAGAACCCACGCCCGCGGTGTTTGAAAACGAGAAGCCCATGCACACGACGGCGCTTATGGCGGGTGCGGCGTGGAAGTTGTCACGGGATGCAGCGAAGGCGACGCAGACGACGACAATTCCAAGGCAGAGGACGAGACCGACACAACCCGTTGCTCAGGCGGAGTTGTGAGGGGATGGGCGTGGAGAAGGACTTGGAGGGTGAAGAGTGAAGAAGGAGAGATATCATGGCGACCAAGATGTTGGCCATGGATAAGAGTGTCACGATACATGGATTAGGGAAGATGGGATGCACATTGGATTGAGGTGTGCTTGAGAGACATACTGCAGGCCTACGACAAGGGACCGATTAATAACGATTGAATGAATGTATTACTACTGCGAAATTCAGATACCCGCTTCTACTTGTGTTGGGCTTGTCGTCAAGGCCGGGGTCGCCCGTCGAAACAACGATCTGGTACTGTGAATTTTGTACGTGCATCAAAATTCTCAGCTCTTATCCGTTCTTCAGTAAACTAGAGACTGCATTCATAATTTCATTGGATCCGTCTCTACATCCAACATGGATGGATCCTTTGAACTGACTAGCCTGTACACAACTACCACAGTTTTTACTTGCTCCAGCCCTCACGCTTCCTTGAACGGACATCCCTTATCACTCGACTGACTCTTCGTCTTCTCCTTCACAACCTTCCACGTCAGATCCATCAGCCTCTCCCCCAGCGCCTCATCATTCGCCTTGTCACTACCCTGCTCCACAATCGCCGGCGGCGTGATATACTGTCCGCTCTTTTCAGTCTTCGTCGCCGCAAACATGGTCGACACCGCGCCCTCGAATTGACTCTTCTTGAACGGCTGCATCCCCACGCTCATACCGTACCCCAAGTACGGCCACGCCTCGTGGATGTGCTCCGTTGTTTGTCGCGTATCTACGATACCGGGGTGTGTCGCGTTAGCGAGGATGTTAGGGTACTGAGAGGTGAGGTGGCGCGCGAGGTATTTTGCGTATAGAAGGGAAGCGAGTTTTGTGCGGCCGTATTGCGGTTGGGGACCGTAGTCTTTGTTCAGCTCTTCGATGCTTTCAAACTGCGTCTCCTTAGGTGTCTGCTCGTGCAGGTTTGAGGCGAGGTTCACGATGCGGACTTTGTTGCCTTTCTTCGCAGTCTCTTTGATGGTGGGCAGGAGATGGGAGGTTAGTACTACGTGACCGATGTGGTTCGTTGACATGTGCTGGTCCACGCCGTTCTTGTCCAATTGCACAGTCATAATGCCGCGTGCCGCATTGTTGACTAGGATGTCGATGCGATCGGTTTTGTCGGTGATTTGGAAGGCTACTTTGCCGGTCTGTTCCCAGTCGCTCAGGTCGCATTGGAGCCATTCGACTTTGTTGGCTGCTTCTTCGCCCATCTCGCCTTTGATGGCATTGATGGCGTCCGATGCAATGTCTGACTCTAGGGAGATGATAAAGAGCTTCGCAATGTTGTGTGAGAGGAGGGTGTGTGTGACACCATAGCCGATGCCTTCAGAGCCGCCCGTGACAACGGCGACTTTACCGGAGAGATCGGGCACCTGGTCGAGCGAGAACTGGCTATCTTCAGGTGCGAGGCTGTGTGTATTTGGTACGACTTTGCCCAAGTTCTCGGCAACGGTGTTCTTGACGGCTTGCATGATGGGCGGTATAGAGCTATAGAGACGTGGGAGCAGAGTAGTCCTTGTGGAAAAAAGCGGTCTGTGAGAAAGTGTGTATACAGAGAGCCGTAGGAAAGAGGAAGAGGGCTTCATTTATCACGAATCAGATCGACAGTGATTGTGCGCGTCCCTCGTATATGAATGCAGGGAGTGCGACCGCGGGACAGATCTTATGCGGAACTGGCGTAGTGTCATGACGTTTGGATATATCCGCACCGGCGCAGGTACGATCGTGCAAAGTGTGTCTTGATGTCAAAGGTCAGTGTGTATGTGGTGACCCGTTATGACGCCAGTATAATAGTAGCTGTCCCAAAAGGGCTAGTCTCAAGTACTTGCACCAAAGTCCTTGGGAACCACAGTATCGGTGCATTAGAACTTGTGCACTTTATTATAAAGCACCACCGACGTCTTTTTGTCGCCTACTGAGATATTTATGACTACCGGTCGTCGTGATGAGCTATACGAATACGGTAACCGTTCAAGAAATCCATCATCCATCCATCGGCTACGCGCACGACCTTTGCCATAGGAGGTTGACTAATTGTTCACTTTCGGCCGAAGCATACATTGCCCTCAATGAATAAAGTAGAAGAAATATGAAACGCCAGCACAGGTGCTGGGTGAGCGGATGCAGTGCAAATTGTGTATAAGGTATAGTGAGGTGGAAATGAGACACTAGGCTGAGATTTCCATGTCTTGCATCTAACTATTAATGAATGGGCATACACAGTTTGGCTTAAGACTGCATGAGTATTCTGTACATCCCACGGAATACTCCTGCTTCGGTTCAGAAGGGCTCCGTTCCCGCATTGCCCCACAGTAAAGCTTCCGCTATCACTGAATAGACCCCTTGCGAATCGGCCGACTGAGCAGTTGACTCAATCACCTCACAAAAGTATTGCCACGGCCAGACTCACAACAGCAAGGAAAATTCCCGGCACCAAATCCACCGCATTAGACGTAAGGCGCTCAAGACAGTACGTCACTGTGTACGAAGAATTATCGGTGCCGCACAGCAGATGTGGCGATGCGTTGGTGTAGTTTTTTGTGTTGCAGACCTTCTGATTCTGCGTCATATTATCGAGCGTGGCGGGAGCGTAGACGATATTGTCGGCGACAACAGGACCCGTACAATTAGAAAGATCGGTAAGGAAGCCAACGAGGGATCCAAAGAAGCCCCCGATGCCGGGAAGTAAGCTCGCGAGATCTGCTACGCCGCTCACGAACTCTGGAAGGATTTCAGTGGCAATATTATGAGAGGGCGAAGATAGTTTACGTACCCTCGATGCTCTCTTCGTCTGCGTCAGGGTCGTTGGCAGCGCCAATAGACACCGAGACGTTGGGCGGATTGGCTGGGACATCGAACTCATGCGTGAGATTGCTCCATGAGATTGTCGTGTTCGTTTCGACAGCACCGATCAACCACGTCTGGTTACTGGAATCCGAACCTGCAGTTGAGACGATAGCGAGGACCAAATCATCCTCTTCGAGATCACGGGGCAGTCCAACGTATATCTCCTGTATGCCAAAGCGGAAGCGACTGGCAAGGGCCAAATGGGAAGAAAGGAATACCAGGACTCGGAGCAATGAGTGCAGACGAAAGTAAAGCATAGAGGGCAACAAGCAGTTCAAGATAATTTACAACTATGTTCGAATGTATTTCGAGTAAAACTTGGGTAGAATGAGTCAGTGGTATTGCTATACTCACACAAAGAAAGAGTCGAATAGAGGAAACATCATCTACTTATGTTTTTCGACACAACTTTACATCCGATTTAGACATGGCTGTAGCAGTAGTGTTAGCTTACCTGCATCAGTGCGTAGCTGCACCTGATGTATCGATTTAGAGTAAACTTATTGGTGAACTGTTCTCCGCCTCGCGTACTTTCAATCGAACAGATAGGGGGCCAAGAATCAAAGGCTTAATGTCTAGACTTCGGCCCCCCAACCTGGCTGAAACTCACGCCTCATCATTGGCACAAAACACGAAGTGTTACGGCTAAAGAATGGTTTATCTCTGCATGCAGCCGCCAACAGCGACTGCAGATAGCCTCGCAGGATGACCGTAAGGGCGAAAAGAGTTCGATTGGACAAGGTGTCGTGTTATTAGGGTTGTGGTCAACTACTCGTATGCATTTCGAAGGCGAATTCATGGGTCTACGCCGACTTTAGAAAGGATTCGCAACCGACACAGCAGAATCCACGTATGCGTTCAGATCATGTTTGTTAGTTTGCTGCCACATTCCAGGCCCAGACTTAAAATGAGTCGCCCCTAGCGCTTCGGCCTCCTACCACCAACAATGGTGTATGTACATCACGCTAGATTGGCCATGTTGATTAGCATCCTCGAACCGCCCGCTGCGCGGCAACCGCTTTTATACTTCTAGCGCTTTTGTGTATTGCTTATGCTTCACCATATCTGCCTTGCGGGTTGACGACGGTCCCGGGGTTCTGAGAGTGCTTTCCCCCCATGATAGTCTACCGACATGGAATACACCTAAGCGTATCTCGTAGACTGATGTTTGAGTTATCTCGCTTGTATACCATGCTGCTTTGAAAAGTACAGATGTCCTGATAATGCCTCAACAACAGAATCTGTCATTAGATACTATTGGTTCCTTTCTACATCACTAGTGTCGTAATTACAGTCATTCTAGTGCGGTGTCACAACCGTGATACCTCGACTCTTTAACTTCAGCACCCGGTACCGCAGCCATATCGATCGTGTAAAGTGTGTCTTGACATCAATAGGGCCAGTGTGTTTGTCGTCATGACGCTAGTAGAAAAGAAGCTGTCTCGAATGGGCTAGTCACAGATGCTTATCGATAGGAGCTTTCCACTAGCGTCAGCGGGTGCCTGCATGTGGACTCGATGTTTCAACTTCCTGTTGATAGCGCACCTTGCCGCCATGCGTTAATTATCAAATTCCCCGTGTTGACCTGTGGTTACAGTTGCGGATCCCTTGAGATGGAAGCAGTTGTAACGTCCGACCTCCTCCTATAGCATTTCCACAAGAATGTCACTGTGCCGCTTTTACATCTTCTAGTCTACAATGTCCGCTTCAACAGCGCGCTCGAGCGCCAAAAGTCACCAGTCGATATTTGTGCCCCCCGATGTACTTGCCGCACGTAGGGAGAATACTACGGCTTCAATGCTTGCCCAGCTCCACGAACCTCCCCCGGTTGCCAACCCCTCACCGTTTCGAGGATTCGGCCTTTATACCGATGTCGAGGTCGAAGTACCACAAAATGACCCTCGCCTTGCACACAAGCCTTACACTGTTAAAAAGTTCCTACCCCTGGGCGGGCCCCAGCATGTACATAACAAGCGTCGGAAGAGGGATGATCTACCAGATGAGGTGTTGAGAATGTACAATGAGTTGGAGGCTATCCTGTTGCGGGAGGAAGACGCTGAGAAGCGTGACGCGAGACAAGACCCACAAGAGCGCTTTAAGCCTATGAAATGCCCAGGGATCTTGGTGCCTCCACCTTCACTTCCACCGCCGCTATCGAAGCCTACAGAGACTACCATAACGATCCTTAAGGCTAATAAGGAGACCAGGGCGGAAATCGGGGAGAAAACCATGGAAGAGACCATAGGCGAAACCATGGAGAAGACTAGGGAGAACACGAGGAAAGAGACCGGGAAGGAGGTCAGGAAGGAGATCAGGGAAGAACCTGGGAACGACTCTCATAAGGATAATAACCCAGACACCAACTCTTCGGACAAATCCACCGAGGTCATCAAACAAGGCACCGTAAAAGTTGAAGAGACCCAGGACGTAGCTGACTTGAGCACTCAAGAGTCTGGGGAGATTTGGGAGGACGATAGTGATGTGGAGATTATCGAAAGCCGCCCTGTCCAAAAGCGACATCTTCCGGTGTACAACATGGCACAATTATTTTGTTGTGCCTGCAATGTAAAAATCGGGGGGAATCTCAGGGCGTTCACGGATCATATGCTCAAAATACATTTTGATGAGCTCGACTCGATATACTACAGGTGCTGTGCGGATCACTACTGGAATGCATCATTGACTTCTTATGTTCCCCATTGGGGCGGGGTCCATGGCTGGGGCAAGGAGCCTTTCCCGTGCCCTAAGTGTGCAGCCAATTTTCAGAGCATCCCAGAACTACGGGGACATCTCGTAAAGGTGCATCAGAATTCAGTCAGTACTACACCAAAGAGCTTACGAGAAGTGACACCAAAAGCTTCAGTCGATTACAAGTCCAAGAGCTCAGTCGGTTCGATACAAAAGAGCTCGCAAGATCCCACACCAGCAAGTTCAGTCGCCCCGAAACCAAAAAGTGTATATGAGCCCGAACGAACAAGGTCAGTTGGAAGCGGGCCACACAATAGAGATCCGGACTCAGCACAACATGCGGCCGAGCCCATACCGCCCGTCGAACATAGACCGCCGGTTTCACTGCCTCCTAGACCACAATTTCCAAGATCATCGCGAACATCGTCGTATCCGGCACCCAGGGCACACACGCCACCCCGGAGGCCACCGTCAACCGAAAGAGTAGAAGGGCATCCGGCACCTAGGGCACACACGCTGCCCCGGAGGCCACCGTCAACCGGAAGAGTAGAATGGCATCCGGAATTCAGGCCGCCCACGTCACCACGGCGAGACCGACCCCCCGCCGACTGAACCAAGATCGCATTCAGCAGCCCGCTCACGCTCAGCAGCCCGGCCACTCTCACCACCGCGCAGAGGCACCTCGAACGACAGAGCATCCTGGCATCCAGCCTCCAAGAACCCCTCCCAGCCTCCTTCTCGCAACTCTCCCTCGACCTCCAGTCACAAGTCCTTTACCCCTTCCAGGGACTACGCAAACCACTCGTTCTCCCGCCTCGACGACACCCCCACCCCTTTCGCAGACCTCAACATCCGCTGCCTAAAATGTAGTCTAGACCTCAAGACCATCTCCTCCCTGACCATGCATCTCTTCACGCAGCACATCGAATCCATGCCCAAGCTCTGGTGGCAATGCTGCAACATGAATGGCATGCCCATGGGCGCGACGCTCAAGCATCTTAAGGAGATGCATGGGTGGCGTGATGGCCTGCCGTGTCCGGGGGAAGGGTGTACGCGGACGTTTGGTGATTTGCCTAAGTGGCATGGCCATGCGAGGAGCCATGTTAGTATGCTGACGAAGAGTGGAGATGTAGGGAAGCAAGTCAGTCAAGAGAATCCTCAGGCTAGCGACAACAAGGGTAGGAGAGCGAGTGTGGCTTCGGAGTCGTCAGCGATGGATATATCGGATGGGTAATTGTCCTATAGAGACGTTGTTGTGGGCGTAAGCTGGGAGTGATGCCGCGGATTGTAACGTGTCAAAAATGAGGTGGTGTGTTATATATGCAAAATTTTAGTAGGCAGCTTCCGCGTATCATCTACGCCCTGGATGATTAAACTGGGCTTGGGCACTTTATCGAAGGCCATGATGGAATTATATGTAGACAGATGCTTGGGGTAGCTTCTCGTAGGGGCTTGTTACGAGGTCGAGCGTGCGACAACCTCCAGCATGGCGTTCCAGGTGTGCTTCTATAAGATGTAGTTCAAACATGTCATAGGCAAGGCGATGCAGGATGAAGAATTCGAAGAAATTTGTTCGATTAAACCATTACAAACGATCAATCAAGAAAAGGCCTCTCTTAACCTGCTCAAAACCGGATCTCTCCAGGAGAGTATTGTCAAGTCATGACTCGCTGGACGAAAGTCTCAACGAGTCGCTTGGATTATCGCCGCGCAAATGTACAAGCTCGTGGCCCCTTTCGCCGTCTAGTACTCTGCCTCAACACCCTCCTCGCCTTCAAGGCTGTCGGCGGCGACCTCCTCGTAATCGCGCTCGAGGGCAGCCAAGTCCTCGCGTGCCTCAGAGAATTCACCCTCCTCCATACCCTCACCAACATACCAGTGGACGAAAGCACGCTTGGAGTACATGAGATCGAACTTGTGGGAAAGAGCGCTCCATGCCTCGGCAATGGCGGTGGTGTTGGAAAGCATGCACACGGCACGGTTGACCTTGGCCAAGTCGCCGTTGGGGACGGTCTGCGGGGGCTGGTAGCAGATACCGACCTTGAAACCGGTCGGGCACCAGTCGACGAACTGGATGGTGCGCTTGGTCTTGAGGTGGGCAATGGCATCGTGGGTGCTCTTGGTGACGACATCGCCACGGTACAGCAAGCAGGTGGCCATGTACTTTCCGTTGCGGGGGTCGCACTTGACCATCTGGTGGTTGGGCTCGAAGCAGGCGTTGGTGATCTCCATGACGGAGTTGGCCTCGTGGGCAGCCTTTGCGGCGGAGATGACCGGGGAGTAGGCGACGAGCGGGAAATGGATACGGGGGTAAGGCACCAAGTTGGTCTGGAACTCGTTGAGGTCGACGTTCAAGGAACCGTCAAAGCGGAGCGAAGCAGTGATCGAGGAGACGACTGAATTCTGTTAGCAGACGTGAAGAATATTGCTTTCTCTGACATACCCTGTGCGATCAGGCGGTTCAAGTTCTCGTAGTTCGGACGCTCAATGCCCAAGTTGCGGCGGCAAATGTCGTAGATAGCCTCGTTATCCACCATGAAGGAGCAGTCGGAGTGCTCCAGGGTAGTGTGAGTTGTGAGAATAGAGTTGTACGGCTCGACAACGGAGGTGGCGACCTGCGGTGCCGGGTAGACACAGAACTCTAGCTTGCACTTCTTGCCATAGTCGACTGACAGCCTCTCCATCAACAGGGCGCCGAAACCGGAACCAGTTCCACCGCCGAACGAGTGGAAGACGAGGAAACCCTGGAGTCCCGAGCAGTTGTCGGCAACGCGACGGACCTTGTCCAAGACCTGGTCGATGAGCTCCTTTCCGACGGTGTAGTGGCCACGAGCATAGTTGTTTGAGGCATCCTCCTTGCCAGTGATCATCTGCTCGGGGTGGAAAAGGGAGCGGTATGTGCCGGTGCGGACCTCATCGACGACATTGGGCTCGAGATCGCAGTAGATGGTGCGAGGAACGTACTTTCCCTGGCCTGCAATCTGTTAGACCGCCCTATCTCCAGTCTGTGTCCCTGGCTTACCGGTCTCGGAGAAGAAAGTGCTGAAGCCATGGTCCTCTTCCTCGGCTTTGCGCTCCTCAGTGAGGTAACCGTCGGGCTGAAAAATTGTTAGCCGTCGTCTTGTATTGTGTGTAGGTTGGACTAACCTGGATGCCGTGCTCGAGGCAGTAAAGCTGATTTGTCACGTTAGCACCATGTACTGCCAGCGAAGCACCTTCAGGCAGCGCTTTTTGTGCGAAATTGATCGCAAAGAGCGCTACACGGCGGAAACTCTGGCAAAACTCACCTCCCAGCACGAGTTTGCGATCTGGCAACCGGCCTGGCCGACTATACGCGTAAAGGTCAGCGTCAACAAATACACACTAGGGTGCCCCCTCCAGAGCCCTGGAGGCGGTCAGGGCACGTGCAGGGGGTAATAAAGCTTACCGTTCAAGCTGATGACTTCTCTCATGGTGGATTGATTCGAGTAGGAATTGAGGGTACCTGGATGGACACTTAGATCACTTCGTCGCGGCCTTGGGGGAGAGACGCGGAGTGGAGAGGGGAAGAGGTGTTGTTGCCGCGAACTTTTAGCACACCGGCTAGCGAGTAAACAAGGAAGGAGCGTCCGTGCACGGCTAGGCGGCAATCGCGAACCCTGAAGCTCTCCACCATGGCCGTCGATGTTCAAAATGATAGCATTGCTGCCCGCACAACTGTTCATGGACCGCTTTTCCGGAGGATGAAGCTTCGTATGTTATCTGCGTGTCTCCCTATTGCCTTCGTCCGTCGAAGATGCGCACCATCACTTGGTTGCTCTGCATCCTTACTTCGATCGTGACAGTACACGCCAACGTAGAGAAGACGATATTCCTCGGTCCGAGTGCTATACGTCTTCCTAATGCTCGTCCTAGCTTAGACGAATTGGAAGTGGACACGCTCGAGCCGGCAGAGCTCCCCATCCTTGCGACGCAGCTATCCGTCAAGTTCCCCACGGAGACAGCACCCCGCGGGCTGGAGTCTTGGTACCTTCTGCGTGGGCTGGAAGAAGGACGCAGGTACGAAGTGCGCATCTGCTGGCCAGCATTCGTGAGTACCCAATCATTCCATCGTTTTGCTTGTTCGGTCTCCTGCACGGAATTGCTGTACATCCGCGCCTATGTTTGCCCGCTAACTGGAGCTTAGCAACCCACCGACTTCTGGCTGGATACGTTCCCAATCACTCAGGTCTTCGAGACTCCTGAACTGATATCGTCACTCGCCGGCTACAGCGACCGAGGGCGGACACTACCGCTACAGAGGCTCGGTTACACGACAGACGGTTCCGCAACAGCTCAGTCCGTCCTTCTCCTACGCGTCCAGGCTGCAGCGTCATACTATTCGACGAATAAGACGTTAATGGCATATCCTTCTCCGGTAGACGTCGACATTATCCTTGACCCCTTCATACTCAACGTCCTGCCCCGCTCTTTAGGGCCAACCGCCATATACATCATCGCTGTAGCAGTGGCCGCCTACTTCATATCGGGGTATATATACCGCTGGACTATTACTGTCTCGAAGGAGTTCGAGGAGAAGGACCACAAGGAGTGAGGTCTTGCAGCATGTCCGCAGCTGCCGGAGCCCCTCCACCTCCACCTCCACCTCCACCTCCCCTCCCCGCCGCCTCCGCCCTTTGGTGGCCTTCCGACCGAGCTACTTTTGAGCATTATCGAGCTCCTTAGCCGCGATGTACGTTTGTCTATCAGACAGAACACGAATATGGCTGACCTTCTAGGACTACATAAACTTCGCCATGGCGATCTACCCCATCCTCCGATCCTACGGCCTCGTCCCAGTCCTCACCTCAGAAATCTACCAGAGCCTCACCCAACAGGCCCGTAACATGAACTCTCAGCAACGAGACCAACGCGAGAATAGCGAGGGATCGCTACGTTTGCCCATCGAGCTGAATGACCAAATAATGGATTACTTGCACCCGGAGGATCGGATAGCGTGGATATTCTCACATAGGGAGCTGTTCAGGAGCTACTTTGAGGGGTTGAGTGAGGAAACGAGGAAGTCCCTCTCAAAGAGCGTGTGTAAAGAACCGAGCAGTAGGAAGGATAAGGATAAGGCGTAGGCGTGGGAAGCCGATTAAGATACCCAATTCATACATTATTGTCATTGCGCAGGGAAGACACTCTGTACTTGGTGTGTTTGTCAGGTGCTGATGAAACATATCATCACTCGTTACACGACCCATCTTCAAGCGAACCTGTGACCTCAGCGCCCCACGTCTACAAAAGGCTGTCTTGCTGGACTTTTCCTCAAGCACACCTCTACCTTCGAGACTCCCAGCATTCAAAAGCTACAAGACCTATGCTTCATGGACTGGTGCTCGAGAAAGCATGTTTGAGTATGTTCATGCTGCGGCATCTTTCTCCAAACTCAACCACCACAGAATCATGTCTGTCTGTTCGAGCGGGTGCTCCTAAATTCCAAAAACTCCGTGCTACTTGCGCATGGGTCCGGAGGAGCTCCTTTCGAATGGCATGGCATTTGGTTTTTTTGCGGAAGCAGTGTCTGTTTTCAAAGACCAACCTACAGCGGAGTTTGTCCATGGACTCCCTCCTCGCCAGTATAATATTTAACAAAGTCACACCATGCTACCTTCAATTGTCCTGATCTGCCTTCCATTCTTTGACCACGTTCTCTTCACTTTGAAGCAAAACCGGGGATGGCTTGGACAATGTGGTTGGAGATTCTGCCCCGGATTCGAAAATTCTCCGAGTTTCTATGTGATGGGATGCGGCCCGCCTTGCCTTGTGACCAAGTGCTCTTGATATCGAAAAATAAGAAGGAGCAACGCGCTGTCATGTGTCGGGCAGTCTCTGGTGTCAAAATTGTTGTAGCCTCGCCTGATGTCAGTGAACTCTCCCTGGTCTCCTACATTGATCCAGAAATTCGAGCAAGAATCTTTATTGTTCGCGGACGCGGTTCGTGTGCCACAATCGGCCGGTTGATCTCTCCTTCAAAGGTCCAAAATAGCCTATCTTGTAATGGTATGTGCTTACCAGATGTCCGCTTTGCAAGATATAAAGCCGTTCAGCCGTTGTGCTTGGGGCTCCTCTCCACTCTACGTCGGAATATTCAAAGATTGCCTAGTCTTTGTGATGGGAAGTCGGTGGGCTTTTCTCCCACAAAGCCAGAACTTCCCCTACACAACAAACCAAGCGTCCAGACTTCCATGCTCCCGTGGGCAATTTCGCTCGAAGAATCGAAAAGTTGCAGAGACAACGGCATATGCTCCCGGACTCTTTCTCTGGAGTGCAACGTCATGAAGCTTGTGGCTTCGAGAGTCATGGCTGGTTGCCTCGCTTTTGTTCCTACACCCTCCTTCGAATGTGCACACCAAAAGCAACGATGATGAACCTATGCCCCTGGAGCGATTCGTTCCCTCGCAACGGCCCCGATTCACTGGCTTCCTCGCTCATGTTCTTGGGTCCTTTGCTCCATCCAACCGGCACACCAGAATCCTCCCGGCTTCGTTCACATGGCTTCCGGACCGGTCATCTTACCCTGAGCTCTTGATATGCTGAGATCTAAGCAGTCTAGATATGCAATCATGCATTGGGAGCTAAGCTTCTGCTCCAATGACCAAAAGTTTTGGGGAGTGCAGTCTATGTTTCTCGCCGCTTCTCCTCTTCTGATACCCGGATTCAAAAAACCATCCCAGACGTTGATGACTCTTGCATCGGTTTCTCCTCTATACTAATCCATTCGTGCGGGTCCAAGAATTGGAATCATGTATCCATGCTTGGATAATGATACATTTCCATACAACCACCAAACTCTTCATGCGAGCTTCGATGTTTGTCGCCTCCGTCACTCTCTGGTCTACGGAGTCCTAAAGAAGTTAGTACAATCTCATGGTCCTTAGACTGCTCTTCCTCTTGCAACATTCCCTTGAATAGGAAACGTGGAACGCTGTGCTTTGGGAGTGTTCACTTCTTCTCCAGTGACTAAAACGGGGAACATCTAATTCATGTCCACTTCCTCGCCCGTCCTTGCAATTTGAACGTGGAAACACCTTCATACTCCACGTAGGGGTTGCAGGCCCGTCCCTGTCGTAACTTAGTGTCTTCGACGAACTCAACGGCGCAGAGAAAAGTGGATTGCTCTGAGCGCATGTTCGCTTTTAGAGTCTCTAAATACTGGCAGGGCCTTTGGAGGTTTCTGGAGCTCTCCGTTCTTCCTTAAATATTTACAGTTCAAAGACTTAGTGCGAACAGCTATATGTGGCTTGCCTCGGGACTTCTTTCCCCTACCGCCAACCCAAATGGCTGACGCTGAGACGCATGCTTGTGGACGACTGTCTGCTGCAACAACAACGATGATACACTCATGTCCGTGTCTCTTCTTTTAAAGGATCTACATTCAAGCATAAAGCCATGTTGTCGATGTATTTGGGTCCTCTCAAATTGCAGCTCCTCAGGTTGGTGCTTCTGGCAGGCTGTGCCTTTCGAAAAATAATGATCATTATGTCATGCTTTTGGCTCCCTTCTCTTCCGGATCACGCACGATACAAGAACATCCGTACAATGTTATGGGACTGGAAAGGCTTCCTGCCTTCTGAAGTCGCGATTTGTGGGAATTAATGAGCAAAATATCAGTACTTCCAATACACGAACTTGGGTGTCCTGTGGCTTTCAAAGTCGGACGCAATATGACTATGTGCTCCAGGCCCTTCTCGTCCAATAATTATCAACTCTAAATTATGTTCCATCCAATTCATGGTCCTGGACTTTCTTCCTCTCTTCTCAAGAGATTGATTCCCAGACACGTCCCACACAAGATGAAGCCGTACAATTCATACTTTTGGAGAGCTGTCTGATTCAAAACTTGGATGGATCGCCTCATGCTTGTAAAGGATTCTCCGCTATAAAACCTTGAGAATATGACGGCATGTTGCGCGGACTCTTCCCCTTCCAATTTTCCTGCATCTTGAAGGCGAACAGTATTACAAGACATGGGCCTGGAGTATTCTCATGTTTCAAACTGGAAGACAATAGCGACCATGTGCGACTTTGCGTTGGAATCGACAATTTCTGCGGCCACGAGTTGCTGTCGGGCCATGTGTCGGAGTCCGATATACTCGAATATCCTGCTGATGGACTGGGGTTCGTTTTCAAAAACCAACAGCAATTCCACGCGTGTTTGTGGCTCGTCTGACTTTCGTCCACAGCTTCGAACCAAAATGCGCCCCTTCATGAACATACGGGAGAGTTCTGCTATTCCTGTTACCACAATCAAAACCTGGCAATCCGGCCCTGAAGGCCAGCGTACCTCTTCGTGTATCAACTTGGTGGTGCTTCAAGAATCCAACGGGATAGCGACGATAGCTATGTCTTGCCTGGAAGTGCTCCTGCCCTCTCATTCACCGAAAAGTGAGCTAGCAGTAGCGATGGGCCAGAACGTCCAAGTAACGACTTTCAAACTGTTACCTCCGACGAAGAGATGTCCACTACGCACATTTCCCCTTTGTCTACCAAGACGATGTGACAGAGAAACCATGTGGAGTGCGGCGTCACAAAATTCATTCCCTATCACATGATGGGGTCTTTGTGCCCTCTTCCGAACCCGACGAAGGTATATACAAATTACCCCATGCGGTCGTTCTTCATCTGTCGAAACTCTATGAAGAAATTCGACCGGTGTCGCCATAGAGTTTTTTCTTTCTCCTGGACGCCTACAAAAGCAATCTCGAGATGGCTACCATATAGTCTCCTACTCTTTTCCACTCTTCGACACGCAAAACATTTATATGGGTGTGAAAATTACAGGAAAGAAGCATTATGTCTGATTCCCGTCTCGAGCCTTTGCATTACCAACCGGAAGGACTTGCATGGCCCAGAACTTAGGTGATCCACAGGACGTCGTGATTCATCTACAAGCCACAAAACAGCTGAGTTATTTCGATCTTCTTCCAAGGGCTTTGATGCACCCACGTATCCGTCTCCGACCACCGTTCGCCAAACTTCCTGCGGAAATATCTATGTCGAGCCCCGGTTCTGTAATTTCCAGCCTCTTGAGATAGCTTGGGCTTCAGAACAAATGTGTCTTCCTTTTCCCATGTCAAAAGTTTCAGAAACAAGGTCTTGATGCCGTCGGTCCTGCTCCTGCGCCTTCCCACCGAAAGCTCAGGGGCTTCGTGGAATGAGCGTCTCAAAGCGACTACAGGCCTTTGAGATATGCGAAAAGGTTGTCTCCCAAAACATTTGAAACTAGCCGCCTCCAAAACCCACCCTTGCTTTGATGATGTCTGCGTTCCCTTCGCCACCGCCGCCGCCATCGAACCCCGTACTCACACTGACACCCGTCGCACTGATGTCCGCGGGTTGCAACGGCCGCGGGCCTATGCATCTTCCGCAGGTCATGCACGAGCAGATCTCAAATTCTTCGTTCCGTGATGATGTTGCGCATCACTTTCGGCCGCGGATGCGGGTGGTCAGATACGGAGTGTTACCTTTGTCAGCCTCATGCACACGAAGTCAGATTCACGTGTAGAACCGCTGGAGGCACGTTCGATCAGTGCATCGCGCTTTTAGTAATAGTGGCGAGGGGCTGCAGAGCACTGCAGCACACTGCAGCACATAGGCTCGGTGGGGTTCGTGCTTTGAACCAACGCGGCGAACATGGTATGATACAGACATTTCGAATACGTTTCCTTGTTTGAGAATGTTTCGATGATCGCCGTTAAAAACACATATGCCAGATAGCAGGAGAGTTTCGGTGGTTGGGTTCAAGGAGCGCAGAGCAAGTGGCCATGTGGAGCTTCAAGTTGGATTTAGACCGCTTCCCACACGCTGTTCGAGGCATCATATATTCGTATACTTGCTTGTGATTCAGGACAGAGGGAGTGCCGCTCTTAGGCACATTTGATATACGGCCAGCGGCTTTGGTAATGCTGAAGATAGGATGCAGAGGAGCCAGGCATGTGGCCAAACAGGACGATATCTCTAGACTAGATTCTCATGGCAAGTGAATCACGCGCTTGTTGACCACCTCCACATAGCATCCAATGCTATCCCTTTCAGTAGGGAATAGCTGTAGTGTACAAAGCAAGTCAGTCGGCATAGA